GAAACAGACGAGACTCATAAAGCCATGTTTTTCTCCCGCTTGAAATAATGGGCAGACCCTTTATTGGTATACAGAAACTCGTGCCTCACACCGACTGACATTCGAGCCCTGCTTCAGCCATGAATAACTATGGTCTTCTGTGCATCATCTACCTCACCTTCGGTGCATTCTTCTATGGCTACGACTCCGGGCTGACGACCTCCGTGATTGGATATCCTGGGGTGCGTGGCATATTTCCCAGGCCCTCTGTTAGCGACCCAGATCCCAGCTGACACATGCGGGCCAGTTCATTACGTATTTTGGGTTCGACGCAACACTCCTCGGGGTTCTCGGGTCCATCTACTACTCGGGCCTCTTCCTGGGTGGACTGGCCATGCTCTACATCCCCAACAAGATCGGGAGGCTGCGGACCATTATCTTTGCCAGCGTGATCGCACTGGCCGGAAATGCTATGCAAGCCGGCGCACAGAGCCTCGCGGTCTTGTTGGTCGGGCGTGGGATCGGAGGATTCGCGGGCGGACTGGTGTACGCCGTGTGCCCGACTTACGCCGCCGAAATTGCTCCTCCGCACGTTCGAGGACGTATTGGTGGCTTATATGCGTGCGTCCGGCGGGCCATCCAAGCAAGGCGAGAAGACCAAAAGCTGATGGGACCATAGGATCAACATCTCCCTGGCATATGCTATTACAGAGTGGATGGTAAATCTAGCATCCTAATTTTTCCCCTATGACTGCAACAAGTTCTGATCAAATTTTTCAGGGTCTCGGATTCTCCTATATCGAAAGCGACGCAGCCTGGCGCCTGTTCTTCGGGCTCCAGGTCCTCCCGCCGATCATCATGCTGGTCGGGGCAATCTGGATGCCTGAAAGTCCACGATGGCTGATCATGAAGGGCCGGCACGACGAGGCCCTGCCGATCCTCCGCCGCATGCACCAGACGTCGGACGACGACACCTTCTTCATGGGCGAGTTCAACCAGATCCGGGCCCAGCTCCAGCTGGAGGCCGAGCAAAAGGTCAACCTCCTGACGGTCCTCAAGCGGCCGTCCTACCGCAAACGGCTGTACATCTCGTTCATCCTGGTGACCGGGCAGCAGCTGACCGGCGTGATCCCGCTCCAAAACTACCAGGTCATCGTGTACGGCAGCCTCGGCGTCGCGGGCAAGCTGCCGCTCGTCCTGGTCGGCATCTGGGGCACGGTCGGGGTGCTGTGCAACATCCCGGGGGCGTGGTACTTCGACCGCTGGGGCCGGCGGAAGGTCATGCTCATCTCGCTGGGCATCATCATCCCGGCGTCGGTGCTCCTGTGCGCCTTCTGGGCCAGCTTCGAGAACACGGACAACCTGAACAAGACGTACGGCGTGCTGGCCGTCGTGGCCATGTTCCTCTTCCTCGTGGGCTACGCCGTCATCTTCAACAGCTTCGTCTTCACCTACATACCGGAGATCCTGCCCACGCCCGTCCGCGCCGCCCTCGGGGGCACCATCACGGCCTGGGGTAGCGCCTTCGTCATCCTCCTCGTGCAGGTCACCCCGATCGCCATCGAGCACATCAGCTGGAAGTACTTTATGATCTTCGTGATCTGCACGGCCGTGTACACCGTAGTCTTCTACTTCTAGTAAGTCTTTGTGCTTGGACCCCACTTTTCCTTCCTTTTGCCTGGATGCTAAATTAGAGACTAGCTTCCCCGAGACGGCCAACAAGACGCTCGAAGAGGTCGAGGAGATCTTCGGAGATCCGGTTGCCATTCACATCGAGGACGCAGCGAGGCAGGCCGAGTTGGATCCGGTGTCGTACTTGAAAGAGCACGAAAAGCACGCGGCAATCGAGCAGATTGAAGGGGTGTCTTGAGCTCTCCTTGAGGCTCTGAAAGGCTCCAAGCCACGCAGTCCTCCAATAAGTCATTTCTAGAGGAATTTGCAGAGGGACATATGGCAATGGCATTGTTTGGAGCCGATTTCTGATCGAGGCAGAATGGTGGACGAGAAGGGACGCGTGCGGCGGGGAGGATCGTGGATGGTCGCCTGGTGACTGACTGGATTGGAACGTTGCGATTTAAATATCAGGCTCGAATTTTTCGAATACAGTCAAAACAAAAGACCTGTCCCCGACGATGAATTTTTGTCTCTCCTCTCGATCGGTGGGAAAATCTCAGAAGCTCAGTAACCAACGTTCACGAAGATTGAAATCTGCCAAAGCCGACAGTGGGTTGACTGACTTATGAACCAAGCGAATGAGATACTTTGTCTGCGTAATACATGGAGAAGAGGATCCTGTGGCAAGGCCTCTTTTGAACTTTGACATTTACTACAAGGTCTTTGTCCTTGCTTTGAAACTCCATTATAGACCTGGACCAGCTTGAGAAAAATCTGTCAACTGCCTCAAAGAATGAATGCGGTGGGAGCCATTCCCTGCTACTTCTGGATATGCTGCTGAACTGTGTCCAACACGAAACCCTTTGGCGGATAGATATTGAGCTTCTCCGGCACCATAATCAAGCCGTGATGCTGATGCCTTTGAGATCGCCTTCAGCCCGCCAACGCTCCAGAACGTCTTCATAGCTGCGAATTCCTTCGCCCCAAGGTGCAGCCCGGGCTTTCTTTACCTGTTCACGTACATCACTGTTTGTTTTAATGGAGGCTGCGCCTTCGCCGTTCAGCCAACTCGGCGTACAGCCCACCATGACGGCGAACCAGGCTGCCCTTTTCACGACCTCGTTGGCCCACTCCTCTTCCGCTTCTTCTATCACTTCAACGACTGCATTCTCATGCCGCCGCGTTGCTTCCGCCAGGATATATGCAACATGCTGGGCCTGCACGTCTGTCATGAAGACGAGGTTGAAGGCGGAGGCGGCCTGTGAGGCACCGAAGAAAAAGAGATTCGGGAAGCCGTGCGAGCTGATCCCATGCAGTGTGGACACTCCGCGCGCGAGGTACTTTTCCTCGAGGGACCTGCCTTCCCGCCCAATTATGGAGACCTTTGCGGCTGCAGCAGGGCTGCCGTTGTGTGCAGCCGGGGCCCTGTATCCCGTGCTGAGAAGTAAGAGGTCAACGTCGTATTGCTTGCCGCCAGCAACGAGGCCGCTCCGATTGATTCGCTCGATACCTCTGCCGTCGGTGTCCACAAGGTGGACATTAGGCCGATTGAAGGAAGCGAGATACTCGTCATGGAATCCCGGCCTCTTGCACCATGCAGGATACCACGGTTTCAACTTCTCCGCGGTCTCGGTATCCTCAACGATCGACGCCACGCGCGCCCGAACCTTCTCCGTCCTTTCTTGATCGATTGCAAGGACTTCAGCGACATGTTCCTTGACCTTATCGGGCGAGATGATCCCTTTCAAGGGACTGCCCAGGCTAGAGGCCGCCGAGGGTGTTGCGCACCATCCGTCGGCCACCAGGTCCTCTCCGACCAACACTCGGGCAAGAGCTGCATTGAAGTTCCGGCGTCGTTCTAGCTGCCACCCTACCTTGCCAGCAATTTTGCTGGTCCACAAGGCTTGGTCCGTCGGAGTTTGACCACGGACGTCTACCCTTGCTGGCGTCCTCTGGAAGACATAAAGCTCCTTGGCCCACCTGGAGAGCTCTGGGACCGCCTGAATCGCGGTTGCTCCAGTGCCAATAATTCCCACTCTCTTTTCTTTTAAGCCGGTCAATGTTGGGTCGGTAGGTGAGCCGCCCGTGTATTTATAGTCCCACCGTGCAGTGTGGAACGTATGGCCCTGGAATTCACCTAGGCCTGGGATTTTCGGCACTTTGGGATGATTCAAGATGCCTGGAGCGGTGATTACAAACTGCGCCTGAATCGTCAGCTTGAGAGGCGCTTGACCTGGGCCTCGATCTTGCGTCATATTGACGAGCCACCGTTTCTGAACTGCATCCCACTCCATACCCTCGACAGTGGTGCGAAAGAGTGCTTTGTCCGTGAGGTTATACTGTGACGCGACTCTTTCCGCATGCTCAAGCAGTTCCGGGCCGTAGGAGTACTTGTGCTTGGGCATATAGCCTGTCTCCTCAAGTAGAGGTAGGTAGATGTAGCTTTCAATGTCACACATCAGTCCAGGATATCGATTCCAGTACCACGTTCCCCCGAATCCGCCGGCGCGATCGGCCAGTCGAATATCCTCGGCGTCGAACCCGGCCTCGATCAGTCGAGCAGCGTAAACTAGCCCGCTGTATCCGGCTCCGAGTATAAAGACTTTGCATGACGACCCGTCGGTCATCGGAGGCTCCTGGGCATTGAGCGCGGCATGGTCGACCCAGGGATCCTCTTCGAAGTGCTTGAAACGGTCCGATTCGATGAGATTGAGGTACTGCCCGTTTCCATCGCTGCGGAGTCGCTTGTCCCGCTCTGCAGCATATTTGTGCTCGAGGAATTCCGGTAGAGGGAGACTTTCCACAGTGATGGACCCCATTCTTTAGAGGCTGGTTGGCACCGTTGTCCCTTCTCTAGCTGTTTCTTTGGACGCAATATACAGCATTGAAGCCGGGTCGTCGAACTGCTGGATAGAGACACCGCGGCATCTTTCAGGATCTCAAGCCTCGGTTGCCTGTGTACAGTAACACCGTATACGAAACACTTTCACTTGCGGCGAACCAAACTGTGGTTGATGGCATTCGCGTCTACCTTTCGGCTCCGTGTTTACCTCGGGTTAACTGCAGTCCAAGCGTTCGTCGCGATGCCCAGCGTTTCGACTTCTTGCTGCCGTCTTCAAACCGATCGCGCAGGGAGAGAGGCGGATTCCCAGAACAGACGTGGGGACTGTCATTTTTGAGGCTAGTTCCTTCTCAGCCGCTGTTCTGAAGCAGCCCGCTCCTTCCAGAGCCTCCGGCTTTTTCCAGATGAATCTACAAGGAACAGTGGCTAATCACTGTGGAAGAGTTGGGAACTGAAATTCAATACCGGAGACAAGACTGTGACTGAAGGACGAGTCAGTAATTATTGCGGAAAGAGCTGGGATCTCCCGGCCTAGACAAGAGACAAGGAAAGGAACCTGGCAAGAGGATGGAAACGTTCTTCCTTCTAGCAGAGACAATCTGGTGTATCGTCTACGATTCTAACCAATAACCTCGTTACGTTCATAACCGGTTGGCTTTAGCACCGCTTTGGGCTTGTGGCCTCCCATTTCCGTCTTGTAGTCGCTGACAAACGGGTTCGGGTCCTCTTTATAGCTCAGGTTGCTCAGTGTATGGTTGACTCCTCTGTGGACGGCTTCGTCGGCCCGGATGTACATGATCAAATCTTTCATTGTTCTCTTCCCCTCGGGCATATTCCCTGTTGGGTTTTGTCGTCGTCAGCGTCGTGGAATTCTTACCAACAAAGGATGGAGACAAAGTTCTCTACCCCAAGATTTGAAGCAAGGGAAACTAACAGTATTGCACGGCCATGTCGGGGATTTTGAAGTCCTTACTACTCCACTTGTCCAACATTCCCTGGTCGATCTCGCGGATGCATCTGGTATAAGTGTGCACGGCCTCTTCTTCCAGATAGCCGACAAAGCGATGACAGATCTTGGGCGAGATCAGATACGAGAAGAATAGGGCGTTGAAGAAGACGCCTTGGGCGCCCAGGATCATGGTCTTCATGAACCAGCCGGGTTCGCACATCTTCATAAACGTCAAGAGATGCATCCGCTCGTTGTACGACTCCTCCAGAAGTGTCTCGATCCAGCCGTTGTCGCGCTTCATCCGGCGAAGAGACCGAAGATGCCGCAGCATGCCAGCAACCATTCCAGGGACGCCGGCGATGGATTCGAGGAATACGAACCGAACGAGCTGCGAAAGTTAAGAGTTAGTCGAGACCTCAACAGTGCTTTGCGACCTTGGATTTTCAACCCACCCATTGGGCTTCCGTTAAGGGCCTGGCCGCTTCGACTGCTGTGGTAGGATTCTTCTTGTCGACCTGTTGTTCTGAGCGGAGGCCTGTAGCCACATCCATCCAATATCTGTCGAATTCTCAGCCGTCCAAGCTCTGCTGATTTTGAAATTCGCTCCCCAAACTCACCGGCAGAATCTGATGAGTTTCCAGGCAAACCAGTCGCCCATGGTTTTCGGTTCTCGATGGGCTGGCTGGACGTTCAGCATTTCCTCTTCCGTATAGCCATGGTGTACCCAGGCGGGTGGCGTCTGGCGAATGAATTTCGTCTCCTGGGCTGGAAAGAAATCACGGAGTTGAGCTATACGCGTTGTTGAGAACTCTCGTGCAGAGGCCAGTTTCCTGGCATTGCGAGGGACTGGGCTGATGAAGCTGAACGGTCCGATGGGGCGGCTCTGGCTTTGTGATGAGAAGGGGCGTGACGGCGTCCCTGTTGTGGAGGAGTAATTGGCTGAAGCGATCCAGAGTGCCGCTCGATGTCTCGGAATGGCATTCCTGGCATGAGCCAGGGGAAAGGTAGCTCGGCCAATCTGGGCTACTGCTGAAGCCGAGTGGACGTTGTGTGATATTGTCGCTGTCGACAACATTGAAACAACGATCGATGCTGCTTAGTTCTGTAAGTACTGGGGTTTTCCACACGACCTTGAAGCTTGAGTAAATACTGGGTACCTTGATACTTTATATACCGGGACTCGGTATTGGCCTCACCGTTCTGATAGGGCTCTTAGGCTGACCTATACTACATGTGGATACCTACAGATATCCTTATTTTCGGGGTCCAGATGTTAGAGCTCCACAGTCGGGGTCTGGGCGAATCCTCGGCTGGGGGCTTTGTTGCCGTCCTCAAAGATGAGCACTTTCAAGCCATCATGAGATTGTCTGAGAATATGCCAAGGTGCTACTGGTCCTCTTGAGAGTAGGTTGGCGGCTTGAACTCGGCAATAAGCATCAGGCAGGCTGAGAAGGTGCAGATTTGTGCTGCCCCGCGCTGCCCTTCTTCAATTCGGGATTCTGTGATGGTCTCCAAACCAGGTAACAGATCCAAAAGAACCGCAGCTCGGAACGCCAGCACAAGAAGCGCATCATCCAGACACCTTCTCGACACTTTCTTCTCGCCGAATGGACTGAATGAGTAGTTTCTCTTTCGTCGTTTTTCCGATTATGGCTTTGCAGTATGGTGTGATGTTTTAATTGCAAAGTATTAGATTCACTCTGACGAAAGAACCGAGTGGCTTCGGATATCGCGGAAAGACCGACTACCGGTTCAAGGCCGGATACATCTTTCCGCTGTGAACCGGTAATGATGATATGAGATCGACAGACAACAAACTCAGAGGCCCAGCGAGCTTCTTCCGTACAAGCAGGGGAGTTTTGTTGCGCCATGGACGCATTTTTGGGAACAGAAGTGTTTCTCAGACTTAACTTCCCACTGGCTGTTTTGGCTAGGCTTCTCAGATTCCAGAAAACCCGACATTCAGACGGCGGTTGACGCGCATGGTCTTTAAAATATCTCCGTCGATAGACTCAAGGTGAGTGCTTTAAGCGATCTCATCGGTCGACAATGTCCCTGATTGTGGTTCGAGAGCAAAATTCTCGACATCTAAGCCTCGATAGGTTTAGCGCAGCCTTATCCATCTAGGTCGCTGCTTTTACCTACTAATAACTTCTATCCTCGAATAATGAACGGAGACAAGATATAAGGAGTGTACGCGACGCTTCGAGACACGGTACCAAGTTCATTTGCGGGATAGCAATACCAAAACTGGGAAGGGAAAACACTGATCGTCGATGGTTTCGGGTGGGCGCCCTGATGGAGCGAATGAACGTTGAAATATGTCGAACAATGAACATGTGCCCACCATCCCCGCCGTAATGCAATCCTTCTAGAACTATGCCGCCGACTTCGATGGATTCTGGTTATCATCATACTCGTCTCGACTGCACGTTCGTCCCGTCCAAGACTGCGAGACAACAATCTTCTGGGCACGATGCTACTTACTTAACCTTCTCCAAGCGGCCCATTGAATGCCTGTGTTCGATCCACTCCTTGACCGTCCTGACTTTCTGGCCCGTAACACAACTTATCGGCGGCTCTCTTCTTTGCACTTCCTTCCCGTCCTCTCCTTCAATCCCTTGAAGGACCTCCAGCAACGTATCGATGTTCGGGTGGCAGAAGTATGCCATCGAGAACCGCTCTTTACCCTGGTCCTCGGGCAACGGGGATCGAGTGACACGGTGGAGCGTGGATTTCATAAGGCCGCCTGAGAAGAACGTCATTGTCTCCCCAATATTGATGAGCACCGCCCCCGGAATAACAGGGGCATCGAGCCATATCTCGTCGTCCTTAATAGGACCGGTGTATTTTGGTGGTCGTATCTGGAGGCCGCCCACAAGATTCTGGAAGAGAATTGTGATCACTCCTTGATCTGTATGAGACCCCAGGCGAACTTTGGCGGTGTCGGTGGGTGGAAGGGCAGGGTAGTGGATGAGTCGAAGAGTGGTCATCGACGGACTTTCATGCTGATGGATCTGTGGAAGACGGTCGGCGGATAGACCTAAACCAACCCCAAGGCACGAGAGCAACGGGACGGCGATCTTCTCATGCACCTCTCCCATGAAGGCCTGAATCTCTGGATTGAATTTTTTCAGAGAGGGCGGCATAGGTTGGTCGTAAGACGCCTGCTTCCTTATCACAAATACCTCTTTCTCGTCCACGGTCGAAACGCGTTCCTTAGCCCCGTGTTCATTGAAGTAACCTTCGGTGCCGGTCTTCGCATCGTATCCAGCATTGACAATGCTGCTCCACGGCGTCGAGGATTTCTCCTCGCGAGGGGTGGTTTTGAAAAAGGTCGCGCTGACGTCGAACATGCGATCGATGGTCGGCTGCGGTAAGCCGTGGTTACTGAGGTAGAGAAACCCCCATGTTGCGCAGACTTGTTTGATTTCCCGCGCGAGGGAAGGCAGATCGGTAGAATACCGTGAGAAGTCGACGATGGGGATAGTTTCGGGTGATGGAGATATCATGGTCGCCTACCTGTTTGCTCGAAGTACAGAATTTCACGTATAAAGGAATGCACTGTAGGCAGGAAGAAAGGACGAGGGCAATGAGACTGTGTTGTCTTTCTATCCACCATCCAGGTTCGTTCAGCAGAAAGGAGGTCATGATAAGGGCACGCTTTGAATCGCTCATATACCCTCACGACAGGGTTCCCCAGGGACACTAGTGGGTGATAACAACAATGGATACCTCCGTCAAACCAATGATAGCGACCTGGTGAGCGCGTGCCCATCAATCAAACAGCTCGATCCCTCGGTGTCCTCCCGCACGATGGTGATCTAGTCAAGCGAAGCTGAGCGTCAGTCGGTCATGTCCGAGGCTTGGAAACCTGGCCGGGCATGAGCGGCCGGCGCAACAACATCTTTCAGTATACCTCTGCATTCCAGCCTTCTCGCTGCTTGTCCTCTGTTCAGTGTCAAGGCACTGGCTTCTTGTGTTCCTCACTTTCACCGCTGCAAACTTCGTGCGGCGTGCAGAGGAAAAACCCAGCTAATGTCTCCAAAGGAACAGCCTTTTGAGCAAATTGCGATGTTTTGCTGGACGGTCCATTGAGATGCGACAATTTGTGACTTGCTAATGCGCCCTACTCCGGATGGCATTTTGTAGCGTGCAATATGGCTGATGTGACACAACTGCCAATCGGGACGAAAATGGCAGATGGACCTTGCGGCGAGGGAAGTGCTTGCGGGACAACGGCATCCTTGCGCTGAGCACCTTCCTCTTTCGTGCTATGATCTGGCCAGCTGAGAGTGGAAGATGTGACTGCCATTGGGTTCGTAGCAGTCGACTGGATGCTGCATCTTCAGTTAATCGAAATCGAACTGTCAATCCGGGATCTGATCGTCAAAAGCCTGCTGAAAGATTGCACCTGGACGTGTGGAATACTCTGCTGGAAGGCCGCTTTCTGTAGCCTCCCGGAAGCAAGTTTCCAGAAACCCAACCAAAGGAACTGAATAGATCGGCAAACCCCTTTCATCCGTCCTGAATTGTTCTCAACATCTTAGTCTTGCCTCCTGGACGGCCTTCCCCAGACCTCGTCAACATCCTTCTTTCCTTTAGTCTCAGGCACATACCAGCCCACGAAAACAAAGGACACTGCTGCAATGGCAGCAAATACAAAGTACACCACACCCTTTCCCAATCTCTCGTTCACCATTGGGAAGAACTGCGCCACCACAAATGTCGAGATCCAATTTGCTGCTAGCGCCCATGACTGAGTTGCCCCAACTGCCTCAGGACCGACAAGTTCAGAAGCCAGGATGAAGGGCACCGGCCCCAAGCCAAAAGCAAAGCTGGCAACAAACAGAAGTACCGCAACTGCGGAAAGCACAGGAATGGCACTGCGTATTCCCACGGCAAGGAGAACAGATGAGGCACCCATACCGGCGATGGAGGTGAGGATACATGGCTTGCGACCCAGCACATCGGCGAGGGGGGCGAAGCCTGTAGTGGCTGCAATGTTGAGTATGCTCACAAAGATATTGAGCAGGGCGGAGTTGGATGCGAGTAAGTCCGCGAGCAGAGACACACCGTACATGACGATACTGTTGATTCCGCAAAGCTGCTGCGCCATCATGACCACAACGACTGCAAGGATTGCGCGGTTATTGGTCGGGTCTCGGAGCACGGCCAGGATCCCCATGGGTTCGGGCGCTTTGCCTCTCGAGGAGGTGTTACTGTCCGTCTGTGGCTCGTGGTCGGAATCTGCGAGCAGTGTTCGTTCCTCCTCTGTTCAAGGGTTAGACATTTCGACCAATCAAACATCACACAACACAAACCGTGTCTCTCATCGACATCCTCAACTCTCCAACCTTCTATCTCATCTTGGATATCGGCCTTCTGACCCCTGATACGTCGCAGATTGTTATTGGCTTGTCTCGGTTCTCCATGACCAGCCTGCCACTTGGGACTCTCCACTGAGAACACCAGCCCCGCAAACTGCACGACACCGATCATGCCTGCAACGGCCAGGATGACACGCCACATCTGCCCATGGCTCAGGAAGTAACCAAGGAGCTGGGTGGTGAAGATGCCCATGTTCGTCATGATTTGCGTGAAGGCACCAAAGAAACCCTTTTCCTTGGGTGGAGCGATTTCAGAGATATAAATGGGCACCACAACCACGGAGACGCCCGCGCCTAGGCCAGAGATGAAGCGGCCCGCCGAAAGGGCGCCAATATTGGGCGCCAGTGCTTCAGCAAGAGGGCCCAGCGCTAGTAAAAAGGTATTAACACGCATAGTACGTAGACGGCCATAGCGCGCGGACAAAGGGCCGGCCGCGAGAGCACCGATCAAACCGCCCAATGTGAAGATGGACGAGACAAGTCCGAGTTGAGTAGAGTTCATGGGGATGCATTGTGGCAGGCCACCCAGCGTTGACGGTGGGCCCTTCTTCGACCTAATTGATTTCGCTGCGCAAGTGATGACCTCTTGAGGAGCATTGAGCTCGGCCTAAGAATAGGTTTAGCATTGCATACGAGGGGGTAAGTGGATTATAGCAGAGGATAGAAGATCATACCAAATGATAACCAAAGAGCAGAGGTCCCAGTGTTGCAACCAAGAGCAGGTAGAGAAAATACGGGGTGAGCTCCTGAGACCATGATCTCAGCTTTGAGGCGAGGCCCATATCTGCCTGAGTTCCGTCCGCCGCAATCAACGTGATGATGTACGAAGCAGCGAGACCGCTCTGTGGTCGTCGCCTGTCCTGTAGTCGGCGACAGTTGGTAGCGAAGGAGGATGGACGACTGTGACACCGACCGACGATGGTTCGTCAGCTGGGCAAATGACTTTGGCGGAAACCAAGACGCCATCATCTAGCGTAGTTCTTGGCAAACACGTGACTTCAATACGCGTGGAGGGCGTTAGGGGTGGCTATACGTGTCACGCGTCTCTGCCGAGTACTTCACGAGCCAGATGAACGTTTGCAAGTATCCTTACTCAATCATTGAGTGGCTATGGCTGCCTAAGCGGGGCTATGCATATTGTCTCGGGTGTTTTCTAACATCTTCCCGCACCCATGCTTGTGAGATCTTTCCTGCCAGCGCGTGTTGTAACCGCCAATCAACCGTACCCCAGGTACTCGAATCCTGTCTCCATCCATGTTCCCCGTGCTCTATGCACCAGCTCTTCTTGCTGCTGCGAATACCGTCCCCGTCATGAAGTCGTATACATCTGCCGAAAAGCGGACAACAAGAGACACAGAAATTCAAGCAGCAGCGCCACCCCACTAAGAGTCAGTCAGGACCGTTGCGCAGCCTTAGCACTCAGACTTACTAGTTGAGCCACCAAGTCACTAGCCACGTCGAGGTAAGGATAAGGGCTGGAGATCTCCTTCTCCACGTTCTTGTAGCGCTTGCTGACCGGTCTCCAGTAGCCTTCTGCACCCATTTCATCGAGCCGATCAGAGCTGGTGTGACTGATGTCTCCAAAGCCGCTGGTGGGTCTGCTGTTCGTCGGACTGGTGACTGTGCTGCTGCTGGTGGGTGTCTTGTTCCTCTCGCGGTCCTTCTTCGAATCGTGCCAAATCACATTTTGATATCCATCACATTTGAAATCCACAACAAACGTTCCTTGCTCTATGGTATACAACTGAATGTCGATGAACACCCAAACTCCGATATGCTCGCTTGGGATCTTCTTGTTGAGTGCTGAGAGACTGTCGGGTCTGCTCATAGACACTTGTCCTGGTCCGGTGAACGCATCCTGGCTGTGGCCGGCCGGCTCGCCGCCAGTATTTTGTCGCGTCGTATGTCCGCTTGATGCTGGTGACTTTGCGTTTGTTTGGCTTCCGTTGGGAGAACTCATTCCCAGCACCTGTTTGACATCCTCTGAGGCATATCCGAGTTGCTCGATATGTTTCTTGAGCTGGGTTTGTGCTTCTGCCGGCAGACTGACCGCCGAACTGTGAGCGGATAGAGATGGTGCTTCGCCGGGCATCAGCAATCCCTTCTTTAAAATTCTTGCGCGAATATTGAACGGGTCTCGAGGTATGTAATAATCCTCGCCAACAAATGAAAACCGCTGTTGCATAATCTCGTGGCGTTGGCCAGGTTCTAATTCGGGTGGAGGCGGCGGAATGCCATCCTTCTCGTCCTCACCGTCTGGCATCGACTCTGATCGCAACCATGGGTTAACCTCCCACTCAGCTCCTTGAGCCTTAAGAGCGGCATACAAGCACTTCATGGCCTCCCAGGGTTGATTCCGACTGCGAATCCCAAATTGCCACCGTCTGGGCTTGGTCTTCGAAGCTGGTGGACGTTTTTCATCAGAGGGCAGAGTCGTCATACCTTCGGGTCGGCTTTTAGGGTCTCGCAACGCATTCAGAGCCGTCACAGATCGAGAATGTGGTTTCAATGCTCGTGATGTGGCCTCCTGCTCCTCTTTGGATCGATAAATGGGGTTCCCGTGTTCATCCTTAATTTCCTCGGGGATTGGACTTTCAGCGTCGTCCTTCTGATCTTGACCTTGCGTCTGATGAAGAATCATGTCAGGATCTTCGCCGTGAGCCTTTGCCTTATCGCGAATTTGAAGGAGCTCTTCATGCACATGAGGTAGTGATGTGTTCAGGACGCGGACATTTGAGATCCTGGGTTTTTCTTCTTCTCTCAATGAAGACGGAGTTTCAGATAGTGATCGACTGGCTCGGTGAGCATCTGTGCGGCTTGGAGTGAGAGGCTTGACATCCATGTCCTGGAATCGTCGTGGCGAGCCGGGGAAATTGGGATAATTTGGTTCGACCGGAGGCGAAGACGCCATAAATGATTCCAGTTCCGGGTTCTCTGTGCGGTATTGGGGAGTGCTGATCATCAACTGATTCTCTCTGACTATAAGATACGCATCTTTGATCGCGCTTGGCTCATCTTTGCTCAGAGCATCCTTCACATCCTCCTTTGCATAACCCATGGTGCGGCCGAGCTTGCCAACCACTTGCTCATGGATTTTCTCCACCACATCGAGTGGCTTTCCCGGAGCTAGTTGGCGAGGGTCGATGGCTTTGGTAGGGTCGACACCGGTATCTAGAAATTCCTCCACGGGATCAACCAAATAAGCAGGAAGATCTTTCATGAACCATTCATCTTGTCTGATTTCGGGGATGGTGATGCGGTGGACCGGATGCACTTGCAAACATCGCTTGATGAGGTTTACTGCTCCTGGCGGAGTTTGTGATGGAATATGAAATGTCCCGGCCTGGATCTTTTTGAACAGTGCAGGGATGAATTCGTCGTCGAAGGGAAGCCTGCCAACGAGAAAAACGTAGAGGATGACACCGCAACTCCAGACATCGACTTCGGGACCAGCATAGAGCTTTCCGCCAATGACTTCAGGCGCAGCATAGTTTGGGCTTCCACAACTCGTCTTCAAGAAATTGCCATCCGTCATGATGTTGCTGAGACCGAAGTCGGCGATTTTCACGTTCATGTTCTTGTCAAGGAGGAGATTTTCCGGTTTGAGATCTCGATGGACGATTTTGTGACGATGACAGTATTCGACAGCACAGATGATTTGTTGAAACAGCTTCCGTGCCTTGGCTTCGCCCAGCCGGCCATGCTTTACGATGTAGTCGAACAGTTCCATGGGGACATATTCCAGCACCATGTAGATGTCTGTCTTGGTTGTGATAACGGTGTAGAGCTTGATGATGTGCGGGTGACGCAGGAGTTGCAAGTATTGGATCTCTCTCTCGATCCGCCCTGCCATGTCTCGACTGATCAATTTGCGCCGACTGATAGTCTTCATTGCAACCTCTTGACCGGTAACCTTGTGTCTAGCGAGCTTGACTTTGCCAAATGACCCTTCACCGATATTGCGGACGAAGGCATACTGATGCAGTCGTTGCATTGCGCGGGCGGTGCCTGGAGACTCTGCCATTGGTGTCTGGCTCAAGCTGGCCCGTATCGGAGGGGAGACAACAGTGGGAAGGGACGGCCTGGAGCGGCTGGAATCGGTTTGTGGGAGGGAAATAGAGAGTTCGTCATCGTTGATCGCCGACGACATGGTGGAGGGTGAGTGTTGGTAGGCAGAGGTGCGCTCTGCCCACCGTGAAGGGTGTGGTATGAGTGTCGCGAGCCTTTCGGGTGGTTATGAGGACACAGATTGGTGTCACCAGTAATCGCTGAATTGGTGATTGAGCATCTCCAAGCCACGAATCAGTTCGAGTGAGGGTGGAGATCCTGCGCCTCCGGTCGGTGGCAAGTTGGGGTGAAGTTGAAGTAGGTTACACAGGCTGTATCCAACGACGCACGTGGATATGATGAATCTAGGGTAAATAGGTGCAAGACAACTCTGTCCGTAGGTATTTGCAGATCAGAGTCGAAAGATTCGGCGAACTGAGTAAGTGATCGTGTGGGCATCGAAGGATGCAGGATGAGGGTTGAGGCGAAACCGTCGAGAGGGGGCGCTGGTGGTTCATGTGGCTATAATGACGGGCAGCCGTCCGCTTAAGTTACCCGAATCGGCAACAGTCCCCTTTGGCGGGGTAGAATGACGCTAAATTGGTGGGAGTTAGTAGACAGCCTCGCAGCCTCGCAGCCTCTTGAAATCGAGAGGAGGGAGAATAAGGCCTGTCGCGAATGATACTGGTGAGAATCTGTCCTCAGCAATATGGCTCCGGTCATTCACCCAAGAGTAGCACTGGGTCCTACCCTATGGAAAATTGCCCCACTTTCCCCCAACCCACGAATGAACGAAATGAGATGGATCAGAAGACAATTCCATCAGTCGAAGTCTTGGATCATCAGCCTGTCCACATACTATCCGATCCTCTCATCTCTCGTAAAATCCGGTGCAATGTTCTTGGATTCTGCTTGAATCCATCTTCGAATGTTTCATCCACATGCTACGCCGCTGATTGCGTCCACTGGTATCTTCTCATTCAGGTCCTTCCCATATCATCATATGAAAGCTGGCAGATTGATAGAATCAATTAGGTCTTCTTCTCTTTTGACATCATTTGGCGTCCACAAGTCTTCTCCCCCAGAATAGAAGAACCAATACTCTGCCGTGTATTCTTCTTCTGCCATGAATCGTTGACTGTCGCAAATAGGTGGAGCGCCTCCCGCAACTTCAACTCGGTAGATATCCCAGTCTCTCTTCGAGCTCACTGAGTGTGCCCACCTGCTAGTGCTCGTAGGATCGTCTGGCGCCAACACGGACTCGTACGGAAGGGCTTCGAACGTCGCAATGTCGAAAAGAGTGACAATGGCCGTATCGTTGACGGTTCCAATGGTACCCAAGCACTCCAAAGTGGAATTCTTTAGCTGCTCATAGTCGAAGTCGTGAAGTTTGGCAGGGAGGGCATGGAAGGCGGCTTCATTGGGGAGGTTTTGGATAAGCGGGGCTGCATCATAAAGCTGCGTGGATTGAGATTGAAACTGAGCGACTTCATTGGGTCCATCGCCGGCGCACAGATACATGTACAGGCCACGTGCGATTGCGAGGTATTGAAGAGGCTTGCCAGGAGGCGGAGGTGACAGTGAATCCGTGCCTTTGAATTGTCAGCGAGGAGCACCTAGGCATCGCCTGATCAATCTCACAAGTTTTGTTAGGGTCGCAGGTGTTGCTGCCCTGCAGAGGCACAGCCCAGCCTGCGGCGGCTGAGGCGTTGATGGGAGGGACATAGTCGAGGTCACTGCGCCGTTCAAAACGACGGGCAGAGTTCGATCCTTTGATGAAGTTCAGCAGAACGATGGCTGTCAACCACAAAATCGGGGTGACCGCGACCATAACGCCACTGCTCTTGGAAAGAATGACAGAAGATGGGAAGCAGCCGTGCTGACCAATATTTGCTACCTTGTTGAGTCGATAAAAAGAATGATTATTTGCTGAACGAGTGACTAGGTGGGGGAAGGCAAGAAAGATGCTGGTGTTGAATAGAGGCGAGTCTTGAGCTGCAGGAGCGACTCCAGATAAGACCTCAACGCATTTCGATCGCCAAGAGCAGAAGACTTGAAGAGTGTGAGTGAATTGAGACGCTTCACTTCATCTCGCTAAGGGCTCGAGGTCCTGAGCAAGTGCTTGCAGGGACAGCAAGTCAGCCGGACGTGAAGACTGTCGCGGAGGTCTGTTATACTTACCAATAGTGGCAGGGGATGTAGTGACATTCTGCTACATTGTCGTTCACCAGTAGCAAAGCCCACGAGACAGGAGGAGTTGAAGGGATGAGTGGACAGAATTGTATACCTATCAACATTGACCACGATGGTATTGAGCATCCCTCTTTTGTTCCAAATACGCCATCCATTCCCAATACTTTCATGCACTTGTCCCCGGCGCCTGGCTCACAATCATTCAAACAGCAAAGGTTAGTAGTACAAATCGAATTGAGGCTTGCAATTGAGGCTGCTCAATGCAGGGTATAACCACAGACGCGAAGGGCTTGTTTTCAATGGCCATCCGCCCCCAGCACTTCCATCCGGTCTCTTCTCATTCCTTCGAGGACACCCACAATCCCACCGTTCCGTAGTCTTTCCAGCACGACATTCATTCCTTCTTTTCCGTTTACCAGAGCTGACTTGGTTCGTTTCACACCAATCAGCTCGATGGTCCGCTGGATACCAGCAGTCGACCACGCAGCAAACAAGCCTTGTTTTGGTGCTTCTTCCTCAACATTTGCAGCGTGCTCATGCTTTTTCCAGCTCAGTAACTTGTTCTGGCCCAGATGTGATACAAACGTCACAACTGTCTTGCAGGTGGTGGTTTCTTTGTGTCTCTGTGGCTGGAGGTCATCGCCCGATCGACTCGAGGACGCTATCTCAGACAGCCGTTGCCGTTTATATGTTTGTCGTTCCACAACGCTCAAAATCCCCGTCCACTCCATGTTTTTGGACTCAGTTTCCATCCATCCCTCATTGATGTCAATCGTACTTTTCTCTAGGACATAGCTCTGACTGGCGCCGCCTGGGCCGGCAAGGCCACGAGGGAGGAATTTGAGGATGCCGGCGGGCACTTTCGATTTTTTCAGATGTAGTCGTACAGTATGGAGCCGGTTCGTCTCGGGATCAATGTAGCGATCGATTACGTCGGAGCTGAGAACATGCCTGGAATAAGGGTTCGGATAGCGCAGGAAATATGCTAAAGTGACGGCGGGGAAAGTGTAGTCGTAGTTAAAGGAGTGTTCGTAGAATTTCATCCTGGCATGGAGACATTGACCCAAGGTAATGGCTGATGGTTAAAGAGTAAGATGAGGATGGAAAGGAGACGGCGAGTTTTTGGGACCCTCACGCGAGCTCTCAAGCCCAGTTGCCACATTCGGCCGAAAAGAAGAGGAGAGAAATGCTTGGCCGGCAAATTGTGGAGGGCGGAGAGCCATATCCGACGACGCAATATCATTGGACAACTTTCTATCGCAGTTGGGCTGCACGCAGCAAACGGTGAATCGAAGACTCACGCATAGTTACAGGCGATACACAGACCGACTGCCACAGCAATTGTTTTCAGACAGCCTCACAACTAACCCCCCACCCCTCGCGCCTTTTGAGGACCCAGTCTCGCCCTTATCCTTATTCTCCCACTTCCTGCCCTCGGTCTCCGCTCCTGGGTCTCTCAAATTCACCCCCTCAACCCCCTTGCCCGCCATGGCCGAACAAAAAATCACCCCCTTCGAAGTGTCCGGCGGCGTGGACGAGTCTGGCCACATAAAGCCAGTAGACTACGACAAATTGATCCGCGACTTCGGTGCCACGCCCATCTCGCCCGAGTTACTCGAGAGATTCGAAAAAGCGACCGGCAAAAAACCCCACAGATTCATGCGCCGCGGAATAGTGATCTCCCATCGCGAAATGGAAAGAATCCTGGGCAAGTATGAGAAAGGCGAAAGATTTTATCTATACACGGGGAGAGGGCCAAGCAGCGACAGCATGCACGTTGGGCACAGCGTCCCGTTCGAATTCACGCGCTGGCTACAAGAAGTCTTCGACTGCCCCCTTGTGATCCAGTTAACAGACGACGAAAAGTTCATGCACTCCAAAACCATCAGCATGGATGACGCAACCCGGTATGCAAGAGAAAATGCCAAAGACATCATTGCGTTGGGCTTCGACCCGAAAAAGACGTTCATCTTCTCGGACTTTGAGTACATGGGGGGCGCATTCTATCGCAATGTATGCTTCGCGGCGAAATGCATCACGCTCAACCAGATAAAAGGGGCATTTGGGTTCAATGACAGCAACAACATTGGCGAATTCCATTTCCCTGCAACCCAGTCTGCGCCCTCCTTTGCAACCAGTTTCCCACATATTTTTGGCACCGACGCAAAAAGCGTCCCCAGGATCCCTTGCCTAATCCCTTGTGCGATTGATCAAGACCCCTATTTCCGTGTCTGTCGAGATATAGCAGAGAGGATGAAATACGAGAAACCATGCCTCATACACTCCCGCTTTCTTCCCGCGTTACAGGGTGAAGGCACCAAAATGTCCGCAAGTGTCGACTCTTCTGCGATATTTCTAACCGATACACCGAATGCGATCAAGAAGAAGATCAACCGTTTCGCATTCTCTGGCGGGCAGGACACGGCGGAGAAACAACGCGAGCTGGGCGGGAGAACGGATGTTGACGTACCCTACAAATACCTCACTTTCTTCCTGGAAGACGATGATGAACTAGCGAAGATCAAGGAACAGTATGAGAAGGGAGAGATGATGACCGGGGAGATCAAGGCCATCTGCATCAAGGAGTTGCAGCAATACGTGAGCGGTTTCCAGGAGAGGAGGAAAAAGGTGAGCGACGAGGTGGTACATGACTTTTTCAGCAGAAAAGGGTTGCTTTTTAGAGGGGTCCCAGCGGATCAGAAGCCGGTGACGACAGGAGCAGCATCGGATAAAGGCACAACCAAGGAGAACGGGCCGAAGAAAGAGGTTCCCCTCCGATGAGATTCAGAGAGTGGGAAGTTCGACCTCGATAGACGATGAGCCTATCCACGAAAGGGAGCATAACTTGGAGTTCGAGACTTGAAAAAGAATGATGATTATGAACTAGAATATGAGCCTGGGGATTTATCCATAGGCTGTACTCATACACAGCGACTAGAGGAAGAGAGCCAACCCCCCATTGTCTTTTCCGTCCCATAGTGAAACCTCAGGTGCTGTTTTCCCGTCCATTCTGGCCATGCAGCTTCACCACGCCGGGGAAGAAGCCTCTAACCGCATTGCTCAACCACACCACTTCCCCCTCCGCGACCTCGTGGACCGGCACGATCCCCTCGTCGCACCAGCCCGCCTCGAGCGCGTAGAGTCGGGTCACGGACCGCAAGCCCCCGCAGTCGGAGCGCGGAGTCAGCCACGCGCCACCGCGCAGGAAATACACCGCCGAGAGGGACGCCTCGGTGACCTGTCCCGCGGCGTTGGAGAGGAGGACTTCCCTGGCCGTGGGCGGCGTGGTCGGGAGGAGCGGCGGCGACCCCGCGCGCGCGCGGGCATCGTCATAGGGCGCGCGATGGGTGGTCTTGTGCCGCGTGAACAGCGACGTCCGGGTGGGTTGGGCGTCGACCGTGACGTGGCATGGGGGTGTGGCTGCCCCTCGCTGTTCTCCTTCTCCCGGCACGGTCGCCGCGAAGGGGCACGACGTGTACATGTCGACGGCGCGAGTGAGCGTCGAAAGAGGTCGGTCCGCGCCCATCACCGTGCATTCCACGGCCAGCTGCCCGTCGCGGGACATCAGGACGCGGACGCGGAGGTCTCGTAGGAACCCTCTCCCAGGGCCCGGGGAAGAGCCACCTTGGGATGTGGCGACGGCGGCATCCTCGACGAAGCGTTCCAGATTGAAGGGTTCGGTCTGTGGTGAGAGCCGCTCTTCATCTTCTGGCTCGCTCGCTTGAGCGCCGGTGGCAGGAACCGAGAGCCTCTTCACGACATCCACCCAGCCGAACGCTTCGGCCGCCTCGCGCAGTCGCCGCGTATGCAGGGCGAAGAGCTTCTTGCTGAGGTCTTTCCACCGCCCTATTCCAGCGTCTGTCGCCGAGTCTGACTCCGCGTCTTCGGCGTTGAACAGCGTGTGTTTTAGCGTAGTGACGATGCGAAAGTCCGGGGCGTCGCTGGTTGAATTGGCGTCGCCTTGGTTCACACGGACAGACATATTCCAGGAGTTTGTCGGGGCGGTATCAAGGAATCTCTTGCTCCATTATTTGCCTTGCTAAGGACTCGGAGCTTTAGACTCTAGTTGCCTATAAATTTTACTAGCCACTAGCATAGTGGCAAAGCTTGTTATTTGGGGCCCGGGCCGAGGCGAGGAAGCAACTCGGTTTCGGGGGCTAAGAATGGCCTGAGATAGAATGGAATATAGCTTAGAAGAACGGCTAGCAGGCCTTGCGAGCCAATCAACAAGACAGGCTTCCACGCATTTTTCTGCCTTGTCTGACGGTATATGCCGCTTTTCTTGCCATTGCGATCCCGTTGACGATTCCAACGATGAAATTCGATTGTTCCGCCTCCTGTGATAAACATGAATCCTTTACCTGAACTCGACTACGTCATCGACGGCCAGCACAATGACGGCCAGACACCACTGTCGCGAGCTGCAGAGGCTGGCGACGAAAACGTAGTGGACACACTCCTGGCGGACAAGGTCGTGGATATCAACATCCGCGACCACAAAGGACGCACACCCTTGTTGCTCGCAGCAGAAGGGGGCCACAGCAAAGTTGTTGCCCAGCTTCTGGGCAGAGGCGCGAATCCCAACCTTGAGGACCTTTCTGGGTCGACGCCTTTGTGGGAAGCCACCAACAACGGCCACACGACTGTCGTGCGTCAGCTGATTGACTGTGACCGTATGTTCAACTGGAACGCGATAAAAGCAACGTATCGAATCTCCCATGGGTCGACGGCTCTCTCTATTGCTCTGGATGGCCTACATCACAATGCGGATTTGACCAAGAGACTTCATGAAGTGGCTGTGATGTTATCGCAGGTGGATGGCGTCGATCCTTTTGTCCCGCATGAGCGTGGTAATGCTTTGGAACTGGCTGCACAATACAAAAACGAAGACGCAGCCTTGATATTGCTAGACAAGTTTGGAACCGGCCAACAAGGTGGCGACCTGCTCGTCACTGCCGTCAAGTCCGGGAGCACGCGGTTGGTGGAGGCGCTACTCACGGACCACGGCGTTGACCCCAACGATCCGGGCAAGTACGGATACCGGCCGCTGACGATGGCAATACAAAGCGACCAGGCAGCCACTGCACGCTTGTTGCTCGCCCACGAGAGAATCCAACCGTGCATGGATGATATACTGACCTACATCAACTTCCACCAAACCTCTGAACTTGTGCGGCTGCTGGTGGCCGACGGCAGATTCAACATGCATTATGTGAATGACCAGGGGCAGACGCTTCTATCAACGGCAGTTGAATACGGACAAACGGCCTATGTCGAAGAGCTGTTGCGGGACGACAAAATCGACCCCGACTGCCCGGACAACGAGGGGAGAACGCCACTCTCCCATGCCGCGAATGGGCCTTGGAACGCGACCACAGCTAGGCAGCTGCTCAGCACAGGTCGAGTCGACCCGAATTCGGTGGATAAGAACGGAATGACGCCACTGTGCCACGCCACCTTGAATGGACAACATGATGTGGTTGAGGTCATCTTAGAACATCCTGATACAGATCCGAACGGCAACGGGAAACACGTACCGCTCATACTGGCCTTTGATTACTTCGAAGAGGAGACAATAAATTTGCTTCTCGCGCATCCTAGAATAGATCCCAACCGGGTAGACGCGCGTGGACAGACCGCACTGGCAGCTGCAGTTAGAGGGTCTCACACAGACATGGTGGAAAGACTTCTGGCCGTCCCGGGCGCCAATCCAGGTCATCAGGATGCGGCAGGCGTAACCCTGTACCATGAGGCGGCTCGAATAAAGTCACATCCCCTTGAGGGGTATAAAGAAGCAGCGCATATTATGAAGCTTTTGCTCGGGGCGACGAACCGGGGCGATCCCGACATGGAAGACGCCAAGGGGCGGACGCCATTGTCGGTGGCAGCGGAGTACGGAAATGCGCACGTCGTAAACATGCTTCTCGCTGTGGACGGAGTCAGAGCTGACACGAAGGATGCGACCGGACGCAGGCCTCTATCTTGGGCGATCGCATCCAAGGTGGGTGGATCGGACATCATCAACATGCGACTCGATGCGGTGCGGCATCTTTTGAGCAGGAAGGAAGTCTACCCCAATGCACGAGATGCCGATGGCATGACGCCCCTGATGCACGCGGTTCTCCGACACGGCTGCAGCGGCAGCATGGTGCAGCTGCTCATCGCGCGGGACGATCTCGACGTCCACCAGACGGACCGGAACGGTTGCATGGCCATGACCGTCGCCAAAGCATATGGCGACACAATGAGCATGACGCTGCTCCGTTCACGGGGTGCCATAGACGACGGCAAGACCGCATTTGGTGTTTTGGTTGGCAAGGAGGCCACGGAAGACACCAATGTCACACGAAAGTCGCGCGACGTCTACAACATGGACCACCACAGATTTATGGATTGGGATGACTATCGGCACGGGAAGGACAGCCTACTGCCTCTTGGCAAACAAGACGCGTACGGGGATGTCGATGACGGCGACGCAGACCTGTGCCCCCGATGCGCGACTCTGGACCTCGACAGCCTCTTCTCCCAAGCAGGAAGCAGTGTCGATCTCGGCCGCGTGGACGCAAGCTGGGAGTCCCGCCGCTGTGGCATGTGCCGGTTAATCGCCGTCGCCCGTCCGGGTCATCGAGATGGCCGGACAGACGACGACAGCCTGTCGTGCGTGCTGAAGGCCTTTGGGACGACGTGGTTCGGCACGCCTGACTCCAACTGGAGCGAGAACTGGATCGACACTAAGGTCCTGGCTGTATTGCACCAAGAGGACAGCGAACATTATGCCGACAGTGGATTTGACCAGGATATTCCCTATTGGAACGAGTCTCGCCCGCACATTTTCGAGGCCACCACTATCGGCCGCCTAGGGTCCAACTGTCCCTACGGCAGCCAGGCCTTAACCATTTCGCCGCAGGCCGCCCGCCCCTTTGTCGACCTAGATCTGGCCAAGAACTGGATCGCCCACTGCCGGAAGCATCACACCTCGGAGCCATGCACTCGGCACCAGCTCCACGCGATCCCCCATTTCCGCCTTGTCGAGTGTACCACGGGGAAGATTATGACGCTGGGGCAGGGAGGGGAGGCATCACCATCATCAGTTCCGCCGTACGTAGCGCTAAGTTACGTGTGGGGACAGGGCAACCAAGGAGACCAGAATGTCGGAACGCAGCAATTAGTACTGGACGCCCTGCCGGCTGTGATCCACGACGCCATCAACACGACGCTCGCGCTGGGCTACGACCACCTCTGGGTGGACCAGTACTGCGTCGTTCAACAGGGAGATGCTGCCGTGAAGCGAGTACAGCTGCGGGCCATGGATCTAGTCTACGCCAACGCCGAGGTGACACTCGTGGCGGCGGCCGGAAAGGATGTCACAGCCGGTTTGCCCGGTGTCCCGGGACGGCCCCGGACAGGGTGGCCTTGCGTCCGCGTCCACGGCCATGCGCTCACTGTGATCCCGCCGCATCCAGCGCACCATGTTCGGTCGTCGTCGACATGGTGGACGCGCGGCTGGACCTATCAGGAGGGCCTGATGGCCCGCCGGCGACTCTTCTTCTCCGACTGCGAGATGTCGTTTGAATGCGGCATGGACTACACCCGCCGTGAGGCCGTCCATCAACCACTCCACACCAACTACGACTCCTCGACGCACCTACAGCCACGGATGTTTAGGCCCGGCTGGCGCCTGTTCTACATCCTGCAAGAATACACGGCCCGCCGCCTGACGTGCTCGGCGGACGCGCTCAACGCCATGCTTGGTATCTTTCGTGCCTACGCCCAGCGCAAAGAAGGCGGCCTCCATCACCTCTGCGGCGTGCCGGTCGTGCCTGTGGGGGAGAAGGCGGACGGCAGTGATAGCGACAGCGATGGCTACGGCGACCTTGGCGTCAAGTGTGTCGCTGCCGGTGCCCGCAAAGATGGCAAAGACGATCATGAAAGTGACCCGTCCCGCTGGGACAGCCACCCGCTCGACACGGTCTCTATTGCCACCATCATAGTAATGAGGGATCACGAGGCCTGGGACTTGTGGAAGGACGTGCAGCAGGCCGCGAACCGCAGAGTGGGCACCCTTACCGGCCTGGTCCACGGCCTTTTCTGGCGGCTGAAAAAGCAGGCGTGCCGGCGCCCGGAATTCCCCAGCTGGTCGTGGACTGGCTGGACCGGCACTGTCCAACCGAGAAGGGATCGCCATTCGCACGATTCCAGGCGTCTCGAACGCATCTGGATCGTTCCAGACGACGTCAGCATATCCGTAGTCATCCCAGCACAGGCCCAAAGTGGCACGGCGGCGGTTACGGTTTCTTGGACTGACTTTTACGACGGTTTGGTGGCCGGGACAGACGAAAAGTATCTACTGCAGCATTACGTCCTCGCCATCACGGCACCTGAGGTGTCGATCCGGATCCGCGAGAGAATCACGACACACGACTACACGTACTACCCGAACCCGTTCGCCTTTATCGGCACTGTGGCGTTTGGTAACAGCATATGGGAGGGCGGCTTTTTCCCCACGCGGGAAGATGCGTATCCCCCGGAGAACGAGCCCGACATAACTCCTGGATTCCGGAAGCGGCTCCTGTCCCAGCCGTGGCTGGGCCTCATGCTACGTCTTGCCCCCCGTCAAGACCAGAGGATGGAGTCTACTGTGCTCGTCGTGGAGGAGGTGCAGCCGACAGACCAGGCGGAGCGGCGCTGGGAGCGCATTGGCGTCCTAATGCTGTGTTGCACACTTGCGGGCCACACGCTTGAGCGCCGCACAATATATCTTTCTTGAAGGTAATCCCCATTTCTTGATGCTGCATTGACTAGCGTCCGCTTGTACTTGTTTGGCATCATGATGTCGACCCCCTTCTCTAGTAGCAGCATCGCCAGGGCTTCGCACCCGGTGATTGGGCCTTACAGCAAAGGTGTATGGCTGTGGACGTGGCTTTCAATGCCCCTTTCCTCCTGACAACGGTGTGTGGCCATAATGCGAGTCCTCTATCTCTTTCAAGCCGCCTAAGAATTTCCCCGCGTCGAGCCGAGTCTTGATCATTATCTCAACCCAGTTTTCGGGGTCCTGAGCTGTGTCATGGTCATCCAGGTGTCGGTGCATTTTTAACTTTCATCCCGACTGCATGGTCTTGCTGTAGTCTTGCTTCACGAGGCTCTGCGTGAGTAAATCCACCTCTTCAATAGCTTTGTCTATGTCAGATGATGATTTCTTCTCCTTCCTCAACTTCCTCAAGTTTGCTTGCATCATGGCTAGACGTTCCTTCATCAGAAATATATCGTCAAGTTCGCTAGTCAGGACTGAATTGAGGAGAGGCTGGATACCGGCGAAATCGAATTCGTCAGTGTTCAAGGCAAAAGTAAGCCTGAGCACGTCGCTGAGAAGGGTTTTGCCTCCACCCGTTGGAAAGGGAGAACACGCACGATCGGAAGGACTTGCAGCGCCGATAGAATAAACGGCCACCTTCGTAATATTAGGGCCGAAACGGGCTACTATAGATATAATTAGGTAAAGTTACTACGAGGCTAGATATATATAACATTAGCGCCTATAGGACTAGAGCCTAAATAGGAGCCTCACCGGTACATAAGGGAGGAGAAGGGAGTAGAAGGGCAGTGCAAAAGAGAGGAAGGGAGGAGAAGAGAGCGGACGAGGGAGCAGATCGACTAAATAATCGTTAGCGGGAGAGTAAGGCGATAGGTGGATAAGTCAGCTGAATGAGTGCGAAGGACGACAGTTTGGGGTATATATATCGAAGAAGATCTAGACTATTCGCTCTAGCGTGAAATTCCTCGCATACATACGTCGGTGAATGGATTTCAACAAAGCCTACGCTGGTTGTATATGAGTACGCATTTCATCCAACCTCAACTCCAGCGGGAAAGGCTTGGGACGGCGAAGCGGAATCAGGCTCTAGTCGAAGACGTGGACGGTCATGCGAAAGCCAATGGAAGTGAACAAGGTGCATCGTACAAGAAGAGACAATACAGATCCGAGTACCTAGGTGGCATAATCATAAGGCGGTCGTCCTGTTCGATCCTACAGACACGCTGTACAAGCGTTCCACCCTCGGAGGTCTCATAGCACTATTGAGGATTTGATATCTTTCGACAGTTGGGATCTTCGTGAGCCCTCTTCTGCTCTTGCTTCCAAATTTCAATCTGAAGAATGAGCGTCGACGCCCGCCAGGCTCGGCATGTCCAGGTCTCAGAGCTTGCGTTCTTCGACACGCACCCACAGTCCACTTTGGAGGAAAATGCCGTAATTCACGTCATTGTCGAGCGGGTGCATGGGATTGAGGAGTTCGAAATCAAAGCGCCTCATCAGCTCGAACAGGACCTTGTGCAACTCGATGCGTGCGATCCTTTCGCCCAGGCATCGGAACGACCCGTAGCCAAAGACCAGGTCGTGGGCTTTTTCCATCCTCGCGCGTCGCTCGGGACTCGCTTCCAGCCATCTCTCGGGCCGAAAGACATCGGCGTCTTCTCCGTACGCATCGTAGTTCAGGCGATGGAGCTTCCAGGTGCAGACGGTGATGACCGTCCCTGGTGGGATGTACATTCCGTCGTGGGTGTCGCCTTGTGGAGGCACGATTCGGGGGCCATGTCCTGAAGCAGCGGGGTGGTAACGAAGCGCTTCTTGGATGACTGCCATAAGATAAGGTAATTGTAATGCCCGTTCGTTCGTGATGATCTCGTCCTCAGGTACTTTTGCGGCATCACACTCACGCTGGAGCTCTCGATAGATGCGTGGATTGGAGATGATGTAGATCAGGGCGATGCGAAGGATGGTGGCCGTCGTATCGGATCCCGCCAGAATCTGCAGCATGGATTCGTCTTCAATTTCCCCCTGTGATAGACCGTGCTTGACGAAGCTGAGGACCATGTCCTGCCTGCCTTCTTCTTTCGCCCCAGAAAGTCGTCGAGATATCTTCTCTCTCACAACCGCCTTCAACTTGCCCATTCCGATGCGATCTTTCACAGACGGTGCGAGAACCCGCTGAACCGAAGGGATACGCATTAGCCTGCTGAGGATGGGGACCGCTGACATGAATGTCATGGCTGGGAAATTTGCTGTCATGGTTTGGATGTATTCGTAGAGATCTTCGTCCTTGTCTAGAAACCCCAAGGGCTCCCCGAGAGACAATGTCGAAATAATGTCGAGAGTGAGATACTGCATCATTCTGGCAAGATCCACCCGCTGAGAATTGGAGCCAGGGGCGATATATTTGTCCTTCCACAGCTTAAACAAACTCCACAGAGCACGATCCATGTCTGATTCGAGGTGCGCATTCTCCTTGCCGGAATAGCCAGCGGTCACTCTTTTCCTCATGTAAGAGAGAGCCTCGGGTTCGGTGGTGCTGAGAACATTCTCCCGGTCGGCATCAAAGCGAAATGCCTTGTAGTAGTCCGACTTGACATAACCCGAACGTATCGAGTTGATTTTCTTGAAGAGCTCCTCGTCGCATGTGACAAGCGTGTTTGGACCTATGCGTGCCGTACTGCCATACTTGCTGCATACCTCGGCAAGAGCTATATGTGCTTTGCCGCTGAGTGAGGCGCGTATGTACCAGAAATTCGACCATGCTGCAGACCAAGGCCCATTGAACCTCCTAAGCCGCAGATAAGAACGGATTGAGCTGTATGCGTAGTAAATGACCAGGAACGAGAGGAATCCAGATAGCCAGATGGGCAACGCCATCTGCATGGGTTGGAATAAGGCAGAATCGGGATAGAGTGGATAGCTAGTAGAGTTCAACAAACGACGTCGATGATAAAGAGCATCACTGGGGGGGAATCGACCCCTCAACGAGAGGATGCACTAAATACGGTGACCTCGGTGCCTCGCTAATTTAAATGACGCTTTATAGTGACCATGACAGTTGATATTTCCGTTGACGATTAATATACCCAGTGCTAGCTGCCTAAGACTGCCTGGGGATGTGACCGCACCGGCACCCACTTGACACTTATGTACGCAGGACAACCACCGACGGGCACGATAGCGGCCACACTCACCAAGAAGACCGGGACAAGGAATCAAAAGAACATTGTTGTCAGTCTTTTGAATTGAACAAGTCCATCGTTCGATCAATAGCGCGGTTGCTAATGCATCGGGTGCACACTCCCGACACCCCGTAGAGGCCCCGTGTCTCTTCAGGCCTTGGCCCTTGGCCTGCGCTAGCCTGCGGTAACGAGCACTTGAGCGTCTGCAAAGGTCTGCCCAAGCAGATTAGGTCATGTGTTCATAGGTCCGAGCTTCTGAGCTGACTGAACTGACGACTATCTCGTGCCTCGTCTCGAGTAGGGACACCAAGATATTATCATCACGGCCACATCTGTACTACCACTGACTGCTCTACAAGTAGTGGCTCCTCACAACCAAGCTCGCAGGGTACGTTGACCCCAGTCCTCTTAGCGTAGGTGTCAGGCCACAGTCCTCACGGCGCAGATCATCCGCAACGGCCGAAAACTTGAATTAGACTACCCGTTGTTCTACCACACAAGGATCGCAAACCCACCCCATCCTCCCTCCAGCTGCCATTCGCGATGGCCGATGAGCAGATTGGTCCAGATAATGACCATGTGGAGATGGTAGGTTACCGATGAATATTATGCGAGGATGCTGACTTCCTCGGGAGGACGAGCGGGACGATGACTCTGCTCTCGGGGACGACATGTCAACCTTGACTCAGTCCGTCCGCTCGTCGATCTATGAAGGGCGGTACGAGAATGGCCGCCGGTATCATGTCTACAAGGACGGCAAATACTTTATGCCGGAAGACGAGATCGAGCAGGAGCGAATGGACATGCAACACCACGCCATCATCACCACGCTGGGACGACATTTCTTCTCGCCGGTAGAGAACCCGGCCAGAATTCTCGATCTGGGCTGTGGGACGGGCATATGGGCCATCCAGGTAGCCGACGACCATCCCGACGCCGAAGTTTTCGGTGTCGATCTCAGTCCGATGCAGCCCAGCTGGACCCCTCCGAACGTCAAGTTCGAAATCGACGACGTCGAAGACGCCTGGACCTGGCCCGAGAATCATTTTTCTCTGGTGTTCTCCCGACTGATGATATCCGGGAGCATCCAGAACCTTGCAAAATATACTCAACAGATCTTTCGGTTGGTCCCCAGAGCCTTTTTGGTCTTTGGGTAACCCCCTTTCTAACATTTGTCATCAGACACCTTTCCCCCGGCGGCTATTTCGAGTCTCAAGAAGTGCAAATTCGACTGGGCAATGATATCAAAGACATCCCCGAGGAAGATCCTCTGCCGCTGTGGTGTAAATATATGAGGGAAAGTATTGGGGAGATGGGCCGGACCCTCGCTCCCGATTTGGATCAGATTGGAGTCGAGATGCGCAACGCGGGCTTTGTGGACGTCGTGGTCCGCCCTTTCAAACTGCCGCTGGGGACGTGGCCCAAAGATAAAAGATTGAAGCAAGGCGGATCGGCTCAGCTGGTGGCCTTGTATCAAGGGTTACAGAGCATCAGTTTGGCCCTTTTCACTAGGTGCCTGGGCTGGTCGCCCGAGGAGGTCGAGGTCTTTCTGGCTCAAGTAAGGAAAGACATGATGGCCAAATCGAGGCAGGGGTTTTACTTCTACAGGTGTGTGACCTCCCTTTTCACCCGCCATCTCAGCCCGGGTTGTTCATGTGTGGCGAAGCAGCACGGCTAAGAACCCATCAGTGCCGTGATATATGGCCAAAAGCCTCCACGAGACGACTAAGGAAAACCCGTGATTGTCGAATCATGCAACAAACCAAAAGAGTCAGATATTACTGCGGGCAATCCAACAAGCTTTGATCAATTTCGGCCTACTTCAACGCGTCGAGACATATCCCGCATGCGTCGTGACGTGGATAGGCGCCTAGACATGATAAGCTTCCTTTCCGAGTGACAACAGGAACACTAATGAATTGTAACCAGAGTCCATGAGGCTGCGGTCCCCGCTGCTCATCGAGAATGGTGCAGCTGTAGACTTTTGAGTTTGTATGGCTGACGATGACGATGACGATGACGAGATCCAAGGTCCTGATGGCCTGGGTCGTCAGAGACACTTGCTGGTGGACACCAGCTATGGCATCTGTCCAGAATCAATTCTAGTGTCATCTGTAGAGCACCACTTCCCGTCCATCCGCTTTGAGTTCTGTGGTACTAGCCTTGCCAGGAAGGCTCTTGTTCACTCCACCCTGCTCCATTTTGACCTATCCTGGTGGCCACATGAGGGTCATTTGGCACCACCATCGGCCGTTTTCGCCTGGACATAAACGAGGCCCACGGCAACAGCCGCGTGTTGACAATGCTGATGGTATTCTGCCTTGAGCCTTCTATCGTAATAGTTGACTAGGTTTGGAGAAAGAAGGTTGGAAACTCGTTGATCCTTGAAGTGCGCGAGGTCTTTTTCCCGCAGCACCGTAAGCAAGTTGCCCCATCCAGATTCGTCCAGGTAGGGAGTCTTCATGGAGACAAGAACCTGACCCTTCTCCTGTAAGGCTCTCATGATCCTGATGTGTTGATGCGTCATACATTGCGATTCAAAATATCAAGAAGTTGTACGTTAAGAACCGGTATCGCTTGATTGCAGGCGCCTGCTTCCGTTCGTCACAGAATCCCGCCGCAAAGAGTTTTTCGTCAGGCATGTAGTCGGCGTGGCAAAGCATGGGCAAGAAAACATAAAGGCCTCGCGGGTTTGGGGTGTTGGCAATGGAAAAGAAGCCCGCACGCCGCAGGGCGGGCTTTCCAGGGATCGCCTCCAGCACCAGCCCACTGATCAGACAATGTTGGGCCTGCTTGATCTCAATCGGCATGGCCCAGAAAACGTCCGCGACCTCGGAGGGGTGGCCATGGGTCCAATCGAACCGGTTCCATTGTCCAACATCCCACGTAACGACCCAGTGGCTACCATTGATCAGATGGCTCGGAGGTCGCTGGTCGGGGGGATTCGCTTTGATTTCTACCTTGACCAACGGGCCGTGGATCTCGACAAACCCTCGACGAACAGAGCCGGTTAGGTCCGCAGTCTTCAAGACCGTCGCCGCATCGACCACGCTGATGAGGATTTCCTCGTCGGTTTTGTTCACGGCCCACCGGACGTGGTACGATATGGACCCGCTCATGGACGCCCACGACCAGATAGGCGTCCCAGAGTTGTTTCTTTTCGACACCGTTGAACTGACCTTCCATAATAATTGATACGGAAGGTCATATTTCCAGAGTCCGGCCAAATAGTCTTCAGGGGGCCCCAGATTCTTCGCCAGACCTGAGATGGCCACGAACTTATCTTCATCTTCTCTAGTCAGATCGCACCCTGAATATTTCTCCACCACCATCTTCCAGATGTGGTACCCTTTAGATTCAGAAGGTGGCGTTTTCATCAGTTCGATTTGGACACAGCTGGGATCAAGGGAGAGCTTTGTCCCGGGCATAGATGGCCGACCATACGGGTATGTTTCGGAAGCTCGAAGCTCACCACACTCCCACTCCACCTGAGTTTCGCCAAAGTGTATGATTCTTGGGGCTAGAACTAACGCTATTCTAGCCTATCTAGGCCTATACCGCTATATACGTATTGTAATGGGAGAGGTTTACTATGGTAGGTAGACGAGTGGCAAGGCTGGGTGATTTGCCTGTACATTGTACAGGAAGATAATCCTGCTTTCTGATTGGTCAGGGCTAGGCACAGGTCCCAGGATGGGGTCCTTCTTCTTTTTGGCCTAGTAAAGGACAGAGTCCTTAGAGAGACAGATTTCCTTTTTCATAGATATTCAATCAATCAACTTGTCTACAAGATGTGAACGTTCCTGTTGCCTGTTACCTGCCGCCGTACGAGTTGATGCCCATGGCTAGAAGCCTCGCCCCAGTCCACTATGTAGCGGTGTGCTATTTTTGTGCCCTCGGTAAAATTGCTCATTTTTTGGATTGTTACTCGCTACTGTACCTTCGTGTCCACGTGTCACTCCGATCACCGTGTAACCTGAGATCTGAAGAAGTAACAAGAACGATGCGCCTAGATTTCCATATCTCACCATCGATTGCGAAAGAGATTGTTTGCAAGAATAAGATATATCTGAGTTAGCGTCATAAACTCGAGTAATTGTCTATAGTACTGCGAGAAAATTCGGGTTCAGCCTGATTCAACAACGTCGTCATGGCCGGCCACGCTCATTCTGAACCATGGGATGTCGGCTTCTTGCCAGTCGACCCCGTCCATAAACTGTACTACGAACAATACGGCCCCCGTGATGGCAAGCCAGGTTTGTGTCTCGACGTTGCGCTTCCACTTGCTGCTGACAATAATGCTTGTTAGTCGTTTTCTTGCACGGCGGTCCAGGAGGGCAAACATCCAAGAGCAATACCGAGTTCTTTGACCCAAAGATCTACCGTGTCGTCCTTTTCGATCAGAGAGGTGCCGGAAATTCTACTCCTCCAGCAGAACTCCAAAACAACACGTCACAGCATCTCGTCGCAGACATTGAAACTCTTCGCCAGCATTTGCAGATCGATGTCTGGCATCTCGTCTTCGGGGGCTCGTGGGGCTCAACACTTGCACTGCTCTATTCGCAGACTCACCCAAACCGGGTCAAATCCCTAGTCATTCGCGGAATCTTCACAGTCACGAAAGCTGAGCTTGAATGGTCGTTCTCGGTCGGTGGACTGGGCTCCAGGCGCATGTTTCCGGATGCTTTCGATGAATTTCTCGATTTTCTTCCCAGCTCAGATCGGAGTGATCCTCTGAGCGGATACTACAAGCTCTTGACATCCGATGATCCCAAGGAAAGGAGTAGGGCTGCAAGAGCATGGAATAAGTCGGAGTTGACGATGTCGCAACTCCAGCCTCAGGAGAACACCTTCCAAAAGCTGGATGATGACCGTTGGTGCCTAGCCCATGCACGAATCGAGGCACATTATTTCAAGCATGGCGCATGGTTGGAAGAGGGGCAACTGATTCAAAAGGACAACATTGATCGCATCAGACACATTCCAAGTGAGTCTACATTCCCTAAATCGAACCGGTTGACCTCTTTAACTGACGGGATATAAGCGACGATTGTCCATGGGCGATACGATGTGGTTTGCCCCCCAAAGGCGGCTTGGGACTTACACAAAGCTTTCCCTGAGGCGAAGATGATCTGGGTGCCTGATGCCGGTCATGCGGCGACAGTGAGAAATCTCCAACACTTCCTTTCACTTTCCGCTGTACTTATGCAATTGTTAGGAGCCTGGTATATTTCAAGAACTCGTTAACGCGTGCGACATCTATGCTCATGAATCATGACCAATTCCAATAATCATTCTTCCCATGAGATGGTTAAGACGGAACCAACGCTGACCAGGGCTTACTTGGCTACTCACATAGGACAGTGGAGAAAGGCACACGAGGTTGCTTGTAATGAACTAGTGCCGCAGCTGAGCCTTAAAACTCCTTTCCGGATCTGTCTGGATATGCACGAGAATTCTGAAAACCACTCTTTCGTCGAAATATTACCATGCGGCAGATTCTCGAAGATGTTCGCCCAACCTGCGAATGGACCTCCCCTCTATCTTTTCCACCTCTCCGTTCTCTCTTCGTGCTCCTGTTCTGCCTTTATCTTTTCAGATACTTCCCGGGCAAAAGCTCTGTAGTCGGCACAACTTGATCCACTGCGGACTAATAGCCTACCACGCACTGTTTCAGTTTGGACATATCGATAAAGGTATTGTTGTCTGCGTCGATGCGTGCTTTAGGCTTCAACGGTTCATTCCATTTTTTTCAAAGCTTCTTCGTTGGGAAGGCCACCTCCGTGATGCAGTCAAAATCCGGATAAGAGGCTGCCGTGCTCGGGTCGTCTTGGAGCTTCATGTAATAAGTAACCGTCTTGTCCCTCGCAGTCAACCGTCGGATGTGGAAAACGAGGTCTCCCACTCGGTGGTTCAAAGAACATATAGTCCTCCCGCAGCAGCGATATCGCAAAGCCATTGGCGCTAGGTAGCGAGAAATTCCCCCTTATCCGACTTCTCTCCAGATTAATTCAGTCGGAAGAGATTCACAGCCATTTCGAACAAAACAGCATTCCCTTGTCCCAACCATGTGCATAGTCAACACAAGAAGCTTATTCTTGCTCACTCCAAACGACGGTTCGTTCCAGGGGTTGTGCTGATCAGAGGTCAAAGGTCCATCATCCATCAAAGCCGGCATCAACCTCGGCTATTTGTCTCTCCAGCTAATGAAACTCCGCATCACGGTATCTTTGCGGCTCTCCGCTAGCAACAACCGTAGTTTGTTCAGTGCATTGATTACTATCAAGTGATCAGGCTAAGAATTTCTCTTCGTCTTCTCGAGTTTCTAGACTTTTTTCAACGTTTGCGACTTTGCAATCTAAATATCCAATCTTTTGATCTCCTTCTGCAATTCGCGAACCTACTGCCCCTGTGTCATTCTCCCGAGGGAGCCCAGTGACCTGCAGAAACGCCGAACCACATACCCAGAAACTCAACTATATATCCCCAATATGCCGTTCAAAACCTGGCTCACTGATAAACTTGGCGTGCGGATCCCGCTCGTGCAAGGAGGCATGATGTGGGTCGGCCGCGCCGAACTGATCAGTGCTGTCGCCAACGCAGGCTGCTTAGGCTTCATCACGGCCCTCACGCAGCCCTCACCGGAAGCCCTACGGCAGGAGATTCGTCGTTGCCGGGCCATGCTGAAGCCCAACGCCGTCCAGTTCGGCGTCAACATTACGTTGCTACCAGCTATGAACAAGCCGGATTACTTGGGGTATGCCAAGGTGGCGGTCGAGGAAGGTGTGCGTGTGATTGAGACCGCGGGAGACCCAACGCCGATCCTGAAGTATGTCAAGGAGAATGGGTGCACAGTGATTCATAAGTGTGTGACGCTGAAGCATGCGTTGCGCGCGGAGAACTTGGGCGTGGACGCCATCTCGATTGACGGTATTGAATGTGCCGGCCACGGCGGCGAATACGACACGACGAGTCTGACGCTCCTGAGTTTGTGTGCCGAGCAGCTGCGAATCCCCTACCTAGCTTCCGGTGGGTTTGCAAATGGACGCCAGGTAGCCGCAGCGCTGGCATTGGGTGCCGCGGGCGTCAACATGGGTACTCGCTGGATGGCCACGGTCGAGGCTCCGATCCACCAGAATGTCAAGGAAGCCATCGTCAACGCTTCCGAGAACGACACAGTCTTGGTACTGCGCAAGCTACGGAACACTAGCCGTCTGCACAAGAACAAGGTCAGTATGGAGGTGCACCAGATCGAGAACTCGAAGCAGGAATTCAAGTTCGACGAGGTTGCGCACCTCATGAGCGGGCAGCGGGGCAAAGGTGTCTACGAGACGGGTGATGTCGACGCCGGTGTCTGGAGCTTGGGTATGTGTGCGGGATTGATCCACGACATTCCGACCTGCGAGGTTTTGGCGAAGAATCTGGAGAGAGATGCCGAGGCCATCTTGGTCAAGACCAACGCGCTGATTCAGGGCAGACCAAGGCTGTGAACAATATACTCAGATATCCCTTTCATGAGAACAGATCTACAATAAACCAAAAAGACAGAAAATGGATCGTGATGAATGGGTAATGCCTCGTCTACAACGCATCTTGCCTCATGAGAACAGTTCGGATTATGTCAACCGCCAGAATATCATCCGAGGATGGTGAGAAACTGCTGGTTCTTCTCTTATCGAACGGTGCCGACACGCAGAAGCAGGACTGGAAGGGTAATACAGTTCTCCACCAGGCAGCTTCTCTCGGGGAACACATTGCCGTTGACATATTGATCAAGTATAACGCAGACATCAATATGCGCAATTTACAGGGAGCAACGCCCATCCACCTAGCATTTGACGAACTAGTTTACGCTCTTCCAGAGGCGATACTTCACGGTAAATTATATAAGGTCATCAACAGCCTTCTGGCCGCCGATGGCGTATCGCGGACGCGGGGAACAAAGGAGAAGGAACAGAGGAGAAGGAACAGAGGAGAAGGAACAGAGGAGAAGGAACAGAGGAGAAGGAACAAAGGAATGCCGCAATGGCAGTGAATGGGCTGCAATAGCTCAATGTGTTGTGGTCTATCTCGTGTGCCGTGTCTGAAGGAGGAAGAAGGAAGAAGCCAGAGACGAAGGATGAGAGGGAGCGAGGAACTAAGTGAACAAATCGTACCAAGCCATGGGAAACCCTCTTCATCGTTTCCACCTGTAATGTAGAAACGGCCTCACGTTGGAGTGCATTTCTGGAACCCTAGAAATAGCCTTGGCCGTTCACCGCTTTACGTAGATATAGCGCGTTTCTGACATTGTACTCGACACCTCAATTTTGCTCAAGTTGTGCAGCCCCGACACACAAGCGTGTACAGAAGAGACGTCGTTCTGCGCAGTCACGTGCTCTAACCGAACAAAACCTGAGATAAAGCAACGCACAAAGTGGGGAGCGACAATCTCACACATCACAAGTGGGATCGAGATTAGCGACACCGCGCCAAACTCCGCTGCGCAGTTCACTTTGATAGCCTCATAACATTTCTGAGACCTTATTGCTTCTCCTATCATTGCTAACATGTCGTTCGATGCGGAGAAGGTGCAGCGTGTCCTCAAGACGGTGCCGTCCCTTTATCGAGGACCCGGTGGTGCTGTCGCTGTCCTCAAAGATGGCAACCTCGTCGGCCAACATGTCTGGGGTTACGCTGACATGGACCGCCGGATCCCCATCACATCTCAGGTCCTCTTCCCAATCTGTTCGATCACGAAACAATTCGTTTCCATATTGCTGCTTGACCTCGCGGAGAAGCCACCGCCATCGATGACTCGTCAGGATTTCCAAGCACAGTTGCTCGCCAGACTCCGTGAAGTCGTACCCCCAGAATTTGTCGATGAAGGGGGGTTGACTGTGGAGAACCTAGTCGACATGTGCTCTGGACTGCGTGACTACTGGGCGCTCTGTACACTCCAAGGCAGTCGGCCGGATACCCCCTACTTGCTCAACGAGCATAATCCGGACATGCTGCGCCGCATCAGGTCTGTGCACTTCCGGCCTGGCTATGAATACTCATACTCCAACACAAACTTCAACGTAATGGAGCGACTCATCGAGCACGTCACGAAAGATTCTCTGGGCAACCTGTTGACTGAAAGGATCTTCGGTCCGGCCAAGATGAAAACAGCGCGGTTGTGTCCTCGCACCGACAGGTTGCCTGCACCCATTGTTGGATACGAGGGGTCGGAGGAGTTCGGATTTTTTCCGGCACCGAACTTCATCGAATGGTCTGCAGACGCTGGCTTGGTGGCTTCACTCGACGATATGATCGCATACGAAAAATACTTTGACCGCAGGTACACGGACCCGCAGGACAGCTACCGAGACGCAATTACTCCGCGCGACTACAGGGACGGCGCCAAGGCAAAATACCGCTACGGACTGCGACATGCTGATCTTGGAAAATACAACACGATGGGCCATGGTGGAGCTCTTCGCGGCTACAAACTCATGCGTCGTTACGTGGCTGGCGAACGCCTGTCTGTTGTTGTCTTGTTCAATCATTCAGCTAATGCGTCAGAAGCCGCCGGATACATTCTGAAGCAGATTCTGGACGTATCCGAACCGCCGCCATTGGCAGTCCAACCCGTTCAACAATGGTTCGGATCATTCCTTGACCCTGAGACTCAACTTTCGATTCGAGTTCTGCCAGGAGACGCGGGCAAGATCAAGATCGACTACGTGAGAGCAGAAGAGACACTGAGACTCGTTGATGCCAACAAGGCTGAATCTCCTGACATCGAGGCTTCGATCGACGGGGACATTCTGCACGTTCGCCGCTTCGACGACAACCGCGTGCTGACTGCGCAACGCCTAAACCAGAATGCAGGCATACTTGACAGATCGCCAGTGCAGGGCACTTATCGATGCAGCGAGACAGAGTCTACTTTCACCTGCGAGGGGGAGGGTGAGATATTGTACGGGTTGTTCGATGGTTGCTTCGGCTGGGGCCCGCCACACCTCATGACCCATCTTGGCGAAGATGTGTGGCTGTTGGCCGACCCACGCGCCATGGACGATCAACCTCCCGGCGATTGGACCATCGTGTTTGTTCGAAATGGGCAAGGAGCCGTAGTCAAAGCCAACGTCGGCTGCTGGCTGGCTCGGAAGCTTGACTTCGTGAAAGTGTAAAAGGCCGTAGAACAGAAATCTCGGAGAGTCACAGTCGGCTCGTGGTCACAATTCGTCATGTTGGGGCCAAAACTGAATAGCGCAATGTCTGCACACACATGGAGGATTAGCGGGCCTTTTATGCAGGGGAGCCTCCTGACGGATTCGTGGCACCGAAACGATTATGGCGCGTTTCACTCTTGCTGCAGACTTATATAGTTAACCATGCTGGCACAGTAGCCGCCCTGCCAGCGCTGCGAGACGTTGAACACCTCCACTGTCGAGCTGCTTTTTCCCTTGAAACCGGCGAAAACCTGACTCTTCCCTGTCCGATGTCGAATCGACCTTGATTCACCAGCTCGTATCCGGTACTGGCAGCCGAGAAGAGCAGGCTCGATCAGCCTGTGCAGCCGCAATTGCCATGACGACCCCCTCTACATGCGCCTCAGTGGCATCTTAGATTGCATCCACGCCAGCTATGTACACAACCGGGGGGCCAACGGACCTTGTGCCTGATTTCAAGTACCCAGCCTCCTTCCTGTCTTGGTTCTATCCCTTGCATGAGTTCATGCACCACATCTTCGCTCTGTATTTCGACACCCCGGGGCCGAAACACTTCCTCTAAGCTTGAAACGATGTTATATAAACCCGTTTGCCCTTACAAGTGATTGGGCAAGTATTTTTCTGCAGAGAACATTGCAAAGCCCCTCCTAGTTCTGAAGCGTCAAGGCCACAAAAAGCCGAGTTCTAATTTTACCTAGGTACAACTATTTGGGACTCGTCTCGACAGTATCAACATCAAGGAGGGATCATGGAGCAAACATTACCTACAGAAGCCGACGTATCAGCGCAGGCTGTCAGAGACGGGTCAAGAATTCCCAGCGAAGAATTGGCTTCGTACTTGCCTTTGAGTGGGATGATGAGAGAACTCAGCCTCGATAAAAGACCAGAACCCTGCACTTTAACGCCTAGCTCGAGGTCTTCTCAACCAACAACGACAATTAAATACCCGCCACCTGACTATTCAGAAGTCGATTCAGCTGCACCAGCGGACAGATTGGTTGAGCATTCGAACGACCACCCGCAAGAGTTACCACTGCCGTCAAGTCCCGCAGACGGCCTTTCCACATCGGGATCTTCACGGCCTTACGTCAAAGAGACTCGAAATGATTTGCTTTCAGCCGATGTGCCAATCATTCAAGCTATGCAAGAAGATATAGTGGTGGCGCCTCTGCACACCGACGTCCCTATTGGGCAGAATGTCGACACATCATCGGCCTCGAATACAACCGTATTTGGCCCGAGGAAACAAGCTGGAAACATCGAGCCAGATCGCGAGTCTGATAATATCTGTCCGTATGATATTAGATCGTGGCGCTTCGGAATACCGATCGCAAATACTGAGACAGGAGCTCCAGATATCTGCTGGTGCAATCAGTGTTTCCAGTCCGATCCTCCTCCCGACAACCGGATTTGCTTCGGTACTAGCGACGGCTACATTGAAGTGTGGACTGACAAACCCAAAGCGGCTATATTCTCGTCGTCCCCATCCCTCTGCTTTTGCAGGACGCTACCTTTCTACGTGGAGGCTGTGACGAAATATGACTTCTACAGAGATGATCCGCAAAAACTCAGAGACAACTCCCCGAAAAGAAAATACCTTCTCAGTTGTCGGAGTTTCTATATATCGAGCACTAAAGACAGCGGATTCAGGAACATTGATTCAGGAAGCGCGCAGATATGTTCACTCTCCTTTACGAAAAGCTCCCTCCAAACCCCACCATCTGGCCACCTGCGCCAGTCGTCCGCGCCAGAGAATAACGTCCATGTATTGGGACAAAATTCCCAATCCGCTAACAGGACGGATCATGCCATACCCGAAATTCGTGGTCCACCTAAGAGTAGTGCGGATGTTACCACTCTCACGCTGGAGTCTAAGCCTGCTCAACTTGATGTTTCTATCAATCCGAAGCCACCGGTTCTGCCAAAGGAAATCTGTTGGTGCGGCGATTTCTGCTGGGTGACAAAAGTGAGGAGAGCACGTACAGATCAGAGCGACAGCAGACTCGAACGTCGATCCGGGACCGAGATTGGACATCGCGTCTTCTTTTCCAGCGCTGGCGGGGAGATCGAAGTATGGACTGACCTACCGAAGCCAAAGAATGCTTTCACCGGGGTTGAAAAGTCCACCTGCAAAATGGCGCCGCGGCACGTATCCAGAGTCGTCAAGGTCGATATGTACACAGACAGACTAACCCAGTCTGCTCCAAAGAGAGAGCACCTCCTCAACTGCCGGGAGCCCTCGAACTGCCCCACTTTGGTTTTCGAAAGGAGTGGTGCTTGGGATGGCCGTGCCACCTTTTTGGTAAACGAGGATACGAGGGGGAAAGAGGATGTCTCAGCCCTTGAAGATTGTGGTTTTCACGAAGAAGGAGGAGGCCGACCGACCACGCATTCCACCAGGAGGGAGGAGAGTCCCAATCTTCTCAGTTCCAGTCTGCTTCAGCCTCCGCAAATTGGTCACCAACGACGGTCCTCGGCTCCGGAAGCACTGGGGAACAAGACGGAACGACCTCCCCGACGTCCAAGGGCGAAGTATTATCGCCTCCCCAATGGGAAAACTGCTATTTTGAGGATGCCTCCAGGAGACATCCCAAGTCCCTACATCTAAAAGATTTACTTTTCTTTTTCCGCTCTTTGCCGGCCAAGCAACCCGCCAATGTCGTTGGTGTCGATGGGACGGCTGCATGAACCTTCTTGAACTCGGCCACATCCACGATCAGTTTTAGCAAGCCATATAAAGGTGCCTATCTGTTAATTGAGAACGAGACGTGAGCGCATTATATCGAAATGGATTGGTGTCTAGCTGTAAGAGATGGAAGGATGCTTAGCTGTAGCGTGGCTTGAAAATTGATCGCCCAGCTTCGTACTGGGCGTGGATGGACTTGGAGGCGATAATTAAAATCTGTAACGGAAAGTGTTGTTGGTGAGGATCATTCTTTGAAAGACTTTAAGTCTAAGGTGTGAAGGGCAAAGCGGATACCGACGTTACGTTCTCGAGATAAATATCGAGCCGCTACTAACGAATGGGACGAGGATGCGAGGGCCTTTTTCCTAGGGTAAGGAATTCCCAACCGCTCATGGCAGACACGTGCAAGTGTGAGATATCGATCTTGGGTACCGACTCGCCACGACTCTTATTCTGAAGACGCCAGCACGAAGTGGTTCGCGACTTTGCCCCAGGTCCTTGTACAAATTGTCCAACAGAAGTACTTTGAATGAGAAAATCTATTCCTGCCTTATCTTCCACGTCTGGTAATTGCTATTCCGGCCTCGGCAAGTGGCATTGGGCTGGCCTCTTCAGGTCTGAAGCCATCATTCCTTGTTCTTTCCTACCCCGACTATCTCCTCCTGTGCAACAATGACATTCTCGTGTACAGTGCGGCCGATCAGATTCCCAGACTTCTTCTTTCAGAAATGTATGAACCCTTTATGACGCCATGATTTGCGTTAGACATGCATGAAATGGTTATTTTTCTCTCTGGATCATGTCATCGGGCATCTATTCGCTTCATCCATAAAAGCCTAATAGCAACAGTGGCCAGCAACAGAAGAGCAGTAATTGATGAATCTTTCAATGTCGATTTATCGGACCTTTCTATGTCCCTCGTGTCCTATTAACGTTAGAATCCATGCAAAGCTATTCTTCGTAGCGCAACTTTACGTAGGGTGGCTGCCCCCGACAGCTGCGGCGTCTTTTGCGCACGCCAAAGCATTTTGCATTTCACCGTGATAGTCCGGCCTTCGCTCAGCTCCCAAGCAATTTCAATTGCATCGATGCTTTCAGAGTGGCTCTCTGGACAGCACAGCCAACAACCCAGAGAGGCCTATGTCACGACTCGGGTTAACTGGCAAGGTGCTCGCGTCCGCGAGCGGAAAATGGACTTTAGAGGAATCAAGATTCGTGGTAGGAATGCTCGGTAGGTTTGACATTCCTAGATGCAACACAGTGCCATCCCTTGCAGACTCTCCGAAACGACTTGGAGCGAAGGACAGGTCTCATCTACTATATGACCAGAATCAACTTCGACTCAGTACCGTCTCTCCACTCGAGGAGCGAGTAACATGTTTCCACTTCGCTCAGAAAATCAGGATTTTCCGTCGCTGTGTAGCCGTCTACCACAATTTTAAGCTTCCCTGTTCTCTTACTCTATCACCGTAATCTCCCTTCTGGCTGATGATAAGAGACTTTTCCATTCTTTCCTCGATTTTCTTAGCTCTGTGTACCCTATACGCCGAAATTTCCTTGCTGAAGACTGTTCCACGACCAGGAACATCCACTTATAGCCGCAGTGCCCAAGGTACACTAGTCTGCAGTTGCCTAAATCAAGTTTCGGCACTTCAAAATCTGGGCCGCTGTAACGATGACTATATGAAGGCCAGAGTAACTCCCTTGTAAGGTCCAGGTCCGACGGCTCCAAGACCCGTGCCTCTAAAGCGATGAATGCTTCTTTGACCTTTCCGAACGGCGATTTCTCTGTCTCGGGTAGCACACCGCTGTCGATCAGCTTAGCGTCGGGGTATTTGCATTCTTCGACGAAAACTGGGTATGGTGCTGTAACCCACGACCAACTGGGTGAACCGAAACGCTTGGTACAATCCACGCCTCCGAAGTTTGAATTTCCGGTGCGTCTAAAGGCGGGTGTAGACCGGTATCAACCCAGATGGTGGATGATTGTTTTCTTCCAAAAGCCAGCGAGATAGACATCGTCCCACATATTGGCGAGTTCGGCAGCTATGCCAGCTATAGCCGGTAGACGGTCGTCGAAGAATGTTAGATCCCTCTGGCTGTACTCGTAGATGACTGTCGTCCATATTTGATTTTGCGTGACTTTTAGGTAGTACTCCCTGCTCTCCTGAGTATTCCTCCTGGCGAAGTTCTTATCCACCAAACCAAATATGGACACAGGCAGGTCACTACAACCGAAGTTGAAGTTTACGTATGTATCGAGCACCGGCTGGAATCCTTCTCCTATACACTTCAGGGTGATCTGAGATGAGTCGAAGATGAGGGCACGGGGCGACAAGAGAAGCTCCTGGAAAGTCCAGGCCCTTTGGAAGACCGGTTCGTCGGAGGAATATATGAAATGCGAATCCTGCATCCTGAGATAAACCGTTCCACAAGTAGAGTCATCGATAAAGATAGGAAGCTGTGTGCTAGGTTCGTTCGGGCTCGCGTTAGAAAGAAATCCATCTGTCACTCGTTCTGCGCTGGCCGCCACAATTGTAAGTGTAGAATTTTTATATATGGATCCCATCTTGGCAATTTGGTCAAGCATATCGCTTCTGTCATCTTGGAGGATACAAAGCGCATCGATCCAAAGATAGCGAATTCCAATCTTTCGGCACACCTGGATGGCATCTGAGATTGTCTTTGGTAACTGACGGGGCAGAGCCACTGAATGATCGCGGAGATTTGAGTTAGTTGTGGCGACATGCTTATCACCGCTTCCCCAACAGTAACTCAGGGAGGCGTATTGTGCTTTCTCGTTCGCGAGAGAATTGCGGAGTCGGGCCGTCGAATTATCCGTTCCAACGTCAAGAACTCTCCGGGGTAGATCAGGGGAACAACTCCGAGGACAAGAAGGATGCTTATTCAGACAGTCGTCGAGCCACCGGCGAATCTTGCTGACCATTATAGGGTGTAGCTCTTTAGACTCTCGCCTTCCAGGGACCAAACCTGATGCCGGGTCGGCTATACCATGATCAGCATCATTCTCAAAGATATTGCGCCTAGTGCCAACTCGCCCTCGAAAGTTACGAGATTGAACCTTGTATGATCCAAGATCCTAGGTACTGGGTCTTCTGGGAACTGCACATCGAAGCTATGCAAGAGGATGTTGTCCCAAGGGTACCTTGAGAGCCTGCTCTCCGCGGAAGACGACCGATGAGTGGCATTGGCGAAAATCCGAATCTCGTCCTGAGTGACCGATCCGTCTTCCTCATGGTCCCAATCTTGAGATTCCGTGACATCCCAAATTGCGCGGCAGAGCGCACAGCCAAAGGCTGCCATTTCTTGGATTCGGTACCAGTTGAAGTGCTTATAGCCGTCGTCGCTAAGAAGCGCAGCAAGTCCCTCCGGCGTCCCTGTCATGGACTTACACTTTGTGCAACAGTGTGGACTTCCGGTCAGGAATTTCAGCCAAAAACTGTCTTCCTTTCGGCTCAGCTGGGTCAGGGCGTCTTCTGTCCCTTCCTGTGCTTCGAGATTGCTCTTATCTCTGTCACTACCATCATCGCCCTTTGGAAGGATGTGGTCAAGGGCGGCAGCATACTCCGACTTCATCACGCCTAAGTGAGTGCGGGCAACTTTTGAATGCCTTGAAGGTTCGTCACAGGCGGCACTGTTGGGGCTACCAATTTCATTGTCACCAATGCTGCAATTGTCACTCTGCGAGACTTGGCGTTTAATGAGGCTGTTGTTAGGAGCCATCAACACCCAAAGGACTGGTAGCTGAGGCCAAGAATCGTGGTAAAAGTAAAAAAGGATTTTTGAGATGAGGAATAATTAGATCCATAAGCGCAGCTTTAGCACTGCCTTCCCCTTGAGACATGTTCATGGCAGGCAGCAGGGGTGTTTCAAAATGGCGCCTCTCGACCATACTAGACCCAAACTGGGAGCCCTTCGTTTGAAAGGGTTCCAGTTATGGGGCCTGCAGGGTTTCAAGGTTTTCCCTCGGCGGTGCTCAGGCGGCTCAAGACGCAGCGAGTAGGTTGGGTAGCGAAGGCCAGGCACATAGGCTGTCAGCTACAGAAGTAAAATATACCTATTCTGCGTGGAACTGTCTGCCCACTGTGTCCTCGTACTGTTTCCCTCACTTGGTGCCCGCCAGAATCGGACGCTGAGCATCTTCCAGGTGAGGGGCGTTTTTGTGTCGACTCAGCATGCTCCTGCTGCTGACGCTATTCTCCTTGCGCTTGATACGGGAGAGAGAGGACAGCACTCTGGATTGGTGAAAGATGTGATCACCTATGAGTTGTAGTTGACAACAATTCTACAGCGTTCTGTTATTTTATTCGTTCCATCCTAACTACGTCTTAGTGTGAAGACAGCCTCGTGTGTAGTTGGTGAGCTAAATCATTGGGCATTTCATCACGCCAGGATGTCTGTGCTGTAGTGGGGTTGAACGGGGCGCCGGTGACACTCACGTGACTGGCCCCAAGACTTGCCAAGAACAGGCGAAGCCGTGTCCGAGCTCTCATGTCGTGAGTACTTCCTTCCTAGAGCTGGCTTCGTGTAAACATGAGACTACTGGATACAAAAACACTTCGACTCGTCGAGTTCTCTCTTCCACCTGCGGAATATGCCATTCTCAGCCACACATGGGGAGAGGAAGAAGTCACACTTCATGACCTCACGGCAGACTCAGCTCGCCGTCTTCGAGGCTGGCAAAAGATCCTGAGATGTTGTAACCTTGCAGCCAGGGACGGCTGGCAATACGTCTGGATTGATACTTGCTGTATTGACAAATCTAGCAGCGCAGAGCTTTCCGAAGCCATCAACTCCATGTTCTCGTGGTACAGAACATCTTCAATCTGCTATGTCTACATGAGTGATGTCAGTTGTACGTCTCAAAGGTTCAACGCCGCAGAATTTCGAGGCAGTCGATGGTTCAGCCGAGGGTGGACTCTACAAGAACTCATAGCTCCCGCGTTCGCGCTGTTCCTCAATTCGGCTTGGCAAGAACTCGGGTCCCGATCTGCTCTGTCGGTCGACGTGGAAATCGCCACGGGCATATCGCGCTCCAATCTTGTCAACTACAAGCACTGCAGTATCGCAACCCGAATGTCCTGGGCGGCGCATCGAGCCACTACGCGCGTGGAAGACCAGGCTTATTGTTTACTGGGACTGTTTGGCATCAACATGGCGCTGCTGTACGGCGAAGGCTCTAATGCGTTTCAAAGGTTACAACTCGAGATTATCCGGAGCTCGGACGACGAATCCATTTTCGCATGGAACAATCATGTCGACAATTTCGGTGCCGAACTTTTTGCCCGGTCCCCCTCCTGGTTCCGCTTCTCGGGCCATATTGAGCCCTATACCGGGGGTGACGACGCTGACAGGTCAGATTTCGTAATGACCAACCGAGGGCTAAATATCAGCGTGAAGCTCTTGGACTACTGTGGGGAAAAATTTGCAAGACCACGATTCGGCGGCATGGGTCCTGATGTGTTTGCGTATTCTTTCGAACCCGCCATCCACGCCCTTTGGCTGCTGAAGTGCAGGTCGACGAAAACAGGGAACCAACTCGGCATTTATCTCCTGAAAGAATTGGATGGCCGGTACCACCGGAATCAGCGGCTAAGCATCGTAGAATTCGGGGGCAGGTTCTGTCGGACCACGGACTGGAAGCTCGGTCCAAGGAAGGATATCTATGTGAGGTCGTCGCCTGCTGACGGGCTGCAACATTTCAACGAGCGACCCGCAACACTGAGGCTTAACTTCGTCTTTCCTCCCACCAAGATTGCTATGGGGAGGGTTGTATTCAGCAAGCTTCGCATCCTTGGCAACGCTCTCAATTTCCCTTTGTATCAAACATATGGCCATCTACTCACGCCGAGAAATTATAAAGTAGTAGAGGAGGATGTCTTTCCATTCGTGGAAGAAGAGCCATGTGAAATGGAGGGACTCGACAACCTGGGCCACCGCCTTGGGCGCATCGCGATCACAGCGATCACGGAGAACGCTGCCACGCTTTACTTTTTTGAAGTCCACTCCGCGACGCACTCAGTCATCTGCGCGATCCTCGTATGTGCCTGGACCAAGTGTCCTGTTGTCGGTCTGTTTCGATACTCGGATAGTGTGGAGTTCCACCTGTTCCTCGAGAACATTGCAGCCTATCCGCGAGATCCCGCTCATCTTACAGAAATAGCGCGGCTGCCACTGGAATCAATGGGTCAAACTGTTGTGGCAGAATGTACGCCACGGAGTTGTGAGAGCTGGAGAACACAGGATACAATAGCCGGGCTCATCAGACTGTCTTTCCAGGATGGTGTCCCGTTCGAAGTCTGATTCGACAGCACCAGAAAAGGCTAGGAGAATATCAAATATCGCCTTTTACCGATCAAAACCTAGGGCCCTGCAACCGCCCACTTTTGAACTGAACCAGTTTATTGGGGACAATCATTCTGATTAGCGAGAATTGGATCTCGAATTAAGCTTTGTCAATGCAAAAATAGCAAAACAGCGGGCTCTAGAGCCTGTTCTGTAAGTGCTTCATGTCCAAATAGTGAGTTGTGATGACTATTTTATGAGTGCTATTGTCACGAACCTGACAAGCACATAAGCTAAAACGACAGAATGCTGACGAACCTCAACACCCCAAAAATAGAAGCAATGAATCCTGCCGCCATGAGAAGGCATATATGGTTTTCTCGCTCAGTGGCCGGTGCATTCCGGCTATGGAGAAGGGGGGAATGAGTGACAGGATCAAGTCAGAAGCGATGTTAAAGGCTAAAAGATATTTATCCCTGCAATCCACAGTGTTTGCGAATGGAGCTCGAGCGAGGCATTTGACGTGTTCTTGGCGATTGTAGTACGATCCGACCATGGATCTTCATTGAAACGTGCAGGAATGGTTCAGCTAGTAAGGACCCTTCAAATCACTTGCTACGAACGTCTCCACGTCGACTGGTCATGCTCCACGTCAACTGGTCATGATTGGATGTTATCTTGTTAAAACGTGTGCCCTCCTTCACAGAACATCCAATCTTCTTGGCAAAGCTCCGCCTTGTGCACATGATGATATACGTAGACATGGTTCACTGTGCCTTGAATCCTCAGTCCCAACCAAGTCATATCTCCAGCATTTCCGTCTGTCTCTAATTTACCGACGGATTTTCAATGGTGGTCGCCACGACGGTCGACGCACAGGCAACAACTATGACCCCACCCCTCAACCGGTGAAGCGTTCATGGGTTGAAGTACAGTACAAAACGACCTGCTTCCGCCGTATACTGGCTGGCCAGCTGACTGCTTTACGAACGAAGACCACTTCCCCTCAAGCTTGGCTGTTACGCAGACTCAGATACCAACCTCCAAAGACCATGGCATGCATGCCAAGAAAACGCCGAACCGGGACAAGACAATTCAGCACGAATTGAACGGAAGCTCATCGACAAGGCGTTGCGAAAGCTGAACCTCGAACACGAAATAGAGCTGAAAGAGCTGAAAGAGCTGAAAGAATCTCATCTCAAATAGCATCCCGTTCTCCCCATTGTCATGTCTTTCTCAGGTTCGACAATTTAGTTCTCAGCCGTACTATACTGATATTCTATCATGAGTCGAAGACAGGTCTTCAGCCCTAGAGCCATTTACCTTTTCCCTTCTTCAACCATCACCGACGGCGTATGTGCTCTACGATGCTACTTGAAGCATTATGGCTACCTTGACCAGGGACACGACGTGTCGAAGGAAACCTTCGACGGCGACTTGGAGACGGGTTTGAAGAAATTCCAAGGTTATTATGGCCTCGAAACCTCGGGCAGGCTTGATGGTCCCACAAAGGCTATGCTCACTCGAGGTCGCTGTGCCGTTCCGGATGTGACCCCTAAATCATCGCTGGAGGCAAACATCGCCGTTCCTTGGGGCACAAAGACACTCACCTACCACCTGGGTACCCCAAGCACCGATCTTCCGGCACAAGACTGCTGGGATGCAGTGCAACGAGCCTTCACAGCCTGGGAAAACGCCGGCGTTGGCTTGAAGTTCACAAAGGTCGACGACGTGACTCTGGCAAATACCGCCGTCAAGTTTGGACCCGCGCAAGATCCCGACCTCAGCATGGTCGGCAACACTCTCGCTCACGCCGACTTCCCTCCCGGAGAATCCATTCTAACCCATCCCCGGGATCAGCTACCTCTTCACTTTGACGACTCTGAACATGTTTGGGTGAACGGAGCCGTGTTCAACGCTTTCGACATCGAGACAGTGGCGTTGCACGAAATCGGGCATTGTCTAGGGCTGTTTCACTCGAATGTAAGAGGTTCGGTGATGTACCCCTTTGTGAGTGATCAGTTCACCTTGAGGAGATTGCAGCAGGATGATATCCTCGGCATCGGGGAGTTGTATGGACCCGGGTGGCGGCCAGTACCGAATGCAGGGACTCAGACCACGTGATGAAAACGCCCGACAGCGTCCAGCAAGGCATCACAGGCCGCGGTTATTTCAGGGTGGCACTGGAGCTGTTTGACATTGCGGCGTCCATGAGATGACAAACGTGCCCAGCAATGTTTTTCAAACTTGAGACTCGCATCGTGGTTTTCGATACCTTATCGATAAGCCTGATACAAATACCTACAAGTAGTATGAATTGGATAGTATCAGTATTTTGGTGATACTCTTGGCATCTCTTTACTAGGAATTAATCTAGACTAGTGTCTCCAAATCTGGACTAGCGTAAAACCTTCCTTTAATTTCCGCCCCCATTTAGTAGCTTCCCGTTCAGTCTCAGCCCCCAAATACTTCTACTAAAGTATTATAATACCTCTAATACTACTAATACTAAGTAATACTAGTATTATAGTGATACCCTTTTGATACCCGTGGTATCGAAAACCACCTTGCTTGAGAGCTTTTTCCATTACGATGCTGCGTTCTTTCCTCAGAAGCCGAGCCCGTTGCATATTGGTGTTGATACTGTACATGAATCTGCTTAGAGGTTCATACTCTGTTAAATATCTCTGTAGGAGTCCTAAAATGGATCCTTCATTGAGGCTCTTGAATGGGCTCCTATTCAAGACCATGCTCCAGGCGTCTCCTCAGCGGTATGTCCTGCCTATATGCCGGCTGGCCTCAAATCGTAAATTTTCCGTGGGCTACTTAGGTGCAGGAGTACAGATCAATTACGCCTAATGTCACGTTTGATATCAATAACCCAACCGACCTCGATGCTCAAGCATTCTCCCTGAGACGTTATGTCACCACCGAGGATAATGGCCAACTTGGCAACTGGGCTGTAGCCTCTTCCGTGAGCGCTCAAGTCGCATCAACTTTAGGGGCTATGTGGCAATACTCGCAGCAAATGAACTTCACTCTTTCCCAACGTGGTCGGCCTTTGATCACTCTCTCTTCTGCGGCAAAAGAAGACTCTCTCATGAGTCCCCTAGTTCAAGTCCAATGCGGTAACTACCATAGGACAACGGTCGACCGGATATCAGACTTAGAGCTACAATTTCCGGGGAATCTGCTGGTGAGGCCGAATCAAGATCGCTTACACTACTGGGAAGACCATTGGACAGCTTCTGTGAGCCCAGCATCGTGGAACTATTCCGAAAACCTGCACCTCAGCTGGATCGATTTGTCAGAGCCAAACGTGAAAGGCGTTGTAGTCAGCAGGAGCCCTGGAGAGGATGAGAAGAGGAACTTAATAGTATGCACGATATATCCACTTTGGGTGCCGGTCACCATGTCGTTGGACCCTCGGTCTGATAACGCTGTTATCCTGAACAGTCCGAGTCCAGAGGCAGCCGTTATGAACACCGCTGTCATTGCTCAAGCGCGGGAGATGCGACTAGAGGAGCCGTTTCTAAGGAACTTGAATCGCAGAATTGTTGCTGACTATACTGGACATGCCTCAGCAGTGCCGACATCTAATCGTAGTGCCAAGCTTTGATAATCCGATAAGATCAAGAGCTCGTTGAGGATAAGAAGCCAGATGCGGATGAGGGAGCCAGATTGGGGTAACCTTTAAGAATTTCCTAATTATCATATAGATCTCTCCGAAAACACTCGAGGAACAGCGACGCTTCTGATTATTTTTCCCTCTATTTCTGGAGCTTGGCTGAATGTGCTAAGGATTTACTGATTTGCCTACTTTCTCTTCACCAAAGCTGATCCAGTCGGCATGAAGTGCACTGGACCCCTTAACTTGACCTAGCTCGTCCTGTCGCTATTATCATACCGATGTGTATCTATTCAAGTCGAACCAGAATTACATACTGCAGAAATTTGAGGTTTATGCCTCCATTTTCTGAGGGTTTTAATTTTTGCGAATTTAGTATCTATGCTAAGCCGTAAGTGGCGCGTATTGGCCAATTAAAGGGAGCTTAATCTAATGCCCTCAGCAACCGGCTATACTTGCCTCCCGGTCCGCAGTAGTGCAGAGAGGTAGGCGGCCTACAGAACATCTGTATCTACCCTCTAGGTCAAAATCAGCACTTTCAACCTCTTCGCAGATGTCATTTTCGAGTCAGATCTCACTGACGGGACCCCATTTCTTTCAGAGCGATCAGGGTTGCGAGGAGAGGTTTCATGCGCTTACAAGCGCTGTACACTGCCGCTGACCCGCTATTTGGTGGAGATTAGAGTTTCGATAGGACGAAAGTTATTGAGACGGCTACGTGGCGGATCGACATAAATCAGTATAAGTGAAAACCTCGCCGTATGATGCGAAGACTACGGCGATATTTTGTGATGTTTCTCTTCCTGTTTGATGTTGTGTAACTATGCCCGATTAATGTTAGCTCTATACCCAAAGTGAGCGTAGCAGCCCAACGTGAGGCGTAGCGGCCCAAAGTGAGGCTACGCAGCAACTTCGAAGCGAGGTACCATCTCAGCACCAAGTGCTACCAACTGATAGTGAGTGATGTAAGCCTGCCTCATGGTTAAACACTTTCTCTTTTATCTGATTTTCCTTCAATAGTCGGCAAATGTCTCTCGAATTATATCCTCGTTCGACCTAAAGCTACATTCAGGATTTAACCTGACATAGACGATGAGTTCCGTACAGCCTACGGAAAGAGAAGACCGACAAAGCCACGAAAACATTACAGGACTCTTGTCCAAAATTCCTCGACTCTGGAAGCACAAATCTCAAGATAAACAATCCTCTAGAACCCATCGCTCCAGAGGCTCTCACTTTAAACCAACTAAGGAAGACAAAACTCGTAACAAAGAACTTGATAAGGCCGCAAATACCGGAGCAAAGGACGCTGGAGACAAAGCAAAGGACTCTGGAGACAAATCAAACAAGATCCCACACAAAGAAGCAGCTGAAAATAAGATGTAGCAGAAATGGGCTCATCTGCAGGCAGAACACCTAAGCCAACCGAGGCAGCCCAAGAAAGACGCAATTTGTGTCACGAGAGGTTCATCGAAATCGTTCAAGACATCCAGAAATGTCTCAAAGAAGTGCAATGCCCTGAGCCACCAGCGGTATCACCAGAGGCACCACTTCAAGATCACCCAACTATACTAGACTTGCCAGAGCAAGTCGCTGAAGAAAGCAAAAAATCGCTTCTATACACCGATGATGGCTACGGAGAGAGAGGGGACACACATGGGCCTCAAAAAGTAGTCTTCATGAACTTGACGGAACTACAGAGGCTCAATCTCCACGCGTTAAGAAAACAGTTGGCCGACATAGTTCTCGGGATTATTACAGACAACTCTTTAGACGATAAGCAAGCAAAAACGATCCGACCACTAATGTCTGACTATTGTGAGTAGGCCTAAACTTTCCTGAACACATCGCAGCCAGTCCCTGTACTTATTATTTAATAGGTAATGCACTCCGAGACTACGACTACATGAAAGAAAACTATATTGCCGATAGCAGTATGGACCCTTTCTATTTAATTACCGGGAAACGCTGTGACCATGCCATTCTGGGTACTAAGATCCAAGATTCGAAGATTCTTGAATTTCTCAAAGATGAAAAACCTGGTGAGATATGGAGGACGTACCTGGATGGCTTTGACAAATCGCTAATGGGCGGTGGTCGTCCATGGGTAAGAGAGAAAGAAAATCGGACGGCATTCGTTAGGCGTTTCTGGTTCGGACTGGCAGGAGGGTTAGCGCTGATTGCTCCAATGCTTATCATCATTCTTCACGATGATCGAACGACAGCAGTGACAACTGCTTCTGTTGCGACGTTACTTTTTGCGGCAGTAACGGCCAGTTATCACGAACATGATGCGAGTCCCTTAGCTGTCGTTGGAGCAACGGCTGCGTATGCTGCGGTTTTAGTTGTTCTGGTGAGCACAGCGTTATAGGTAATGATTTTCCACTACCACAAGTATTTTCTGCTCTTTTGCGAGCCTTGTGTTCCGTGTCTTTCGACTTTCGCGTCATTCAATGCAGAGGGCTCTTCCTGCCTCTGAAATTACTGAATGGTATTGTTCAGTGCTGGTGTTTAAGGTAAGAATGGAGTGTATTAGAGAGCGTAGATAATAGGAGACATTCCATTTATAAATAAAATGCGAGAAGGAGGAAAGAGAGGGCGTTCGAGGACGGAGGGAAAGACGTCGCGAGCGTGTCGGCCCAAAGCGGACTACGCCCGGGCCGACGGGAGGGTGCCGGAGTCGGACGCCCATCACCACGACTTGCTCCCCCTCCTCAGGGTGCGGTCCAGTATGTATATAGCTGAGCGACCACGAAGAAAGAGGAAGAATAATTTCCATGATGTGAGGCGTCTATCACGGAAGCGATGTAGAATCCATCTTCCGTGATGGCCAGAAGGTCAATAGATAAGTCTGCTGTGGATGTTCCGCCGCCCTGACGGATCGGTCTCCTCCGGGAACTCTATGGCTCAGCCAAATAAATACCGCTTCTCGTCATCGCCCTGCCACACTGCGCAAGAGTTTCGAACCGCGCTCTTCGAGGCAACCAGCCAGCCCGTCACATCACACCATCGCCAGGAGGTTAGGTGGTTGAAGAGTTTTGCTCCGATTCATCTCAAGATTCCGTGGTGGGCCACGTTCCTGGGTGGATCAGGACTTCGTCGTTTCCGAGCGAACCGCGATTCATATCTGGAGGGTTATTCTGTGTTGTGGGCAGACCGCTCCCGCTTTCTTTGAGTATATGTGTCGCAAGGGGTCCCGCAATCGGTCCGTCAATTCTCGCAAGAGCCACCATTGTCGAACGCGAACTTGACTCTCGCTTCCGTAGAGACCGGACTACATACAAGTATGTTTGAGAGACTCAAGACCATCCGAAAGGATAAGGCTTATATATTTGGAAATCGCCGTAGGTCACTCCGCGGCCATGTCTCGGTCTGGGTGCAAGAGAGATATGCGGAAACGAACGCACCCCGTGGATTCGAATGTGGTGGGACTAAAGAAAAAGAGACAGCCCGAGACATCCTCCCCAGGTTTGCGGGCGCAGGACACTCGGCGATGCAGCAGATCGTGAGAGATGAGGGGAGCTTTATCGGTGTGCCTGGCATCATGGGCCGGGGTTCTAGATAGGTGAGTGAGTGTCAATGGTATGCGCGTCCTGGGATTCGAAACCCGGGCGAAAGACACCCGCGCGACGTGACTTCCTCCGGGCCCGGTCAATTGGATGCCTCGTCTGAACGGTGGCCTCGAGAGCTTCTTGTTTCTTGAGGCACCGCGCGAGGAGCTGGCTTCGCGAATCCAACACCACGGGCTGTGTTGCTGGTCTGGGACACTTTTGCTCTTACTCTTGGAAAAGGGTGACTCCTGTTTTCCAGTACTGGGACACAGAGGCCCGAGTTTTACGGACTTGATTATGCCCGTTGAAAGTCGAGATGCGGGAAATAAGTGATCGTTTCAGGATATTGGGAGGCTGTAGGAGCTGGAAGCGTCACGAATCAACGGATTCTGGGAAAACCCAAACTAAGTAGAGGGGGAAGAGAAGCCGTGGTCTTTACAGTCGCCGTCGGAGTCAAACAAATACAGCTTCATACACCGGGGCCGTTTTGTATTTGTCGGGTACCTGAGGCCATCATTCATGTTTAAGACGAGTCTTTCCCCCTTCGTCGTCTTCTCGCACCCGCGTGTACAAAATACATCCTCCCTTGATTCGGCCCTTCAGAGGGTTGACTCTGCCCTGGTCGTCGACGCCGTCGTTGGCCCAGCCCGCGACCTCGGTCAGCCCGCATCGCTGATAGAACCTCTCCTTGTCCGCGGCGGCCATGACGCAGGCGGGGATGCCCTCTTCCCGGGCCCGTTCCAGGCCCCAGGCGACCAGCTCGCGCCCGCTACCGCATTTCCGGGATTCCGGGCGCACGGAGATGCAGTCGAGGGACCATCGCGTCAGTCGGTGAGGGGGCGAGAGGTAGCAGTGAGAAATGAACGGCCAGAGAGTGCTTTGCAGGGTCGTCGGCGTCAGGGGGAATGAGTCGGACGGATCTGCGCGCGCAGCTGCGCGATTGGGGCTCCAGATTGACAGTATTCTATGGAAGGTCGAGATGATGGGTTCGATCAACCTCCCTAACATCATGGGTCAGCACACGTGCCTGAGAATCCTGGAGGATTGAAGGCTCGGTTCGAGGTGATCTTCACGGGCGAGAACGCACACCGCTTTCTCTCGAGAGGGCACGTCGGCAGGGGGGGGTCAGAGGGGGAAACTCAACGTGGATCCCAAAAGCCTCTCAGGCCCCAGACCTTGGCCCATCCGAAACCGACTCGTTGCCACTCTGCCACGCCGACCACGATTTCGCCTCCAGTTCTGGGATCCTTCTCGCAGCTGACCAGGAACACCCGGCTGTAATCCCAGTACCGTTCACGGCATCGTCGTCTCCAATAGTTCAAGTAGTCTTCGGGGTATTGATCGCGGAAGGGGTGTAGGAGCGGACCGACAACCTCTTCATCGTGGAAACCGACGGCCAAGATCTCGGAGATGATTGGAAGGTCAGAAAGCCTTGCTAGACGGAGGACCATCTTTTTCACGGACTGGACAACAAAGACGACTGCTCGGGGGAACTGCGTGGTTGATTGGAGAATTGCCTGTGCTGATAATCTTGGTGCTCAAAGCTAGGCACTCTCTGTAGATACCCTTGATGCGAGAATGCCCGAGGCCCCCAGTGCTGCATTCGAAGAGTCCCTAGCGTAGTGTGGTTTCGGTTGGAGCTCATGCAGAGACTGCCCAGAACGTGGCGCTGATGCTCCAGCGTAAGTCAGCTTTCCGACAGAGCAAGTGCTGAATGGGTACAGCGTACAGACGTCCTGTAAGGAGAATATGGATTTGACCTGAGTCTAGCCCACGGTCAAATCTGCCACTCGATTCGCACAGTGGTGTCCTGGTCGGAGAAACAAATACAATCTTTGCGGCAGGACGATGGAAACTCGGGCCACAGAAAGAGTGAAATTCAGCCCTGCAATGCCTGTAAAGTTTGTCGTACACAGCCTCCTGTCCAAGCCTGACCCTATCCACTCCCCACGCCTGATCTGTCACTGATCAAAAGTACTCTTGCGTGGAAAGACCCCGAAAGTCCACCCACCCGCGGCACGGGGAACGACGACAATGCGTTGAGCTCGCTTAACGGGGCCGGGAAGCCCTGTCCTGGCCTCCAATGGACACGCTAGGTCGATAGAAAGCTGGGGCATCTGCAGCGCCACGACTGACGATGAGTGTCGATCAGCAGGCTTCGGAGCGAGGGACTGTTTCAAGGGCGTTGAGAGATTCAAGCACCTTGTCTGTGTCCCACTTCGATGCTGAGCCTTTCCCGACGGTCTCCTGATTGGGAATTGACGGTAAGATTTTGCTTCGACGCCAGTCGGGGAAATTAACGGAAGCCCCCGAAGGCACGACGAGCCGATCCTAATCCAAGTCTGGCGCTGATAAGCTTTCCGAACGCGATGCTTGGTGCAAGAAGGATTCTCCCTTAGGGCAAAAGCTAGCCCGCCTCATCCCAAAGACCCCGGTCCCCAGATCCCGCTCCCAACCCCCGTAACGTGGTGTATAGAATTTGTCCTGTAGGATCACATGCTCATGCCAGTATGTGTGCAAGCCCAGGTACGCCGTGCATGAGACAAGAGCAAGGACCTGGATCCTGGACGGTACGTGAAAGGTTGGCAACTACAAGTAAACCTGGGGCCGTGGGACGAGGCTAAAGAACTAGCTGCTGGAGCCAGGCGAAGCGGAGCTTCCACCCGTGCTCTGATCGTGCAATATCAGGCCCCTAGTGGCGTAATCCCGAATACTTAAGGTTTCCGCCAGCTCGTGGGCTCAAGCTGTAATTATGCTTGTACCGAATGCTGTGGTCAGTGTTTGGACCTGCTGGAAGCTTCGCTTGAAGATCTTTCATGTCTTGAGAGTAAGATGTTGATTGGAGGAACGAAGTCGCAGCCCCGGAAAAAATTAAGTTTGTTCCTGCCCCCAGGACAAGGAGTATTGAGTGTTGCCGTTGGGAAATGGTTGTTCAGCCTGTATCAACCAGGAACTAATCTCATGTTATAGTAGTTCGAGTGTTCCAAGACCAATGGCGAATGTACAATCAGATTGGTCTCTCAGTTGGACAGTATTCGCAATGTTTCATCGCAGTCCAACCTAGTCCAAGAGAAAGGGAGACACGGTGTTCTGGAGCATGGAGAGAAACTGTGCCACATCTGTGTCTCCTTTTCCTACCGAAGTAGTTGTGTGTTTTGTTTTGGCTCCGCCCGTACCACGTCCCAACTCTTAAGTCAGTCTTGGTGGACGGTCCATGCCACTTCTCTGCGGATAATCATTTCTTGACTGCCCTTGCTGCGGTCAGACTGATTGTCTCGGGAGATAGACGACGCCTCTTCGTTCATATTCGGTGCGCTATTTCGGCTAACGGCTGCAGTGTATTCCACAGGATCTGGTCGGAAGAGCGGTGCGCCTCCTGAATCCGAGGGCTTATCACCATTTCGGGATCTCAGGGTCTTCATGCGGAAAGATGTAGTCGTAGAATGGGGATGTGATATGCCGTATGATCTCGTCGTCGCGGGGTCGAGCGTCATGCCGATCGTTGTATCAAAGTTGAGGAGGAAGCTCTTGAGGTTGGGAATAGTACAGGACAGTAAAGAGTAACAAAGCTCGATTTGTTGGAAAACAATGGGGGCGGCGAGTCGAACTCCAGTGTTTGGTCGCACGGTGAAATTCTTCTGGTCCCAAACATGGACAGCCGCAAAACAGATGATGCTTGTTTTCCTCCAGTAAGCGCGCGAAGGCAGAAATCAAAGATGTTGCTGCTTACCCAAGTCTGAAGGAGAATGCTGCCAGAATTTGTGCTTTTCTGCCTGGCTTCATCTTCAAACTCCAAAGAAGAGCGACAACCATTGCGACCAGAGCTGCCTCGGTTGCAGCATCCAGAATCCCGATTGCTTCCCAGCGGGGAACCTATTGACCAGAAAATAAGCCACGATCTCTAAGAGGGTTTGACAGTTTGAGTGTAGGGCTTACAAGATTTGCGCAGAACCGGCCTTGGTAGCCCATCAATGAGAGTAGTGGGCAGTCGACTGCAATGATCAAGATGGACGCCAGGCCCCATATAGCACAGGCAGCCAGGAATAAGTCGCATATAAGTGAACGCTTTTGCATGTTGATGGAGAATAGGCGTCGGATGAGTAGAGTCACCGATGCTTTGGCCAGACTCAAAGAAATGATAAAGAAAATTTCACCGGCAAGCATTGCCTGCAGGATATGTCAGATATATCTGGAGTTTTGGGTTCGAGGCAATGGATACTCATTCTTACCCTCCCGATGGTTGTCACTTGGGATTCAGTCAGGTGTTTATAGGATCGGCCCAGCCCCTTCGACGTCGAAACCCATATAGCGATGTATTGAGCCAGAGCCATCAACTATTTCTTTTGTCAGTCTTGTGGCACGTAAGGAATAATAGGTCTGTTATACTGTCGCAGCCGCTGCAAGCCAATCATCGGGCCCCCAAGTTCTCCGTTTGATATAACCTCTTAATGCCATGGTTAAAACAGAGTAGATTCCGCAGAGGATTGACACGGTCCAGACGACGCCGCGATAATCGTCGTCCGTAACTGTTGCGAAACGAGGTCCATCGCCAGATATTGAAGTCATATTGATCGGAATTGTACCTTAAGCCGCGAGAAGAGAAGAGAAATCGTGGCAAGTCATAGGGAGAGAAGCCGAGTGAGTTGGACAGTGTCCAAGATATCGACGGCATTTCAACGCAGGTGATCTACTTGTATCTTCCAAACGGAGATTGCGGGCCGCGCTGAATGGCCGCCCACCTAGCCTTACCAGGCAGGATGAGAGGCTTGTCGTGCAGACATGGGTAGGTGTGATGTTTTGTATCCCTGCATTGAATGTGACAGAAGCACGGAGCACTAGACAGAATTTCCAAGTGCTCTTGACTAGACTCATGGTATCGAGGCTGGGCTCTGCCGCTCTGGGAAGGCTCACCAGGTCTCAAAAGAGAACCCAGTGGAGCATTTCCACACCTTAGCCTAGTGAGCATCACTAGCTGTCGGATCCAGCAATCCGTAGACGGCGCCAACCGCGAGTCCGTCTTTAGTTAGCAGGCACATGTTAGCTACAGGTAGTGGGCGTGCTGCGTTGCCACCCCTGGAGACTCGCGTACAATTGGACCTGGTTTAAGCGAAGGGCCTCGAGGATAACAAGACGAACGGCGGGTCGCCGTCTCTCTCTTCTCTCGGCTGTCAATCTTTTTCTTCTTCCAATCTTCAAAGTGCTCGCCTGCTGTTCTCTCGACAGCCTCACGCCAAGTGTCGATTTCCAGGTCCAGAAAAGCATCATGGACAAGTCCTCGAAGACTCACGAGACCCAGGTCTATCCAGACGACATCCCAGATGGCGGGGCTGTCGTTGGCGAGAAGGATGGCACCATGGACGACGTCAAGGATATGCAGCGGATGGGTAAAGAGCAACAATTTAGGGTATGCATGGTCTCCTCTTTCGTGCATACTACATAGTGTGAAGAAGGGCTTTGCTGGAAAAGAGCAAATGCTAATGTCTGTGTCGACAGCGGAACTTTGGGTTTCTCTCGATCATGGGGTTTGCTATGATCCTGATGAGCACGTGGGAAAGCCAACTGGGGTAGGCTCCAATATTCTTTGCCATGAGGGCATGAAATATACGGTTGGCTAACTATATCGACAGTACTGCTGGGTTCGCCTTGGGTAACGGTGGCACTGCCGGTATCGTGTACATGTACATTGCATGTGCCATTGGCATGTCCTTGAACATCGTTTCCATGGCTGAAATGGCCAGTATGGCTCCCACAGCGGGTGGACAATACCAGTATGGGAACCTCTCATCTAATCGACTTTCGGGATGAGGCTGAAATGCTAATTCGTCCAGCTGGGTGTCTGAGTTCGCACCGCGTCGAGCTCAAAAGTTCATTTCTTATTTTATCGGTTGGGTGTGCGTCCTCGGGTGGCAGGCTGGATCGGCTTCCAGTGTTTTCCTGGCCGCCACCGAAATCCAAGGCCTCCTTGTCCTCAATTACGACAGCTATGTCTACAAATATTGGCACGGCACTCTTCTCACCATTGCCATCACTCTGGTTTGTGGATTCTTCAACACTGTCTTGGCCAAAAGACTCCCTCTTGTGGAAGGCCTCGTCTTGTTCTTGCATATCGCCGGGTTTTTTGGTATCCTAGTCCCCCTGTGGGTTCTAGCTCCTCGAACACCGTCAAAGCAGGTCTGGACTGTCTTCGAAGACGCCAATGGCTGGGGAAACATCGGTCTAGCTTGCTTGGTGGGCATGAACAGCCCGGTCCTCTCGCTGCTCGGTGCGGATGCTGCCACCCACATGTCTGAAGAATTGAAGAACGCAAGCAAGATCCTTCCACGAGCCATGGTTTTCACGGCTATCTTCAATGGAGCATTAGGTTTCATCATGGTCATGTAAGTCGGATCTTTGCTTCCTCGATGCTAGGAGCTCCTGCTAACCCCTGTCAACCAGCACCTTCTGCTACACCGTCGGAAATGTCGAGCAAGTTCTGTCCACGCCTACCGGCTACCCTTTCATCCAGGTCTTTTACAATGCTACCCAGTCCAAGGGTGGCGCCACAGCGATGGTGTCTATCATGATTGCTCTCAGCACGTTTGGTGCAATGACGAACATGGCGACCGGCTCCCGACAAATCTTCGCCTTCGCTCGTGATCGAGGGGTGCCTTTCAGCAGTTGGTTTGCTCACGTTCCGGAGGGCTGGGACATTCCTCTCAACGGCGTCATATTTACCGTTGCTGTCTCTTGCCTTCTGTCGCTCATCAACATCGGCTCACAAATCGCATTCAACCAACTCACCTCCCTCGGTCTGTGCGCGCTCCTGTCTTCCTATATCGTGTCCATCAGCTGCATGGCACTCAAACGCATCCGCAGAGAACGGCTCTTGCCATCCAAGTTTTCGCTCGGCCGTTACGGTCTGGCAATCAACCTGCTGTCGGTCGGCTTCCTATTGTTGGCGTTTGTCATGATCTTCTTCCCGCCTGGCCCGAATCCTACCCCACAGACCATGAACTGGGCCGTTCTTGTCTACGGAGGCGTTGTCATCTTTTCTCTCACATACTACGTCTTCCGCGGACGGTTCAGATATGCTGGCCCCGTCGAATACGTCAGAAAGATGGTTTAAGCGGATGCTTCATTCTCTTGTGGAGGAGATGTGCCTGTCTCGGAGAGGCCACGTCGGACACCCACTGGCTTGTACTGGCAGAACAAGGGCCAGCACGGTATGTAGATAACCTACTACAGAACCCAGTGAGGACTAAGACCCTATCCATGACTTTTCTTCCCCTGCTTGAAGTCCTTCTCTCTACCCCTTCAAGTTAGAAAGATAGACAACCATAATAAAAGGTCCCAGTCTCCAGAAACAACGCCCAGCGGCACTCCTCCGACTTCGGTCCGGATATTTATTGTTCACAGCAAGTTTCTCATGTGAGACATTTTTGAAAATATACTTGTCACAAATGGTAGCATCGCAAGCGCCCAAGGGATTCTTGGTGATCACATAAGTCTACATTCGTGTTTTCAACGCGCGTCCTGGAAGCCGTAGACCGCCTTCGACGGCGTAGTAGTATATTGTGATCTGACCACCTGCCCCCGCTGCCGTGGGGATGCTAGAGAGGAGGGCTGCAGAGGTAATAGTGCAATGTCAGGAGATGAGCAATAACTACTTGTAGTCGTTGTTCAAGCAAACTCCACGGCAAAGCCTAAGCGAGCCTCGGCGGTGGGCGCGGGGTGGCCCCGTAACCAGCTCTGGGCCCCTTCGGGAAGTTGGACATCGTTAGGCTCAACCTTCCAGCCTTCTCCGCGTAGCTTAAGTGATATTAATTCAGTTTCCTCTGCGAGACGAGTAACTCTGCCACTGCCTCGACGGATCGTTCTGACTTTTAAGCTGTGCTATACGGGACTTCTTCTAACACTCGAAGCTCATCAGGCTGCGTGAAAGAACAGAGATGGCTCCAGACCTTCGCCATGGCCCACGCCCCGTACCGTCTCTCGGGCACCCAAGATCGGGGGCCTGTATTGCCAGCAGTCGCGTGGCTATCAGCAACGACACGACATCGACCCCGAAAATACAAGAAGCTACTCAGATTCTCTTCTTGATGGGCTATTGGTCTCGCCGGCTTCGGGGCCGTTTCTCTCAAGAAACCAGCTGCTCCCGTGGCCGACGGCTCTTGTCGACCACGTTGCCGCCCCTTTCTCGAAGCTCTAGCAAAGCTTGAAGATGGTCTCGTGGAATAGTAAGGTGGCCTCGCAGAAACCTACGCACAATGCTATACTCGCATCGGCTCTTCCGATATGGGAGGGGGCTCTACGGTGTTCGATATACACTTACGATTGAGGGAGGGAGATTGTGGAGAAAATATAAATGCGAACGCTGACAGGTATGCAACTGATGAGGCTCCGCTAGCACCGACTCGAAGACGGGTTGGACAGTGGCGAACGGGTATATAGTATTAAAACGTCAGTCGTGGGCGGCGTTATGCAGTTGAGGGAGTGACCGTCGGATCTGAATTTGCACTGTTCCGCAAGATCCTCCAAGCAATCTCTTCCTCTTGTGTGTTGATCTCTTCACCCGTCCAGGGCCTCCATTGCTCTTTGAGCTGGTGTCCTACCACCTGGACTCCATCGACGATCGGCCAGCCATGCTGCTTTGCAAGCCGGAGATTGCGTGTCATCAACGGGTGGTAGCACATGTCCAGCATAAGCGCCTGATGCGGCCTGTCCTTCTTTGCGAGAAATTCGAGATACACGGATCTGGCCTGGAGCTCTGCAGGGGTCCTTGGTTCAAAGTCAGGAACGGTGCTCACGATCCAGTGTGGGCACGGCAGTTCCCGGGCTTGCTGTGTGGACTGGACGTGGACAATCTTTGGTCGGTTGGGCATTTTATAATGGTGCACATCTTCGACAAGCTCTTGAACCTCGCCAACGTCACGGTTGACGATGTAGACGTCCTTGCAGCCTAGCTCCATAAGAGCGTATATTGCCGCTCGACTTGCGCCACCTGCCCCGACAACCATTCCCTTGAACCCTCGCCCAGGATCAGTGGCCGGCTCTCCTTGTAAGAGAGCCTTTTTGACTCCAACCCAGTCAGTGTTGGTTCCCTTCAAGGTACCATCGTTGGCCACGGAAACATGGTTGCAAGCACCGAGCTGGTCAACGAGATCGTCAACGTGATCCAGGCATGGAATGATAGTCTTCTTATAGGGCATTGTGACAATACCTCCCGCAAAATTGGGGGCGTGAAATGCATCCGAGACCTCCTGGAGAGTTGAGGCTGCCAGAAATGTCATCGTCCACTCCCGTTTCAAACACTGAGCGATGAAGTCGTGGGTAGCCGGGGCTATTGAGCCGCCGCCCGGGGCGCCAGCTATGAATAGTCGGTTCCTCTGTGTCGAATTGTCTCCCATGGTAATATTATAGTCGCCTGACGAATAAAGACTGTGCTGAAACCCGGGGAATGAAGTTGAATGCGATGTATAATTTCAGTGATAGCAATGAAAGTGATCCCGTACCTGCTACAGAAGGAGTTGAAAGAATTAATATGCTCTTCCCCCTATAGAAATCCGGAGGGTCCGGCATCGAGCGAAGTACTATACGCGTTGGTCTCTTCTGTCCCCGTATTGATTTACGCTGCTAAAGAGATACATGGTGTCAAACAGCGACCCGCCATCAGCCTCCGAGAGTGGTTTGTCAGCCCGTTGTTTGACCCGTGCAAGTCGGAAAAATTCATTGCCGCCAATTGAACGATTTGGTCATTGGAGTCGAGCTTCAGATGCGGAGAGCTCTTTCATCATCGGCTCATGTCCGTGCGAGAAACCTCCAAAGTCGGAGGAGTTGAGATGATGTGGCAATGGCGTATAGACCCTAAGGGCTGGTATAAATGTCGTTAGTGACGTCTCCTTTGCGATGTTTGTTGATTTTCTGGTCAACGGCGGCTGTCAATCGTACAATACGAAATCTCTCAGCATTCAAAGTGGCGTCGGCACAAATGCTTCGACCTGCTATGGCCTCGCCGTAAAAAGGCATCATTAACAGCGACGCTTCCAGAAGAAAAGGATGGCAGAATCTGACGGGCTCTCGAGATAACGACGAGATAGCCACCAGAGCTAATATAGCTGATATTGTCAACAGGGATATGGGTACAACTGCGTATAATAACAGAGTGCATATCTTTACAAACGACTAGTATCTCGGAACAGATAAGTCAGAGTAACCACCAGAGAACCCCCTTCTTATCAGATTGTGCCATTCATTTTGGGCATCGGCTCGCTGGGTTGGGGTATGATGGATGGAGCTGTTCTCGTGGGAGCTGTCGCAGCCAGACCGAGTGTTGCTGTCACGGTATGCGGCCAGGGCTTCGGCATCGTGGAAGAAGACGGTTGCAGCGTTGAAGCATTGACAAGGAGTGGGAGCAGTGTACCCTGTCCCTAAGCTGTACACATCAGCAGGGGAATGAAATGCAATCCTTTGGGGGACAGGAAGACGAAGCCAGACGCGGCGGAGGTCGAGTAACTGCGCTCGATGTGATTGGCTGATTGGATGTGGTTGGAAAAGTTGCATCTCCATCTCCATCTCCATCTCGCATCGCTCAGGGAACTTTCTTGTCTTTCAGTGACGATTGTCAATAACTTCTTCTTCCCTCGACCCTTCGCTCCCAGTCCACCCGTCATCCTTTCCATCTCCATTCTCCTTTGGAGTGTCCAGGGCTGGCTCTCTTAGCTTCCTTTGTCTTCTGTACATTAGATTTCTCTGCTCCCATGTCCGAAACTGCCGCTATCGATGCCACCCGCGCACCTGCGTCCCTTTGGGATCGCGTGTCGAACTGGGTCTCGGAGAATAAGGCTGTCGCATACACTATTGCTGGAACAGTAGTTGTCATCACAAGTGCCGGGGCCATCTACTATTTCTCGAGTCAGAAGACAGGTGCTCCCGCGACACCTACAGAAAAGAGAAAGAGCAAGAAAGAGCGACGGAAAGAAAAGAAAGCTGCCGAGGAGGCACAGAAGTCTGGGATCAGTCTCAAAGATGAGGAGGCTGGTGAGACAGTCCTGCCCAACAACAAATGGGAAACACGGCTGATTCAAGATGCAGGTGCGGCCCCACGAACTGCGACCGTCGAGGCCGAGGATGAATTACCAGAGATCAACGAATCCAATGTTGAAAGCTTTTCGAAAGAGGTAGAGTTGTCTACAACGCTCTCACTGCGCTAAGTTGACCATGATCGTGAGTAGGAGAGAGCAACATTTGCCGGCAAATTAAAGGCCGCCGGTAACAAAGCATATGGATCCAAAGACTACAACAAGGCCATCGAGCTCTATGGCAAAGCAATCCTCTGCAAACCCGATCCCGTCTACTACTCTAACCGAGCCGCTTGCTACAATGCGCTTAGTGATTGGGAGAAAGTGGTGGAAGACTGCACCGCAGCCATTTCGATGGACCCAGAATATGTCAAAGCTCTCAATCGCCGGGCCCACGCGTACGAACACTTGGGCCTATTCTCCGAAGCCTTGCTGGATTACACGGCCAGCTGCATCATCGACGGGTTCAAGAACGAAAACAGTGCGCAGAGTGTAGAGCGATTATTGAAAAAGGTGGCTGAGAAGAAGGGCAAAGCAATCCTCGCAGGCAAGAAAAACAAATTGCCCGGTGCGACCTTTGTCTCAAACTACCTGCAGAGCTTCCGTCCGCGGCCGCCGCCTGCAGGATTAGAGGAGAGCGCCGAGCTCGATGAGAACATCGGCAAGGGCCAGCTTCAGCGTGGCTTGATCGCCATGCAGAAAAAGACGGCAGAAGGCTATGATGAAGCTGCGGCGGCCTTCAAGAAGGCTCTTGAACTCGGAGACCTGGGTGAGCATGAGGCTTTTGCCTACAACATGCGTGCCACATTCTTGTACCTCGAAGGCGACATTGCCAACGCTCTCGAAGACCTCAACAAAGCCATCGAGCTCCAGCCTTCTCTCACTCAACCATACATCAAGCGTGCCAGCATGCAGCTAGAGTTGGGTAACAAGGACCTTGCTGCGGAGGACTTTGAAAAGGCCATGGCACAGAACAAAGACGACCCTGACATCTTCTACCACCGTGCACAGCTGCATTTCATCCTCGGAGAATATGCCGATGCCGCTAAGGACTACCAAAAGTCCATTGACCTAGATAAGGATTTCATCTACTCGCACATCCAACTGGGTGTCACCCAGTACAAGCTCGGCTCAATTGCGTCCTCGATGGCAACATTCCGACGATGTGTGAAGAACTTCGACAAAGTGCCCGATGTGTACAACTACTATGGTGAGCTACTGCTCGATCAGCAGAAGTACCAGGAAGCCATTGAGAGATTCGAGACCGCGATCGATATGGAGCGCCAGACGAAACCCACTGGAGCAATCAATGTACTGCCGCTCATCAACAAAGCGTTGGCACTCTTCCAGTGGAAGCAGGACTTCAAGGCGGCGGAAGAGCTTTGCGAGAAGGCGTTGATCCGTAAGTCACTACGCATGCATACCAAGTGAGTCTGGTTGTTTACTAACATGATTCTTTAGTGGACCCCGAATGCGATATCGCTGTAGCTACGATGGCTCAGCTCCTTCTTCAACAAGGCAAAGTGACGAAAGCACTAGAGTACTTTGAGCGCGCCGCCGAGCTGTCGAGAACAGAAGGGGAAATTGTCAACGCCCTTTCTTACGCCGAGGCCACACGCACGCAATTGGAGGTATCACAGAAGTATCCCCAACTAGCTGCTCGTCTGCAACAAATGGAAGGCGCAGGCCTCGGCGGACCTCAGTTGAGGTAATGATGCCCAATCCACGGCATGGCCGAATTTGCGCATCTGGCCTTGTTTTGGCTTTTTGTTCCTGGAGGATCTCCCTTCTTGTCTTCTTGTTGAATTGGAATGGATACAGGTCTTTTATGCTGATGAGCGATCTTGACGAGAGATTCTTGACCTGTACGGAGTATGTAATACGCATCTCTTCTTCTTGTGGATCTGGGGGCTAGACACCGAGATTCGCGAATACGGCGTTTGATGAGCATGAGGGAACAAAAGGTGTGTAGCAGTGTGTAATAACAAAAGAAATCTCAAATTTGGTTGTTGCTGATAGCTTTGGCTTGTGAATGGTGCGAAGATGGTCTCGCTATTGTTATTCCTGTTCTGTACATGGCGGCAGCCTCTGCGCCCAGTGGCGGCAACAAGGCTGAGCCATGTGGGCGTTGGGAGGACAAGGCTGCTTACCTACAAGTAGGTGCCGTGGTGCCTAGCTACTAGCTAGCTAGCTCCGTGGTTATCACTCGTGGCTACTAGGCTCTAGCTGCCCAGCAAGTGGTGCCTAAAACAGCAACGGCCCCATCTCGTAGGTAGTGAAGCTGGCGCGACCGTTGGTGCCGTCTTATCGATTAGCTGGCAGGCGCCTTGCCCCTCACTTGCAGCCTGCCACGCAGCCGTTGCCCGCAGTTGAGCACCTGCGCCTGACTTGTGAGACCGCGTTCAAGACATTCAAGGCCCCGTCTGCCTCATCTCGCCAGCTGCCATGCCTTTCACCCACCGACTGCTTCACTTCTAGAGAGGGACAGCTTTGACTTCCAACTTTCTGGAGTCCTGTTTGACCAACGACCTCCGACCCTTTATCTTCTCCTCACTTCTACCCGTAGCGCACGACTTCATCCCGAGAGCAGCCTGATCCAACCGATTCCCCTCTATCTTCCTAATTGCCTGCGGTCTGAACCCCATTTGCACCTCATCTCAACTTCTGGGCCATACCTTTCAAGAAAACCACAGTCTCACCGACCTGAAGACCATTCCCCTCCTACTTCGTCTCAGCCAGACTCATATAAGGAGTTAGGCGATCGACTAGCTCTCTGAGTGAACCATGGCTGACCACATTCCTTCTCAATATTGTACGTTCTACAGCCGCCCTCTGTGCCATTTGTACTCACTCACCGCTATCCTTTTCAGTGACCGTCACCCTCGAAGAACTCGATTCCCACGAACCTATCCCCAAGCGAGTCGTCACCCTCGAAGCCCCAGACTGGGAGTTCAGAATTGGCCGTGGCACTGGGGGTCGTATTGAGGAATTGACGCCTGCTGAAGACAATGCATGGTTTGACTCTAGAGTCCTATCCAGACGTCATGCCATATTACGGGCGAATCCGGCGATCAAGGTATTACTTGTAACATGTTTCTATTCGCCTCCAGACTAACAGTTTTCAGTTACTCTACATCCAAGATATTGGCTCAATGCATGGCACTTTCTACGATGGCAGAAGACTGAGTACGAATGAGAGGTGGCCCCTTTGGCCTGAAGACACCGTGACATTGGGCTCTGATGTGATTAGAGGAAGCTGTGAGTACAACAACGAGTCTGAAGCAGCAACAGCTGACACCCGAGCAGCCCACTTCAGTGCTCTGAGGCTAAAGGTCACTTGGGACTGGTGCGACGGAACGTAAGCGAGTTTGACCCTGGTGCCCTGGGAAAGCCTGACTGATTCTTTGTGTTGCAGTTTTCACAAACCGGACGCCAATCAGGCGAACGCAAGAGTGTATCGCAATACCTTCTCAGCCGACTACAGTGACGAGGAAGCATATGGCGATCCTTCTGCCCGCGTCTCGAGCGACCCTGAGGAAGACGAATACGAGCCCTACGAGAAGAGTAATGATTACCATTCGGAGCCTGAGGACGAAGTTCAGGCTATACAAGATTCCGTCCGTGAACCCAGCATGGAAATAATCATTCCTGAGGTGCGAACCTTCAGTGTTCCTGAATCTGACGACGCATCGAATACTCCAAGTCATGATTCTGGCGCAGATGTCTCGGATGAAGACAGCCCAGTTTCCAGCCCGTTGATTCCAAACGATGGACATGAAGACAAAGGTGACGCTCCTGAAGAGCTGTCTCACCTATTCCTGGATACTGGCGTCCATGCTATCCGTCCTGATCACACAGACCCTTCTCAAATCCTTGTTCCCAGCTCGGCCCAGCAAGCAGAGGTTCTTCCAGCCATGGATGAGAACGTCGCTGAAGAAGATTCGTACGGAGATGATGAGCTTGAGAACGAACACTCGGACTCCATCAACTCGCTGCGTATCCCTCCTGTCAAGATTGATGATCCTGAACAATACCTGGCTGCCCGCACGAGTCCTTCGAGCGTGACGGATCATCCGGGACATGCTCGAGCCCCAAGCCCATCCGACGCGGCAATGGTTAAGCCATCGACCGAACACGGACTTCGCGCCACATTGGCCGCTCCTCCGTTTTCGACATTCGACTCTTCTGAGCAACAGCCTTTGTTTGACGACACAACCTCCGCACCAGGTCGCTCGACTTCTGCATGGGCTGGTCATAACTCAGTATTGTACGAACCAGTCGCACAGCAGCTTGTACCGGAACAGTCTTCAACAGTCTACTACCCTTATGCCCGTTATACATCGCTCTATACCGATCCATTCGCATTCAAACCCTTCGCGGCGCCACCGCCTTCACCACTCTCGGTTGCTAGTGTTATCCCGCAACAGCAAGAGGTTAAGGATGTCGACGGGGGAAAGAAACGCAAGGCTGATCAGATCTCTTCAGATGAGCATCTGGATCCAGATACAGTGTCTTCCGACTCCTATTCGCCCAAAGTCGGAGACACACTCACCGCAAGTGCCACAGCCGGGGTCGGCGGTACCAGCAACGTTCTTGGAGATACGTTTCTCAATTCATCAACTTCGGCTTTGGAGGTTGCTGAGATTGCTCCAGCCAATGGTATCGATATGCCGGTACGGAAGAAGGCCAAAAAGAGCAAAGTCAAGGCTCCTGAGCTGCATGGCACTGGCAATAACAGTTTTGTCAAGACGGCTGGAGCAACCATTGCGGGCATGGCCATCGGTGCTGTCGGCATGTTCATTGGGCTTCTGGCACTACCGGAAGACTACTTCATGTGAACGACTTTACAACAATTGCCAACGGAGTTGACGGGATGATCATGGACTGCGAGGGATTGGCTATGGCTTCTAATGGTTCGCAGGTTACAGGGTAACTTCTATCAGTCAGATGCATGGAACTGGTATGGGTGAGATGAGGGTATCAAGTTATTGAAGTTGATCTTTACGGTCCAAGGGATTTCGGTGACGAGAGCAAGGATGAGAGAAACGACGTGCTGTAATGTGTACCGGGCAGGAGGTTTGATGCCATCCGGCGAGAAGTCATACACTGTCCAGAATCGAGCTTCTTACCACAAGCCGCGGACGCTGAAGTTGAAGCTGAAATTGCGGAAATGGTTGTGGGATTGTTCAAGGCTGATCAATGGCATGGAAGCTCCTGGACACAGGCATCGCATCAAGTCAACTTACAGTAGTTGTTCTAGTTCCCCCAATATCTTGAAGCCTTTCATATCCAGGAACATTGCGTTTGGGGGTTTTCGATACGATTCATGTTCACAGCAAGAGAGTCGAATGACAAGGAAACGGCTTCAGTATGTCTCTCAGAGAGAGTGATGATTCGGTATTGAACCCGTCGTCGGGCAATCTTTCTTCATCTATACCCCCCCCTTGGTTGGTGGGTGACGATCCATAGAGCATTCGTGCGGACAGAGAGAGAGAGAGCCCCCCCCCCCCCCTTCAAAGCGTCTAGCGCCAATGTTCCGTGCTCTGTGCTTGATGCTTTGTCCTTCATCCTTCATGCCTCATGTCTCATTTCTCGTGACTCGTGGCCTTCATGCTCGTATCAATGTACAGCCCCAGGCGAGCGTCTCGATGCAATGGTTCCTCCGTCTGATCCCGGTCCCGATCAAGCAACCAGCCCATTCATTCCAGTCCATGCCCGTCCCATTCCGAGTCCCGTCCAATGCCAGTCCCATCCGGTCCAGTCCAGTCCGCTGATTATCCCGTTCCCGCTCTTCTTATGCAACGTGCGCACAAATAGGTCGATCCGTTGATTCGGCGTGAGAGCCCAAGTTTGTCGTCGTCCCCGTTTCGCGTCGCGGATTCTGTGTCCCGTTTCATGGTGCCATTTCGGTTTTTCAATAATGCCCTGATTCCCCATGTCCTGCCCTTAGTCGCTAGAGGCCGCGTTCCTGATTCTAGTATCCCGATCCCCCATTTCCAAGCCCGATCTCAGTCTGGTTGTGACGGTTGTCGCGCCGTAGCGTACGGCAGACGAGGCGAGGGGAGGGTTGACTGATCGAAGGAATAGGATCAGGCGGAACGGGTGGGCCATATGCCGTCTCTCCTTACATACAAAAGCCCGAGATAGGAATCTCCTTCTGCCGTAATAATGGCCCCACGAGGTATTCCAATCGGGTGTGAGTAGTTTGTCCCTCCCATGGTCACTTAGCCAGCGTGTTGCTCAGTCCAAACTCAGCTCGGTCGTGTGTCATGACCATCCACAGAATTTCTCTTCGAGGCAATTCGAGGCAAGAGTGCCTGGCCAACATCGAACATTCCCGCTATTGATCGCCTATAACTTCTGAAGAGAAGTATATGTTCTGAGAGACGATGGCCTCTTGTAACATCGATTCGTAGCCATGCATGCATTGACGTTTTAGCTTCGATTGTTGGTGACGCCTTCGAGCATAGCCAAGCTGCTGCCTTTGACGTTTCGACCTCCTAGCTAGAGGGCTATATGATCCCGTGGCCCGTCACCTTGCCCAGCCTTTCCTTGCTCGGAAGAAATATTGGACTGCGATTCAGGGCCTGGGCGCTGACAACGGTTTGTCTCAGACAAAGCTAAGTCAAGAAAGATGTCCCAATAACGGGGCTTTCCGTCGTGCTCACCCAGTGAGATGGGGGCGAAATTTGTCAGAAGCTGACTATTGTCACCGTTCATGCGCCTCAGCGCTTCAGCATAGTTTCAGTGCGAGGCTGCTGTGAAGCTATTGTGTAGGTGAGAAGGCATTCGTGACTCTCAGAATGGTGCTGAACCAGCTCTCAATGGAGCTTCGCTGTCGTCGGTAATCTTCCTCTTCTCGCCCTTTGTCTTGCTCCCAAGATCATCATTGGCTGCATTGGCCTCATCCGCCGTTTTGGTCTCAAAGTTGACCACATCGAAGCCCTGTCCGTACCACTCATCCCAGTTCCACTCTGCGCTGCGATGATTCTCCTGTCCAAAAGCTCGAATCATGGCTTCGCCCTCTTTTTCTGCCTCGGCTCCTGTCAATAAAGGCTTAGCATCCGCGCGCCGTTTGCTTGTCGCCCCTTGGCCCCAGATTGTGTTGTCAGCCAGATTGATAAATGTTCCAATATGTCTAAATGTGAAGCTGATTCTCTCTCCGTCGAAAGCGAGCTCGGCGGGCGTCTTTTCCGAGATAGGTCGTTTGTCGGCTCGAATGGAATGCAACCACTGCTGATTGGTCTCCTGGCCGAGGACGAAAAGAGAGTTGTGAGGAAGAGGGATTCGTTGAGAAGGTCTGGCACCATCTGATTCTTCATTCGGAACGGCCGGTTTGAGAGCAGACTTCTTTGCCCTTAACATCATGGTTCTCTGTGCTCCCAGGCTTACATTCACAATTCGAGACCCCCGAACAATGTCGAGAGTCTTGTCAGAATGCTCAGAGATGTTGTCCTCGCCGTGGCGATACCACTGAATCAGGACATGGTTCAAAGGGTGGCCGACAACCTTTTCTGCAGCTTTCCGCAGCAGGTTAACCACTGCATCGAAAGGCAATAACTCTGGAGATTCATCCGCTGGATGCCTGTAGATCGGAACCTCCGTCCCTTCCTTAGACATGGATCCCTGGACAGCGACAAGTCGAGGTACCTCGCCGGATCGGTGAAACATCTTCTGCCACTTGATATCGTTTCTACAGGAATAAAAGGCCTGTTCAGCTTCTGTTTGATCGAGGAGGCCTGTATAGAGTTCGCAATCACCCTCTCCTAGAGTATCACCGGGGCCAAGGTTCTTTGGTGTTATCTTCTTCTTCTTCTTTGTTGGAGTTACTCGACCATTTCCTTGTTTGGCCTCGAGGCTTGGATTTTCGGCCTCTGTTGGATCAGCTTCCGACATTTCCTTGTGAGTAGATGGCTCCCCGGTCGAAAGCGTCTGGTGCAGGACTGATGTTGTAGGGGTAGAAGATCTGATTGATGATTCGCGTGAAGGTCGCCGCTTTCGTGTTGATTGCTGTGTCTGCTTGGTTTTCAGTTGCTCAGCATGAGTCGAGGTACGATGGGAAGAAGGCTTATGGGACAATTTCAGGACGCGCTCTTCGTCCAGGGGATCCAGATCACTGGTTGATCTTTTCCGGGGAGGACTGCGCTCAACTGATGTCTGCCTTATAGATCTACGAGATGACTCACTTGGTGTGTTGGAGTCACACCGGATAGCCCCGGTCTGTTCCAGCTCTTTCGACACTGTTCCCTCGGGCTTGGCGGTTGTGGCACGAGCTTCTTCACCTTCGAGGCTGGAAATCCAGTCGTGGATCTGCCTTCTCGAGGTATGCGACCTAGTCGTACGAGCTGGTGGTGGCAGGCTGACCTGGAACCTGGTAGGATAGTCCTCTTCATGGATAACGTCACCAAGAAGGCCAGCAATATCGTCACGCAGCTCCTGGCAATCGATTCCATTTGCGCCCAAGGTATCTGCCATCTGACGCATTGCTTCGATATGACAAGCTTCATCAATGTATCCGAGACAATCCTCGACAAGAGTGACCTGGACACCGTGGCAAACGGCGTCAAGAACGGTTGCGTAGACCCCGACGTTGGAGAGAGAGCCACAGACGTAGAGTTCAGTGATGAGGTGGGATCGGAGATGCATAAGAAGGGATGTGCTTTCAAAAGCTGAGTAGTGGGATTTCAGCATGACCAGGTCTCTTTGTGGATCGATGGCCGCTTTGATGGCTTCCGAATAGTCGGCACCCAATGAGCCGGGCATGCAGCATCTGTGCTTTGTGGTGGTCAAGAGGGGGGCGAGAAAAGCTTCCCGGTCGTGGGTGACATCTGGGTTCGGCGAGGGTGCCAGGGGATCTTCGCGAGGTGAGCGTGTGTGACCTGGGTCGTTGTAGTACTCACTGCTCTCTTCGGCCAAATCCTGTCGCTGAAGATGGTGTTTCAGGATGATAGAGTGAGACCCCGTCACGGAAGAGATAGTCGAGCGAGACTGCCTGTACTCGGTGCCTGCCCATATCACTTGGCCCTTGGCGCGGAATTCGTCTACTAGGCATAGTAAATTGGATAAAAAGGGTTCCACGTTGTTGACGGGAAGGTTTCCGTTCGGTTTCACAAAGTCATTTTGAAAGTCGAGCAAGATCAAGGCTTTTTTGGTTTCGATAGGAGGTCCTCGAGGGACAGAGCCAGGTTCGAATAGCATGATGATTGTGGAAGCTGGTTCATCATGCGAGGGGCCAGGATCGCGATGACATGACAGAGAACACAGGGTCCTTCTTTGGAAAGATGTGCTCCTTCTGGGTTGCGAGCTTCAGTCCTGGAAGTGCAAAAGTACACTCTCGGAAGTCAAGTGCATGCGTCAGATTCGGTTCGGACCGTGATTATGCTGAATGACGGTGTGAGAGTGTAGGGTCTCGCCAAATGGCCTGACCAGTGTAGATAGGATCAAAGGCGAGAAAGGTATACCAGACTGCGGTGACTTGTGTAGAGGTCCAACGCAGAAGATGCAGGTCCAAGTCCCTTGAAGCAGGGAGGGGCTTCCCGGTGCTGGTAGTTGGGAAGTAAAATAGAGCGAATCTGGGAAGGGCGTCGGAAAGCAACGTGATTTTGGGATCTGGATGGTTGACCAATGTTCCTTCTTTCCTCCCTTGTGCCAAAGCCGGAGCGTGGGAGAGCTTGAAGGGTATAAGGATTCGATGAATAACTGGGACCTTGGTGGGATGTTTGATGATGTGGCTTGTGGGGGTAAATGGGGGGACTTTTTGGTTATCTGGAGGGGCAGTGCGAGAAGCAATCAAGTGTGACAAAATCTTTGAGAAACAACAATGGTATCGGCATAGGATGGAGGTGCGAGATGTGGGAGAATGCAGAGAGTCAAAAAGTTTGCTTTTGTTTGCGACTTGGAATTCGAACTGCCTGTATATCCGAAGTTTTTTCTTGGTCGGGGTGGTTTTGGAATGGTGGGTAGGATGATGATTGCTGGCTAAAGCGGGGACTAAGTTAGGGTGACGGCCAGGGCTCGTCCACCGCCAAACCAATTGCAGAGAGCTCGATCATTTCATACAAGAAAAACCGTTATTGGGGGCCGATGAGGTGGTGAGTCAAATAGGATGATATCAAGGAGGCGTCGAGTAAGACCTGCGGGGGATCATCGCCGTCACGGGTATTGGTGGGAGGTTGGGCGGTCGAGCGGCTTGAGTCGGGGGAGCAAATGGTAACCGGGTCCTGGCTCGACGGCGGGAAGGTCTAAACGAACAGACAAGTCAGAGGTTGAGGCAGCAGAGGGCGAGTTTGAGGAGGGACATAAGCGAAGACGTCAAAGGTTGCACGAGGACTGCAGGGCGAGTTGGGAAAGGTGAGTGGGGAATGATGAGAGTGCTGGAAGTTGAGAGGATGAATTGAATGGCAGAGGGAGGGAGTGATGAAGCCATAAGCCATGAGTGAATGACTTGAGTGCAAGAGCAGGGGAGCAAGGGTGAAGCAAAAGACAGGGATGCAAGAAGATGGAGCTGGAGATGGATGGAGAAGCACGGAAAGACCAGGGATCGAGAGAAGAAGCGGAAGCGCAGAAGAGCCAAGCTGAGTTCATGCATGAGCCGGAATGACAATCATGAGCAGCAGGGCAATGTTTTTGTTGATTGTTTTGAGGCAGCATTTGAGGCAGCATGATGCACAGCAAATAACGTGAGGGGGGGGGAGGGTGAGGAACAGGGAAGGAGAAAGAGACAGACGCTGAGAGGGTGATTGGTGCGTAAGATGCAGGTGCCAGGTGCAGCTTGCATGGTGCATGGTGCAGGTGGCAGGTGGCAGTGCGGCGCAGTGTGGTGGCAGCCCAATTTCAATCTTTCACTTTGCTCTCACTTTCACTTCACTTATTTCACTCTCTTCACTCTCGCTCGTACTATGAGCAAAACATCTCAACCTGCATCTCATTCACTCTATGGCTACTGAGGAGGCCATATACAGTCCCTCTCATACATCATACACTTCATGGGGATACCGTTGAGCTCTCTGCAAATCCCAAGTCCTGCTCTCCTTGATGGTCCAGAGGCCAATCCACATGCCATGTCTGTAGATCCCTGGTCCCTCCTCCACACCCACCTGCCTCCAACGCATGTGTGTATGTACCTCGCTAGATCTAGTCCGGAGGTACCTGGACTGTCCTCGTAGCTCCTCTCATAGCCGACATCTCTAGCTACGCCGTATATTATTCTAGTCGTAGGGGTGCTCAGACATGCCCTGCAGTGATTCCCCGATAGCCCCGCCACTGGTCAAGGATTCCTCATTCCCCCCCCCTTGTGCCGCTGCCTCAACCATCCCTGCCCCCGGCATGCTTGCATCAAGCCACCGCACGCCCCCCCAGCACTGCCCATCATCTCTTCCCCTCTCCCACGCGTGTCTTCTAACTCCTTCCAGTTATCCGACCTTTCAAGACAGCCAAAGATGGCCTGGACAGCTATACGGAATGCCCACATCCAAGCTAATCGAGCCGCCTACCTCAGGGTCACTCCATCCGCATTGCTTCATCATGCCGCAAACACTGCATTAGGCACTCCTGTCCCTTCCCCATCTAGTATAAACCTCGATCTGCTGCCCCCTGCTGACTGCTTATTATTCAGCCTGCAGATGGCTGAGACCTGCCTTTCAGACCTGCCTCTCACCTACATTTCCCTGCGATCCCCTTCCCGTTCTTGTTGATCTCTGACTCTCTGTATACTGAGTCGCCTACCCTCCATGCGCGTACCACAGCTCGCCTCATCCCAACCGCTCCCCACTCCCAGTGGAGGTCTTCCTGTTAGCTTGTTCCCCAAATCCTCAGACATCATCTTCTCCAAAAGATTTATGCAATTACCATATGGCCAGACGTACTCGGTGGAAACCTTGAAATAAGAAAATAGCTCCTAGACGAGGATCGCTCTCAGACGTCCAATTTGTGCTTCGGGTTGTGTTTCCCCGCGCTTGCGGTCTCTTTGGTTGTTTTCTATAGACACAGGGACCCACAGTCGGGTGACCCCCGATAACATCCTCGCGGCTTGATATCCCACAAGCTCATCACTCCTGCTCAGATGGAACTGCCACTGGGCACGCGAGCGTGTGCTGCTGGTGCAATTCTCAGGAATACTAAACCCGCGAGATCATCCTGCATCATGTGCCATCTTCCGTCGCCCTGGTCCAAGAAACAGTGTGATCGTCTCCCACTCTTTCGAAATTGGAGAGACCGACCTTTCCTCGTCCCTCCAGGAGGTTGCTTTGAAGAAGAGAGTGTTGGCGCGGGATGCTTTGCTATGAGACGCCGTTTGGAAGCGTCGTTGAGGGCCTTATCAGCGTTGTGATCAGTCGAGGTCGCTGTCCTTGTCATCGTTGACGTCTTCATCCATCCCCATGGCCGCATCCATCAGCTCCTTGACCTTGGCCTTAATCTCCTCCACCTTGTTCTCTTTAACCAGGCAGGTTCTGTCGTCGATTTCCTCCAAGATGTAAGCGTGACCGGACTCTCGGTCGATCTTCCGCACCATGGCCATCTGTGGCGGATCACATTGGAGAAGAGCCCCCTTCTGGGCTTTCGGCATAGTACTTTATGCAGCTACCTGGAGTGGTAACCACTTCGGAGAAAGGCGGTAAGTGGACGAGATATCTGGGTTCAAAGGTGGTGATTCAAATGGTGGATGTCACTGTGATTGTGATTGACATCGACCTCGGACTCTCTCTCAAAACCTGAACCATCAAAAATTTGAAACAAGCGAGGCAAGCCACTACGCAGGTGGTGGTGGTCCAGATGTGTTATGACTCGGCGCTTGCGAGGTCGCTCGTCTGCCAAGAGATTGTGTCATCGCTTGACACCTTGACGTGTCATTTGAAGAGGCTGCACTCGCCCGCTGGGGCATCAAGGGGTCCACGCCTCATTCACTCACTCACTCTCGTTGAGTTGCCTGCCCTCTACATAATTCGACTCATGTCTCGTGGCATATCACTGATCCGAGCCGAATGTTGTCTCCCACGGATCATATCCCTCGCTGGCAAAGATGCGCTCGATCTGTCTCCTCCGAACGCCGACGTTACCACCATCGAAAATCGGCAACACCACTGCATCGTTCAGCAGGTCCCCGAAAGGTTGCTTGGTCGAATATGCAGAAACCCCGACCAGATTAATAGCATCCATGACTGACTCTACAGCGCTTTCCGAACCCAAAATCTTGGCTTCGTAGCACAGCTCGGCTCCATATCGCGTCCGCCCGAAGCAGTGCGCGGCCTTCCAAACTAGAGCTCTCGTAGCCTCACATCGAGTCTTGATCTTGATCAACAAATCCGCTACGCTTTGCTTCTGGATCATCGTCTCCGTCGAGCCTCGCTTCTCGGTTTTGGCCCAGGCCAAAGCACGGTCAAAGGTCTGCCGCATGATGCCTACCCCCATGGCGCCCACGAGAGCTGCCGAAGCTGTGAAGGTCATTTCAACCACATCGGCGCCCTTGCCTGGAGGTGCGAGCAAGTTTGATTTTGGCACGCGCAAGTCCTTGAATCGGATGTGCGGCCCGTTGACCGCCGTGTGCCCAATGGTTTGGGGATGGTATAATACCTGATAGGCGCTTGGATCGTTCGCGGCAATGTCTTGCCTTGTAACAACAATAATGGCAGTTTGGCCGCGGACGTCCTCGGCTGGTGCAGATCCAGCAACACGGCATAAGACGCACTGAACGTCGGCACCGCGATCATCCCACCCGGAGCAGTTTGTTGCCCAGATCTTTCGACACATCAGCGAGGCCTTCTCTTTGTGTCCAGAAACACTTACCTTTTCACCGCTGATAACATATTCTTCCCCTTCATCACGTGCAACAGTCTGGAAACCAGGTGCTCCAGCCTCGGCAAAGTTGGCGCTTCCCTCTGGTTCAGAAAAGACTAAACTGGCCATCGGCGTGCCTGTCCCTTCGAGAAAAGGTTTAAAGAACTTCTCGTGTTGAGCCGGGCTTCCCGCCATAATCAAAGGTGTCAAGCCGAGGCCTGTCCCAAGGATGGTTAGAGAAGCACTGGTTTCGACTGCATAAAACTCCTCGACCACCAAGGCTGCCTCAATCAATGGACCTCCTCCGCCACCAAGCTCCTTCGGAATCTGAGCCTTGATAAGGCCGGCCTTGACTGCTTCGGCATAGATCGGTTGGGTCGAGCGGAAGCGTTCCCGCCACTGCTCGGGCGAGGCGCTCTGCCCCTCGTATACCGAGCGCGCTGCTGTTAGGTGAGCCTTTGCCCAGCCTCTGACAGCATTTCGGAGTGCCAGCTGCTCTGGCGACAGTTGGAAGTCAATCATCTTCTCCCTAGGACCAGCTCAAGAGTTGGAAAGTCAAAGTAGAGTCCAGCTTCTCACGCCCCTCGAGACCAACGACTTTATATCGTCGCTAGATGGAAAACGCCCACAAGCAATGGATCGTGCGTTTTCCAAATTGGCATCTGTCCTTGTGCCAGTGGCACGAGCTCGGTGGTGCTAAGGTTTGCTGAATAAAGCCGCGCTTCGTATATGTCGCTGTGGGATAGGCGGAAAGCTTCCGAAGGGTGGAGTGGTTTCTGTGTCTGGGCGACGTTAGAGCATGTAAGATGAATCAATATCTCCGTGGGAAGAGCCAAAATGTTTTACAGCCGCCGGCCGTTGTAACGCTTGTGGAGGAAGTCTGCTTCTAGACGATACAGAGGAACCACAAAAGGATCTAGATACGGTGCTGAATCTGACAAGGTCCCCTCTGTGGGCATCGAAGCATTCTGCCTGGCGAGCCGAATTGGGAAGTTAGTGACGCTGTCTGACTGGTGCTCATTGACGGCGGATGAATTGCTTCTTTCATTAATAGCAGGTGTTCATCTACCTTTTGGAAATAGCGGCGTCGGCCTGTGCTTCACCGGTACTGCCAGCTATATCTGAAATGGCGGCCACTCTTTGCTCGGCAGCACTCTGGTAATACTTGAAGATAGCGTCTATTGTGTCAGACTGTGCGACTTGTCCCTGAAAGAGGCCTGTTCGCTGCGTAGGACAGATGTCAAGCTCCTCCCTGCAGATGCAACAATTCCATCATGCATGTCCTGACCAATTGCATCCCGATCGCGCTGAATCGCCCACCGATTATTTTCACATCTGACGCCAACGCTCTCCTCAGTGATTGCATCGCAAGAGGATAAAAATGTGGACAAGATGGAGGTGGAGATAAGCACGGGGCTCTTTGGCTCGGCGAGTCCATGAAATTGATCTCGATTGAACTTGAATTCAAACAAGGGAAGCGGGAACAGCGGCAATTCGCAGGACGATCTCGGTGGAAGAACACCCTATGATGTGCGCTCATGGCTGAACCCTGCGGCAAAAGTCCCTCCCAATCATCAAACGTAGGTCGTCGTTGCATTGCGCCATAATACAGGCCTCAGAGGACACAATTGTAGGTCGGGTGGCGATGCTCAATATCTTTGACAAGGTTGCTTCTGTACAGGAAGTCGACGATGGCCGTGATGGAGAAAAGGCAGAGGCAATGATACAGACACAGCTGGGTGACGAGCTGGCTGCGTCCCGTGTGAGCTTGCTCCTTTTCAAATCACAAATGGATGCGCAGTCGCCTTCTTCCACCAGCCGAGCAGTCTGATTCACTTTGATTTGGATTCTTTCATGCTTCTCTGTGTGTCACTCCTTCAGCACGCCGGTTGACCAGGCGCCTGTAATTGTTGTCTTCTCGCCCTTCATTGAACTGTCTCCCCTGTCGGCGACATCAACTTGACCTGGTTATCTTCATCCCTTCACCAACCATCTTGTGCACCGCGCAAAATGATTCGATTCTTGATTTCCGTAACAATCGCCCTCGTTTCTTTCCTATCACAAAATGCAGCAAGTATTGCTCTCAATGTTGATGACACACGTGAGTTCGATCCGAGTCTCCCTTGCTCAACCTCTCACTGACTCCTGCCAGAATCCATCCTTGAGGCGGCGTCCTTAACGGCCCGGGGCGTAATCGACCTGTATAATGGCAATCAGACTGGGGGGATTCTCGGAAAATGGCCCTTTCCGCCCTACTACTGGTGGGAGAGTGGTGGCGCATGGGGTGGTTTGATGGAATACTGGCACTACACCGGAGACGACAGCTATGTCAATGTTACGCAACAAGGACTCATTGCTCAACTTGGCCCCAGATATGACTTCAACGTGCCTGCCGAAGCCTTCGACACCGGGAACGACGACCAAGCCTTCTGGGTCTTTGTGGCCATGTCCGCCGCCGAATACTCCTTCCCTCAGTTGGCCGCGCCCTACCCATCCTGGCTTCAGATTGTCAATAATGCCTGGGAGGATTATGTCTCTCGCTGGAATTCTTCTCTGTGCAACGGAGGTTTGAAATGGCAGTTCAATCCGTCGAACGCAGGTTACTATTACAAGAACAGCGTCTCTAACGGCGCCTTCTTCCAGCTCTCGGCAAGGCTGGCAAGGTTTACTGGCAACCAAACATATGTGCACTGGGCAGACACAATCTGGGATTGGGCGTCAGGAATTGGCTTGGTGGACAACATCTACAATGTCTTTGACGGGACTGATGAGCTTATCAACTGCACTGGAGTTGACCACCACCAGTGGACTTACAACGTCGGTGTCTTCCTGTATGGTGCGGCTGTGCTGCAGAACTACACCAACGGATCCTCGCCTTGGATCGAACGGACCGCTGGCCTACTTGACTCAACCAACACATTCATCGGCCCTTTCCGCAACGCATCCAATGTCCTGTTCGAAGCAGAATGTGAGCTCTCCATGACCTGCAATGTCGACCAGCTGTCAATGAAGGCCTATCTCGTTCGTTGGATGGCCGCGACATCAAAGATGGCGCCTTTCTCGGCAGGTCGAATCGGTGAGGTTCTTCGGGCCTCTGCGCAAGGTGCAGCGGCGGCATGTACAGGAGGTGCGAGCAACAATACCTGTGGAAGTAAGTGGTATATTGAGGGATGGGATGGGACAAGCGGACTCGGTCAACAGCTCTCGGCGATGGAAATCATGTACGCACTCTTGGTCAACCAAACCAATCCACCCGCTACATACCCGAACGTCTCAATCCTGCCTGCTCCACCATCGCCAACAATCACCGTCTCTGCGACCGAAAGTCTGCCTACGGCCAGTGGCGTCGCCCGTCCGCTTCACGATGGAGCAGCACTCATTCAATCCAAGGCCCAGAATAAGATTCGGCCTCTTGTCGCGGCTCTTTTCACCTCATTAGCAGTCATGTGAGAACTTTGGTGAAGAGCATCCCGTGATGTTCAGGACCTTTGTATGGACGGGGATGTAATGGCTTGGATGCGTCGAACGTCGCGGATACATATGAGCAATGAGTCGCGAGGCGAGAAAAACTACGACAAAACGATAGATACGCCAGCCACGAGGCTAATGGAGTTAAGGGGTTTCTCGTTTGTCAAGCCAAGCCGGTCTTAGGTGTTAGTTAGCGGTCACTGGGGGCCTCCCCGTCAGTGACTAAGCGGGGGACGCACCCAGACTCCCTAGGCAGGTAAGCACCCATAGGTACCCACAGGCGCCAGCCTAGAAAAATGATGTCTGAAGCAATTGCACATAGTGTTTTTCGTCTTCCAGCGTGAGTTCGAGATGCATGGTGTCTAGGCGCCGGTGACCAGTTCATGAATCCTACCATCATGATTTTCAGACAGAAAAACGGCCACACTGACGATGAGCAGCAAAGGATCAGCCACTCCCAATGAGCCTCGCGGGCTCCTTCGCAAAGGGACATCAAAACGTGATACTCCAGGGAGGGCCCCAGCCAAATTCCAACAGCAATTCGAGTTCGTCGAGGGATTGAACAGTAAAGAACAACGGAAAAAGACGAGATCATGGGTGACTACGCAACACTACCGGCGAAAGCGATATGAACAGGGTGATGCTCGGCCGGAGTCCGAACACGAGTCCAGGGGCAAGGTCCCAAAGGCTTCGATTCCGTCTCCCAGCGATTTCCAGTCCAATAACGAAGGGGAAAAGCACGCGGCAGATGGAGTTCCCTTCTCACCCAACCGCGTCGTACAATGGAGTGCAGGGCCGGGGCAGTCCTGCTTTCTACAACGGCTAGGAGGCGGGCGAGCAGATCCCTTCAATTCCTATCCTATCCTAGCAACTCGTGATGTGCATGAACTTGTGGATCACTGTGAGTTTTCTTCTTCTCCTACACTGCCATATGTGTTGTACGGGTGTTGAGCCATGCAGACTACTTTGTGATCCCCTCCCTCGTCCACAGACATTGGACCAGGGCGGTTCGCCGGCCTCGAGCTTGTTGGGATTTGTTCAACCTGTACCGCAACCACGAGATCCCCTTTTTAGGCATGCTCCACCACGCAGCCCATCACTTGGCGGGAATGAGAGGAATTTGGATGTCTTTGCAGACATTCGAGTTCAAACAGCGCACGCTTGCGGCGGTGAATCAGAGCCTTCAGAGGCGACAGGGTCCTTGTGATGACTGGACGATTATTGGCGTCGGCCTCCTTGCAAACGCAGAGGTATTTCCAAAAACGATTCCACACGCGAGTGACGGTCTGACAGATTCAGAGGGTCTGGGGTGACCGGGAAACCGCACGGATGCATTGGGGAGCTCTCAAACAACTCCTCCTCGAACGTGGGGGGTTTCGAGCGCTTCAGAGCAATCCGACAATGCATACAAAGCTGGTCTGGTCAGTACTGCATGCTTCGGCGCGCGGCAATCCACTGACTAGGCCTGCAGGAGCTTCATAGCATTGTCGTGGCCGACGGCAAATGGCAACCCAGCGTACGTTGATGGCTTCGTCGAGTCTGCCGCGGCATTGCCCCATTCTCCAAGCGTACACCCCGACTCTGCGTTCAGAAGCAGTTGCCATGAGTTCACCCAGTTCTTTGACGCACGACGAAGCCAGGTTCTAAAAAATCTCCCTTCGACACCGGCACAGCAGCGGATACTGAGAACACACCGGTACCGGGCAACGATGTTCCAAGAGGGGACAGAATTGGCGAATGCTTTGAAGTCGGTTGAAACAGGGTATGAAAACCCAGACAAACGACGAGCGGTGGATAACTGCCGTATCGCCTGTCTGATACATCTCAACCTGGTGATGGCTGAGCACGGGGACTTCGCCCAAGCCACCGAGGAGTATCTCCAGGCCCTGCAACGAATCTTGGAAGAAGCCGACGACGACAGCAGTCTAAGTGCGGAGCATCTATTATGGACGTTGCTGAGCCTGTTCCGGTCTCCGGGACATTACGAGCGGGTATGGAAAATGTCTAGGCTGGTAGGCGTGGTGAAGAGGACGAGGGCACACACTTGGACAGCGATTGAGAACGCGCTCCGTGCATTCCTGCGTCTGCCGGAGTCGATCCACGATCTTGAATCTGCTCTGTCTGTGTGGAACCGCGAAGAGTGTTTGGAGGAGGTCGTTGACATGGGGAATGCCTCTTCTCGTATCCTGGATCCTCGGGCAGTTGCGGTGCCCGTCCAGCACGACATTCCGTGCTCTGGTGATTGTCGCATATGTCCTCTCAAACCAACGACGTTCTGAATCCATTCAAGAAAGCCTTTCGTTTAGTTGACCTGAACCGCCCAATGCAGACAGGATGTGCGAGTTGAATCCGAGTAAAAGTCCAATGAAACTCCATCAAGCTGACACGCCCAAAATCGCTCACAATCATTCCCCGCCAAATGCTCCGTAATGCTGCTGGTCGGCTAAACCTCGCCTCCGCCGCCGCCGCAGGCTGATGCCATGCCCTGTCGTGCCGCTTCTCTCCGTCCTTCTTTTCATTGTCTGAACGTGATATATGAATCTACCAGGTTACACTCCAAGGTCGTGCAACGGACTCGGCCCATAATGGCACCCTTCGTGGTACCCATGTCAAGATGATATACTACTCACCGCATCGCAAAGTCCATCGTCGGTGGAGAGGGCCCACCCGACTCTGCCGCACTACCACCGCCATGTAAGTCTGTGGATCTCTCTCTGTGCTTTGTCTTTCTCTCGCTTCCCACCCAAGGAAGCTAGAGGGGGTAGTTGGTTATCTCGTTGCATGGCGGAGACTAAGACTGCGCGCTTCCCAGACAGATCCTCCTCTTCCTCACCGTCTCCCTCGCCGTGTGCGGCCTGCTCGAAATGAGCGACATGGGCGTCTCCCTCCTCTCTTCCTCCGGCCAGGGCGTGCTGGACATTCACAACGATAATGGCGGAGGCGGCGGCGGTACAGGGGGAGGCGAGATTGAGCAGGACAAGAAGCCTGAACGGCCATCGGCGCAAAGAAGATATGCCTACAAATACACGACATTGGAGGGATACTTTCTCCAGGACGACCCCTCGACGGTCGCCGCAGAGTTCGACTTCATGGCCACTAATTTCGGCCTCATCGACCGCGAGTACGACTCGGATACAACACTCCCCGACAATGGCCGGGGGATGACGGCGTGGCAGAGATTCGAACACCATGTCTCCTGGATGAACCGCGCCGCGCAGGAAGACGAGGATGATGAAGACAGACGGAGAAGAAAAAGGCATGGGTCTGCCGCGAGGTATCTGCTCCTGTTCCTCGGCCGGCATGGAAACGGCTACCACAACATCGCCGAGCGCTACTATGGTGGCGAGGCATGGGACTGCCACTATGCTGCGCTAGACGGCGACCCGGACGGGATAATGACCTGGAGCGACGCGCGCTTGTCCAAGGAGGGACAGAGGCAAGCGAGGGAGGTCAATTCCTTCTGGCAGAGACAGATTGCCGAGCAGAAGATGAACCTGCCGGAACTGTGGTTGGCGAGTCCCCTCGATAGGGCGATGGAGACTGCCGACATCACGTTCGAGGGCATCCTCCCAGATGGAGCCAAGCTGGAGGCAACTGTGATGGAGAAGCTGAGAGAAGGCACCGGGATACATACGTGCGACAGGCGGAGCGATGTTTCATACATTCGACAGCGGTTCCCAGCCTTCAACGTCGACTTGGACCCACATTTGACGGAAACAGATGAGTTCTGGGACCCCGACCGACGTGAACCAGAGAGCGCGTTGACAGAGCGCCTAAGGGCGTTGATGGACAGTTTGATGGGCCACGAGCAGCTTGTTGGTGGAAAAGAGAGGGTCAGCATCACCAGCCATTCTGGCGCGATTGGGGCCCTGTTGAGAGTATTGAGCCACAGGCAGTTCAGTCTGGGTACTGGAGCCGTCATTCCTGTGCTTGTCAAGGTCGACAAGATCCCTCTCGATGATGGCGACGACGACGATGAAGATAAATTGAGGATGAGCAAAAAGTCTGCCTCAAAGAAGGAAAAACGGCACGGCGGATCAGGAGAGGGCGGCAACCATAAAGAACCCACGCTGGACCTACCTGACCTCGAGGAGGGCGATCACGATGTCGATGATGAGGTTGAAAAGGGAAATGACAATGCGAAGCAATCGTCAGGCATCGACCCGAACGACCGCTCGAATTGGGAGCCCATCCCCTCTTGCCCCGCCGACCTGGATGTCCCGAATGTTGGCCACAGCCGCTGGGGCGTCGGGCTGAGAGAGTACCTCGAGGGAGTAGAGAATGGGACGGTAACAATGGAGGAGGTGGCATTTCGCTTTACGGCGTGACGAGGTCTGGGACTATTAAAAGTGTAATGGCCAAGGACATATATCTCTCTTCTTTAAAGAAGGAAGGGAGTGGAAATCGATTGGATCTTGGATCGAGGAATCTTGGACCCTTGAATTGTTTATATCCAAAGCGTGCAATTACATGCATAGAGATATATTTCCTAGGTGGCGATGTTCCTGATTGTGGGTGTATAATGATACCTTACGAGGGTCCCGAACGGTGCAAGAGCAAGGCTATGGCATTAAAACCACCGCGGCGGGAGCCTTGTCCTTCCTTTCCCTCACACTCGAGGGCAGGACTTTCATGCGACACTTTTCACTATTTCTGGTGAAGCCATGTCGACAAATCAGTTGTGTGAAATTTCGCATGCGCATTTGAAAGATTGAAGGTGAATATAAGACAAAGCGGGTGAGCACTGCCTTGCTGCACTGTCGCGTCTGCCACCTGACTTCCCCTGCCTCTGCCTCATCTGTCTTTACATCTTCCTCGAAGCTCAATATCCTGCTTCAGAACCATTCTTCATTCCTCTATGGCACGACAAACAATCCCAGTGCGCGACCTACAGTGCCATCAATGGCAGCAAAAATGGCAAGTTCCAATCCCCTGACAGGCGACAACAGCAACCCCCCAACCCTGCTCCAGCTGAACAACTTCAAACTTCCAAACGAGATCATCTCTCAGGTCATTTCCGGCTTTGTGCCACACGCGGGACTCTGCATTTCCAACGACCCTGACTACGATGCCGATCTGGACACCATCCGCCGCCTGCTGAAGACCTCCCTCGATGTCAAGCAAGAGACTCTGCGACAGATATTCAACAAACCTCTGAACGTCTACATCACCAATGGAAAGAGATGTGATTGTTTTCGGATGAGAGAGGATAGTCCTGCTGGTTCTTCAAGTGTTCACCCGCTCAATCGACTTGTTTACCTCCCTTTGATCAGGTGGAAAGAGGTGAAGATTTGCTTCGCACCCAAAGCGTCACAAACGCCTTGCCCAAGAATCCAACTCGACCAGAAATATCCCGGGGCGTCCCTTCCTAAACTCTATTCACTTGAACTTGATTATGCCGCACAATGCGTTGCCGCACAATCCAAGGCCTTGGGATGCGATCTGTGGCACCTTAGGGGATCCTTTCTTCGGCTTCGCGCAGTCAACTTCAAAATAGTTTTTGAGAAGCTGAAGGCCGGCTATACTTGGAATCTAGGTATGGTAGGGGAAATGCTAGACTTCTGGAGGTGGACAATCGCTGATCAATCTGGAACTGGACCTACCCGGCTGGAACTACCACAAACTACCTACGCAATCACAAATCGATATAGGCTCTCGAGATTGGCTCGAGACAGACCATAGACTCCAGAAAGATTTTTGGTCTTGGTGGCGACGAATGGAAAGGCTCGAAGACAGGGGCCAGAGCTTTGAAATAAAATATCCCAAAAAAAATCGCCTTCTGGAGCCCCTCGACACTTTTCCTGTATCCGGATTACAATTTCGTCATTCTTATCACTATACCCAGAACAGAAGCAATTGAAGATGTGGGTGTCGACATGTGGAGTGTAGAGGTGGTCCAAGAGCTTGGTCGTCGGCGCTAAGACAACAGATTCTCGTCACGGCAGCCGAGGCTGCACATCGATGAAGGGAGATGTCAACGTAGAGATCAATGTACAAGAGTCTCGGAGAACTGGATCGTGCTAGAAGAATAACCCGTGCTATTTCATGACAAGAATGACTTGGTGACTCGGGTGAATTGGAAAGGAAGTCATAGATTGTAGCCCAGAATCACGTAAATGTTATGGGACAGAGTCATGAAAGTATTATCACCAGAATCATTCCAATCACCATCGTGAATGTTGTTTTCATCACGCGCCACGCATCCCTCTTTCGAGGCTTTTCACAGGATTTCCAAGATCTCGCTGCCAACATCGGACGTGTTGGTCCAGAAGTATTCGGGAGTCGTCTGCAATCAGCTAGTCAGTCGCTGATGACTCCTTCACCCATAACCGCGGGCTCGTGAAACAAAAAGAAACTCTCTCACCTGGATCACGAGCACGCCGTCCTCGACCAACACCTCATGATAGTGGCCCTTTTGCAGCTTGCCCACCACATGCAGCGAGATCTCGTTCTTCGCCACGCCCTCCTGGAACCCGTCCTGGAGCATGTCGTCGCCCTCGAACTCGGCGCGCTCGAGCTGGTACTTGAGGCCGTCGAAGTACGCCAGGCTCGCCCGGCCCAGGACCTTGTCCCAGTCGTCGCGGACCTGGGCCCCTGCGGCGGCCAGGACGGCGGCGTTGGCCTCGAAGTTGGGGGTCAGGCGGATGCCCGGGGCGCCGACCAGCTCGCCGATGGCCTTTTGCACGGCCCCGATCTCCGGGTCGTAACCCTCGCGCACGGACTGCCGGGCGTTGATGTTGAATGCGGTGCCACTGCCACTGCCGCCCCCAGCAGCGGCGGTCTTCAAAGCCTCGTGGAAGTCGCGGCTCACGTCGCTGACGTTGACGGCCAGGTTCCCCTCGGCGAAGAGCAGGCGGAGCACGCCGTCCTGGATCTGCAGGCCGCCGTACGTGAACTTGGTGTGGTCGTCGTGGTCCTGCGGCGCGAGTTCCACTTGGTGCTTGGGACACAGCGCGTTGAGCTCGGACTTGCCGTCGTCGCCGTACTTCTCCACAAAGGATTCGAGGTTCGAGCAGAAGGGCTCCATGTACCTTTTGTTTTCGCCAGCGGTAACGCAAACTTCAGTCTTTGTCGTCTTATTCGCGCGCGGTCCGAAACATGATCTCGGTGGGGGAGAACGGAGGACGAGCCCGGCAAGGCGGAAGAGGGAAAAGCCATGACATACCACATGATGACGTCGCCGATGCGAGCCTTGTAGGACTCGTCGTCCGTGTACACGTACAGCAGGTGGGGGTTCGTGGTCACGGTCCACGCCTCGCCGAGGGCCTTTGAGATCCGCGCCTCGATCTCGGGCTTCTTGCTCTCCCATTCGTCCCGCACTGCACAGCTAGTCAGCAAAGAACCATGGAACTCGGACAGGTGGAATCATGTTGGTTCGTTACCATTCTTGCGGACCGCCAGCGGTAGTTTGTCAGCGGGTGCTTTCAGAGGCATTTTGGGAGGGATCGTATTATGGGATATCTGAATTTTAAGACGCACATTTCCTCGACCAAAGGATCTCACCCACTCTTTATATTCTCTGGTATTATGCGCGCGAGAACAGACTTGGCAGCTTGGTTGTCGGCTAGGTAAGAGATGAGAGTGAAAGGTTGTCCGTATCCCCTGTGGCGCAGGCTGGACTCCGGACAATTGAGGTCTCCAAGACCAACCACTCGGAGCCGTGCTGGGCTAGTCAAACCCAGGCGAAGTTAGGCGAGTCTGGGGGTAGGGCTAGCACAGGCGGATACAGAGCTTGTGAGTCTGGGCCTCGTGGGGTCCAAAATTGCGGTGGTACATGGCTTCACGCCAATTGCGTTTTCGTCTTGCGTAGGAATCGGTGGTCTGCGGAGAGAGAGACAGTCGATGAAGCTCATGGAGAGGAGAGAAGGAAGCAGGGTCCCACAGAAAGAAGTGCGCACGAGGAGTAAAGAGGTGACGAATTGAGGAAGCGAAGAGACGAATTGAGCCAAGACTCGAGTAATCAACCGTCGGCCGCATTCGACAAAGCGTCGCAAGGCTGAATCTGCATACGAGCCCCTTTTTCTCCCCCAATTTACAAAGGGTCAAGGCGTTTTCTCATCGTCACCCCATAACCATGGACAAGCTATTATTTGTGCTGCAGATCTTGTACAACTCTCCCGTTGACATCTTCCTCCTCAACCCTCCACAAAATGTCTCAATTGCAAGTCCCACATATATATGCCTCTACGATGGGCACAAACAAGATTGCTTTCTAACAGTGCGTCCATCCCAGACCCTTGCAAGTCCGAAAGGACGCCCGGGACCTCTTCGATAGGGAGGATAGTATAGTGCAGAAATCTCTCGTAAGGCTCAAGGAGATCATCGGCTACCAAGTCTTGTACACGGCAGAATGGCACATGCTGTGGGCCGAGCTGGGGTCTCTTTGGCCCGACATGACGACTTTCGTCCCTGCCTGTGCCAGAGTGGTGGAGGCTTGGTGCGACACTCTAGGCAGGAGATTAGAGGACGAGCGATTTGAGTGTTGGACAGAAGCTTTTCTCGAAAGGCTGAAGGTTGTGAATGTGGTGAAGTTGTCTCTCCAAGTACGGCCGCCCTTTTGCTCCTTGGGAACGATAAAAGAAGGTTGGAATTAAGGAATCTGCTGATATGTGGTACATCTGTATCTAGGTCGCACCCGATGAGACCAGAATCCGGACAGCCTGGTCGGGGCCGAAGCCGGCATTATTCACCATCTCGCTGCCCAAAACCGCCACCTTGCAGAAGGAGGCACAAACTGCTGCGTCGGCTTTCGCTGAGGACTTTGAATCCATGTTTGACCCTCCAAAGCCAAGTGGTAGCACCTCGTCCTTGCAACAAGAGGTGAATGAGCAACACCCGACCCGTTCTCGTGAAGACGAAGACGACTGGGCGGAGTTGGAGTCGGTCGCTGATACCACGAAGAGTACCAGCATCAGCACGACCGCAAACCGTGTGCCTTACCCAGGTCCCCTGGAACCGAACGCCGATATCTTGCCCGTGCTGGAGACGCTGCCTAGGCCCGAGATCCTCTTCAGCACCACGACCCCCTACGTCATGCTGGTGTCGTTGAATGCACCGAACCAGATCACCATACACGGCACGCATGAGCCTAGTTTGCGACTTTTGGCGGAGTATCTGCAGCGCTGGATCAGGACGGATCCTCAAGACGTCCGCAAGGTGTGTGCGATGTAGAATGTTTTCGAGCATATTTAGTCTCCCTCTGTCCAAGTAATCCAACTGACGTGCACGCAGATCCCGTACCTGCGCATCAGGCTGAACGAGTCGATCTTTGGCCTCGGTCTTTTCCGTGACTCGTTGACCGTTGAGCCTTACGACCACCATCAAAGTCGGCATGTGGTGGTCAACGTATCGCTTGTCCTTGCGTTTATCCAGGGAGTCTTGGGGTATCAACGCGTCCATGAAGCTTCGGGAGCTGGTCGGTGGGAGTTCAGGAGGGACACACCGTTCGCGGCCTGATCGAACTCCCCCGGAGACTCAAGCAGCGCTTGATCCACCCCCAATAGCTTCACCTCGTGCGCCACTTGTGCATGAAGCTCTTGGTCGTCCAGGGAAATGACTTGTTCCAGGGGTTTATTGGTGGGCTGTTCACACCAAACAGTGTTTTGCACCTTGGTCAGTGCGGGTCTGTGTCTTGGATGAAGCATTCCGCTTCGTATAGGTCTTCAGCACCGTGGACTTCTGTTGCCTTCCTCGCGGTAATGATGAAACGACGATTGATGCGATTTTTGTTGTATCCAATCTCCATAATGATCGGGGACGAATCCGTATAGAAACTTAGCAAGAGGCCCTTCCAGTAGCGAGCGACCACATCGGGACAGTCATCCAGACTGATGCCGGTGAGGTTGTCATCCTGGTTATACTTCGAGATCAAGACAACCCCAGTCACGACTTTCTCGGGCACGTCGATCTGATAGCCCGGAGTATGGTGCGACACCGTCGGGAGGCAAACCCACTGCCACTTTTCCAACAGCCGTCTAAGCACCGAAACCTCCCATAGAGGTATCTCCCTCAGCCTGTTTACCTCGTCCATGCCATGAGTTCCATCAAATCTGAATCTGAAGGGAGGCGTACGGTCAGCCTTGGTGTCTGGATGTCTGCTAAGTGCCTCTGCGAGATCCTGAGACTGCCGCGATATGCAACGAATGTCAGTTCTGAACTTTAGCACTCCTCTGTGGCCGCTCAGGAAATCGACTGAGAACGGCGTCTGGCTCCTGTACCCGCACGGCACCATGAGCAATCGTGGGACAAACGTCACCACAATCTCTGGGAATCTTCCTAGTGGGAGAACGGCTGCCCTGCCCAGCCGCGTCTTGGAGAATCCTTCCACCCCAAACAAGCAGCGACAGCTGATTCCGCTCGAAATACGGACTTGCAGTGGTAGGCTGAATATGCGGTGAAGGAGCTCGTTCTGGACCGCGACGCTGACTCTCAGAAGCGACCCGATAGTGGCGAAATCGGAGTGGTAGTCGGGGTGGTTTGACACACAGAGCCCGTCGCGTGGGACAACATTCGAGATGATCTGCGCCAGGATTTCAAACGGCAGCAGGTATCGATCCCGCCGGCAGGACTTCACTGTGTCCACGAAATCATTCATGTCGTTGTCTGTCAAACAAGGTCGAGCATTGGTCTCCATATTCATATCTACGTCGAGGTCCCTGTCGAGGCTCAGGTTCGTGATCGGCTGTGTAACTCAAGGGGCTACTCCAAGCTGGCGGGCGGGTTGGACGGATGGTGCTTTATACGTGCGCCCTGTTCTGTCCAAGTGGATTATTATGGAAAGAAGCAATGTCGGCAGACATATTCAATGTATGAGAGCTGTTGTAACAGCTCGAGGTCCTCGCCTGGAAGCCAGGACCCGCAGCATCCACGACCTGCCCTGATCCAAACTTTCGCCCTCATCAATCCTTTGGTACACCATGTACCATCCGCGGAAACGACTCATTTGTGTGGCCGCTGCAGCACCCATGGCTAATCAGCGTTCCCTCAACCGTTATGTCGATGTGTAAACCTGGAATGTCTGGCTGCCTCCTTCCTGAGACAGCAGCCTTGCAAAGGCCAACCTTCAAGGTCCTCGAGGACCTCGAGGGCTTTGGACCGACTCCCATGTTTGATGCGAGACATTTATCTGTGATGGCCTGGTAGGGTAAACGTACAGCATGCATAACTCTCTCTGTCCAGTCAACCTACCCTCCGCAGTGTGTCAACAGCTGACACTATACTCAAAACCACTTCACCTCCCTTGACTCTGCTAACTCGACGATGGATTCCATCACCGCTCCTTGCCACGTCGGATACGCCCAGACACCTTTGACCTCCACATGTCGTACAGAGTCTGTAGAGGATATTGACGGCGGTCCTTCCCCCCGACGTCAAATTCTTCCCGACGAGCTCATCTTGCAAGTCCTGAGCTACTTCGTTCCAGAAAAGGGTGTCAGCATATCTACTGACTCGGCCGGCGATATCTGTCCTACTACAATCAAATCCCTTTTACAGACTTCTCGCATGATCAGAGACGAGATCTCACGTTTCCCGCTTCGCATTTACATCCAAAGCGGGAGGAATTGCCAATGTCATACCTTGGCGAGACCCGAAAATATTATCAGCACCACTCTGGGCAACGCAGCACGGTTTCCTCTCACAGCTTGGAGGGAAATTATTGTTAGCTTTAGGCCTGGGCTTCACGAATCGCTGGATGATGCATGCATGATGGTCCAGAGAACTCTGAAACGAATCGACGTTCCCTACTCGACGTTCAACAGCCGTACCAGATGCCGGAACTCCATCCTTTGTGTTCGTCGCCAGTCCATTGCTCTGTCCCAGATCATGGAATGCCTCGGAATGCCACGATATGTCGAGAAGATGCGCTGGGAATTCGTGTTTGACGGATCTCAAGGGTTCGACGATCGCGACCAACGGCACGAACGACCGCTCTGGGACCTCAGTTCAATTAAGCGATGCCTGTCCTCGTGGCGATGGTACATGCCACTCTCTCAAGCTGTACCGTTTGTCAAATTTCCCAGGCGCTTCAGGGTCGGCCTCGACATCGCAGAGGGCCCTTTCTCCTACCACAGCCTCAGGTGGCCTGATACCGAGGCGGTTCGGGAGCGGTTTGAGGAAGAGTTCGAAGACTGGTGGCATTTGCGGTCGCCGACACCTGGAAGGTACATTTGTGGCCCGGAAACCTCCGAACGCGGCGTCGAGGGCTTGAACCCCTATGCTAACTGGAACTCCTGGCCTCTACGGGTCCAGCCCTATACAATGGAAGATGTGGAGATCCAAGGAGGCCCTGGGTCCTATGGCGGATAGTTCCCCATTTTGGCAAGTCTGATTCTGCATAACTTTCGCTAGGAAGGGGGAAAAGGCTGGGGTTCTTGATGATGGCGATGGACAGGGTCATTCGGTTGTTAAAGGCTCTTGCGAGGCTGAAAGAGCGAAAGGGTTATCGAAGTCAAATTGGTGCGCCCTGTATTTGGCACAGAAACATATCTGCAATTTTGGGTAGAATAAAAGTACTATTGCAACTCGAATCAGGTCGGACATTTGAGGTTCATGATAGCCATCATACGTCCAACTATGTAGTTATAGTGGCATTCTAGCAGATACTTTCACACGAGGCATTGCAACTCAATCTCCCCTTCTTCCCCTTCCTAGTCATCCAGGAAATCATTGACCAGCTGGGCAAAGTGCACGTTGTACTCGTCGAGGAAGCCGTGGCCCGAGTCCGGGTACAGGTGCAGGCTGGCGTCGCAGTTGGTCAGGCGGCGCCACAGGACGATGCTGTTCTCGGTGGGGACGAGGAGGTCGTTGGAGCCGTTGGCGACGAGGGTGGGCACGGCGATGCGGTCGAGCAGGTCGAAGGAGCCCTCGTCGCGGAAGTCGCCCGAGAACCAGCGCTGCACGGCCGCGATCTGGCGCTGCGTGCCCTGCTCGTGCAGCAGCGGGGCGCGGTCCCGGCGCGCGGCCTCCATGCGCCGGATCCACTCGGCCGCCCGGGCCTGCTTCTTGGCCGACGGCGAGAAGAACGTGTGCATCAGCCCGGTGTTCGACTCCTCGGGCGTCGCCGCGCTGGCCACCTCGGTGAAGTACTTCGGGTCGCCGCCCACCACGCCCTCGCCGGCCGAGGGGCCCGCGCCGGCGACGATCAGGCGGCGCACCAGGTCCGGCTCCTGCAGGGCGATGCGCTGCGCGACGAAGCCGCCCATCGAGAAGCCCAGGACGTCGAGCTTGGGGATGCCCAGCGCCTTGGCCACGTCGATGATGGTCTGCGCCCACGCCGCGAACGTCAGCCCGACCTCACCTTCGCTGCGGCCCACGCCCGTGTTGTCCACCAGCAGGATCGGCCGCTTGGCCGCCAGCCCGTTGATGAAGACCGGGTCCCACCAGTCCATGTTGCCGCGGAAGTGCACGTGGAGGAACAGCGGCGTGCCGCTGGTCTGCCCGAACCGGCGGTAGGCGTGTTTGATGCCGTTGATGGTGACGAATTGGTCCTCGGCGGTCTCGTAGGTGGCCATGGTGTGAGAGCTTTTGGTATGTGTTCTGGAGTTTCTTTCTATGGTTTGAATGTCAAGTCGTGTAGCACTGATGTTGGAGTGATCGGATGATGTTGAACTGGACACCTCTGATACCAGATGAAGGGATGCCCTCTCTTTTATAGCTGGAGCCGGTCCATTCTATTTCCCTTTACTTCTCTAGCAATCCCAGCTGCCGAGTTATTCCCTGCAGCAAAACATCTCAACCTCTTTCCCATGCTTTACAATCAAGTGAATCTCAGAAGGATGATGTGATTACGAGAAGCAAGACAGTTCTGCGACCTTTGAGAGGGTGGAAGTCAGTGCTTTGACGTCTAACGTCCAGCCACGGCGGCATTAGTCATCGCACAGAGCGCGCTCTGATTGGCTTCCATAAGAAATTGCCGGATTGGGAGTATGACTTTCGGCACTAGCGCCGCATTTGGATACTTCATGCCCCGCAAGCAGAAGTAAACCTGTCTCTGATCCTGCATCATTCAGATCGTGGTCCAGTTTGCCAGTCCGAAGTAACAGAGCAGTATCGAAGCAATTATTGGAAATCCTGCCGGGAAGCCGGCATCCTCCATCTTCCGCAGCTTATGTCAACAGTTCTTATGACGGCGAGGCGTCGTAGAAAGAACGTACTGCCCCAGCGTAGAACCGCCAGTGTGTATTTCTATTATTATCGAGTAGTGTTGCCGAGACTCCTCTTGGCACAGCAAAAGCAACATACCACGACAAACAAGCAGTTTCTTCATTTTGCAGTTCCCCCAGACAATTTGCGAATCTCGTTCACGTTCACCCTGTTACCATGGCCTTGATTCTGTCCTTCTCGACCCTGTTGGAGACGAGTCAGAATTTATCCCACCCGCAATGCAATGCATCGAAGAAAGGTCCAGCCATGGGCCGTGTCCCAGGATAAACAGAATGTGTGTCTAAATATGTCATTCTTGAACTGTGTATTCAGTACCTCAGACGCCAGAATGCAAAAGCCTGATGAGACCGATCATCCAAAATCGCATCAAAGATTTGCGACTGCATAAAATCCAAAATCACGACGAAACTTCTTGTCTCAGATGGCCACGCTTTCCAGACGGCAGGTAAAGCTGAGACAAGTCCGACCCGGTCCTACAAAATGAGGTACCGTTTCCCCTTCTGTGAAGCCACGTGCTCGAGAGCGCAGACTCGCAACACCGATGGGACCGTAGCACATGGATTCTTGGAAAGATTTGGAGCCTCCACGCTTCTCCCACTTGGGAACTGCCTGGAAGCCAAGATGAAGGGTGATTTGGAAGTCATGCGAGAGGGACGTATGATAGACGTTCCGGGAAATGCACTTGGCAAATGTCGAGGGGTGTGCCTCGGGGCTCTCTCAACGGGGAAGACGTATGTTTTCGCGCCATGGCTTATGCCACTCCCATCTCTCACCAGCAATCTGCGTTCTCCTGTCTTTGAACTTGTGGGTGTACCCTTGCGAATGTGAACAAGCTCGGGCCGAACATCGACTGGGTCGCAATCACCAAAAGTGTCCAGATACACAGACCGCCCGAAATCACTGGAGAGGGACATGCTATGGGTATAGTCACTACGGCCTGCATCTCTAAAGGGAATCTTAGACGAGAGCAGCTCCTCGACTCCGTTGAACGCCTCACGCCAGCCAATGAGCCCCAGCTGATTCTCGCCCTCCCGAATCTCGCGTAAGAGGGACGAGAAGTAGTTAATGTCATCGGTCAGTATGATTGGCATATCACCACAATCTTCGAGCTCGATGACGTGAGCGAAAATCAGGACAATCTTTGTGAGAGTTTCGATGAGTTTTACCATGCGCTCTGCCGCAGAGAATTGAAGACGGTGTTTCGGGACTCTGGCAAAGAACGAGTTGAATATTGAAGACAGCGCGTCTTCAGATAAACCATGTTTTGAAAAAACTCCGCACAATTCCCGCAAAGGGCCGTGCCAATTGCGTTGGAATGAGACTGATCTCTGCTCAGAGCGAAGATTGCACTATGATTGTTGTCAAACTCATAGAATTAGAAGGGAAGAGAGCAAGATTTTCAGTCAAAACAGTCGCCTAGCCGGCCATTGATTCCCGGTCTTGTGTCTCAGGTCGCGCAGGGCTATGTACCGAGTACTCATACATCTACCAGGGCATCCAGGCGTATAGCATACGCGCTTTGACCAGCCATGCTCAGGCTGAAGAGACACGATCGTTCCCTTTCCGGAGATGGTAGACAGCAGAATCTCAGACAACATTCAAGCGCGGGCCAATGTTATCTTCGTTCTCGTGTTACAGAGCTAACCGGGAGCCTGATTGCAGCCGCCCGGGGTGATCGCACTTTGGCCTGTGTGGCGATTCGTTTGACAGCGATTGCTGAGATTTCCATTCAGCCTTGCCGCCCACCGGGGCATGCGCCTGGCGGAGTGGCGGAGGACGGCGAAAGCAGAAAGTCCGAGCCTTGGCGCCGTGGCGTGGGGCGATGACTCAATCAGGCTTTAGCCGCAGCCAGTTGCAGCGAAATGGCGGCGGATGGAATGGCAGCTTCTAGATTGTCAACGTCGACTCATTTTCTCTTCAACACTCAACAAAGTCCTTCTCGCTCAAACCTGGTCATATTACCCAATATATCCCCTGGACAATTCATCCTGATAGCCCAGAATCCTGTTCGCTGTATCATTTCGGCGACGAAAGCAACCGTAACCCACCACGCCACCGCCGTCCTCGCATTCCTAAGTCTGCACGACTTCTATACTCGACACCATGGCTGATAACGACTGGGACACCGTCACTCGTATCGGTAGCAAAGCCAGAGGCCCTGGCAGTGGAGGGGTCGACCGTGAACGGGTCGTTAAGGGTAACTCTGCGCTCAACGCAGCCAAACGATCCGGAGCCGTCGTTGCCACAGAAAAGAAATACGGAGGCTCAAACAGCGTACGTGGCAGCTTCGGTTCCGCTGGACACGAACAACGATGATACTGACACGGGACTACATAGAAATCGAGCGTCGAGGGCCAACACTTGACCAAGGTCGACCGCTCGGACGACATCATAAAGCCCAAAACCGTCCCGCTGGCGGTAGGACGGGCCATCATCAACTGGCGGAACCAAAATAAAAACGCGGAAGGGAAATCCATGTCTCAAAAGGACCTGGCGAACAAGGCTGGGGTCAAGGAAACACAGCTGAAAGACATTGAGAGTGGCAGAGGCGTGTATGACCTGGTCCCGATACGGAAACTGGAAAATGCCATGAAAATCAACTTGACGGGCAGTGACATTGGGAGCCCCAAACCTGGACCCGCCAAGAAGAAATAGCGGCAATAACTGAGTTTCCATGAGTCCCCCGGGGAAAAAGGGGGGGGGGGGTGAAAAGTTGGGATCGAGCGCAGGGGATGAAAGACGTGAAATCTCGATAAGGGACAGAAAAGGGACAGCGAGGGCGAAAATAGGCGTCGACGAGCGCCTCGACGCACAGTCCTTCTTGTGCAATACCCCTTCGGGCGCATCGGTTCAACTGCAGGAGAGAATGGTGGTCATGCTGTTTCGGAAAGCAGCCTTGTCACGGCCGTCACAGACTCATTCGGGTGTTTGCGTGCATGCGTGCTTGCGTGCTTGTGTGCATGCCTATCCCGCGTTCCGATTTTCCCCAGAAGGGGCTTTATTGATAGCGAGCTCCGTTGCGTTATGACTTTGTGGCTCTTGTCCCGGTCCGGGGAGTACCAAAACATAGACTGGGTGTGGAATTCTTAACGGCTTTCTCTTTTTTTTCCGGCTTTGTCCTCGCTTTGTCCTCGGCCTTCCGTTCCTCTGATATCTGTCAGTGACCGCCACTTTGCCCGAAGGAACAAGAAGAGTGGGGGGAGAGAGAGAGAGAGAGAGAGCAAAGAAGGGACGGCCATCCTCCTCGTCTTTCTCCGGTCTCCATGATCACCTTACTCGCGGAGGCACCACGTATGCTCTGTCGCCGTTCTCAAACATAAAAAATAAACCCGTCATTTACACAGAACAAGGACAAGAAACAGGAACGACCAGACATGGCAGCGATAGAACTCAACAAGAGGAACACAACGACCCCGGGTTAGGATTTGGCAGAACGGCAGGTTTGATATATATATGTATTTATATATATATTTTGGATGCAGATGCAGATGCAGATATTGATTCTAGTATTTGGACTGAATGCTGGACACCGTCTTTCCTACCCAAATCTCGAACGGAAACTGATTGATCTGATTCTAAGCCGACGCCTTGCGGATGTGGGGACCCTTGTGCATTGCTGGCCATGTCCTTCTGCCCATCTTGGTCGTCTATGCATCCAGTTCTTTATTGTCTTCTTTCGCGGCATTTGCACCCATCTCGAGTTTTGCTCATCCACCATCGGTTGTTCACCAACATTTCGCTGGCATCTTATGCCTTGGCAACATCTCCCAGGCCCTAAGCCCCCAAGTTCTTCTTGAACCGCTTCTCAATCGCCTCCATAAATTGGCTCGTAGTAACCCACGCTTCCCGGTCTTTGCGTCCACAGGCCAAAGCAAGATCCTTGGTCATGATTCCGTCGTCATTGACAGTCTGAATGACGGCCTTCTCCAAATTCTCTGCCCAAGTCACCAACTCGGGTGTGTCATCAAGCTGTCCACGCTTGACTAATCCCCTGGTCCAGGCGAAAATACTGGCGATGGGGTTGGTGCTGGTCTCTCTTCCTTTCTGATGTTCTCTGTAGTGTCGTGTGACAGTCCCGTGCGCGGCTTCACTCTCAAACGTCAAGCCATCGGGAGTAATCAACTGACTGGTCATTAAACCTAGTGATCCGAAACCTTGCGCCACAATATCGCTCTGCACATCTCCGTCATAATTCTTCATGGCAATCACAAATCCTCCACTGCTCTTGATCATTTGCGCAACCATATCATCAATCAGGCGGTGTTCGTACCAGATCTTCTTGGCTTCGAATTCTTTAGCGTAGTCTTTCTCGTAGATTTCCTGGAAGATGTCCTTGAAGCGTCCATCGTAGGCCTTCAAAATGGTGTTCTTCGTGGACATGTAGAGCGGATAGCCCCTATCAAGTGCGAATTTGAAACTGGCATGCGCGAATCCTCTTATTGAATCGTCGGTGTTGTATTGTGTTTGGGCAACGCCGCCTGTTGCAGGGAAGTCAAAGACCTTGATCTTTTCTGGTTCGCCTCCGTTCTTAGGTGTGAAGACCATTTCCAACGTGCCTGCTTCGCGGATGACTGTGTCCTTGGCGCGATATTGGTCTCCAAACGCGTGACGACCAATGATGATGGGCTTCTCCCAGCCGGGAACGAGACGGGGAATTCGTGGGATCACGATGGGCTCCCGGAAGACAGTGCCACCGAGAATGTTTCGAATTGTGCCGTTAGGAGAGAGCCACACTGCCAGGCGCGTTAGTAATTGGGCATGGAGATGCGGAGATACTCTATATCATACTCTTCTTCAGGTGGAATTCCTCAACCCTGGCTTCATCCGGAGTGATAGTCGCACACTTCACGCCCACCGAGTACTTCTTGATGGCCTCCGCAGCATCCACGGTGACCTGGTCGTCCGTCTCATCTCTGTATGGCAAACCCAAGTCGTAGTACTTCAGATCGATGTCCAAATACGGGTAGATGAACTTGTCCTTGATGTCTTGCCAGATGATCCGAGTCATCTCATCGCCGTCGAGTTCCACGACGGGATTCTTGACCTTGATCTTCGCCTTGCCTGAGGACATGGTGCGGGTCTGGCTCTGTGGCAGGCCGAGTCTGCGTGATTCGGCGGCGAGTCTGTTCGATGCCGTGGGCGCCATCCTGGACGAGAGCGAAGAGGACGAGTGATATAGAGCCCGGCTCGAGAGTGTGGATCTTCTTGCAGCGCCGCCCACGAGCGCCGTCCGGAGAGGATTCATGTGGGTAGGGGAGAAAAAAGCTAGATAAAGGAACGGAGAGTGGCAGGTATATAAGAAGCTGTGAGGTCCGGGTGAGCAGACCGACGTGATCAGGTCGACTTGGGAGGATCTCTTAGCCCATTACCTTGACAACCGCAAACTTTGCACGTTGGGAAGTGCGCAGATAGCTCGGCTTGCTGGTGGTTGTTGTGGACACCCCTCTGAGGTGCCATCGGATAGAGATCTTGTGATTCAACAGCCGATGACGAGATGGACCAACAGCCGAGGATGAACATAGGCGGAATTGGTTCGAACTTTGGCTGCGATTGGCACCTGCGGGACGTGGGGTTTTCTGCTGCTTTGGCGGAATAATAATAATGAATAACGGCACACAATGGGATGCCACGGGGTGGCGAGCGCGGCTAAGGCTCCGAGATCGCTTCCCAACTTCGACCCTAGAAACTGGTTGCAGAATTCTTCCGCGCCAGACACGTTGAGAACGAGCAACAAACAAGTACCAATCAACTTACCAGCCTCATATCTTTCTGCCTCACGGTTTCCCCCCCAAAATTCCCTTCGTCCTTCACCATGGCCGATAAATTGCGCACTCTCCAACAACTCGAGTCCCTGCAGGCCAAATACGTAGGCACTGGCCACGCCGACACCACCCGCTACGAATGGAGCCAAAACATTGTCCGCGACTCTCTCGCCAGTTATGTCGGTCACCCTCCTCTGCTTGCGTACATGGCCCTCGGACTGGGAGAGAACAAGGAGATCGTAAGAGGACAGATGATTGAAAAGATGATCAGGGCGAGCGGACCGCCGCCACAAAGAGATGAGGACTGAAAGATATCGGGTTTCACATCAGACATCTTATGACAACAGACCACATCAAGAGATGAGGACGGACATTCAGCGTGCCCTCGACTTGTTTCGAGGATAGAGAACCGGCTCCCCCAACGTCCACGACGGACGTACAGCTTCACGGTCTTTTTCAAGCCAAACCAACCCTTGAGCTCTCCGAGACCGAGATCGACGCCGGCACATTATTTAGGCGGAGCTCTCGACACGCGAGCCCCCTTTCGTGAGTACCAAGCATTCGGGTCAGGAACGCCAATATTTTCTGGGGAGGAGTGGCCTTGCATGATTTCAGAACCTGTCAATTGCAAATCACGAAAGAGGAGCTTATTGCAGCCCGGGGTGGAAAGAAGCACGCGTGGGTCGGAAGCTAGGAGACGAACCAGCTATGGATATGGAATTTTTGATTTCGTACCAGGCCTTCTTGAAAGTACAATATGTGCAGTACGGGAAAATCTGTCTGCATATCAATCAAGTTGAACTCGTCATGCCCGTAAAAAGATTTGCAGTTCATTCTGTCCTTGCTTGCTTTCTCAATCCCTAGGGCAATTGTGGGAAACCACTGTGCCTCGTCCCCTGAACAAAACCACCAAGCTCTTCGCTCTGGAGAAAGAAATGGCCCGCGGATGGCCTGTTGAAAAGGACAAAAGAGAATATAAGTATGGATGGTTGTTGGGAGCGTATCCCGTGTCCATTCATCTTTGTCGACGATCAGCGTAGCCAAAGAAGTCAAGTCGGTGGCCGACCGCCGACGATCAACGCCATTTTCTCCCATTTTGACGCCGTTTGCCCATGCACCCCGTCTCCGTCAAGAAGTGATTCCGATTTCTTTTTTTGTCAAGATAATGCCCATTATTCGCTCCCGTTGCAGTGCTTGTGCGCTCTTCCGCTCTGTGGAGGACACTCTAACGAAATTTCATAGCCATAGCCTTTGCAAGTCTCAAAGGCTGAAATATCGAGCATCAGAACGTTAATACCGTCATTAGAAAATGCCATTGACAATGTTGCTGCCAATTGTGGCTCCAGCTCCGAAGATGGCAGCGTTGCCCATCTTCTTGCCGAACTTCTTGCCCTGCTCTTCGAGCTTGCTGTACTTCCGACCTTCTGGACCGCCGGCGGAAGAGCCTGATTGACTGATTTGCAGGGGCAGATTTCCGTACTCAGTCGACTGTGAGTGGACCATGGGAGGCCGTCGGTCCTCGATGACATTTACATAGCTTCGTGGGAAGATGCCTTCTAGATTTGTTCTTTCATTGCGACCTCTCCACCCTGAGATTTAAGTTAGCATCCAGTTGAACACAAGTGTTGATGGGTGACACGTACAATCATTGTTCATATGTTCCAGTACTTGTATCCGATCACCTTGCTGGAGTGCCAGGTCACCGGCATCTGTGGGCGTATATGCGTAGAGCGCGGATGCGATGGACAATATCGGAGGCGGGACGTAGGCTGGGGGAGGGAGAGGTGCAGGTGTAGGAACGGGAGCATATCCCTCCTTGAGGCTCATGCTTGAGAATTGATCGACGGGCGTGTTGGCGGTGCCATTGACGGGAGCGTGTAAAGGAGCATGTAGCGGCGTCTGGGCGGGTAGTTGTGCTAGGATGGAGGAGAGCTGTTCGGGGGAGATGATGGAGGTATCGGCGAGAAATTCCAGTTCCTATCCAAGGTCAATCTGGTGATCCGAGAAAGGGTCGGAGGTTGGGTGGTTACGCACGGTACGAATGGTACGAAGAGAGCGGTTCGTCAGGGCGATGGAGGCCTCGGTGGCCATGGTATCGCGAGGAAATCAAGACGATTCGGACGCGTATGAGCAGCAGAAGCGAGAACGCAAGAAGGAGGAAGAAGCGAAAAAGAGATAGAAACGAGAGTGATGGAACTCAACCTCGGGAGGTGGTGGGTGGTCGAGTCGATGGTCGTTTGACGGATGAGGGAGGAGGTCAGGTTACAAAGGGTTTGAAGGGCAGAAGGTTGGTGCAGTGCGGTCAGTCGGGGACGAGGTGAGGCGCAGGCAGTGCGTGCAAGATGACTGGCCTGCTGGGTAAAACGGGAGCGAGCGATCGGGCAGGGGAATAAGATGCGAGAGCCGGCGAGTGGTGGTTGTGGTTGGGAGGATACGAGTGTCAGTGTGGTTGGACCGTGGGCAGGCGACGGGTTGCTGAGGTGTTGGAGCGTGCTTGAGGGCCTGCCAGGTGGTCGCTGCAGGGTGTCCAAGTGACCCCTTTAGCCTGTCCCTATCCCGGCTGGGCCAGAAGGAAAGCACAACTGCTCGCTAGGCATGACTTGCTGGGTATGGCTAGGCTCCCTGGGCATTTGGGCGCGCCTGAAGCACTAGGGCTCGCAGGCTAACTACGCTGGTTAAAAGGGATGCCTGACTTTTCGGACCAGGAAGATCAAGTAATCCGTGTCTCAGAATGCCGACCGGGCTAGTGCACCCGGATATACCGGTATTGCCGCTTGAGGCTAGCGGCAGGATTTTAGCGGCATCGATCGCTATCTTTAACTGTGCATAAAAGTCCTTTAACTGGTGCCTGACATCCGAAAGCCTTGTCCAGCCTGTCAATCACAGTCGCGACTCATGGCCAGAAACAGAAGCAAGACCAGGGATTTCCCGCCCATGTGCGCTCCACCAAAGCCACTCATCTCCTTGCTGACTGTGTGCCTGCCCTTTCCATCTAAATCCAACGTCCATCTTCCATCAAAGAACAACAAAGAGAGAACAAGAAAAGAAAAGAAAAGAAGATGTTTGTCGCTTTGTGTCTCTTCCTCAGGACCGACCAACAATTCTCTAGTGCAGATCAGCTTTGGAGATGGTGCGAGTATGCGCCCGCAACTCCAAACATGAAGAGATGCGGTGTTCCCATCCAGACCATGGCTGCTGGTCGTGATATCAATGCTGAGGGGGCAAGTGATAGCCTTGCGGCTCCCTTTCCATTTGATGATGCCGATGCTGGTGCTGGCTGGCGTCAATGTCGTCTCCGTGAGTGTGAGTTTGGAGGGCATATCGTTCATTGTCCCCTTGTCCCCTTGTCTTGTTGTCTTGTCGTCTTCTTGTCTGCCATGCAATCGCCCGTTGTTTGGTCGTTGTTCCCTAGGCACATCCGCCTCGTGTGTAACTCTAAACTAGGAACCTAGGCGCGGTGCGCACAAAGCACACACAAACAAAAGCTGAGGAAGTGGGATTGCGCAGGCAGTGCGGTCCCTGGACCGTTTGTTCAAAGGTACGGAGCGCGATTGTCGTCGTGCGCACCAGGTTATATAATGCATGACGTTCACCGTCACCGTCCATTGGAGTCTGCTATATCTTGCCCGCGTCAAATTCACTGCTGTTGAAATCTGTCACCCATTCACTGGCCGTGCCTACAGCCTCACCCCAATTCACCGACCTATATCGCTGCAATCGACCCTTATTGTGAGTATTGCCCCCGTCGCTATTGTCCCCCATCGCGCCTCATTTCAAAACGTTGCGTTCACTGCGTTCACTGCGGCGCGATCATTGTCTCTGACCAACGATCTCCTATATAAATATTTCATCTGCCTCCCTCTTTCTCCCTCGACACTTTGTTCACAGACCATCTCCCGTTGCTTGAGTATCAAAGGGCTTCCTAACTCTAGATCGCTTATATACTCACATCGATCAAACAGACATCGACCCCACCCCTTTGCTGCTCCGGTCCTCCTTGCTTCAGCCAATCTCAGCCAACTTGTCACGAGAGACATTGCCGCACCGAGACGAAATGGCCGAACAACAGAGTCTCAGACCTCAATTCTTTGTCACCCGTCAGAATGGCGCCATGGTTCCGTTGATTGCCATGGATGAGCTGCCCATTCACGTCCAGATCGAGGGGGTTTCTCGAAGCCTCAGTGCCTTTGACGTCGCTGGCATGACGGGGGTTGGCGTCTACGAAGCGCGACACGAATACCACGTCGTGCAAAGCATGAACAACACCACCCCAATCCCGTTCAACCCCATCTGCGCTCCTCCATCTCCGGCCTCGAACGCCTCAAAGCCAGATTCCACTGTCACCGCTCCCGTGTTGCGCCCAACCACTCCATCAACCCCGACCGTGTCCAAAGCGCCCGATGCCGCTGGAGATCAACCTAGTGAAACGGCCAGCAACGCCGTTCCATCTTCCACGGGCTCGAATGAGGAGGAAAGCAAGTCGTCTCGACCCACCACCCCACCGGCCAGTCCTTCTGCAACCATTCAGCCTTGCACGACCACCGCAACCGCCACCGCAACGACTACCGCCACAGCCGCCACGACGACCACCTCCCCTCCTCTGGCATGGCGAATTAAGGCCACGGCCATTCCTGCAGGCAACAGCCCTCCTGCTGACCTAGACCCAGACATGCCACCAGTGGGCCAGAAAGTGTACTGCTCGTACTGGCTACGCACCGGCGAGTGCAACTTTGCGCAGCAGGGCTGCATGTTCAAGCACGTGATGCCGATGAAGCTCGGTGTGCTGGAGGTGCTGGGCTTCCGCGACCTGCCGGACTGGTACCGCAAGGCGTACAAGGTGGGCAGCCTGCGCGTCAACGGCGGGCGAAACGGGCTCAGCTACGGCATCTTCGACGGCAGCAAGGCCGCGCCGCCGCCGCCACCGCCGCCGCCACCGCATTCGCATCATCAGCACAAGCGCGTCAGTCTGAATGCGGAAGCCACCCGGCGCATGATCGCCACGCACATCAACGCCCTGCCCGTTGGCAACGGCAGAGGCGGCCGATATTACCACGCCGACCGAGCCCCACGGGCCGGCGGCAACCACCGTGGCCCTGGCTTCGCCCACGCGCGACCCACGGCCTCCGAGGTCGACAGGGCCCGCGCCGCCGAGAGGGAGCGCCGCGACGAGCGCCTCGCCGCCGCCTTCGCCGCCGACATGGACAGCGAGCTCGGCGACATGATGGATGCCCAGATGGAGAAGATCCGCGAGCAGGAGCAGGCCGGGTGGGAGGAGGAGCAGAATGCCGCGCGGGAGGCGGCCGCCAAGAAGGGCGAGAGCGGCGAGAGCGGCGAGAGCAGCGAGGAGGGCGAGAAGAAGACTGCTGCTGCTGATGTTGCTGGTGATGCTGGCGCTTCCGCCGTTGTTGGGAATGCGAAGAAACAGGGCCGCGGCGGCAAAAATCCCCGTCGGAAAAAGGCACAGGGCCAAACGCAGAAGAAAGCGTAGACCCAACCTCACGACCAAGCCAGATCAATGGCCGGCCGTCAACGACAACAACGATGGAGGATGGATGAAGAAATCATGAGCAATCAGAGCTGGTGTCCTTTCAGCATAGCATAGCTCGGGAGTTTTGGCGGCGGGCCGGTGACGGAGAGAGGAACGATTCAAGCGAGCTTTGGGGGATTTGCTGGTATGAGATTTCAACATCATGTCAAATGCCGGGTCCGAAATTTATACCTATGTCGTCTTTCTCCAGAGATACTATCTTATCTCTCCTCTCTCGATCGAGAGGACGATCGAGAGGGGGGGATAGTCGGAATGAACAAACAAATGAAAGACTTCACGTCAAAGGCCCAGACCTTCCCTTTACAGTGTTTTGCAAATGTTCCGTTGAGATCTATTTTGTATCCCTAGTTTTACAAAGACCGCTATGGTCTCAAGGGCGCTGGTCTTCCCAACGCCCGAACATACTCGTGCACTAATTCCTTGCCATCGAGTACCGGGGATTGCTGTGCCGTCTGACCCTCGCCCAGCAGCTTCTGCTCCTGTCTCGCGATCAATAGCTCCTTGACCCTAGAGGGCTTCAACTTCCAGTTCTCAGGAAACTCGATTTTCTTTTGCGGCTTGTGATGTCTCAAGTCGAGTGGGATGTCTTCAAACGTATCCTTCCCGTTGCGCGCTTCGTCCAGTACCTTCTTGACCAGATCTCCCAGATAACGCTTGTTCTGCGCGGGCGCCTCAAAGGTTTCGCACGACATCTTGATCACGTCCGTATCTGGGTTGTAGCGCGGGCCGACGAGTTTGAGGAGTTTAATCCGCTGTTTCTCGGTGAGATTGGGGAGGTCTTTCGAGCAGAATTGTACAACCACTTTACGGGCAGCTGGGTGGTATTCGCCCATGTACGTAGTGTAGCGGAAACGGAGGGGCGTAGCCTCCGTAGGGGGTGTGAACGGTTTTGCGAACTCTGGGAAAGATATATTAGTAAGAACGTCGAGGCAGGCATAAGCCGCAGGAGACTTACGCTGTAATAAGGGCATATCCCAGGCAATGACCCGTGTGTATTCCCGGACCTCTCGGTGTAGGTCCAACTCGTTATGCGCAACACTCGAAATAGCACTCTCGTCCCACTCCTCATCGCCGTCTTCCACTTGCGTGAATTCGTCGTCCTCTTCATCCAACGCCCAGAAGCCCACTTCATTGCCTTTCAACGGGACGTCGGGGAAATCCAAGGGTTCGACTTCCTTGCCGATTTCTCGGTCTACGCTGTCGACAAGTTTCTCCATCAAGGGGTCTTGGGCGTTGGGATCGGCGTTGAAGTTGATTCCAGCTTCTTCGAATTCGGCCGCGTAGTGATTCTGCAAGGCCAGGTACGACTCTTGGTCCTTGGGCGAGAGCATTTGGAAATCGGCGAGTTCGTCGGGGTCTAGGTCGGCAAGGGTGATGGGTGTAGAGGGGATTTTGTAGCCGCCCTCGGGAGGTCGACTGAGGTCCAAGCCTTCATCATCTTCCTCACCATCTCCGTCCTGGTCAAAGGCACTGATCCTTCGGTCTTTGTCTGCCCGGCGCGGCAAAGTCGTCGAGAGTTGTCGAAATTGGGTGCTCGTGCTTGTGACTCGATGCCGTCGCGTGAAGAGCTGCGACTGTGCTGCTTGACATTTTCGCTTCACGGGTATTTGTCGACTGACCTGAAACAATGACCGACATAAATGCCGTGCCGTGGTGGCCATTGTTGCCGGTGTCTTTGGATCTTGTAAACCTGCGCATTGGGGAGCTTCAGATAAATTTCCCCAAAATCGCATTCGCATTTGGGGTCCTTATAGTCGGCCGTACAGCGGTCGGGCCCCTTAGAGCCCATATGATCCACCCAAGAACATGTCTTGGGTAGTGCCACTTCATGGTCCTCCTCATGCTTCCTCCCTTGTCGCAATTATCTCCTCGAGAATTTGGATAATGAGCGATCCGAAAGCATCTAGCAATGTCTCTGGGAAGCGATGCTTTGTGACCATCGGCGCAACAGCTCCCTTCAATAGTCTGGTCCGCGCCGTACTGGAGCCAGCATTCATCAAACCTCTTCGCGATGCAGGATATACGCAACTACGAATCCAGTATGGCAATCACGAGGGCGAAGCCATATTCCAGGAGCAGACCAGAGCTCTAGCGGAAGCCGATCTCGATAGAAGCATCGAGATTACAGGCTTCGGGTTCAACAGAGAAGGGCTGCGAGGGGAGATGCTTGCAGTCAAGGGTCGAACCCAGCAGGAGGAGGGGATGGTCATCAGCCATGCCGGTTCAGGATCAGTGCTTGACGCCCTCCGCATCGGTGTGCCCATTGTGGTGGTCCCAAACACCGATCTCTTACACAACCACCAAGTCGAGTTGGCCGAGGCTCTAGCCGAGCAGGAGTATGTAATTCATGGCAAGCTGGACAATCTCGCGGGTTCGATAGCGAGCGTCGACGATTTGCGGAAGAAGATGAAGAAGTGGCCGCCATTGCGGTCAGGAGAGGAGAAGTACAAACGGGGACTGGAGGACGTGATTGCCGAAGAAATGGGCTGGCAGATCGATTGATTTTCGCACAGCCGGGTTGGGCGCTTCTTGGATGATGTCAAACTTGTGGTCTGGCTCATGTCCTATCTTGGAACCGGTTGGTCGTGAAGCGAAAATGGGATCAACAAAGGTCAGCGATATGGTTTTCAATGAATTGTTCAGGTCGACCGTGGCGTTGAGATTTCCCTCAACCTATTGGACGTGACAACGAATTATCAACCTCTGTTCCCTTGGCCTTTTGCTTCTGCCACAAGGATGCCCGAAGCTATTCAGTGACGGCTTCGCGGATTTTGAGGATCAGCTGGGTGAGCTATGTCCTCTTTTCAACTGCACATCCACCTATTCAGTTCTTTCACCGGACCCGGGGTGACCACCGATGCCCATGCTCGTTGTTCCAGTCAGCCCCTGCGCTTCGGTCTGCTAAGAGGGAAGACCTCGGCTTCAGACCCTTTCACTTTGCAGACAGCAGTGCTCAAGAGTTACGACATCAGCAGCGGAGACTGGAATCCGGATGGCCATCCATGGTAGATCGCATGCTGCGCCGTGCACCTCTCCCCATTTGCTCCACTCGTCAAGTGCTCTACAGCCCTTGGACTCTTCAGGCTTCGGTTGTGGGTAAGAAGGCTCCGAGGAAGGCCAGTGTTCGGTGATAGCGATATTTACATGGTCCGTCGATGGTCTTGGCTAGGAACTGCCACTTTCGTATCTTCTTGGTTGGGTCTTCCTCACGTAACCATTCCGGGTCATGCTGCTGCTGAATGCGAAAAATCTGCAGCATCAGACCGTCGACCTCGTCATGATACCAATCGCATGATTCCTCATCGTTTAGGGTGATTTCGTCGCTATCATCATACCATTCAAATATCGACATACGGGTCGCTCGTTTCAGGGCATCCCACGCCAAAACAGGCCCTGTGACCTCGGTGCCTTTGTCAATCAACGCCTGAATACGCGGAAGAAAGGGTTTCATGGACTCTGGCCAAAGCACAAGCGACTGCGATCCCTTGTTGGCGTATGCTGACTTGATTGCACTTGCCCTTGCGACGGACGCCCCTAACATGATGCTGCAGCGCTCCTCATAAGCTTCATTGAAGGAATAGTCAAAGGCTCTCTCTTGGTACGCAAGCAGTTGGCTCTGGGTGAAGGTGCAAGTGGCTGGATGTGCAAGTAGCGTCTGGACCACTTCCTTCAGATCCGAGAACGACAGGTGCTGAAGGACAACCTCTGGGGCTGAAGACTTGTTAGCATCGAGCTGAACCAGCCAATGTAAGAACCGCAATCGTACAAGTCTCGGGTTTGCTAGGTACGGCCAGCCGCTTTGAAGGTTCATCGGGCACGTAACTGTGCTCTCGCTTGAGTTTTGTAGCCATATTGAAAGACCTGGGGCGTTGTATTGATAAGGAATGGGGTGAGAACAAACGTCTTCTTGTCCCCGAACTTAATGTCGGCGACGCGTCTAAGGGCCAGAAACGCGTTCTTGGACACGCGTTGCCACCAATTCATATAACGCCCTATCGGTCACTGATATAATCCCAGCCCAACAGCAAGGCGGAATCAAGCCATAATGCTGGCATATTATACACTGATCCTTTGAGAGACACGTCAGGGTGGAAGCTTCAGAAAGAGCTTCTATCGAGCGTGTTTCGGTTCTTTCAATTATGGGTGTTGCCAAATCACATTTCAACTAAAATGGCGCCTCATTGACAGTATTAAGGAAGAGTCTATGATCGTGTGATGAGCTGGCATTCCCGGTGGTATGCAAAAAGAACAGGCGGAACTCGCAAAGGAAAGCCGAAGGTGAATCTCATGGCCATGCTATTCTTCAAGGTCGCCATCGAGTCTGATGTCGCCGCCGCCACATTGTGAAGCGCGCCCTTTCCCACGATCCTCCTTCGGTTTCCCATATTCTACGCCCCAGGTTTGACTGGATTTCGGCCTCAAACTCAACATTTTGTCAATCTTCTGAGATGTCTGTAATTGTGCGTCGGTAGTTCGGTGCGCCACCCTCTCTCGATTAGAGTGAAGCATACCAGCGCCGGGGTCATAGCCGCGTATGCCGTAGTAGTCCTGCACCCGCTTTTCTTGTGCCTTTCTCTCTGCCTTGATTTTCTTGTTCTGCATTGCTCTTTCTCTGCTCTCTTGTCTTTTCTCGGCTCGCTCTCTCTCTTCTTTCTCTCGTCGTGTCTTGCGTTCCTGCATTGCGGCTTCTTTGCGAGCTTTGGACTGTGCCCTTCGCGCATCTTGCTTGCTCTTCTCGACTTCTTCCATCGCACGGTCTCTAATGCCCTTGGATCGTGCAAACGAGATGCGTTCAAGTATCTTGGTTGATCTGACTTGATGTGCTACCGCTATTCCGGGGGCTGGTAAGGGGAGACTGGAGCCAATACTTTCTTGATAGGTACGGGGAACACATCCCATAAAATCGTGCTGATCGTGCCCTGCTGTCTGGCCAGATGCGCTTTCTTCAAAGTCGACTTGCTCATGCGCTGGTGGGTGTCATCCTGTTCACGCAGGAGTTGTTTCGTCCCAGCTGAGTAGAGACTGACGTGAGTGAGATGCGGATAGAATCGAGTTGAACCGGGAGAAGTGGCGCTCACTTTTTCGGTGGATCGTCAATATACAATGGATGAAGAGCGCTAGAAGCAAGACAATAAAGATAGGCGCGATGAAATATTCCAGGAATTCGATGAGGTTGTGGGAAGCCATAGGTGAAGAGACTGACTAGCAAGCAAACAGAAGGCGACTTCGCGTGACGGGTAGAAAACAGGGAGTTCCTGTTCATGACTCGCGCCAAACCACACCTTGTCGCCCGGACAAGGCAGGCACGACCATCGTGGCGGAGTGCAGGTTTGAGGTCGAACAAACTTCAGCTGTGATCTCTGTATTTGACTCATCTTCAAATGACTGGGTTTAATTTCGTTACGCGCATAGGCTTCCTTTGCCACCGGCGGTCTATATGCAATATGCATAATACCTAACATGGTCTTTATAGCATCGCCGTGTTTTAGTCGGAGACAGGAAGCGAATGCCACGTCGAACCAGGATTTGATCGGCTCCTCCAATGTACCGCGGGCGTCTGCTACCTGGGAGTGGATCGAGATTAGCGATTTTGGCACCCGAAGGAGGCGTTTATGTCCAGAGGACACCCCTTCAGGCACAGGTCTTCGCTTGATGGCTTCGCGTATGTGGGAAGGCTTCTGATCTCATGGTTTTGGCCCTGTCCTCATCGTCTGTTGTCATTTGCACCCGGTGGACCGCTCATATTGAAACCGGGTGGAGGAGGGGCTTGTCCTTGGTTCATGCCACTACCAGGTCCCGGGCTTGGTCCCCCTGGTGGGCCTTGCTGGCCTTGTTGACCTGGAGGTGGGAAACCGCCAGGGCCCCCTGGAGGAGGAAATTGAAAATTGGGAGGGAATCCTCCTGGTGGTGGAGGAAAAGGCAAGCCATTTGGGAGGTTTGGAGGAGGAGCGCCACTGGGCGGGAAGGGTGGAAACGGCATTCCACGACCGCCGCCAGGCGGAGGTACTACACCTCCAGAACCTGGCGGCGGAGCACCAGGCATTCCGAATGGGGGAGGAGGCATTCCTGTGAGGGATATCGATGAGACAAAGATTCAGACCGGGCCGAGGCCGAACATACCTGGGAAGCCAGGGAGAGGTGGAGGAAATCCTGGCGCAGCCTGTTGAAGCATGGGATTTGCTTGACCTTCGGCGGCGTAAGACGATGTGATCGAGTCAATAACCGACTGTGCCTTCTCGTGGCCAATCTCTGAATTTTGTTAAACACTGTTGAGCTCTTCCTGTCTTTTGGTACGTACGCTGATAATACTCGACGACATTTCTCAGGTGATTTCGGCCAGCATTGTGAGCCTTGCGCACAGACATCGAATCATGTGTAAGGTAGACATCGCAGTAGTCGCAAAAGAGTACTGCGAATGTCAGTCAAACAGTCATGGGAGGGGATGGAACGACTTATATTTGGGCATTTTGATGGCTGAAACTGCTCGAGCTCAATCTTAAGAACAAATGGGTCGTTGTATTCAGCGTTGGCAAGTAGACCAGTAGCTAGGTAGCTTGATGGCTCTGCGGTGCGTGTTTCTACGTGTTGTGAAAGTCGGCTGCCAGTGGCGGAGGAACAAATCTACAAAGGCGGTGTAAAGCGGCAGAATTTTCTCTGGTCGCGTCTGGACACTGGACTCGCGTCTTCTCTTGTCTGGTCCCTATTCCTCTCCGAAACAACTACACCATCGACATAATGCGGTGATTGAAGCAGCAATCCCTTTCAGTATCAGTCTTTGCTTGTTTGGAATACTTGTGGTCGACATGGCCGACGGTGGAAGCCTGCACAATGTGCCGCTGGTGCTGGACAACGGAAGTGGCACCATTCGAGCTGGCTTCGCCGGGACCGATCTTCCTGCGGCCTATTTCCCTTCCTATGTTGGTCGACCTAAACACGTCCGTGCCCTTGCCGGCGCTCTGGAGGGAGACGTCTTCATCGGTCCTAAGGCGCAGGAACTACGAGGCCTCCTGAAAATCAAGTATCCGCTTGAACACGGAATTGTGACTGATTGGGATGATATGGAGAAGATTTGGACCTATGTCTACGAGCAAGAGTTGAAAACACTGAGCGAGGAACACCCTGTCCTCCTCACAGAGCCGCCTTTGAACCCGAGACAAAATCGAGACACGGCCGCCCAGATCCTATTTGAACAATTCAACGTCCCTGCGATATACATGTCTATCCAAGCCGTTCTGAGTCTGTATGCGAGTGGTCGAACGACTGGTATCGTTCTGGACAGTGGGGATGGTGTCAGTCATGCCGTTCCTGTCTACGAAGGGTTCGCAATTCCCAGCAGCATAAGGAGAATCGACGTGGCGGGAAGAGACATCACAGAATACATGCAACTGCTCCTGCGCAAAAATGGACACGTCTTTCACACCAGCGCAGAAAAAGAAATTGTCCGAATCATGAAAGAGAAAACCGCATACATCGCCCTCGACCCACGAAAAGAAGAGAAGGACTGGTCACAAGGGATATGGAAGAACGAGAAAAGGGATGTCGAGTATGTGCTCCCAGATGGCCAGAAGATCAAAATCGGGGCGGAACGATTCCGGGCACCCGAGATTCTGTTCGAGCCAGAGTTGATCGGACTGGAGTATCAGGGCATCCATCAAATGGTGGTGGATGCCATCAACCGGACGGACATGGACCTCCGCAAAAACCTTTTCGGCAATGTTGTCCTCAGCGGCGGAACCACTCTATGTAAGGGGTTTCCGGACCGACTTCTGTATGAAATGCAAAGGCTGGCGGTCAAGGACATGCGCATCAAGATATACGCGCCCCCCGAGCGAAAGTACAGCACCTGGATTGGTGGTAGCATCCTTGCTGGGTTGAGCACATTCAGAAAGGTACGTGGCCACCAAATTTTCATTGTTGGCTCACCACTAATCCCAGGCTAGATGTGGGTCAGCATTGACGACTGGCACGAGAATCCGGACGTTATCCACACCAAATTCACCTGATGGAGCGTCGTCCAGCGCGGTAGTGCTCGTTGAAGTCGTGGCCAGGAGTTTGAGCACCTCGGCTTGGTCACATCCAGCCCACGAAACGATGAGCCATCTGGCGGTGAAGGCAAAAACAAAAGCAAAAAGCCTTTTGTGTGTCAGGCACCACCGGCAGCGCGCAATGAACACCCATTACCCGGCGTCACGGAGAGGCCAATTTTGGATCGGGTGATCGATGACACCCAGGGCCACCGTCTTGGGCAACTGCGGGGAAGTGCCGAGAATCCGGGGATGGGTCTAGCCATAGGTCGACATGCTCTGGAAGCAATACCCGGATCGAGGCAGACAAACATAAACATCAAAGGGCGGACGTTCCCTCTGTTCGACGGGCCGGGCGAGATCGTATCGATCCTCCTCAGGGGTAAAAGCCAACACGTGTCGGATTGTCAGGCCGACAAGTCAGCAAACAGGAGGACCAAAACAGAGTCTACCAGGAGAAAGAATGCGGGAAAAGCAAGGGCTGTTTCAGGGGCCCCGGCCTCTGCGGTGGTTGCGGCGGTTGCGGTGGTGAGCGTGGTGACTGTGGTGACGGCTGGAGAAAGGAAAGCAATCTATTACCCCCAGGAAACGACGGTCCCCGCTCTGGGCGCCAGACGATTACCCCATAGATTGCTTCGGAGGGCAGCGCGTGGCGGAGGATCAGGCTCACCAGGCCGCACTGAGGCTGGGCATGACTAACGGATTCTCCCAGCTGGAGCGGGCGTCGCATCTGGTCGCATCTCGTGGTCAACCTGACGTCTTGCTGCAGCCAATCAGCCCCTCGCCGGCGACTCCGCCAGAGGAATTTTCTACCAGAGACTTTCGCCATCGCGCAGCTTCCGCCCATCACGCAAGTACTGTCACCACCTTACTCTGCTCTTGGTTTTCCTTGGTCTCCAATATCCACCGGCTACCGTGTCACCTTTCTCCTTATTCCATGACGCCAGTCTTGTCTATTTTCCCGCTCGTTGTGTCGCCATCTGTCCTTGTCCCCATCGTGACCTGCAAATTTGCACCGCCGCGCTTTGCAGTTAACGGCAGGCCTGTCTCAACCTTGGCCGACACTTTCCAGTTAACTGCAAGGTGCGAGCAGGTGCTGGGTTTCTATCGAGTAATGGCCCCAGAATTCACACTCTCCGTGCCTGTGACGGCCCCTTGCTTGCGTCTTGACTGGGGATCGTCGCGTCAACTGCTCCTTGTTGTCCGTATAGAAAATTTTCTCTCACAAGTGGTCCGTGATCTGTATATAATCACCTGGTCCCCTGGTCCTCCTCGTGACGGCATTCTTATTTCCCATCCCAAGTTGCCTATTACTACTGACAGAAGCCGCATCGTCATTGACCGTGCGGAAAATACCTCAAACCAGCCACCGACAACAACAACACGAACTACTGACTTACCACTGTCACCTGACAGCTCGACAGAATCCAATCGAATCCATTCCTGGCTCTAGTCCGCACAACATCCTCACGCGTGCACCAATCATAAATACTCCTGACCCAACACCACACAGGGGAGTCTCGACGCAGCACATACCAGGTCAATACATCATCACAATCGAGAACATTCATCCTCGAAACAAATAAGAAGAACTCATTCAGTCAAATTTGACAATTCTGTTTGACAAGTCACAACACAACCACACCAACACCAACTCTCCAAAGATGTCGTCAAGATCCTACTCGATCGTCGAACCACACCCCTCAGTCACCAACAACACACACTTCATCTCGACGGGGCGGGGCGGCTTCGGCAACGCCGTGAGATCCTCGTCGAGCAGCGCCTCCGCATGGGGTAGCGACGCCAGCACCGGCGGACGCACGTCATCGTCACGGCTCGGCTCCCTGGCGTCGTCGACGACCTCGTCGGCCTCCAGCTCCAGGAAGACCTTCACCTCCGGCCGCGGCGGGGCGGGCAACGTGTTCCCCAGCTCCGAGCGCGCCATCTTCAGCTTCGACGAGGAACTCGAGCAGCAGCTGCGGTGGGAGCGCGACGCCGCCCCCGTGTACCACGTCGGCAGGGGCGGGGCCGGCAATGTCGGCCACGTCGGCAATAACAACAACAACAACGGCAGCACCAGCGCCAACGCCATGATGATGAGGCGGAGGCCGAGCGAAGCCAGCTCCCTCTCGGCCACCAGCGCGAGCTCGCACGGCAGCGAGTCCGGCGCGGACCAATTCAACCGCAGCGTCAAGAAGGGATGGAAGAAGATCACCGGCATGGGCATGCATCACCACCATCACCACCTCCAGCAGTAACATGATCGTCACCACATCATAGGCTGGGGGTGAGGACAGGACTGGCTACGCTCATGACCTCTCAGCATCTCCGTCTCTTCCTTCTTCGATTTCTTCTCATGACCTTTTCTTCTCAACAAGCATCACATCATCACATCGTTAGTTACCATCGTCGCACTTCATCGCACTTCTCTCTGTCTCTCTACGAATTGGGCTAGCCGGAGTTTTCACACACACAAATCGAGGCGCGATTCTTGTTCCCTTTCCGGAGAAAAACATCCGGATGATGATAACGACGACCAACACACTTAACGACCACTGGGACGATGATTGATGAGACACTACATTTTTTCTTTTATTGTCTTTATTTCACTGCTCTATTCAGGCGTGGCGTTCTGGAGATTTTGTTGTTGCTTTCCATGCTCCCCTCCCGGGTTGATGAGTTTTCAACTTGGAGCTGGGGATCGGGGAAGGGAAACTGGTGACCAGGGGCAAAAAATGGGTATTGACATTGGCATTACACATTGGCATTACACATTGCATGGTCGCTGGCGAGCGAGGGTCACCGGACATAACAAGCATGGCATGCATGGCATGGACGGACAGACAGACAGACAGATGGGCATGATATGGTATGGTAGGGCAGGTTACGGACGGTGCATGGCAAGGGGGAAACAAAAACATGGAGCTTCCTAACGAGTGTCTTGTTGTCGACAGATATTTCTGAGCTGCCTTTTGTCGGCGTGGCCCCAAGTCTCAAGGGTTCATGCTCGACGACAATAGCAAAATCGTTGCAAGGCATCTGTAATTCAGCTTACTTTGACGTTTCATTAATCCTGTACATCATGTCTCATTCATTCCACCCTTCTCTCAACACCCTGCCTGCTCACAGTAAGGTACTTGACGCCTTTGTACGGCCGGACGCCGTCGCCCAATCCCTTGGATTTCTTCACGTCGACCACTAGGCTGTCGACCTTGATCCCGCTCGGGAGCCATCCCTTGACACTGAATGAGACCGAGATCGATCTTGGCATCAGCGCCTTGGTTGCTTGTGTCCTTTTGGAGTTACCATTTCCTGATGGCTCGGATGTTGTGCCCTGATTGGCGACCACATCTTCCTGGTAATACCCTGCCATGGTGTTCTGTTTCCCGATTTCGGCCGCTTGGGTCTCTTCATCCATGTCATTTTGCACGTTGAAGGCACCCGCCACTGTGCCCGTCAATGTCGCTGTTCCGTTGATCGATGCGCCATCCTTGGTGGGGACTTTCCATTCGACGACTCTGTCAAATGCATTGAATGTGGCTTCCCCCCTCGAGGCCTTCAATTCGGTGACGCTCCGCACGTCGGAAGGAAAAGGTATCGTGACCATCACGGCTTCCAATGTGGGGGCACTGGAACTACCACTGCTGGCACCGCCGAAGGACAGAGAAGAGATCGGGCCTGAGCTTGTCCGCGAGGCGCTTGGTTTGGTCGCTGAAGAGACCCCAGGAAAGTTATTGTTCAACGTCAATTTGGCTTCAAACTCGGAACCGGAACTACCAAGTCCACCTCGCAGATCTACTGTGGCTGGAAGGAATATTCTGTCACTCTTGCTAGGAGGCTGATCCGTGTCGAGGGAAGACGGCATCAGGTCAGTCTCGTAACCTGCAAGCATGAAACGGCCGTCTGGAGGGACAAATGACAGCTCCCCCGGGTGCTCTTTCCATCTGACTAACCGGACGCAGGGATGGAAGACAGGGAGTTGCATAGTGCGGGTGATTCCCGAAGTTTTGGCACTGCTGGTGCCTCCGGGCGCAGTCAATACCAGAAGCAAATCGGGCACACCAGATATTTTGGCTGTGAAGGCAATCGAGCCGTGTGAGCGTGCGGATATGGGACGCCCTGAAGGAGCGAGGATGACAGACAGATTCTCAATGATATCGACATAGAGCTCGTTAGAGGTGTGCCGGACATTGGACTTCCGCCATGGGATTGCCGGTCCTACAGGGGGCGAAGCAGTTCCACGCAGGCTGGAGGAGAAGTTGCTCGACGGTCCGAGAGCGGGCGAAGTCCTGCAAAAGATTAGCACCGCGTATGGTTGCGAGACTTGGTCCAAAGTGTACCCAGGCAGTCCGACGTGGGTGAACAACTTGCCCAGCACCGAAGAAACCTCTACCGACTCTCTCAGCGCATTGGGTTCGGTGTTGCATATTATGCCCCCATCACACATTTCACCCAGTAATTGCGCCACAATTTCATAGTTGTCCTCAATCTTTGTGGTTAGGAGGGGGCTCCCGAGAAAATCCTCAAAGACATCGAGGACTCGATGAAGGAAATCGAGGATGGCCAGCGACTGGGCATCTTTGCCAGACACTGCAATCAGCTGGAAGGCTGAAGGGGAAATCGAGTACGCGGTGGTTGGAGGGGCAAGGTCTGAGAGCTGAAGGATGGATGGACGAGGGCCAGGTCGCGCAGTCAAGCTGGTGATGAGGGTCTGCGCAGACGGCGGGCGACCTGAATAAATGTGTTCGAGGACGCAGTTGCTTGCATAGGGTTAGCAGTCCGGGTTGCTATGGCGGACACAGAGACAGCCTACTTGTGATCATCAAAGATGTAGAGCGCGTCAATGGTGACGCTCATATTGGGAGGAAGGATGTTCAACCAACAGCCCGGTGTATGGCGGGCATCTCGCTGATTGATCTCGCCTGCGCAGCCAGATCCCTTGCCACTTTAACGAATACTACGGCAGACAACAAACTGACCTATTCTACAACTGAGGCCCCTCGATAACGTAGCTGTTTCCCATCTACTCTGCGTCGCGTGCAGAGGGATTGATCGAAGCACCCATTCCAGACAGGAGTCAGTGCGCAGCACACTCGTCTGTGTGTCTCCCACAACTCGTTTCCCGCATCATAGTGCAAATCAGGCAAGTGTTACGGCAGTCTAATGAACAAGCTAACCAAGCCTATCGAGGTATGTACCACGTCTGGACTGGCCATTTGCTCTACCTACGACATCTCCTCGAAGCGAGCTGAACTGGGACCCTGACTTCGCTGCTTATACTAGCATGGAATGGGACGTTGTTGCCATCGTGGCGTCAGCATCCGGCATCCAGCAGCCATTACTTCAGCCCTGCAGCCCATGCCAATGTGCTTGATTGGCTCTCACATCGCACCGAACAGACGCTCGGTTTCTTATTTGCGAGGAAGAGAGCGGTCTAGTTGAATATTTTGCTTGACAAAGGTTTTGTGAACACACGGCCCAGACTCCAGCTTCACAGAATCCGTGCGCGCAGGCTGTTAGGCGTGGCTCCAGGCTTCAGACTACTTCGTTCTGTCACAGTCATGCTCCAGTTGCTCACGTCCAAGGAATAGCGACCCACGAAGTTGCGCTTAGAAGGAAACCTTCCTATCCGCCCAAGCGACACCGAAAGCCTTGCGGGTTCTTCAGCTCCACGCAGCCAGCCACATATACAGGTGCCTTTGAGATAGAACGGATTCTCCTCTGACTAAGTGTGCAACCTGTTTGGCTGCAGTGGATACGATGCACCAGAGTTTAGGCCACCATATCTCACCTAGCGAGCAGCCTAGCAGCCGTTTCTTACCCTCAGCGTTCGCTAGCCCCAATCCCGTTGCCATACGAAGCGACGCGCATTGACCGACGGAAAGACCAAGGAGAGTATGCTGGTTATCTGAGCCCTTTATAAACGATGACTGCCCCCTTCCCTTCTATACTCAGCAAGCTTGTGTCAACCTGACCAGAACTCTCAAGACATTTTTCACTGTGACAGCCATTGAACGACACTCGACCCCAACATGGGTATCAAAACACTATTTCCAGCTTCCAGCCAGAAGCCCCGATCGCAGTACTCCATTGCAGGAAATATTGGATCTGGCAAGAAGACCGGCTTCGGCCCCTTTTCCGGTTCTGACATTGCTGTAAGTAGATTTCTAGACGAAGTCGTCTGTTTCACCGTGTGGTGGAACTAATCCGTCCCAATCCTTTTAGCTTCTCAAGGACAACTTCACCGTAACAACATGGCTCCTCATGGGCGGTGCCCTTCAGATTCTTCTCTCGTTCATCTTTCCTCGATCTTATGCCGCTTTCCCTGTCCTGCTCATCTTGGGATGGAACATTGTCGATGCGTTCTTGATGCACTTTGGCCTGAAAAAGAACATCTGGGCCGAGGGCGTCATTGATGGCAAATGGAGCGTGGGATATCCTTCCGAAGAAGAGACAGAGGTGGTCCATGGCAACCCCGGCGAGAATGGCCCACGTGCCGTCATGATTCTAGGAGCAAGGAGCAATTCGCCCCTGGGCATGTTTGCTGATGGTAAGGATCGACTTTTTTTACTTCAAATCAACCTCCTCTGACCGTCTTATGTTCCAGGCTATAAGGAAGTTGCCGATCGGTTTCGGGACATGCTTGTGCAATTAGAAGACACTCGAGAAGAAAGTGGTTGTAAGTCGCTTGCTTTCCCTTCCCACGCATCTTCTCCGCTAACTCTCTTCAGTCATGGGTATGTCGACTTGGATCAATGGCGGCGAACGGTCCACAGGCAACGAACTCGCCACCATTTCGTACTGGCGCTCGGTGGAGGACATTCACAGGTTTGCACTATCACCGATTCATCGTGAGGCCTGGAATTGGTGGAACGACACCGTGTCCAAGCACAAGCACATCGGTATCATGCATGAAATCTTTGCCCTGCCAGAGCATCAGGGCTGGGAGGGCATCTATATCAATTACCACCCAACCGGCCTGGGCATGACGACTCGGGCTGCCGGCGCGGCCGCAAAGGGAAGTGAGAAGCTGTGGATCAACCCTATCGTGGATGCCAGCCGAGGCGTCTACCGAACCAGCCGAGGACGGATGAGCAGAGGCGACCCCGAGGGCAAGAGCAACGACAAGGTGGCCCAAAATCCCTATTCCCAGGCTATCCTCGTAAATTAGGAGACGAGGGTGGTGCAGGAAAAGAAGCGCCGGGAGAACGCAACCATGAGAAACGGGGTATACGTGGCGAGATCCAGCATACCATTTCCACCGCCCTTTTTCTTTGTGTAAGGAGCCCGGTTTTTCTGATTTACTATGCAGGCAGAATAGTTCATTACCAACCCCAATTTGACATCCATCAAGAACCATGTCCTCCCGCCTCCTTCGCGCTCTTATACTAAATACAACAGGACCTCCCACCCTCTCCTTCAGGTTTCCTGTCTTTTATTCAGTCTCGCCTGTGCGCGACGAGATGCTGGCCCGCAATCAGCGCAAAGACCACGGCGCCGGCGCCGACGGTCACCTTGGCGAGGTCGGACAGCGGGCTGCCTTGGAGCGAGCCGACGATGACGCTGCCGGCGTCGATGGTGTCGACGACCAGGCCGAGCCACACCGCCGCGCGGAGGGCCGATTCTCGCTCGGCCAGCTGGAGGCTGGCGAGGCTGGCGTATCCGTCGCCGCCTCCGAGGCCGCGGCCGTGCTCCAGCCCCGTGGGAAGGACCGGGGACTGGGGTGAAATGTCTCTCGGTAGTGCTGGCGCTGTGCTTGCGCCCTTCTTGATAGTGGGGGCAGTGGTATTGACGCCGGACGAGGCCTTGTTGTTGAAGAGCAGCGGCGCACGACTCCCATCCGCGCCGGCGTCTCCTTTCGCCACCTCCTCCCACCCCCGGACCGTCTTCCACAGGTACGCGCCGAGCACGATGTCCCTGACCCCGGTCATGCGGCCGAGGAGCACGCCCTCCGGGCCCGGCGCGAGGGGGATGCCGAACAGCATGCCCGCGTGGCGGGGTACGAGCAGGCACGACGCCCCGATCAACACGCGCAGCGCCGAGAGGGTTTTCAAGGTGATGGGAGACATCCTCTTCTTTTTTTTTGGTGTTGCCGGTTTGTCGTCGGAGCAGAGGCTTCTCGCAAGAGTAATTGATTCCGGGACCCTGTTGTGGACTGGAACCAGTGCGAGGAGGTTTCAGGATGGCTTTGTCCACTTTCTGTAATCGAAGACGTGTGGAAGGTCAGACAAGGTCAGAAAGGGCAGAAAGGGTACAAAGGAGGGCGGGAAAAGGTGGCAGAGTGGAATTCCTCGTTCCAATGCTGAGAGATATACATATACGTCCCTCCCTACATACCCGGCTCCATTCCGTTCGCAAACGGCGGCCTGCTTCGTATCTCGTTATCCCCTTGACCATAACGTAAGAGTCGCATGCTTCCCACCCGCCCTGCCTTGTCGCATATCCAACCATGAGCAAAGACACGGGAGGAACCTTCGTAAATTGTCAATTTAATGTTTTTATTCTCCAGGCCTTATCTTGGTATCTGCCCGATTTCCTTTGTTTCCTGCCAGGGATAATCTACACGTACCCACGCATGGTGCACCCCGTGTGCTCTGCCTCGGATTCGCCCAGCTCCAGGATCCTCAAAGACACACGCTCATTCCCACCATATGCAGGGTTGATGCCGAAAAACGCGCAGTGTTCGTGCCGGAATCGTAACAACACACGAAGCCATCCGTCCCGATCTCGCCGTTGCATAACTTGACAAACAACCAGCCAATGTTTTGATCCCGTCACTCTATCAACACTCCTTGCATAATAGAGGCCTGTGATGCAGTGTTTCCCATCAGGTGGCCGATAACCCCGTAGTAGCATCCTGATAAAACGTGCCGTCATAACCACAGAAATTGTAAAGCTCATCAGAGTAGTCTAATAATACTGGCGATTTGCCCTTCATTTCTTCTTCCCCTTCGATCGGTTGGCTGGTGCCGTCGTAGACGAGACACTCTGTGCTCGAGAGGTCGCAGGAGAAGTCGCTTTGCTACCACGGCCAGATTTGACTGCCTTGACTTGTTTGTTCTATAAAAGCTGTTAGTCGGAGGTGAGCAAGGAGTATTCATCGCGTACATACCACAATACCATTCTTCGCCTTCTTCTTCACAGGCGCTGCTTCGCTGTCGTCCTCCTCGTCTTCGTCATCACGAACTCTCCCTTTCCCGGGACCGTGGCCATTGGTGAGCTTCTCTTCGGTTTCTCCAAACTCTCTGGACACGGTGTTGAGCAAAGTGGTGCATCGTCGACCAATTTCCACGGGCGTTCTACTGAGGAAGAACCAATCGAACCGGAACAGCGGTGATTCTCGGATCTCATCACGGATTCTCTCGTACAGCCCTTCTCCGTCGACGCCGTATTTGTCAAGCATGACCAACAGGAAGCGGTCTTCCTCCTCCGTATAGACCTTCTTGTTGGTGGTGGATACCGTATAGTTGATCTTCAGCTGTTGTAGCGGGACTCGATACATCTCCATCTTCTTCCGTAGCATCTTCCGCTGTCGTTCGGTCTTCCGCAGCTTCTCCTCCCCGGCCTCGATGTTTTTGATATATTTGTCGAACTCGGCAATCTCCGTGTATCTCTTCCAGAAGACCTTTGCATATTTTTCAATCTCATCTGGTTCCTTGCTGTCGACTTCGGTCGCAATTCCTTCATAGTTGGTCCTGCCGAATTTGGCAGAACCATTGATGAATTGTTGGAAGTCACGCCGATTCCAGTTGCCGAACCCATGCTCCTGCATCTCCGCTTTTCGTTGTTTCTCTTCTTCAGTCAGCGGCTCCGCGTTATCAATCTCATTCTGAGCTAGTCGCTGATCTGCTTCTCGGTCGCTCAGATCTTCGTCAGTCCCATCCGTGAGGGGTACCTTGAAGCCGATTTCTTTATGATAAAACGCCGTCTCCTTTTCCTGCAATTCTTGCAGGCCCGGAGGGAAAAATTGCCAGTCGTGCACAGCGACCTGTTTTGGCGCTCGCGGAATCTTGGGTTTGGTGTCTGCAGGTCGCCCACCTGTCGACAATGCCTGTTTGTAATACTTGTCCATAGAGTAAGATTGTTCTTTCCGCTCACGCTTGCTTGGATTGATCCAGTGCAAGCTAATGTCTTTTCGGCGGTTCGTGAAATCTTCACCGTTCCACTCGTAGGCATTCTCGGAGGAAAATTTCTGGAGGTCGTCGATCCCGAGTTTCTCATATTTCGCACTGAGCTCTGCAGTTCGAGCCTCGCCACGTCGCAGAATCTCATCGATGTCGTCAAGTTCTCCTGTTGACCCCTTTGTTTCAAATACTTTCTCCGCGCCATGTTGAATCATGGTCAATAACTCATCTTTTGAGGCCGCCTGCTTGACTTGCTGTTGTGCCCGCCCTTGTTGGATGACAAGCTGGTCCAGACGCAACTTTTGAGCAGCTCTCTCTAGGACCTTTTCTTCAATGGCGTTCTCTGTGACGAATCGGAATACCACGACTTGCTTAGTCTGGCCAATTCGGTGTGCTCGATCCATTGCCTGCAGATCTGCTTGAGGATTCCAATCGCTGTCATAAAGGATAACAATGTTGGCTGAAGTCAAATTGATGCCCAAACCCCCTGCTCGGGTGGTCAGAAGAAAGACGAACTTCTCCGATCCTGGTTTGTTGTACTCATCAATGGCCGCGATTCGATCCTCGTGGGCAGTTCCGCCGTCAATGCGACAATATTGATGACCTCGGAAAACGCAATAGTCTTCGAGAATGTCTAGCACTCTGCTCATCTGAGAGAATATCAAGACTCGGCTTCCCTCTTCCTTCATTCGCTTGAGGATCTTGTCAAGAATGATCATCTTGCCAGAGTTGTAGACGAGATGCTCATCGGTGGTGTAGGGAGGACCCGGCTCCGCACCTTCGAATAGATAGGGATGATTGCAGCATTTTCGGAGCTGCATCACAATATTCAAAAGCCTCGTCTTTGATTCTCGCTTGCCTCCTGCACCGTTGACAGCGTCGATGTCCTTCTCCAGAATCTTTTTGTACCATTTGACCTGCATCTCGGACATGCCGACATAAAGATTCATCTCCTTCTTTGGCAGCAGGCTCTTCTCAACGTCGCTCTTCACTCTCCGAAGCAGGAACGGTCTGAGAACTCGATGTAGCTGTTGAACTACTGTGTCTTGGTCTTCATTCTGGCTAGAGAACCAAGAATCAAATGCTTCAGAGTCGCCAAACACGTCAGGAAGCAAGAAATTGAGCAGAGCCCAAAGTTCGTGAAGGTTGTTCTGAAGCGGAGTACCGGTGATGAGCAGTCTGTTTCGCGAACTGAACATGCGGATAATCTGTGCAAGCGAGGATTCTTCGTTCTTGATTCGATGGGCTTCGTCGACAATGATGTATTCCCAGGCAAATTTCTTCAGGTGAGACTTTTCTCGGAGAATCATCTCGTAGCTCGTAATGCACACATCGAATTTCTCGTCAATTAGTCGTTCATTGATTAAGGCATGACGGTCATCCTTTGCGCCTTGCAAGACCAACACATCGACATCTGGAGTCCATTTCTTGAATTCCCGATGCCAATTATCCAAGGTGGATTTGGGGACGGTGATGAGATGCGGACCTTTTATGCCACAGATGTGTCGCAAATACCCGAGGAAGGAGATTGTCTGCAGTGTCTTACCAAGACCCATCTCATCAGCGAGGATACCGCTAATACCGTTCTCGTGAAGAGAAATGAGCCAATTGAGACCTGCAACCTGATAGTCGCGCATCTCACCACCCTTTATGAAGGCCGGCGACTCTCGAAAGACAGTCTGGGAAGCTGTGCCACGCTTCTCATCCCTAAGGAGTTCAGCATCCTCTTCCTGTTCGGTCTTTCGCTTGTTTGCACCTGCGGCACCCCCTTTGCGGGACACGACCTTTCTGGCCTTTGCCTCCTCTTCAGCATTTTCCTGATCGATCTGTTGCAGAACTTCTCTGATCTTGGGGTTTGGACTGGCATCGATGAAGTGGCGGAAGAGGTCAGTCAGGCCCAGCAAGTACCTGAATCTCCGCAAGGTATCATCTTCTTTTGACTCGTCCAATTGGCCATGCTTCTTTCCCAGGATGCTTTTCCGTAGCTGAAATGCTTCTGAACGCTTCTTGCGGCCATCGGCTTGAGGGGTATCTCCAGCCACGCTCGAGGCGGTTGTGTTTGGGTTTGTGTCGGAGTCGGTGTAGTCGGGCGTATCGTCTACGGGGCGATTGAGGTGACCAAATGAAGGTCTGTGAGGGCGTATATACTCAGGACCATCGGTCATTGGAGTATCCGCGACAGAGGAGGTCTCTGAGTCGGGCTGTTGTGACTTTGAGGGCGCCATGGTGGAGGGAGTTGAGGGGTGAGGGCCTCCACGGCCGCGGCGGAGGGTATAGTTCTCGTTCCGTAAATGTAAATAGTTCAGACGCGACTTCTGATGGCTGGAACAGGAAGGATAATAGACTGGCGCGAAGCAGAGCAAAGGCACAATGGCAACGTGTCGTGCAGGCAGAAGTAGAGTTGTCAAGCAGAGATGTTAACGAGGGCAAAAAGATATGGGAGGGAGGGTGTGGAGAGAAGAATGAACGTCCCTGGCCTTCCTCGCAAACGCGCTGCGATAGCCTCTGATTGGCCCCAACACGTCTATGATTCGGCTTACATGCCGTGTTTACTAAGCCACGTGATTTGGTTTTTTTCGTGGACGGATTAACACATCCACCGAGCGACATGGTCACGGGGACTGACACTTCACATTTGCTGTCTTCGGCCTTGTTTCATTCCGCCAGCTGCCCAACCACAACTACATCTCCTCGCAGCTGCTTGTCTCCTTGTGTAAACGGACGAGGGCTTCCTCTGAGCAAGGCTTACTCCACTTCTTTGTCATTCTTCTTCTGTTCTACCGGCAGGAGCAATCTTTTGTCTTGAGGCTCGCCATCAAAACAAACCCCTCCCTCGGTCGTCTCGTAATCAAGACCTTTTGACATCGGCACGAGGCACCGCTACTAAATCACCTCATCGACCTCCAGAGCCTCCTCGAGTCTTCATCATGGACTCGATGAGGTCTCTCAACACCTCATTACCCTCGACTCGACCTGCACCTCCCGAACAACTCCTCCAAGCCTTTCGAACCGCCGCCCTCTCCGTCACAAACCTGTACAAGTCGGCAGTCACAGACCAGAACGCCAGCCGCCAAGCCGGGTACCAAGATGCTCTTGAGGACTTGTTGAGCTTTCTGGATAAAGAGAATCTCGGTCTACAAGATGGCGAGGGCTGGAGAGTGAGGCAGTGGGCGACGGAAAGATACGAAGGGTCCACCCATCATCATCAGATCGAAAGCGACGATGAAAGAAGCGAAACGGGGCAAAGACAGCGAGGCAGCACTCCAACAGGCGAGCAACCGGTGGCAACTCCAGCAGCAGCTCAGTCTGCACCTTCAAGAGCAGAGTCTGGTACGCAAACCGATGAACGCCTAAGTCCTCCGCCTCAGGAGCAGACGACGACGACTCCCATGTTCTACTTCAGTGAAAACCATTCCTCGACAGCGCTTGACGACATGCAGACCGATGAGGACAACAGTGCACCTTCAGAAGCTCAGGCGTCCTCATCAACATCAGGCAACACGAGTCGAGCAACTTTTGTCAACAGCCGAGGCAATCGCACACCTCATAGGACCGGCAACCAGAGACACGGAACCCGATCATCGACACGAGAACTTACCTTCACCGCTGGTACGAAGCGAAAATTCCAGATACCCGATTTCTTTGACATTTCCAACATTGGACCGAGGGATGGATTCGAAAGCAGCAAGAGGGGACGGATCTCATGACCTTTGGCTTACCCGACTCGGTTTATGTGTTCAGCGCCATGATCAAGATCTTTTCTCCCTAATGCATGGGAAGGTATATTCTTATGAGGACATGACCATCAGCATGGCGAAGTTTAGTTGCATTAGAGTACATTCATGTATTGGCTCGGGTTGAGCATTCTAGACAGACAGATACAGAGTACCTTTGACGGGGTTGTGACATGCTGCCCCTAATGCAGATTGACTCCTGAAATCCTTTGATTTGGTACACGTACAGACCAGCTCCGTCGCCGGTTGCCCCATGATGGTATAGCACGGCATTCCCCGACCGTCACGATAGTCGGGCCTAGATAAACATGCGATAGACTCCCAGGCCCACCAGTGTTGCGGACAATGAGAGGATGCCCAGTTGACGTGAGCCGTATTTGTACTTGGATCTGCTGAGTTCGATGGCTTTCTGCTGTGCGCGCAGTTGTTGCATGCCCGAGAAGTAAGTGTAGCCACCTAGGGCCACGAACGCGGTTGAGCCTGGACAAGAAACAGTCAGCTCTCGGGAGTGACATGGGGGATGAAATCTCTTAGACAGCATACCTAGTATCCTGCACGACAGACAGTCTTCCTTGTCGAATGCTCTTGGGTTTTCGAACTCGGGGAACTTGTCCTCCTTTTTGAACACCATTTTTTCTTTTGGAGTAGAGACTGCCGGGCTCCCAATCACATTTTCTTCGGGGGAAACGAGTTTGTTGCTCTTTATTGCCTGGTGATATCGATGGTTTCCTCTGATGGGAGGCGGCTGAGGAAGATGCGGGAACATAAGCTCCAAACACGCCAAGAGAGGATTTCGGCGTAACGAACGAATTAGCGAGGCGGATTTCTAGTTCCAGGGGCCTGGGGCAGCCACATGGATGCGTCGTGCCGCCTAGAGTGAGCCTAGTGAGCCTCACCAGCCTCGCCAACTTAGGGGCTGTTAGGCAACGACTTTGGCTAGTAGGCCCACCAAAGTGTCAGGTTCCAGGTGATCTACAGACACCACTCGTCCTAGGAAGATGCACACCCAGGACACCTTACGCAGGTACCTCGTATTGCTATCACGGTGGCTGGACCTCGTTTCTGAGGCTGTCAATATCCCTTCGATTGACGCCTCTTTGCCTCCTTTCTCCAGCAATTTCATCCCGGTAGTTGCAATATAGACTTCTCCTATCCTGCAGCAACTCGTCTTCTCTTCTGCCATGTCGTGCCTTCAATCTAGCCCATGACCGCTATCTCCTTTGATATTTGCCGTAGTTAAACAACGGACAGCCTTACACCACGCAATGGCAGACTCTGAAAGCTGTCACCTCTCCTTCAATGACTCCAAGAATCTGCGTGCCGTCTCTGACATTGTCATCAAAACCTTGAGCATTCATATAGCCTCAGTCAGCCTATTCGGCCACCATATGTCTCTCTGCAGAATCCCGTCCACGCGGCTGGCAGTTTGCATGCTGCTCGGATTTGCCGTCGCGCCCGTTAGCGTCCTCGCTCTGTTTATATGCCGAGTCGTCAAGCTCCTATATTGCAGACGGCCAGGCGCAACGTGGCAGTATCGTCTCTCGGCATGTTGTGGTGTTTGGGCATCACTCGAGGATCCTACAGAGTCAGCAAGCAAAAACAGGACTATACCCCTCTACTATATTGCTCCGCGCGATGTCGAGTCTAAGAAACAGAAATACGACCAGAAATGGACGGGCAGCATTTTCCTGCTTCTAGTTGGCTGGGTTCAAGCCTCCCTCACCTCTTTCCTCTACTTCCGACGGTTGCATACGAACGCTTGCTCGTACCTTGACATTGTCAATGGAACGCTGGCATTGGGCTCGTTCCTCACCCAAACCTTCTCACTCATCATCATACTCCTCAACACCAAGTGGCAGTCCAATTCGACAGACGCTCAGTTCGGCACCTGGAATGGAATTCGAATGAGGAAAGTCTTCCATCTTCTGAGACGACCAAAGGATTTGAACCCAGTGGTTTGCTGGGTTGGAAGACTGCATCAAGAAGAGCTCTTGAGCTTGGTGTCGAAACCCTCGTGATCGAAGAATGTGGAACTGGCCTTTTCTTCACCCTTCCCTTCCACATCTGTTTCTGGGCTTTTCTCACTGGACTGGCAACCTCGATCTGGAATGGGTGGGTCGGCCAAAATATCATGTGGATTGGCTCGTTGAACGTGTGTTACTTGGTCCTTCTGTTGGCTTATCCCCTGTTTTATCTATCGTGGCGTCTGAGGCGCGGAATACGTCTGCGCAGGAGAATATCCCTTTCTACCAGAGCGTTGATGCAGAGTTATCAAATTTTGGCTGGCTTTGGTAAATGGAGCCTCTTTGCGTTGTTATTCCTAGCAGCAGAGTACATTTCTGTCTTTGTGACTACATACCTGATGGGTGACTATGGCAGCGCTGTGCGACCCTTGGGACTTGGGGAGGTGAATGACTTGTCTTTGCGATACCCTGAATCTTGTAATAGGACATTCTGGAGCGACCCGTTGGCGGAAAAGCTGCTGGTGTTTTGATCAAAGGGAAATGAGCTTCGTTCAATGTACACCTACTATCGTGGTTGAATATGCTGATCTGCTACCTGAGGGCAAATATGATGTGTGGTTCTCTATACGCAATCTCCCACATTGATCTCGCCACCAGCATTTGTCTCTTAACGTGTTTGACGGTCTCTTGGTCAACTCGCTAAGCGGCCGGCAGCGCATTTGTCCGAAATTCTGACGCAACAGCAGTGGGCAACTAAACACCAATGCCGGCAACGGCATTGGTGTTCGAGCCTCGAGATCTCAGACGCACAACAATTCCTTGCCATATTTTGACTCTTGATCACATATCCCAGCCCCAGCGCAGCCGCAGAGGATGGCTCGACCAGTAACCAAGACAGACCGCATCGTCATTGTTGGCGCAGGCGTATTCGGCCTGAGTTCGGCTCTCCATCTGGCTGAGAGAGGCTACACCAGAGTCACTGTCTTTGACGCACAGCCCTATGAAACCACAAAGTATGACTACATTTCGGGCTCTGATTCTGCCTCTGCCGATATGAACAAGATTATCCGGTCCGCGTATGGCGAGCAGACAGAGTACCAGGACCTCTCTGGCGAAGCCATCGGGTGCTGGAAGGAATGGAACAAAGAGATCAGCACCGGTTCTTGCGTGCCTGAGGGCATGACTAGAGGGGACAAGGTCTTCATCAACAACTGTCATCTCTCGCTGACTGACAGCGACGAGCTTCCTGAATTCGAGAAGGCGACCATCAGAAACATGGAGCGGGCTGGCTTCAACAATACACAACTCATCACTACCGATAGCCGTCATGTGAAAATTGCCAATGACAGAGGCTTTGGATCTGCGATCGATCCTTTTCGACTCAAACCAAAAGGCAAAGGCTACCTGGGCGTCCTAGACACGACCGGTGGCATCGCGATTGCAGATAAAGCTTGTCGATTTGCCCTACACAAGACACAGCAAATGGGTGTTCGCTTCATTCTGCATGCTGACTCTGGCCGCTTTGAAGCATTCTGCTACGACGATCGAGGAAGGGTTATTGGAGTTAGAATGAAGGACGGCCAAAAGCACCCTGCATCGAAGGTCATCATGGCGTGCGGCGGCTGGACACCCTCACTGATCCGGGAGCTCGACGGCATCTGCGAAACCACGGCGGGGTCTGTGGTGATGCTGAAGATCCCACCCAAATCACCACTTTTCGAACGGTTCGCCCCAGAGAGGTTTCCGTCTTGGTCGTATAAAATGCGAGATGGAGCCATTGGTGGCCTCTATGGGTTTCCCCGGGACGACAGAGGGTACATGAAAATTGGGTATCGAGGCACGAAGTATACCAATCCGAAGATCCAGCCAGATGGCAACGAGCGCAGCGTGCCCATCACGAGATACACGGCCGAGGAGCAGATTACACAAATCCCCAAGCAAGCGCTGACAGTCCTCAAGGATTTTATCGGAGAGTTTCTACCAGAACTGGTTGACGAAGAGATTGATATTCAATTGACTCGACTGTGTTGGTACACAGACTCCTTCGACAACCACTATGTGATTGACAATTTGCCTGGTCAAGACTCAGTCCTGGTTGCCACAGGCGGGAGCGGCCATGCCTTCAAGTATCTTCCCAACATCGGAAAGTGGATTGTCGATATCATGGAGGGTGTTGATGTGGATCGCAAGCTGATCCAAAGCTGGAAATGGAGGACGCTGCCACCAAGCCAGAAACCTGTCAATGTCCTCATGGAGGGCAGTGGCGGTCCGAGAGCCCTCACGAATGCGGAAATGTCTATCGACGACGATTTGAAGCTGTCTGCTCGATCTCGACTTTGACATGATGTCCGCGCAGAGGATTTGCTTGAGTAGGCGTATGGAGGTTCTGCAGCTCCTGAAGCATGGAGATATCCCCAGAGCTATTACTACGGCGCTCCCGGAGAAGGCCGAAGTGGTAGAAGACAGCCGTTATCGGAGATGGGCTACATCGTTTGCTGCATTCGCAATGGGAAACGTAGGGCCGACACCTCACCTCTACAACAACGGAAACAATAGCAGGTTTAGAAAGCATTCAGTGAGCCAAAGCCGGGCACGCGGGAGACCAGCATCTCTAGTTTTGATATGGCCAACAGTCCCAACTCAACCAAGCCTCTTGTGGTAGCGTTAGGGGATCCGAAATACGTTGGCGATGAATTTCTGGAAGATTTTAAGCGAGAGTTCGACTTTGAGGTAGTCCAACCCTAACGAGAGACTTCGCCTGGCCCAGCCCCTAACTGCTCCCAGATCCTCCCAGCAACAAACCGCCAGGAAACCCAGGATCTTCTCCCGAAATTTATAGCGGGCTCCCGTCCCGTCGATGCCTTTATCATTCGGATGGGCACGATCCCGTACGAGCCATTCGACGAGGATCTTCTAGGCAGCCTGTTGCCTCACTGCAAGATCATCACCTCCGCTTCCGCCGGCTTCAACGAGTTTGACGTCGACTGGATGACGCGCAACAGTGTCTGGTTCTGCAACACCCGAGACGCCGTCGCGGAAGCGACGGCAGACATGGCCATTTTCTTGACCCTCGCGGTCTTGAGGGATACTACTCGGTGCGAAAAGAGTGCCAGGACGGGCAACTGGAAGCAAGGCCTGGTTCCCAGTCGAGATCCAACAGGGCTGACTCTGGGCATCGTGGGCATGGGAGCAATTGGAAAGGTGGGCAGCACTGTTGAGCATCGCGTTGTGGCCGTCAATTGCTGACAGCGCATCTTTCCATTCCAGTATACCGCGAAGAAAGCCTCGGTCTTCAATCTCAGAGTCAAGTACTACAACCGTAACCGCCTCCCTCCGGAGGTGGAAAAGGAGCATAACGCCGAGTATTGCTCGTCCTTGCACTTGCTCCTCGGCGACTCCGACATCATCTCCATCTCCTGCCCGCTCAATGACTCGACTACGAATCTCATCTCTTATGCCGAATTTGCCGCTATGAGGCCGGGTGCATTCTTCGTCAACACTGCGCGCGGCGCGATCGTGGACGAGGAAGCGTTGATCCAGGCTCTGGAATCAGGTAAGGTAACGCGCGCTGGCCTCGATGTGTTTTGCAACGAACCCAACGTCAATCCATACTTCCTGGCTAGCGACAAGGTAGTCGTCCAGCCACACATGGGGGGTCTCACGGATGTCGCCTTCATGAAATCCGAGAGGGAGTGTTTTGAGAATATCCGGAGTCTGTTCCGGACAGGGCGCCCTGTTGCGCCTGTCAACGGAGTGGTCACCAAGTAGGGCGTGAATCCATCTTGTCCCTCTGTGTGCCTTTGGTTCCCAGCCGGGAGTCCGTAATATCAAGTATACTGCGTTAGAAATGTATACAAGGCAGTCGACCTGGCTCTTTGGCAGCGGGACGGAAGGCCGTATAGTTTGGTACATGATTGGTTACCCCCCGCCACGCACGCTGCAAACTTCTTAGTTCGTTGGAAAAGAAGAATCTGCTTCATTCCCATCGGATATTGGGTGTCAATGGCATCTATTCCCACCGTTCCCCATTCGCCGCTCCCTGCGTGCATCACACGGCCGCCTCTGTCCACACATTGGACGATAAGCCGGTGCGATGTGTTGTTCAAGTGGGGTTGAACGAGGCATTACAACTCGATCGCTCCTCGTCCGCGAGGGGTACAAGTCATCCGCCTGGGAACATTCGACTGGATCCAGCTCCTTCGTATAGACTGCAACTTGACCCCGCGTTCTTCCTTCGATATCCTAGATCATCTTCGGTTTACCAGGGTAGAAGGAGCAGAGCAAAGTCAGATCTAGGGGCTGGTCTCATCAGCGACCTCCTGCACAAACATCTCACCATGTCGGCCACCACAGCCCAGGTCCCGAGCGAAATGCTGGCGGCCCAACTCGTCGAATTCAAGGCCGCGCCCGTCGTCCAGAAAACCAAGGCCCCAACGCCCTCCGACCTGGGGCCCTACGATCTCCTCCTCCGGACCGCCGTGGCCAGTCTGTGCCACACGGACCTCATGGTGCAGGCGGGCTTCATGCCGCTCAAGCACGGCCTGCCCATGACCCTATCGCACGAGGGCACGGGCGTCGTGGTCGCCGCGGGGGCGTCGGTCGAGGAATTCCAGCCGGGAGACCGGGTCATGTCCGGCATCACGTTCCACGGCTGCGGCCACTGCGACAACTGCCTGGCCCCGGCTGACCGGGACTGGAAACAGTACTGCTTTGACACCGACGGCGCCACGGGCGTCATGACCGACGGCGCGTTCGCCGAGTACCACGTCGTCGACGCCCGGATGAGCTGCAAGGTGCCCGAAGGCGTGAGCCTCCTGACCGCCGCCCCGCTGGCGTGCGCCGGCGTCACTGTCTACCGCGGGCTGAAGGTCAGCGGCCTCGGGGCGGGCGACTGGGTCGCGATTGTGGGCGCCGGCGGCGGGCTGGGCCACTTTGGCGTGCAGTTCGCCAAGGCGAGCGGAATGAACGTGATTGCGGTCGAGGCGCGGGACGAAGGGATCGAGATCGCGAAGAAGTACGGCGCCGACCACGTCCTCGACGCGCGCGAGGGCAAGGACACGGTCGCCGCGCAGGTCCGCGCCCTGACCCCGGGCGGCAGGGGCGTTGACGCCACCGTCAACGTGAGCGACCACCCGTCCGCGGCGGCGCTGTCCGCGGCCATCACCAAGTCGCACGGCACCGTCGTCCAGGCCGCCCAGCCACCCGAGGTCACCGTGCCGTTCCAGGAGATCGTGCTGCGCGACATCACCATCAAGGGCACCATGCATGGCGGCAAGGGCGTCGCCGACGAGATGCTCCAGGCCGTCGCCCGGCATAGCGTCGTGGCCGAGACGCAGATCTTCGACGGCCTCGCGGAGGTGCCCCGGATGTTTGAGCTCTTGGAAGCCGGCAAGGTCAAGGGGAAGGCGGTCTGTGTGATCGACAAGGAGCTGGTCTGAAGACGGGAAACTAGAAGAGACAAAGTTGGGGCTCATCTGAAGGCACGAAGCTCGATCTACCTGGGAAGAAGTGGAAAAACGTGCACTATTTGAAGTGTATATGTGGCCCTGCTCAGTCAAGAAAGTCCAAGGGGCCTGTATGGCGGGACTTCTATTGCAACCAAGCAACACAAAATTCTCGATCTAGTAATAGAAGAAGAGGAGAAGGGGGAAGCCATAGCCATTTCGCTTTTTAACCTCTTTCCATCCTCGTGATCCCTCGATGCTACGCTGCCGCTTCCTAACCTCATCCAGTGCACCATCCATTTTGAGCTGCATTACGCACATTGGCAATCAGAGCGTGCAGCATACCGATCCCTAAGTGACCACAGCCGCAGTCGTCGAAGCCGTCTCGGTTGGTTTCCCATGCACCAGCTGCCCGCACCGCCCGTTCATGACGACCCACCTGTTCGTGGTCTTCTTGTTGGTGTTATAGAACCCGGCCTGCGCGTGGGCACAGGTGGCGGCGCCGCCTCCCTTCTTCGGCGCATTGGCCCTGTACAGCATGCAGTTGCCCGCGCTGGCCTGCGTGTCGTAGTAGGCAAGGTCGCACAGGCCGTCGACGTCCTGGCAGAGGGTGCAGCACTCGTAGCTCGAGGTCGCGTTGGTTCCGATCCCGACGTTGGCCCGCGTGTTGTCCACGACGTTGCTGATGTACGTGCCGTCCTGGATGCGGGGGCCCAGGAGATTGTCCGTCGCGCAGGCGAGGTACGTGCTTCGGGTTGCGGTGTAGTTGGTCTGGGTGTTTGTGAGGGTCACCACCGTCATTTCCACCGGGACCGTGATGGTGTGTGTCTGATTCACCGTGGTAGGGACTGTCACCAGCAGGGTCTATGGATGATCAGTGATGTCTCAATTACTTTTTTTCTGGCGAAAGTGGAATTTGCCAGAGGACATATATGTAGGGAGAAGTTTCTGAGGACTTACAGAGCTCACTGGAGCGTCAGGAACGCCCACAGTGCTGGTTACCGTGGTGGTCGTAGTCTGAGTTATCGTCGCCGGCGGTCGCTGGGTACTTGTTTTCGTTGAAGTCACGATCACAGTAAAAGTTGTTTGGGGAGCCAGTCGAGTGACAATGGAAATGAGGGAGATGTAGGAGGAATCGGACGTTGCGGCGACGACAGCCTGTCGGGGTAACAGAACATCTTCGTCGGGTTCTGCATCGCGTCGCTTGATGGTTCCATTGTAATTTTCGTCCCCAGAAGACTCTTCTACCGGGACAAAGCCACTCGGTGTGGGCACGGTGACAACACTTTCTGTAAACAGTGTGGAGGTTACAATTGCGGTGACATTGATGTACGAGGTTGAAGTGCTGTTTGTCACATCATACTGTGTGCTCGTCACAGTTCTAGTGACAACGTCGGTGCTGGAACCGAGTCAGTATGACAGTCCGCCACGAGGCATCCGGACCTACGTTGCGCGATAGGTGCTTGTAACGAAGACAGTCTTTTGAACATATACTGGAACGAATGTTGTGAATCGGATGGGGCTTGTCGTGGTGGTTCTCGAGGTGCTGGTATGAGTAGTCGTGTCTAGCCTTTTGGTGACTTGGATCGTACCCACGCTGGCCGGCGGAGAGGTATCAAACAGCGTCCAAGTCCGCAATAGAGTAGACGTAGTGACATCAGTGCCTCCTTGGCTCGACGCAAGAGGGATTACGGCGGCAATGGCAGCCAAAGAATATGCGAGGATATACATCCTGGTGGTGTGCAAGGGCTTGTATTCCCGGTCAGGCAAAGGGGTCTATAGTGTAACATGAATGAGGAGGGAAGTTGGTGGCCGAGCCGCGGCGATTTCCAATTTATAACCCATTGCTCTTCTGCGGGAAGGGATGAAAATCCTGACAGTATTTTCGCAGGCATTAGCCATATCGTGGGCTGTGTATCTTTTGGAATCGTCATGGCGTCAGCCGTTTGTTCTGAATGGCTAGAGCATGTTGGTGACGATGCCCGAACAAGGCTGTGGAATGTGGACAGTGGGCGTGCACCGTGGAAGACGAGGTGTGACGGGAAGACCAAGATTTCCTGCCACCAGTGCAAATGCAAGAATCTCGTCCATATCACATATGCTAAAGGCTTGAGAAGGGAATGGATAGAACAGTAGACGGAAGATGCTGAGAGAACAAGTGACGACGACTAGACCATCGCTTTCCCTACGGCTGAGCCACCCGATATAGCAGACTTCAGGCTGTTCGATGAGCTGTGCCTATCCAGTGAAGCACTGACGGCAATTGGACTTGCGAAAGTAAGCTTTGCGCAGAGGCCAAGTTGATGGTAACAAGGAGCATGGTCTGAGACGCACGGATCCCGAGTCAGGGAGAGGTGCCTCCCATTTCAATGTAACGCCAACAGCTGGGCTCAGACGCGTCTTTGGCGATCAGAGCCCGAGCGAATACCTCCATACGTACCAACCCAGGCTCTATAATGTCGTGCCGCCATGATCGGAGGTAGCAGACAAGAGCAGATGGTTCCCTCGATGGCGGAACGTTCATGGACGGGAAGTTCATGATCGATGGTAGAGGACTAGCTGCGCCATAGGATCCCTAAGGACAAGTTCACCATCTCTCTACTGTGGACTGATGTTAACAGAAATTCAAGAGTGCTACTCTTCAAGATTGTTCGTGTAGATGAAAAGCTCGCTGCGAAGTTGTTCCAAAACTGGAAGTTGGTTCGGAGGCTGGATCAACCTTGATTCGGCACAGTCTGGTTGATGCGCCGAGCCAGGAGTTCCCAGCCTTGCACCCTGTGATTTGCGGAGGCCGAACGACGAAACACAACTCCGCCCAGCTTTCTTCGCTCGGCTTTACCTTGCTTGGGTATGCCATTGAGCATGTGCTCATGAAAATTGGTATAGTGTAGTATGCTATAGATCTTACATTCACTGCACGGAGGATTCAGGAGGTGGTTTTCTAGTTTTGACCGGTGTTACGGTTCAGGTGCGCGTCTGAGTCAATTACCCTTGACGCCGGCGAACTTGAATGTAACGGAATATGGTTTCCGTAACGGCTGCGATAGGGGTGGATGCTACCACACTTGGAGACTGACTGATCTAAATTGAACAGAAAGGTAAAACCCGATGAATCAGGAGTCAAATCAGCCCAAGGAGGAAACTACGTTCAGAGAAGTAGTATGCAATTCTTGGCTTTGGTTTCTGGTCACATTGACAGGGTCAATCATTCAGGCGCAGGCTGTAATCGATACAACGCCAGTTGTTGGGTGGGCTCTTTGATCTGGATTTACTAGATTCTACTCATTTTGGCCACCCCTTTCGGCGCGTTGTGGATATACTCGGTACACGACCGACAGTTCAGCAACAATGTGCAAGTTTGTTTCGAAGAAACACCATTCTAGATGAGCCTGACAAGGGCTGTGCTACGGCGGGTAAATCTGGGTCAGGAAAAGGCCACCGTCACTCCCCGTCAACCTTGTCTGGCATCCATGTGCTTACAGCCATCCCCTCGGGCACCTTTTTCCACTGCTGCGTCTCGGGGTCGAGCAAGCTCTGAGCCTCACGCGCGGCGGCTCGTATGATCTCGATTTTCTCTGGAGACCTTGGTGTGAACACAGCCTGATAGTCTCGAGGTTGTACAGTGATGCCGCCCACGAGGTCGTCGATATCGGGCGTGATTGGAAGACCGTCCTTCCCTAGCGGCTTAGACAAGTCGAAGCCCCAAAGCAACCTGGAAATCCCCAGGAACAGCGAGCGCTCGGCAATATGGATCCCCTGGCAGAGGCGGCGGCCTGCACCGAAATTGAAATTGTCCCGTTTGGCAGGGTCGCCGTTGGCCGACTGGTACAAGGTTGTGCAATCGTCTTTGAATCGGTCGGGATTGAATCGTCGAGGGTCTGGACAACGTTTGGGGTCCATGTGGATCGCCCTATAGAACGTACGTTCTTGATTAGCATTATCGTCTGCACTGGGGGAGCTGGAAAGTAGACACACCAGACATTATTTATAACCGTCGCACCCTTGGGAATAGTGTAGGCACCGTATACATCATCCTTGATTGCGGCATGAGGAACTCCGAGAATCACTGTCGGCATCCACCTCAAACTCTCCTTGAGGCAGCATCGGATGTAGTGGAGCTGGTCATAATCGTCCATATTCGGGAGGCGTTGACGTCCCACCACCCGATCAATCTCTTCTTGCGCTGCCTTTTGGACATCGGGCCATATTATCATAGCCTGGATGAACCCGTACAGAGTCGAAGACGTTGTGTCTGAACCCGCCTCAAGCAGAGAGCCACTCATGTAGCTTGCGGCATCGTCTGAAAACTGTTCCGTCTGCTGGACGCGGAGCACGTCGTTGCAGAAACATGGCTACGCCAAGGTATCGTCAGTGAACTTTCGAATACCATCTCTGTTGTTTTCGGATGAAGTATTATGCAGGAAGGACGTTGCATCCACATGCGCTTACCAACCCAGTGCCGTTCTCAAGTCCTCGTTTGGCCCGCATCCAATGGCCTAGATAAAGGTTCTTCTCGATCTGATGCAGTTTCTCTGCATATCGGACGTTCGGGGCCAGGGATTTCGGAAGCTTTTGCAGGATGGGGAAGAGGTCTACCAGCTGGGCACTGGCGCTCCCTACCAGTTCTCCCCAATGCTCAAAACTCTGGTCGCACCGAGCACGTTAGTCTATCAGCGCGGAGCTCGATGCAGGCAGGTGTAAAACTGAGCAAACGAACCCAGAATAGTTGCTGTAGTTGCTGGTCCTTGATGTCCGGGCACCGGAAGCCGAAAATCATCTGCGTGGCCAACGAATAGCTGAACCTGCGAATGTGGTTGAGGAACTCTTCGGGAGTGTCCAGTAGCCCGTCCATCAGGATCTTGTTCTCAAGATCTTGGTAAGGCACATAGGTAACGGCGGCCTTGATGTTCAAAATGTTGTGGACGATTTTGTGGATCATGCGCCAATTGTCGCCGTATCTCTGCAGATCAGATTAAAAATCAGGAACGCCTTGACCTGTGGGCGGGTCTTCCTTACCATGACAACGAGTCGCAGATTACCACTGGCGATCTTTTGACCGATGAACATGTCAGGTCGATCCGAATATATCGCACTCTTCTTGTCCAACAAGTCCTTGACTGCCTGGTCGGAAGACAGGACAATCATGGTTTTCGTCCCGAGGATCAACGAATAAACGGGTCTGTCGGTAGAGAGATCTCATTGTTAGGAGACTATAGAACCCGGGGAGACGAGATAACTGGGGCGACACCAATTTTCCTGTTCGCGAGGCACGGAAGCAACGACACCATTGACCCACCCGTATTCTTGCGCCCATTTCTGGAATTGAAGATGTGGGTTTTTGGTTGGCATCTGGGTTGCAGACAGATTGGCTGGTCAGCACAGGAAGTCCTCTCGAGGTGTCTACCACATAGTGCCGACGGGCGCTCACCAAATGAAGGTTCCCAAGTATCGGAAGCGTAGGGGGTCCGGGGGGTAAACCTGGAGCCCGCATACCTATCCGCGAGGCTTTGATAATAACGAACGCGGCTATCGCCACGAGCAGAAGAACCACTGAAGGGTTATGGGTGATGGCCTGAAACATCGTGAGAACTGGTGCGGATGGCAGATGTGGCTTGTATTTCGTGCGAGGTCTCTTTGACACTCTCCTTCAGCTTCATGCAAGGGATTCCAGTTTTGATGATTCTCGAGGTTGAGTCCTGTCTGTTCTTGATACGAGGCATACGAGCACGTTGGCGGCATCTAGGCCCTCGGCACCCCGCCTTCGTGTAGATCAAGGACACCGGCCCGAATATGCTTTCGGAGTCGGCCAGCTGTGCCCGCGTTGATCCTTTCTCCTTGAACAAGCCCATCCCTCGATGTGGCACTCGTGCCGAGCATGCAGCACCGAGAGGAAGGGGCAAAGCACCGCATCCTCCTTACAGAGTTCTCTCCTTCGGTGAGTGAGCGCGGAAGTTGCTGACAGTTTTATGATACACGAAATGGGCAGAGATCCGACCTCTAGTCCCTGCTCTTCAATTAAACGACGATTCTGCTATGTTGATGATTCTCATTTATGTCGGGGCCGTAGAAGCCGACGGAACCTGGTCTAATGAGCAACCGTGAGGCTTTCACAGCATGATCCCGCACTGCAGGTGGTGAAACCTGAGAAGCACGCACAACGTCACGCACAACGTCTTCACAAGTATTCCTCGGCAGGCTTGTTCGCACCAAAGCACAAAGGAGGTATATTTGATCCTGCTGATCCATTCGACTTTGGACCTCAAAATGGTCGGACCTGGAAATATATCATGCCAATGCTGGAGCCAGCAATGGGGCAGCATCACATGGATCATTACACTGCAAAAACAGCCTTATGACGACCGAGCCACCCTGTGGATATCGCCAACGCCATTGTATTCCTGTGCGGACCCCGGCACTCAATGAAAGCTGCTCCGTACTCTGCCACCGTTCATTTATAGCAAAAACAGTTGTATGGCTATTTTCGTGGCAGCCTTACCAGGTGGGACCCCACAAGCATGGGGGCAATTATGGGGATCTTGCCAAACCCAGAGCCTCCTAGTGCCACGCCTAGGCAGATTGTCCCGAATGCTTTGGGTCGGGGTCGGCGCATGTTTGCCGGAGTGGAAGGCTCGAGTCAGCGGCATGCGATGGTTGAATGGTACAGAGCCTTTTTGGCACCACTGCACCAGCTCTTTTCTGGAGCTTCATACCGACTTACTGGTTACGGGGAACGATGGAAAAATCGGCCACGGTACCGTGGAAGTCTGTTGATAGGAATGTGCTCCAATTTTCCAGCTCGAGGTCGAAAAAGGCACTCATATCATCCTGAAGTCAGGAGCGTCAGTATCGCCCTAAGGGGGTTGTATTTGAAAATCACATATGGCCTGGGGAAGACCTACGACAGTCTGGTCATTGTACGGCTGATCTTCCATGCCGAGATATTGACCAGCCACGGCCACGTTATCGGATAGCCTTTGCGGAAGGCAGGAGAAATCTTGGTCGGAGGCGACGCCGCTGCTGGCCGTTTGCAGCCCGTGTGCTCTCTCCGTGGCTTCTCGGGCGAGGGTGGCCATCTCGCGCGCAAAACTGATGGAGATTTCCGAACTGGTTGCAAATTTCACCCGGGCAAAGTACCCGGCGCCCACCTCCATCAGTGCAAGATCAGACTGGATGCCAAATCTTTGGGGGTTTTGGAGAATGTAGATGAAGAGGTTGATTAATGCATATATCGGTCCAAAGAAACTCAACCTGGATGGGTCAGTGTTGACGCTTTGCACGCGGACGAAGAGGGGATGCTCACGGCACAGGGGTGCTAGCATCGAATTGTATGTGTTCGGTTGCCAGGATGGCCTGGCGACACGTCTCTGCCACAATCTGTGTTGATGTCTCGACTTGGTCACGCAGTGCAGCGTGAGGTGTTAAGCCACACATACTCCGACTCCATGGATAAGTTAGAGACGTATGAATATCGAGAGTAATGCTCTGGAGAGCGCCGCGAAGATACATGATTTGCCGCAGTGTCATCCCGGATGGTAGTTGGGTCGGGTTAGGAGCAGCCGGACGAGATATGATCGGGTCGATCGAGCGCTTCAGTATATTGAGTTGCTCGTCCAGCTCAGCGACGGATCTCACCAAAGCCTCGCCGCCCTGCTGAAACGCCTGAACCGTAGACAGTCTTTTGGAGACCAACGATGACAGTCGCGCTAGTCTGATCAGGGTATTGCAGTACTCGATGTTCACAGTGCTGTCGGGAGGGGCGGATGTTGGTACTTGACAACTGACGTCGTCGTCATCAATTAGCTGAAAGCAAGGTCAGCACTACAATCCTAGGTGTTCATTTTTGCTGAAGGGTAGAAACGGGCCACATACTGAATGGCGCCCAGACTGACAAACGATCTGCTTCTCCAAACAATATATGGCCCAAAACAAACAACTGCGTAGGGAATTTTCATATTCGGTCAGGTTCCACGAGGCGACCGCCTGGCGATGGAGTCCTTTCCCGATACCCAGGCGTACAGCTATACCACAGAGCACGTATTCGAGACAAGGGCTAGCGATGTTCTGAGTAAAATAGGCCTATTTGCCATTATTAGCTGTTCGAACAATGCTCGGATTGCCTTCCTTACCATTAGTGTCAAAGCTTGCACACCGACAATCGACGTGCGGAAATATAACATTTCTGTATGCACCGACAGTGCATTTTCAAAATAACCCCATGCTGATTGGTTGGCTTCCTGGAAAGAACTGCACTTTGAAAGCTCGATTCGACATCCCGAAGCGTAGACTGCGTTTCGAAGGGCATACCAGGCGGGATCAGTATCGGTAACGGCTCCTTCGAAGTAACCTTTGAGTTGCGTCTCGAACCATGGGCGGTGCACGATCCCTAGTGCAGATTCAAGTGCCTCTTCGAAGAAAGCTGGTAGAGGATCCGCGAGGTTAGACTCCAAATCGTCAAGGCTGTTGGGAGATGTTACCTCGAGTGTACCTCCAAGCTATCTCTTGATCTGGCTCTGGCTTTCGTTCTTTTGATAGCATCTTCTCGATTTTAAGGCGGCCCGTGATGTAGGTAGTAAATGTCCTGGCAGATGTATTGAAACTCGAGTTTCCCGTCTTGCTCGCGACCCATTGGATTCCTGGTCTTGAACAAATAGACAAGAACGACCTGGGGCCTAGGATCACTGAGCACGTAGAGAAATGCATTTGAGCGATTGCCACATACCGTGATATTCCCAGTTAGACTTCGACGTCTCTGTCAGCCGATCCAAATGCAAACAAAATGTTCGAATAACCTACTATTTCGCTCGACGAGATACTGCTTCTCTCTCTGATTTGTTCAGGGCTGCTCTCTGCGAGGCCTACCGCGTCGGCGTTGTCGGACGGTGTGAGGTGATATCCAGAACTCCACTCAAGCGATGAAGAGGTTTCTGCGACCGCGGCATTTCTTTGGGTTGCCAGGGATACCGAGTCCATAAACCCAGGAGGGTTTGTCGCCTTGTATGATTGGGGCAGCGTGAAGCAGGACGGGCTCTGCGTCTCTTCACCGTCGGTCCTCAGCGAAGCGGACGAATTTGCAGGCAGCAAAGAGTTCAACGAATCTCGGTCATTTCTTCCCGTAAATCTAGATAAGCCACTGCTCAAATCAGATGGGGAATCATGTCGAGGGATATGATATGTAGTTGCGGGCTGAGCAAGATTAGCTGCGACAGGACTTTGATGGATGGTTTAACAACTTACAGCAGGTCCTTGTTGCTTGAGAAGTGTTTCGAGCTGCTCCAACCTCTCCACTATATCTTTGCCTTCCCTGCTTCCTTCCCTGGTTCGCCATCGACGAGGTGTCGTTGAAGTACAATGTTGGCCTCGATCGAGACAGTTTGTACATGGGCCAACTCCCTCCCAGTTACCTATTTAGACCATAAGCCAGTGGCCCTGTTCTCGTAGATGATCAGGACATACACCGAATCTTCTTGGCCCTGCAAAAATTACACGCCACAACGCGTTTGGGCCGCGCATTCTCAGTCCTTTGAGATCGAGTAACGGCAGAAGAGACTGGTGCGGTGGATATCGTCGCCATCATCAGGCGCAGACAATGCTCCAGGCAATGTCGAACTAGCAGTTTTCGAGGTTGGAGCTGTTGTAGAACAACCACGAGGCGGGGAAATCGTGGAGTGAGGAGTAGTGGAGGTGGGACCGAGCGCCTTGGGCCACGTCAGGCTCTTGGTTCGACACCTTTCCATTCCTATCATGTAACAACCAATGAATCCTGAGCACTACCCTGTCGAGGAATGCCACCTTCGGGCAGCTAGACGCCGCCGACCGAGATTTGCCGACCAAGAAGGGTATACTGCATGCGAGGGGCGAACTACACCGAGACCAAGGCGGACGGATCGATCTGGACGCGCTGACGCCATGGACAGTACCACGGAGCCTTCTAGGATGAGGCCGTGTGCCCAAGACGTAGAGAAAGAATCTTCGTGGAGTTGACTTCCTTCATAACCTCAGCGCTTATCCGTTGACACCTTCCCAACCTGTGGGCTTCACCATGCAAAATTCTGAAAAAATGCTCAGCAACGGAGAAACCACCAAAATCCATGGCGACACAGCGCAGGAGCGTCATGTTCTACCAAAGGGGACCGTTCTCATAGCCGGCGGCGGTCCTGTCGGTTTACTCCTTGCCAAAGTATTGTCACATTATGGCACCAAGTCCATTCTCTTTGAGCGCAATCAGACAACCACCCGCTGGCCCAAGATGGATCTTACAAATGCTCGTTCCATGGAACTTTTTCGCAAATTGGGCCTAGCTGATGACCTGCGACGGCAGGGGGTTCCCGCGCACATCGACCAGCCTGTCTTAGTATCGTCAGGTCTCTCCGCGAGGGAGCCCATAACAAGATGGGATCTCCCCAGCGTTGAGAAGTTCCGAAAACAGATTCGAGAGAATAATGACGGGACACAGCCCTCAGAGCCTTGGCAGAGGTTGTCGCAGGCGATATTCGAGAAGTGGCTGAAGGCCATTTGCGACAAGGATCCTTTGATCAATCTCCAATTTGGTTATAAAGTCGAATCGGTCCAGGAGGAGAATGACCACGTCAAGACAACCGTCACATCCGTGGACTCGGGTGCCTCTTTCCAGTTTGTCTCAGACTATGTCGCTGGCTGTGACGGCGCATCCAGCCGAGTCCGAAAGTCGCTGGGTCTTCCTTTAGATGGGGGACCGGTGTAAGTCTCCCGATGAACAGCGCATTAAACTCTCTTTACTAAGATTTGGCAGCCCGACGTGCGTTCTTCTCGTCCACTTCAAATCTCGCGACCTTACCCGTCTACAGAAGCAAGGCCAGTTCTGGCATATATTTCTCCTGGCCGAACACGGCGGCTTTGGCGGAGCCATCATCGCCCAGGATGAAGTCGACACTTGGACTACTCACCTCTTTTTGCCTCTGGATGCTGAACCAGAAAAGATCGAGTCACGAGACGCGGTTTACAGAGTTCTCGGAGGAGTTCACGGAGAATATCAAATCGAAATCGATGAGATCCTTGTTCGCTCGATCTGGCGACCTAATATTGCGGTGGCGCGCCGCTGGAGCAGCCCGAATCATCGTATCCATATCGCTGGCGACGCAGCACATCAGAATATCCCCACTGGGGGCTACGGAATGAATATGGGCATTGCCGACGCCTTCGATCTGGGATGGAAACTCGCCGCTGTCATCAATCGGACCGGTGGCACCGATTTACTCGAGTCTTACGAATTGGAGAGAAGACCCGTAGCGCTTCGAAACGTCGAGCGTTCCGGCGTCCACTTCGAGGTCCACAACAGTCTCAGAGAACTTTTAGCGGGTCGAGATCCGCGCAGTCTTGATGAGGATACGGAAGACGCACGTCGAATTCGGACCATTATTCACAGCCATTATCAGTCGCACGATGGTGAGAACAAGGACTTTGGAATCGAAATGGGCTACCGATATAAATCACCCGTCATTTTCCAGGACGACAGTCTAGAAACCGAGCCTCACTGGGAACCTTCAAGATACACTCCAACGTCTTGGCCAGGGGGCCGGCCCCCGCACGTCTTTCTTTCAGACGGCACGCCAATATTTGACAGGTTTGGCAGAGATTGGACACTGCTCATTTTTTCGAGCGAGGACTGTGGGGAGGACTTCCTGCACGAGGCAGCCAGGACTCTGTCAGTGCCGTTGGAACGAGTTAACTTAGACGACGAGCATTTGGCGAAGAGGATATATGAGAAGCGACTCGTTTTGGTCAGACCTGATCAGCACGTCGCTTGGAGAGGGGATAGAATCAACAGCACAGAGGCGGCAAAGAAGTTATTACAGGTCGTCACAGGAAGGGCTAAGTTGTGGAAGGGAGAAAGAGCAGCTGCTGTTGCCGCGGTACCGAAATCCGCATTCACAGCTACGAAGGAGCTCACGACTCAGGTGGATGATTTCAAGTTGGAGAAAATGGGAGCGTTTCAAATGTAGGGGAGCTCTTTAGGTGGAGTCTGCTGTAACAAGCATAAATGAGATCCAAATGCTTATTGTTTGTCTTTTCCTAGTTCAATCAAGGCATTCATCAGCTCGAGTGTATCGAGATACTCTTCATAGGATGTTGTCGCAGGTCTTCCTTGCTCGTTGTCGTTAAACAATTCTATGCTGTTTTATGAAGATAGATGATCAGCATAACGGAGTTCTAGAGTGAAGATTTGAGCCTTGCCGGTGGATTCAGTGACACCACAGCCTCCGTTACTCCTGCTTGCTTCTAGACGTCGCGTGAGCCAGATGCCATGGCGAGCGAAGAGACTGTTCCGCCAGGCATCAGGAAGCCCCTTTCACCTTGTGATTACAGTAAACCTGCAGATTGAGAGTTGTACCAATCAACGCCATTCTCTGTGTTGCCCGAACAGGAATATTCGGGGTCACGGTCAACAAGCCCGAACGAGCGCTCACACCTCCCGCCGGCCGGCATGGACGCTCCAAGAATCTTGTGTGGACGGGCGCAGGCTGTCGATCATACGCATCTGGGGCGGTAGAAACCCCGGACCCGCCTCCACAGTCCCAGGCAACTAATGAATGGCCTCAAAGTGGACAGCACAATCCTATACTCCCACGCTTGACTCGGCACGGTCGAGCACCCATATGGGAGCCTGTCCAGTGCCAATATGCTATAAGTGGCTCATTGTGTCATGTTCAATTCAGTGAAGGAATCTCCCCTGCTTACTATTCTTCTCCTTGACGTAACCAGCGAACATGGAGTCGTCGAACTTTCTTACCAAATACATCGGGATTCCCATAGTCCTAGGACTGACCTTCGCACTATGGAAACTGTATCATGTGGGCCAGAGACCGAAAGATCTCCCACCAGGTCCTCCTACTCTCCCAATCCTTGGGAATCTTCACCAGGTAGTAAAGTTGCTAGTAGATATTGTTCAACAACACTAAGTGCTGAGCAGATACCTTCCGAGAAGGCGTATCTGCAGTTCCAAAAGTGGGCTGAAGAATATGGGTACAGCATGCATTCTTATCGCCCAGCTTTCAGACGACTGACTGACATGGAGACAGGCCAGTTTATTCCCTAATGCTGGGAACCAAGCCTACCATTGTCCTGTCGTCCGACATCGCTATCAAGGAACTATTGGACAAACGTGGCGGCATCTACTCTGACCGCCCCGACTTGTATATCAGTCAAGATGTCGCCAGCGGAGGCCATAGATTGGTCGTCATGGTGAGCAGCTGTTCCCGCGGCCATCTAGTCTAGTCGTCCAGCTTGATTTCTAACGCAACAACCCAGAGATACGGTGAAAGATGGAGGACGATCCACCGACTGATTCACAATATTCTGAACATCAAGGTGGCTGCAAAGTACATCCCCTACCAGGACCTGGAGAACAAGGTCCTTCTCAAAGGACTCCTGGATGCGCCCGGATCGGAGGATCTGTTCAAACATTTGAGGAGATTCAGCTACTCCTTATCCACCCAGATGATCTTCGGGTACCGTTGCCCAGATTTCCGCGACGAGAGACTGGCCCAACTTTTCTACGTATGTTGCCTTGTGTTCAGTTTGCTCTCATTTTCCAGTCTAACAGGGGCCGGTCCGCACAGGTAGTCAACGGGTGGAGCGAGGTGTCGGAAAGCGCGTCCTCTCAACTCGCCGATCTGTATCCGATGCTCCAGAAACTCCCAAGCTTCATGCTGCCCAGTGTCCGCAAGGGGAGGCACGTACACCAGGTTGGGCGAGAGCTGTACACCGAACACTGGTTGAAGGCCAAGCAGGATCTCAAAGATGGAACTGGCCTGGTGAGCACGCCTATCCCATGGCAATCCTTGTACTGTCGCAAGCACCGCGAACACAAAGCTAACTCCTCCAGCCATGTATCTGCAACGATCTCCTGCTCGCTCAACAGAGCGAGAATCTGTCCGACGAGGCCGTTGGCTATATCGTGGGATCCTTGCTCGAAGGAGGCTCCGATACCACCTCCTCGACAATGTACGCCTTCATCCAGGCAATGATGGTCTATCAAGACGTGCAGAAGAAGGCACAGGAAGAAATAGACCGTGTGGTCGGGCCCGACCGCTTACCAAACGTTGACGACTACTCCAAATTACCCTACATCCGTTGTTGTGTCAAGGAGACGCTTCGCTGGATGCCTACAGTCATCATGGGCGTTCCACATAGTGTTACGAAAGATGATACTTATAACGGTTGGAAGATTCCGAAGGGAGCGACTGTCATCAACAACGTTTGGTACAGTCAACGTTTTGCTTGCGTATATGGTTCACTTACTAACGAGCATTTCTCAGGGGCATTCACATGGATCCCAACCGCTCTCCCGAGCCTCGCCGATTCAACCCCGAAAGGTTCGTGGGAGACGACACCACGCTCTACGAATCCGCCAACGGTGAGCCACTGAAGCGAGATAACTTCAACTTTGGCGCCGGTCGTCGATTATGCCAAGGTGTCCATATTGCAGAGAGGTCCCTCTACCTGGGAATGTCCCGAATCCTATGGGGTTTCCACCTCCGCAAGGCTCTAGACAAAGCCGGCAACCCGATCACTCCGGATATCAATGATCTAGTGGGAGGGATAACAGTCCACCCTCGTCAGTATCCCATTGACATCGTGCCTCGGAGCCCTGAGAGGACGTCAATCATCCGACAAGCGGTCAAGGACGCTGAAGAACTGTTGCACCCAGAAACGGGGCAATGGAAGAAGGTTCCAGAAGGGATGGTATTTGGAGCTTGGAAGCCTAGTGAGAGGAAGTGAGTAACATCAGCTTTAGTTCTTGGTTTGGTATCGTATCCGACACGAATCACTCGTTGGTGTGCTATGTATTTAGATCATCCTAGTATGATGCTCCTGCTCGTTAGGCTCATTTCCCAGCATTTACGCTCCCCTGGTTTTCATTTAGCCACGTCTCTCCGGCAATCAGAGGTCGGTTACAGAGTCAAACTTACAGCAAATACGTGCATGAGCTCCAGTCGAGGCCTCCCTGCAGCCGCGCTCTGAGCATCGACAACAATATGCGCACTGAAGTCCGCCTCCACGACTTTCCCGTTTGCAAAGCCCATCTTGACAGCACCCAGCAGAAACAGATCCCGGCATTCCTTGTCACTAACAAAGACCTTACAAATCTGATGGTAACGAGCAGTGATTTCTCCCCAGGCGTTATCCCTGCAACGAGAGATCTCTGGAAAGATTACAGTCAGCATAGGTCTCATTTCTGCGCCATGGGCTCGCCGACGCCTTGCTTACCTTCTTTTCCATGAAACGCCGCATTACTTGCGATGAACTTTGCGCTCGGGGTGAAGACTTCGCTCGCCATACGCGGACCTGCCTCGGCTTCTTTATTGTCTGCCAGCTCGTAGAAAAGTCGAATGACCCCTTTGACGTTATCATTCAGCGCGACCACATCGGGCCAGACGGTTTCCTTTGTTACGTAGGACATCGCAGACTCTCCGTCGCGGTTGAGACGGTTTCAGAGAAGGCTCATCGTGGAAAATCACTGGTGCGTACGCGAAGATGTCTTATTGCACTCCTCTGCATTGTCAGAATGTGTCCGGAGACTAACCAATTCGCTCGGCGTTTTGGCCGAGGGATCACTCGAGCTTCGGGCCGGTCTTTCCCTGTCAGTTTTACAAAGGACCCAATTAATTATGTAGCGCTTGAAGAGCAGGAGCACAATTATACTTAGGCCTCGCTGTCCCTGGGGTTACGGTGGCGCACTATATCCTACTACCCGAACGACTTAATCATGGGCTCACTCCAAGAAATCGACTTCGACGACAAGGGCGCTAAGGTGCTGAGTCCGTCGACCCTGGCGCACGTCGTCCTCCGCACCGGCAACCTCAAGAAAATGGTCGACTTCTATCTGAACTTCCTGGGAGGGACGGTCACGTACGGAAACGACTTCATCTCGTTCATCACGTACGACGAAGAACACCATCGCATCGCCCTTATCGGGATACCAGATACGGGACCTAAATCGTACACCAGCTGTGGACTGGAACACATTGCTTTCACCTTCCCGACGCTGTCCGCATTGCTTCTGGCTTATCGGCAACGCAAAGCCAGAGGAATCACGCCCGTGTGGTGCGTCAACCACGGGCCCACGACGTCCATCTACTACAAAGACCCCGATGGCAACATGATCGAAACGCAGGTTGACAACTTTGACAGCGTCAAGGAGGCCAACGACTTCATGAACAGCCCATATTTCGCCGAGAACCCGATCGGCACGGATTTCGACGCGGAGGAATTGATCCGCAAGATCAAGCGTGGTGTGGCCGAGGAGGAATTGAAGAAACGGGTGGAAATTGGACCGCGAGCGCTTCCTGACTTGGCAACGATGTAGATGTAGCGGAGATCTCGCAGAAGAGACGGGATGCGAGAAAGCCCAAGGGGATTGACGAGGTCCTTAGTGGGGAGACTGAAAGCGTCAGCGAGGTTAGTTGGGCTGTGCCCCAAACGTGTACTTCCTCTTCTAAAATGAGGTTGTTTCTGAGCAAGGCTAGGGGAGATACTCTCTGGCCAGAAAAATATCAATCCCAGGCCCATCAGGACGGATGTCGTATCCTTCAGTCAATCCAGATCCCGCCAAATGCAGTGCCTCGAATGCGCTGTATTATATGCTCCCAAGTCTTCTGGCCAACTGCTTCGGTTCTGTAATTCTCGACCATCTTCGCACCATGGCTTGCCTCACCGTCGATGTTATTCCTATACGCATAGATGTCAGGTTGCTACCGTTCTGTGGATGAGAAGCTATCTCAACTCTATTACCCTAGCCGTCCGGAGACCTGCAGACGTATAGCCGAGTTATGAGGCTACCATCGAGGGTTGTAATCAGAGCACTTCGGCCCAGCGGCACCACAGTTCTCGCAGCCCGGCTTGCGCCGTAGCTTGAAGAATAGATATTCTGCTCCCCAGTGCTGAAACCCTCCTCAATGTCTCCATGGCAGACAAAGGCCGGGTTGAACCGATGTGGCAGTTCCTATGTATATCGTACAAATTGAATGGTCCCTATTGGTCTCGAAGCAGCCGAAAAAGACGTGGATCAAATGTCAGACATCTGTATTTGCTGCGTGCTGTTTTAGCCTTACACCATCCATACCTTGGAATACAACTATTTTTTACAGTAGGTGCACATTTGAGCCTAGGTAGGTACGAGAGGACTTACCCACAATCTCCCTAACCCCGGATTACTTACAACACTCCCTCCTCCAGCCCCGCGCTAATCAGACAGTACTATCGGTCATTTCGCAGAGCTCCCCTTGTGTCTCTGACTAAGCGACCAAATGATTCAAGCGCGAGAAGATTCTTGATTGACTCTTCTCAGCTGTGGTAGCGTCCAAGCCGCATGGCAGCCGAGAATCCGAGTTACTTTGGTGCCCATTAGCAGGGTCTCCCCCCAAATCCCGGCCTGCCTTGGTCCGTCTGGGGGGACATTTAGGGGGGAAAGGAAACACGAAACTCTAACTCGTCCCCTCGCACGGGAAGCAATCATCTCGTTGACTTTCATTGAGCCCAGGATCGCGGGTGCCGAACCAAGCGGCCTTGGTCTTTTACAGTTATAGTGCGTATGACCTTTGTACGAAAGGCTCTCCTGGTCGAGCTATAAATACAACCCCCAACCCCAGACAGGTGAGCTGATCACTGCGTCCCACCTGGTAAACTTACCTCGACTTTCACCACTTGATCCCAGCTATACTTCACAGCAGCGTCTTCACCCATTGGGTTACACATTCTCTTCTCTCTTGACCAAAGAGATGTCGACACGGGCGGGTGAACAACCAAAGTCTACCAGAAGGAAATACGTGTCGACTGCTTGCACTACCTGTCGCGATGGAAAAATCAGAGTATGCACCGACCGCCGTCCCTTGTCAGGAAGGTAGTTGATGTTTACGATTTACAGTGTGATGGTGTTCATCCAATTTGCGGCAATTGTAAAAAGAAGAAAAAGCAATGTGTCTATGCCCAAGGGGAGGACAAGAGAAGGTGTGTTAAGAACAGACAGTTGGATCTGAGCTCCATATATTCACATGATTCGCGTCCAGGATACCCGTCCGGAAAGCCATTCAAGTCTTCTCTGCCCGACTGTCAGAACTTGAACAATTCATTCGCACCCACGGGCTAGAGCCTCCACCACTGAATGCCAATGATGCTGCGTTAATCGACCGCTTGATCGAAACGTTGCAGCAGCCAGGTACATCACCAAAAGAACAAGTGGCACTTGAGACATTAGAGCCAGAAGCTTCGGCTCAAGGAGAAGGACTTACCAACGACTTAATTCCGCTGCCTATATCAGGGTCGCAAGAGCCACAGCGGAGGCACTCTCAACCAGGAGAGTACCAGAACAATGTGTCGCTCCGGGGGCCCGAGGAGTTCATGCTTGACCTCGCCCAAATGAATAGCAACCGAACCATCCCTGCCCATGCACCAGAGGTGGGCGACCTGTTCACCAACTATACGGACATGGACGACCAATTGGCTGCGTTGCAAGAGAGCAACATCGCGTTTCCTGAGTGGACCACAGATTTTACGGGACTCAATGCCATGCCATTGGGCATGACTTATGGCTGGATCGACCTACAAATTCCTTATCCAGATATGGAAATGTCTGGAACTGATCAATCTCTGGGCCCTGCAACTTCGCCGGAGTCTATTTCAGCCACAGATCTGGATTTGCGAGTCGCTCCGGATGATGAGGGTTCCGACGGTGTGATCAATGAGATTGCTGAAAGAATGGGGACCCTGCAAGTTACGGATGACGGCGAGCTTCGCTATTTCGGCGCGACCTCAAACCTGCCACTCCGCGATGATACTGGGCCAACCACACAATCCGCGGAAGCAAATGTTGCTCGAAGCCGCGGCCAAAGGCTGTTGGATGCCGCCGGACTTGGCCAACACGTCGATGAAGCCTTGGAGGACCATTTAACCAACTTATACTTCACCTGGCAGGATCCTACGTTCCATGTCGTGGATCGAGAACTGTATAGACAAGCAAGGAGGACACACCGCTCCCGCCCTGGTCGCAGCTCCTACTTGTCGGAGACGTTGATCAATGCAATGTGAGCTCTCCACGCTACTCTCTTCTGAGGACTGACCATACTAATCTAAATAAAGCTGTGCTTTTGGCGCCATCTATGACACGGGCCGACATGAGAACTTCCCTCTACCCTTGCCCAAGTTCTTTGCGAAGCGGGCCAAAATCTGGTTAGATATCGAATTGGACAGCCCCAGAGTAGCAACCGTGCAAGCATTGGTGATTTTAAGCTCTTTCGAAGCAGCATCTACAAATGACGCGCGCGGATGGCTCTACAGTGGTACGTTCTCCTGGTCAATCATCAATCATTAGTAACTTGTATTTGATAGGGATGTCCGTCCGTTTGTCCTTTGATCTCGGTCTACACCTTGACATGACGCCGTATGTAGCCAAAGGTCTAATGAGTTCCACCGAAGCTGAGGCTCGCAAAATGGCTTTCTGGGGAAGCTTTGTGGTTGATCAGTAGGTGCCCATGTACGACCCTTCACCATTCCTACTCACAACTGTGTAGTCTCTGGGGCTTCTATCTAGGAAGACCACCTTGCCGCATAAGTAACCACAATCCTTCAGTTCACCAGCCCGCCGATCGGATACCTGGGCTGCAGCGATGGGTACCTTACGGCGTGCTAGAGACTCTGCCTGAAGCAACCCTCTCAGTCCCCGATTCGTCCGATCCCAATGGCATGCTTCCTCGACAATGGGTGTTGCTCTGTGAGGCCATGGACGATGTTAGCCATGTTTTGTGAGTTTCTTCTTCTTCGGTAAGCGTCAAGCTGCTTACATTCTAGGTATGAACGGGCGGATGTATCAGATAAAATGCTGCAGTCGCTTGCCGATGAGACCGTTTCTAAACTGGATCAATGGCGGCGAAACCTGCCACTTGCGTTGCAGGTCAGTCTTGACAAGCATGACGGTAACATCAAGCACCTGCCCCATGTCCTCGTATTGCAGTATGTCTCCTATCTCCTATTGCATCTGACGTCCCGCTAATCAGCCACAGCATGCAATACCACCAATTCATGATATATATTCACCGCCCGTTTATGTCGAAGACAGCTTCGAGCACAATCAACTCCAATATTCGGCATATGCATGCTCGATCGGTATGCATAGAGTCTGCCGTTGCTATATCCGTACTCCTCCGCATTTACAAGTCGAGCTATCCGCTGCGTTTCGTCAACGTCGAGGTGGTCAGCATCGTGTTCTCGGCAGCCATTATCCTCGTGTTGGCCTCAGTTCTTGACCTGGAGGGAACTGACAAGTTGAACCTCCAACGCCACCTCGACACCTGTTGCAGAGCATTGGCAGAACTAGGGAAGGCCTTCAAGAATGCCTCGCGGACTTTGGATATTCTCTTGGACATCAAGCGTAAGTGGCAAGCCAAGCTTGTTGCCTCAGAAAAACCGAAACGGAGGGCTCTCGAGGCTCAAGAGTCCGTGAGACCAGGCACCAAGAGACGAAAATCACAGTTCCAGCCCCTCCAGGGCTAGTTTGGGCATTGTGCTTTCTGGTTCATGTCACAGTATAGTCAATTGTTACGCGTCTTCGTCACAAGCACGTTTACGCCCCTGGTCTTCCTAATTCGGCCACGGCATCACAATAGTGTTTTCCTGCAGAAGCTCGGCTCTCTGCTTCGTGACTTCTGCTCTGTTCCCGAATACATACACGGCCTGGAACAATGCGTTCCGATCCCCCTGAGGCACCAGGGGGAGAGTTCCGCAACAATTGTTCCTTTCCACCGGCAGGTGTTCTACTCGGTCCAGAGCCGGAATCGTACCCAGCAAAGGAAAGTCGGATTCCGTGCCTGGCTTCTGTTCCATGTCGCGACCAGCCTTAGAATCCATTGTAGCCGGCGAGGAGGCAATCGAGTCCGTAAATGTTGTGGATCAAATGTGTTGAATATGGAGCAGCTGATTGGGACCTGGGGGCAAACAGCAACCCCCAGACCCCGAACTCCCCGCAAGCCTAAGCGAGCGGACGGGAAGTGTCTCTGTGTCGTCTTGAACAATTTGTCCCCCGCAGGTAAAAGTGTCTTACACCGCTTCGGTTTTCTCCAGACGCCCCCAGGAACCCATATTCCGGATGACAAGAGCAGCTCTAGAACATCTCACAAGGCTCTGCGATGGGTCAGCTGGGTGCAGGCTGGGGCCTTATAACCATCAGGCTCTTTCGTAAGCCCCCCTTTTGTTGTCTCTATCGATCATTGACCAGAGACCAAAATCTTCACCGTTGACAAGATGGCGGAAGTCAAAGAGACCTGGACTTGGCTCAATGTCCTGGTATGTTGCCTTGCAGCTACTACTTCGCCCTTCCAATCCACTACAAGGCTTGAAGCAGTCCAATATCTTGGGTCGCTGACGCTCACAATAGATTGTCTTGTTTGCCACGTTCGGCTCGCTCTCATATGGCTATTGCACCACCATCATTGCGTCGACCCTCGGGCAGCCTCAGTTCCAAGGGTATATGAAGCTACTACCCGGCCAGTCCAACGGAGACAATGCCTCAGCACTGATCGGAGCCACCAACGGATTGTTCCAGACGGGTGGCTTCTTCGGAGCCCTCTTGATCGGTCCTGCGGGTGATTACTTCTCTCGAAGGGGTGCCATCGCCGTCTCCGCGGCATTTATGGTCATCGGCGGCGCTATACAGGCAGCCAGTCAGAACATTGCCATGTTTCTGGTTTTCCGCACGTTCTCTGGCTTTGGTGTGGGCATGGCAGTTGGAGCGGTGCCCCTGTATCAGTCGGAGGTTTCTCCTCCCCATTCCCGTGGTTTCCTGGTCGGTCTGCATGGTAGGTTCTGTGAACACAAAAGGCTCGTCTGTTAACGCTGACCCACGCTTTTCAACAGGCGTCGCTATCGGGGCTGGCTCTGCTCTGGCAGCCTGGGTCGGCTACGGCTGCTACACTATGACTGGCAATATCCAGTGGCGGCTACCCTTAGCCTTGCAAGTTGTGTTCCCAGCGATCTTGGGCCTGGGAATATACACAGTCCCCGAGTCTCCAAGATGGCGTAAGTTGACATCCCGGAGCCTGTTCCACTTGCACATGGCCAGCTGACGGATCCGAAAGTCCTCCAGCGCGACGATCCCGACAAGGCTCTTGCTGTATTGATGAAGATTCACGCCGACGCCCAAGATCTCGACGGCGCATTTGCACATCGCGAGTACAGCATCATGCGCGAACAGTTCGCGTTGGAGACGAATGTGATTGGTCTCCAGGCATACAAGGAGATCTTCACCAAAGCACACAATCTCAAACGTCTTGCTCTCGGGTTTGGCGTGATGTTTGGGGGCCAGTGTACCGGCACTTTGGTCATCAACTGTAAGCTGACAACAGCAAGCGAGGGACTTGTCGCTAACATGGCCTCAGACTACGCTGTGTCTTTGTATTCGAGTATCGGATATACCGGTCGACAGGCATTTCTCCTCTCTGCCGGCTATGTAACCGTGTCTATCCTGGGCAACGCAATCACCGCGATACTTGTGGATCGCGGCGGGCGGGTCAATTTCTTGGGTAAGTCAAACCACATAATCTAGCAAGCCTCCCTCGCTAACAAAACCCCAGTCATCGGGTTCGGTGCTCTTGTCCTCGTCTTGATCGGCGAGATCGCGATGCTCTCTCTCCCGACTCACGAACAGACCGCAGGGACCGCCGCGGGGGCAATCGTCTTCCTCTTCATGCACATCTTTTTCTACGCCAGCTTCATCGACGCCACGACCTACATCTACGTGTCCGAGATCTTCCCCACCCGCCTCCGCGCCGTCGGCACCAGTCTCTCCATCAGCGGCCTCTTCCTGGCGAGTCTCGTCTTCACGCAGGCGGCCTCGTCGGCGTTCCAGGCGATCCACTGGCGGTACTACATCGTGTTCGCGGTCCTCACCGCCATCTACGCCGTCCTGCTCTGGCTCTTCTTCCCCGAGACCAAGGGCCTGAGCCTGGAAGAAGTCGCCAGGATCTTCGGCGACCCGGTCGCGGACGGCACCCATGTGGTGGGAAAAGACGGCCACCTGTACGGCACCACCTCCAACAAGCCGGAGGATGACGTCGAGCATGAAGAGCATTCTGTCCCGCACAAGGTCTAAACCGCTAGAGGTGTTTTCGGCAACGCCACTGTGAATGACGGAATGCTCGGGGGGGATTGTCGCACGAAATCAGGCAAGACTAAAGCTCTGATCAGAAGTCGCTGGCAACGGCTCCTACGGTCATTTCTCAAGGACGTAGAGATGGCATGCTCAAGAAGGTGGTATATGTACATAGCACATATATGTATGAAGGGGTAGGTATATACTCGGTAGCTTTACTATTCTCTGACAATATTTCCCCAGAAGAAAGAGACCTGTTCTTAATATCACAACAAAGATCCTCTTGCCATTTGCACGTTGTCGGTTGAGATTGCTTTGGGTATTTTCTCTATGTATAGTAATGGTGGGAAATAGAGATACTGCTCTCTTGGGATTCGGCTAGGTCGCTGTCAATGATTGTTCTCCTCCGCAATGGCCTTTCTGTAATCAAATATGAACACACCATCTTTGTATCCGAAGCAAAGCTTGTACTCTCAACGGCCCATAAACCCGCCATCGAGCTGCAATGTATTGTCAGAACGGCGAGCACAGTTCCGCACACATGTCCCAGATACTGACCAGCAATATATGTCCATGGACGTAATCACTTGCCGAACTGGCCAAAAACACTGCGGAGCCCTTGAAATCTTCGGGCGTTCCCCATCGGCCGGCAGGAATCCTGTCATTGAGGCTCTGGAGGTATGCCGGGTCGCCCGACCTCGTGTCGACGTTCATATCTGTCGCCACGTATCTATTATGTGGTCAGCAAGCGGCGAGACGGCTGATCAGGGTAGTAGAGACGGCATACCCCGGAGCAATGGCATTCACGTTAATGCCTTTCGCCGCCCATTCGTTGCTCAAGGCTTTAGTGAGTTGGGCCACACCTCCTTTGCTCATCGCATATCCCACAATCCTGACACTGCCGATGAACGACGCCAGACTCGCAGTGTTGATGATCTTGCCGGGCATATTATGGTTGATCCAATATCTTCCGATGTCTCGGCAAATGACAAACGTCGAGTTCAAGTTGACTTGGAGGACCTCTTCGACGGTGTCGAGAGCGTAGTCCACTGCGTCCGCTCGCCGTTGGATCCCGGCGACATTGAGAAGGATGTTGATTCTGTGTCTTGCAGTTACTCTTGAGACGAGGGTGGCCACGTCTGTCTTGTCGCTCAGCTCGCAGGGTTCGATGAAACAGTTTCGACCTAATACTTCAATGGCCTTTTGGGTAGTATTGTCTGCGCCGGTGCTCCTCTGCAGAGATCAGACACATCGGCACCGAGAGAGAGAGACAACGGTTTCGAACACCTTCGACATACCTGTATCAACACCACATCGGCGCCTGCTTCTGCAAGTGCGATCGCCATGGCCTGACCGATGCCTCTCGTGCCGCCTGTGACCATGGCGGTCTTCCCCGTTAAGTCGAACAACGAGACAACCATGTTGTTTCCGCTGCACCGTGTCTTGAATAGCTATCGCAAGTTTTCCAAGCGAAAGATGGCAACATCTCATCCGTAGCTAAAACAAACAATAAAACGAAAAAAAGAGAAGCTGCAGCGTAATTCGTGCTAGGGCCAGACGCGATGCACAGACAGCCATGGCGGTGGACCCAAAATACGTATCCATCGGCCCCCCCTCGAGGAGTATAATCACTTTCGTCCACTAGGACTGGCCAGCATTATCCGAACCAGAGAGCCAGAGCTGAGCCTTGGGCTCCCGCACGCTCCAAAATGTGGCTCTACACAAGGCGTCAAATGAAGAATTCACGTCAGCGGCGAAGACTCAGTCCGATGGCTGAATCACCGCGCCTTGCATATGGCATACGGCATCATCCCCAGAACGAGGCCCCTCTCCAGAGATTGCGGAAACCATATTCCGCAACCTCCTCGTCGCACAACATGCACGACCTTGAGATACGGACTCCGCATGTTAGTAAGCTTCGACCGGCCTGAAGCTTGGGTATGATTCCAGGTCTTTGATTGCTGTATGCCGCAGGAAAGGCCTCATTTAGCGCCGAGTGAGATTATCGGCGTACAAACCGTACGGTACAGCAGTCAGCATTGTAACAGGTTCGTCTTTACATTTCATTTGAATGCTTCATTTATTCTAGAGAACAAAGTCCCGTGCTAGACGTTGTTGACCACAACCTTGACGACAAGCTTCCCATCCACATCTGTCGATTTCGCTGCAAGCTCGAATGCCTCGGGAACCATCTCTAGGCCTTCAAATCTATGGGTGATGATGCTCGATAGATCTGGGATCCCTGTCCCAACTTGACCAGCCTTGCGCATGATATCGATGCTCTCCGGATACGCGTTCGCATATCGCCAAATGCCAACCAGATCAACTTCCCGATGCGTCGCTGCTGCGATAGGCAACGTTTGGATAGGTGAGCCCATGCCAACGAGCATGACCTTGCCGCCCGCGCGAGTGGCCTATATGCTGGCGTGTCAAAGAACCGCAATGGCGACGTCGTTGCTCCTGGAATACTTACATAGATGGCTGTCTGCACGCAGGACTCGACGCCCGTGCATTCAAACGTGACAGAGAATTTGTCTGACCTCTTCTCTTCTGTTTTTTGCCCTGCTTTGCAGAATTCATCTGCGAATTCTCTCGCAGATTCCAGCCTGTCCTCCAGGGTCTCTCCTTTTCTCGGGGACATGGGCGATACGGCCGACGCAAACCCCTGGTTGAGGGCGAACTGGAGCCGGTTCTCCGCGATGTCTGCCATTGTGATACTTACACAGCCAGCTGCCCGCGCCGCAGATGCACACAGCAGACCGACCGCGCCTGCTCCAATTACAAGGCATGATGATCCCGGTGCCAGACCTGCTTTTCTTACGGCATGGACGGCTACCCCCAGCGGCTCCAAGAGAGCGCCCTGATCATAGGACATTGACTCCGGCAGCCTTGCACGTCAATCATCCGCATTCATAGGTTTTACTGGTTGCCGAGGACTTACTTATGACACCACTTCGCTGGATGGTTCAATCTCGTCTGCAGTGTTCCTTGGAAATGTGGGAACGAAGCAGCGCTGCTCCGGAAGTTCATCCTTGCGCAGACATTGTACCGACCCGTCGCGCAGTCTTCACAATCATCGCACGGGACTCCGACCTCGAGGGCGATTCGGTCTCCAACCTTCAGCGTCGAGACATCCTCGCCAACTGCGACGACTTCACCGGCAGATTCATGACCTTGCGAGAGTGGCTCCTTGATCTGGATACCTCCGTTGCTGTAGCTCAGATAGTAGTGAACATCCGAGCCGCAGAGTGTCGTCGATCGGATGGCTACCTGCACCTCGTTCGGCAGTGGCGGGGGGACAAATTTGTCCGTCTAGAGGTTGATCAGACTAAGTCGATGGCATACTTTTCTGAACCCGTGCAAGTATAGCTTGACTCACCAAACGAAGATCTCTCGGGCCATGGAGCACCTGTGCCTGGCAATTGAACAGAACAGCTGAAGGCATATTCTATGGGCTGTGAGAGCTCTGCGAAAGTCACAGGGCTTGGACTTGGGTCGGCCAAACTCTCCCTTCTCCCAACGGAGCTATACGATGTATATCCAGCCATCAACACAGTTTTCATCAAGCTATTCGCCTGCCAAACGTGAATTCAATTGGTATGGAAGATGGTTTCCGCATTCTTCATTTGAACATTGCATGCCACGACAACCCCGCGGCGCATATTCCTGACAGTGCATACACCAGACAGATCTGTGGGAAGCAAAAACTGATGTTCCAAACGGGAATGCACTTTCTGAGCCAAAACTTCCTCGACAGTGGGCACGGTCCCCGGCGACCCCTTCCCCTTCATCTGCTCACCCTTCCGGCGGATTGAACTATGAGGCGGCTCAACCCTAGGAGCAGCGCGTACTGCGGAATTCGAGAACCGGCGACGATCCGGGAAGTCGTCTCCTTTGCAAATTCGTGACTGAGTCTGCGAGTTGCTAGTCCCACTGTCAGTTACGTGCAAGCACCATTCTAAAGATCATCTGGCTTCTGTCACTTTTGAGACGCAATCGCTTTGTCACCGAGGCCGTTTCCTTTCCACCCTTGGCGTCTTTCTCTTGTGGCTGGGTCGGTGAGTGCTTGCTACCGACGCAACATCTGTCGATGGCCATAACGCCGAGACCAACTTACACTTAGAGCTCGCTAAAGCTCTAGATCAACGATCAACTATCTCGAACTCTTGATATCTCGTCAATTCATCCTCAGCGAAGATCTTTACGACAGCATGGCATTTGCAATTGCCTCAAAGTGTGCAATTGTTACGGGTGGAGCGTCGGGTAAGGTTTACTCTGTACCAACAGTTGTATGCGGAACTTCTAATTCTCTGCCGAAGGCATAAGCCTAGCCTTTGCAAAACTTCTGGTTCAGAAGGGAGCCAAAGTTGTGGTTGCCGACCTACAGAGAACACCAGCGCTGGATGAGTTAATGAAGCAAAGGTAGTCATAACTGAACAATATGGCCAGATCGCTGGAGGTGCTGACAGGAACTGACAGACAGGACGACATCTTCTTCCAGAAGACAGACCTTACTCAATGGGACCAATTACACGACCTCTTTAAGTTCACCAAGAATCGACTTGGCAAGGTCGACGTGTTGTGTAACAGTGCAGGAGTGTTTGAACCAGTGAGCATGTCGTTGTTTCGAGCAACGCAATTTGCGTCGCTGACGCACGAGTACAGCCATGGTCCAATTTCTGGAAAGACACGGAAGAAACCAGCTACAAATCGATCGACCTCAATGTCTCTGCACTCATGAAAGGCACCCGTCTCGCCATTCGAGATCAGATCACACGAGTCTCCCCGCCGCCGTCAACCAGGACTGTGGGCGTCATCCTCAACGTATCGTCCCTCGCCGCCCAATTCCCTCTTTTCAACCAGCCACTGTACTGTTCGTCAAAAGCAGCCGTGTCTGCTTTTACCCGGGCGCTGGCTCCTCTCCACAAGGAGTTCGGCATCAAAGTCGTGGCTGTGGCACCGGGGAATGTGGCTACTCCTCTGTGGACTGAGGATATCAAGAAAGTCTTCCGTGCCGACGACGTAGTGATCCAACCGGAAGAGGTGGCAGATGTCATGCTCAGGGTGATCGAAGGAGCAGAGTACCCCGGTGGCACAGTGCTCGAGGTGACCAAGGGCCGCACTCGATTTCTGGCGGTTGACAGTCCCGTGGCATCAGGGCCGGGCGCCACCACGAGCAATATGGGTGTGATCTACGACGAAACCATTACCCTTCTGGACCAGGAGAGACAAAAATAACAAGTCATGACAATCATCATTGGTCACACTTATTAGAGAAGTAGATGTTAGCATAGCTCAATGTATTTTCATTTCACTTTTGCGTTCCACTTAACGGTGGCGTACAGTCAAGAGGTTCAACGACCAGCAAATCCGCCCACATGTTCGACGTTCTTGATCAAAGGTGGCCGTCTAAGCAGATCCTCCTCCTCCCAAGTCTTCAGCAACTTCACCACGTGCGGGACTCCCATGTGAACATTCTGATTCTCCAGAGAAGTGTATCTTGTTCTCGAAAATCAGCCTCTCAAAATTCGCCGCCGTCACAGGAAGAATAAGACAGACCTTTCGAACATGATGATGTCTTCTTGGCCGTCCTGGAAGTTGATCTCTCGGTAGCAGGAATACTCGGTCACGTAGGGCTCCTCGGCATGCACGACCTTGGCGGTCTGCAGCAGCAATTCCACAATCTAGGTGGCGCGACTTGTCAGTGGAGGCGACGATGGGAGGGGGTGGGTGATTGATGCAACGGCGCGTATACCCGATCGGCTTTCCCGGGCTGGGGATAAATGGTCGCAATGAGGATTGCCTGAGTCATGGTCAATGCTCACAAATTTGCTCGGGGAGCTGTGAATGTAAGTCGCAATGGTCACGTTGGCGGGTAAGATCGTAGTCGTGGGATGGCCGAGGGTCGCAAGGATTCGACATTAAGTATGCCGGGCATGTGTCTGGTTACAAGGCATAGGCGTTTGGATCCGGCATCGTAGTTTCTCGCACAACATCGAGAGGCCTTCCGGAATCACGATGCCGCAGTCTGGGTTCTCCGGATCTTGCTCAAGAACAGCACGCATCTGGAATTAAGTCTAACCACCTCCACACAGGCTTTCGGCCTGCTCATCACCTCCACAATTTCAGCCGCGGCAAGTAGATGAATTGCAAAGCGGAAGGCTTTCCGACGGTGAGATGTGAGACGAAGGTACGGGAAAGGAGCCCATTCACTCATTCCACCGTGCCTTCTGCGACTGTCGCATCCACAAATCTGGGGGGAAACAGTCTTTGAAGATTTGTATTTCGGCTATATGAGCTTAGAAAACTCATGGGCACTACTCTGGCATGAAAAGTCGCTGTAGTCTCTTTATGCTTGGCTGAAACGGCTTCATAGTTTGGCTTCATAGTTATCTAGAGGCTAGTCATGGGATGTTGTAGGATCCCAAGTCGAAGGAGCATATACATCTTTGAGATCCAACTCCGCCATGTCTTCCTTCGTCAGTTCAAAGTCAAAGACGTCTGCATTCTCCTCGATTCGCTTCATTGAGACTGACTTCGGCAACGGAGAGAAGCCCTAGCGGAGAAGTTAGAGTCAAAGGAGAGACCACATGCTGTTCGAGTCTAAGGATCAGCCTTACCTTCTGCAAGCTCCAGCGCACAAGAATCTGCGCAGGCGACTTATGGTACTTCTCTCCGAGTTTGTGAAGGACAGGCTCTTCCATGCGTTGCCCTCGGGCGAGAGGACTGTACGCCTGGCAAAGCACTCCGTTCCGTCTGCACCACTCGGTGATGTCTGGCCTGGCGAGCCACGGGTGAAGCTCCCACTGCCCGACGCTGATCTTGCCTCCAGCACCCTCTCCACCCTCCTTCTCAAGTTCCGCAATATACTCCTTCAGCTCTTCCAGGTGGTGGACGCCATAGTTTGAGACACCGATCGAGCGGACTTTGCCAGCCTGTTGGGCCTCGACCAGGGCTTTCCACGCTCCACATCGAGCTTCCTTGCCACCGTATGGTGCATGTATGATGTACCTGCAAAAACATTAGACCGTCGCCAGCAATCGACCGATAAAGCTGGATGTGTACAAGTCAACATAGTCTAGACCGGCAGTGGCAAGCGTGGTGTCGACGTCCTGTTTCGCGTTCTCGTAGCTCATTCGATTCGGCCACACTTTGGAGACGTAAAAGATTTGGTCGCGCGGGATGCCGCTTTTCCTGATCGCGGCGCCGCAAGGCGCTTCGTTCTCATAGATTGGCGCCGAGTCGATCTAAACCGCCCAGGTCAGTCGACGGTCGACAGGTTGACAAGACGGACAATTTTGCTGACCTGCCGAATCCCAATGTTCAGAGCATGCGCTACAACCTTCTCTGCCTCGTCGGCGGGCCTGTGGTAAACCATTAGGACTAGAAGTGCGTGGCTCTGTCTTGGGTCTCACGTTTGATAGACCTTCAAACCATCCCGAGTCAGCATGACAGTACACATTTCTGTGTGAATGACTTACTCCAAACCCAAGAGCTGGGATTTCATATCCAGTGTTGAGTTTGTAGGTTGATTTGATAGTCAAATGCTCCATATTTGTTGCAATCATTCTGACTAGCACTGAAAAACAAAGCTGTAATAGCACAACTTCTCCCGTGAGGAAGTCAACGAGCCGGACTTGGGGAGGTTTTGCTATTATTATTATATCATCTGTCACATCGCCTATTTATTAGTTCCAGGCTTTGGCCGGGATTGGGGCAATCGGGTGTCACATACAAGGTTCATGCAAACTCACTGTCCAACTGTATTGATCTTCTATATCCAGAGGGCACCTCTGTGGTTGCTTAATGTATGCTAGACGGCAAGGAACCCAGTTTCCGAGCACGCAAATGCAAAACGCGGGGAACGCAAGGCTGCCGTCAAATCAGGGGCAAGGGACAAGGTTCTTTCTTCCGAGGAGCGTGTGTAATACTTGATATTCGCCAACTTCATTGTTCCCACAGATACTTCAACTGCATCGAACGAGAACAAACTCAGCATCATTCACTAAGACTGAATTCTGCCATACCGCCTCTCCTCTGGGAATTACGCCACGAGCATCAACATGAAGGAAATAGAGGGCATCAGCTACCTCTTTGGCTACCCTCTAAAGCACTCGCTCTCACCACTCGTGCACAACACAACATTCGAGAATCTGGGAATTCCCTGCAAAATGACCGCGCTGGAGTCTCTCGACCTGCCAGGATTCCTGCAGCTGACCCAAGAGCCCCGATTTTTCGGAGCTGCAGTCACAATGCCCCACAAGGTTTCGATCATGGGGCATTTGGACGAGATTGACTCCGCGGGAAGGGATGTCGGTGCCTGCAACACCATCTATGTCACGGCGGTGGACGGGGAGCGCAAGCTTTGCGGAACTAACACGGACTGTGTCGGGATCAGAGAGGCTTTCGCCAGGAACGTGCCCGATGCGCTCTACCATGGAAGGCCAGGCCTTGTTGTCGGTGGCGGTGGAGCAAGCCGGGCCGCCGTGTATGCGTTGAAGAAGTGGATTCGCTGCGCCACAATATACCTGGTCAACCGTGACAGACAAGAGATAGATGATCTAATCGAGCACTTTGAGCAGAGAGGTCTCGCTGAGGGACTAGTATTTGTGGAAAGCGTTGAGCAAGCCGAGGCGCTACAAGGACCAGGAGCCATTGTGTCCTGCGTGCCAAATTTCCCTCCCACGTCCGAGACGGAGAGAACGGCAAGGAACGTGCTGGAGACTTTTCTGTCCAAGGAACATAAGGGCGCACTGCTGGAGATGTGTTACCACCCGACTCCCTGGACCGAAATCGCCGACCTCTCTCAAAGGGCAGGCTGGCAAGTGGTGTTAGGGACGGAGCCGTTGATCTACCAGGGTCTTGAGCAAGACAAATACTGGACGTCCCGCCCGTTCGAGGACTTACCCGTGAGCAAGGTCAAGGAAGCTGTTGCGGATGCTCTGGAGGCGTTTGCACGCACTCTTAGCCAATGATCCAGCACACTCGAACAGGGTTCCAAGTTTACTTTCATGAAAGTGATGCAAAGATGGAATCTGAAGCAAGGAAATTGGGTGTTTCTGAGCATATTCTCTCATGAGGTCCACATTCTGACGCTATACAAGTAGGTAGAGTTCTGGAGCCCTGCCTCCCTAGAGACAGGACAGCAGTCTGTGAGAAGCGTGCCTATGGTCAGGTGAGGAAATGTCAATGTGACAGCTGTGCTCCGAGACTTACCCTGTGAACAATAAGTTCTGCTTAAGCGACCGGTGGATGTTCAGGGAAAACGTAGTCTGATTCCATCACCAACACGGCCATCAGTCCACCAATGAACCTTCCAAATTGGCTTAAGCCCGGACGTGACAACCCGGGAATCCAGCTCCCGTCTATAGCATAGTAAGCGAGTACTCAAATGTCACTGTATCGCAGACATTTCGATGCCTAAACACTTTGTTTCTCCATAATGTGGCCGGAAACGCGATTCCGGTGGAAGCGTTTTCGAGTGTCGCAGCCTCGAATTCGGCCTACTATAGCAGTGATGGCCTAAACTCGATCTCAGGCAACATATTTCGATCCCTCGCCTTGAAGCTGTTTCCGTGTCTTGTGTCCATAAGAGTAGCAGCGTTGCAGGTGAGTTGGCGACGACTGGAACAATCATCTGCTCGGAGACGAAGCTAGTTGTACGGCTGCAAATTTTTCCCCTGGGCCTATCTTTACAAGATGTCACCTCACAAAGTGGACGATGTGTGTGAAGCGCCGTACAAAATTGAAAGGCAACTCCTATTCGCCCCGCGAAATTTGCGGATTGTCTGCATCGGAGCAGGCGCCTCCGGTATGGTGAGTTCACAAGGAATCTGGGTCTTCCAACAGATACACAATATTAACAGACTGGTTTGCGCTCAGTATATGGCGATTAGACAAGAACAACTGCTGGAAAATGTCGAGTTCCAAATCTACGAGAAGAATCCAGATGTGGCGGGAACGTGGTTCGAGAACAAATACCGTGAGTGCAGCCACCTGCTGATCCTCTGTGACGGCCACAATATGAAGCTGATCCTCGATTTCGCAGCCGGCGCCGCATGCGACGTACCAGCTCACATCTACACCTTCTCTTTTGCTCCAAAGACAGACTGGTCTCATTAGTAAGGTGTCGGATCGCTTCCAGTGTGACGAGTCCACTAATTTCTTCAGCTATGCTGAATCCGACGAGATCCAAGAATACTTCTCAGGCGTCGCCGACAAGTACCGAGTGCGACGGTTCATCAAATTCGGTCACCTGCTTGTTTCTGCGGAGTGGAACGAAGGTGATGCCAAGTATGAGCTTCAAATAAAGACCCCCGATGGATCGGTTCTCCGTGATAGCTGCGACATTTTGGTCAACGCTTGCGGGATTCTGAAGTAAGTCTAGCTGGTTGAAGCTTGGACGCTCTCTGATAATTGTGACAACAGCGCGTGGAAATGGCCAGCAATCCCTGGTCTTCAAGACTTCAAAGGAAAACTATTGCATTCAGCCCATTTCGACCGACCCTGGACTCCCGAAGGTCGAAACGTCGCCTTGATAGGCACGGGCTCTTCGGCCATCCAGATCCTTCCAAAAAGTTGGTGGTGGTGAAATCAAGCATTTGAGGGAGTGCTAACATCCATTCAGTCCAGCCCAAGGCAAAACACATAGACACCTATGCGCGATCACCTACGTGGATTGCAATGCCTTTTGCCGGTATCAAGTCGAGACAGCCACAAGGCAATCCACCGTATTCGGATGTGGAGAAGGAGCATTTCAGGAACGACCCAGCGTATCATTTGCAATACAGGTGAGAAATATCTCGCTGTCAAGTCGAGTGAAGGCGTAGGACTGAGTTTCTCCGCCCAGGTGCGATCTCGAATCGGAGTTTAACCACTATTATGAGATGTTTGTCGACAGCTGCGATCTGCAACTATCGACTGTTAGAGATTTGACTGCAAGAATGGAGGCATCTTTGGCCAAGAAGCCGGAGCTTATACCTCTCCTCATCCCAAAGTTTGGCGTTGGATGCCGCAGACTGACCCCAGGTGTGGGATATCTGGAAGCAATGTGTGAGAGTAATGTCGAGGTAGTGACGCAGGAAATCACGCGCGTGACCGCCGGCGGGATCGTGTCGGCGGATGGCACAGAGAGGAAAGTCGACACTATTATCTGCGCCACAGTAGGTTTACTTCTGGCTCGAAGAACAGTTCAGGTGCTGATATATCTTCCAGGGGTTCGACGTCAGCTTCGCGCCTCGCTTCAAGTTGACGGGAAGGAACGGCTTCAAGTGTGACGAAAAGTTTGGAGCTGGTGAGTTGTGTCCTTTCAACTAGCCCGGTAGTCCTCTGCTGACTCGTTCCACCTCAGATCCCAAGGGCTACTTGTCACTGGCCATCCGGGACCTTCCCAACTATTTCATTTTCAACGGTCCACAGGCCTGTGCGGCAAACGGTTCATTCCTCCCCGTCCTGGAAGCCACCGCAGATTACATTTTGAAGTGTGTGCAGAAGATGCAGACTCAACGGATCCGCACGATGAACCCCAAGCAGGAGGCGATTGACGACCTTGTCGAACACGTCGACACTCTGATGCCAGAGACGGTCTGGGTCCACCCGTGCCGGAGTTGGTACAAAAACAACACGGTCGATGGCCGAGTCACGGCGGTGTGGCCAGGGAGCACGCTGCACTTCCTCTCGGTCATCAAGGAGCCGCGCTGGGAAGATTTTGACTATGAATATCTCGGCGGGAAGAACCGCTTTTCGTACTTTGGGATCGGACAGACCAAGACGGAAGCCGAAGGAGGGGAAAGAGCCGCACATCTTCGGACGAGAGTCCATCTGTTCGACGAGTGGTGGCCAGAGCATGAGAAGAACTTGATAGGAGCAGACGCGTCAAGTTAGCGCTCGGTACACGGCCGGGGTCCACGCAGGCAACACGTTGGATCAAGTGTGACTCGTGTTGTCGGTACCTTGCTTCGAACGCAATACTGTTTCATGTTTCGGTAAAGCTCATAAGCATAAATAGACATATATACATCCGCATGGTATCTCTTCCTACGCTTGTCCCTCCTCAATCACAGTTGATCGTAGCTGTTTCTACTGCTTGCCTCGGCTGCGGTGGGCTGGCCCACTTTGGAAAAAGGGGGTTGGAGCGGATCGGATACGTATTAGTCGCTAGTTGTGATTGGCCATATACGCTTCTATACTCCCTAGGGCTTGTGGGGATAAGCGTGGACTCTAAGTGCTGTACCGAGTACGCCCTCTTCCCCCACACGGCACTTCGCATACTCAACTTGAAGTCGGTGCAGCGGAATGAATAAGACTTCTTCAAGAGCCGAATGCCAACAACTGGGGCCGGCGGCTGCATTGGTAATCAATGCAAGGTACCTCCGGTGAGGTGTTCTGGCCATGGAGGCTGGAAACCACCGGAAACCGCCTTCCGGAATCACGGTTCCGTTGATTCTGGCAAGCACAGAGACTCCCACGCTCTCTACCCCAAGCAATGCTACAGAGCAGGAATTGTCTCTCGATTACTCTAAAGATCGAAACCCTTGAAGAATGGACGGTCGTGTCTTTGTGGCCGCTCGCCCGCCCCATCCTCCTCTCCAGCGTCGATCGCAGCAACTTTGTCAACTCGTCTCGACGCGCAAATGGCGACAGCACTTGTTCTCGGGGCATCTGGGGTGTCCGGCTGGGGAGTCCTGGACGAGTTGCGCACCTACCCGTCGCCGACGACCTTCAAGCGCATAATCGGCCTCACATACCGGCCTCTGAGCAAAGAGACCGCGATGGTCCCCGAGGAGGATTACCACCGAGTCGAACTTTACAGCGGCTTCGACTTGGGTCTCCCGGTCGACGAGATCGCAACGAGACTCAAATCCATTGACAACATTGGTGATGTCGGACCCGTCTATTTCACAGCTTACACGGCGCATGGTAAGAGCCATGAGGAGGTGATTAGAGCAAACGTCGCCCTCGTCGCCAATTCGATCCAGGCACTGGAGAAAGTGTGTCCGAACTTTTCGTTCTTCACCCTGCAGACTGGTGGAAAGGTTAGTAGTTACGTTGCTTTTTCGGTGCCGAAAACTCCGCGTCCCGCACACACTGACCTGATTCACAGCATTACGGACTCGAATGGATTGAACATATCAAGATTGAGATCCCGTTGAAAGAGTCTGCTCCACGTGTGCCGTCGCCTTGGGGGGACAAGATCTTCTATTACGCCCAGGTTGATGAGATCAGGAGGTTGGCAAAAGGGAAGAAGTGGGGATGGTGCGAACTTCGCCCAGATGCGATTGTACGTCTATGCCATGCCAACTTCAACGGAAATCCGCAACCGCTAACAAGGGCGAGCAGGTCGGATTTGTGCCGCAGAACAATGCCATGAGCATCGTCCAAGGTCTCGGTCTGTACTTCAGCTTTTACAAGTGGCTTCATGGCCCTAGCCCGCCACCGGTGAGGTTCCCGGGCAACGAAGGCGCCTGGGCCGCCAAACGAACCGACACTTCGTCCACAATCCTCGCACGCTTCCACATCTACTCCTCGCTGCACCCCGCAAAGGTGAACGGGAAGTCATTCAACGTGGCGGACAGACCGGAGCCAATTCAATGGAAAGTGCTCTGGCCCGTCATCTGCCAATACTTTGGAGTCGACACTCTGGACGGGCCCGATCCCAGCGGGAAAGCGCAGTCGATCGGGGCGTTCATGGAGGGCAACAAGGATAAATGGACCCAGTGGGTAAGGGAGACCAAGGTCCGCCCGGGGACCATGGAGGGGACAAGTTGGCCGTTCATCAACTACCTGACACAGGAGTGGACGTTTGACCACCCCTTTGACCTGACTGAGATGTATGCCACGGGGTTCCCCGACGTTCTAGACACGCCGACGCAGTGGCTGCGTGGGTTCGACAGGATGAAGGCCGCGAATCTCATTCCGAAGTAGTGGGCACTCGAATGGACCATTTCCAGCCGTCTCTGTGGACATAGTGAGACCTGATCTTGCGGGGTGAGGTCTGCCAATTAGCTTTGTTCGAAAATGAAAGACCGGTAGCTAATGGAATCTCCTTTCCGTTTCCTTTTGGAACATTTTCTTGCTTTACGCGAAAACAGAGTTGAAGAACAGAGTTTTCGTTTCGTTTCGTTTCGTTTCTTTGGTGATTCTTGTTTGGCTCTGGTCTGGAACCAAGGATGGATCTCATCCGCTTACCAACAGAGCATGTCGTTGCGGGGGAGGCTCTTACAAGCAACCGGTAAGTTCTTTCAGGTTTCGGCAAGAACGGCACGTTACAAAAGCTCCAACAGACCGGAAACATGGTTCCGTGGGCTCTGTTATCCTTCAATGTCTAGTGGAACTTGTGTATGGTGACCTTATATCAGTTACGATACATATGTAGCCTTGGATCGAACGGCTGAATCCTTGAAGGAAGCACCGCCTGCTTGACCAGCATTGATAGATGCTACGCGCGTCCTGCTCAGACCATCCGCACACAGAACCGCATTCGAACTGTGTTATCAACGAACTAAAATTGTCCAAGATGAGAGAATCTCGTTCCTGGTTGAATGTTGCCGTAAGAACCCCCTTAGGCAGTGAAACCTTTGCTCGCGGAGTTGTCTGACATTGAACTCAGATCGTCCTTTTCGTCTGTCTCGGCTCGATCTCATATGGCTACTCTGCTTCGATCATTGCGACCACGCTCGGCCAACCACAGTTTCTTGCATATATGGACCTGCTGCCGTCCAATCCACAGGCAAACGCATTGATCGGCGCCACCAACGGCCTCTTCCAGACGGGAGGCTTGTTCGGGGCCCTGGCAATCGGTCCCTTCGCGGACAAGTTCTCTCGACGAGGTAGCATCGCAATTGCTTCCAGCACACTTGTGTTTGGCGGCGCACTTCAAGCCGCCAGCCAGAATGTCGGCATGTATCTGGCCTTCCGCTTCATCACGGGTTTCGGTGTCGGTTTAATCGTGGGATCTGTCCCCTTGTACCAGAGTGAAGTGTCACCGCCGCACTCCAGGGGCTTGCTCGTTGGACTCCACGGGGTCTTGCTGGCCCTCGGTTACTCTTTGGCAGGATGGGTCGGATATGCCTGCTACACGATGAAGGGCAACATGCAATGGCGGCTACCCCTCGGCCTTCAATGTGTACCTCCAGGGTTGCTGCTCCTGGGGATATATACACTGCCAGAATCTCCGAGATGGCGTGAGTAGCGGCGGTCTTTTATGGTCCAGAAAGCAAGGCTGACGGTGTCGTAGTTGTGCAACACGGCAAGCTCGAGCAGGCGCGCTCAGTGCTTCACAGGATTCATCATGACGCTGCAGACCCCGAGGGTGCCTTTGCAGAGAAAGAGTTCTACGACATCAAAGCGCAGTGCGAACTCGAAAACACGACTGGTGCGGGGACCTGGAAGAGTCTCTTCACTGGGAAGCATAACCTCAAGCGCCTTGCGTTGGGCTTCGGGACAATGTTTGGCCAACAGTGCACAGGCACGATCGTGATCAACAGTAAGTCCGCCACCATAACCCCAAGCCTCAAGGCCAAATGTTGATATATGTCTGTAGACTATGGTGTCACTCTGTACTCCAATGTGGGTTTCTCTGGACGGCAAGCGCTTGCCTTGACAGCTGGTTGGGTCACAGTGGCCATACCGTGCAACATGATAACGTCGCTTTTCATCGATCGACTTGGCCGTGTAAGGTTCCTCCGTAAGTATCAGCATCCTTCATCCTTTTTATGGGTATAACCTCTGACTTGCTGACAGTGATCGGGTTCATCGGTGTGGTGTGCGTCTTGATAGGCGAGTGTGTCACCCTGTCCGTCCTTGAGCATCGCACGAGCTTCTCATTGAGCTGCCTGGCCATCTTCTTCCTCTTCGGGCACATCTTTTTCTGCGCGACGTGCAACGACGCCACGACGTACATCTACTCCTCCGAGATCTTCCCAACCCATTTGCGTGCCAAGGGCCTTTCGGTCAGTTTGGCGGGATTGTTCCTGGCCTCGTTGACCTACACGCAGGCGGCTTCCAGCGCTTTCGCCGCCATCGGTTGGAGATACTATCTGTTGTTCCTGTGTCTCTCGGCCATAATGGTCGTCATCATATACTTCTTCTTCCCGGAAACAAAGGGCCTGAGTCTGGAGGAAATGTCGAGGGTCTTTGGTGACCCTGTTGCCGTGGACGAGAGTGGCGGTGCCGAGGCGGCAGCTGAGATTAAGGAGTCGGTCGAGATGAAAGCGTAAGATATAGATAGTTTGTGCGGCAAGGTCTATAGTTTAGTAAATGTGAGAGGTCACATACCATCCCCCAAAGGAGAGAAAGAAAAAGGCGACCCTGTGGCTCTACGTCGCACGGGTCCAATGACGACGCTAAAGCCTTATGATATTTGGTTTTTAAAGGTAATGCTGAGCATCCACCTCGTTACAAGAATTGCCCATTACTATGTCCAGTCTACCTATTTCTATCTACCAGCGTCCCTAAACGCCCTGGCTATGCCTCCTACATCTGTGGCGCACCCGCAGCAGTTTCTTGGTTTCCGATTGTGTCGCTGGTAAAGGTTTTATCACACCCAGGCGATTATTGCCTGGCAGAGTGCCAGAACCGGGGAGTTCTTTCTATGCCGAGAGAGAGGCTGAGAGGCGTCGCATGGGTCACACCCAATGAGCGACATCGTCTGCAGCCCTCTGTCGTTTCATGGGGGGCGCAGTCCAGCCTCAGCCTCACTTGTCGCCGTTAGCCCCTCCATCGCAGCTGATCCAGCAGAATCGGACGGAGCAGCTGTGGTGATAAAGATCGCAAAAGACCCTCGTTCATCGCTGGAAAGGATCCAGTCCATAATTTGGCGATCATTGAGTTCGCTTGGATCGGATTGTTGGCAGCAACAATGACGACCCAGGTCAAGTCGTACTTCCTGGCGCCCAACTGGGACTATCAGAAAGACGGCCCGCTGGCCCTGGGCAACATCATCGCCGACCCCAGCGACCCGGTCTTCTCGAAGAAGTCTGCGTTCCCTTTCAACGTCTACGCCCCGCCAGTGCAGCTGCCTCAACTCGCCTTCCCCCTGCCGACCATCTACAAGAACCCGCCGGAACAATGGGCCCACGTGGAGTCGGAAATGCAGGGTGGACGGCTCAAGATCCTCGGCCAGTTCCTGGCGTCGTGCGGACTCAACGTGGAGGGTGGGGTTTCGCACACCACGCAGCAGGACTACCACTACGGCATGGAAAGCATCCAGACGTCGTACTTTGTCCCGGACGACGACTACGTGCGGAATCGGCTCCGGGAGCCACCGATCCAGCTGTGGCTCAAAGGCCGGAGCATGTTCCAGAGCAAGTCCCTCTATATGATCACGGGCGTCAAGATCGCGCGCGGGCTGGTCCTCTACCGCAAACGGACCAGCCAGATTGAGGGGGCAGGCGAGATCTCGTTCGACGCCACCCCGCTCGGGGTTCCAGTCCAGGTCGGCCTGGACGGCGGGTACCAGGCCCAAAGTAGCAGCGCGACAACGTCCTCCTCCTCGACCGACGTTGTCTTCACGTACCAGCTGCGGAAGATCGCCATCGACCACGCGGGGACCGTGGCCAACGAGCCGTACAACAAGGGGGCGTTCATGCTCGTCGGACCCGGCGCGAGCGGGGGGCAGCAGGTCCTGGCGTTCAAGCTGGGCGATCACGATGTCACTGCCGAGGACATCGACCGACATGGTGACTGCGCGGCTACGCTGGCCGTTGAGCAGGACATCATCGACGGCGAGTTATGCAACGTTTTGTATGCGAAATTGTGACCCTGATCCGGTCCCAGAGTGAAAATCTGGTTGGGGGTGATCAACTACATAGCCACCGGAAAGCTCTGTTATACAAGATTGGGGTGGTGCCAGTCGTCTATCAAAGTAGTGATTGATTCTTATCCTGCGCCACAAAGTATGCCTTATGTATCTTCCCTTGGTATCTTGAACTGTTCTTGGAACTGCCTCCATCTTGTGTTCGCCTGTTCGGACATCAGTAACCACGGCTTGATGAAGCAGAGGCCCTGGGACTTGTCCTTTTTCGACGCCATGAATCTCAACGCCATGCGCATCCCGGTAGCGTTTGGACTGCGCCGGATGCGCTCGTACGCCGCCATCTTGTCAGCTTCACCCAGGCTTCCCGGCAGCCTGGCCCAGATATACTCCAGAAACAGGGCGACGACGCCCGCCGCAATCGGCGTGGACACCGAAGTCCCACTGGCCCGTCTCTCGCCGCTGGGCTCCAGGTGCTCGGGCCAGGCGGAGAGGACATACTCACCCACCACGTTGAAGTAGGCCGAATAGACCTTGTCGTCCGGCTTGTCTGGATTGAAATCCGACGACCTTCCGTCTCCGTTCGCCGACCGAACGGAGATGACTTCGACGCTGGCCGCCGGGTAGCTGTCCCCTTCGCTCTTGATTTTGCCGCCGTTGGACGCCGCCGCCAGCATGATCACCCCTCTGGCATTGGCCGTGTCGATCGCCTCTGCAATGTCGCCGATCCGGTCGTCGAACCCGAAGGACATGCTGATGATGTCGACCCTCCAATCCTCGGCCGCGTATTTGATCGCCTGTCCACTTTAGCAACTCCGACCACCCCCAGAATGATAAGCAGAGTGGAAAGACAAACCTGGCCGACAGCAACCGGATCCGGCTCGAAAAACAGTCCGTTCGTGACTTGTGCCACGTACAGGTGCGCAAAGGGAGTCACTTTCAATATCAACCCGGCTGCGTGTGTTCCGTGCCCGTGCTCATCTTTCATGGACTCCACGTCTTCTCCTTCTACCTTGTCGTCCGCCCACGAGCGCAATCCTTTGATGCGGCCCGATGAACCGCTGAGCTGGGGATTTGTGGCCATGATGGCTCGTGTCCGAGGATGGAGTCTGGCATCGATGCCAGTGTCCAGGATGGCAATCTTGATCGGCTGGTCGTTTCGTCCGGTCACGCCCAGTCGTTTGAAGTGGGAGAGCGTCTTACGCTGGAGGTTTTCAAACCAGTCATCAGCGCCAGCCCATCTGCTCAAGTAGTCAATAAACAACCCTTCCCCCGCGAGATTCTACTCTGCTGTATAACTTACTTGGATGCGTCATCCGGCAATAAGCTGCGTTCACAGTCCAGAAATCGACCACGTTGGCACAGAATGGATATGTAATTGTCATCCGCAATGTGAGCAGTGCTTTCAGCCGGAGATTTATTTCTCTCGATGGAGCCTCTAAAACTCATAGGCTGACTCTGAAGGGTCTGTATACCTTCAGGTGTGATGCAAACTTGATAAGAGGCCAAAAGAAGTTGGTTCAGAGGGCCGGATATCTTGTCTTTGATCCATTGCCGAATTTCGGTTATGTTACTGCCGACAGCCTTGCAGTCATAGCAAGCCCATATTGCCTGATAATAGGGAACAAACGTTCTCGAGAGTAAACCTGATTTAAGCACGCGCTTCAAAACCGAGATGGAAAGGTTCCGGTGAAATGCCATCGCAGCAGCTTGATGGCCTGGCTCCATGAGCTCTATCAGCTCTTGGATTGGCTTGCCTAACTCGAGTTCGACAAGAAGGATGCCCAGGTCCACAAGGATAGGGCAGGGATGCTGGACTTCGTAATAGTCCCCGCAATCGGTCTGTTCGTCAAGATCTGATTTCAGGTGAAGTTGTAGGACGCTATCGGTGGGGGAGTGCTCCCGCTCCGACAGAGCCAGACACAGTCTCTCCTTAACCCACTGCCGCCGCACCCACGGCGAGGCACAAAGGTGCAAGACGGCTTTCGCCAGGATATTTGCTAACATCAGTCGCTCCTTGACATTTTGTCTCAGATCCAAGAACGCATTGTTGCCTGTGTCGTTCAGGATCGTGGAAAGCGGGATCAGTCGGTCCACGCCATAATTGGCCAACCCCTTCAGCTTACCACGTAGATGTACCTCTTTGCGCTGCTTTCTTGCCAGCAAGTAAATCAAATGAGCATTTTGGTTGCATTCAAGCGTGAGCCGGCACAGTGTACCAATTGGTTGGACTGGAATATTCCGACAGTTGGCATCGTCTGCCTCATAAGCAGAAGAAAGGACAGATTGAATGCTTCGTTGCTCAGACCTTCCTAGTCCGCCCAAAGGAGCATGTACGTCTGTCGTAAACTGATCCGCGTACTCAGGAGGGTTTGTCACAGTCTCGTTCCAATGGACTTGGGCTGCGCGTCTAAGTCAATGGCGTCAACTGAAAGTGAACACGGGGCGGGGTTGGCTAGATCCCATATACTTCTCTAACCTGATTTTGGCACGTTTCCACGAGTCAACGCTGTTGTGAGAGAACAGTAAGTCCATGTAGAAAGCAGGGTGGACGTTGATATCGCTCTCGATATAGAAAGACGTCAGTCGTAGCAAGGCACCGTGCCGTCTCCAACAAGAGCAAGGCCAGCGGACGGCCATGGCTTTATGAAGGGCTTCGACTTCATGAGCCAGATCGGGGCTGTCGTCGTCTGTCATTGGATTGCCTAGGGGGCCTTCCATCGGGTTTCCGGGGGTCTGATTACCCTCCTGCCATGACGTTTCTGTGGGCAGTCGGCCTTGCTGAATGACAATGCCAGTGAGAGTCGCGAGGCATTTATCAAGATTATGCAGCAGTTTGGCCCGATTGTCTTTCATTCCGGTGCTTGACAATCGACGCAGGCCAGACAGATCATTGGATGTGGTTGTGGACGCAGCCTTGAGCGTCTGGAGCTTTCGAAAAGGATGTGCTGCACTCTTGTCGCCTCTCGTCTGCATAAATATACTCTTAGGGGCCTGGATCTGTTGTGCTGAGGGTCGTAGCTTACCCTCGCTATCCGCTCCAGGCGCAGTAGCACCTTCTGTACCGCGAGTGACAATCCACCACCGGCGAGTTGCCCCAAGACCGAATCATGATGCTCTCTCAGCCCGGAGAGGATTTCATGGATTGCAACGAGGTCAGCCGTGACATTCTGGTAAAAGGTTCGTAAGCTGGGTTTCTCTTGGTACAGTGAGCTGTGCACCCGTGCTGCAGCGACGAACTTCGGGAGGATGGCAACCGATAGGTCTATCTCGACTCGGAGAGAGGTGGGCATCTTGCGATTACATTAATGCTAGACGTCGCCTTAATAGAATCAGATCATAGACGTCAGTGCGCAATATTGCAAGTGACTCGTCAATAGGAGGTTGTCCTTCCTGCTTGGTGAGGCTGAGGGCGCAAGGTAGAAGTAGGCCGACCGAGTAAAACACATACTCACGTGGCACAAAGCCCGTCGGAGGGGTAGAGTAGAGAGGGGTTACAGGACTAACGCAATATATGCTAGGGCCAGCCAGCTGGGCTTGCAAGGGCAACATATCTCAGCACTTGTTGGTCGTCATCCTCGAATTCAAAATGGTCCAAGATGAAAATATAAAGGGGTAATGACAGACAGGCATGCCAGATGCAAGGTATATCTACTCATGAATGGACTCCGCATACGACAAATCGCTGGGCCCTGCACCTCTTTGGACTGCTACCATTATCACGCAGCCTACGACCTCTAGTCAGCCTCTTTTGTGAGGAGATTCGCCTGATGAGTCGTCTCTAGGTTCCTCGATAGCCCCAAAAGCTCCCCTACTCAGCGCATAATCTGGTCAAGAGACTCTCTTGTCATTCATCAATTCAGCTCGTCATGGCCGCAGCGGAGGGCGAGGCTCTGGTATCGAATAAGGCTACCATATTCGAAGCTTCCAAAGAGTGTGAAGTGCTTTTCGAAGAATGTCTTCAACTCCCCGATATGTTTGAAAATACTTGGGTACTGAACCAATCAGCAAGTTTCAGATTATGGGTGGAATCCATTGGGGCCTTTGCGCGGTGGTCTGCATCTGCTGATGCCCGGCTACAAGGAAATGAAAACATGAAAGCAGCCGTAATGGGCCTATTAGACGCGCTGCAGTTGAACCTTCGTCAGAGTGCGCAAACCTCCGGCTCCTTGTTTGTCCCATTCCTCACGCAGTAGAAGCTCATGCTAACTGCTCTCGGTGATCAGCGATCAAGGCGTACAAGGATCCGGCACTCGCACAATCTATATTAGATCAACAGGCGCAGCATAACGCCAATCACTTGGAGAAAGTGCTGTCTTCTGGGGAGCTCAGCGATGACGATGAAACGGAGGCGGAAGGAGGCATCTCTCCCCAACCAAGCGGCCGAGACGAAGACGACAATATCGATTCAAACCATTCCGATGCGAGTTCCACGACAGGATCTCAGTTCCGGCCCGACCACGAAGTTGAGAACATATTGATTCGACTTCACCAACTGCTTCTGACTATCCGCAGTTCTCGCAGATTCGACTGGCGTGAGCGAGCGAGCAGATTTATCTACCCAGGCTCGGAGGACTTCAGAAAGCATATGGAGTGGTATATCAACGAACGATTCCGACGCGAGTATCCAGAAGTGGCGGAATTCATCTGCACCCGCCTTTTGCTTGCAAACGTCAAGCGACGCAACCAGTTCGAATACGCGAGAGAGCATGCGTTGAGACTCGCCGAAGACAAGACGCGATCTACCTCTGGCCGACATGTCGCAAGCACGGCACCCGAAGGCGAAAAAGGTGACGACATACATATGGAGGTGCCTTCCCACAAAGATGAATCCTCGCCACAACCAACTGCGCCATCTGAAGTACCTTCAAGGTCTGTTCCGAGTACGCGCGCGACGGACTACGATGATGCCGTGCTTGAAAGATCCGAGGTTGGAACAACTTCGATTTCAAGCGGGAGGACATTCAAGGATGGACAGGTCACTTGGCCGCCGCCGCCAAAGCCACCCCACATCAACCCTGCGTTACCGTTCTTCCCCTGCCCGTACTGTCGCCGTCCGCTGCCCGTGGAATATAGCACAGGCCGAGACTCCCGGAAGTGGAGGTTAGCCCACTGTCGTGTAGGGTTGATCTGTTTACAGATGAAGCTAACGGTATGCCCAGGCAACACGTGAAGAATGACATTCAGCCGTATGTCTGTCTATTTGAAGAGTGCTCCACGCCTCTCAACCTCTATTCCAGAAGTGCGGATTGGGCCAACCACATGCGTAACGCTCACGGCGAGATGCGATATACCTGTTTCGCTCCAAAACATGAACAAGAATACGTTTGCTTCCGCACGCCAGAAAACTATAAAACACACTTAGTGCAAGATCACGCGAAGACATATGACGAAAGCGAGTTCCAAGACCTCCTCGCCCGCAGCATGCGTCGAATCCCACTTGACCCGGTCTTCTATCAATGTCCTATCTGTCCAGGACCAGAAAAGCATTCAGTTTTAGACAAGAGGAAGCAAACACAAAGCGTTTTCTCACTGCCATACTCGCCATCTAAGCGTACAAAAGTGGACGAGACGTTGACTTCGCAAATGTCAGCAGTGATAATACCCAACAAAACGGCAATCGATGAGGACGTTGAGGACGGCGAAGATGAAAACGGAGATGGCGGCCACGGGGACGGGCATTCAGAAGAGGCACACCTTCTACGCCATATCATGGCACATCTCCAGTATATTGCGTTGATGACGCTTCCATGGGCTGAAGATCAAGGATCGGCGCGATCTTCATCAGTGTCAGTGGGCCAGTCGCTGGGTCATTCAAACGACAATGTAGTTCCCGAAGATCATGAAGGTCCGGTGGATGTTGAAGCTGAAGAGCATCCCGACGACCCGACGTACTATGGGGAATCTGCTGCAACCTCAGAATGGTCGTTCATTACAGGCTACAATGCTCCCCAGGATATTTGGCAACCAAACATCCAAGGTTTCCACCGGGGAGACTATTCAATAGCTTGGATTTGCTCCCGGTCGCTCGATCTCCGCGTTGCCACTGCCGCACTGGATACAAGGCACGACAATTTCGCCAGACATCGATCCGATCCGAAAAGCTATGTGCTCGGTACAGTTGGTCGTTGGAACGTTGTGCTTGCCCACCATGATCTGGAAACATCTCGGGGTCCTTTGATTGTGGACCTGTGCTCTGGCTTTCCCAACATCGGCCTCTTCTTGTCCACTGGGGTTTCCGCGGCTAGTCCGTGGCGTGACACTTCCCTCGGAGATGTGATCGTGGCAACATTAAGCCCAGAACTCTCCCAAAAACCCTTTGAATTTCTCGACAGGGATTTTCTGGACAACGGGCCATCTATGATCCGGGTTTTGCCAGCCGTACACTCTCTAGAACAAGTCGACTTACGGAGCGCCTTGTCTAGTTTTGAACAGGAGGAATCCACATTAGCAAGTTTTGCTATCTATCCTGGACGGGAGCGAGACATTGTTTTTCGAGCTGGGTACATGCATGTAGGCAACCATCTAAACTGTGACTTTTGCGACCCGAACCAGCAGATACTTTTACCAAAACTTCAGGAACACTCGCCAAAAATTCACGTTGGGGAAATTAGATTCGCGACACGGTCAATGATAGACATCAGTGCGGAAAGCTCTGTGTCCCGTTCTTGGACATCTTTCGTGGCCATAGATGGAAGTGCACACGACCTCTACACCACCCGTGAGGCACAGCCGTTATTGGTCGTTCGTGGGGTGAGCGACTATGCTGACTCTCACAAACCTGAGTTCTGGAAGAATCATGCTTCCACAGTTGCTGGTGCATATGCCAAGGCCCTTCTACTCGAATCGATCAATATCGAAAAGGATACGCCTGCGTCGAAGATGGCCACCTTGAAATTAGGTTCGGGCAGGCCTTAAGCCCATTCTCCCCCTTTGCGGCCAAGGAGTCGTTTGGAATTCACCACAGCCATCCTTTGTGTGTAGCACTCTGAATTTTTAGCAGTAAAATTAATGTTCGATGAACATTTTGGACCTTGCGGCAGTGTACCAGGAGATGTCAATGAATACACAACCGGCACCATCGAAGGACACAATGTTGTGCTTGTGCAAATTCCGGGCCTGGACATTCTTCGACGGATCTTTTCGGCAAACTCCTTACGAAGGAGTTATCCAAACATCAGATTGGCGTTTGCAGGTAGGTTTCTGCGGCGCCGCACCCATCGTAAACGAGCGTGAAGTATATCTGGGGGACATTTTCATCTGTGGAGTCACAGAAACGGGCGATTCCGGCGGAAGTTCTGCTACCCCTATCTGGCGCCATCGATAGACTTATACCATTGGCGAAGAACCGCCGGTAGAGATCCGTTCAATCCTGTCAAGACTAAAGACAAGTTATCACAGAAGAAGGCTGGAGGTTAGAATGAATGACTATCTTCGGCAATTTCAAGGCAAGAGTGACTGGTTCGTACACCCTGGCACCATTCTCGACACGCTATATGAGCCGTCCTACTCGCACCAGCACCACCCAGCTGCGACGACTCCCTCTTGCGCGACGTGCGGCTTGTATCCTAACCGGATATGCGCCGCCGCCCTGGATGCGACCTGTGAGGAGTTGGGCTGTGAAGATACAGCGCTTGTGGACCGTGCTCGGGAAAGGAACCCTAAGAACAACGAGGGCCCCGGTGACGGCCACATCGTACATGTTCATCAGGGAGAAATGGCTACTTCGAATCCCGTCGTGCGCTGCGGGATAGGCTTGTTGAAGAACACGGGATATCTGTCTTCAACATAGGGGGACCTGATTTATCGCAGCTCGTCCCTGGAACCCCAAGTTTCAGAGATATGCCGGAGCCACAGCTGCAGCTTGCCTGAAAGCGTTCCTCGCCGAAGTGCCGCCATATCAATGAATCAGTCAGTTGAGGGAAATTCAGTCCAACAGAAATTTGTTGCAAGGCCCGAGAAGGAAAGGGAAAAGGAAGTGAATTCAGAGTTTGCTGGCTACCTCATCAAGCAAGGCTTCAACTTTATCGGGACGGGATGGTGTCATCCATCCACCTCAACTCCCACCCTTCTTCCCTTCCTCCCTCTCTTCTACATGGTCTGCTCTACTCCACCATACCATACCATTACCCGAGCCCCTCGAAACCAATACACAAATCATGTCCTCTCCCGCCCCGTCCCTCCTGCACGACCGGTTCCACGCCTTCCTGCACTCCCGCGTGTACCCCAAGACACTCTGCCCTTCTGAGGTCGCCCGCTCCCTGGCCCCCTCCGACCTCCGTGCGCTGGGGGTCAGCCACTGGCGCGACCTCATGCCTCGCCTGCGCGAGATGGCGTTCGCGGCCAGGGACAGGGACGAGGTGGATGTTCTGCAGCGTGGGGAGCCGGTGGCGGCCGAGAGGCGGATGGAGGACGTGGCAGGGCCGATCAGAGTCAGGTTACGGAAGCGGTGAGCAGAGCCAGAGTCAGAGCGCGAGCGACAGTGGAACGCAGAAAACAGATGATGATTCAGAGATCCCCCTTTCTGTGTACTCCGTCTCTCTTGGATATTTTGATTTTGTTCTCCGACCCGCTGCGGGCACGACGCCAATGTACACTTCCATCCTACTATCCCCCACCGCCAATTTTTGTGCTGATCGGGCCCGATTACTACCCTGATACGTTATACAATCCGACCTCCTCCAGAGATTGAATCCAAACACAGCGGCTCAAAACGCCTGCAAAAACACCCATATCTTTCTATGTGTCGTCGTCTATGCTAATACGCACCATATGCTTTCTGGGGCCGTAATGCCGTCCTGGGCATCCTCGACGGCCCTATGTCAATCCGGCTCAGCTCAAGAGCCAGGGAGTTCTCAGCATCATACGACGGGCCACCGCCGTAACCGGGATTCTCCGGCATTGACCTCTCAACTGGCGGATTTGCCGGTGACGGCGAATATTCCAGTTGGTACTGAGGTCCGGGCGGTGGTCCATATCCGCCACGCGGATTGTAACTGCTCGCAGGCGGAACTTGATATTCTGACATTGGAGATCGCTGAGGTGATCCGCTTCCAGGTGAAGAGTGGATCGTATATCGTTGGTTTGAGGGACTAGGTCGCTCGGTTGTGGCGCTGTTCCTTGCAGCTGGACCTGCTTGAGCGTTTGGGTACGGTTGGGTCGGGAGAGGTCGGTTTGGCATTGGTTTCTTCAGCCTGTTTCGGCCACTCGGTGCTTCAACTTGAGGTGAAACTGGAGCCGTGGCTGGAGGGGTTGACGCCTGGTACGGCGAAGACACCGGAGCGCTAGGAGAGACCTGATAAGGCGACGCCGCAATCGAGTGCGGTCGAACGGAGGCTGGAGACGATCCTGCACGACTGTGCGTTCGTGCTTCTTCTCTTGTCCGGATCCTAATGACATGCTCTGGTTTCCGTTGTTTCCTTTCCGGTTCCGGCGCCCACGTATCAGAAGGAAGATGGTCCGAGGGATCAATTACTCGGCCGTCATTCCCGATAATAGGACCTTGATCTCGAAGTTTGTCAACCTCCTTCTGTCGAGCCACCTCTAACGCATCTTCTGGGGAGTTGAATGCACCGTCAACCGGTGTTGAACTGGGGCCGGGGTTCAACACATCGTATGAGCCAGGTCCATATGGAACACTAGACATCTGGTTGCGGTCATCGCTCGTTGCGAATGTTGGGGTAATTGATTTCCTAGGAATAATGTGATTAGAATTGGGAGTGATTGGACGAGGTCGGACAACGACCGGAGCAGATCTTCGGACGTGTCTTTCGTCGTGTAATTCAAAATTGTCGAACGTCTGCGCCCGTCGTAGAGGTTCATTGCCTGTAGAACGCCTGAAATTCTCTAGAAGGTTTTCTCCATCACGTTGTTCAGCGAAATTACGATCGCAGATCTGATCAGGTGCGTTTTCAGTGCATGTGGGTTGAAGCTGGTGTATATCACCATTGTAGGATTTTCGCCTATCAGATGGGAACATGGGATATCGGTCATGGTCAACTGGTGGTGGTGGGCTTGGTTCATAAGATTGCGGCGTTGGAATCTGGCGTTGTATATCTTGGGAGGGAGGAGTTGCCTGAAATGGATCATAATCACGCTCGAGCCTCTGAAGAGGACTCCTGCCTTCGACGGTATTGGCCTTCACCGGAGTACGTGGCGAAGGTTCTCCATATGAGTTTCGGTAATTCGAGGAAGGTGCGGGCACCCTTGTCATCGTACCTCGGTGAGCAGGAGGAGGCGGTGGTGACCCATCTTCATCGAACCGTGGATCGGCGTAGGGCGGAGTCGCTCCAGGCATATCATTTGGACTTATGGATTGCCGGAGTGGACTATCCCTGTAGGCGGCGTACTTAATCGGAGATGTGCTGCCCCTGCCGTTCCAGTGTTGGTTTTGCGCGGTCGCTGGTGGCGTGCCCTGAGGCGTCATTCGAGGGGGAGAGGAATGATAAAGAGGCTGGTCTGGCATATCGTATGGTGAATGTGGCACCGATGAGGAATGATGATCCGGTGGCGGTGGACCTGACATAGGCTGTGGTAGTTGGGTTTGTGGTAGAAGTCCTGGTTGCTGGTAGGAATCCATCACATATGGGTCTTGCTCCCCGTACCCGGCGATTGGATCGTGGTAATTATCGTAATATCTGCCAGAGGATTGATCTTGGTGATAAGGTGGGCCAGAATTTTGAGGCGGTTCGTAAGAGTCGGGGCCGAATCGAGGGTTGAGATCATATCCAACATCGTCCGGAGTCTCGGGAACAAACCTTTGTTTTGGTGGACGTGGTGGAGGGTTGCTATTCGTATATCCCTGGCCTGGAAATGTATCCGTCAACTCTTCCCTAGGCCATCCCGAAGTTTGAGTGGGAGGAACACCTGAGTGTCCACCAGGACCTGGTGGAAGTGGCCTCCTCTTGATATCACGAGGGCCCAGTTGACGAGGGCCAGAGGGTATGCTCGCGGCGTCACTGGCCATAGAATGAGATTTGTCTCTTTGTTTTTGCTTCTCTGCTAGAGGCTCCGGCTTCGGTCTTGTATCGTAATATGTCAGCTCGATCCGGATGTCTCCAGCATATTTTCCCTTGAAGTTCAATTGACGCCACTGATCACTCTGTCCACCGCCTGGAATGATGACTTCTGTTAGATCAATCCAAGCTTCGCCAATGAGGTCGGTCTTCTTGTCATCATTGAAAACCGAGCATTTCAATTTGTAATAATCGGGGGACTCGTGGACAGTGAATCGCAGTTCTTGGTCCCTGGTGCACGTTAGCAATATGCCTGCGTTTTCCCTCAGTTCTCCTCACCATCTAGGTGTCTGCCCGCCTCTTTTATCTGTCTCCGTCTTCTTGGCTTCTTTTCCCAGCCGCATAGCACAATAAGGATCTTGCTTGCCCATGGTCTTCCGATTCGGAAGGTTTTTGGCCCTGTCAACCACGGCCACGAGGGTGCCAATCTCGGGGCCGTCGAGGGTCATGTCTGCAAAAATCCCAGCAGCATGGGCAGCATTGAGGGCTCGTGATTTGGAGGCCATGTTGAAAAGATAGAGGAGGGAATAGCTACCGGCCTGCGGTGTCGATGCTGAGGTATTGAGGTTGTTGTGAAGGCTGCAACATGCGCGGCAGAAATAGTGGTCCTGATCTGTCAAGGCCACATGGTGTCAGTTGCCGGGTTGAGGAAGACGTTGTAGATTCCAACGGAACTATTGAATGGCTCCCGAGGGAGATATGTCGAGCGAAGCTCTCGAAATGGAGTGAACGAAGGACAGGATTGAGTTTGCGCTGACGAAGGGAGCATTGAGAGTCCGAAGTATGCAGTCCAGGCGCCAGCCACAGTATTTACGCATGCAATTTTGCAGAAGGCTGGGAAGTTCCGAGCCGAAAGCTTTGTTGACATCAGGCGACAAAATGGTTCATGATACTGATCGAGACAGTCGACTTCCTGTCTACGCTCGAGAATGAAGAATTACCTCCCCTTCGAGAGGCTGCACACTGATCAAACGATGGCTGAAGGCGTGCTGTCAGTTCAGCTTCACCATCGTACCACAGAGAGCAGCGGTGTCAGCCAATTAGATTCATTCCCATTGTTTTGGAGGTGACGTCGATCTTGGGACTGCCAAGCCTTGGAGCTCAGCCGCGCCATTCCATCTACGGCTAGCTCAACCTGTGTCTTTTGTTGATCTGTTTGGCCTCTTGTTCTCGATTGAGATGATATTGACATGGCGCCTCTTAGAGCTCGACTCTTTCGGTAGTCTCAATCTTTTCTGGATACCTGAAGCCATGTTGCCGTCTCACCTCATCCATCACCTCCATAATCAACACACTCTCGTCCAGGCTTTCATACTTGCCCTCCTTACGTCCCTCCACAATGGCTCTCCCGGCTTCATCCGCCTCCCAAAACATTCCGTGGCCCTCGCCTTCTGCGTTCATTGTCTTTCCAAAGCCGTTGAACCATCCGCTCCCTTTACCAGGACCAGGTTGTGGCCATTCCTTGTCCTCCGTGGTGCCGTCCATGAGTATAAGCCTTGTCTTCGTTGGTCGGTATGCGGGTGGCCAGACCTGCATTTCTCCCTTTGTGCCTTGAATTCGGATCGCTGGCCCAGACGTGCCTTTTTCATCGGTGTTATTTGACGTACGCATTCCCGTGGTGGCAACAGCATGCATGTCTCCTCCTTGCTCCGGGTCGCGAGGGAACGTGAGAAGCATGGTGGTCGTCTCGTCAACGCCTGTTGGTGGATACTTGACCATGCTAGAAACAACCTTTGGTGGTTGGCGAGATGCCGGCGCTTGCGTGGTGTACAAAGTCTGAAAGACCCACGTAAGGCTGTAAATTCCCAGGTCCAGAAGAGCGCCACCTGCCAGTTCTGGATTGACCATCCTATGCTTGCCGTCGGACCAGACCTTCTCCGGATGGGAAGGGCGAGAGTTGTCCGCAAAGACCCTCACTACATGACCCAATCTTCCAGAGCTTATTTCCTCACGTACATAAACAGAGAGGGGGAAATATCGTGTCCATACTGCCTCCATCAGGAAAAGATTTTTCTCTCGCGCCTTATGGACGAGTATCTTAGCCTGGGCAGCGTTGACGGTGAAGGCCTTTTCGCAGAGGACATTCTTGCCGGCTTCGAGGCAAAGCAATGCGTTCTGGTAGTGGTGGGAATGAGGTGTAGCGATGTAGACAATGTCGATGTCCGGGTGTTGCACCAGCTCCGCATACGAACCATACGCCTTAGCGGTGGAAGGTGCCTTGACCTCGTTCAGAAACTCTTGTGCGCGGGAGGCGCTAGAACTACTGGCTGCAGCAACGACAGTGTGTCTGATATCGTGTACGCCGCGAGTTGCAGGATCAACCAGAAGGTCTTTCGTGAAGGTTATGGCAATGCCCCCAGTCGCTGAGCCACCATTAGCTGGCTGCACTTCGAATCAGAATGCGGGCACCACTTGCCCAATATGCCCCATCGTATCGTCTTGGGCGCCATGTTTTCAATTTAGGAGTTACTTTTCTCGCCAACTGGTAGAGGAATGGCACAAGTGCAAGAATTTTCGCGCGAGTCGATATGCCCAAAAGCCCCGCGTATCGGATGATGCAATTGACAGCCACCGCATTTTCGGCGCAATTTTGAACCGAGAGCGACGATCACGTAGTTTTCGAAGCCCGCGTGCGAGGGTTCGTGCCATGGTCCAGATTCCACGATGTAATGTTGGCTCCTGTCGGTGCCTGCAGGAAGGATGAATAGCAGATAGATGTCCGCTCAGCCAATTTGCTGTGAAGTCAAAAGCTCCAGCATTCCCCTTGTTATTCCCGCTTGCTCTGCTCGATCTGTCTCTTCGTGGACTCGCTCTCGCAACTTCTTCAGGTGCTTTGCAAGGTCCTCGCTTTCCGACAGGTGCTTTGAATACAGATCCATGATGTTCATCGCAACTTCCACGCACAGTGAAACAAATGCTGTGTTGGAGATGTTCCTCCATATCCAGTGCATGATGGGCTGCAGGTCTGATTCGGTGCGGTCTTCGAGAGCAGCACGCAGAGCCGATCGGTAGCGGAGAGTGTTGAGCAAGGTGACGATCGTCAGTCTGTCTGCGCCATGCAGGGCGATATCCAATGCTTCGCGATATCTGCCTTTGTGCAGTTCCTTCTCCCACAAAGCCAGCTTCTTTTGTTTCGGTCGCACGTTTCCTTCCACGATGATATCTGCATCTTCGCCAGCGTAGTCGCGTCCTCTGAGCCGCTTTTCGAGTCCTCTCGGGCGTTTTTTGGCTTGCTTCTTGTCGTACTCCTCGATCGTCCCTGCAATGAGTGCTTCCATTTGTTTCTGTCGTTCGCGCTCTTTCACTTTTTGCTCCCCAGAAAGTCGTGTTCTAATGCTGAGTTGGCCGGTGGACATTCCCACTACAACATGTTTGTCTTCTGGGGGATTTCCAGCGGCAATAACAGATAAGGAAAGGATGCCAGCCGGGTATTTGGACCCGGCAACGACATTCCATCCCGTAGTTTCAAAGACCTTGAGATGCCCATCGAGCCCACCACTGACTACCCTTGATCCATTGGATGCCAGGCACAACGATGTAACGGTCTTTTGGTGATTCTTGATCATCTGCAACGGCCTCCCCGCCACAATATCCAGGACTGCAATCTGGTTCTCGGCCGATGCCAGAATAGTTGTCCCTGACGGCATGCATAAGACATCTTCTACGGCAGCAATATGTTTGAACGTCATGACCGCCGCATTTGGCGTACGAGGGTCCCAGAGCTTGATGGTCTGATCATAACTGCCCGAGACAAACAAGTTACTTGACTGTCCTGGTAGAAAAGCACCGGTCCGCACGTAATCCTGGTGGCCGCGGAACGTCTCGACACTGCTCTCGCTCGGAAGATCCCATAGTCGGACGGTTCTGTCATCTCCGCAGCTCATCAACGCGGTGGTCTCCTTGGGACTCCATCTTACTGTATGTACCGGTTGTTTCTGCTCTTTCCACGTCTTTAGAATAGCTCTTGACTTGACATCGAAGACCTGGATTGCACCAGTCTCGTCACTTGCCGCAAGGACTCGTCCATCATATCGGGCTTCACCGCTGTAGGCAATGTCGTCGAATCGTGTGATAGTCTTGAGGATTTTTCGGGTCTTAATTGAGTAAAGTTGCACCCGCGCACCAGTCGTCACAGCAAAATAGTCGGAAGAGTTTTGGGTCGCATTGAGTGACTGCGGTTGGGAAATATGAGTTACGGCGTGCTTTGTGGGAGAGGAAATGTTCAAAGGAGATTTGAACGACCGCCAATACGACTGCTCCGGCGTCAGGGAAGAGGGTCGAGCAGGCAACTTGACCTGAGCAATTGGCTGGACATCGGCAGCCATTGTGCTCGTTGCAGCCCGAGAGGATTATTTGATCTGGTCAGCGTCGGTATCGTGTCAAATTCTCGTGGTGTTGTCTGCGCTGTGAATTTTTCTCCAAGTCGCCGACAAATCTAATCTTATCTCCGAGTAGAAGTTTCTTTCGTTCGAAACTCCACCACCCGCTCGATGCCTCCACGCCTGTTTGCCTTTCTCCGCGACCTCATCTGATTTGGACCACATATTTCCCTACATCGCTGAAAACGATCATGGACGAGAAAGCCACCATGCTGGAGTCGAGGACTCAACCTTCCAGGCCTCACGTTGTAGACTGGCCTTTGATGCCACAGCGACTCGTTCTCGGATACCCAGGATATTGAAACAATCGACTGCTTCTTTCTGTTTGGAGATGAAAGTTAACAAAACAATTGAGGAACATGCTGTGAGGCGGGGCTACAAGTTTCGCTTGTTCTTCCTCTTCCGAGCCCCATGAAGATTTGAACAGAGTGGTTGGGAGACACAAGATGAAGATTTGGGTATTTGTGTAGGACAAAATGTCGAGGACAAACAAACGAAGATGGCGAGATGCTCATTATACATCCTGGTCTGTCCATATCCAACGCAAACAACTCGCGTTCTCCATGTTGCTCTCTATCATCACTGTTCGAAATTCCTTTCTTTGATCAGCTCGACAGTGCGCCCCTCTATCGCTCCCTCCAACGACTTACTCTGTCCCGTTGCATCCTAGGTCTATGAAGTTCCCCATACGCCTTCCGCAAACTTGGATATCCCACTGACCAGGAAGAGCCACTGCCCATCACGATGCTGTTGCAGTAAGTCTCTGAGCACTTTCCCTTCAAGCTTGTCAACACGCTCCTGCTGTCTGGTGGTGACCTTTATGTGTCAGCCTGCGTGGCCTCATCTTCTTGCTCTTCGTTCCTCTCTCCCACTACAATCCCCCAGTTCTCTTCCTTTGTCTCTCTATTCAGCATTTTATCCCACTCGCTTCATTTTCTTATATTGGCAGCCCACCTCTGACAACTTACTGCTCGACAGCTGTATCCTCATCTTGCACCTCTTCCTTGTCGCCACCATGGCACTCTCCAATGTCACCCGGGTCCCCGTCCGCCGCAATGCCGATTACAAGGCCAACGGTACCAAGTCACTTGTCTGGCTCTACAACAAGTACAACATTACCCCGGCCAGACCGGGTCGGTATCATCGTGACGAGAAAAATCGCCTCATGAAACGTCAAGATGATGGTTCCTCGACTGAAGTGTAAGCCACGCCCTCTCTCTACCATGTTCGTTTGTCTGATCTAGTGGGGAAAGCACTGCACAAGATCAGCAGAATGACGTCTATTATACCTGCCCGGTCACCATTGGCACACCTGGCCAGCAACTTGAGGTGGTAAGTCAACAGACGAATCACTTGGGGAAGTGCTGTATTGACAACTCCAAAGACCTTCGACTCTGGCTCTGCCGACTTCTGGGTATGTCTGCTTTCTTGTAACTTATGCCTTCATTGAACTAACCCTCCCCAGGTTTGGTCCAGCCATCTCCCTGACAGTACCAAGAAGAGTGGAACCGCATCGGGCGCTGCCATCTATGATCCCAGCAAATCTTCCACCCAGAAGCCAATGGCTGGAAGCACCTGGCAGATCCGGTATGGAGATGGCTCTTCGGCATCAGGAACAGTGGTTACAGACACCGTCAAGGTTGGAGACATTGCAATTCAAGGCCAGGCCGTCGAGATAGCCAGCCGTATATCCGTCTCACTCACTACCCAGACTGCTTCCCAGGGCATCTTAGGCCTGGCCTTCGGCAACATCAACACCGTCAGCCCCGAACCAGTCAAGACACCTCTTGACAACATGATCGCCCAGGAGGATATCCCCAACGACCAGGAGGTCTTTACGTGCTACATGGGTTCCTACAAAGACGTCAAAGATCCGGACCACGGGGAATCCTTCTTCACCTTCGGAAGTATTGACAGCGACGTGGTCCATGCGACTGGTGGAGAGATATCCTATACGCCAGTTGATGACAGGAACGGATTTTGGGAATTCGCTTCAGAATCCGTTACCATCAACGGAAAGAAAATCCCGTTGCCAGGAAACACCGCCATTGCTGACACTGGCACAACCCTGATGATCATCGATGATGATCTCGTCGAGCAGATTTACTCTGGGATCCCAGGCGCCAAGTACGATGAATCTCAGCAAGGCTGGCTGATCCCTTCCACTACCCCTTCGGACAAGATTCCTAATGTCGCTTTCGCGGTTGGTGATGCGGAGATTGTTATTGAGCCAGAGCACATTGCATTCGCGCCACTTGAGAACACCGGGATGGTCTTCGGCGGCATTCAAGGTCGAGGGAAACTCCCATACAACATCTACGGTGATACCTTTTTGAAATGTGTTTACGCGGTAAGTGGCATTCTCTGGGGATTGGGCATTGATCCCTAACGAAACATAGGTCTTCGATGCTGGGAAGAAGCAATTCGGTGTTGTCCAGAGGGTTAATCCTACTCAAAGGATTGCTTTTTAGGTTTCCCACTCAGCACAGTAAACCTTTCGAATGCAATTGCAATGGTAGATGCAGCGGTGCGCGTCTGGGAGGGTGGCATACCTACACGATATCAGTATTCCCGTTGTCCTTGAGACACGTTCAGATAGAATCGTATTAATAGACATTCCAACCTGGTCGTTCGCTCTGCCACTGCTTACCTGTGGCTTCAAGATCAGCAGAGTCCAATGTGTAGGGCAAACTGCGTAGATGTCAAGGAGGATAAGAAAGCGGACAAGTCTCCTGGAGGAAAGGGTGGCTGGCTGCTGGCGTTCCTTCCTGCAATTGCCTGACGTGGTGGATTTCAAAAAGGATTCCAGCTATTGCGAGAGCTGTCTCCCCGTTCTCCCTCTCTTTGTGCAGCCTAGATGAAATTTCACAATGAGGAAACTGGCTGTCTCCGTGGGACAAACCCTTCTCCTGATGACCCTCTTCGCTCTCCTGATTTTCCAGGAACTACACAAGCAGCCTCTGATCGACAAGCTGCACGACAGTCTCCGGTTCGCCACCAACGGACTCAATCGAACACGTACTGCATTCAGTACCTTGGGTGAACCAGTTCAACCATCGACCTCGTCCTTCAGCTCTAAGCTTCCATCCGCCACCGCGACTTTGATCCAAGCCGAAGCTCAACATCCTGGAGAAGGCGATCGACCAACTGCTGCACCTCTTACTACACCCATTGAGGTACAAGCACCCCAGGTGCTCCAGGTTGATTGCAAAGACAGAGTAACAGATCGCGACTCATTCAACAAGGCAAGAGACTACGTCCACTCAATCATGAACGGCAGTGATGGGGATGTGCCACAGTTGGAGTGCCCTCCATTGAACCCGAGCAGATACCTCAGTCTCCACGATCCCACTGCTTCCGCCCAAAAACGGCAGTTTTTCTTCGCAATGAACCTCCATCAGTCAGCCCACATCATTCCACAGCTTCTTGGAGCCATCATTGAGGTCGTTCGGTTCCTCGGTCCCAAAGCTTGTGTCATCTCTGTGGTCGAGGGCAGATCAACGGACGGGACGTTCGAAATCTTGAAGAGCCTGGCAAAAGAGATGGAACACCTTGGAGTGTCGTACTTCTTGTCTTGCAATGAGCTGCAGCCCGGGGGAGAAGGCATGGAACGTATCTCTACCCTTGCTGAACTGCGAAACAGAGCTCTCTGGCCTTTGACGCAACATGCACAATCGTATGACCCATCAACCACGATTATCTTCCTGAACGACATTGCACCATGTGCCGAAGACATCTTGGAACTGATTTATCAGCGAGCGTTACTGAAAGCCGACATGACTTGTGGGATGGACTGGTACAACTTGGATGATGGCGGCACATTTTACGACTCGTGGATCGGAAGACAGATGAACGGCGAGACCTTCTTCGAGGTACCCCAGAGTACGTCGTGGGATTTCTCCAAGAACCTCTTTTGGAACCATGAATCAAGCAAGTCACGATATTCGCTGGGGCAGCCCCTGCAGGTCTTCTCTTGTTGGAATGGGGCCGTGGCTCTCACTGCCAAACCTTTCTTGGAGGCGAAGATCCGGTTCAGGACTGAGGTAGATGAGGAGTGTCACCTTGGAGAGCCGGTTCACTTGGCCAAGGATCTGTGGAAGCTCGGTCATGGCAAAATCGCTGTTATCCCGAGCGTCAACGTTGGGTATTCGGTGGACGACTCGAGAAGAGCCAAAGAAGCGCATGGTTCGGTGACATCTGTGGCATACAAGGAATCTGTTGAGTTGAGCAAGATTAATTGGCAACAAAAACCACCAGGTCAGATCAAATGCTTGGGGACTTGGGACCGTCCATCGTGGGAACCTTTCGAGCTCCGAGAATGAGCGAACATCTGAACAAATAGTGAAGATTGCAGTTTTGACCAGTGGAGGTGGTGGGCGAAAGTTGATATGGTAGAGGGATGGCCAGAAATGTGGCAAAAGAGAAAAGCGGGACACACAAAAGCATTTTCAAAACAAAAACTCCAGAATGCGACGATTCGAACTCGAGTCAATCATTTTTCTGACGGAGCAAAAAGCAAAAGCTGCTCCTGCATAACGCAGGGCTTGAATGAGTCCAAAGATTGATAAATGGAGTATTTTGGGCGTAGCCACGGCCATCTCTGGTAAAAGGCAAGAAATGGATTCTGCAATAGCTCGTCCCACTCCAACTGGAAAATTTCGAGATTGCAATATATCACTTCTTTTTTTCTTGGGCGGGCCCTCACGTGCACAGACCCCTCGTGGAGCTTGTGTGTTCCCCGCATCCAAGGTCCAGCTCCCTCGCCCGTCGCCCAAGCTACAGCGGGGAAGGTAAATTGCAGACGCAGGCAAATGGTTTTCCCCGACACTCAGTTTGTACAATGGGAGAACTCACGTCCTGAAAAAAAGGTCAGCCAACATTTGATATTCTCAGACGTGCTTTGGAACAGTCCTGCTATCGGAATTTCTTCTTGATTTATCGGTTGATTGGTTTTGATCTTTGATAGACAGGCAGGCGGGCAGGCAAGGGCACCGCAGCTGATGAACAAGATGGCCGCATGTATTTTCTGCAAGATCATCAAAGGTGAGAATCAATGGCGATTCCGATTCTTCAGGGCTGTTGCTGTGGCCACGGTGGAAAATGACGAGCTCGTCTGCTCAAGCGGTGCAGAGGGAGTGCTAACTGTCTGGGTTTCCGCAGGAGAGATCCCTTCGTTCAAGCTCTTCGAGTCCGACAAGGTCCTGGCCTTTCTTGACATCCAGCCGCTGAGTCGAGGACACGCAGTACGCACGCACGCCCCTTCGCCCTTGATCCCCATCTGCCTCTCCGATACTCTCCCTCTCGGGTTTTGCCTGCACACATGCACGCATGATCACGAAAGCTATAACCCTCCCAAGACAGAATTCCGCAAACCGCAATCTAACCCACTCCATGGGCATACCTATGCTAACTCGCAACTTTTCCCCGGGGCCTCCTCGGCTCGGGGATATTTTGCAATGAACTATAGCTCGTGATCCCCAAGCACCACGGCGTCAAGCTGACCGACATCCCCGACGACTCGCTGGCAGACATCCTGCAGGTGCTGAAGAAGATCGCCATCGCCACGGGCGCGGAGAACTATAACGTGCTGCAGAACAACGGGCGCCTGGCCCACCAGGAGGTCGACCACGTGCACTTCCACCTCATCCCGAAGCCGAACACGACCGAGGGCCTGGGCATCGGGTGGCCCGCGCAGAAGATGGACATGGACGAGTTGAAGAAGCTGTACGAGACGCTGAAGGCGAAGATGTGAGGCGGGCGGGGGTGGATAGATCAGCGGGCCAAGGGGAGCAGGAGAGGACGCGGCTGTGAGAGGGTGCAGACAGAAGAGAAGGAAAGGAAAGATGTGGGCTCATTGACCCCTCGGGGGACTACGGAGGCTGTTACGAAGGGGCTTTGATACCGATTCAAACTTTGATCGGCGACCGGTCGTGGAGGAGAGGGGAAAGGGCAGAATGCCGCACACAGCAGCACCCTTTGCACATATCCCATACATTGTAGGTATCGTCTTTGCTCGGCCTCCGGACCCTCTACACACCAGGGAGACGCAACGACAATAACAAAACAGAGTCTGGATTCTCCAGAGCTGGTCCAGCCATGTGATGAGCAAGGGTCCCATGGTTTTCGCTTCCGTGCAAGAAAGTCAACCGTCATCGCGAGGACCGCGAAACGGCTCAGAGAAACGCGGTAACCACATCGCAGGGGCATCTTCCCGCTGTCTACCATTTATTCCTCGTTGCCAGAAACAAAAAAGGCCCCCAAGTCTCTAGTGTGCCCCCTCAACACCAGCCCTCTCTTCAAAGCCCTGATGCTCCAGTTTCTGCTTTGCGTTCCTGCCTGCCTTGCAAAATCCGCAGCTCTCTTTTGCCTGCAAAGTTTTCGTGTCTGTTTTACTCTGAGGGGTGGGGGGTGGGTATCAAAAGGGGAAAAAAAGAAGAGTGTCGAAATGGTTTTCAAGTGGTGAAGAAAAGGTCGTCTCTGTCGTGTCATCATGGGAATCTCGTGGCGAAGCGACGGGGCAACGCCAGAGGGAAACGAAAAAGGCAGTCGCCGTCGAGCCGCGTCGTGGCTAGGGGAGAAGGGAGAGGAGGGGGAGACGCCGACATCGTCATCATCAACACCCTCTCCTGCCCCCATTGATCCTACTTGGCCTGCCGGGGCGGTTTTAACCGCGTGATCCGCGCCCCCTGGCTGTCCTTGTCCGTCCACTTGGGCACGGTCGGCTTCATCGACGCGGACGAGGACGCCATCGAGGCTCGACTGCTCTCCTTCGGTTTCAAGGGGGTTGACGGCGCGGGTGCCCGCGTGGCGTTGGGCTGTGAGTCTGTGGGTTTGGTGTTAATGCTGGTCACGAACTCGGACTTTGCGAGCTGTTCTTGCAGCGTGTTGATGAAGAGGAAGGTCGAGTCTTGCGGCGAGAGATCCTGATGGGGGCTGGCGTGGGCCATGTTTTGTTTTGTTTGTTGGGTGTGTTTGTGTGTGTGTGTGTGTGTGAGATACAAGGGTGTTGATCAAGCCGGGAGATTGTAATGCTGGGTGACTATAGTCCCACACTCGGTTTTGCTTTCTTGCCTTTTCTGTACCGTCTGTTGGAATTGAAGCAAAGGAGGGGAGCATTCGAGTTCAGTCGGATGGAACAAGCCCCAGAAGATGAAGGTATTGTGGAGGGAAGAGAGAGAGAGAGAGAGAGAGAGAGAGAGAAGACTCTTCCTATGCCAAAAGTGATTTGATTGACTTGGGCAAGCAAGTGCGTGCGTGAGTTGATATATCCCTCTCTCCGCCCACCAACGCACAGCCAGATATTGGGGGCAGGATCTTCGAAGATCAAAAGCAGGAAGAGGCGTTGGAACGAGGCCGACTTGGGCTTCCTATTCGCTTATTCTGGCTCTTTTCGCATTCATCCCTGTCCGAAGGGAAAAAAATCACCGGTGGCTTTTTGGGAGAAGAACGCGGATTCGATGTTGCAACGGACCGGGGTTTCCACTTTTTGCCCGCGTCTATAATATGTAATGTATGTGGATGGATGTATGTTGTGTCTGAGAGTATGTACTCAACTCGACCTGGCATTACAGTATCTGAACGGCACAGCCCCCTCTTCAGCGCCCAAAGGCCAACCAAGCGCGTACGGACTGTCCTGAAACGGCCTCGCACCGCTGGGTGAATTGCGGCCGAGGACGAGAGGGGGAGTAATATCGACGAACAACACCCGCCCCAGTAAGACTACGACTCCCACTACCTTACCTTACCTACCTAGTCTCCATATGCAGAATGGCCTACCTAAACTAATACGTGGGCATCCGCGCCCCAGAAACAGAATGATCAGCATTGCGCATATGCAGCCTTTTCCGGGCGTCCATACACGCATCTCAGAACTCGTCCTCTTTCCCCTCCCTCCACACCCCCCTTCCTCTCCTCTCGCTCTCACCCACACCGCTCGCGGCCACAACGGCGGATCAATGGGGAGAAAGGGGGGAGAAAGGGGGGAGATAGGCAATAACTGGTTCAAGGAGGGACAACAATCACGAACCGGGCGCGGACGGGATTGGGCAAGCAGAGATCAACGAAAAAGAAGAGATCATCAGGCATCGATGCAGAGACAAGCCACAAAAACCAAGCTGCCCCTTCCTCTAGCCAGCGCGTCCCGTAATACCCCTTAACCTGGGGGACTCTTGTGCCAACCAAACTTGTCAGGCCCAGCGATAATCAATGCATGCAATGCAATGCATCCATCGGGGTCTCGAGAAGGATAAACCCAATGTGGTTAGGAGACCCTGGCTGCGGAAGGAAAAAAAACGAGATATTGGAACAAAAATGGAGCAAACTGCCACCGACGTAACTGTGCATGAAAAAGCAAAATCCCTTGAAGGGAGCAGGGGTCCCTAGGAGCTGCACCTTCTGGCGCCTCGGGGTTTATTCTTCCACCAGAAAATCGACGACGCTTGTTGCAAGCACCTTCACTCAGGGGGGCCGGAAGGGGAGGGAAGCTGTCGTATCAATGAACGCCCTGGCGTTCTCGCATCCAATGCTGGTCCCGGCAAGTGTGCAGGTTGGATCACCGACTGGATACTGCTTATGCGAGTCAGCGTGGTGGGTGGAGCAGTGCAAGATTTGGTGGCTTCCAGGAACGGCTCCATTGGCCTCTGCGAGAGGTTCTAGACCGGTCGATTCATGGATATCGGCACCTCAAGGTTTTTGGGCGGGTTTGGCGACTTGCAATCATGTCATAGAGGGAGCCGAATCGAAGCCTGTTTTGGGGGTACACATAATACCGACTCACGGGAAGACAGAAGGAGGACAGACACACCAAGACAGGTTCGAGGGTTCTGCAATGCTTTGCCGTGTGCCCAAAGACACGTCCCACAGAGACAGAGAATGAGCAAGTAGATGAGTGTGCAACGTTTGTAGAAATATGGACGGTCGTTCTGCCATGGGAGCTGCCTTCCGTGAAAGCTCGTGCCGATCGTTCCAAGGTCGAATCGATCGAGTCGGCGAGCCTTGCCAGCTCCCTTCCCCAATGCACTTCAACTCGAGACGAGTGACCACAATCGGCTGTCCGTGTATGCAGATGTGGCAGATCACGAAAAAGGCCGTACAGCCACCATCTGCAGCATATCAGTCCGACCACTGGCATTGATGCGTTTCCCGGGGGAAGTTCAAGGGTGAGAATCGACTTACCTCGCCCGCACCGTATCGAGCCGACCTGGGCTTGGGCGATATGCAAGACGCGCCTCCGTATTCCGTTCCCAGCCTGAACACGACATCGACCCATGCTTGGAGCAATATCTGCCTGTGTCTGCTATGGGTCCATGACGCCAACACACCAACCTCTTGCGTGAAAAAGGAGAAGCTGCCTCGAAATGTGTGAGTGTCTTCGTATTCAAAGAGCCAGGTCTTATCTCAGATGGGTATAAAGCCGCAGAGGCCCAGAAGCAATGCAGTGGCGGTGACAACACAGGGGACCAATCCACACCGGGGAGCGGGCTTCGACACGGGGGGAAGGACGAGATGTGAATGAGTGGAACAGAACAAACAAGACTCGTGACACCCAAATGGAGAACGATGGTCCGCGCCTTACCTTTTGCACGACGGCGCAGGGCTGCTGTGGACGCCCGTCCAATCAATGAGGTGATCGACTCGACCCAGAAGGAAGCCCGGATGGTGGTCGTGAGTGTCAGTCAGTTGATTCCTTTCTCGAAGAGGGAACAGAGGGTGCGCTCTGGGCCCAGGGATGTGTGATCGGTTCAACCGCCAGTCCGTATATCCGGAGTGGATGCGTGCATCATGAGTGAGTGTCCTCTTATCTGTGCTGGTATGTGTATGTGTGTGCTGTTCGTGGCTTTCTTCCTTCTGAGGGATCCTGTCGTCGAATCTTGTTGTTTCTGTTCTTCTCTTCCCACCGACTAAACTGCAACTGTGCCCAAGTTCAGTCAATCGTCCCCATCGTCCTCGTCAGCCTGTGCAGGGAGGGTACACTATCCATCCTGTCCCTCTCGTCTGATGCGCAGTCAACCGATTCAAGCACGACGACAAACAATCACAGTCGAGCTGTGTGACAACCCATCAGCACACCTACCAGAGATTAAATCATTAATAGTATATGTCTTCTCACACAGTGCTATGAACCTTTGCACATACTCGGAGCTGATCAATGTCCGTCTAGACTCTGGCCGTGTCGTGTATCCTGTCCGTCCTCCGAGGTCCAGGGTGAGGCATCAGATGTGGGTAAAAGCGTCGCTAAGTCTTGCTCCTCTCGCCTCCAGTCTTCAATCGACATCATCGGCAGAGGTCTCGATCTTTGGAGCATCTGGCACAGTCTCTGGCGATGTCGGTTTGACATCCACATTCTCTCCCTTTCCAGGAGGCGGCGGGTAAAAGTTGATCTTGCCATCTGGCCCGATCATGCCCGTGCGGTCGTAATACGTTCTGGCTCGCACATATTTGTCCAGTCTCCAATAGTTGTCGTTCAATTGCCTCGCCAGGGCGTGCCTCTCTTCTTTGATCTTGTCGACATCCGGCCCCGTTCCTTTCGATATCCATTCAAAGGTCTTATTCTGATACTCGCGGACGTGGGTATCCCGCTCGGTCTGGAGAGCGTTCCGGGGCGCTTCTTCCTTCATGGTGTCGTTCTCCCCTGGTACAGGCTCTGCATATTTATATTCCCAATCCTCCTCTCCATCCAATTCCTTGATGATTTGTGATCTAGGGATGAATTTCTCGAGGTCCTCCACTCCAGACGTAAAGTGCACTTTGCCAGCGACAACGGGATCGAGCCAGCCACGAATGATCTTCCATATACCTTGGAAAATCCACGGCGCCTTATGGACGAGGACTGCGCCGAGAGACTCGGGATAATTGGCTTCAAAGATCTTGATCATAAACTTGACGGGGGTATAATCCATGTTGGCCATGGTGAAATTGGTCATGTCGAAAACTATACACTGGAAAGGGAAGGTCAGCAGTCCGTCGTCTCAGGGTTGGGCAACACTCACAGCGGTTTCTATTGGCGGCCTCAAAGCAAGTCTAGCCGTCTCAATCACATATACCGTATACCGTTCAAGGGCACGCTCAGTCTGGTCGCCGCCTCTATGGAGCCGTACCCGTACAAAACACAGCGGTCTCCCTTCTTTATCGGTGCCGTGCAGGAAACTCTTTCCTAACCTTAGTTGCGCCAGGAAATCTTCTCCCTCTCTCTTCACGGCCGGGTCGCTGGATTTCGAGTCCTCCAAAGCTCCACCTTCTCCGCGTAGGACGACATCGTCGTCTACATGCTGTTCCTGGCTTCGCCATCGCATCGTAGAGATCAGCATAACCAATGCTTTGTCGACATCCCATTTTCGCGCTCTTAGAAACCGCAGCAGTAGTGCATCTGGGTGGTCGGCCTTGACCATGCTCCAGAACGTAGCGCGCAAAGATTCTGGAGACTGTGTGACTAATATCTGCTGGAATTCCTTGACCTGGCCATACTTGTCGTCGGAATCCGCATGGTGGCTCGGGTCTTTAGTCGGCGTGGCCGACCCATTACTCGACTCCTTATCCTTGTGCCTCTTGAATATACCCAGTCGCTTTTTGCTCTTCTCTTTCTCCTTGACATCGATTTCTGATGCGGCATCTTCGGTTCGTGGTGTCTCTGTTCCACTGGCCTGTTGGGGGTCTTCCACGCCAAAAATCTTCAGAGTGACGGCCCAGAACTCTCGCAGTTTGGCTTCTTGTTCGGGTGTCAAGTTGCCCAGGTGGCCGGGAGGCGCAGGCATGTCGAGACGAAAAGGATCGCAGGTGTGTGAAGTGGTGGTGGTAGGGGGCCGGTGGTGCGCAAGGTGGTCGTCCTTGTCGTGTGCCTCCTGGGGTTGATGACGCACCAAGTACTCGAAAAGAACTGCGACTCCACAGGCGACACCGAAGAACAAAATATACGACGAGACCGAAGATTCGACAGGCGGCGCGACAAGTCGTCGGACAGAATTCCCAGCAACAAAGGGGTAGGTGGGAAAGGAGTGAGGCCTTGTTTGCGGGCGAAAAATCGGATTGAATTTGCGGGAGAATGAACGCGCCCCTCTCCGAGCTGCGGAGGGGAAGATGGAAGCTGATCGACTCAACGGCAGCAGGCGCTGACAGCAGCAGCGTCTCATCTATGACAAGACGCAGAAAAAGAAAATAGAACACGCTGATTATGAAAGATGCGAGATTGCCGCCGCCCCTCTGGGTGTCCTATTGAGCCGAAGAAGCCGTGAATTGAGGATAAACTCAGCACAAAGGGACGACTGACTTCAGCAATTGCGATCATCCGCCTCACCGGGTTCCTGTATCATTGATTTCCCCGTGGCGCAGGAGGCGGCGGGAGAAGTGGGCGCAGGATCGAGCAAGCAGGGATGCTGGCCCTGGCGCATTGGTGCGTTGGTGGTGGGATGTCGCTTTGCGAGATTGGGAGATTCGTTATGTCATCGGTTTTTGTCCACAGCCGCAGCGGCTTCAGCTGCGTTTTCTTCTCCGTCCCTCTCTTCTCTCACCGTCGTCGCCAAATCCCTGTTATGGACACCGTCACCAGGAATCTATGCTCTCGAACAGATCCCTCATTCCTCCCTCCGAACCCAGAAGCCTTGAACAGCCAGAAAGATGCCACGATCATCTCACTTCGGCCCTCAAACCAAATGCGTTGCTCTATTGCACTCTCGACACTTTCCAAGGGCGTACTGCGTCGAGCTTGTGTCACCTGGTATAACACGTAATTGCAGATATTCACAGACAAAGAACCTATCTTCCCACCTGTCACAACTTGACGGTGTCTACCTGCGACACGTGAAGTCCTTCACTCTCATGTTTACTTCTTCCGTGGCCGCCGTCTACCGATGCTTCCCGCTATCACCACTTCATCTTGTGATGAAGACTCGAAATTCACAGCGACAATGGTGATTTCGGAGTGTTGGCTCAATCAATCTCAAGACTTGAACGCGTTATATAAACTACTTCCTATGGTTTAGGTAAGGTTGAAGTACTCTGCATTCCACCAGTTCTCTCGTTTTGCTCTGTCAAGCTTTCTTTCGACAAGAAATGGCTCCGTTCCTCTTCCTTCGTTCTTGCTCGGTTTGTCTCGTCATTCTGTTTGTCAGCTTTCTCGCTCGAGCTCGTGAAGACATTGTGCGACCTCCCAACACACCGGTGATTGGTGGCCCTCCAGGAATGACGGATAGTCAAGTAGCTATCTTCTATCGCACATTCCAAGATGCCATCTATCTTGCTCGGCATACCGCTCTCTACTGGCCTTGTGATGCTGCAAACGACGAAGTAAGTTGCTGCATTTCGTAGTCCGGGCGATCGCTGTGCATCTTCAAGTGTGGGAATTCCCTTCTTACGATCATAGGTCTTCAACCGTTATTTCGAGCCAGGAGACGCCGAATTCGTCAAGAACATATTCCGCGCAATAGCCAACATTGATTTCAACCTGGACCTCTCCGATCCAGAGATTGTCAAACAGCTGGCGGACGAACCTCTAACATACAACGAAAAGTTCACTCGTTTATCAATTTATTTTCTCGGAGATCACCCAGGATTGACACAACCAGGGATTCCAGAGTCTGATCTCGACTGCAAAGGCTCCTATCCGTGGTTGGCCTACGTGGTTCCAACATTTGGCGGCGCTTCGGCCTTGATGTCCGTCTGCAAGCTATTGTATCAGCAGGAACCCATGCTTCAAGACGTGGAGAAGGCACCAAACTGGGCAATTGACCCAAAAAAGGATCAGTCGAAGGGGCCGCAATATTATGATGGGTATGGATGCCAAAACCTTGGGAATATCGACACTAGATGGATGTACAGCACTGGTTCTGTCTTAATGCACGAACTGCTGCATTTCCCTGGTTTGTTCGCAGACGTCCCAGACTACGACGCGAATATTGCGACTCAATTTGATGCCAACACCCCCCACTTCATCTCAGACTTCTATGGAGATTGGCCGGAAAATGGGTATGGCCCGTACAATGCTGCGGAAATCAAGAGATACCTACCACGAGACCATCAGTATCTCCAATGGAAGCCCACTTACAACGCGGACAACTACGTCTGCTATGCACTCAGCAAGTACTACTCAAGGGTGTGTGGAAGACCATTTGCAGAGGCACCGAGCGCCGACGCTGCTTGGCCATCTCGGGAGCCGCCCTCGAATCCCTTTCCTTGACGAATAGAACAACACGCTACGATAATTCGCTGATTGCGATCGCGGACCGGATCGTGGAATCGCTGGAGGAAAAGTTTTTTGTTGGCTCCCCGTCCAAGGCCGAAAAGGTTGCGCAGTGGCGCATGGGCAGCATTAGTGGTGTTTCCTATTTCTTTGAACATTGGTGACTGGTCCTCGGCCGCCACCGGGCCACCAGGGTTGTCAAATTATCACCAGCTTCTACGATGAGAAAAATGATGAAGCTTAGGATTTGGACCGGAGACTGAGAAATCGTGTCGGGTTGGGTATTTGCTCTCCCTGCTTGATAGGTCTGTTCAAGGTCACAATACAGCATCAAGCATTGTATGCTGTGTCTTCCGCCTGGCGCAACAAGAAGTTGGTTATCGGCACAATCCATATTTTTATTTACTCTGGCACAGATCAAGGGCTGCATCAATGATGGGGCCCATTTGGAATCCGCCCGACTCGTCAGTTCATGCCAGTCCCAAGTGTGGCACGAGTCTTTCTTTCACAAACTGTTCCAGTCCGTGCAATTCGACTCCGAGATCGAGTACGTTCTGATCAGGCAGCGCCACGCCCGGGTAAGTGCCCGTCTTGTTGTACAGGGTGAACATGATATCTCGTTGTTCGTTGCCCGTCGTAGGCAGCACCACGTACTTCGTCGGTAGACCCGTGACTGTTTTCCCATTTTTTTATGTCAGTGTTTCTTGCTTTCGAGGGCCTTCACGAGATAGAGGGGCTGAGCTTACCGCGCTGTATCACCTCGCATATCTCACGCGGAGTGTGGATGGCGTCCATGGCGTAGAGATAGCGGAATCTCAGCTGCTCCTTGCGCTGGTCCCAGTTGTCAAATATCGCCTTGGCCACGCCAGCCAGGTCCTTTTCGACCCAGACCATGTGGACTAGAGTAGCCAGAGAGAGGGACGTTCAATCAGCCGTGGCCCGTTCGGACTCTACGTTGCAGAAGGCCAAAAGGAGGCCCAAAGAGAGGAGAGAGAAGCAAGCACTACTCACGCGTCGTGTCCTGCTGGATGATGGGCTGCCGGAACTCGAGGGCCTTGCCGTCGTCCGTCCTCACCACGTGGCCTCTCAAGACCATGTTCTCGTAAAAGTTGCCCGTGAAGACGAACACGGCGGCGTCGAACCGCAGCTCGTCCCGGATGAAGCTGTCGACGCGGTGCTTCCCCTCGTAGATCTCGCAGCACACCTGGCCCTTGGAGATGTCGACCGACGACGGCAGCGTCGACCAGACGAAGCACGACACCCCGGCCCTTTGGGCCGCCAGCGCGGCGTTGCGGCCCTGCTGTTCCTCGCTGGCCGGGTCGTCTTTGATCGTCTACCGATACCGGTTCCACGTCATCATATGAGCAATCTGGAGACTTACGGGGAGGTGGTGAATCTCTCAAGACCGGAAAAAGCAGAACTTACCGCATCGTAGAAGTTCGTCACGACAAACGCGCCCCAGCAGTCCCCGAACGCGGCATCCAGCGTCGACACATCCGTCAGATCCCCCTTGACGACCTCAGCGCCTTGCTGGGCCAGCTGCTTCGCGGCGTCCGAGTCCGGGTTTCGCGTCAGCACGCGCACGGTGTACTCGCTCGGGTATTGCAGGAGGAGCTTGGCTACGGAGCCGCCTGTGGGAGGGAGGATGATGGGAACAGCCGGTCAGCCAGTGTCCTCCGAACATTGAATAGGTGGGATGTGTGTAAATGTGTATATACCTTGATTCCCCGTGGCGCCAGTCACGAGGATCCGCCTCGACATGTTTTTGTCTGTTCTTTGCCTGTCTTTTCCCGCGCGCTCGACTCTCTCTTCATATGTTGATGTCTCTCTCGGTTGCGTCTCTGGGTATTTCACAAGAAGGGGTGAAGGGGAAAAGTAGTCGATGTTTAGTTCCACTGCGGATGCTTCATGGGAGAGAATACGTGTTCTTCCATCGTCATCGTCATCTCAATGACGCACACTGAGGAGACCACCGCACCACAGATACACAGGGTATATCAACCACGACACCATTGAACGTGTGGGTGCTGACAAATTTGGCAAAGGGTGAGCGCGGAAAGCGGAACGATGCGCCAGAGACGTGAGTTCTGGGGTTGCCTCATTCGTGAGTTCGGATTCCCAATTATGCAAGACGGGGACGAAAACGCAGCTCTACCCCGGGCCGGCCGACGAAGACCGACCGACGAAAGCCGCCTAAGATCAGCCGAGAGGCCACGAGATTGCGCACTGGAGAGGCACTGGCTTGAGAGGTCTGTGGTGGTTTAGAGCGGAAGAGAGGGTGCTTGGCCACTGGCTGGATGGAGATGGGCGTCTGTGAACTACTATGTACCACGATTCCTGTTCTTGCACTGAAGGGAACGAGGCTGCGCAAGGCTGAAGCGGACAAGGGGCTCGGAGGAGACGCCGCCGTCGTCGGCACATCTCCGTCCGGAGTCATTCCTCTCGGCATCAAAGCCATCAGCAGATTCCCTGGTGGTCGGTTGCCCCGTCTATGGAACGGACTCGTTTCCGTCTTCATCGCCCGTCAGAGCAGTGTCTTGAGCTCTCGAGATCACAACGACGTCCAGATCCCCTTGAACTTGTCCGTCTCCCTCGCCGCCCGCCCCATCTCCAACAAAGCCGATGGGATGATCTCTTCCAACTGGACGTCCATCAGCCTGGCCAGGAAACAAATCAAGGTGGTGTCCAGCGCGGTGGGAGCCGCCGTGCCAAAGATCCACGCATCGGCCCTCAATCCCTCGCCGTTATGGCCACGTCTGGTCCCGTCAATGTCGTTGAGGAGCGCTCGCGCACGTTCGGTCTCCTCCGTGATGACCTCAGGGCGCACTCCCTCGACTTTCTCTGACCGGGTTCTGGCAGACATTGTTAGTATTATTACAAATTCTTCCTTGCAATGGATCTAAGGCATACACAGTCAACTTGTACTCCAGGGCTTTCTTATGCCTGGCTGAGAGGTCCGGTGTGTCCATCTTGGCGCGAATCGCCCCCTCCAGCAGCTCGGCTCGTTGTGGACGGTTTCTCATGGAAAGCGTGAAAAAGTTGATGGCGTGCAGATCGCGAAGCAGTCTGTTGATGTCATCTGCATATTCTGAAGGTCTGAGGTCAGGATGTCGCTCGCACAGCCAGAGTGTGATGTCGAGGCTGTCGGTGATCGGCTTTTCGAGCAAACCTGGACTCAGCAGAACCGGGACCTGTTCGGGAGGTCAGTGTCGTCCTCGCCCGAGAGACAAACTCCCGACCAACAGCTTCCAGAAGGGCTTCTCTTACCTGTCCTTTAGGATTCACCTCGCACAGATATGACTCGGATAGCTGTTCGCCGTTGAAAATGTCGATCTCCCGCGGCTCTGTAGAGAGGGACGAGAAATTCTTGCCTGGCAACCCCGCACTGGCAAGAGTATACCGCACCATCGAACTGCAGATGGAACGCCGGTCGTAGTAAAGAATGCACGGCTGGGTCTCCATGTTGCTGTGCCGGGGCTGCCCTTTGCGCACTATCGTTATCGTGTTGTGGACTGCTGAAGGGAAGTAATTTAGGGGTTCTGCAGCTTTAATCCACAATCCATAAACGACAAAGGAGAAGCATTGACCTCCAGACTATAACAAGTCTTGACAGCGCATTCGACCTTCCTTAGCCTTGCTAGCGGTCGTGCCCTCTCTGTGCTTAGTCAGCCTCGTTGCTGGCCTTGAAGTATACGAGCCGATTCCCGCGTGTACATCGGCCGCAGATCCTGGCCTTAGGGTGGAGAGAGAAGGCTCGAAGGGACGCTTGGATGTCAACGACCTTAGAACATCATGTTTGGGCTGCTGAGATGAGACCGGTGAGCAGCATGAGAAGAAAAGCACTCTAATCTCAAGAACCCCTCACAGGTTGCATCAGGAACAATGGAGATCTATTTGAAGGCCTCACCTCCGATGAATCTAGGGTTGCCTGAAAGAATCACGCATTGTGCCCTTGGCTTGGATCACCATTCGTCAGGATGATGATCTCATGGTGCATAGCCATCCTGCCCCAGAGTCGCAGCAGGGCTTCCTCGGTGGCAAACCAGGATCTCGGTTACATGAGCTGGCGTGGCACCCCAAGTCAGGAGTGATGGCATCCGGCTCGCTATGAGTATGGCAGAAGAGTGCAATGCAAGGCCTTACGACTCTCGAAGAAGGACTGGCTCTGAAGATTATCCGTCCGCCCGCCGGAGATCTGACACGAGTTGATGGGTCATTAGAATGGCAAAGGAACAAATGATCGAATCGCAGCGGATCACTTGGTGATGGCGCAATGTGCCAGAAACAACCATTATCAAGCGTGAAAGCAAGGTGTGATAGGGGCCGAGATGGGAATATCCTCTTGTGGAAGCTGCAAGTCCGTCGTCGCTCAAATACAGTATACACCAAAGAAAAGTGAGCAAAACTTACTAAGGGCAACACGAACCTTCTCTTGAGCAGTTGACCTGGAGCTGGCACAACTAGCAGCGTTGGCTCATGAGATGTGTCTAGTCATGCCCGGGAAATGGCCAGCGGACTCCCGCTCAACAGTAAGCTCCCAAAGAATAACGCCGACTACGACAATGTCTGCCAACCCCGTACGGCAGTGTCAATCAGAGATATGAAGACACATCTTGCTAGACATCTTCTTGACCGTCTTTCCCCAAGGGCTTCTTTCCGAGCTAGATCACATTCTCCCGGCCATAAGCTCTCCTTCGCAAGATCTAAATGGTGCGTTAAAGGTCGCTTTGCTTTGAAGTGGTCGGGAGGAAGAGCTATTGGTGAAACAGGACTGGAACCAAGACAGCCTGGAATAAAGCTGCCGCCACATTACCGCTCGTGGCTCCTGATGGAATGTCCTGGGCTCCCTCTTCTAGCGTCGTGAAGATCGAAGTCCAGCGGATCACCAAGGGTTGAAAAAGCGATAGCGTTTTCTGGGTATCTACTAGGTCTGCTTCGCATTTTCATGTTCCAGGAGCCACGCCATCTTCGAAGAAGCGAGCATACAGATCCATGAAGTCGACCTTTGCTGTAGTCGAGACTTCAGATGCTGGATCAGTTCTAATAGCGTCTCGCGGATCAGGCAATGAAAAAGGACCTTAAGTGAGAACATTTCATCTGCAGCTCCAATTGACAAAATTGAACGAAGTGATTTGCCGGAGCTGTCTTGGGAGCATGCATAGAGGCCGGCTTTGGCGAAAAGGAGCGCATTTGGAAATTCAGGGTCGAGCCGGATGAGATGAACTGTTTCCACGAGGATCAACGGTATTGCACCGTCGAATGAACTTGGGAATGTGTCTCTGTGCTCGGGTTCAGCCAGGAACGCATCAATGGGAGTCATGAAGGACTTGAATATCGATCGACCTCTCTGCCACATTCGCCTTTTGAGACATCATCGGGAGGCAAATCTGCATTGTTCATATTGACCGGATTCGACGAAGAATAAGGTGGGTGGTGAAAGGCTCTCCATCGCAAGTCGCTGGAAAGCCCGCAACCTAGAGATCCGATCATCGCCGTGGATCAATTCTTTTAATGCAGATATTGTAGCACATTTTCCGGAGACGGGGTCCAGTCGATCCATTTGCCAAAATGGGGGCATCCTTGGGCGAACTACTGCGCTTGAGACCATGTTCAGGCACCAGCGGAGACAACTTCTTCCAGGAAGGTCTTTGAGAACCGAGTCACCTGCTCGTAGACTGCTTCGAATCCGCGGTCGGCCCCATAGTAAGGATCAATTACCTCCTCGCCCTTGGTTCTTCCCCCGAAATCGCCAAACATCATGACCTTGGCCTTTGTCTTCTGTCCTCTGCTCTCAAGTCTTCGCTGTAGTCGCTGCAAATCGTTGAAGTTGTAGGCGTCCATTGCAAAAATGTAATCAAACTCGTGGAAGTCCTTCGAGCGCACCTGACGGGCGCCATGATCGTAATCTGTAATGCCATGCCTCCGAAGGGTATCAAGGGTCCTATCATCGGGGGGATCGAGAGTATGATAGGCTCCAGTGCCAGCCGAGTCGATGTCGCCGATGCGCGGATGGGATTTCGCGAGCGACCGAAAGACGCCTTCAGCCATGGGCGATCGACCTATAGATTCCTAATCAGCTGACATATGCAGAACTTGGGTGAGGCAGAACTGTACAAATGTTCCCAAGGCAGACAAAGAGGACGGAGATTCTTATCGAAGAATCCGTCATTGTGGGGTATGTCGATGGCGCAGTCGACACTTGCGTGGAAGATTGCGTGGGAGCCGCTCACCGACAGCTCGCCGCAGCAAAACCGATGACGCCAACAGAATATTGAGAACGACAGTTGCGGAACAATTCCAGCGGGGCTTTGTGGTGAACTACCGAGGTAGACGTGGAATTCAAGCGTAAGTAAGGACAATGCAAGAGTGGAATATTCATGGCCTTGGACCTGATTGAGAGGTGGGGGAAGCCTTGGAGGTGCGAGGCTGCAAACTTCCACTACCCACTCAGCCTTGCCAAGTGAAGCCTCGTCAGCCTCTCAGTCTGGGGAACCATGAAACATTCCGTGCACCGCCACAAGGCGCTAGAATCTGCAGTCCGCCTTGAGGGAGATTGCGCATCAAGTGACAGGCGTTAGGCAGCGCATTTACTGAGAACAAATTGGCTACGACTATGCAAAGAACACGGCCACTTAGAAGATCATTCGATAGGGAAGCCGAAGAAGCGCGGACGGTTCGAGGCAACTTGGACTGCAAATCGATGGCAAATCCCAAATCTCGCGGTGAATAAATAGAAACAAGGGGCTCGGGGGTGACGAGCGGCGGGAACTGCAGTAACCAAGAAACGTGGGCGCATCCATTTTTCTGCAGGGCAGTGGCGCGTTTCTGCGGCGATGACCCCGGGGCGTGGCTTTAACTGGCTGGGCGCCGCCCGGGGCCCGTGGCGCCTGTTCGGTTGGTGACAGGAGCCAATGCCAGTCAGCGCGCGAGCGGGTCGGATGCCTGTGCTGCCCAGAACAGAAATGCTGGTCAGAAAGCTGAGGCACTGCATGACATTTCAGGTCTGCACTGGTTGCGCCCAGCTGAAAACCAACAGCACACTCTTTGCATCTCACCTGTACCTGGACATTATCACCTTGACGGACCATCTCTCTACGCATTGTCCCCAATCTTCCATTCTTTCATTCTGTGCGACTCCGCCAGTGTTCTGTTCATTGCCCTTGAAAGCGTCCAGCGTCGCCTTCCTATGTCTCCTATGACTACATGACCGCCTCCGCCCCAGAGTCAGATCCAGTAATAGAAGAGTAAACAATACTCCGTATATACTCCACCCAGATCAGATCGCATGCCAGGATCCCTCTTGCGAGAACCGTCCGACCATTCACTATTCTAAATTCTGACACAAGGATCGTCTTCGCTTCGTCCTCGCATTCCTGTCCCCAAACACAGACCACTTTCTCTCTGCGCTACGCTCCCCATTCTGGCCCATCATGGCCTACAACCGCATCGGTGAGACCCCTCTCTACTTGGTATCGAAAAAGCATACTGACTCCAGTCTCCAGGCGATCCTCAGCGCGACGGCCCTTATTCTCCTGCTGTCAACCCTCACTACGATTCTCGGTCCCCTTCTCCTGGCCGACCATTACAACCCTACAGTCACCCAGACGAAGCCCATTCGAGACAACAACTGCACCTTCAGATGCCAACGGCTTCCAATGACCGCCTAGCCATGCAGCCGACATACTCGGTAGAAAACATCCCACATTCCCACGGGCATAACCAGCAGTATGAACAACAGCTGCCTCTTGGACCAGGGGAAGACATGGGCTATGGAAGAAATGACTACATTGTGTCACCAGAGGAACACCATGACGCTTATTATACACAAGCATATTCACCTCATCCTCAGGGTGATTATGCCCTAGATCCCTATCCTACACCGGATCAGGGATACCGGTTGGATAACGACAACGTTCCCATTCTTCAGTCAGATACTGCATACGGCCCAGATCCGCATGCCCAGGAAGAAATGAGTTATGACGGTTACCATGATGAGCAGCGTCCTACGCCATCTCCGGCGCCCATACGGAGGTGGAAGACCGTAAAAGAGGTGCAGCTGTTCAATGGCAATTTGGTCCTTGATTGCCCGGTTCCTCCTAAACTCCTCGCTAATGTCCCTCATGCGAAACCGCCGGAGAGAGACGAGTTTACGCATATGAGATACTCAGCCGCCACATGCGACCCATCGGAGTTCTACAATGAGCGGTTCACTCTGAGACAGCGACTGTTCGCAAAGCCGAGAGAAACGGAGTTGTTCATCGTGGTTACCATGTACAACGAGGACGAGTTCCTGTTTGCTCGAACCATGATCGGTGTCTTCAAGAACATTGAGTTCATGTGCAATCGCAACAGCAGCAAAACATGGGGCAAAGAAGCGTGGAAGAAGATCGTCGTTTGCATTGTTAGCGACGGCCGTGCCAAGATCAACCCCAGGACGAGGGCCGTCCTCGCTGGTCTAGGTGTTTATCAGGACGGCATTGCCAAACAACAAGTCAATGGCAAAGATGTCACCGCTCATATCTATGAGTACACCACTCAAGTTGGTCTGGAACTAAAAGGCACGCAGGTGTCTCTAAAGCCGCGATCCGCGACTCCTGTCCAATTGCTATTCTGCCTGAAGGAGAAGAACCAGAAGAAGATCAACTCGCATCGGTGGTTCTTTCAGGCCTTCGGTCGAGTGTTGGAGCCCAACATTTGTGTCCTCATTGACGCGGGGACCAAACCTGGCAAAGACTCTATCTACCAGTTGTGGAAAGCTTTTGATTTGGAACCTTCTTGTGGTGGTGCTTGCGGTGAAATCAAGGTCATGTTGGACCACGGCAAAAAGCTCTACAACCCTTTGGTCGCCACGCAAAACTTCGAATACAAAATGTCAAACATCTTGGACAAGCCTTTGGAGTCCGCATTCGGCTTCATTTCGGTGCTCCCTGGTGCCTTTTCGGCTTATCGCTACGTTGCCTTGCAGAACGACAAGAATGGTGACGGGCCTCTCGAGAAGTACTTCAAAGGCGAAACTATGCACGCAGACGCTGGAGTGTTCACGGCGAACATGTATCTTGCCGAAGATCGAATTTTGTGTTTCGAGCTCGTCAGCAAGCGCAACTGCCAATGGATCCTTCAATACGTCAAATCGGCCACAGGCGAGACTGATGTCCCTGATGGTATCGCCGAGTTTATCCTTCAGCGGAGGCGATGGCTGAACGGGTCCTTCTTTGCCGCCGTCTATGCCGTGGCACATGTCTATCAGCTCTGGCGCAGCAACCACAGCGCCATACGCAAATTTATGTTCCTCGTCGAATTCACATACCAGACCATCAACATGCTTTTCGCCTGGTTTGCAATTGGCAACTTCTTCCTGGTTTTCCGACTTTTGACGGCTTCCCTTGGCTCACCTGGGCCGCTGGGCAAAACTGGCACAGTTTTGGGCGTCATCTTCGAGTTCATCTACCTGGGCACACTGCTGTATTGCTTCATCTTGTCCATGGGTAACAGGCCCCAAGGTTCCAAGAAATCTTACCTGGCAATGGTTATTTTTTGGTCGATCCTCATGATTTGGTTGACGTTTGCTTCGATCTTCTTGACAGTGAAGTCGATTCAGACCGAGGTTTCCCAGAAAGACTTCAGCTTTTCGACCATTTTCAACAATAGCACCTTCTTCGGCCTGATTGTGTCACTTGCGAGCACATACGTCCTCTGGTTCGTTGCAAGCTTCTTGTTCTTCGACCCTTGGCACATGTTCACGTGCTTCATCCAATACATTGTCCTCACTCCGACTTACATCAATGTCCTCAATATCTACGCATTCTGTAACACTCACGACATCACGTGGGGTACCAAAGGAGATGACAAGGCCGAAAAACTTCCAAGTGCGAATGTAAAGCCCGGCGGGATGGTTGATGTGATGATCCCTCAGGATGACGGTGACTTGAATGCTCAGTACGATGCAGAATTGAAGCGATTCGCGACAAAAGCAGAGAAAGAGGTCAGGCAGCAGAGTCCACAGGATAAACAAGAGGACTACTACAAGTCTTTCCGAAGCAATGTAGTCACCGCCTGGATGATCACGAACTTCATCCTGGTTGCAGCCGTCCTGAACATTTCAGGGTTCGAGAGAATCGATACGGGTGACACTGCACAGCAGAACTCGACCATTTATTTAGCGGTCATTCTGTGGTCGGTGGCGGGTTTGTCACTCTTCAGGTTCACCGGCGCGTGCTGGTTCTTGGTTGTACGATTGGTAAGTTGATTGAAGTCTCTCAGGTGATCTCTGGCTAACTTTACATAGTTCCGTGGTGTATGATTTCACGAAATGCCCGCAAACATAAGGATACACGAGCGACATTTTGGATGCCGACTTGCTTCAAGGGTACGACTGTGTGGCGTTTGAAAGGAGCACTGTGTAGGTGTATGTTGGGCAACGATATTGCTGCATAATGGCGAGATACCCCAAGAAATCGGATGAGCGTTTGAACGCTAGGAGTTCCTGGCGAGTTGGACGTCAAGTCATACAAAAGAACCTTGAATAGATGATGTTCAATCCTAAGTCGGTGACAAGGATTAGTTATATATGCCTCACCCATCCCCTATGCCGCCTTCTATGTTCACTCTTTGGTCTATAATCATCTATAATCCAGGCGATCTCTGCCAAAGGAGATTTCCTCCATCATGCCCAGATCAAGTCTTCGACCAAACACAGAGCCCGATGCCACCGCATACCAATACCATTCCTAGCCAGGTGTTTCTTGAGATGAGTTTGCCCTCAGCGTACCATTCGCCCAACACGGTGAAGAGAAATGCCAGAGAATTGGTGATGGGCACTGTGAGAGATAATTCTGTGTTCACCAATCAGTTGATGAAACGTTAGGCAATGCCTCGGCCTCAGCGGCAAAAAATACAACAGGAAAAGATCGACATGATTCGCTTAAGAACAATAATAGATCGTGCTGTTACGCAGATCCGATGTATACACATACCGGCTTGCCCGACTAACAGGAAGAACCAGATACTGCCCGTCAGATTTAGAAGCAACGGAACGGCGTATGTAGGAGTTTTCAAGAGTCCCACAACGGTGAAGAAGGCTTTCGCAACCTGCCGCGAGATCCAAGATCGGTTCGGGTCGGTGATAGAGGGATGGGATGGAGCAGTGTAGTTGACGGCGGCCTTGCGGATGAAGGGTGTCGTGAAGCCCCAGCAAATGCCAACAAGCAGGAAAGAGAGAATATAATTGAACGGAGAAGGCGTCGGAGATGCCGAGTCGGCAGCAGAGGAAGACATTGGTCGAGAGATAGGACGGGATGGTTGGTGGAGGGATGGGATGTTGAAAGGGGAAAGCTTTAGCATCAAGCTCGCGAAATTAGACGAGGCTCCAATGGCAGGTCGCCGATCAGTGATCTACCGTAGATCATACGGTGAATCATATCTATTTCTAGAAACTCACGGCGTGCCACCGCCAAAGCATCCCGCTGCCATCCCTGCACTCTCTCGTTCATTGACTTCACGATGATCATCAGGCATCCCGTGCTGAACCGGACACGATTGTCCCTGTCATGTCCCGCATTGCCATTGGGCAGTGGGCACACGTGCGGCTCGCTAATGCGACTCTCGATCTGTGGATGCCTGCGTTCACAGCCCTCAATGTCCAGCCTTAAAGTCCTGGTCTCTCCGCCAGAGCCAGCCCTCATAGACCAACTTACATTCACTTGACAGCTACGAAGCCAGAACTCGAGGTAGTGATCGTGGACAAGATTTTGAACAATGCCAAGCTCGGTAAGCTGCACGCAGAAGCGGTTACGGCGCCATGCTCCCAAGGTTCGCACAGGATGTGTTACTTGTAAAACACGGAAGCTGCGGTGTGACGAAACGAAACCAAGCTGCGTGAGGTGTACCTCGACGGGCCGCCGGTGCGATGGTTACGTCGCCCTGAGAACTCTTCTATTCGAAATACCACAAGACAAGGACGAACGGTGGGGTTTCTACTACTTCCGAGACAGGACTTCAAGACAGCTCCTCAGCTTCGCCCATCACGATTTCTGGAATCGCGTGGCCATTCAAGCTGCCTATTCCCGTGCCATTGTCAGGCACGCGCTGGTCGCAATTGCCTCCTATCACGAGAGTGTTGACCATCCTGACCAGCTTCGACGGCTAGACCGCCAGCTGTTCGCCTTTCGCCAATATAACAAGGCAATAACAAGCATCCTCGATGCCGGGGCCCACTGTGATGTGGAGGATGTTCTGCTGGCATCAATCCTATTCACATTCCTGGAAAACGTTCGAGGCGCGCTGTCAAGCGCCCTGGTTCACCTTCATGCAGGACTGCGAGTTCTTTCCGAGTGGCGGTCTTCGCACGGACCTTGGGACAAGGCCAAAGCCTCCAATCGACTCATTGAGGAGCATCTTGCGCCCATCCTAGCTCATCTCCAGGACACGGCTGCCACCTTGATGCCGGTACGACCACATCAGCCGATGATATCCTCGACTGATCCGCCAGAGTGTTTTCACTCTCTTCAAGAAAGCCACTTCTATTTTGAAAAGATAGTTCGTGGTCTCTGCAGCAGTCTCCAATCCGTTCATGAACGGGACACATGGCCTTACGGTGATCTGAGCATCGCTCAAAAGGGGCAGGAATTGCTATGGGCATGGTATAATTCCTTCACGAAGTTTCTCGGCAAGGCGAGACACGACGTCTGCTTTTGCTCCGCTCCTTCCTCTCCTTACCACTTTGACGTTGGAGCCTGCTATTTACAGATGCAATTTTGGGCCGCCATAATTCGACTGGAGTCAAAGGTATATCGATCGGAAATGGTGTTTGACAACCATTTGCCTGAGTTCCAGATTCTGCTCGACATGACTGCACAGCTCGCGGACATGCTTGATATGGAAGAGGCAGCTGGTGCTGATACTTGTCTTGGCTTCCACATAGAATACGTTGCTATCGCCGGGTTTATCGGATTGCGTTGTCGGGACCCCGTCATTCGCAGGGGCGCGATTGGTTTGCTGCGATCTCACCCGAGGACAGAAGGCATTTGGCAAAATACAGTGTCGGCCGACCTTGCAGAATTCATCATGACACGCGAAGAGATACAGAGCAACGCTTGCGTCCCCATCAGCTGTCATGATCTTCCTGAACACTGCCGAATTCAGCTTCTTGCAAGCAGTTTTCTTGTGTATGACCAGAGAAGCAAAAACTTCCGAATGTAAGTCAACATTCACATTGCTAGGTTCATGTCTGACGGAGGATGGCAGTGCCCAAGGCGTCTCGTCTCCAGATCTGATCAAGATCAGGGTTATTCGGTCTGGGATAAGGCCAGCAGACCAAGACTTTGAAACTTTCTGGATCGACCGTCGCCCAGAACAGAGCATGGGTATGCCCAGAGATTGCCTCCCGGGCGATGTATCAGGTCTCTTTCCGCAAACCGTCGAAACCGAGTCGAATCTGTGGCGACAAATGCGCGGTGGGAAATGGGCCGACTACCTCGAAAGATCCGCTGCGTCGCATATGTGTGGAAATGTCAAAGGGATCCAGGGAGGACATGAGTAAGGAAGGTCCGCCTGAGTTTGCCCGCTGTCAAAGGCACTGCATTGCTAGACAATTCCGGGTCTAAAATTTGAAGACCCAAACTGTCCACCTAGGTCACAAATTCACAAATGCTCAAGACCACCGCTATTGCAGACCTGATTTCGGCAGCAACGGGACAACGAGGACACATCTGGATAGGTGAGGGCACGGGTTCCAGGATCGATCCATCGTTCCTTTGACAGCTTGATGTTGACTCTAGGCCGTGACAGCAACGTAGGCGTTCTGGATGGACCACCCGACGACACCATTGGAATGGGACAAGTCAGCAGTGAGTTGTCGCGCAGAATTTCAGCGATGCATTTCGCTGGCCTGGAATCCACCGTCATTCGTGTGGGGCTCACGTGATGTAAGTCTCCACCAATAGAAATTTGCGAGGCTGGCGCGAGGCTGGGCTGCAGTGACACACCTACCTGCAACCTCAAGCAATAACAGGTCTTTCTGATGCGGTGTTGGATCAATGATTGCCACGGATGGCTTTTACTCGTTCTTGTCCATTCAAGCCTCACGAGGGTGAAAGCAACAATTTAACACGAGTGGCGATGCCGAGATGGTCCAGGCTCCAAATCTCCCAGCCTCGTCAGGCCCCTGTCAACTTCCATGTGGCTGGGAGTCCAATCTCCAAAATTGTCTCAGGACTCGACCTACAACGATGACCACAGCAAAGCTCTGGATCTGACTTCTCATTCACAAGTGCTCAAGCCCTTTTTTCTCTTCCCGACCAAAGCCCACATCACTAAGGCCATCTAATTGACACTATCTTCATCCTCACCCATCTCGCCTCTCTCACACCAGTCCACAATGCCTACAATCCTCACGCCGCAAGGATGGGTCAAAGTCGCACCCCCTCCTCCTCCTCGCAAACGCACAGTAACCCGCGACCCTGCTGCCGCTCTCCGAGGACCTCTGGCGTACTTGGCTTGCCAGAGGAGCAAATCCCCCAACATCAACGTGGACGGCGGCAATGTCGGGGCCAGAGCCCAATTTCCCTACGATCTGAGTGCGAGCCCCGAGAAGTTGAGACGACAAGGCGAGGCAAATGCACACGCAAGGGCAGACAGGAGCTTTTCGGCTCCGGTTATGCACGGCGCCCTTCACCCGAGCGACGACGCATGGGACGAAGTTCCTGAACGAGAACATCGAGCACCTCCGCCACCGTCACCCAAGTCGATCGAACAGCCCAAGGCCAAATCCAGGTCGAGTGCAAAATCCAGATCGTCTCGACATCACGACGACGACGACCGCCAGTCCTATCTCCGCGCCAGTTCCCACTCCCACTCGCACTCCCACTCCAGCTCCCACTCCAGCTCTCCCTCCAGTTCCAGCTCCAGTTCTAGCTCCAGCTCCAGGTCGAGCGCGACCTCCAGATCCAGCGCGTCCAGCGTCTCCAGCGCGGCTTCAACCAAGTCGTATCACAGACCAGCTCCGCCTGTCCAAGCCAGGCCTCCGCCCATGCCCACTGGACCGAGTGTCCCCTATTACTCGATGCCTCGGTATGATCACTACGCGGCGCCGCCTCCGATGTCTCCAATGCCGCCGCTGCAACCGACGCCCACCATGTCCCTGCCGAGGTCGGCAGGTAATGCAAGGAGCTTGTCCTACAGTTGGTACAATGCAACCACGCCGTTGAATCTGTGAGGCTCGGCTGTATGTAAACGGATTTCTGATGTTTTTTTCTGGATCAATTTGGGTTTGACAATCAGAAGCGGGCGTTTGGCTGAAGGGATGATGAGCATTTACAAATGGCTTTTGCATTGATATGTCTTTAATTCTATGGACTCGGTACAGGTTAGTAGCATCCTAAACGATCAGCTTTCATCTGTCAGATGCCCGCCCCGACCATCGCATTGGGTAGCCGGACGTTTGAGTGACGTGTTGAATGCTTTTGACAGGAGGCTCTCTGGCCACGAGATTGTATTTACTATGCCATTCGTCTGACTGAAATCATGTATGAAGTTTCAAATGTCCATCCTTCTTGCTTGGAGCCCGTTCCATTCGTTCCACGGGCCTCGATAAATGTAAACAGAACGAAAATCGTATCAAATGAGTCCTCCCGTATGTGTATACCGTCATTGCGCTCATCAATGCCAAAGATGAACCCCCTCCCGTCCCTCATTGCGGAGTCATATAGCATCGTGTACATCGATCACCTGCTTCTACTGCTGACAAAAGAAATGTATGTACAGGCCCAGTCTGTCCGTCCGTCTGTTGCCTCAATCATCGTCCTCCACGACCACGACCTTGTGAGACCTCCTCGTCTCCCTCACTGTCCTGACCTGCCTGACAGGTGGGGGTCTGATGAAGATCTTCTGCGACTTTGTGACCATGACCCTGGTTCCTGGGTAATTTCCTCCACCGACGAAGGTGAGATTCGCATCGCGTCTGTTGGGGTAAGGGTCCATGACGACCACGGGTGGTTTGCGGTGACGCGAGTGGCTGGAGGACGAGGAGGAGGAGGAGCCGGCATAGTACCGTCGGCCGCGGTAATAGTTGCGGAAGCAGCAGATACACAGGAGCACGAGTAGGAGGACGCCGAAGAAGACACCGAGTACAATGCCGCCCACGACGCCGGGGGCCAGGCCGTGATTGTGGTGGTCGACGACAATGACGCCGGCGGGCGAGGTGGTCTGAAAGGGGACCAGGCTCGTCGTGGTGGGCGTGACGATGATGGGCGTCGGGCACCACGACGAGGAAGTGGTGGAGTACTCCCAATCACAGTCGCAATCCGTCGTCGTGGTATAACTCGTGATCCATCCGGTCTGGGTCGTGTAACTCGTCGCCCACCCCTCAGGAGTCGAGGTCGACCACTCTTGCTCTGGGGTTGATGTAGCCCATTCCTGCTCAGTGGTGCTCGTGTCACTTATCCACTGGCTCTGCGCGGTTGTCGATTCCACGACGGCTGGATACACCGAATCCTGGCCCGGCGACCTTTGCTCGATCAATGGCATGGAGACTGAGGAGGAGAAGGACGAGGAGGAGGCAGAGGAGCAATCGGATGACGTTCACGCTATTCAATTTGCATCTGCGCAAGGACACAGCATTTGGGGTGAATTGAGAAAGGAAACAAAAACACACCAAACCTGCAGTTTCCGACCGGGACGTGGGATAGGTGGTGGCAGCAGTGGTAGTTGCGGCAGGCTGGATCGAGAGGAGCTGAGGAACGCCCGGGGGTTTTGAGACACGCATGCACGCATCATGCATGTCCGCCATGGTTGGCGTCCAGATGAGTTCTCGCCTTTTTCCCACCTGCTGCATGACGATGGCGGCGGGCTTTGTCGACCAGCCTCCTCGGTTTCTTCTTGGAGGGGGTGACTGTTTTCGATCAAATGCAGGCGGCTGGAAGCTTTTTGGAAGGAGGGGCAGGATTGTGTCTTGCAGGGCGGGGCTCGCAGCTGGGGCAGGGAACGAATCGGCGGGTGAGGAGCAGGGGTTCCAGTTAAAGCTCCTTATAGGTGGGGGCTACCTACAAGTAGGTGCCTCGCGAGTCGTGAGGTACGATAGGCATGGGTCAAGGGTTCGGCGGCATGGTGGGTTGAAGGCGGGGCTCCTAAGCTCGGGGCCTCCCTGAACTCTCCGCCGGCTATTGTTAACTAACGAAGGAGGGATCCAGAAGCTGCAGAGCGCCAACTGGGGGACAGGGACTTTTGTGACATCTTGACACGCCCTCAGCCTCAGCGCAGTGTACTCACCATCAGGCGTCAAGACAACATGCACGGTCACCATCATTTCATCTTGTACAGTAAGGCTGGCGAATGATCAGACAGCGCAGACACAGGACCATCCCTCATCAAGTTGGCTCCGTTGCACACGTCACTTCATGTCGTGTCACTTGGGAGTCTCAAATCATTCGCCCTTGGATGCCGTCTACCGCGCGCCGAATCGAGGTTCTCGACCTCTTATAGCGTGCTTTCTGCATAAACAAGACGTCGTATCCTGGCCTGGCCGGTGAGTCTTTTAGCTGCCCTCCTCTTCCTTCGTTCGTTAGCAGTAGTGTCTTGATCTTGCTCGCGCCGTAGCCATGGATATTGCCTACGAAAGGTATGTACTCAACATCCGATCTTCTTCGAGAAGGGTTGATTGCTCATGCAAAACAGCTTTGTCGACTCGGAGCCTTTCAAATTCCTCGTCGGTCTACCACCCAAGACCTTCTACATGCATGCCGGACTTGCCGCGAAGCTCTCCAGCACCTTTGCCACTCTGGTCGGGGGTGGTATGAGTGAGGCCAAGGAAAAATGTGCAAAGTTGAAGGACACAGACAAGGACACCTTTATTAGGGTCATCCAGTTCGCATATACGGGCGACTATTCCGTTGCCGAGCCGGACGTTGTTCTCTCGGCATCAGATGTTGGAATCGAAAACTCGTCCAAGCACTTGAATGATAAAAACCATCCAGTGATACCTCAAAACCCAATTCGAGAGCCAGATGCTGGACAGTCGCCTGAAGAACCCCCCTACGACCCACACGAAGAATATGCAATCGAAGTGCCAGCGGAAGATCCAGCGATAGAGGAAGAGCCAGCTGAATGGGTGGACTGGGGCTCTGCCCGCAACAAGAAAGACAAGCGCAAGAAGCTCAGAAGCAGCAAGTCGAAGGTGGAACAGCTGTGGGACTCTTTTAAGAGCGAAGCACACGTAGCGGAGAAGAGACCATGGCAGCCGGAAGTCAATGAAGATCATTGCCAGGACTACACACCTGTCTTTCTGTGCCACGCCAAGCTCTATGCCTTTGCTGACACGTACGACGTTGTTCCCCTCCAGGAACTTGTGCTACAAAAGCTCCGGCTCACGCTCTCAAGGTTCAAGCTGCATCCACAGCGGGTGGGTGATGTCGTCGAATTGTTGAAATACACCTACACAAACACGACGGACTATGAGGAGAGTATTGACGAGTTGCGCAACCTAGTCACTGACTACCTGGTCTGCCACATCGAAAAGATTATACACCACGTGGAGTTCACCAAATTGCTCGGCGATGGTGACATGGTGAAGGATTTCCTTCCCAAGCTTGTGGAACGACGGTTAGATTGAGGTAGAACTGCTAGTTGTCATGAGGAGTCGGGCATTCCAAGCATGAGAATGTCGCTGCACACTTGACTTCTATACTTCAGTGGCCTAGTACATAGTGGCGTCGGTGGAGACCTGAAGAAACACAGACGATTGAGATTCCCCGCGCTGTTCTCCGCCTATAATATTATCGCGACTCGAGGCGGAATCTCATCCCACCATCTTCACCATAGACCTACATCATTAACAGCACCCGGGTACAGTTTTGCCCCTGCTAGAACTTACCTAGAGCTCTACCTCAACCCCTGATATACCCCGGAATCCAAAAGATGGCGCCCTCGAGACTCTCGCCAGACCCGCCGTCAGAAACGCCCCCCGCCGGTCTCACCCCCAAACAAGTCGCCTCGTTCCAGCGCGACGGCTACCTGATCATCCCCTCGTACCTCTCGCGCGAGACCTGCCAGACACTCCTCTCCAAGACGCACGAGCTGCTGAGCGAGTTCCCGCTGGAGGACCACCCGATGACGCGGTTCACGACGGGGACGGACGAGGCGGGGCGGCCGACAGAGAAGACGCACGTGGGGGACGACTACTTCCTGACGTCGGGGGACCAGGTGCGGTTCTTCTTCGAGGAGGACGCCTTCGACGCGGGGACGGGGGCGCTGACCAAGCCCAAGGAGCGGGCGATCAACAAGATCGGACACAACCTGCACGGGCTGGTGGGCGAGTTCGGCGCCGTGTCGCACGCGGGCGAGGTCGGGCGGCGCAACGCGGCGATCGCGCGCGCCCTGGGCTACCGCGACCCGCGGCTGCTGCAGAGCATGGTGATCTGCAAGCAGCCGGAGATCGGGGGCGCGGTGCCGCCGCACCAGGACAGCTCGTTCCTGTACACGCGCCGCCCGTCGGCCGTGGGCTTCTGGCTCGCCCTGGAGGACGCCACCGCGGAGAACGGCTGCCTGAGCTTCGCGCCGGGCAGCCACCGGCGCGCCCCCGTCCGCGACCGCTTCGTGCGCCGCGCGGTCGACGGGTCCGCGGGCACGACCTTTGAGAGCGTGCCGGACGAGGACGGCCGGTGGCCGCGGGACTTTGAGCACGACGAGGGCTCCCCGGGCGGCGAAGAGGAGGAGGAATACGTCCTCGGCGAGGTCGAGGCCGGCAGCCTCGTGCTCATCCACGGCAACATCCTGCACAAGAGCGAGAAGAACACGAGCCAGAAGGGCCGCATCATCTACACGTTCCACCTGATCGAGGGCGAGGAGCACTACGACGACAAGAACTGGCTGCAGATCCCCGGCGGGCCCGAGGCGTTTACCAAGCTGGATGGCAAGTCGTAGGTCCAGTGCAGATAGACAAACGGAGACTGAAAGAAACTCGCCTGTCATGAGAACGCACTCAACCCACCTGCCCACAGACCACCTAGTGTTCCTCTGTTTCCTTTCTGCTTTTCTTTCCAACTACTATCCGCGTATTTGTACGTGGACCAAACCCCCTCCCCGGCCAGCAAGCATATGTCCATGCACCCCATCCTTTACAGGCATCGTCGTCGTCGTCGTCATCGTTATCATCCCTCCATTCCTTTGCATGTACGATGTTTGTGGATGGATCTCGGCCGACAGCCTCGTTGTCTCCCCCGCGGCGCGCCCCGCTGTCCCAGAAACGACCGCGATTGACCGTGTTCCGCGAGCGCGAGATGAGCCAGCCAGCCAGCCAGCAAGTGAGAGATCAAAACGAGGTGAATGAGCGAGTAACTGAGGAAGAAGTGGTCCGGTGTGCAGTTGCGCCGGTGCCTTGCCGTGTCCTGGCCTGACTAATCCCATCTCCTTGCAATCTCCTGCGGCCCTCTGAGCAAGACGTTTGTCTGTGCTCTATCATGATGGCGGGCGAGGGAGAAATTAATTACCGTGTCTGGTAATGCTTGCTCGGAGATAAAGGTCTGTTTGACTAACTCTCCTCCGCCGCGTTACTAACCATTGCACCGTGGCACCCAAAGGACCTAATACATATTCAACATCGGGCGCGGGGAAGAGAAAATTGGAGGACGCAAATGCCCGGTTTCGCCTGGGAGTGACGTAGCGATCGGATCATCTCATACTCAATCTCCTGGACCATATCGCCATTGATTTTGGGTCGATCATCAACACGGCTTGTTATTGTTGATCGTTGGTCGTTTGATACTCGAATAAAGCTCCTCAATTGTTAGACCGGAGGACTCTACCATCACCAACTCGACAACCATCTGCCCTACCCAGTCCATTTGGAGGATCGCTGTAGCCCCTCGCACACACACCATGTCCAGACCGCAACTCCAAACCCGCCCGTCCAGCGTCGTCGCACAGCGCAAGACAATCATCCTAGTCAGCGGCGGCAATACAGGCATCGGCTACGAAATCGTCAAGAGGCTCGCCAACGACAGCCCCGACAACCAAGTCTTGATGGGATGCCGTGACACCTTAAAGGGAGAAGAAGCGGTGGCCAGCATGGGCGCCCCCATCAATGTCAACCCCATCCAACTCGACATCGCCGACGATCAGTCCATCGAGCACTGCTTCTTGGCCATCCAGCAGCATTTTGGCAGACTCGACATCCTGGTCAACAACGCCGGAACTGCCGCGCAACATCTGCCCCCGGACGCCACCCTGCGACAGAAATTCGACCTCTGCATGAGCGTCAACGTCACCTCAACCGCCGTCCTCACCGAGAAACTGGCGCCACTACTCGAACAGTCCAGACTACCCAAAGTCATCTTCGTCTCCTCCACTCTGGGATCCTTACAGACCACCCTGGACCGTGGGATCATGTACAAGGGTCCCTGGTATAATTCGAGCAAGTCCGCCGTCAATGCCCTCGCCGTGTATTATTCCAAGTTGTATCCGCACTGGAAGGTCAACACCGTGTGTCCAGGGTACCGTGCGACGGGGCTGAACAATGCAGAGCTGAATAGTGAGGATATGCATCCGAAGTTGGGAGCTGTCAGGGTGGCCGAGTTGGTAGCTCAGGGGCCTGATGGTGTGACAGGGACGTATTCAAGGTCGGGCAGTGAGATACCTTGGTGATATGCCAAACTCTTCACGGAAGTAGATTCACGCGCTCTTCAGCATCTTCAGGAGTCTCCATGTGTCGTCTTCTTGCTGCTCTTTGCGTCAGATAGTTGGACAGTTGAAAGCTCCAGTGGCAACACATGCCGGCGGCGAAGCCGATGGCGTCGTTCTTGAACGCAATAAGCAGCCCAGCCGTGACAAGCATCACAGTCCATCTTCGCTTCTTTTCTTCGTCTGTGATTTCCGTCCGTCTTGCGCCCGACCCTTCTTTGCTCAGATCTCGCGCCCGGGGCGTGTTCAGACTCTCTCCCACACTGGCAAGTTCCAGCCCCGCCGCGATGATCATAACCGAGAGGAATGCTAGGGGAAAGCGGTGGAGAACATCCGTAAGACTTTCGCCAAACAGGATGCCCAGTAGGAGCTTGAAAAGCCCAAGGAGGATGATACTGGCGCCCGAGCGAGCGCCAAACCGATATTGTGCGGCCAGTCCTCCAGATCCGTGGCACACAGGCATGGCTCCGAACCAGCATCCGAACAGATTCATGCCTGCAACACTGATACCGATTGCTGTAACCGAAGGGGTTTCAATGTCGGGCAAGAGATCAGCGGCCAGGTGGGTAACGGCGATGATGGAGTTGAGGGTAGTTAGTGGCAGTTGGCCAATGCCAGCATCAAGTATGCCAGTCTTCCACTCTCTCCCCGACGGTGCTTGAGTGTACGGGCGCCACATTCGGAATCCTGGGAGGTGGTGCCTCTCATCGGCTGTGATCTGGACCAAGGCAAAGACGACGCCGACGAGGAACACGATCAGGGCATACGGTGTTCGCGGGCGGAGGTTGATGGCAAAAAGAGCAAGAAAGGCCAGTATCATCCACTGGTAATTGTCCGCCCAGGACGGCGTGGTCCACGACAGGGAGGAGAGTGCTTTGGTGCCGGCAGCGATGATCAAGCTCAACCCTGCGCCAACCTGGATTCCTTTCACCACCGGGATCGGAATGACCTTTGTGAACCATGACAGGAGACCCGTAACGCTGAAGAGGAGAATGCAGCTCGAGACAAATATTCCGGCTGCTGCCGTCTGCCCGGCCGTCAGGGATTTGAGGATCGCCACGGCGGCGATGGCTTTCATCGGCTGGACCGGAAGCGGGATCCCGAAACAGGCTCCCGTGAGGATGTTGTATAGACCGGTGAAGATGAGGGTGGTCGTCAAGGAGATTTGGCGGCCTTCGGTCAAGGCAATGACAATGGGCAGGAAAGTGCCCAGGTCGCCCAGAGAGCCCGAGATCTCGTTCCATGGCTGTCGGCGAAAGGTCGAGAGGTTGTGGGCGGCGAGGTGCCGCAGGCGGGACTGGCTCATCATGGTTCTGGTTACGAGCACGGCTTCATGCCCGTTTTCAACTCGCAGATCGTGAAAGAGAAGGGAAGGGGAAGGAGAGAGAGAGGCTATAAGAGATACAAATAATGGTCAGCGTCGGTGGAGGACAGCTGATGTGGCACAAGGTTGGTCGATGTTGGTCATGGTTCGTGCCGCGGATAAACGATGGATGAATGATCGGTCCCCCTCCCCCTTCAAGGAGCCAATCAGAGTCCGCATTCAGCCGAGGACGAGGCTGCGGCGGCGCATCTCAAAGCATGGGCGTAGTCACGCGCAGCCACGCCGTCGACGACGGGGCGCATCATCTTCGTTGGTGCTACATCTCCAAAGTCATGGGACTCGATCGTTCAGCCGGAATCATTGGTTGGCGCTCTATACCACGCAACAGACCGTTCTCATCTGGCCTTCGATTTCTTCATCCTATCGGGACAACTAATCCTTGTCGTACACACACCATTAATGAGGTTGCCCAGCTATTTTTCTATAGTACAGGTCACAAAATATCGGACTTGGGAAAAAAAAGGCCGCCCCAGCTATCATGCCTTTCACATGCTCCTATCTCTCATGAAGGACCGATGGCCCATTAGCTCTGATTGATCATGTTTCGAAAATCGTCATTCGTCTTCTTTCCGCTTCCTGTCTCTGCATCCGCACTCGCGCTCTCCTTCTCAATCGATACGTGCAAAGCGCTTGACCTCTGGCCCAGATGTCCCCCCTTCTTCCGAACGCCTGGCTGTGTAGGACGTCTGATTGGACCACTGGCGGGCGTGACAGACGCCGGGGCAGGGCGTCGAGCAAATTGATCGGTCTTGTGCTCCGGCTGTTGCTGCAACATTTCCTTCTCGGTGGTGACTCGGATGTGGCGGCCGGGGGTAATTTCCAGGTTGTCGAGCTCGATCATAGCTCGCCCGGCATCCGGTATGTTGTCAAACTCAATAAAGGCGCCTTGATGATTGGTCTTCAGTATCACTTTGCGCACGGGGCCGATCTTCTCCGCCACGGCCTTGATTCGGCTCTCGTTCACGATGTCAGGTACGTCGCAAATGACAACAGTCCGCTCACGTCGGTCATCTATCGCGTCCTGGTCCAGAATCTTTGGTACACTCACGGTATCGGAAGCAGCGTCCAGTGGCAGAGAGGGAGATTTCGACCGCCCATTGATGCTTTTGGCGGGTCGGCCATCGCGTTCAGATGTGTTGACAGTCAGTTTGCGGCCCTGGAAATCCTCGCCATGCATCGCCAAGGCAGCCTGTGCTTCCTCTGAATTGGCATACGTTAAAAAAGCAATGCCTCGGTTTCGAGAAGCATTTTTTGGATCCTTGGGAAGTCGGAGCTGCTCAATGGTTCCATACTGAGAAAAGAGCTTTTCGACATCCTGAGCAGTGGCCTTGAATTGTAGTTGACCGACAAAGATCGTCCGACCGTCGCTGCTTCGCTCCTTTCTTGCCTGCCGTACGGTCGGGTTGGAGATTTTGGCGACTAATTTCAATCCATCGATGTCTTTATTGTCAAGCTCGGTCGCGGCCTGCGCTTCCGAGGGCCGCTTGAACTCAACGTAGCAGAACCTTCGTTTCTTATTGCGTTGAAGAGAAGGAAAGCGAACGTTGATGATTTCCCCGTACGAACGGAACAGGTTGCGGATATACGATTCATCGGCAGCAGCAAGGTAGTTGGTGACAAACAGCGTCGATCCTGTGTTGAGAATAACAGAGAGCTCAGCACCTTCGAACTCGCGTCCATCACGCGACAGGGCGAAAGAAGCGGCATCGGCATCTTCAAATTCTACAATGACACTGTTCTCCTCGTCTTGTAAAATCTTCACTTGTTTGACGGTTCCGCAACTGCTGAAATACTGCCGGATCTTGGTTTCAGTGACGTTGGGTGGTATGTTTTGCACAAGCACGCTTGCGTGCTCACGATCGCGTTTCAATTCTTCGGTAGCAGGCCGATCCGGCTCAACCGACGGTTCTGCAATCTCTTCATTCCGTTGTCTTTTCTTCGCCTCATCTTCCTCTGACTCCTCGTCTCGCTTGCGCTTCCCAATGTGAACACCGTTAACGACCTCCTGGGTTCGATCAGCAATCTCTTCTTCAGCTTGTTCTTTTTCCGCTGTAGCGTCTGCTGCTTGAAGGACTTCTCGTTGTCGCCTTGCCGTGAGCTCTTTTTGAACCTTCCGTACTAGACTTATGGCGCCTTGGAGCTCATCTGCATCCTCATAGTCCTCGCAATGATTCAGTAATGCTTCCATGAGTGGCTCCGGGTAGTCTAGGTCGGGATGCTGGAGTCCCTGCTTCAGGACTCCCACAGCAAAAGGGGCAGAAGAAAGAGTATCCAGTCGATCGGGCCCTGGTTGTTGCAGGAACGCAATTTGCAGGGACTTCTGCATTTCAAATTCATAATAGCGAAGCCAGAACTTGTAATATTTGCCGTAGTCAGCCACAGCGTCGTTGAATTGTGCCCCCGCATTGTCGAGTCGGCGCTGGGACTTGAGATATTCAACATATTTTCGCTGCAGCCGGAAGGAAGGGTCAAATGCGCTTCCGATTCCCAACTTCGAAGCGAGGCTATGCACTGCCTCGATAGAGGACCGGATCCCCATTTCCGCAACATCAGCATCTTCTTCAACAGCATCAGGACGTTTTGTCCGCCGCAGGAGATACCCACACCAAGCGTCGTGAACAACCAGAGCCTCCTCGATACCGGCAGCGTCGAGGAGTCCGGTGCTGGTGGCCTTGTGCTTGATCTTCTCGGTTTCATCGAACGGCTCTTCTGCGAGTTCCGAGGTCAACATGTATTGCTTCCATAGCGACCCAGACCACGGGCAGTGTTTTGTGGCTCGAGCCAAGACCTCCAGCAAATCCAGCTTCGATTTCTCGATTAAATAATCGATATGCTCTTCCCAGATAGCAGGCACCGAGGGGAAGCGAAGTTCCGCGCGTTCGTAAAGGGCGTCAACCATATCGAAGTAAGGATTGCGAATCTCCTGCGCTCTTTTGGCTCTCCCTTTCCGCTGTGTCTGTGGCTTATTCTCCTCTGCACGCTCCCACTCGATGTATTTTGAGAAAGCTTGATATTCAAGAGCAGTATCCCCGGCATTTTGGGCCTCCAGTAGGGTTGTCTCTAATGCATCTCTGTCATTCCATATCTTCTTGGCATTGGCTGAGTCTCTTAGGTTTGACGCCATGATTTCTTCGTACTGATCTGCTGGTACGTTGGCAGAGACAAAGCTTGAGAATGTCTGAAACGTCTGCTGCCATTCAGCATGTGGTATGCGTAATCGGGTTTCGAACAGTCCAAGAACAGCGGTGGCGTCGCTTGAGGACATTTTTTGGCTGACGTCGCCAAACCGGACGGCCATGTACTTGTTCCAAACTTCATGACTGCGGCTCATGTCATGCTTTGTTCGTTCGACCGCTTCAGTCCATGTGTCCAGGACAATACTCCAGTCGAAGACTTCGCGCCCAATCAAGCGTTCGGTATCGACGTCGCCCTGCGCGTCTCCGGCTGAGTCGAGAGCCCATTTGTGGCAGTGCGAGACCCAGTCACCATAAGTCAACCACAGTTGTGTGCTACCGTACTCCTCCGTCACTGCCCGCCGACACTTATCCACGACCGCCACTCGCTCATCGGCGGTTTGTGCAAGAATGCTCTCATCTTGAAGCCAATCCAACCACTGTTCCTCGCCAACTGCAAAGAGCTTGTCCAAGTTCTCACGAGCTCGCCGAAGGTCGGCGAGGAGGTCATATTTTCGAGGATCTCCGTGAGCGTTGGGGCTGGAGGAAGGATAGATGTGGTCAACAAAGCCTTGATGCAAGATTTTGATGATCTCCCTGTGGGCTTCATACGAAGAAGGCGTTTCCTGCACATGGGCAGCGAGCACAGCTAGTCTTTGTTGCGCTTCGGCGGGAAGAGAAGTCTCGGTGTAGTCTGCTCTTACAACCGCCTGCGGCGTCTCAACCATGTTGATATCTATGGACGCGCGGGGGTTTGAGGTCGCACCGGCTGATGTGAGGTGAGGGAAGAGGCCCGAGGATGATTTTTGGCTGTCGGTTGACTCGCGACTGGTCAGGCTGGGCTTTGATGAAGTAAAGTCTGCCAAGGTGTCCATGGTCGGCGTGGAAGAAGATCGAGGCAAATGAGCAGATGCGGTGCCAGCAGGCACAGGGCTGATGAGCGGCGACGAGTGCGGAGTCTGCTGAGCCGGACTTCTGACATGGGCAGGAATGCTCGATGGTGGTTGAACAGAACGACCGAGTGGTGAACTCACCAGGCCTGTGTTCCCCGACTGCGTTCGCTGAACATGTCTGAATGGCGACTGCGATTGTGATTGCGACTGCGAAAGCGAAGTCGAAGTCGAAGTCGAATGCGTCAGACTCGGAGTGCCCGTTGACGGAGTGAGCGAACTGGCGCGAGCATTGTCGGAGGGAGAAAGAAGTGAATTGATGTCCATGGTCGCACCGAGATTCTCTCTTGATTAACTTTAACTTAATGTGATGAAAGACCCAGCTCCAACTCTTTCCAATCCAACTTGATGATTCCCCGGCCCACTGACGAGGCCATGCTCCTCTTTCGGCGAGGACTCGACAGACCTCAGATAAGGGAATGCAGGAGATGGGCGGAGGGGTAGGAACTGGGACCGAGGCGGTTGAGATTTATGCGTGTTTCTTGTAGACGAGGGAGCGGAAAGGCGTTGGCGAGGGTTGCCGGAGGGGACACGGGCAAGACGGGGTGCAGAAAGGGTAAAAAGTTAGGGAATGACGAAGGTCAGAGAGCTACTGTAGAAAGCAAGAATAGTTTGGGCAAACCTCGTGCGCATGAGCAGGATGAAAACTCCGGGCACACAGAGGACAGGCAGAGACTGCGCTGCACGAGAAGAGGGTTTGCGGGCAGGTCACCAGGTCGAGGCCGGGCTATTTCTCTTGGCTGGGAGCTGATGCCCTGGGGGGGCATCAGCCCTTTAGTGTCGCTCCTAGTGGCTATTAGATGGCCCATGGGTGGCCCTTGGGTGGCCCTGGCGATCGCTCATGCTTACTAAAAACCCAACCATAGGAGCCGGTACCCGACGCCGGGCTTTCTCCGGCGCCCAACGCTTGCTGGTGACGTACTCTGCCAAGCTGAAACGGTCCGGGGCGCATAAGGGTGAGGGGGCTACTGAACCGCTTAACGGTGATGCCTATGGTACCTACTCCGTACTAGGTAGGTAGGTATCACTAGGCGCCAAAGGTCATTCCACACGCCTCCCAAGATGTACACGGAGTCAGGTCACTGAACGCTTTCGGTACGGCCACGTCGTCCACGCTCAAGGCTTCCATCCAATGGTCTTCATGTCTTGGTCATTTTATCGTGTCCGCTCATCCTTGCTTGTGCTTGCGACGTCTGGAGTCTGCGGACTGTTTCACTGAGCAAGTTACGAATCTATATGCTTGATCACTCTCAAACAAATGTAGAATATGGCGCTCCAGACGGCGCAAAAGACCCATGCTTTTCTGTCGCAGGGTGGAAGTGGAACGGGACAGCAGTGTTTCTCTGCTTAAGTCGGGAACGAGTACCAGAATCTATGTCGAGCGTCTTCTTATTGCCTCGCCGCTCAACCTGTCCCCCCAAGAATATACGGTCAGACCACGCCCTCGGCGCGAATACATAACCCAGCCTTGTTTAACTCACAGCCTCGCCGCTTAGCACACACCTCCTGCAAATGACTACTTGTAGCCAGATTGCTGATGCCCACCCAATTCAATTGCTCTTTGGCACCAAGAATCCCTTATACTGCTATAACACAAACAGAGCCCATACTATCCACGGCGACCACAACCAATCGACAGATTCCTATCGGCTATGCAATGGCCTGTTTCATGCTCAGGCCGTTAGTTAGTAGCCTGCTCTTCCTTCTCGGGTGGCGTTGAATGTTGACCGTAGATATTCAGTGATGCTGTAGCATCAGACTAGTATCATAACTACTACGAGACTTCTAGTTTCAAAAATGGCAGGGAATTCAACGATTCTTCGTCGTCCATCAGAGGGTGTGGTGCATCAGTTAGACTCACAAAGTACTCGGTAAGGCTCTTCCCAAAAAGGGGGGCTTGATCGGAACAGGAGTTTCGTTGTTCCGCCGCCAAGAATTTTCCAATCCTCCATCTGGAAAGTCTGCGAGACTGGTCGCCCGGTACCTCGTCGTTCAATCGCAACGAAGGGAGCAGTTGACACTACAGCAGAGCTCCTCTTGAGCTCCAAGCTGTCATGATGAACACTCAACAGATGTCCATGCGACATCTTTGCAGAGGTAAGTCTCCCGTTGTCCTCGATTCCGTACGGACTGACTGACTGCTGTGAAGGTTGCCAATCACGGACAGAACCTTCACCCTTTATCGAGCTGTGCCGTCTAACGACCTCTCTCCATCTCGCACCTAGAAGATCATTGCATTCATCCAATACCCGACGCGCGTCCACAGATGGAGGGACGTCCTCAGCAAAACAAGCTCCGGCCAAAGCATCGGAACCAAATGCGAAACCAATGACAGCGGTAGAAAGAATGAAGGCGGCGGCGCGGAGAGCTCAGGACAAGTTGAACGAGCAACGGAGAGAGTACGAGGCAAACGCCACGCAAGGAGGCCTCGCTCCTTCCAGCGCCTTTGGTGGAGAGTTGAAGCGCAAAGCCTTCCAACCGACCGGCCTCCTCGTCGAAGGTGCCTTTGAGAAGCGCAATCCCACGAACATGGAACAGGCCCTGAACCCGCGTCCCGGAGCCCGCCTGAGATGGCAACGCAAGATGGTGATCCGAGAAATCAAACACCGCGGCCGGTTGACAAAGGAGGTGAAGATCGCCCGCACCGAGCGCAGCCACATGTCCCGGTCCCATTTCTTCAAGACTTCGATGAAAAAGCTGGCCCCGCTCGCCCGCCAGATCGCCGGCAAGCCCATCGACGAGGCGATCCTGCAGATGAGGTTCTCGAACAAAAAGGTGGCTCAGGACGTGCGCCAGCACCTCATCCAAGCCCGGAACGAGGCCATCGTGGTCAAGGGCATGGGTCTAGGCCGCGCGGGATCGGAGAATCAGAACACAGAGCTACTCCAATCAGACCCGAGCGAGACACCACCACTGCCTCACCAGACGCCATTGAAGACGTACAAGAAGGGCGTCGCACCCGATCCGACTGACATGTACGTCGCCCAGGCATGGACGAACCGTGGGCCCTACGGCCAAGAACCGGACTACCGAGCCCGAGGACGGATGTACATCATGAGACCACCGCACACCGGCATCACCGTGCTGCTGAAAGAGGAGAAGACCAGGGCGAGGGAAAAGGCCGAGAAGGAAGCAAGGGCGCTGAAGAAGAGACTGGGCAAGAACATGTGGGTGCATTTGCCCGACCGGCCCGTTACTACGCAGCGACAGCATGTATTGTGGTAGAGACAACATTCTTATACAGCATGAAGTATCGGGGTTCTTTTTTTGTTTTTTAGAAAGGAAAACCTGTAACAAAATCATTCTCCATACCAAAAGAGACTCCATCAGCTAGCTCCTCTCCCAAATCCTCCGAAGCCTTGCCTCTGACAACTTTTGCTCCTCGCACGTACACCCACCTGTCCACCACCGCCTTAGTCAAAGACATCGACAGCATAGCGCTCACCCCGCAGATCTTCCCACCATTTGAGGCCCTTTTCGTGGGACATGGCCTTTCCTTTCTTCTCGGCGATCTCCACGGCGATCTTTGCCGCGACGTCCGCGATGCCCTTGCCCAACGCGGCGCTGCCGCAGATGTACGCCCTGGCCCCCTCGCCGAACAGCTTGCTGAGCGTCTCCCGCTCGCGCCAGAGTCGGTCCTGCGCGTATTTGCATCCCTCCGAGTGCTCGGGCTCGCGGCTGAAAGCATAAAACACCTTGACGGCGCCCTGCTCGGCCCACTCGTCGATCTGCTTGGCGTGCAGGCGGTCCTTGTCATGGTAGCGGCAGCCGATGAACAAGAGGGCCTCGCCGAATGCGTCGCGGTTTCCGCCGACGGCGGCGACGCGGACGGCTCGCTCCTGGACAAATCCCAAGAACGGTGCTAGGCCTGTGCCCGCGCAGACCATGATGATGGGCGTCTTGGTGTCCAGCGGTAGGTGGAAGCTCGCATGCGACTTCTTGATCATCAGCTGCGCTCGGGAGCCCGGCTGCAGGAATCTGAGGTAGTTTGTCGCGACGCCAATGTGGCTCGTGCCCGCGCCGACCACAGAGTACGTGATGCTGACCTTGGTTGGGTCCTGGAGCGGCGAGGACGAGATAGAATACTGGCGGATGCGCATGGGAGTGAGCATGGAGAGGTAGACGGCAAAGGGAAGCTCGATGCCGGGGTATTTCTCCAGAATCTCCAGAACAGACAAAGGCTCGGTAATGCCTGCAACTTCCTTACGAACTGATTCGTCTTTGGTGTACTTGCCGAGAGTTGCAATGTGTTTGCGGCTGGCTGGGTTGCTCAGTTCCACATAGGCGCCCAGCACCGCTGTGACTGCAATGGCTGTCTCTGTTGGAATGGTGGTATGTGCGCCTTTGGCCAGCGTCATGAACGCATCCCAAGGCAATCCGAATCGGCGAAGGACCCTCGAGATGGTCTGGACATTGTTGACTGGTAGCAAAGCAAGATAATCTCCAGCTTCGTAGGTCATGTTGGTTGGTAATTTGAACTCGGTGTGTCGCTTCTCTTGAATAGAGGGATCAGTCAATAGCTCGTTCTCCAGAACCATCGCCTCCTGCACATTATGCCGAAGATGTGAAGCACGGGCGCTGGTGCTGATCTCCATGTCTAGAGCTTCCAGGAACTCGTCAGCTCCAGCATCGGCAGATAGAGCGGGCCAGAGCTTCTCGTCCTGCCAGGCGTCAAAGTCGTCAAACACCTTTCCTTCGGCGACATCGGATTGTCCGCGGCCCACAAGCTGTTTCGCCCCTTTGGCGGCCAACTCGGAGTCGATAAGCTTAGGGATTTTCTGGAACGTGGTGACCCAGTCGCGATGACCACAACCAAAGACGGCATATTGCACATTCTTAACCTTTCCAGCATCCACCGTCTTGACCCACTCCACGAACCCGACGGCGTTGTCGGGAGGATTGCCCTCGTAACTCGCTGTGATGATGATGACGGGCTGGTTACTTGGGAGCTGGTCGACAGCGGCATCCAGAGACTTCACGGTAGCATTGAAGCCCCGGTTCCCTGCGCCGTTGGCAAGACCCTGCGCCAAACCTTCACAAGTGCCTGAGTTGGATCCGTACAGTATCAGCATCGGCTTTCCCGCGTCACCAACTTTCTTGGCCAGAGCACTGCGTTCCTTCTGATGAGCGTCCTCGGTTTCAAGCCCTGCGTACATCTTCCTCTCCAACTTCAAGGGATCGATCCCTTCACGCAAAGTAGCTCGCAGGAACAAGTTGTCTGGCTTGATAGTCAAAGTCTGTCTAATCTGCAGTTGATACGATGGGTCGTCCAATCTGACGTTGAAGTTTTGAAGGATAAGCGCAATGGCCAGAATCGCTTCTTGCCAGGCAAAGGGGCGCCCAATGCATCCACGAGCGCCGTTTCCGAACGGCTGGCAATTAGTTAACATTGGGTTCATCCTTTAGTAATTTGGGTTCATAGTTACCTTCCAAGCATTGGGTGGCAGTTTCGCGAAATTCTCTCCATACATTCTCTCTGGCTTGAACTCGTCGGCATCGGCGCCATAGACAACAGGATCACGGCCGATTTTCGCTAGCATAGCGACGATGGGGGCGCCGGGAGGAATGGTGTATTTTCCAGCAAGGACCACGGGCCCGGCAACGGTGTCCAATGGTTTGACAGTAAACGCAGGGGCAGTGGGGGTAAGTCGGAGGGTCTCTCTCATGACTGCCTCGATATAGGGCATCTTAGCCACGTGCTGGACCGTCACCGGCCCCTTACCAACCACCGAGTCCACCTCCTGCTGAGCTTTGCGCAGTGTATCAGGGTTCTTGCAAAGCTGGTAGAAGGTAAATGAAAGCAGCCCCGAAGTTGTTTCGTGGCCCGCGATGAGGAAGGTAATGATGTTGTTGATGATGCTCTCGTCCGTCATCTTCTCTCCCGTCTTAGGGTCCTTCCCGAAAAGCATGGCATTGAGCAAGTCCTTCTTATCAACCGGGTTGGCTCTGCGGTAGTCCACCATTTCCTTAGCCACGGTTCTCATTGTGTTAATGTCCTGATAGTACTGACGTTCGCTCGACCTGCTGAGAAAGGTTCCAATTCTCGTGCGTTGAGCCCGGCGCCCCGACTCCAGCAAGAAACCCACCATGGCATCGACGAAGGGGTGGAGTTTCTCCGAGTAGAAGGAATTGAAGCGCTTGCCCATGACACACAGCGCGATGGAATCCAAGGTCAGTCGAGTGAAATCGTCGGTGACTGCGATCTTCTGCTCGGGTCCAGCACGCGCCCACTTTGCAACCAACTGGGTCGCAATGTCGTACATCTCGTCATCTGGAAACATCAGCGACTGCATTGATTCGGGTGTCGAGAGAAACCATACACATATCGTGAATCCCAATGGGACCAAACGCTGGCACGAGAGTTCGATGAGCGACCTCCCAGTCATGCTCCCCATGGTATGCGGTGAAAAGACCACTTCCTACTCCGTTCCGCACCTGGTCCAGTGCACCAGACACGGCCTTGCAGAACCGCTTTTCGTCGCAGATCTCATTGAGCAGTTCGACCGAGCTGATGATGTACCTTTCCGAGCCGAACATGGTCAACTTGAAGATAGGCCCTTCAAAGTGTACGTTAGCCTAACGATCAGTCTGCACCAGCGCCAGAGGACATCAAGGCACTCACCATATTTGTCGGCCAGATGACGGAGACTCTGATTCGCATTGTTTGGGTCAATGTCCAAGACGTTGCCCAGAATGGGGATTCCGGGAGGTGAGGGAATTGGTGTCGACATGTTGTCGGTGTCTCAACTGGTGTCGACAGCAGGGAGAGTGTCGCAATGTATCACTATCAAGCAGAATCTATGCGTGGACAGATCGAGAGTGAAGCAAGATCAGGTTGACAAAGGTATTTAAGCACACGACGGATGTCCGGTCGAGTTCAGCTGGGTAGTTGCCGGGTCGTATTTATTGACTTTCTATCTCGGCTTCTTCCGTTGAGGCCTTGTTGATGACCTTTGACGTTTCGCAACAGTTGACATGATGAAGGAGCCCGTCCCACGTCCCACGGGTTGACTAAGGTGCAGCTATTTCCCATCGCGGCAAGAGTGATCTGTAAAGCTGCCATGACATGCCTGCGGGACAACCATCGACGAAGCGACACCAGGGATTCTGCCATCGGATAAATTATCGGTCCGCGCCCAATTGGATGCAGCGCATGCAGCCTCGGTGCTTGGGATAGAATCCATGAGAATCCATGTGGATGCGCACCATCTACACACAGCCACCAGCATGATGATCAGCCAGGACTGTTTAGAACTCTGCACGAGCCTAGTTGGGCATTGACCCCGTCCGGCAATATTGCTTGGTGCAGGCACAGATGCGAGCGAGGGACGAGATGCTGTACGGCATTACTCAACCTTTGACTAAGCCCGCCTCGCAAGGTACCCCGTACATTTGAACCTCCAGATTCTCTACCGAGGGCTTTGTATATATCGGGGCAACAATAGGCGCTTTAGAGAGTGTGGCTACGCCTAGCCTCATCCGGCACCCACCTCTGCTTGAAAGATCACATGCGGTGAGCAAGTGGTCAAAAGCGGCACAAGGCAATGCATGGCCATTCCCAGCACCTCCTTCATCCACATGTTTCGTTTCACATGTCGATAAGTCCCGGATTCCCTGCGGTTGCCGGTGTATGACCGACTCCTCGCAACACCGCCTTGTTTTCACGGCTATTGCCGTCAACCGCTCAAACACCGTTTCTGGGATGACATCAACACATATCATTCTTCACTCTATATTACAGCGGGTAGCTAACAGCCTTCTAGGGATCCGTGTATATTCCCATGGACGCAACACCGAGGTCACAATATCAAACATTTGCAGTCAAAGCGACGTCCCGCTCCAGCCCCGCCAGCGCTGAGGATCCATAGCGATCACAGCTTCAAACATCGCTCATTATCTGGCGTGTGCCGATCATCTTGGTCCCGGTTAGCCGTGATCTGGAATTAATTCGTATCCTCCTTCACTTGGCAGCGTCACTGCCGCCAGCGTAATGGCAACCGCACACAATGCTTCAAAACTCCAGGAAACTGTACACATGGTCCAACTCTTGTCGAGATACCAGCCAGAGAAAAATCGCTCATCATTCTCGTACAAATATGCCTGTTGTGTTGGTCAGTCACATGTCGCGCCATGGAGCGGCCATTTCTCACCATCAACGCCATTCCAATGGCCTGGACAAATGCTGCCAATGCCACCAGTATTGTGAGGACGCCCCACCCTTGTTCTCTTTTCTGCTTCCCACCCACAAGCAGGACTGCAAATGCGGCAAGGGTCATGCCCTCCAGCACCACTGCAAAGGACATTAAAAAGCCCACTGATCTCCACATGCTGCAGAAGTATCGGTCGTCACCGCGGCAGTCTTCATAACGGGGGAATTGCGTGCAATGCCAGCTCGATGCAGTAGTGTGTGAGATATTTGAGGGGGGCAGGTTCGTGTTCGAACATCTTCGATGTAGTCCGTAGCTGTAGCGGATCGAAGTTCCGTGATTCTGTTCACCCGTCAGAAATGACCTTGTACGGAGTCACATACACTCACCGTACTCCCATCGAACGCTATCCAGTCAGGGATGGCGATTGATGCTATTGTCATTCCCGACGCTAGACCAACAGTCAGTTGCCTTGGCCCACGGATCAATGGATTGAGATGCGCATGCCTGCAAGAAAGACGAAGAGAGCTCCCGAGAAGACGATGCTCCTCGTCAGCATGCCAGTGTAATTGGTGCCATGCCCACTGGGCACAAGTGTAAAGTCCGCCATCCTCCCCTATGCCGCCACAAAAATGCAGTGTAGGCCAGCTCTTTCTTGGGAAGTATGGCGGCCCGGATAGATTCGCCGATGGACTTTTGGAGGAGGACTCGGTGACAAGGCGAATAAACTTCAGTCTCGAGATGTCTATCAAGGATTGGTATTGCAAGTGTGAAAGGGGGAGGAGTGAGGTTGTGACGTCGTCGCTGGAGTCGTGATTGGGGCGGAGAGTGATGAGGTCGATTGAGATAGCACTCTCATTGAGGTCGGTGTAGCATTCGATGCGCGGAACTGCAAAAATGAGAGCGAGTCTCAGTCCGCAGACATCAATTCCTGCTCGCTAGACGGCAAAACGATACAGACGAGAACAACAATGACAGACTTCGACGATATCCACGAACTGGATTTGTGTTGCAGGACGAATGAGAGGTTGCAGGCAGCCTCTTTACAAGCCACTGTGCCACTCCACTCGATCGATCGATTCTGAGGGGGAAGTCCATCTCCGCCAAGACGAGGTGATTCGACGCCAGCTCCCCCCGCTTCGGGATGGCCACCCCCCCAATAGAGAAGGGTGAGGCCTTATAGTTAGCCTTTCATATGCACGCTCATAGATACTAGTCAAACGAGAGAGGGAGCTCAAAAGCGGCGCTACTAGTGCCGCGCTTAGGAGGCTGCCATCTTAACCAGAAATACCTTCGACCGTCTCGACCTCGACCACTTATTCGCTATACCGAGTCGAGTCACCCTACTATAAAGGGGACAGCAGATGAGCATAGCCCGTGAGCACGTCGTCCGCCTTCTCCAAGTTGTTCCGGTCTTGATCTGCAAGATAGGTGGTACTCAGTGCCTCCCTCTGGCGAATCCTCGAGATCTTCTGGTTCTCAAGGCCGGTGGTTGTTGCGCTGCAGTGCCGGCGGCTCAAATTCGTCTCTTGTGAGTCTTTTTAGAGACCTTTGTCCAGGGTCTGTCTTTGTGACACCTCCTGAAAACGCGGTGCACTCTCTTTGTGAACGCCTTCCGCGAATGGTGTTGTGGTTTGAGCGCACTCCGAGCTCCTTCATGAGCCCAACGGTTGCGAAGGTCGCCAGAATGACCTGGAATCCACTGAAGATGTATTCTGACACCCAAATCGCCAAGCGCTTCAATCATCTCGTTCGCACACTTCATTGGTGACCGGTTACCTGGCCATCTGCCAGATCGCCAGCAGGTATCTATGGAGTTCAACACCTGTTGACTATCTGTGAACACGCTCACCAGCTTCGGCATTGGCCAGGGAATAGTAGCTGCTCGACTCTTTATCTCCTCGGCCTTCCCTGGCATTTTGATCCTGGCTTTCGTAACGACGGTGCCGGAGATGCGTTCGCATTGGTCGACGGCCATCTCCAAGGCTTGCGCTACGGCAATCATTTCGGCGTGTCCTATTTGGTTGATACCGCGTGCCACAAAACAGCTTTCCCACCACTTGATAGCAAAGTCTTGATCACTGGGGTGGCTGTTGTCGAGACGACGATGGACGACGCAGAAGCCGCATCCCTCAAGTTTTACCGGCTTAGGCCCCCGCAGGCAGGCGTCCGTCCAAAATGACCACTCGGAAAGCGGTTCTTGTGGCTGAAGAAGAGCTGCTTTCTGGGAGTTGAGAAGGGCGTCTTCTCGGGGTAAGATTGTCACCAGGGGGCCCTTCGATATTGGCAGCTGTTCTTCCGAGATGGAGTCAATTTTGTTAAGACGCTGATCTTTGATATTGTTAGACGTAGTGTCATCCATGTTTCGTGCAGCTGGTTCTTGCGTCTGATCTTCCCTCGATGAGTTCTCCGAGGCCGTGAGCTCTTGAGACAGATTGGGTTGGTCTTCAAGCGAAAGAGTTGAAGATAGTAGGGCCATGTTTGAGAATTGCGACATGGCCAAGTTGGATGACTGTCAGGTTTGGCGGGCAATTGAATATTATGTTGCGAGGAATCACGGTAGTGTAACCACAATTCTGGGGATGTGATGGAGGTTTAGTAACCGTTGTTCGATAATTGATGCAGCACACGAACCTAGATATAGAGGGTTGCCTGCCATACAAGGTCCTCCGGAAAATAGAACGGATGGGCACTTAGCGGGGACCTTCGCCGAGTCCGTCCCGATGTTTTAGCATTTTGGCTCGGTATTCCGTACTTTCGTTGGACAGGCGAAATACCAGCAGGAGTAGTGGAGTCTGCGTTTGAATGTAGTGACTGGTCGGCTGATAGCCTGTGAGCGCAGGTCGAGTGGGAAGATGTGCGAAGAGTAAAGAAGAAAAGTCGAGGGAGAAGAGGGAGAGCGACCTATTTAATGGGTGGGAGAATGGGTGAGAGGATGGAAGAGGGAAGGAGCAAAGAAACCAATCTTTCAGTAGGAGCACGAGGGGAGAAGCGAGAAAGAAGTAGTCCACCAGGTAGGAACACGACGGAAGGAGCAAGACATAGACAGCACTATACACACAGCACTATACACGCAGCACCACACGATCTAGAAGACGAGGTCGCCATTGCATCAGAGGAAGCATTTCATTCAACGGCAGCCTCAACGAAAGTATCCTAGCTATGCTGCACCAGCCGTCAAATACTCTCGGAAGTCCTCCCGCAAAACATTCGTTCCCTGTTAAGCATCAGTACGGTCGTCATGCCTACCGGAATGCTCAGCTCACTCACCTGTGCCATCTGCCGAGCCAATTCCTCATCCTCTTCCATCTTCTTGCAAAGATTCCAGAATTCCTGTCTCTCTGACTCGGCTTCGTCGAGACAGACCCGTCGGAAATTGGCTCGAGACATAGGGTCAATGATTTCAGCCCACTTCTTGCGCCGGACTTCGCTATACTTGTCCAGAATGCTATCGTCCGCCTTTCCCTCTTTCAACGCCACGAGAGCATCAAACAAGCTCCCTACGTCGGCGATTCCACCGGTCAGGCCCAGACCGCCGCTAAGACCAGAATGTCAGCCTGAATCTCCTACCAAATCGGAAGACTTACAATGGGTTGCACAAATGAGCCGCATCGGCGGCAAGCAAAAACCGACCCACCCTGAAAGAATCCGCGCATCGTTGGTGTAGCTTGTACGGACTGGCACTGACGAGCTTATAGTCTCCGGGTTTTGGATTGCCAGGCAAGATTTTCTCGTAACGTTCGGGCTGTCTTGCCAGATATTCCTCGTTCGACAGGCCCCAGACGTCACCATACGTTACTCTCCACAGCCCATCCTGAGTGATCCGCGCTGCCATATACCAGTCATTTTCATCGATGATGAAATTCGAGTCCCAGTATCCGAACTTGTGGAAGTCGTAATATACCTAAGGCCCGTCAGTCTTTTGTTTTTTGTCCAGTCGACGAACTTACATTGGTGGCAATGATCTGTTTCTGCAAGGTCTCCCCGGGATAATTCAGGTCACCGAAAAGCGACCGCCTGATCTGGCTGTTTGCCCCATCACATCCGACGATATAGTCGGCGCCAAACGTCTTCTTTCCCTCTGGAGTCTCGACGTGGACCCTCGCCTCGTTCTCGTCTTGGTCAATCGAGACGACGTTGTGGTTCCATAGAATCTCGTTGCCTTGTTGGGCCAGAAAATGCCGGAGAAGGAGGACATCGAGTTGATCCAGAGGCAGGCAAACCATGGGAAATTCTATGTCGAACCGACTTCGAATGCCCGCGATGAAGGTGCCGTCGGGGTGGCGCCAGCAGACTGCGTCAGGATGGATTCCTTGTGCCTTGACGTCGTCGAGAACTCCAGCGCGATTCAGTTCGTAAACTGCTGAGGGGGCATAGTGAGCAGCTCGGGGATTCTTGTCCAGTTCACCATTTGCCTCGAGGATTTGAACCTTGACTCCTTGCTTGGCGAGGAGGATACCCAGCAGCAGCCCCGATGGGCCGGCACCAACGATGATGATCTAGATATGCTCGTCAGTCGATGAAGCCAGGGCCTACCAATGGGGGGATGAGCCTACCTACCTTGTTGACAGGAGTTTGATTCCCCATTTTACCACTTCTTGTAAGCCACTGCTACCGTCTGTGCGCTTATTTGTTGTGATGTCTACTCTGTTAGAAGGGACCTGAGAATATATCTTATATCCCGGATCCCTACCTGTATTGCTCGGATGCTTGGAACAAGTGGCACCACCGAGGCTGGTACACACAGCCCCACTGAATACTCTCGCCTTGAGAAAGATGGACGAAGCAAGGTTACGGCGGACGATGGGTCCAGACCTGGTTGAGACGAGCCCTCGAGGTCAGGTGTCTGGATCAAGGGCGACGATACTCCAATTGTACGTGGATTCTCAGGAGATGTTTTACGTCCGGCAATACAAGTATGGCCCTGACCATGGCCTTCCACTCTGCTCGTCTCGATACAAGGAATTGCGTGTGGAGTGGGGTTTCGTTCCTCTCCACAGTGGGAGTCCGCATCGAGTATGGAAGAGGAAATAGGAACATGTGGGGTAATCAAGGGGTCCATTGACCACATACCCAGGTACCTGGGCACCGATGCACCTAGGCCACCGTATGGACAATGAATGATCGAGTGTGGACTCTACCCTACTCCAACTAAACCACTCAGTACTTTGTGTCCATCGCCGCTCTGCCCTCTCTTTCGATCAAAGCCGCGTGCTGAGGGCTTCGGACTCGGATCGAGACGTCGAAGGGCGCGAACCGGTGTTCACCCCAGTTGACCTGGAATGAGTCGAACGGCTTTCCCTGTGGTGGGAATCTGTCAGAGGAAGTCAAGAGGGACTATATTTCCAGGGCCAACTCACTGGGACACCCTCAAAGTCGAAACAGTACAGCAACCGCGCCACCACGATCCAGACGTTCGTCTCGCCCACGTTGTATCCCGAGCATACGCGCCGACCTGTTTTCTCCACGGTGAAAAATTAACATCTTCTCCACAGGCTCTACTCTCTCACAAAAAGAAATGATCCCAAAAGATCCCACGTACCTGGTCCAAAGCTCCAGTGCCCTTTCAAGACATGGTCGAGGTCGTCGTTGAGGAATCGCTCGGGCCAGAAGCGCTCGGGCTGGTCGTATTCTCGCGGGTCCATGGCGATCGCCGTCGCGTTCCACGTGAACAGCGTCCCCGCGGGGAACTTGTAGCCCTCGTACTCGTCGTCCTGGCTGAGCATGTGCGGCACCCCGATCTCGGCGAACGGGCGCCATCGGAACGCCTCCTTGACCGTCGCGGTGATGTAGGGCAGATTGACCCGGTCGTCGAAGGTCGGCAGGCGCTCTGCGTTCCTGCCGCAGACCCTGTCGAGGGCGTCCCGCGCCGTGGCCACCCACCGCTTGTCGAGCACCGCGGCCGCCATGACCTGGCTGATGGTCATCCGCGAGGTATCGCTCCCAGCCTCCATGAGGGATCCCAGGGCGAAATACGTCTGGGTCTGCCCGTAGCTCTTGGTTTCGGGATCCTTGAGGAACCGGGTCGCGAAGCAGTCCCGTGCAGTCCCGTCTTTCATTTTCTGCTGCAATTCCTCGACCTCCCGCCTGTAGATGCTACATCCTGCGTGTCAGGCCGCGTATGATATCTTGGGATCCGTTTACATCGGGACTTACTTGACAGTCTTTTGGAACATTGCCTCCCCTCTCGGCCGCCACCACTGCAAGGGCTTTGGGAGCCTCTCTAGAAAGGTCAGAGAATCCACGAGGTTCGCCGAGGGCTGGATCGCCTCGATGACGGCGTTGGACGTCTCGAAGAGTTCCCGGATCTTGGGGTCCTCCAACTCCATGCGCTTGCCAAACACCACGCTCATGATGACCGAGTTGGCAAAGCGTTGGGTGGCCGAGTACCACAGCTCCGGGTGGTGGAGGAAGTCGTAGAGGAGATGCTTGGACTCGATGTCCTGGAACGGCGCGAAGACGGGCGAATTCTGCTTGTTGAGGATGGAGTGCATGATGCGCCGGATCATCCGCCACCGTTCGCCGTACGGCATGAGCAGGATCCGGTTGTCGCCCGACAGGACCCCGGACGCCATGGGCATGTATTGGCGTGACGAGTAGATCGACGACCGCTTCTCCATCAGGTCGTTGACCGTGCGTGAGGAGTTCAGAAAGACCCAGGTCTTGCCGCCAATGCTGCAGGTGAACCTGACCAGATGTTCAGCCTCTGTCGATTCTCTCCATCAAGAGTGTCCCTTTCTTACATCTCGCCGTATTTCCTCGCCATCTCCATGCCCCACAGTCCCTGCTTCAGTGGAGGCAGTTGGAAAGTATTGCCAAACACTGGGACTCCCGGGATCCGCGGCGGTAGCTTGTATTTTCGGGCCTTGACGTTTTCACTCACTCTCCAGATCGCGACGAGGACCAGGGCGCCCAACAGCGCGATCCCGAAGACGGGATGCCGCACACAAAACGACCAAAGGGACCATTCAGCCATGTTGAGATCTCGTCGTTCTGGGGAAGGAGATGCTGTCACCGCCCGTGTTCAAGGTCTCCAGGACGAGCGATTCCCATCGCCTCGACACCTCTTATTTGAACTTTCCACCCAAGGTTCGTCGTCTCGAAAGGGGTCCAGGCTCGAACGTGTCCGACTCCGCTGCGCAGCCTGATGGTGGTGGGGCTTGTCGGCATCCCAGAAGCAGATGGTTTGGGGAAGCAATTTGGGTTTGGTGTTGGGCATTTCCCCAATTCGAGCAGATCTTTGGGTCATCGGTGATGCTGATCGAGAGACACATCTCTCCCTGAAAGCGAACACTTACCTTTGGGCGACGACACCGCAGATCGCATTTCGGTTATGCTGTCAGCCCCTGCAACAGGCCTGTTTGCGGTGGATGACCAGACACAAACCCCGTACTCCATATCCCCGTGCTCGAGCCTTTACCCCACATATTGTGTTGCGGGCGGATGATGACCACGTACGGGTTGGGGCACATTTTATGATCATTTGACTTTGTGCAGGTTGGACAGAGGTGAGGGCTCGAAGAATATGGCAGGTATTGTGCCCTGACGGACGGCAGCTCCTTTTTGATACAGACATATGTAGGCGCCTTGGGTGACCCCTTGTCGGATATGTAGTCGGAGATCAGCCGCGGCAAGTGGAATCTTGCTCGCCTGGAATTGTCGACGCTGACTACTCCGTACTATCCTTGAACTCGATGTTGGACCTTCATCCACATATGTTTGTCGCGGCACCATGCTAGCTGCACCTCTCTCGACCCGGGGAGCGGCGTCAGCAGGAGGGCCTATCGGGGTTACCCAGTCCATTCCTTAGGATTCGTCAAGGAGCGTGACGCCTTGACCGAAAGAGCCTGCTGTGAGAGTTGCAGGTTTCATGAAACTCGGGTGTCTAACACACGCCAATGCTGACGAGGCTGTTGGCGCCAAATGACCATGTACAGGACTATGAACAAACAGGATCCCCCGACTTGTTTCTGCGTCTTTCATCAATCAAGCTGGAGCTTCTGCGGACCCATTGACATCAACCACGGATCTCCCAGACATTCAGAATTCTCGTCTAGCTGAAATGGAGCACCTGGACAAGGCTGGACCGCTCAGAAGAACATTTGCACGAAGGCTTCAATACTGGATATCTTCTTGTCATCTTGGCTTCTGACCTCTCATCTTCATGTCATTGACAGTCCCAAAGTTGGTCAAAAGGCTCCCTAGTCCACGCAAGAAGATATTACTGTCCGAACCCCAGTCTGAGCGCGCGGCAAGGCGCTCCCGAGAATCAATACGCACAACCTCCAAAAATGTTGATGCTTGCTCCTAGCCGGAGGAATCTGTCTACATTCACAGGAAGGCTCGGGGCGCTGATGTTGAACACTGAGAGTCGCTCCCTAGCCCTTGATGCTGGCCACCTGGGTGTAGGTGCTACCTGACAAACATTCAGGATGGATCCCTGCGAGATCTTCGGTCGCGACCTCGAACCCATCGAAGGGAGGTGGAACTTTCCCAGATCCGAATGCCTGGTATACACCAGTCGGCTACCTGATACGACCGGCGGACTACCACATATGGCGCAGATACATTGATTTGGACTCTTGTCAACCCTTGTCTCCGTCTAAGCTGGAAGATACCACCGCAACCTGCCGCGTATAATGAGTACTCTCCCCAACAAATCCTGATCTACTTGCATCGTGCATGGATGTCGAGGACCTTCGAGCCTGAAACTCCATTACTACGGCAACTCGGATGCCATCCGCAAGTGACACGGCCATTCTCCAGATTCCTGCCTTTTACCCACGGTCCTCGTCACGCTTTCATTTCATCCACTTCCCTCGCGAACGCCTTTCTTTACCATTGCATCGACTCCTACAAGCTCTGAATCCTATGGTATTACTAATGGCCACGGGAAATTGGCTAAAAGCTCCGATTGCGGAACAGGTGAAATCCGGCAGCAACATCCACCGCACACTATAGCTCCGGTTTATATGCTCGCCTGTCGTCATCTTTGTGCGACCTTGTATGCATGCAAGCGAGAAAAGAGATGGTCTGCCTGAGAGCCGGTGGCAGGTCGGAGAATGGCCGGCGGGTAAATGAAGCAGATGAAGACGACTCCGGATAAATGACGATCTGGGGCCTTTACGATGTGTCCGGGGCGATGTGTGCGGGGAGACGAAAAAGTACATATGTGGTACCTGCATTGGACCTTGCTTGGCCAGGCGATCGTCGACAAGATGAAAAGAGCAAACATGAGGAACCTCGTCGTCTCTGCTTTCGCCGCCGGCGCCTCGGCATGGACCTATGCGCCAAACATCACATACTCGGCGGCGATCTCGATTGATGCATCCCAAAAGTATCAGACCATGATCGGGGGTGGATGTTCAGGTGCATTTGGGATCGCCTGTCAACAGTTTGGCTCCGTGGGACTGTCTCCAGCAAACCAGGAAATGGTCACCCAGGTCCTGTTCGACGAGAACATTGGCGGGTTGACGATCGTTCGCAACGACATCGGGTCCACCCCAGGCCATGTTCGCGGCGACGTCGCGTCCATCCTGCCAGTCTGCCCGCCGACCCCAGAAGGACCGTTCAACTATGTCTGGGACAGAAACGACACATGTCAACTGCAGCTCACACAGACGGCACTCAAGTACAACCCCAACGTCTATGTGTATGCCGATGCGTGGTCTGCCCCTGGATGCATGAAGACCGTCGGCACCGAAGATGAAGGCGGTCTCATCTGCGGTGTCAGGGGCAGTAGCAACTGCAGTGGTGACTGGAGACAAGCCTATGCCGACTATCTGGTGCAATACGTCAAATTCTACGAGCAGGAGGGCATTGAAGTCTCACTGCTCGGCGCCTACAACGAACCAGACTTCAACCCCGTCACCTACGCCTGCATGGAGTCGGACGGCTACCAAGCAAAGGACTTCCTGGAGATCTTGTATCCGACAGCCAAGGCGGCCTTTCCCAACATCAGTGTAGCGTGCTGCGACGCGACTGGTGCTCGACAAGAGAGGAACATCTTGTACGAGCTGCAACAAGCCGGAGGTGCTGACTTGTTCGACGTAGCTGTAAGGTTCCCAATGATGGCCAAGGAGCTTTCGACGAAGCTAACGAATTCAGACGTGGCACAACTATCAGAGCAATCCCGAGAGACCGTTCAACTCGAACGGCAAGCCCAACCTGATGACCGAGTGGGCTGATGTGCGTAACTGACCACTTCCGGCACAGGCCCAGACGAACTGACATTCACAGGGGTCGGGACCATGGAACGCCAACTGGGACGTGTCCGGACAGCTCGCGTAAGACCCTCCCCCCCCCCCCCCCCCCCGGTTTCCCCTGGATCCCAACTAATGTGTATACCAGCGAGGGATTCCAATGGGCCATGTACATGCACAACGCGTTCGTCAACTCGGACACCTCGGGCTACACGCACTGGTGGTGCGCGCAGAACACGACGGGCGACAACGCGCTGATCCGGCTCGACTACGACGCCTACTTCGTGTCGGCGCGCCTGTGGGCGTTCGCGGCGTACTTCCGCTTCGCGCGCCCGGGCGCCGTGCGCGTCGGCGCCGCCAGCAGCGCCGAGAACGTCTACGTCAGCGCCTACGTCAACGCCAACGGCACCGTGGCCGTCCCCGTCATCAACGAGGCGCACTTCCCCTACCAGCTGACCGTCCACCTCGGCGGCGGCATCGACGCCTCGACGGCCACGGCGTACTTGACCGACAACCAGCACAACGTGACGATGGTCGGACAGACGCCGATTGGGGGCGGGGGGGTGTTTGAGGCGACGATCGAGCCTCGGGCGGTCAAGACGTTCTTCCTGAGCTAAGCTAGAACTCGAGACGATGACGGCCATGCTATATCAATGAAGCATGGAGCACATGAAAAGTGGTCAGTAGAGATACTAGTAGTAGTACTTAGTAGTTAGTTCGCCGTTGTACATATCATATGCGTTGCAGCGTCATCAGAAACCACAAATCGGGGGGTGATCAACCCGGAATTTGCTCTTGGGGCTAAAGAAAGCACCGTGAACCTGTCATAACAGCCTAGATCTCAGAGCCCTTAATACAAGCTGAGGGTGTCCTTTCGCGTTCCTGGGCAACACAGCTACCGCAGCTAGGCTGGCAGGGTCCTGCGCGCGAGACATTCCAGGCACAAGGACGAAATGCCTCCAGGGAGCTGTGCCGCGGTAATAAGACCGCCGTTCCTGGATCTGGGGACGCCGCCTGGAGCGGTGCTGGCGCCGGGTCCAGGCCCAATCCGGTGTAAGGCGCGAGCAGTTTTACCCAAGGATGTTGTGAGGGTTGATGCTGTATGTATCTATCAAGAATCAGGAGCCTGCCTGAAACTCTCCCTGAGATCCTCCATAAAGCAGCAGCTCATTACCAGCAGGCAAAAGGCCTTTCATCTACTTGGCGCTCTCCTGCTTACTATCAACCTTCAGAACCATGACGAAAGGAAAGGTGGATATCGTATCAATGCAGCTTATTCTGCGCTCCCCTTACTCTATCATGCGGCAGTCTCGCCCTCGACCCTATCGACCATAGCCAGGTCGCCTTTGACAGCTCAGGGCCGCATCAGTTTGTCGTCCATGTTATTCTCTCGCGGTCATGTAGGTGCAGAGTGTCGGCTCGTTTGATTGGCCTGACAGGCTGTGCAATTTTCGACTTGTTCGTCGCCTGCCGTCCTGCCCTTCTTGTGCGGCCACTCGATGCATTCAGTCAATCATTGGACGCCTTCAAGGACCACCTCGAGGATTGAATTGACGCTTCCGGGAGGTTTGATCACTTTGGCCACCTTCAATCTCGGATCGGCTCTCTCGAATAGACTCCGCCAGTCGTCCAGGTCTCTTTCTTTGGCGTTGAAGTTTGTCAGCATTTCCAAGTCCATGACACTTTTCACTTTGGTTAGCAATGTGATTTCTTCATCAAGATGGGCCGCTGAAATCCACAACGCACCGAATCTGTCGCTCCTGACTCCGTGGCATGCTACCTGGCTCAGGCAAAACTCCATCCATGACCAGTAACTTTGAGTTGGGCTTGAAGGCAGGCAGCAGGTTCTTGAGGATGAGCGTCGCGTGAGTATCCGAATAGTCGTGCAAAATAAATCGGAGGAAATACACATCGGCTTGGACAGGCTGTGGTGTGAAGAAGTCGTGGGTTTGAAACGAGACCCGATCTTTCAAGTCTGCAGGGAGTGCCCGCTGGCCAGCAGCAACAATGTCGGGGAGGTCCTGGACGACGAAATTGAGCTGCGGATATCTCTCCGCAAGCGCGATGCTCATGTGGCCTACGGATCCGCCGACCTAATAACACTCATTTAGTATCTCGATCAATTTTCAGAATGCATGCAGAAGCACCCACGTCCACAACAACAGTACCTTGCGTGAGCTTTCCCCAGGGATAGCCGTCCACAAGATGGCGCACATGGTAACCATCTGTGCTTGTCAAGGCCTTCATCGTCTCTGCAAACCTTTCAGCGCGTTCGGGATGGTCGGAGAGGTATTGGAATATTGGAAGCTCGGTATTGAAAGCAAGATTCCAGCCGGAATGGTTTTTCTCTTCAGAAGCACCAAATGCCTCGGTCGCTTCGACCACCTTTGCAGAGGCAGGAAAGGAGTCCTCCAAGGTATAACCCACCCAGTTGAGAGTTCCTTTGTCGCGGACCAGCGCACTCGAAGCCGCCGTGTGGGCCACAAACCCTGCCCGGGGTTCGCAGAAGATCCGGTTCGTCATCGCTTCCCGCAGCATGCGCCGAAGATGGCCTTCGTCCACACCAGCATCCTTGGCGACATCTGAAAAGCTCCTTGCGCCCTCTAATGGCACGAATGAAGCGATCTTGAAATGGTAGAGCCACCGTAGACTCGAGCAGTCATGATACTGTCATGCCAATCGTTGGTCACTCCAGAGCAGCACTGATGGGGGCGAAGACGGGGGGAACAAACATTGCAGGCCAGCCATCGTAGATACTCGCTTGGATAAGTGGCTAGAATGTATAGCTCCTGGGCTGCTTCTCGCAAATTGCGGCGGGCGACTTGCACGTCCTCCGGCATGCTGGGGACATCGAGAGGGGCATCTGCGCGGAATGAGGGCTCCGGGAGGCCATTGGAGGAGAGAAAGTCGGTCAAGATGGATGTGGCTGCAGAGATCTGCTGGGATAGATCCTGCATGTGTGACGGCGGTTGAGACATGACGACTGAGCAAAACAAGAGAGTTCAGAATGCTGCGTGCGATGAACGCTGCCAGCCACGCAGTCTCATGATAAGCAACTGGTGGCTCCGAGCGACTCGGCCAGACTTTGTCGTGCATCGGGCTTCGCCTTCAACTTCGCTGGTCTCAATTCCAAGTCTCAATTCTAAGTCCCACCTTATGCAGCTCGCTGGATTGATGACACCTTTGCCAATGGCTGGCCCAGACGTTCCACCGACAGCACCATTACAACATCGGTCTAGTTATTGGGGATCTTTTTCCTCGCTTGAGTTTCGTCATCTGCCACGCTACAAGGACTCTTGAAACGAAGGCTCTGGCGCCTCCACGTGGACCTGGACAAGAACGGATGGTGTGATGATTCCGCCTATGATGCGCCAAAGTCGGGGTCTAACTTGAAGTTACTGGAGCCCATCCGCGCGGCCCGGCGGTCCTGCGACACCCCCACCTCCTCCGCCACCCTCCACACGGTGAAGATAAGCGTTCGTCTTTCCTTTGAACACCATGGTTTTTGCCAACTACCTATAGTGATGATGGCTGATCAGCCCGCCGACGAACCCCATGTTGCGGTGGAAGTGAGTTCGATCGACCCCTTGCGATTCGACTGGGAAATGACAAGTTCTTTCTAGGACTTGTTGGGAGACGTTGATTCTGCGTATGGCGGAGACGAAATGTACGTCGGTGGAACCCAATATTGGTGCCAGCTCGGTTCTCTCGCTGACCACCAGCGGGGAAAAGAGCGAGTTACACGAGTTCCCTGAGCTATAGCGCCACGGACTACAAATGGGAACATGGTCGGCGGTATCACAGTTTCAGGGAAGGGAGTAAGGCACCACCGATGTTGCGAAGCTCAGCCAGCGAGCGCTAAAGCCTCACGCAGCTTATAACTTCCCCAATGACGAGCAAGAACAGAAGCGCTACGACATCATGCACGAGGTGTTTCTCACGGCGATGGACGGCCAACATTTTTTGGCCCCGCTGAATCAAGACTTGGGTCGCATCTTGGACGTCGGCACGGGCACAGGAATCTGGGCGATTCAAATCGGTCGGTGTGAGACCATGGGCATGAATACCAGAAGTGGAACTGATGTTTGGATCATGAAGGCGATATGTTCCCATCTGCCATAGTGGTAAGTCCATCTTCAGTGCCCTATCTTGGGCCGCTGTCATCGCTTATGTGTATCATAGATTGGCAACGACCTAAGTCCCATCCAGCCACAGTGGTAAGACAGTTCCTGTCATTTTGGGCCTCCATAACTTGCGACGAGTTTCTGATGGTCTCTAGGGTACCGCCGAATGTAAGGTTTGAGGTCGACGATGTCGAAAGCGAGTGGCAATATTCACAACCGTTCGACTTTGTCCACTGTCGCTATATGGCAGGGTCCATCGCAGACTGGCCTCGTCTAATGTCCCAGTGCTACAAGTTGAGTCTTGGCCCTTTTACCCACCGGTCTCTCGCTCGTGTCACCCGATCGCTGCTCTGCTGTTCAAAAAAACATCAAACTCAGGAAGTTGACTTTTTCCATTTATAGTCATCTAAAACCAGGCGGATGGGTCGAGTTTCAAGACTTCGATCTGCGCAATTACTCGCAGGACGATTCCATCCCGCCCGACAACAAGGTGCTGGAATGGTACAACACGCTCTTGGAAGGCTGTGAGAGAATCGGCCGGACTGCTTCTCCGGGCCAGCACCTGAAATCCTGGATCCAAGACGCCGGATTCGTGAACGTCCATCAGAAAATTTTTAAACTGCCTCTGGGGGCTTGGCCGAAAGATGAGAGGATGGTATGGTTTTGCCTATCCTTCCGCGAGCGAGCGGTTTTTGTCCCCCCCCCCCCCCGACGACTTAGAACGTTGTGTGAGCCCACTGCTGGTGTTGCCGTTGTACTGACCCCTCCAATTTTTGTCTTGACAGAAACGCGTTGGTGCCCTAAATCTTTTCCAGCTTCTCGAAGGCCTCGAAGGTCTCACACTAGCGCTTTTTACGAGAGCTCTAGGATGGTCCCCCGAGGCCATTCACGCGTACCTAGTAGGAGTCAGGCAAGACGCGATGAAGAAAAGAGTGCATATGATCCACGACTTGTAAGTACCCCTCGCTCATTGATGAATGCAGTTGGGAATGCAGCTGTTCAGGGTCATGCTCGACTTGAACTGTCCGCTGACCGAGTGGTATTTCCTACTGGCTCAGTCATGTCGTCTATGCACAAAAGCCTAAACACAGCTCGACATGATTCTAGTGATTGGAGACGGTGTTTCCCTTCAGCCGGCGGCCGGACTTGACGAGGGAGTATACACAACGGAAAAGCGAATAAGGTTAACTCAAAAAGGAGGACTACGTGTCAACTTTCAATGTCCCACCCCATTCATTTACCATGGAAATTTCACCGTTTCAGGATTGGCAGCGCCGCAGTGGTTCGCGAAACCTGAGGCGTCGAAGATAGCAGGCAGGTGGTGTCCTACGGCTTCGAACCTCTCGGACAAATTTCAAGTCCTTCCGTGCATTGTTATAGGCTTCGGTCGAGTTGATCAGTGATCCTCGACTACTACGAGATACTGCCAACCACTTCGAGTCAGGACATGAGATGGCCAAGCGACCATAGATTGAGCGAGATGGAGTTTTCGATCGAGGGATCTGCTGGCTGCCACGGTGTCGGAGATGACGGGACCTTCCGGGCGGAGGGGAGGCGGAAAGCTCACTATAAATTTTGTAAAACCAGCACCTGCTCCATTCTGGCATCGGAAACCGGCCACCTACGCACGCACCCGGATGTCTGAATACTATGTACTATAGTACTCCGCACGATTCAACCGCGCATCTGGCAGGTCGCGCCGCCAGGCCCCAAAGTTAAAACGAAGCTTAGCCAGCAGTGTATGGGTGAGCATCTGCTAGGATTCCTGGCGGGCCCGTCTGCAATAGATATCTGTCTAGCTGGGAGGTAAGTACTAGCATACCTGATCGCAAGAGGCCAGATTAGACACCCTATCATGATTGCTCGGAGAGTACTCAGCCAAGGCTCAAAGGGGACCTCTAAGCCTCACCAATTAGCCCGAATTGGCTTCTGCGAATGGGCATCAGGTAGCGCTCCCTGGACTCTCGCCCAGTGCTTGGCCGGGCCCCCTCGATACTCTGTTACGCGCTCGATTAAAGATGTCTTGACGGAGGCGATATGCAGTTCCTTCACAGAATCTGTTTGGACACTTGATCAGGAAACGCCATTCTGAAGCTTAATCATAGCCTCACAACGGCGATAAACTCTAGTATAGCATTGATATTGCCGAGCACGTTAGTCACCCGTTTTGGTACTATCGAGGAGTAACGCGCTATCCCACAAATAGTTAGCGCAATATCGAGAATACGCTAGCCGGATACGGCGAATTCGGTGCTTGCATTTTGTTCATCCTTTCCGTCATTTTTCAGCCTCTGACCAGTCAACTACATAATGTAGGTATCATACAGAACTATTCTCGCTACTATTGCAAAAGGCCGTAGTCTCATTTGCAGCAACCGTTCTGAGAATGCGCACTCCCATTTGTCAACACAGAGGCTTCGTTCTTCGTCGACGGCACGTCGATTGCCGGGTTCTCCGTGAAGAAATCCGTGGGCTTGATGTGCAGCTGGTGGATTTCGACCGGCCTGTTCAGAACGTCAGTTAGAGTATACTCGGGGAACGGACGAAGGACCAACTTACATGACAGGCCAATCCTCCACTCTGGGATTATGGGTCAGCCCAAACACATTCCAGACGACGACGTCCTCATCCTCGACCACCTCATCGCGCTCCACGGCGTCAGCAACACCGCCGATTTCATTTTGGCTCTGCAAAGTATATCTGCCCCCTGCGTACAGCTCGCCATCGAGATGTTTGGTCACCCAGATATGATGTTGTGCGAATAGTGCTCGCTTGGATTGGACCGAATCGGGATCCGCAAGCAGCAATTGCGTTGCCGCTGGTGTGAATTTATAGCCGACCGGCTTCCCACTTATGGGGTTCGTCTTGCTCCGATTGACCATTTTGATAATCCGGTTATGCTGTGGAGCGGCGTCCAGAGATTGGCTCCGATTGATGACCGTCTGCCGGACTTCGTAAAAGTTTCCTTGTGGATTTGTCGTTTTGTTGATGGGCACGCGATGTGACTCTTCTGCCAAGACTGTGTTCTTGTATCCGTCGATGGCCGGGTCGATGCGGACACAGAAAACATGCTGATGGTTCTGTGCTAACGCGCCAGGTGACACGACATTTCCGTATGGACTGGTCTTTCCTGGGTCGATGTTGACGACTGACACGATGCCCGTTGCCCGAGTTTCCACAGTGATCCCACCCGCCTGGTCGAACTTGTACGCGAAGATGTATTCGTAATTTGCCAGCGTAATGATGAACTGGACAACAAGCTCACGATACCGTGTGACAACAGCACGTCCTGTCCGCCAATTTGTGTGCTTCCAGCCAATACCGTTATCTTGTTCGTGGAGGCATATGACGTTGGGTGCGGTTTTGGCGGTACCATCGGGGCCAGTGACGACGCCGTCAAAGTATTTGATGACCCCGAGGCAGTCACACCCCAGGGAGAGGTTGTTGGCGCAGTTTCCAGCTCCGCCATCGCCAAAGTCGAATGCCTGTTTGCGAGGGAAAGGCCCACGAGGATCCGCATAAGGAACAGTCATTTCGCTAATGCTCAATCTGTACATCACGCTTCTGCCGCCAAAATGGACATCGTGTATGACTGCTCCTTCTCTGGGATTGAAGCTCACACGGAATCTCCAGTTTTGCCATTCGATCAGACCCCCCTCTACAGAGAACGAAGGACCTTCCGGTTGGAGCACATTGAGAGGCTTAAGGTTCTTCCGTGTGCCGTTCTTCAAGAGCTCGGGAACATATTCTGAGGTCTTGCAATGGTCGATGATGTTCTTGGCGTAGGTCTTTGCATCCAGTGCATCCCCTTTGCCACCGGTTGCAAGTCGGTCAATTCGGATGATTTCTCTTTTGTGCGCGTCCATGACAGGTATGAAAGGCAAAGGATAGGCGTAGAAATTCGAGTCAGGGTTGCCAGATCTCGTGTCTCGAGCAAAGCACAGGCCTTGAAAGTAGCGTCGGTTCTCCTCGTCTGGGGACAATCCACCGTAGGGCCACGGTTCGACGATGACTTCGAACCCCTCGGGAAGAGAAAACTCGGCACAGACATCTTTGAACATCTGAGAGGCCGTGCAGACCTCAACAAGAGTGTCAAATTCCGAACTGACAACATCGTTAGCTGAGTCTCCAAGCATCGCATCCAAGCCGTACGTACAGTGTCAAACTCGCATGCTGAGTTTTGTCAACTACCACATGTGAGACTCTTTTTTGTTCGTCGAGGTCGACAATGGCTTCATGAAACTGGGGGACCCTATCGGTCCCGATGACGTCGTACTGTACCAGAGCACGTCGAGGTAGGGGAGTAGCATCCTTTCCAGAGTGCTCCGCGGACAAGTATTGGATGAGCTGCTCTTTTGGCGGTTCGTCCAAGTATATCTCACGAAAGCTCAACACGGCGTCGGGATGGAGACCTAGGATGAGGTCACGGGCACTGTTGGTCTCCTCTGCTGAGAGGATGTCTAATGGATGAGGTGCCATTGTGAAGGGAAAGAAATGTCAGTGAAAGAGATGGAAAATACATAACAGCCACAACTGCAAAGGTGCCGACTTTTATAGGCCCAGGAATGGGGAATACGGGAGACTAGGCATCCCAGTATTTTCCCCTACCTGCAGAAAAAGTTCTTGGGCTGCTATCGTGAATGCCCCTTGGATACCGAGAAAAGATCGAGCAATAGCGGTTGTTGTTTGAGCACTGCTTACCTGTGACAGGAAGATGAGGATTTTCGGCTGGGGTTTCCTAATCCGTACTGTAAGGGTGCATTCACAATAACCCATATGCCACGGAAGAAAATCAGCCACCGATGTGGCAACTCAGGAGCGGACATCTCTGGCGGTAGTAAGCAAGCCATTGGCTCCGACGCATCGACGAAGAGAGGAGCCAACCCGCGACCTCATTAGATTGGTTAACAGTGTAGTATGCAGAGCAAAAACGAAGTTGGAAAGAGAGGGCGGAGGAATTTCCAGGGCGGTGCATTTAGAGTTTGCGCAATTCGTGCCGATTGGCTACAGTGGGCCGGTTCCCCAGCATGGCGGAATGGGCCTCCGCGCTCCATCCACAGATCATCCTCCTCCACCCTCCTTTCCTGTTCCGCTGCGAGAGGTGTTCAATCTGTTCTAGACTCGGAGTTGCCTAGGCACCCGTACTCCAACCTCAGGGGCTCTGCTATGAAGCTGGGAATGCCATCGATTTACGTAACGCTTTGGTACTGCTGGCCTGCTGTTTGATGAGTATGGCCGCGATGGGGAGTGTTCTCCGTGGTGGGTGTTACCCCGGATGCGGAGGTTCAGAGATGCTAAAACGCCTAACCAATGATGCACTCGCCTTTCGGGCGTATCTACTTTTGCGGGAAAGCATTTAAGAATGCCTTGGGACCCAGGCAGTGGTCCAGCGTCAATCCCAGGCAACCCAAGCACTCGCAAACATGGACGTTGAAAAGCTGCCACAGAAGATGGAGGAGGTGGAGAATATGCAACACGTCAACAGGCGGTCGTTAAATGATGAACAGTTACTCGCAGCCCTCGGTCACAAGCAGGAGCTGCAGCGGGATTTCTCAATATGGTCACTTGGTTGCTTGTGTCTCTGCCTGATGGCGACATGGGAAGCACTGTCGTCCGTTGTTGCCGCTGCCTTGATCAGTGGTGGTGCTCCTTGTCTCTTTTACAACTAGTATGACCCCGCGGATGAGTTTCGCTACGCGTACCACACAGCTTTACTGACGAAATGACAGCATCATATCCTTTATGGGCACCGTGGCCATTGCCCTCTCTCTTGCAGAGATCTCGAGTATATGGCCCACTGCTGGGGGTAAGAAGACTACATGTCTCATCGATTTGAGTCTTGAACTGATTCTTCGTCAGGTCAATATCATTGGGTCGCCGTCCTCGCGCCACAAAATTCGAGGGTTGTTGCGTCTTGGTTCACCGGATGGATCTCCGTCGGAGGTCAAATCGTCCTGACGGCTTCCGCAGCCTTTGCCGCCGGGCTCCAGTTTCAAGCTTTGATTACACTCAATCACCCCGATACATATGTTCCTCAGAGATGGCAAGGGATGTTGTTTTACTGGCTCGTTTTGCTCTATGCTGCGGCCGTCAACATCTGGGGGTCCAAGGTCCTGCCGCACACTAATCTTGCGTCTGGTGAGCATGAAGATTGTTCCACCCTCCCGCTAACCTTCTGACCATCCCCAGGAATTCTGCATATCGTCGGTTTTCTCGTCATCTTCATTGTCCTTGGAGTCATGGCACCCAAGCACTCTGCCGATTACGTGTTTGCCCAGGTCTCTAATTCCAGTGGCTGGGGCAGTGATGGTATTGCATGGCTCGTGGGGCTTCTCAGTTCAGTCTATCCATTCCTCGGGTAAGTTTTCTCACCTTGTTCTCCAGTCGATATCGGTTAACCAGATGATGCAGGTACGATGCGGCGGCACATCTTTCCGAAGAAATGCCCAGGCCCAGTCGCAATGTGCCAATCGCCATGGTCGGCTCGGTCGTTGCCAACGGAATTATCGGTTTCGCTTACTGCTTGATGCTCTTGTTCTCCCTTGGTGACCTACCGAGTCTCCTCGAATCACCCACTGGCTTCCCCTTCATGCAGCTATACCTCAATGTCACCAGGTCCCCTGCCGGAGCTACCGTCCTGTCGTTGATAATATGCTTGATCGCCACTGCCGCGAACGCTGCAGGGCTGACTTCAACGAGCCGCACATTCTGGGCGTTTGCGCGAGATGAGGCGAGCCCCTTTTCAAAATACTTCGCTCATGTCGATGGTGGGCTCAAAGTCCCGGTCCGAATGATCGTTCTCGTCTCAGTTCTCCAAGCTTTGCTAGGGTTCATCTATCTCGGAAACACCACAGCTTTCAATGCCATCCTGTCTATGGCAATTATCGGCATGTACTTGTCTTACCTGCTGCCAATCGTTTACATGGTCATATACGGACGAGCGAAGCTTTCCAAGGACGAGTATGGGCCTTTCAAGCTTGGCAAGGCTGGAGGAGTTCTCGTCAATATACTTGCAATTGTGTGGCTCATTTTCGCCATGATCTTCAGCACATTTCCGAACTTCCAGCCGGTAACCGCCCAGAACATGAATTATTCGACCGTGGTACTTGCTGGTTGGGTCGGAGGAGGCGCTGTGTATTACTTTTTTAAGGCCAGGAATGTGTACACTGGACCTGTGATTGAAACGGAGGCATCGAGCTTGACTGTGGTCGGATCAAAATGAAAAGTTACATAGCCCGAGAGATGTGTACTCTATTTTGTGAATGGTCACAGGCAGCCACTCGGCGAGCTGATGAATTTCAATGACACCAGGCAAAAGCATGATTCCCTGTACATGATTGCCACTTCTTGGCCATTGGCCATAGGATGAGAAGGGCTTCCTTATTGAGACGTCAGTCCTCAATCTTAATTCCCTGGCCTCAAGCCTGAGGCAAATCAAGCCCTTATGATGAAGAATACCCAGCTCCGCGGGCTGAAATGGCTGAAGATGGAGTGAAGCTTGTTTCTGGCATTCGAGTCTCCTAGGGAGTCTCACCAGCAACGGTATGGCGAAAAGATTGACTTGCTGTAGCATCTGCATCGACAAAACCGGCAAGATCGATCTTGGAGCATGAAGTAGGTCACCAATCACGCGAAGCAGCCCCCGTGGCGTGATCGGTGTCATGGGTAGCCATAGTTCATGTCAGTCACGCCCCCTAGACTTTGTGCCCACTCAGCCCAAAAAGATGAAGTCTCAAAGTCATAACCTCCAGGCACGAAATTGAGACCATTCACTCCAAGTGACTGCAGACCTTGGTTGAAGAGAGGATCTGAAGGTGCAGTCGAAGAAGAGCCTGCGCCATTGGCCAAGTTAAGGACTATACTGTGGGACGGATCGCTCAATGTTGCTGGTGATGTTGTGAGCGTAGCGTTCGCAGATTTCAGGGTTGCAGCATGGCGGCAGTGGTCTTTTGCTCGTGCGAGGGTTTCCGTGATGATGGCAATGGCTTTTCGCGTGACAACTGTTTCTTCTACGGCGTCGAGAACAACAATTGCCTGATTGACGTGGTCGAGGATCAGGTCCGAATCGACGCAACAAAGAGGGTGAAATACTCCAATGAAGAGGATTGTTACTGCGAAGAGGATATATGTCGAATTGTAAGACCTAGATGAGAAGTCAGCCCCAACTGATAAGTCTAGAAGCGAACCTACCTACCATGTCTGGAAGAAGTTGTACTTGAGAAAGGTTTCGTGGATGATTTGAATGGTCCTCATTGCCGAATTTATGCACAGTTCCCAATGCTCTTGCACGTTGCCTCTGAGATCCTTCTCCGGGACAGTGCCGATAACTGAACTATGTATCACCATACGAAGGTTGTGATATCCTGTTTGCAAGGTCAGTACAAAGCATGAATGGGCGAGATTCTTGTGACGGACGGAGCCAAACGACGATCCTTTGCTTTTCCTCGCAGCTCACCGACAAGGTCGACTTTAACGCCCGAGTAACACCATCACCAGACTCTTGATATCGTGACGGCAGCTCTGCTAGCCACTGTTCAAGATCATGCGCAAGGTCGACGACCTTTTTCAGTCGAGCAACCAATGAATATTGAGTTGCGTAAAGTTCGGAGCCGACACGTCGCATAACTCGTGAGAACGATACCATTGCCGGGAGTATTTGGATACTTGCGTCCTCATTGTTTCCGGCATCTTGTGGAGTACTACTCGACGAACCAGGAATGTAACAAGTATGAAATGCATCTGGTCCTAAGCCATCGGGTCGACCCAACGCAAAGCTAGTCTGGCTAATTCCCGTTAACAACCTTACGGGAGACTGAGATCGGCCAAGCTAGCTTACACATCTAGACAGTAAAGGGACCTCGCCCACAGTCAGCGAGGGCATTCTCCAAGCGGGTTTCAGTGCCTACCACCAAGTTTGGCTTGATTCCGTCGAGCAACTTTCAATAGCACTGCGTGAAGCTGGGGACTCGCGGTTCAGCCCGATGCTCAGAGCTATTCGAATAGCTTGACCAGTGTACAAGTACGTGACTATCACCGTCAGTCCCGAAACTACTCTGTCAAGGAGTTCGAAGCATACTATGAGGGTTAAGCTCGTGCTGGGCAATTTTGGCCTAGGTTGAGTGTCAGTAACCTCGACACGGCTTCCTGGAGATATTACCATCATGTAATAGCACTGAACCATGTCCAAGTTCGTATAATGCCCAAGACGCAATACAGCCTCACATGCCTCTCTGAACAATATCCGGCTCCATTCGAAATGCTCCAAGCCATGGAATTTGCCGGATTTTGGATATGCAAGGAGTGCCCCAAGGGAAAGAACGCTATAATACAGAGCAATGAATGTGGATGGGTAAGTGACTTGGGCCCCGAACCACAACTCCTCACAACGAGTCATGAATCTCTCTTGGTCGAGGGCGGGTTGTATGTGATGGAGGTTATCAAAATAGGCATCTATGAACTTCCTGGATACTCGAAAATAAAGTCTCTCGCGAACAAAGGTTTCCGAGTCCGTGTGGGTTAGAGCTCCTTGTGCCGGTGTAAGCGGAAACGTGCTGTTGTGAAGAAGCGAGGCGAAAAAAGATCTCGAAGTTTGTTCAGCATAGTATTCAGATCGTTCCTCTGACAGGCCGGGAATCTTGCGAAGGAAGGCAATTGGTGAAGACGGGCCGTAATACTCCCAGCCCTGTGTATGCACATTAAGGTCCGCGGCGTCTGGTGTGGGAGAGCCTTCCTGCTCCTCCATGCTCCGCAGAGGTGCCAAATGGCTCCTGGTCTCATTGGCTGCTAGAGCGACGGTAGCTGGATTGATGGGCCTGCTGTTCTTTGAGGCGAGACTGCCATGAGGTTGCGAGGCTCCCGGAAATGGTATGGAGTCACGCACAAGACCCCGTGGCTGGGCCGGATGATCGTCCTGCTTCGAGTGAGAAAGAGCCTCTTCGGCTTGTTTCAATCTGAGAGTCAGCTCCTGTATTCTCCTTTCCAAAGTCTCGACCGTCCTGAGTACTCTTGACGTAAGCTTGATGTTCAAGTGGCAGATCTAGGACGACAGGAGGCGCACTTCGCTTCTTGGGATGGCAGCGGTCTGGAATAGACACATTCCACATCGTGTGCTTCCAAGGCTATCAGCGGGGTTCGTGGCATGAGTGCTGGGTGGCTGACCAACACAGAAGGAGCACGGCATCTCCTCGTTACACCTGTTCTTACGGGCGCGGCAAAATTGACAAGCTTGTAGCGCCCTGGGTCGCTTGCGCGTTCTTGCGGCACTGATGGCCTGAGCCATGGTCGAACAGACGAATGTCTTTGCAACACAAGAGTTTCCACTGCCGCTGACAACGTCAAGAGATAAAGGCTAGGTGTACTGATATGTAGTGTGTAGTGTGAGAAGTCGACGGCGATCCCATTGCTTGCTTCGAGGAGCGTCTTACGGTGCTTGGCCCAAACTGGCCAAATTAGCGAGGCCGTCAGTCATCGCAGCAGCCGGCGTCGGCGCAGTCGCAGGCGCAGGCCGATTCCCAACTCCTTCAACTGCACATTTTTGCCTACCCAACTCACTCTCATTCATGCAACAACCCCATCCTACAATTCCACCTCTTTGAAATACCGCACCATGAAAGGTGAAACGTCGGATGGATTCTGTACGGGCGCCGCGAGTGGTAAGAACATCAGCAGCGCATCTCAAGAGATCAGTGGCAAATCCATTAACCAGACTTATCCAACAGTCTTACACATGACACATGCCTCGCGACTGCACATCGATCTTCAAATAGTCGAGGACAGAATCTGAGAACATGTGAAGATGGGTGAGCTTTGTAGAGAAACAGAAACACCATTCTCACAACTTCGGATCAATAGGCGAGCGACGAGAGCGAGAAGTTTAAGGCCCAGTCTCACTCGTCCAGCCCACCAGCCCCCTCGTCCGCTACCGACTTGGCCAGAACGAGGAAGTGCAGCCGCGGAGCTTCCCAATATTGTTCATGTTCCAGGCGCTCTCGTTTTGGCTTGCGAGTCTCGACCCCCGTGGGCCTGCCACCCACCATTTCGACGTCTTGGTGCCTCGGACTGACTGGCCACTATCGCAAGAACAAGAGCCTCGCCCCTCCGTCCCTCCGCGAGAAGAAAAAAACTCTATCATGTCATTTGTCGTCGTCATGCCGCACCAACTCGATGCCGCTCGACCCAAAAGGGCACCGGTGGCTCAAAGTCAGGACCTCATCTTTTGTCACCCCGATCGAGCGGCCTACAACTGTCCCAAAAGCCATTCAGACGATGCCTGCGACACTGCCCTATGGAAAAGCCACCTCTTCAGCCGATTTCCGAATCCCTGTCCGAGTCTCTGACCTTCACCAACAGCCTTCCTTCGCCAAGTAGCAGTCGGTCCTACCCCAAGTTCGGACCTCCTCGGCTACGACAACCATGGAGGCATTCAGTCTCAACCGAAGCGTTTGGATTGGCGTCGCGGACAACCCGGGAGTTCAAACCTGACCGCCAGCGTCGCCGGTTGTTCACAGTGGGCATCTGGCAATGGTTCATCACGTCGCTGCTCTGTGGCCTCTTAGCTGCATGCCTCGGAGCCTTTGGAAACCTCTTGTGGATGACTGTGACACAAGTCAAAGCCTTCAACGCGCTCATCGTGCTTCTTTCTCTCTTTCTCGGGAACAATCTGACTAGCTCGCTACGAGAATATGCGGCCATGATGCGGTGGAGAATGCTGGCTTCCAAATACCGCCCTCTGAACGAATTCGACTTGTTGTTGCGCTGCGAAAGTTTGCGGAAGGTCATACGGTTGTTTTGGGCAGCAAGGACTCCTGGAGGAGTGTGGTTCTGGTTCAACACGACACAGTGGCTTTGTGCTCTGTGGCTGGGAGTCAACATTCTCCTGCAAGTTCTTGTGGCTTTATTGGGATTGACATACAACCTCAACACCTCCAACTATCCAGAACGGCAATTCGGGACAATGAGTATCGCAGATTTGACCACCGTCCGTGATGTCTGGGGAGCCAAAGACCCCACCTTGGATGCGCAGTTGGGTTCTGCAAATTACTTTGGCATCCAAGGTCAGGACTATTTATTCGTCGAAGGGAGTCCTCCTGGGCAGGGGAAAGTCCCGAGCTATGGCACACCCGGCACTCCTACAATCTACGGTAATTCTGACTGGAGCGTCATGACCTATGTCTTTCAAGACCAGAGTCTCCAAAACCCTCAACTCACCTTGGTTTCTCACCGCAACATCAGTGTTACGGCCACCTGCCGAGAATTGCAGGTCATCGATGGCGGCAACGGAAGCAGTACCTCTGTTACTTACCGTGACGAGACTGGAGAGCAAATCACCCTCGACGTCGTGCGGGTGGGACCGGGAGCAATGACGTATATCGGCGTCCTCAACTCTACGTGTGGGCCACGATGCACAGAAGTGATGGCACTGCAAAGCGCCAACGGCGATACAATCCCCCAAGCAGCATTCTTCAAATGCAAAAGCAGCATATCCGAAGTGCGAGGAATCGAGGAATACCTGGATTACGGAGAACCGGCGGCATCATTTGAGATGCCAAATGAACAAGCGAAGATCGTTGCGGGGGCGATTGGATGGTCAGGGTTCAACTACACGCCGGATGACCTTTATCAGTATGTACGGTACAATACAGAGACGTGGTGGAGCCCCGATAGCCCTGCAAACGCAGGCATGATATCTCAGCGAATCATGGAGTTCAGCATTGAGGCAGTGGCAGCGATCGACTACAACGGACCAAGGCGCAATGCACCAGGCTGGTACGCCATTCCTGCGCAAGTGGTGAGTGTGCAGTGGCGGTGGGCGGCTTCAATCTTGGGACTCCTGCCGTTCTTTCAACTGGTGGCGTTGGTCTGTGTCATAGCCTGGGCTAACTCGGCCATCATTCGGGACGACAGCTACCTGAGTGCTGCACGACTTCTGCGTCCTATTGTCGAGAAACTGGGCGACAAGGGCTGTTTGCTGACCGGCCCAGAGATCGCGGAGGAGTTGGCAGAGCTGAGGGTGAAATACGGGTGGAGAGAGCCGGGTCCAGACTTTGCCTTTAGGAATGAGATTGACGGCGATGTCATCAGGCACGTTGATATCCTGGACGAAAACGAAGGATTGGGTAGACAAGGTCCCATGCCCGCTGGACGGTATGATGGGCTTGTACCCGATAGACCGTCCCCAGCGGAGAAGGACATAGATCAGCAGCCGCAAAGGAGGCGCGGACGGCGGTCTATGAGTTTATGACATTTGTCCATATGGACGCAGCTCCCCAGGTTAGAGTGTAATACTATTTATTAGAAGAACAAGAAACTTCCAATAAAGCTTCTTCCACGCTGCTTCGATCCTCTGGCGGGAGCGCACCCATCTTCATCTTCATCGTGTTCCTGTGCATAGTCACATGCCCCTCGGTAAACGGTATCGTTGGGTTGACCATCCCCTCCGGAGACTTGCAGGGAGAAGTGGGCATCTAAGTGGTGGTGGGCATCGTGCAAGTTGTTGGCAGGGATGCAAGATCAGCCGACCCAACAACACCCCGATCGAACTGCGTAGGTTAGATTCACCAAGGACTTGTGCCAACTGGCTGGGTGGCCGATTGGATGGGTGGATGGATGTCCTGCATCAAAAGCTGCCGACGGCAGGAAAAGACGTCATCATCTTGTTTTCCATTGATGTGATTCTCCAACTCTTCCCACAACGGCTACAAAGATATGAGGATACATACCCTGCCCTACTCTACCCTATCCTACCCACCCTACCTTCCTACCTACCTAGCTATCGACAAAACCGAAGGTCGGGCTGGCATGTCGTATGCCGCTTCCTCATCGAGCCAGTCAATTGCCAGTCAGGTCGCAGACACACCGGGACGATGAGCTTCGACATCGCCGCCCCACCAGCCCTCGCGGTCTTCATCTCGGTTTGCTGAGTCCTGTTGGGGACGGATTTTCGTGGACGTTCCAGCTATCCATATCTGAAAGACCATAGACAAAGAGGTACCGAGTCCAGAACAAGCCACGCGCTTCATCAGGCCCTGCCTTAAAGGGGGTTTAATCCGTTGCAAGAACTACAGTATTACTTAGAACTTCGTCTGCGGCAAGATGGGCAATTACAGTCTGAGGAAGATCATGGACAAGCAGACCCAAGTGGTCATGTTCAGTTCCACGGCCATTGCCCTGTACGGCTATGACCAAGGTAAGAACAACGTCTCAGATCCCTTTCCCACGGACTGGTCTTTGTCAGGGAATGAATGACTTGGCTACTTTCCCGATTGCCAGACTATCCGTCCCCCTTTGTATTTCATGTTCCTGGAACGACGCTGAGAAGCAAGCCCCGACTGATCTCTTCCTCTAGGGATGATGTCCCTGATTAACACAAACTACAACTACCTCTACACCATGGGCATTACTGGAAATTCGGCGCTGGTCGGACTGGTCGTCTCCGTCTACTATCTGGGCTGTGCTGTGGGAGCGGTGCTGGCATCGCGCTTCGCAGACGCAAAAGGTCGCAAGCCCAGCATCTTCGCGTGTCTGGCGACAGCCAGTCTGGGGAACTTGCTCATGTTCATCGCGGGGATGGGGAACGCCGGCCAGCAGGCCGCTCTGGCGACGATGCTCTGCGGGAGGGTCGTCATGGGGCTTGGAGTCGGTAGGTTGCAGATCTCGAAAATCCCAGGTGTGTCCACTTCTCTTTCTGACCGGCTTGTTAGGAGGGATCGATGCAGTGGTACCCGTGTACAGCTCCGAGCTCCAAGAAGACGACGCTCGTGGCACGGCGCTGGCGCAGGAATTCCAAGCCAACATCTTCGGGCTGAACATGGCCTATATCCTCAACGTCGGGGTCACGCACGGCCTGGGCAAATGGAGCCAGTGGGCCTGGCGAGTGCCCATCGTCGTGATGCAGGTCTATCCGGTCCTGCTCCTCGCGGTCGCGAACCTCCTCCCAGAGACGCCGAGGTGGTGCGTCCTGCACGGCGACAACGAGCGGGCGAAGCGCAGCATAGCCCGAGTGTTTGGCCGGGACCAAGTCGACGACCGCCTCGACGAGCTGACCGAGGCGCACAAGAAGGAACAGGCGGAAGGCACGATCTCGTACTGGGACATGCTTTGGCCCGGCGGCTCGCAGTTCCACCCGACCGTGGTCACCGTCATGGGCCAGGTCAACCAGGCCCTGACCGGGTACGGGGCCGTGTCGGTGTTTGGGGCCCAGATCTTCCAGCTGCTGGGATTCGGCGTCAACACGGCCGAGTTCATCACGCTGGGGAACTACGTGTTCTACTTCGCCATGATGACCGCCGCGTGGGTGCTGATCGACCGCATCGGCCGACGGAAACTGATGGTCGCGGGCGCGTTCTGGCTGGCCGTCTCCTTCGCCCTGCTCGCCCTGCTGGGCGGCCTGGCGTACAACCGACGCGGGCTCGCGATCCCGTTGCTCGCGACCGGCATCCCCGGCGTGGCGGCCCTGTACGTGGCCACCGCGGTCTTTGGGATCAGCTGGCTGGTGCCTCCCTGGCTCATCCCCACGGAGATCTACCCCTCCACCGCCCGTGCGCAGGGCGCCGCCGTCAGCGTCATCGTCTGGGGCCTGGCCAACTTCGCCGTCACCTTCCTGACCCCGATCGGCTTCGACGGCCTCGAGTACTACCTGTTCCTGGTGTTTGCGGCCACCAACGCGTTCGCCGGGCTGTGGACGTACCTGTACTGTCCCGAGTCCGGGAACAGGACGTTCGAGGAGAACCAGGAGTTCTTCAAGGCCGCTGCAGAGACGGGGTCGTGGGTCGTCAGCCGAGTCGTGGACGGAGAGTTCAAGGTTTTGCCGCAAAAGGAAGTGGAGGAAGTGGAGGACGAGGAGATTGTTGCTGACGGAGAGAACAGTGGGAGTCGGGGCAAACAGCGGACGGAAAGGATGAAGAAGCAACAGAAACTGGATGCTCACGAAGAGACTGCCCCTTTACTGGGCAGGACAAGTACACAATAGGCCACCACATTGCGGGAAGAGGGCTTTCCACATACGATGACTACGATCAATCGACGTATATTGCGCACGCTGTGCCATCCGACCGGCCAAAGACCAACACATTTAGGGGAAATACGTATTCGTTGATAAGCGATGTGATTGTCTGTCAGCAATACCGATATATCTCAAATACATGAGCCCAGCATCCCACGAGAACAGGGGGAGCTATGGTTACCAGTCCGACCAAATCTACGATGAAACCACCTAACCCCGCCCCAAACCCATATGCCTGTACGATATCCCTGTGTCATTCCACGAATGGCTGAATTGCAGGACGGTAGATTTGAACCAGCTCATGTAGCCTCCTAAGACTTCTCAATAAGAGCCTCGAGTTCGGCGGCAATCTGCTTCAGCTCAGCCTTCAGCTCCGAGGCCTTCTCGGAGAGATATGACTCAGCACTGGATTGGCTGAAGGTATAGCCACCGTCACCGATGATCTCGGTGTAGTTGGACTTGCCACCACCGTTCCACGCGAGAATGTTGGCGGTGTCAGCCGGGACGTTGGAAAGGGCGCCCTCAGTAGCGATGGAGATCATGTTCGCCTTCATCTGCTTGGGGGTGATTTCTGCAACGGCATAGGCAGAATCGGACGACGGTTGAAGGGACAGGAAGTAGGCGAGGAGACCGCAGATGTGAGGGGAAGCCATCGAGGTACCGGAGATGATGTTGGTGGCGTACTTGCTGCCAATCCAGGTGGAGAGAATGTTGAGACCAGGAGCAAAGATGTCGTTGCAAGTACCGAAGTTGGAGAAGTAAGCACGCTCATCGGCCAAGGTAGAAGCACCGACAGTGATGGCCTTCTCAGCAGCAGCAGGGGAATAGTTGCAAGAGTCAGCGTTGTCGTTTCCGGCAGCGACGGCAAAGTGAAGACCAGTATCAACGGCGGCGTTGACTGCAAGATCCAGGACTCTAGACTTGCCGCCACCCAAGCTCATGTTGGCAACACTGCCCTTGAAGCCCTTCTTCTTGCCCTTCTTTGCGGCACTTACGGAGCCAACGTGGGAATTGGCAGCCCATTCGACGCCCTTGACAACATCGGACATGGTGCCAGACCCATTAGACTTGAGAACTTTCACGGCATAGATGCTGGCCTTCTTGGCGACGCCGAACTTCTTGCCTGCGATTGTGCCAGAGCAGTGTGTGCCGTGCCCGTTACCATCCACATCTTCATCGCCAATTGGGATTGTCTTGCCCCAGCTGGCTCGGCCCTCGAAATCAACGTGCTCGATGTTGGTACCGGTGTCGATGACGTAGGCGTCAACGCCCTCACCGCCATCCGCGGAGTAGAGGTATTTGTTAAAGTTGCCAAAGCCCAAGGCTTCACGGTGAGAGATACGGGCAAGGCCCCAAGGAGCGTTCTTTTCGAGCGACGGAGTAGAGTTCATCGTTCGGACCTCGGAGTCACGCTCGATGTATTCAACCTAAGCAACCGGGCACGTGAGCTTCAGAGCAGGACAAAACATAAGGACGAGAAGGCAGTGGAAGGCATGTAGCATTTTCAGGACGCAGTAAAGCATTGCAGGGCCACTGTATCGATGCCTTGGGGATGGATGGAGGCTATTTGAAAGACCAAAGACTCGAAACAAACGGATAGGAACTTACATCCGGGTGCCTTCGGACCAACTCGATGACTCCTTCATCGAAATGACCAGCATAGCCCAAAAGGCCGCCAGGGATGTTGTAGGTGTGTCTCAACCCTTCGAAGACAGTCTCATCCGACATGGGAACTTGGCTGCGTTTCCGAAGCTCCAGCTTGCGGGACTCGTGTGACACATGGGCCTCTTGAACCCAGGAGTGATGGGCGGTGGCGGCCCGCTCGCTCACATGCTTCTTGAAGACAACCATGTAGGAGTCAGGAATCTCCTTTGCATTAGAAGAGGAGATGACAGGAGCCGCATCGTTGTGGATGGTATCGACGAGGACTGGCGAACCTGCCGCCAACAGTGGGAGGAGCGATAAGGCGAATGCGTAACCCTTCATGATGCAGACTGGGTCGACAACGATGGGAAGACAAGGGAGATGGGCAGGACAACAGACAACAGAAGTGCGAGCCTGGATGAATCAAGCTGCACGGGAGATGGGGAAAGTGAAGGAGTCGAAGGTGATGATGGGGAGTGATGAGGAGGATGGTATCTTTAAGGAACGAAGAGCAGATGGGATAAGAAGATACAGTGGTGGATGATGCCACAGCCACAAGTGGACGCATGACTGCTTGCCGCACTAACGCCTAAACCAGGCTGCCACTTACGCAGCTTCGGGCTAGGCCCAGTTGTTGCCGGGGAGCTTGCTCGGCTTGGGGGTGGCACGGGGGGTTCCCAGTGACTGCTGGCAAGGCACGGCAAGGCACTTTGGCCGGTTGCGGACCCCGACGGACCCTGTACTTATCCCTGAGCCCAGATTGGCTGCTTTCGTCCATTCCCCCGTCACGCCCCGTCCAGCCCGCCTCGCCATTTCTCCACCCCAACACATCAGCGGGCACAATTTCCAAGCCCACGCACGACCTTGTCTCCCAACAGCAGCCTCCTGCCCGTCTGCCATCCTTCTTCTGTAAGGGCTGACGATAGCAAAGAGGTCGAGTCATACTTGCCTTACCCAGCTACGTTGCTTCAAGGTATGGCATATATTGGTGTATGTTCACAGACTCCTATAGTGAGATATGGTCCGTTCATACCACTCCTCCGCGGGAGGCTTGAGAAAACCATTCAACACAAATCTACCCAGCACATATCTGGCGTCAACCCAACCGCAGAGCCCATCCTCAAAAGCCTGCTCAGCGAGCTGCTGATGGAACCACTCGCCGTATCTATTGGGATTTCTTGAGCTTGGGTCCTGTAAGCGCTCTTCGCAGAACGAGCCTACGAAGAGGATCCAGAAGTGTACATCTTTGTACATGACACGTTCCACTTGCGAGCAGGTCAGAAAAGCAGCCTTCATTCTGGTTAGGAGGGCTGGATGAATCACGGCTGTGCTGTCGTGAATATCGATACCGTCAGAGTGTGAAGTGTCGCTAAAGCTCTTTTGGAAAACGTATAGCAGAGCCAGTGCTAGGGCAGCCTCGGTATGCCTACCACCCTGACTCACCCCGTCGAATTCCTTTGTCTCGGTGAGGTCGAAATACAAATCCAGCAAACTGCTTATATGATACTCAGACTTAGTAATAACCCAGTGGAAGATCAGCTGGGCGCGTCTGAGATGCTCATCGCCGTCAACAGGCAGGGATACCTTGCCAAAATGGATGACTCGGCGGATGTGACTGAACGCTTCCCGAAGCTGAGGACTGAACACACTTTCGGGTACAGATATATGGCCTGTGTGAGGGGTGGGAAGCAGTGCTTCTGCTGAATTCCATGTGGTGGCGACTATCTGAGGCATCCAATTGAGGTAATTGAGGATCGGCCGACGCAGTTGAAACAGAGCTGAGAGGCTGTCACCCCATAGAGCTATGCTTAGGACATCTTCACCACCTTGGCATTCTCGGATGGGCAATTGCTCGGCAAGCCAGAACAGAACTTTCGCGTGGACGCTGGCGCTATTGGTATCTCCGCTCGTTGTGGCTTCACGAAACAGCGCTTTGACTTGGTAGATGAGAGCCATGCTAGGCTGAGGTGTCAGCGGCTTGTCCTGCAGAGTCTTTCTCAGGCCTGCCAGGATTTTCCCCTTGAGCTCCAGAGAAACTCGTTTGAGTTCACGTGCACTTTCTGGCGAGACGAAGCGGATCATGAGTGGTAGTATGCTTGCCACGGCAGACCAGAATGTCCCAACGTCTGCAACAAAAAGGGACCAGACCCATTTCGCCGCCATCGTGCCAATCGTACTGCTGGCCCTGAGGACAGGACATGGTCCAGGGCGGAGGTCGTCAAACTGAGCCATGTAGGTTGGTGACCAACAGCGATTGAGATGGAACCGAACAAATGAGACTGCTTGGTTCACTATGGGCGTCACCGTGATCATGTGGCAGTTGAAAGGATCGGAGTTGCCGCTGAATTCGACAGGCACCAGGGATAGACTACGGGCCGACTCTGAAGCTTGACTCTTGCACGTATCCTCTTCATGCTCCTTCAGCTTTTGTCGCCGTTTCCGGTGGACTCTCCTTGTTATGTGGGCCTTGCAAGCGGCATATTGAAGTTCTTGCGACGTTCGATCTCTAGGAGACGAGGTCAAATGCACGAAAAGGTAGTTGTTTTCCTCCATCGGTGATGTCGAATGGACTGGTCCGACTTAGAAAGGTCATGTCGAAGGAGAAGATTGCACGTATCCGGCAAAGGTGGAAATCGTATGCGCAAGAAACCCTGCCCCGGGACTGTTGGGGTGTTTGTGGCAGAGAAGTCCGTCCTCCGTTTCGGCCGAGATACTGATGCGGTCAGGGACTCAAGGTGAGTCGCGCCGGCCAGCGTTGTCGTTGCGGGCCTTTTCCCTCCATGAATTCGTGTCCTTGGGGGAGTGATGTCGAGGATGGCTTGACGTTCAGACAGGATAAACCCACCAAACCCAGGCCAGTCCCCTTTGGGTTATACCACTAATGTCATGGTTTTTAAGCCAAACCTCACTGAGCCTCTACTTTTCCTTTCATCAACTTCGTCAGCACACTGGCAAAATACTTTTCGGACGAATTCAATCTGGAACTAGGTGGTTATGAAGTTACTGTGGGAACTCCAGCGCGAGCAAAGATGCATGCGACCACCTTTGCAACCCAGCTTTGTCAGGACAATCTCCGAGATCAGGAATCGCTTCGTGCGAAGCTCGCCCGGTGCTGGGGTATAAAGATGAAGGCTCATTGCCCAATTCCTGAATGATGGCACAGTCACCCGGCTGATTCATTCATTGTAAAAGGCCAAGTACCGGCGACATCACTTACCTCTGTGACGAGTCTTTCTCCAGCTCCCACAACAACAAGCTACCTGCAACCTAAACCCCACTCACCGACATGGCTACCAACACGTTAAGACCTCTGACTGTCTACGGCCACTGGGGTGCGCCCAACCCGATCAAGATACGCATCATCCTGGACGAGCTTGATATTCCGTATGACTGGCGTATTGTCGAAATCACCGATGTCAAATCCGAGACGTTCACAAAGATCAACGTAAATGGTCGTGTGCCAGCAATCGTGGATCCAAACACTGGTATCACGCTGTGGGAGTCTGGTGCAATTATCTTGTATCTGATCGAGGAGTATGACAAGAAGGGAAAGCTGTCCTACGGGACCTCTTCTGAAAAGTACCTCCTGCAGCAGTGGTTGATGTTTCAGGTCTCAGGTAGGCTCTCTCGGATCTGGTCTATTTTGCGTTGTCACAAGGCACTTCGCCATTACATTCCCGTTGCAGCATTAGCGACCGCTGACCAGTCTTCGCACAGGGCAAGGGCCTTATTTTGGCCAAGCCGTCTGGTTCGCTCGCTACCACCAAGAAAAGATTCCGAGCGCCATTACCCGTTATGCGGACGAGATTGAGCGAGTTGCTTCGGTCCTCGACACCCATCTCGCCAATACGAAGCAGGCTTATCTCGTGGGAGAGAAATGCACATATGCAGATCTGTCGTTCGTGCCCTGGGCCAATCTCGCAAAAGGATTGTTGAAGGAGCTGGGACAGGAGAAGCGGTTGGACAAGTTTACACAGTACAATGAGTGGTTGGGCCGTTTGAATAGCAGGGAGGTCGTCAAGCACTTGAATGAACAGGTGGAGAAAGGCAGGAAGGAACATGGGATGAATTAGGCCACGCGCCGTGTGCTTGCTATGCTTCATCAACGAGGAGATACCCTCTCGAGCCCAAGATTTTTCAAATTCCCAGCCCGACTCCTTGAAGTCTAGATGCACGAATCGAGTACTCGTTCGGGGTAGTGGGCCGGCTTGTACGGAGTACAGCTTAGAGCTGCGTCGGAGGCCGCACCAGCCTCAACCTTGTAGCTTCGGGCTAAACTGACATGTCAACTTCCAGTGCGAACCGACCGCTGCGCTCGTTGTGATACGTCTCAATCCTGTTACATTTGAGATCAACGCGTGGGAGATTCCATCCCTGTGAAACATTGACCAGAGGATCCGTCGCGAGGTTGCATCTTGACTCGAGGAATATTTGTTATTGAAGCGGTGGCTAGGCTGAGGTGATGTTCGGGGGCCAGAATCGAGATCTAGCGACTCCGAGAAAGTGCGGACTCCAACGTCACCCGCAGGTTTCCATCTTCACAGAAACCCCCCTTTGTCTGCGGTGGAATGCTTCCACGGCCCTTACAATAGTGACTATTGTCCTCTGTACCGAGTCTCCTACATGAACTTGGACTCCTATACTGTTACTCACGCTCTCTTCCACGCCAATTGGCGCCTTCGCCATCCGCGAAAGATCTCCAGCCCTTCCCCCACGTTTGAGCATAGGGCATTTCTCGATGCTGACCATTTCATGTCCCGGGTGCTGGATAGGTCTCTGAATAGATTCCCAGGCTCCCCGTACCTCAAAGTCCTTTGTCGCGCCTTTACTTCTCCCTATGCCGTCGCGGCGAATACCATCTGCGGTGCTAAGGCCAGATAAGAGGTGGGCCCGAGTTGTACAAAGACATGGGCCTCACCGTTAACACTCATACTCGTGCGCGAGCCGTTTCCACCGCAGACATTCTGCGTCCGGAAGACAAGGACATTGCGCAACTTGTCAAGAGCCTTGACACCCTCGATTACAGCTCCTACATTGCTCTGCAAAACAGTCTCGATCAGGCAACCTGCCTGCAACAGTTGCGGCACTTCCTAAAAGATGATAATGATGCCCACGGAGCACACAGTGGTTTTCGACGAGCTGGAGGCTTCCAAGCGCTACTCCGCCTCCTTCGCTCGCTCGTTGACAAGTACTCCGTGCCAACCGATCCCCCTGCCACCACCAAGTCATTCCTCCAGTCTCTTTCACAATGGTTCGGCGTCCTTGGGGCAGCCTTGGAGGGGCACGAGGGAAACCAGAGATACTTCAGAACAAAAGTGGACAGTGGTGGTTGGGACTCTCTACAATGCACTTTGGAACAATTTTTCACGATCCTATCTTGTCAGACAGGTGACGACCTATACTTGGAACATTTCTTTGGGATCCTCTTCGCCACGGCTACTGGCGTGGAAATGACCGAGGACATTTACACTGCTCTAAATCGGTCCATAAGCTTTCAAGGCGGCAATCTCTTCTCTGAAGAAACGATTGAAACAGCACGGGCAGGCATTGTTAAGTCGCTGGCAAACGATGGTGAGTTAGCAGTGCCGGAGCTGCTAGTGGTGATGCTTGGGCTTTGGACAGCCGGCATCAAGGCTGGGAAGATTCCACAACGACTGCTGAGAGTTACACTGCCACTCAGTATTAGGGAGATACTTTCGACATCGCGGCAGAACATTGTCTCCGCGCACACAGCTGGCACCTTCACTGCGTTGCTCAAGCTGATCTTTGAAGAGCAACTCTCTGCGACTGAAAGGAGTCTGATGAAGGAAGTGGCCCTGTTTTTGTGCCAAGAGGGCGTCTCCCATTTGGACGATGCCCATTTTCTTTTCAAGCAGGCCAGTACGTCTTCCGATGCAGCTTCATTCCTGCATGATGCTATCATCGTTTCTCGGCAGCCTCCTAGTCTGCAATTTGACCTGTCCCAGAATGGCTACGCATCCACGGAATTAGCCACTCTGGGTAGACCTTTCCCGCCTCTTGACACTGGGGGCTACACGCTGAGCCTCTGGGCACGGTTTGATGCCTTCGACACTCAAGCCCACACGACCCTCTTCGGCGCTTTCGATAGAACTCAAACCTGTTTCGTTCTAGCCTACCTCGAGAAAGACACCCATCACCTTATCCTGCAGACTGCAATACAAGGCAACAGGCCCAGTGTCAGATTCAAATCCGTGGCTTTTCAACCAGATCAATGGTATCACATCTGTTTGGTGCACAAGCGACCACGGACGACATCTTCTTCCAAGGCTTTCTTGTTTGTGGATGGAGACTTTGTCGAACAACAAAAGGCAAACTACCCTTCTACGCCTCCAAGTGATCGTGGCCAAAACAATGTCAAGGTACAAGCGTTCTTCGGTACACCCCAAGATTTATCCCCAAGTTCTGCCGGAGTAACTTGTCTGTCAAAGTGGTCACTCGGTTCTGCGGTTCTGTTTCAAGATACCATGAGCGACGATCTGATTGCCGTCTTTTATCATCTTGGCCCAAAGTATCACGGTAACTTCCAGGATTGCCTTGGTTCCTTCCAGACATACGAGGCCTCAGCGGCGCTGAATTTGCGGAATGAGATGTTACATCCCGGAAAGGAGGAACAATCAGAACTTATTATGGCTATCCGACAGAAGGCAAGCAGTCTCATCCGCGAGGACAAAATATTGATTAATGTTTCCCCTGCAACAATCCTCGATAACGATGATCGAAACAACATTGATGAGACTCAACTGGTCAAGTCATTGTCAAGGCTGGCAGCCAAAAATCTCGTAGCCTACACCCGTTCGGGCACGAGTGCTGTGGCGATAAACGGCGCAGTGCCGTCGATCAATGATGCATTGACTCAAGCACGAGGCGTTTTTCTGCTCATGGGTGACCCTACAGTGACGGTTCCGCAATCGCTGGATGATGCTAGCTGGCGCTTGGGTGGCTGCGGTGCGGTTGGACTCGGGCTCGTCCAACGAGCGCGGACAACAGAGGACGTTGCCCTCGCCGTTGACATCCTACTGGAAACCGTCCGACACAGTTGGAGAAACAGCGAAGTGATGGAAAGGGATGGCGGATATGCAATTTTAGCGATGCTATTGAAGGAAAAGCTCAGCCTTCCCTCCCAGACCAACGGCGAAGCTGCAAAAGCCGCTTGGGCAATTCCGACATCGAGACTCGATAGGACCGGGTTGAGCTTGCGGGTACTGACCTCCGTCCTTTCTTTCACCGGTTACAATCCTGAGGATCTAACGAAATCCGTCATCAACAACCCTCTGGCCTACAAAGTTTTAGTAGCAGACACCAGTCTGTGGAGATGTGGACCACTTCCTGTGCAACAATTATACTTTGACCAGTTCTTGGTGTTTGGAGAACAAAGTGAATACAAACGCTTCAACTTGAAGAGGCTCACGAGAATGAGGGTGCTTAAACGACTGATGGAAGCTCTAAAGTCGGAGCCCGTGACTCGGCCCATCATGCCACAGTACATGGCCGCAATCAAAGTCCTCTTGCCTCAAACGTTATCGGCGGAAACTTTACGTTCGCTCGCCCTCTTCATAACGTTCTCGGTGAACAAACGCAATGTGGGATTGCAAGCGCGAAAAACTATCCGCAGGGAAGCACGACAAAGAAGTTCGTCAGCTGGATCATCTCATGGTTCCAAGGACGACGCCACGTCGACTTTGACACATTTTGAGATTGGGATGGAAGTTCTCCGCCTCTATTCGGAGATGTTGTGCCGCAAAGATGACGACAGCCTGATCAAGAAATTTGCCAAAACTGTGACGAACAAGTGGCTTCTGTACTTGCTGTCCGAGACCTCGCCGGAAGTTGTGGTGCTTTCAATGAGGATTTTGGCGAGATTGCTCGTCGTACACGGCGACGCCTACGTCAAGAAATTCAAGGACACATCCAAGACCTCTGGCTTTACCATCATGACCTATCGCCTGAAGAGATGGTGGCATCTTCCGGCGTTGTGGCCTGCGTTGTTCGCCGTACTCTTTGATCTTGATGTTGCAAATCTAGATCTGGATAGAAACTTCGATCTGTACGGATTCATCGACCTTTTTGCTAACAAAAAAGAGCTCTCGGTGTTCTATCCCGAAATCCTCGAAGTCATCACGGGCATGCTGCAAAGCGGTCTGAAGACAATTGTGTCGTCAAAAAGGCACCAAGCTGCATCGTTCCTGGCGCCGCCATTGGAGGAGTTGAGTGGACCACCAGAGCGACTTTCCATGTCAACAATGGCACCACCGAACCCGCTGCTCACCATTGTAACAAGCCAACACGTCGAGACATTTAACACTGTTGTCCAATTTCTTGCGGACCTCCACACCAGGTCACAGAAGTTCCGCGACTTTGCAGCCACGTCATCATACATTCAAGATCTTCTTGCTGTTCTGTTCCCTGTCGTGGTCGGTTCTGACGTGGTTGAAGCAAAGACCGAGTTGGATGCTCGGGATTCGACGCTTACATTCGATGGCGGAGATGTTGTTGTTCATCCCCTCTCGACCACCCCTCCTATTATCCGGACTATAGACACAGAAAACTCATCTACGGCGACCAGAGGCAAGACCCTTCGGAGAGGTTCGTCCTTTGTCCTCGTCACGAAGGAGCATGCCCACCAGAATGGTTCTGTCGCCACCACAGCAGTTTCAGCTTCCGGCGGCTCGAACTCGGCTATGGGAAAAGTGCCTGAACTTCACGACGGTCATTCTATTGTTCAGGGTTTGCTGGAAATAGTCATATCCGTTTTCATGGATCAGATCCTCGTTCGAAAAGAGTTTCCAGGACTTGGTCTATTCTTGAAGACGCCGCCTGGTTTCATTGAACACCAGTCTTACTTCGAAACGTGGATCTTGAGAAACACCGTCTCGCACCTCGCGAACCACATAGCGTTAAATCAGACGATCCTGACGGAACCCAGAGTTCTGATCAACCTAGCCCGCCTCTTCGGACATCTTGAAGAGGCTCTCTTTGAAGGATGGTTCATTGGCGGGGGGGATCCAGTACTTGACCTATCAGGTTCCATACTAGAATATCTTCAACGTCCTGATATTGCAAAATTGAAGAGCGTGCGACTGTGCGCGCAAACAATTGCCATCATCCGCGCTGTTGTTTTCCGGACCGTGCTCCTGAGTCTTTCATCGATCCATGACAACGACTCGTTACCCTTTCTGGAAAAGTTGACATACTGGCAGACTGTCCTGCTCTCAGGTGAAGACACCCAATCTGCCAATCTGCAGCTAATCTGTTACCTACTGTACGCCAACCTCATCTCTTCAACCAATGCAGTTCGGCAAGCGGCGGCCAATTTGTGGAGGATCATACTCGTTCAAAAACCTGATGAAGCAGCAGCAATTTTTGGGCAAACCGATACGACGGAGCAGAAAGGCTTGGCCGGAGGGTTTTCAAAGCTGGTTGAACTCGACAACGAGACTTTCCTCTACTGGGTTGACGAGCATCGCAGTGAGCTGGATTCTTTGTTTTTCGATACCCTTTCAAAGCAGTGGAATGCATTCGTCAGTTCGGAAAATAAGAGGACTGAAGAAAATGGCCGTCTGAGAATAGCACGTCGGCGAGAGAAGGTCAAGCAATGGGCACGGGAAGAGGCCGACCGTGACGATCTGATTCGCCGCCATGAGATCGCCTTTGAGAACTGGACTGCCAACATATATTCCTCCGAATACCTCAAGCACCAGAGACTGCTTCAAGACCAGCAGGATGACCTGGTGTACGCCGAAGCCAGCTTCAGTCGGATGCAAAGGGATACAAGTAAACCAGCCGGGCTGTTTGCTACCAATAAACCCAGAAAGTGGAGGTTGGATCAGACAGAAGGGCGGAATCGAATGCGTATGCGATTGCACGAAGACTACACTTATACAGAAGAAGATCAGCAACCAAAGAGGAAAGGATCTGACATGCCACAATTGCGGCTCGATACTAGAAATACCAAAATGTCCACGGCGGAATCGATAGGTGTTACACCCGGCGGAGCAACGCCAGTCGTCGACACTCCCAAGCGCGTGAACACCGGGACTGAGCCGTTCCCTGCACTCCAAGAAAGTACAGAACAGGCTTCCGACCAGACAGCAGACAATGAAACCCAGAGTGAAGCCATGGAGGGAGAGGAGAGTTTCGAATTGGTTGAAGATCCGAATGCTGAGATGGATGAATTTGAGGACAAGAATCGAAAGGTGATGCGTAGCCTTCACCGCGGAGACCAGGTCAAGCACGTTGCCAACATTTCGCGCATTCTAGGACTCGAGGCGGTGGAAGGACTACTAATTCTGGGCAAGGATTATATCTATATCCTAGACAATTTCTTTCAACGTGCTGATGGAGAAATTGTGAATGTCTGGCAAGCACCACAAGAAGACCGAGATCCTTATGTGCGAATGATCTCTGGGCGAGATGTCACGGAACGCAAGATTGTGTCGCGGAGTGACGAACATGGCACTCGAAGCTGGAAGTGGTCTGATATTATCAGCGTTTCCAAGCGGCGCTTTCTTTTCCGAGATGTCGCAATCGAGATCTTCTTCGGTGATGGCAGAAGCTACTTGTTGACCGTGATCTCGCCTCAGATTCGGAACGACTTGCACAGTCTCATCAGCGCCAAAGCCCCTTCGCCCACCGGACTGGGCAGTCATTCGGAGACGGCCTGGCGCTATGAGACTTTGAGAAGTGTGGATGACGAACCACAGACCCTGGGGTCCAAGTTTGCAAATGTGTTCGGTCAGCAGTCGACCTCTCTCGCTGCAACTCGGAAATGGCAAAAGGGGGAAATGTCGAATTTCCACTATCTCATGCTGATCAACACGATGGCGGGAAGAACGTACAACGACTTGACACAGTATCCCGTGTTCCCGTGGGTCATTGCAGACTACACTAGTCAAGAACTTGACCTCACAGACCCAAGAACATTTCGCGATCTTTCCAAACCCATGGGTTGTCAGACGATCGAACGCGAGAGAGAGTTCAGAGAACGATACCAAACGTTTGCGGAAATGGGCGACAACAATACCCCAGCTTTCCATTACGGAACGCACTATTCCTCGGCAATGATCGTGACCTCTTACTTGATTCGCCTGCAACCCTTCGTCAAGTCCTATCTCCTCTTGCAGGGCGGTACATTTGATCATCCCGATCGCATGTTCTTTTCGATTGAAGGGGCTTGGAGGTCAGCGGCCCGAATGAACATGACCGACGTTCGCGAGTTGACCCCGGAGTTTTACTATCTGCCAGAATTCTTGGTCAATGTCAATGATTTCGACTTCGGAACCAGGCAAACGTCGCAGTCCATTGGAAACGTTGAGCTACCACCGTGGGCAAAAGGTGACCCTCGCATCTTCATTGCCAAGCAGCGCGAGGCGCTCGAGAGTCCCTATGTCAGCCGCAATTTACACAAATGGATCGATCTGATATTTGGCAGTAAACAGAAAGGGGAAGCTGCCGTGGAGGCCGTGAACGTGTTCCATTACCTCTCGTATCAGGGTGCAAAGGATTTGGACGCCATCAGCGACCCGTTGGAACGGCTTGCAACCATTGGAATCATCCATAACTTTGGCCAGACACCATATCAGGTCTTTACCAAACCGCATCCCACGCGGGAACAGATCCGACATCGATACAAGCGGCTTGATACTGCCGCAGAATCGTTGACTCGTATCCCTTCCACGCTCCTGGAAACTGGGGAGAGGGTGGCTTCGCTCAGATATTCCTGGAAGTCTGATCGGCTGCTGTGCTCGGGACCATTCAGACTGAATATTCCTCCGGACTACGACATATACCTTGAATGGGGCTTTTCTGACAACAGCGTCCGTTTCTACTCGACCGAGAGCAGGAAGCAGATCGGGCTCTTTGAGCATCTGCACATTGGACAGTTGTCATGTGCACTCTTCGCGGATTCGAAAACATTGATCACTGCTGGGACAGACTGCACTGTGGCTGTATGGACAGTCATTGAAAGTGGGAAGACGGTGGAACTACATCCGCGAGCCACACTCTTCGGCCACCGCAAGCCGGTGAGTTCCTTGGCTATATCCAAGTCATTCAATGCACTGTTATCAGCTTCGACGGATGGTCAGGTGATGCTTTGGGATCTTAATCGCAGCGAGTTCATCCGCAAGTTGGATGGTGAGCTGCCAGTGCAATGTGCGGCTATCAACGACGTTACGGGGAATATTGTCCTCTGTCACGGGCACGAGATCAGCATGTATACCCTGAATGGCGATCTGCTCCTGCGACAGGACTCGGGAGACCGCTCGCAGGAGAGCATCGTCTCGTGCGCATGCTACGAGGGAGCGGGCAACGAGTGGCTGGAGCGAGACCTAGTCTTTACCGGCCACAAGAGGGGTCAGGTCCGCATCTGGAGCAAAATGATCCGCGATGGCCGGTTTGAGCTGGAGCTCATTCGACAGCTCAACCATGCTGACAGCAGCCGGGATGATGGAGCAAATGTGAATGCAGGCATCAGCTGCATCCTCCCAATGCCCCAAGTGGTCTACACCGGGGACGAAGACGGGCGAGTGGTGAGTTTCTCCAGTTTGATATGGTGTCCAGCGAGGAGCTTTGGCTAATCACGAATGCAGTACGAATGGAACTGTGTGCAGAGGCACTAACGCAGAATATGCTTTGCGGACAGTGCTCTGTAATGGAGGGTTGCAAGATACACCAATTGTGAGTTAGAAAGGCATAGCAAGGCGCGGGTCTCAGTTGGGGGTGGGTGGGTGTTGAATACGAGCGTTGACCTATATTATTGACTCGAGTTGGCCGGGTTACCCTGCTTTCAGAGCATTTAGAAAAAGCCTCCTCTGGTAAAAGTTGGATAGATAGCGTAGACGCAAACAGCACAGGTCCATGGGAATAGCAAGGAAAAGGGCTCGGGAAGGAGCAAACAGAAAACGATTCCAGCCATGGTGATGAAATACCACATGCATCAGTCTGACTACAGATGTCTTTGGGTACGCTGCTCTTTTGTATCTACATCCCTGTAGGTGTGGCCCGTGGTTGGTGGGAGAGTTTGCGAGGTGCATGGGGTGCCGAAGCTGTTGCATATGCGCCAATGCAGCTAGCTCGAGGGATGCCAGCTGAAGAGCTGCAGGCAGAAGGCCAGGCCATGCTCGTCCACGCGTCAAACATGTCCGTCTCTTCACGTCAAGAGGCAGAAGGATGTCAGATGTGGTGTACGGGTTCCGGAAGCTGTAGGAGGGGATGCATGCGAGGGTTCTTTGGCTGCGTTGGCGAGGCATAGAGGGTAACACGAGGCCAATGATGAGGATACACGATGATGATTGTTCTTTGGGCGCGAGGGAGGACGAGGTCAGAGCCAGAGCCAGAGCCAGAGCGGAGCTTGCAGGTGTGGCACACCATCCAGAATGTCGGGATGGGGTCTGTAGTGTCCTCTCCCCCGGACATCCATCGATATCCAGCTGTGTCGCTTTTCAACGAAGCCGCGATTGTGAGTTCGAATATGAAATATTTGTGTGTGAGGGCGCAGGCACTGGCGCAGGCGGAGTTGCTCCCAAGGGCCCCAACCCGGCGACGGTTGAGCCGAGAGACGGCTAAACTGGATTGGGGTTTCGCGTTTTCGCTACCGTGACAACCGCATCAACAAGCGTGTCGGTTGTTGTGTGTTGCGGGCGCAGGCAGAGTGACGGGGTGACGGGGTGTCTAGGTGACTGGCCACAGACTGAGTCGCCCTGGTGGCCCTTGAGCTGGGCCAATCTCCACCATCTGCTCCCTTAAAAAGGCCTCTTGTTGCTGATGGTCCCTGCCCTTTTTCTTTCCCCTTTCCCTTTTCTTCATCCAAACACACCCTGTAAACATTTGGCCTTTTTTGCTCCAAATCGTTCCAGCATTTGTTGCTCCTTTTTGCTCAGCGTGCATTGTTGACTTCCTCGTTGCAGACTCGTCTCCCTCACGTCCTCTTTCCCCCCAGAGAACCCAGTTCCCCCAAAGACAGTCTTGACTCTCGACTGCCGCAAGGGAGAAGAGAGTTGAGGCGCCTTTCAGAGCTGGCAATCTGGACTTTGACGCCCGAGTCCCAATCCCAATCAGTGTCTTCCCGTCTACGTACAGGAGTGACGCTTCTGCCGAAGAAACTACCGTCACAAAGGTAGAAGGGGAAGTCCAATTACCCAGAACCTCCTCGCGCGTCGGACGGGAAGATACTCGATTTTCTAAGGAAGAAGTCGACATCTCCTATAGAGACAGCCGTCCACGCCGCGATCAATATCAACGAGAGGACGTGCGTATCTACGAGGAGCGTGATCGAAAATACCCCGAGGTAGAGCTCACACGCGAGAAGTACGTGCCTCCATGCGTTCTGTGCAAAAATGCCCTGTGCTTGGATTTGTGCTTGTGCTTCTGACGCATTGACCCCCCTCTGTTGGAGGTGCCACGTTGCTAACTCAACCTCTCTGCTCCCCGCAGGTACCGAGGACCCACTGACTACAAGTCTGCCAACGTCGACATCGAAGTCGACCGTCGAGACACCCGCACCCGTGCCGACGGTTTCCGAGACACCCGTGCCACCAACGTCGACATCGAAATCGATCGTCGAGACACTCGGGACCACGTCGAAGTAGACTACGACCGCCGTCAGACCTACGACAAGACTCTAGAGTCTCAGCTAGATATCACCGAGCGAGAGTACCGTCGCCGCGTCGATCCCACTTACGACGTTGAGTACGAGCGTCGCCGTCCCGTCCAAGCCGACGTCACAGTTCAAAAACAAGAGATCACAGCCGATCAACCAACTAGAAGAGACATGGGTTACTACGACGACGAGGGCAACTATCACAGCTTCCGCCGTGGAGTGGAGCGTGCCGCCGACCGCATCATGCACCCCTTCTCCCACCATCACCACCATGACGGTGGCCGAGAGGAGGTGGTGGTAGAGTCAAGAGAGACCACCGGCCCAACCCGCGTCCGCGAGGGTTCCGTCGAGCAAGTGCGTTTCGTCGAGCCTCGTTTCGGAGGCCGCGGTGTGCCCATCCAATGTCACTTTATCCGCATTGGCGACATTCTCCTCCTCCAGGGTCGTCCCTCGCAGGTCATCCGTATCAGCATGTCGTCTCAGACCGGCCAGTACCGTTACCTAGGTGTTGACCTGTTTACCCGTCAATTGCACGAAGAGAGCTCCTTCATCAGCAATCCTGCTCCCTCCGTTGTCGTGCAGACCATGCTTGGCCCTGTCTTCAAGCAATACCGCGTCTTGGACATCCGTGAGGACGGCTTGATCGTCTGCATGACCGAGACCGGCGACGTCAAGCAGGGATTGTCTGTCGTTGATCAGGGCGGTCTGTTCAACCGAATCGACCGAGCGTTCGCTGATGGCAGAGGAAGTGTCCGTGTGTTGGTTATCAACGATGGCGGGCGGGAGTTGATTGTGGATATGAAGATCATCCACGGTTCAAGATTGTAGTTGTCCGAACCGAGTTGGGGAAGATGTGGTGAAGTGATGTGAGGATTACAAGCAGTGGTAATGTCGACGTGGATGGGTCCGGCTCAGGGTCGTCGTCTGGACTAGGTTTACCGGATATATTCATGTGCATATGCTTGGACAAATCTCTTGTGTACATGGCAGCAGGACAACCATTTGACTCGGCTGAGGACAGAATATGTGACTGCTTCCTAGCCGCACTTGCTGAGACACATATGGATATGGTACGTAGGCTAGGTAGGAAAGGATAGGCGCAATGGTATTGCGTTCTGGTAGACGAAATGTCCCTTGCCCTTCATCTGTGCCCTCCACAATTGCCATCTCGAAAAGAGGCGAGTCTGTGGTACATGGGAGTGCGTAGACACCTATTCGGGCTGCGCGGCCATGTCCACGGTTGTCGCGCGACGGGCTGAACTTGGGTGTTGTCTCGTCCGGTGGCTGTCTCAGCTGCGGCATTTTGCTTTTCTGTTCTCGTCCCCTTGCAACAAGTCTCACGACATATCGAGACCATCGACTTCTCCGTCCGGGCCATCGAAAATCAGCTCAACATGGCCGTTATCAGTCATCGCTGAATGCAGCTCGTCCCGTTGGTAGCCGGTCGTGGCTTGCCCGGAGGTCTATCGAAATAGTCGAGGACGATACGTTGACGGTTGGAGACTGGTTCCGGCGCTCGCTCAAAGCTCTCGCCATGGTCAGAGCCAAGATGGAAGACTCCCGTTCCGGCCAGAATTGGATATACCTTCGTCTCTTCTACACCGCTGACCTCCTGGGCTGGAACAGCGAAACAGCGGCACACATGCCTCTTCTGGTCCTTCGATGTCTGGGCTTCTCTCGTGACTGTGTTATGAATGGCCCGAAGACGGTTTCCGAGACATCTGGAGTTCTTCACCAATGGAGTCGTGGCTGCAATCGCCTTCATCTGCGTCCCGGCCATGGTCCTTATAATCTTTCTCACAGGGGAAGCAGGCCACGATGGCCACGAGGCCCGGGGCTCAGGAAATGAAAAGGTACGGATGCTGCTCTTAGGGGGTTTGTCTTTCCTCGAGAGATGGTTGAAATTGTCTTGGATAAGATGAGGATCGAGACAAAAGGATTGGGTCGACATGCGGATGGAGAAGATTGCAGATGCCGGGGGATATCTTCGTTGGGCAGTCGTCCCGCCTGTTCTACAGCACATGGGCGCGACAAGTTCTGAAGGATATGGGTTTGACGACAATGCTCCCCGAATATGGAGCTTCCGCATTGGGAGAAGATTCTTACGACTAGGAAAGGAAAAGACGCCAGGGCATTTACCTGATTGTCTAGTTGCGTGATTGGTTGGTTGGTTGGATGGTTCGTACATTTCCAGGAATATTTGAGTCCAGGTGCAACTACCTGTGCCAAAGTCCAAAAGCCACTACGGACTCCTCATGGGCAAGCAAGTGTGCCAATAGCATTCGGATTGTTCGTTCACTACTCAGCCTCCCACAATCTCGATGACTTGTTGAAACGGTGCCTGGCCAATATTAGATCACTTGCGGCGTGCAGGGTAACACAATAGCTTACCAGTGAAAGCGCGTTTTGGTGAGAGACTTCTTCCCGTACTCCTCAGCCAGAATCTTGGCCGGGTTGTGCGGCACTTTCACGCCGATGCCTTCAACAGTCGTGTCTTGCAACGGAAACAAATCCTCCCTCTGGATCACAGACAGTTAGCAGGTTCAGCACCGGAAGAGGATTCTTGGACGCACCAGATATCGATGCCCATCTTTGGAGAAGAAAATGCCCTGATCAACTGGGGTATGTTCCGCATCCCCGGGGCTGACATGCACAGCCGTGATGTCGATGTATTTCCCATTCGTGGTGTCGATCCAGCGACCGTCGATTTTGTTGGCGACGTCCCGCGTCGACGCTATGGTGTAGTGGGGGTTGACGTCCAGAAGATAGGTCCGCGGCTTGTCTTCCCCAGCAACTAGATATCGATACTCGCTCATGTTGTAGAGAGCCAGGCCCGCCAGTGTCTCTATCGACATCTGGACGTCAATGTCGTTGTCCCAAGGTAAGAACTTGTGGTTCCAGTGCCACCCCAATAGGGTTCCGTGCGCGATCCAAGTCTCGGCGCGAAGATCCCTCATTGTCGCGGCGTAAGTTTTCAGCAGCGCGAAAAGTGCCGTTTTCGTTTCTTCTATGCCCGGCGGCTGTGGCGGGGCAAATCTCGGGTCACAGTGACTTATGGCGCCGAAACTGTGTGTGTGGTATTCGAAGTTGATCTCCGAGAAGTACTGGTAGGTGCCTGGCATGGGCGGCAGCGGCTTTGATGGAGAATTCCACAGGTACAAAGTGTAGAGAAGGAGTGTGAACACACCCAGCGAGAAGAGGATTGATTTTCTGCGGCGCATGAGCATGAGCGCCGGTATAGTCATGGCGTTGTCCTTCATATTTTGGTGAGGAAAGTTAGAAAAGGTGGTGAGCAAAGGCCGTTTTCACCTCATTTCACGTTCACCATGAGATTACCTTTGTGGTTGAAGCAGCCAGATCATAGAGGTTCGGGTCGGGACCAAACTCATAGTCAAACAGCAGCCAAGGGGCATGCAAGGGAATGGCACATGGGCAGCTGTTGGAGGCCGTCGACGTGAGTCGATGAATGTAGACTAGCGTGGCTTGGCGCCACAGATCTCATTGCAGTCCGATGCGATGCGAACCTATCACGTCCTTGCCCACAGCTCATTCACTTGGTCGTGGGTCCCGGTCCTTGAAATCCATCTAGCACCATTCCAGCATGGCCATTGCGCAACACGATCCTCACTTTTCTCCTCAGGAGAGCCCTCCCCTTTGAATCTCCAATATTCGACGGACCAGGGTGAGCTGATGGACTCTGCAACGCAAGCGAGACCATCTGGAGCATATTCTCCCAGATCCGCGTGCTTTGCCGATTCCGCGCGATTTGCGTGATCATGTACGCCGTAACAACCGCACAGTACATGGCCAGGGTCAGTAACGACAGCAGTCTGCCGACGGAGTAAGCTTCGGCGGAGCGCAATCCGTAGCCGTAGCCGAGAATGGAGGTCACAAAGGTGAGCCTGTGGGCGCCGGGGACTGACTCGAGCTGGGGCAGTTTATCCCACGACATCGAGGCCAGGTCCGCGGCGGAGACTCCGGTGCCGATGTCTGCTTCGGACCCGATCCAAGACATGCCCTCGGCAACAAGCACGGCCAGTATCGCCTCGATCTTGAACTGCGCGTCGCTGCTTGTCGTAGGCATGTACCCTGCCGAGTACAGCATGTCGAAGGAGGTTTGGTTCGAGACGCGGCTGTCGTCAACCACGGGGTTCAACGACACGCCCCAGGACGGGTGGATCTTGATCCGTGTGCCGGAGTAGGTGCTCCCTTCTGCGTCCGGCTCGAAAAAGTCGGGAGGATAGCCGTCGACCACGAACGGCGAGCCCAGAAACGTGCTGGAGACGCTCGATCTCGCCCAGTCGGCGTCGATACTGCATGCGTACGAAGCGGCCGGGTCGGCGCCGGTCTCGGGGTTTGGTACTTGCACAAGTGCCCCGACGGATGTGTGGGAGGATGAGTTGCCACCAAGTTCAACCAGCTGGAAACGCTGCGCGGGGAACTGGCCAAGAGGCGTCATGTTCAGAGTGATTCCGGCCAGCGCGTCGACATCCTCAGCCATAATAGGAAACAGAACCTCGTCCGTGCTCTGGACCCGGGCGCACAGTGTCCGCACCACCGGCTGTAGAAGTGGGATTGACCATGTGATGTCCTTGTAATTGCAGTATCCACCGTGTCCTCGATCGCAGTTTACATCGTTGTTGGCAAACCACAGTAACCTCAATCCGTTCACTTTGTTCGCTGCCCAGACAGGCTGCACCGTGGCCGAAGTATACTGTGGCTGGTATAAGCTGAATGGGCCTCGAAAGCGCGTTCGCATGGTTCGAATGGTCTGACTGGCGGGTAGATTGGCCAATTCAGGCATACCCTGGAGGTGTCCGTAGGCCTCTTGGCCCCAGAAGGAGAAGAGGTTGGTTGTCAATGCCGACCACGTCCGATTCGGGGTGCAATCTTGCCACAACTCGGTGCATCTCATGTCCGGCGTGGAGCTCTGATCGAGAACCATGGGGCACAATCTATCGCTGGAAACGTTCAGTGGAACGGATATCTGTCCGGCCGGCCAATCCTGCAGGTTGGGAGCCATCGCCGTCGCTGAAGCAGGCCCCACGATGATACCGAGAATTGTGCAAACCACGGCCACAAGAAGAAAGATGTTTTTGCCCCTGAAGTGAGCTCTCAGGGCTGCTCGGAATTCAAACGACCACAGATAGGATATGTCGGCGAACCTCTCCCCCGCCGAGAGAGTACAGAGTGGCAGGCCAGAGGACGTAACGAGGTGATCCAGCACAAAGGACCAAAGGATTTTGCTGAGCGAGGCAAGCATGAGCAGCTCGTGAACTTTTGCCGTGATTTGCAGGGCCAGCATCTTCGTGCCGTCCTGGTTGATATTGCCCTGCAGCTCTTTGCCGATGAAGTATTGAGCGACGTTGAGTCCGATCAAGATCGAAGCCGCGATCAAAGCCGACAGGTGCAAGATGATCGAGGGATCCGGTGGTCGAATGAAGCTCGCTTTGTCCAAGAACATGCGCCACAGCTTGGTGCTCAGGAAATACAAATTGGGCTAACGCTTTGTCAGTCCCGACACCACGTAGACCCCGGAGATACACATACTGGGGTTAGCATGGGGACATTCTTCTGCTGAAATGCCATAGTTGCGACTTGCCACTGAGAAAAGATCTGGACGAGTAAGCGCAGGGGCAATTGGTACGTGCAACGTTGCGTTGAATCGCGAGCAACCAGACCAGAGCAATTAACGAAGCTTAAAATCTGCAGAACACAACGAAGACATCATGGAGGTAGTGACGGCAGAACCGGCAAGTACTTCGCCCCGTAGGATTGTGGCATGGGGGAGTCAAACCCAGGCAGCAGCAGGGCGTTGGGGTGGCTAAGTGTTGCACCTTGCTGGATGCGACGACAACGACGGCCATGTCCCCGGGTCACAGCCCATGGCCGGAGCGTCATGGTCTCTTGAATGTCTGGAGCTGGAGCCATGGTGTTTGAAAGAGTCGTCTCCTGCGTCAACGAGCCATCATCCTCCACGCTGCAGTTTCCCAGGGCCGGGGCGCTAGCGACTTCGAGGTACTGCGTACTGCGTACGGAGTACAAAGGAAGCGGTTGGGCCATAGAGGCGCCTCTGCGGCGCCTATCCTACCTTTTTTCGAGTGGCGTACCGGGTTCCTGAACCATGGCGCACACCAATTTGAAACAGGTGCCTGGCTGAGAGGTAGGGGTAGCTGGTCGCTTGGGGGCCAGCTTGAGACATGCTTTTGCTCGCACCTCAGTGTGTTCGCTCACCCACGAGGATCAAATCGTATATGGGCAATGAGGCCTTTTTGTTTGCGAGTAGCCTGGGTAGGCGATCTTGGTAGAATACTTGGAATATTAATCTTGATACTTACTAAGGCTGCGTGATTATCATCCACTCACCACGAGTCCAGGCGGTCGTGGGAGGAGAACGAATCAGACACTTTACCGCCGAACACGAACTCGCTCCAAGATCTGCTTACCCTTGACCAGTGCGCATCTCTCACTCTCAGTTAGCCTGCCAGATTAGTTCCATCCCTCAAGAACTCACCGGACGGTACGTTGGCTATGTCAACTAGTTACCTAATTATTAAGTTAGTTCCACCACAGTGCCTCTGTACATGACGAGTGAGGGGCCCAACTGTGCGGATTGCAAGCGAGCGCGGGTGGGTTTATTGGGGGAAATTGCCCGCCTGCCCGGGTCCCTCTTCCTCGCGTGGTAGGATGAAGAGATGGCTCCAATCGCGCCAGAGGGGCTCACACACGCCCGTCAGAGAAGGATGGATGATATAATAGAACCCTAGAACGCAGAGAGTGGAGCGAGCGAAGGGGAAGTGTTCGGGATCTTTTTAATTCAACGTCCCCATGATTTGACGGACGGACGAAAACCACATATAAACGCCATTTAGCCCCAACGCTCTTCAGACTTAGTATTAGAACCCCTCCGTCCGAGAAGAGCGGCTGGTCGACCCGAGGCACCACACGCACACAGCGACTCCAGATCAGATCATCGTTCCACAATGGCCTCTGCAACTCAAGTCAAGTCTCTAAGGGAGATGCTCGGCGCTCCGCCTGCCACGGCCACCCCGAGCGACAGCACGCTGATCATCATCGATGCGCAGAACGAGTGAGCTTGAACAATCACTGCAACCCATCGGCCCTCTCCCTAACACCTCGTCTCCTTCCCCTGTGTCTGAACCTGACTGTGGCTCAGGTACGCCCAGGGAAACCTCAAGACCGTCAACGTCGACCAGACGCGCAAGGCCATTGCCTCGCTGCTGGAGAAGTACCGTGCCGCCGGGGACGGGAAAAACATCGTCCACGTCGTCCACAAGACTCCGGAGGGCGCCCCGGTCTTCACCCCCAATACCCCGCTGGCCGAGGAATTCGACGAGTTGAAGGCCCGTCCGGGCGAGAAGGTGATCCAGAAGGAGGCCATTTCGAGCTTCTCCGGCACGGATCTGCACGAGTACCTGACCAGTCTGGGGGAGAGGGGCAAGAAGACCGTCATGACCGGTTACATGGCACATGTCTGTGTGAGCACCACCGCGCGAGCAGGCAATGACTTGGGGTACAACGTCGTCTTGGCCAGTGATGCCATTGGGGATCGAGATGTAAGTCGTTCATGCGCACCCCAGCCCCTTCGCCAGTGTTCGAAGAAGACAATGGCTCGGTCTACTCGCGCTTCCATGGAACTTCACCACAAAATCCCCTCAGACCAAGACCATCTCTGACCGCTTGTTACCTCGTAGATTCCCGGGTTTGGCGGAGCCGAGGTCACCGAGGCAGTATTGAAGGAATTAAACGATGCCTTTGGGACAGTCATCCAAAGCGCAGAGATCAAGTAGGTCGGGAATAAATGGATAGAAATTCTCATGAAACTTGCACACGCTCATCCATGTCATCGGTTCTGCGCCACCAGATCACGGAGCCATGGAACGGGAAGTTTTTGAGGTCCAACTCGGGCAGGACGGCGTGCTCATGGCTCTTTTTGAACTGGGTCTTCGCTTCAGAGCTTGCATCTGAATCCCTGCCGCCTTGAAGTGAGTGGTCGAAAGATCTGTGCAACCACATCCATGGAGCGCGAGCTATAATCTGGCTCTCAACCTCTTGTTCCGCGGCCGGGGAGTAGACGAACGAATTCCGGTCAAGCAGTTCAAATCCCCGTGGATGATCAATTTTCGCGACATCTATGCTGGCCAGGAAAAGGGTATCGAGCTCATTGTAATACGGCTCCTGGGCATAAGCTCGGACCACATGTCCCTGCACTCGTTCTATCGTCTGGACCACGGTACGGAAAGCCGCCAGTTGGAAATAGGCCGACTCGTGTCTGTCCACCCAGTGAACCGCATCACCGCAGAAGCTGCCTGTCCCGAACACGGCGCAGTTAGAGATGGAACATCCAGAAGTCAAGACTTTGTCCGTCAGCATTTGTTCAAGCTTTCTGCAAAGGTCCGTTTCTAGCCATCTCGCCTGAATCCCAGCGAACTGCGCCCTCATAGTCTCAAGTGTCAATCCTTTCGCGGCCGGCATTGGAAGTGGGAGCGATGGGAGGCGCTCTACGAGAGTAGCGGAGCCCGTCAACCCATTCGGGGCCTGCTCTGACTCGTTCGCGGTCTGGTTCAGCCCGATCCTCAGCGGCGTGGAAGAGCTGGATGTGACCCTCGTCCAGCCATCATGGTCCACGATCTCCCTCCTCTTGCTGTGAAGGTTCTTTTTCTTGCGGCTTGTATGAGGCATTTCGTGAGCCAAGTCCGTGAACTCAACCTCAAGGGGGGAGTCTGAAGGGGTGGCTTGGTGGGCAGCAAAGCGCCAGGCGGGGATCGCGCCGAGAGTGAAGGGTGCGGCGGTCTAAAGGGTGCTGCATACGGGTCGTTGACTGCGAACACCACGCATGCATGTCAAGGCGATTTGGCCTTGTTCGAGGAATTTGTCTGCAGCAGCAGAACATATCTACGTCGGGGACAGAGATAATTAATACTTGGGCCACAAATTGTGACATTACGAAGTGTGATGCCGAAGATCAACCGGCAAGGCTCAGAAGTGCAGGAATGAGGACGTTTTATTGTTCAAACCACCTGTTCTCCCACAATCTCACAACCACTGCTTGTTACCGTGGTGAGACACAAAAGAGCCACCGTTTTCTTCGGCGTTGAAATCATGTATCACCTTCAGGCAGGCTTCGGCTGATTCTCGTGGAGTCAGAGGACCTTTCCACCCCGGAGCGTTCTTCCTGAATTCTGCGATCACTGGGGGCTCTTCTTCTCCCTCCGGCCAGGTTGCCACCACTCCGGGTGACAGTGCAAAGAACAAAATGCCTTCCTTCTTGTATTTTGCGTTATATTTGAAGACCGCCATATTCGCCGCAGCCTTGCTGATGGTGTAAGGGCCATCGGCAAAGACCCCGGAGTTGACGAGATCCGGATCCGCCATTCCACTGGAGATGAGAACGACTTTCTTTGCAGATCCCTTCTTGATGAGCGGAAGGAAGACGTTGATGACGTGGATCACTCCCACGACATTGACGTTGAAAGAGTCGACCAGCCCCTTGTCCAGGACGTCGGGTGCATCTTCGAAGTCGTCCAGACCCTTGCCCTGAGTTGTTGTGTCGATGAGGGCGGCATTGTTGATCAAGTAGTCCAGCGAACCACCGGTAATTTGAGCCACTTTTTCTCTGGCGGTCAACAGCGACTTGTGGTCGGCGACTTCGGCCTGGATCATGGTGACATTCTTGAGGCCATCGGCAGCGACAGACTTGTCTGCGGCAGCTTTGTCGCGGACAATCCCGATGATGGTATTCTCTGGATTTTGGGCCAGATACTTCACGAAACCGTACTACAGAAGAGTTAGTAGATCGTGATTGAATGTTCTGGTTTCTGACTTACTCCAAGGCCACGATTGGCGCCTGTCACCAAGTAGGATGGCATATTGATATCGGAGATTTCGCGAGCAATTTGTTCCTTGGTGTCTGTTCTTGTGAGAGACGTGGTATAAAGGAGATATTGTTGAAATTGCCGATTGATGGATTGCTGTGCACCACGACATCCTTCGGTCGAGTCAGCACATTATATAGACAGGTTCACACACTCGAAGTTTCTATCGGCATGGTTTATTTGTAATCCATGATGCATTTACATCATTCAGTTTGAAAGCTGCACGGCGATGCTCGGTGTTGAGCTCGTCCGGAGGCATTCAAACTGGCTTACTTGAGCCATATCCAAGCCGACGAGGAGAAGCGGACTAAAAGACAGGGTAGACGACGGACTGAACTCCATGGACACTCAGAAACCCAAGTTCACAGACTATACCAGAGCAGTTTCTTGATCATCAAGGTGGATGTTGAAGGCGAGGCTGAAGGGAGTGGTCACGAAGAGCATGGTAGCCTTATCAGAGCGAATGGACGAGATTCCAGAGATGCAGCCCAGAACAGGCCAAATGCAGCAAGGCCGGACTTGGACTCGGCAGCAGCTAACCAAGTCGGCGGTAGCAAGGGCAAGGAACATTTGGCTACACAAAGGGATCGATTGACGTGCCGAACCACGGCTTCAGGCCGGCCATTTCAGCACACCTGGTCGAGAGTAAGACCTAAGAAAAGCTGTTTCCGCCTTCCGGACGGAGTGGTGGCGTGGCGCACTTCTCAAGTGGTGACGGGTGTTGTTTCTCTCCTGACTTGCACAGTGATGCGCAATCTGTGCAGCCGCCGGGAAATGTGTGGTGTTGAGATAAGGCGACATTCTCTACTCGTACCTGCTTAGGAGGAGGGGAGACTCCGAAAGTGCTTGACTTGCTTGACTTGGTGGGCGGGGAAGGGCAACACCGCAGTGTGAGCGAGAGACAGTAAGTGAGGTGGACGGTGGACGGTGGACCAACACCTGCATCTCCCACACCCTTGTCACATCTCGGCGCTTAGCAAGTTGATTTCTATCCAGCTCCAGCCAGCAGCCATCCAGCTCTGTCCACCACCTGCCCACCCCGTCCTCCGCTGGCCAATTGATGTCCACCGACGGGCATTTACCACTTGGTGCTGTCTGGTGCCTTGCGTCGAATCAGATCCGCTATCACAGCTGCGCCAGACCTGTCAACCCTGCTCTTTGCCTTTCACACTCTCCGAAAAGTGCCACCCGCCCTCACAAACCACTCACGGTGCGCCATACACCCAGTGCTCACGTCCCAAGAGCCCAGTCACGGCGTTTCCACGCTTCATTTCTGGGCGGTTGCCCGTCTGGCCTAATCATGCCCTGCATTACCCCATCCCACCTGGCCACAGGGGAAAAGACCTTAATAACAATCCGATGCGCTCGTTATCATGGCTCCTCGAGGGTCTTCCATCTCGACAGAAGCTCCCCACCTGCGACCTCGTTGGCCCTGCCTCTCAAGACCTCCCTCGACCACATCGGCCACCAAGTCAGCAACACTTGAAGAACACTTGACTGTGCCATCTTCGTCTCGACACAGTCGAAACCGCAGTCCTAGGAAGTAAGCCGACACCAAAGAGACGGATTTTGCCAGGATGCCGTGCACATCGACCTCGAGAATGGCACTCGTCCTCTTCTCGCTTCTCAGCCTCGTCTCCGCGCACACAGTCATCACGTACCCCGGGTGGAGGGGTGACAACCTACGGTCGAATGGTACGACAGTAGAGACACATGGGCTGGGGCAATATGCAATTGGAGATTCCGCGGCAGAACAGGACTATCTTTACCCATATGGAATGCAATGGATGTATCCTTGTATGTGTTTCCTGACAATTTCCGTCTTTCACCGACCTGACTGACTCTTGCAGGCGGCGGCATGCCCACCTCGCAAAATCGTACCAAATGGCCGCTAAAAGGCGGTGCAGTCGCATTCCAACCGGGTTGGTTCCAAGGCCACGGCACAGCCTTCATCTACATCAATCTTGGTCTCGGGACAACCCCTCAAAATATGTCCAATGTCATGCTCAACGGAGTTCAAATCATTGGGCCCAGCAAAGATCCATACCCAGGAAGTTTCTGCTTCCCCCAAGTTCCTCTCCCTGCCAACCTCACAGTCAACGTCGGAGATAATGCCACAATCCAGCTCATCGAGACTGCAGTCCATGGCGCCGCACTGTACAACTGTGTCGACATCACCTTTGCGGAACCCGAAGATGTCCCAGAAGTCAATGCCAGCAACTGCTTCAACTCGAGTCAGATCACGAGCGACCTGATCTTTACAACTTCTTCTTTGACATCTGACTCAATAGAATTATCAAGCAGCAGGTATGGCTATTTGAGCACTGCACTGGCTGTAGCTCTTGGCCTGCTATTACTGTAACTATGAGAAAGTTGAGCAAAATATACGCGCCTTGACGAACGGGTTCGGGTGGTATTGACCAGTTGGCTTCTTGCTTCGACAGAACCACCCACATTGGGACAAAGCCCTACCTCTCTACCTCTCTCCTACAGCACTGGAGTTGATATGAAAGGTCAATCCCACGTTCGCTCAAGTCGCGACCTCGGCTTCAAGGCTGACGCCATCCAAAGCTGCCACAGCAGACGAGTAAAGCGATGCCATTTCCTACATCTTAGCGCGCATTTACAGCGGCCGGGGAGGTGGAGATTATTGGATCCGACACCTAGGATAGCGGAACACCGGCGTATAGAAGCAGCGGAGGAGTTCGGTTTCTTGGTGGTCACGACGAAACGAAACCATATCCCGCTTCGCGTCATTGGGACGCACCAACTTCTGTAAAGGAAAGTCAAAGCATGTTATTTTGGATGTCCAGATGTGTCGAAAAAGGATCAAGTTTGGGAACTGGTTGTGTCTGAACTTTTCAAGGTCTTCTGTCCGCCTGCTGTGGGGGAAAGATCAACGCATTGCACAAAGCAAGCAACATGAAGACTCTTTAATACCCTGTAGAGTTACTTCTCAATTTCAGGGCTCATGATTTGATGAAGCCAGTACGAATGGAATCAAGCATGTAGCCACCTACAAACGCAGAATTTCCCGTCGATAACTCCATCGCTCAGGGCCACAGGCGAGCATCACTGTTTTGTTTCCCCTGCCCAGTTGTGAATATCTCATACACACACAAACGACAGCAGCCTTGTGCCCCTTCGTTGGTGTTGTTCACTGACCGTGCCATCTTCTCCATTATCCACGGTCCCCAGTGCCACAACCCTCTGCAACACCCTGTCGATCGAGATCTTGCTGCGTCTCGTCGGCTTCTACTCCAACAACAATCCCATGGACGACGCCTAACTGTCTCTGTCACGCCCATTCAAGAGTTCCGGAGATACCCATCAAACTCTCTCAAGTCGTCCAGAATATCACTGGCGGTCTTCTCTTCTTTGGTAGGCACTGCTGATGGCTGTTTCGGTTCTGGAGTGCTCCGTTCATTGCTCTCCACAGCACTGCTCGGGTCTGGCTTGCGCTTCAACTCGTCATTGTCTGACTTTCCTGCCACGGTGGAAGCTGGGTTCATTTGTACGACAGTGCGACTGTCGTCTCCAAATTGACCTCTGCGGAGTGGCTCGGTGTGCAATACATCTCTGCTGTGGGCACCTTGGGGTTGGTATTCGTGCAGGAATCTCGTTCTGCCGTTGTTCATGGCCACCACAGCTTCTTCTTTGATTGACAACGCCTGAGAGTTTCCTTGAGGCTCACACTGAGCGCTTGAAGATAGCCCAGAGTCGATTCCGGAAGGTCCGCTTCGCTGCCGGCTCGGCGATGATTGCGACGTGAGCGAGTATAGACGCTCGTCATCAGCGACAAAACCTCCCTCAGCAAAGTCTTTCCAACCTCTCCGGAGCTCGCCCTGCTTTTGTGGAGATAATGAATCGGTCTTGAAAATCCCCTGTGATGCCGGGTTGCGAGCTCCGCTCCCTCGGTCTCCGGCCTTCGAGAGTGCCGGGCGCGTCGGAGGCGAAAAATTCATGCAAGGGCCCGAAGCTGAGATACGGCGTGGACCGACACCGCTTCTACTCGCGAGAGGGATACCCTGTAGAGGTAAGCAAGATGCGCTGCCGTTATGGGTGAGCTTCTGACCATTCGTCTGTGAACCCCATACATCCTCATATTTGTTGCCTCTCTCAGCATTCGTATCAGGCAACAATCCAACAGGCTCGCCTGCCATCGCTTCAGCTTGATTGAATTTCGTGAATGCCTCACAAGTGCAGAAGCATATTTGAGAACATAGGCCGCTGCATTCATGGCCACATCGTAGCGTCTTGTAACAGTCGTGTGTGCATTGGACGTCGTCGTGAGAGTCTTGATGACAGAGATGAGGGCAATGGTGACCGCAACGCAAGATCGTCTCGCAAGGCTGCATGCAACCCCCTTCATTATTTTCCCAGTCTACTGGATATTTCATCAAGGTTGTTCTGCCATGTCGCTTACACTGAATGGGAAGAACATCGCCCCGTCGCTTGGGATTTGCTTCGAGCATTGTGAGGACGGTGTTCCACAAGTCACTCCCATTCATGAGAATCCTAGCATTTCCAAAAAGGTAAAACCCGTATTTCGCCCGTGAAAGAGCCACACAGGTTCTGTTGACGTTGGACAAGAAGCCGATCTTGCCTTCTTCATTATTTCGGGCCAGAGACAGAATGACAATGTCGTTCTCTTCTCCTTGGTCTATGGCAAGGTCAGAGTCAAGTCACCAATGAAATCGATGGGGTTTGGAGTTTGCGTGGATTCTGAGGACAGGCCACAAGTGCCAACAATTTGCGTCTTCCTTCGAGAAGAAACAAAACAGAGACTGGCAAGAAAAAGCAGGGCTGGACGAGACTCTACTTACATGAATCGACCGTTTTCACATTGATTCTGCTGACGCTCCGAAGTTCCGGGAAGGCTTTCAACTCAACGAGAATGCGTTTGCGTTGTCCGTTGTAAAAGGTAAGTACGGTAATCTGCGAAGGGCCGATACCATTCTTGTAAAGGTAACGGTAGAACCCAGCAATAAATTTGGCCTCTTCCGGGTTATACGTCGAGAGGGACTCGTCTTTTGCCTCCCACCAGTCGTGGTCGAAGAAGAATGATGTGATCTTGCCCATACCCCAGGATTTGACCGCACGATTGACGACACTAGGATGATCCCTCAAGTGCGGGTAGAGGACGGAGATGAGTCGGCGAAATTCGGGCATCATTCGTCGCTGGTGAAGCAGCATTTTAAAAGACATGTTGTTCCGTACCAGTCTTTCAAACAGTGACACGTTCAGATAGAAAGGTTCGCCTTCTAAATCCTTGACGCTGCAGTGACCTTGAAGCTGTTGATGATCCCCAACAAGGATGAGATGCTCGAGGCTTTCCACGCATGCGACTGCGATAGGTGCTTCCAGAACCTCGGCCGCCTCTTCAATGAGGATAATCTTTGGCTTAACCGCTGACACGAGAGTCCTATATTTGCTCAAACCAGTGGTTGTCATGCCGATAATAGAGGCTCGTTGGAGATGGATAACATCTTGTTCCCATTTGCCAACAAGATTGTCTTTAACGAGTTGGCCGTAGACCACAGCTGCCTCACGGAACTTGGCTGCAATTGCGTCTTTCGCTCGTGACTGGATAACATGGTAAACAGGACCACGCCAGGAGGACGGGATCTTCCATAAATCCGAAACCGTATCCAGCAACTTTGCAGCTCTAGTGAGATCCGCTGGTGACGGGGCCTGCACCATGAATCTGTCATGAAGTTCTTTCCATGGACCTTTGAGCAATTCGATGTCCTCCTCATCATTGACTCCAGTGGAGTCTTCGTTTTCTCTGAGCTGTTCAAATTCGAGATCGTTATCCTCAACTTCCTCGAAGCCATACTTTTCTTGGGTGTAGTTGACCACGAAGGGTACGAGCGCTTTATCCAACCATAATTGCATGGGGCCTTCTACTGCTGTGGTTGTCGAGACCCATTGAGACGCACCATCTTCGAGTGACTGGGCTTGTTGAGCGCTGATAGCCCCTAGCTTCTCGAGCACCTTGGGGCCGGAAACCTGATCCGTGGACCACGGGTCTGGCCCTGACATAGCAAAAGGTTCCAAGATCTCGGTCATGGTGATGATTTGTTTGTTGAGGAGGCTGTTCGTTTTGCCGAGCAGTCCACCTGGCATTGGCTTGAGTCGCTCGCTTTTCCGAACTGCAAACAAAGCCCGCTTCTGAACTTCGGGATTGGTAGAACGGCCTCCCAGTCGAATATAATTCGGTTCAAAAACAGAGATATGCTGCAAAAGCTGATCGAGAGCGTGATTTGTCTGGGCAGCAACGACGATAGGTGGATCCGATGCCGTCGATCGATTCGCATGCAGAATCTCAAGTGCTATTCTCGAGACATATGTCTTCCCCGTCCCTGGGGGTCCCTGGACAATGGCTAGTCGCTTGGTGAAAATCTCTTGCAAAGCCTCCCATTGCGTATCGTCTAACGAGTCAGCGGGAGGTGAAGGCCAATCTTTGGTGACATCGACTTTGGAATATTCTGGCTTCTGCGCCACAGAGGCAGCTGCGCTCAGATCGAGAGTGGGATTCTCATGAATGTAGGCAGGAGGATGGACCGAGGGAGAAAGATGGCAGATGTGATCGCACATGGGGAAACTAGGAGGTATTAGCGCATGAAGGCACAGTTTACATCCAAGGCACGTACGTCTCTTGACTTAGCTTCTGCAAGGCCTTCAATGTGTGACGGTACGCTTCAAAGTATCCTTGCTTTGCTTCGATCATGAGCCACTCTTTTTGAGGGTCGAGCTGGATTTCTTCAGGACGAGCAAAGTAGATGTCGATCTCCGGAGGTTCACACAACAAGCCAGCCAACGGCCTCGCTGCGATCACGGCCACAACCATGTCATTCAAATCTATACCCTTGGTTTTGGCTGGGATGAGTGCGACAATGCTGCCGCTGACCAGTCTTTTACTGTTGGCCCATTTGATGCGTCTTCCTGCCCGGCGCGTTGTGAATTTGATCCTGGCTGCAACTCCTCGACGGGCAAAAGTAAAACCAACAATGTGGACTTGGTCGTACACTGAAAACTTGGTAGTGTCACCCGTCGCTGGGTCCTGACGGAAGTCCTGAATAGCATCACGAAGGCAACCAACGGCGTCCTCCCTGAGTAGTGCATAGTGGGTTTTCAGGTATCTTTCCTTGCTCTTGTAAGGGCTGTCAATCTTGTTTGGCAGGAGAGTGGCTTCTCCAACTGCCAGCTCCTGCTTTGTGGGGATCTCATCCTGAGAAAGCCAGGCATCCTTGTCTGAAGTGGCCCGGATCTGTCTTTGCTTCATGTAATAGTCACGAATGTCCAAACAGAGAGTGGGATTGGGCCTGTCATCAAATGCGTTGCTCACCGCATTGTGAGTGTTTGGATAGCGGCGAGCACTTTTGAAACGTTCCGACAACTCTGTATTCATTTCTGAGGAGTCGTCAGCGCGTTCCATTCAATTAATGTAGAATGAGGAAATTTAGACTCTAGGAAAAACTGAGGCAAGGTGGTCTGTGGTGCTGGGCTCAAATATGGTCTTGAACTCACCTCCAGTCTCAGGCGGGATGAAAGTATTTTTGGTGTCTGTTTCCGTGGGGTGTCAGCCATCAGTCAGGAGAGAATGAGTAGGGGTAAGAGGTGTGAATGAACAGGCTCCGGGAATGTGGATTGGTCATACCAACTGCACTCCTCCTAGATGCATGATTCCCTGGCTCACGCCCACCGTGGGTTGACCGTCGTCTGGACGCCATGGTGCTGAAGCCTTAGAGGTGCATGAGAGGTGATGGAACCTGTGTTAGCCGCTCAGAACAGCCCAGGGGTGCAATGAAGCGATAAGTGATCTCCCAGTCAGTCCAAGGAAGAAAAGCGAACCCGAACGGCTGATGGTGGCACAGACCCAGGGGGCTGGCGTGCAATAGGGAAGACGTGCGTCAAAGAGATGCGTAGGCTGGCGCGGAGTCCGGGCGGTTCAAAGGTAAGAGGCTGTCTAAGACTTTTTCAGTACCTGGATATTCCATATCATGCGATACTTCACGGAGGGAGCTTTCATGCTAGTGGTTTGACGAAAGTACCAACCCAGACATCAAACTAAAGAGGCTTGTCTCGAATCCCGATAGCTGGCAGCAGGGAAGTGTTCCAGGTGGTAGTCTATCCTTCCTGCTTTGGCCGTGGTGCTGATTGGAATATTGTCTTTCGGAACGACAAATAAAGTCGATCTAGGCATACAAGCTGTCCGCTTCCTGGACACAAAGTAGTAAATATCAAGTTAGAATCTGCACTGGGTTGGTGTTGAATGCCAAAAACGAGTCTGAGCACTGGTGCTGTACTTCCGTCAGATAGAATGAGAGTCAGCCTCGAACTCTAGAAAGGCACAGTTATTGATGTAGAACTGTCAAAACATGATGATAGTCAACGACAAGAGATTATGAAAGGGAAGACAGGTATGAAGGCTTTCTGATAGACAACTGTTTGCTTAGACAAACCCGGATCGGAGAATTATATACTCCGAAGACGCTAGACCTGGGACGGGATAGTGCAATAGAGAGCCGCAACCTTAGGGTCTGTCACTGTCTGGGAATAACTCTCACAACAGACGATCCCAAGATCGTTTCCTCTCGATCTATGCACTTCAGCAATTTGTATATAAAGGCAGTAGCCAGCAGTACCTCGCCATTCCATACTGCCACCTCCAGGCTATGAGTCAGCATAATGCCAGCATTCGATGAAGATGACGACCGATCTCAGGATGGCAGTTTCGACAACGACAACGATGAGACAATGCAAGATCTGGATGATGCGGATGCGGATGCGGACGGCGATGGAGACGTGGATCAAGATGTGGACGGCGACGGCGACGGCGACGCAGATTTAGATGGGGACGCTGACGGTGACGGTGACGCTGAGGCTGAGGCCGAGGCTGAGGGCGATGGCGACGGCGATGAAGATGAAGATGCGGAAAGCCAGTCTGAGCAATCCGACAATGAGGACGCCTCTGGAGAACAGAATGCAACACAAGAAGGCACTCAACCGGCTTCGTCTACGCAAGTCGACTCCTCGCGAGCAGCAGCAGCAGAATCGAATATCTCCCCCGAATATCTCGAAGCGTCTACGTATGATATCGTCCCAACCATCGCCGCTCCTCACAGCACATCTATCAATGCTGTCACCACTACTGCAGATATGCGATGGGTTTTTACCGGGGGCTCGGATGGTTATATTCGCAAATTCAACTGGGTTGATTCGGTCAACTTCAAGCTTGCTCTTACGGTGGCTCAACGGCACCCCTTCGTCGACAGTGTGGTAAAAGCGGGAGTTCTGATGACTTATTGGGAGAACTGGGACGCTAGACCAAACACCACGCAAACCCTATCTCCTGTATACTCCCTCGCTTGCCATAGTCAAGGATTGTGGCTACTATCCGGTACTGCATCGGGTCCCATTAGACTGCAATCAACCAGGCACGACGAAGGCAGAGAGATCGCCTTGTTGCAGAAACACACGTCCGCAGTCTCAGTTCTTACAATTTCCTCCGACGAGAAAAGTTTACTGTCCGGAAGTTGGGATAAGACAGTCTTAGACTGGGATCTCAACACGGGTCAGGTACGGACCACGTTCGCCGCCAGTACCAGCCAGATATCTTCCATCGAAGCTCGCCCACTATCGTCGGTGCCTGTTCCAGTCGAATCAGGAGAGGTCGTGGTGACCAATGGAACGTTCTCGTCCAACGATGGTAAACCACTGACCAATGGTGTCAAGAATGAGCCTCCGGATCGCAATACTCAAGATCATCCCACAGTTGCTACTCCAGATTCTCTGTTTGGCGATGATGACGACGACCTCTTTGGAGGCGGAGCAGGGGGAGTAATGGGCAATGGTAGTGACCTGAACGGCGCCTTCGGCGAAGAGGACGATGAGATGTCTCGCGCAATGGCAAATGGTCCGCAACCAGAAGAACTAGTCGATCATCCGATGCTAGACTCTTCAGATCCCGCTGCTCAAGAACCCACAGCTCCGGCTCAAGACGACTCAAATGTCCCAGAAACTGCCCCCGAAGTTGCCAATGGCGTGCAGAGCGCTGTTGAGCAGACGTTCGTCAACGGCTTGCCACATGCAGAGGACCTCGAAAAGCAGGACGACAACCAGAACGAGTTTCAGGATAGTGAAGCCCCGATTACATCTGACTCTACTTTCCTTGCGACGTCTATTGACGGGGCAATCCGTGTCTGGGATCGAAGGCAGTCCAAACCAGTCGCGCGCATTCTATCACGTAACACTCCTCCTTGGTGTCTGAGCGCCTGTTGGTCTCCGGACGGCAACTTCATCTACGCAGGACGGCGAAACAACACTGTCGAAGAATATGACCTACGCAAGGGGCTTAAAGGGCCCGAACGAGTTTTTCGATTTCCGAATGGCAGTGGTGCAGTCACATCAGTCAAGGCCATGCCGAATGGACGCCATCTAATATGCGCTTCCTATGATATATTAAGATTGTATGATCTAAAGGAGTCACAGTCTCAACGATCAACAGTCCCGTTCTTGATCGTGCCCGGCCATCGGACTGGAGTCGTGTCACACCTGTACCTCGATCCAGCTTGTCGCTTCATGCTGTCTGCTGGAGGTAACCGGGGCTGGGAAGGTGCTTCAACCGAGGTGCTCCTGGGCTATGAAATAACTCCTGGCCGATAACCACTATTGAGAGATAATGCCTCTGGCCCGGGTTCAAGTCAGAGGCTGGGGCAGTCTTTCCTTTCTTTGTTAACCCCAAACAATGAGGTGGCAGATTGAGACAATGGAATTCCTGCTACTGAAAAAGCACATCGATTCCATCGATTGTCAACAAAGATCTGGTCGGCTATTGAAAGACTAGACAGTGGTGTCTTCGACAAAGACGATGAGGAGATTGAGCAGTGCTGTCTCTGCGCTGCGCAGTATTACCTAGTGTCTTTCGCTGACGCACTGATCGCGACATTGGGAGGGTGGCCTCCGTTAAAATGTGTGAACTTGTCGCTTTTCTGCCGAGCCTTATATATATCACACGTTGCGAGCATCGACTCTTTTCGACTTTTCACAGTTGACCTCCAGACACCTCACTTTGCATAATCACAACTCACCACACCTCCTTACGATGCCTACCACGCAAGGCTTCGAGTTCCTTGTTGAAGGCGTTGACGGCGTGCCCTTTACCACGTACGGTACAAGATCTTTGTGCGGAAGGATCGTTTCCACCAAAATCCAAGCCAAAGCCGGCGTGAGATTCCACATCCGAGTGAAGCCGCAAATTCCATTTCCTCCACCTAACGACGCACTCTCCTCCGGCCAAAGCAGGTACAAGCCGGGAGCTTCCACGCGACAAGTTGAGGGGGTAGGTGAAGGAGACGCCATGGGCCACGGATCATCAGATGCAACAGCGGAGGCTGAAAAAGAAATCCTTTATCTCGCCATGGTGTACATGGATGGAAACGAGAAGGCCGAGGCCTCAAAACTTATTGTCGTGGATCCTGAGAGCAGAAAATATAAGGCAGAAGGTTACTTGCTTGACGGCCGATACTCTCTTGCAAATGATACGGCACCTCAGACTGGGTCGAGCCTGGGCATCATGGCTGTTATGTCAGTCAGTCCATGGGTATTCACCGAGAGGGGCATCGATGTTCTGATGAGCCGTATGGACATCTCTACAGCAGATCCTTATATCCCGTCAACGGCAATGGAGCAGGAGGTGGTTGTCCTTACGCAAGAAATGAACAACGACAACTTACACGCAGGTGCCGAATCCAAGGTCGGGGAGATTGAGGTTAAGATTCTCAGAGTTTTGCATGATGGCGACGTGCGCCCGGATCTCTACTGGAAACGAAGCGAAGAGGAGACTCCCAAAGAAGACGACGGCAGAACACACGATGTCACCATCGATCAGAATCAGGCGCAGCGCGTCACCATGGCCAGCGTCAAGTACCGCCGGTACCAACCAGATGAGGAATTTCTATGCAAAGCCAAATTCCAATACATGGACATCGCCAAACTCGTCAACCTTGGGTTGTGTAATACAACGGGCGAACCGGTTGACCATCGCCAGAATGCCGTCGATAGTCGCCTGGCAACACTATTGCCTAGCAGCCGTGAAGCGCGCGCCGGCCAATTGAAGCGTGCGAGGGGCTTTGAGGGCAAGGCAGGCAAACGCCGCGAGTCTGAGTTGGCTAGATCCTCGTCGAGCGAGGAAGAAGAATCGGCCTCTGACAAGACGAGCGACTCTGACGTACCTCGGCGAAAGCATCGTGGAGCAATCAGAAGACGCTAAGCTACGACCTCGAAGGCAGCCGACGGACAGATGCAACTTGTCAAGGCAGAGATGGAAGGGGACCAGGCTTGAGGACCAGACCTGGAGCTGGCCAAAATGGACCAGGGCGCGTTCATTGGAGGCTCACGATGAGAACGAAGGAGATGGGTGAAGATGGGCGTGGGCTCGTCATGTTCCCTTTGGCTTAAGACCATGCAGTGCAGAGCGTGCAGTTGGAAACAGATACATGCTTACCCAGCACATGGGGCTGCAATGATATTACCCCATGGCATTCAACGTTATTTTATTGTCCGAAGCGGAGCAAGGGGCTGATTGACTTCCCGTATCGTGATTGGAGAAGGAGGAGCTGCGCTTGCGGTTAGCGAGGCTGAGGCTTGGATGGTTCACAAGGCAACCGATTCCATACCCGCAGTCCGCAGTCCGCAGGCCGCAGGCCGCTCTCACTGTAACGGTCAACTACTCTTCCACTCGTTGCAGCAATGTCCTGCTTCGCCGTCTTTCTCTTCTCCGCGAGGCTTCTCGCTGAGGGCCAAACCACTCGCTGAATGCATTGAATTCCGGCCCCTGACTGTTTTCGAGCGGTTCGCACTCCGGCTGACACTACTGTTTCAGCTTGGCCTATTCTGTTTGGCTGCGCCCCCCTCCACCTCCCAAATATCCATCACCGCTGCAGAGTAGCACGAACTGCGGGCAGACTGCTGCGCCTGTCCTCAGCCCGACTGCAGAAACTCGGTTCTCACTACCATAGGGTGTTCAGAGATCCAGCTGTTACCATCTCAGCGCCTCCTCTCCATCAGACATACATCTCAATTGTTCATGTTCGGCGGTCAAGCAAAGCGCTGCATTGATTGCTTCGACAGACTATCGAGTTCCGCCTGCAATATCACTCCATACACAGAGGACCCTCTTTTTCTCCGTGTTTGCTTGGGAAGCTGCTGTGATCGAGAATGTCGGGTGGCGGAAGGAACTTCTCCTTCGAGCCCGAAGATGACCACACTCTGAACCTGCACGGACGGGACGCTCAGGCCCAGGGACAGGAACAACCGCATCTGTCTTACCAACCCTACCAGCAGCAGTCATACCATGAGACCCCACCCAGGGATTTTGTCTCTCCTCCTCCCAGATACGCCTCTGCCTCCCCGAGTCGCGACCAACAACTCTCTCCTCCCACATCCCCCCGTCGACGCCCTGTCCCTCAAGACACACATCTCCTCACCGACGTCTCGCCCCCCCGAGCGCTTTCACGACGGCCAGTTCCTACAGACTACAACGACCTAGACCCTCCTCCACCTCCTCCACCTCACAGGTCTAGTCCCAACCGACTCGCGAGTGACGATCCCTTGACCTACAACCCCTACTCGGACAGGTCTGCAGGAATGGACTACTCTGGCAATGGGGTACCAGGAGGGGGATTCAACCCAGTTGCACAAGGCGTTGCCGATCACCATCTCCGTGATGGTGGGCTTGAGCCTGCTCGCTCATTTCCCCAGTCCTATTCTCCATACCAACAACCACAGCCCTCCTCACGGCTACCCGAACGAACATCATACGGCTCAACATTCGCTCTTGCCCATGGCGCCGCCACCCCTGGCACCATCACTCCTTCTCCTTCTCCGGGGCCCAGATCCTCTGGCTACTCCGGCAGAAGCATTCCCTTGGAAGAATATCATTCAAATCCCCACCAGTCACAATCCTACCCCAGCTACCACGACCTTCCCTATCAGCCAAATAACCCTGGCGGCTTCATGAACCAAGTCGATTTCAACCCGAACAATATCCTCGACGATGGTGATGACGGCATGCCACCGGCTGCCGGGCAAAGAGGCATCGGAAAGCCTGCGGCTACCACTGCAGCTGCTGCAGGAACTGCTGGTCTACTTGGAGGTCTCTTTGGCCGCAAATCAAAGAACCACACTCCTAGTGGGACGTACGATGCGGTGAGTGCGGCTCCTAAACCCGAGAGGAGTGAATGGTTGGCAGAACAAACTAGAGGGAAAAGAAAGATGAAGCTGTGGGTGGGCGTCGCTATCGGCCTTGTTATCGTCATCGCCATTGTCGGAGGCATCCTGGGTGGTGTCCTAGGCTCAAAAAGCTCGGACAATTCCAGTTCGTCTAGCGGCGACACTAATAATGCAGCCTCAGACACTGAGGCGAATGGAGATCTCGACAAGAATTCGGCAGAGATTAAGGCTCTCATGAACAACCCGGATCTCCACAAAGTCTTCCCGGGGATGGACTACACCCCCTGGGGTACTCAATATCCGCTGTGCTTCACTTATCCTCCCTCCCAGAACAACGTCACGCGCGACATGGCCGTCTTGTCACAGCTTACCAATGTGGTCCGACTCTATGGCACTGACTGCAACCAAACCGAGATGGTGCTCCACGCCATTGACCGTCTTGATCTCACCGACATGAAGCTCTGGATGGGTGTTTGGATTGACACCAATCAAACCACCACAGATCGCCAATTGGACCAGATGTACAAGATTCTGTCGGAAACCAAAGACCTCTCGGTGTTCAAGGGCGTCATTGTCGGCAATGAAGCTCTCTATCGTGCAGGTGTGGACAAGGCACAATCAGAGCAGGAACTGATCAGCATTCTGGACGGTGTTAGGACAAAGTTCAAGTCTCTCGGTTATGATCTCCCCATTGCAACGTCAGATCTAGGGGACAACTGGAACGCCCAACTCGTGCAAGCCGTAGACTATGTCATGTCGAATATCCACCCCTTTTTCGCTGGTGTCACGGCCGAGGTCGCGGCGAGTTGGACCTGGGATTTCTGGCAAAATCACGACGCCATTTTGACCGAAGGAATGCCAGATGTCAAGCAACTTATCAGTGAGACTGGATGGCCCAGCGGAGGCGGAGAAGACTGTGGAGGCACTGACGGATCCTGCGCGGCTGGGCAGAGCGGATCTGTTGCGGGTGTAGATGGCATGAATACCTTCATGGACAACTGGGTATGTCAAGCATTGGCAAATGGGACAGAGTATTTTTGGTAAGTAGCATCTCGCCGGGATGTTCGGGCGGTCGTGGACTGACACTGGAATGACAGGTTTGAGGCATTTGACGAACCTTGGAAGATCATCTATAATACTGCCAGCCAACAGTGGGAAGACAAGTGGGGTCTCATGGATCCAGGCAGGAATTTGAAGCCGGGCCTGAAGATTCCTGACTGTGACGGGAAGACTGTTGGATCTTGAATCGAATTGGGACGGCGCAGGAATGGGCTTTGGGGGTCGATGTTGGCGCAGCAGTCACTTCATGAACCAGCCTATTTCCTGGGCTCGTTGGACACGGTCTATGGCATGATATCCACGTTGCAGCGTTTTAGGTATTTTACTGGGAGGACATCTGGATCCGTGCAGTCCGCAGCGGCATCGTTATACGTATCCGTTATGCCCCGGGAAGTTGGCCGGCCGGGACGGTGTTTTACGGACAAAATTGAATATGTGGACGGTATACGAGGTTGATGGAGTCATGTCCACGTCTTTGGATGCAAAGGAAAAAAGGTCACGGGCCCAGGGACTGCATGTATATTACTGGCAAGGCTTTATGGAAAACGTACAGGGTAAAATGGCGGTGGTATAGTTTAGTGTATATGGAAACCTGGACACCGACCGACAAGGGGAGTTGCTAGTGCAGAGACACTGTACCATACATAGCATTCTATCTTGCTGGGGTTTCAACTTCGCCTTATCTGGCTGCCTACCGCGGTGACTAGAGTGACGGCGGTGGCTTGGCTGACCGGCTGAAAACACGTCTTCAGGTGGGTAGGTAGATAGACAGGTACGTACGTACGTACGTATAATTATGTTATTGAGACTGCCAAGGCAAATGGGGGAAATGAATGCATGGCCGAAAAGGGGGTTATTGGGGAGAGAGAGAGAAAGGGGGGTCCGGTGTCCAGGGGTGATATATGTATAGGGTATGTATGCGCCGAGCATAGGGAAAAGGGGTAATAAATACCTCGTACAGCTACTGTAGAGAGCAGAACGAGAAGATAAAAGGCCAAAGATCCAGCAGACAGCAAGCAAGATAGTAATGGCATTGTGTCCTTACTTCTATTCCCCCCCCCCCCCCCCCATCTCCCCCCCATTCGCACCCATCCCAATTCCCACCATGAAAAAATGATCCGTGATTGACGGAAGTTCCTCCTCCTGTTTGAATGGCGTGGTCCTTATCCTTTCCATTTGCCTTTCCCTTTCCATTGCATTGCGTTGCATGGCATGCCAGAGCAATGCCTTCCTAGCCATCCTGCCCAGTTTGAGCTCCAGGTACATACATTCCTTCACTAACTCGCTTCCCCCCTATTCCTTATACCAATATGCCCATTCCCAACTCAGTGCCCATGGCCATTCTTGTTCCCAATTGTCCCTCCTTCGCGGCCGTGCCAGGCCAAAATGCTCAAAATCACTGAATCCGCCCAGGTGAATATAAAAGTATTCAAGACAACAAAGAAGGAAAAAGGTATCATGAATGCGTCCAAGTAAACAAAGGCTGCTCCCGCCTCCCAAGATCCCTTCTCCCACATCCGCTGGCCGTGCGAAATGAAAACACTTTCGTCCCTCACATTTGATGGCCAATCGCAGTCCGCAGTCCGCAGTCCGCCCGTCCTTGCACTGGCAGAACCAGGTTGTAGATGAAGTAACAAAAAGGAAAATCGGCCGTCTCTGCAAAATCGTTCCATCTCCCGTTTCCCAGTTCCAGTCCCAGCCCCAGTCCCAGTACATTCCCAACCTATCACCTCGCGGAAGGAACCCGGCGACAAACTGCACACTCGCCACTGATGCTCTTGCTTGGTTGAGTAGGCTCTCTGCGATAAAAAGAAACAATAAAATCGACATCCGCCTGTCACCTGTAACAGACCTGTAAAAGCAAAACAACGCAAAAGGGTATCCGTAACATGCATCTTTTTCTCCCCCCTAAACCGCAGGTTCTCATATGATGAGATGTGAAAGCCGAGTAGGCACAGGTTGAAGAATATTCCACTCTTCCGCCCTGTACGGATCTCAACCATGACGTGTAAAGGTCATTCATCCCACCGGACTCTTCTCGGAACAACAAGTTCGCAAATCCAAAAACGACACATGGGCCGGCCAAAGATGATTAAGACGGCAACTTGCAAGTTTTGAACGCATGGCGCACAGCGTCAAATATCCGACTTTTTGTGTCTCACCCGGCAGCGTGATTATACAGTGCATCGCTTGGGTGAGTTGGAATAATGTACAAGTCCAAAAAACTGTACTTCGAGGTATCGCTAGGTGGTGCAAAACAAATATGCGGGTGTGTTCCGCCGAGTTGCAGTCGTCGTTTAGTCCGAAGCAGGCACTGGCGTCGCCGGTGCTTGCGTAGCAGCTCTGGTTCGTTCGAGCCACTTTCTCTTGCCGGGTCGAATTTCGAGGTGAGCTGGGATATGGGTTGGATCGGAACCGGATGCGAGGAGGGCACTTCGTTGCTTGCTGCGGTAAGCGTCGACTGCGCAAACGTCAATGTTTCAGCGACATATCAACCTGCGAATCACTCACGGGCTCGAGCAAGGAAGATCGATCTGCCCGAAAAAACTCGACCCTGTCCCCAAGCCATGCGATATCCCAATTCATTGATCTTTTGCTCCCGGCCTCTTTTGCTTCTAGAGATCAGGGGCACAGACACCTCAGCTTCGCCATCCGTGGTCGAAACCGAGACGGATGTTTTTCCAATCGTCGGCACACCACTGTCAACTTCATCCCCTTCTTCGACGAAACGGGCCCCTGGCGTCGATTCGGAACCAGTCTGCATCTGAACCGGGAAGTATGCTCGAGGAAAGACAGAGTTCTGCTTGCGGTAGGAATCCGGGATCTCACTCATCTCGATTTGATCCAGAGTAACCTTGACTCGCACGCGGGCATTTTTCTGCGTATCTTCCACCAGAATGAATTTTCGTCGTTTACCTTCAGGCAGCTCTCCGAATAAGGCATTTTCCTCCTCATTCTTCTCCTCTTGTTCTTTTGAGGCCATGGCAGCCGTCCCTCCCGGCCGTCCGAGATGATGGAGACCTCCCTGCATTGATGGTGCCATGGACGGTCCCATGGAAGGAGCTAGAGACGCTGGGTAGCTTGGGTAGCCTGTGAAAACATGACTTTGGCGTAAGTCGTTCGGACTTGTCATTTGCGGCGTTACAGTATTTTGCCGATAAGTTTGTTGTGCGGGATTATAGGTAGGAGCTGCTGGAATGTTAGCTGAAAGCTGAATTTTGCCTAACGTCTTCTCTGGGACATGTGTGGGAAAGGGAGGTACCAGCGACATGGTTTTAAAGTTTACGTACCTCCAACATTCTCATGCCCGGTAGGAGACACATCCTGGGCGTGATGGAGCATCTGAGATGGTGTACTGGACAGAGAACCGGGAGCCCTGACCGGGGGAGCTGCCATTGAGTTTGGACCAGGAAGCCCTGTCGACACGGAACCACCCGATCCGGGCGCCTTGCCCAGGGACGAAGGTGTCATTTTGGACCTGTTTATCTTGGCTTGTCGCCGGACGCGGCGGCTTCGCAGTCGCGGGTCTTGGTTGCTGTTTCTCCAGCTGTCCACGGCCCTTTGGATCAACCCTCTCTTGCCTCGGAGACACGGATTCAGCTCTGCCAACGCCCAACCCACATGGTTGCAGTCTGTTTCATAGGTCAATCGGTTTCCTTTGTACTGTTCCTTTGGTACACAAGCTCGTGGGTAGACGCAATTTTCGGACTTGAATTCCTGCGACAACACTGTGGCATCCACCGACTCGACGTCACACCTGATAGTATACTCCATTTTGACGCGATCTCTGGAGTATTCGAAAGCTATCCACTGCACACCGTTCCCGTCTTGTCGGATCTTCAAAGGTGTCGTTGCAGGGATAGGTCCAGGCGCTGCATTCGAGATTGGCTGTAAATTTGGCGGCATTTGCTGATTTGATGACTGTTGCTGCTGCTGCTGCTGCTGCTGTTGCGCCATTTGCTGTTGCTGTTGTTGTTGTTGCTGTTGGTGTGTGGATTGCTGTTGAGCTTGTTGTTGTGGCAGAGCCGAGGGCTGGGGAACCGGAGTCGGATGTTGTTGTTGCTGCTGTTGTTGAAGCATTCCCGGTCGCGGCTGGGGGGTTTGTTGATAATGCTGGTTCGCCTCCGACTTTAATCTTGGACTGCTGGAAATGGTGGAATGATGCGATGCCACCTGGGGCTGAGCGATTTGGGTAGTCGTCGATTGATATGGAAGCATCGATTGAGAATTAATCTGGTGTTGCTGGGGGGTTGCATGGTGTTGTCCGTAGGCCGGCTGGTGTACCGAATTCATCCCATACTGATAGCCATAGAGAGGCTGGCTCAACTGAGAGGCTGGCTGAGCATACATGGGCCGCGCAGGATCGTGAGTCTGAGGTGAGGTGACTGAAGCGGGTGAGTTCGACTGTGGAGTGTGATAAATTGGAGGGTAAGGCCTCTGCATGGTCGCGGTTGCTGCTGCCATAGAATCGGATTTTTCTGGATCTGAATCAGCTCACTGAGAACTCTAGCGATTCCGCTCGCGCCTCAGACTCACCCGGAGGATAATAGGCTCCAGCACCGCTATGCTGGCTTCGTGGGCTTTGCGTAGGAGGGTAAAAGTTCGGTGGGTCGGTAGGGGCGGGTTGCGCCTGGAATTGAGCCTGGCTATTGAGAAATGGCGACTGGAGACTGGGTTGAGGCGGATAGATGTTCGGCGACGGATAAGGTTGCTGAGTATTTTGAGTTCCGCTCAACGTCCTTGTTTGCGATTGTTGCTGGATGTGATGCAACGGTGCAACGGTCGAATATGGCTGTGTGGTGCGATGCTGCATGGAGGATCCATATGTCAGCGCAAGGTCGTGAAGGAAAAGAATAATGCGCAACAGAGCAGATTCGCGTCAACGTTTGAGGAGGAAACACGCCCTTGGGACAAAGGCCAGAACGAAAAGGCTCAGGCAACGGTCAGATCGCGGTCGAAAGCAACGAATTTTGATTGACCAAGACCAGGGGGAAGTGTTCGTGATTGGGATGGACCTCTCCCCCCCGGTTCATAGTGGAGAGCCAGGGGACCTCAATAGATCCTGAATATTTCTTCGGTAAGAAGCGAGGATCCTGACTTTGTGAAAGAAGAGAGTTTTGGAACACACGAGGCACGCGCCACCGAGGGCACGAATCACTGGCAGTTGATACAATTTGTTCGTACCTGTAGAAGCAATGGCAGCAGTAGCAAAGTAAGGCAGGGGCATTGGCCAAGGTGCCAGGGGATGTTGAGCGAGAGGACAGAGGGGTTTGTTCGCGGCAATGGGGATAGAACCAGGATAGGATGCGGCGAACAGACAACGCTTTAAGACTGGATCGAAGTTGTTGAGGTATGTCCAGGGTGTGGATATGATGGAGATTCGAAACGATGAATGGATGGTGTGGGAGGGGTTAAGGCGGGCATGTGATAACGGGTAGGGCAGCCACCAGGGAGTGTGGGCAGACAGGGGGGGTGTGCGCTTCGGAAACCAGCATACCATGTACTGAGATTGTCGCCGTTGAGTTGAAGCCAGGGAGTCGAAGTTTAGTTGGCTGGACAAAGTGTGGTGGAAAGACGGGGGTGGAAAGAATAGGGTGTGCCTCTGTAAAGTAACCAGGACATGTAATGGAGTGGGTGTATGTTTTGACTGTCGGAAACGGCAAACACAGAGGAAGTGTGGACGTCAGACGTGGCGGTGCTAGGGCAAAGGGGGAGGGTAGTAGAAAGAACAAGTTTTGGCGAGAGTAAAAGAGATGGAATGATGCAAAAAAAGCCGAGGGGCAAGGGCTTGTAAAAAGACGATGAGGAGAGGCCGTCGATGGTGTGGATTTGTGCTTTCGAAACTTGTAGCGTGCAAATCAAGTGGATCGATGGCGCGGGAGCTTAAGAGTAGGGGCGCTGGCAGGCGACTTGAGAACCTGGCCAGGGTTGTTGGAAGCGTGAGTGCTTGGTCCTTGGGTCCTTGGGTCCTGGGGGAAGAGAGAGAGGAGAAGTCGTGCCAATAGTGGAGGCGGGAGCGGTCATCTGTGTGGTGGATTCGGGAGGAGCATTGGACAGGTGGATGGGAGCCCTGGTCCAAGCGTCGAGTGCTGGCGTCGTTCTGGCACTTTTGGTGCGTGAAGAGCCGGTCGCAGAGGGGAGGGGGGGGCCACAAGCGGGCTAATCATAGCTGCCCGAGGGCCAAACAGGACCCGACAGAGATCAAGCCAGTCGCGGTCGCGGTCAGGATCCTGGCTGGGCAGATGCAGACCAGGGCCCGGAAAATAGAGCAAGGAGCACACGACGACCGGGGTCAGGGTAGTCCACGAACCAGGACCAGGGTGGCAGCCAAGCACGCAGAGATTGTTGGTGGTTAACCGCACATTGGAGGACCGGCATTGGGCCAGATGGGCTTCAACGGTCAGACCAGGATGTGCCCTTGTAGAGAGGGAGAAAGTTCACTCATGACAGGTGATTGACATGGTGCGAAAAGCGGGAAGGGAAGGAGGCACACAAACCACACAGAAGAATGGAAAACCGTTGCTGAGCCACTAAAACGAACAGGAAAGAGGCTGCGATGAACAGATTGACTTACGTGCAATTTAGCATCTGCAGCGGCGCCGTGGATTTGCGCAGATCCGACGCTTGAGCCGGACCCAGGCCTAGGCCCAGGACCAGGTGCAGGTTCGGGAGCTTTTGTTGGTGCGACCGCGTGTGGGAGGTTATGGAGAGGTTGTTGCTGAGCATGAGGGTGAGCATGACGAGTGCTATTCTTGAAGGCGTTGCGCGCGGTCGCCAGGTGGTGCGCTTGTTGAGGATGGTGGTGCGCCAGGGCTGCATGCACTTGTGAATTACCCAGACTGGCAGCATTGAGGTTCAAATTGGCAGGGCCAGATGATTTCTCCGAAGCGACGGCGTACTTTTTGCTCTGGGTGGGCGCCATGGCGCGCGGCGGGGGGGGGACCCAGGACCCAGGCGTAGCAAAGGAAAATGAGAAGGGGGTGACGAGTTCAAGAATTGACCGGGTGGCCGAAGTCAAGGGTTTGGGTTCGTCTCGGATGTCGCTTTCTGAGGCAGATCGGAAGTACTCCGTAGGGCGCGCTGATTAGAGGAGGAGGCGGAGGAGGAGCTTGGAGCTGGAGGGGCTGTTACAAGGATTGAGGTGTTGTGGTCGAAGAGGCGAGCGCTTGTCGCATCAAGGGCAGCAACAGATGGGTCGCTGAGTGGGGAGAGGGAAGGAAAGAGGAGGAGAAGCCGATAGACAGTCGTAGGGATGGAGCAGCGATACTAGTACAGGGCTGGGCCGGGGGTCCCAGGTGGAAAGAAAGGGCCAGGAATAATAACTCCAAGGGAAAATCCAACAAGTATCAGACGGGAAGATAATTGTGCGATGGAGGTTGAAGAACATCGCAATTCGAGGAAGTGGTCAGAGAAACGGGACTGGCTGGAACTGATTACTTGTCTCCGAGGTGGGATGCTCACCAACGAGCTGCAGCATTATTATTATTCTGTCTGTATCGACATGACTTGGCTGCTAGCGGGAAGAGTGATGGGAAAAGACAAAATTCATAGAGCAGCGGAACTACGGTCTGACAGGGACGGAGCTGCCGCTCTTTCATTCCTGCTCTTCCTCAGCTGAAAGATACATAACACCGCTCTCCCGAAGGAGAAGATCGGTGAGCGCAGACAAGGACAAAGTAACCTATCGACCGAGAACGGTGGGCTACAACGGTCAATTGGGGGTTGATAAGTCCGTGTCAGACATCAGGCGATGCTCAGGAGAGAAAACACCAAGCAGTTGCATAACACCCAAACCACATTACGAGTACTACTCCGTATACCTCCACAGGTAGGTAACGTAGCAAGCTGCGTTGCAGTATAACGAGTACCTACAGACTTCGGATGCGGGTAATTCAATTAACACCCCCCCCCCTGGTGTCGTTCAGTTCTCCCCGAATAAACTTCTGGAGGGTTTTCCAGGGTGTTCTTGGAGGGGGCAGGTGGGAAGAGGCGGCGCACTGACCTCTCGCGTCTCGTGGGAATCCCTGTAATTTCCAGCAGACCCCCTCTACGAATAGGCACTGTGGGCTTGTGGCCCCTGCTGGAGCCTGCCGGGACCTACTGGGTCCGACCGGGGTCTGACTGCCCCAAAACAACACCCAGCGGCCCACCACAGAGTTTGAACTCGAAACGCCTAGAGGTCATCAACGGCGCTCCGGCGATCATCACGCTAGCCGACTAGTCGTTCTGACTGCAGCCCAGCATGCAGCTTTGGCCACAATGGGTTATGCCGTATGCAACACGCAACGCAGCTCTGCATGCTCGTATGTCTGGAGGTTGCTCCAAGTCGACTACCTGTCCAGTCAGCCCCCCGGCTCAGATGCCACACAGTTCATCCTTCTGCGCCCCTCAATCGACATCTGCAACAGACTGGCCAGCGCCTCCAAAAGCCCTCTGGCGATACCTCTCGAATCACATCCTGCTGCGGAGATTACAGAGATCGAACCTTCTGCTCCCCTCGTCATCGAGCCCTTCGAGCCATCGAATCGATCATCGTGCGGTCAAGGGAAAACGAGAAAGAAAAAGGGACCAGCTCCACACGGGCTGCCCTCGACGCGTCTATCATTGCTCACGGGAAATAGTAAAAGGGAAAATGAGGAGGTCTCCTTCCTGCATGTCTCGACGTTAGCCTGTGCATAGATACACACATAGTTGCTGCGACAGCCAACCCACCGTCTTGTCTCTCAATCCCGGATCCCTGGAATTCTTTCTCGTCTTGGACGCTGCTTCTCTGCCTCCTTCGCTTTCCTTGAGTCTTTGCCATCTTCAGAAGCTCACCTCCAAACGTCTCCAATGTCTCCGCTCAGTGGCGAATGATGCTTTGTGGCCATTCCTCGAGCTATGCCGGAACCAGCCTTAGGCCGGCTCTGCAATACGACCCGTGAGCACGAACTTGCCATGTGTGGCCCGGCGTTGATCCTGGTTCTGGCTATTAGCAGCGTCGATCTCGGGGTCAAAGGGGACGCCCCAGTCATCACCACTCCCGCCCACTTCTCAGCGACTGAATTGCCCGAACAGGCACTTTTAAAATACAATGCCTGAACAAACTGGAATTTTCGTGATGCGTCGCTTACGCAACGCAGGCGTGTCTGCCCGTTGCTATTGGGCGTCGCCATTGGGTCCCTGTGCCCTGCACACTGGTAGCGCTTCTTCTTCCCAGAGCTACACCGACTCAGAATAGCAGCTGGGAAACATAGCATTTCAGCTTCCGTTTGTAGACATGACTGGGGCAAATCAGCGTGTCCCAGTGCAGCAAAAATGCCACGACCGCAAACGGCCAATAATGGCCGCCAAGTTGACAATGATCAACCCTGGGAGCCCCAGCGATGCGGCAGTGGCGAATGGGCAATGCTGAAGCGGGCGCTGACCGGGGTCTTCGCTGGGGCCCGTCTTCCTCCTGGTCGCCTGCCTTTGATGCCCATCACCCCGGCTCTGACCAACTGGCAGGGCATGCAAAGCCTATTCAACCCCCCTGGTTGGGACTGCATCAATGGCAACTCTTCACGACGTCTTCCAAAAGAATCATTATTGTCGCCAACCCCAATACTCGGTATATGCAGTTTGCTCAGCCTTGTTCAAGATGCAGATGACGGAAATACACTCAAGTCTGGTGCGCATGGGGGCCGGAGGATTGCTCTGGGGATCGGTCTCAGGCCAGTTATGTATTTATACATATCAATAGCACGGATTGCGAACTCGCCTCGGGGAAGCATTAATAATAGAAGCTGCCTCTCTTTGGCAAACATCCTGTCACCCAAAAAGCTTACGGAGAGTGTGACCACTTCTCGCACGGCTCTGTTCAACAGCCGTGTCTGTGTCACCTTCAGAGATTCCACCATAAAGATAGCATAGCGTTGCGAGTATTCCCACTGCTGGCTTTGGAGCACCTACTCCCAAACTCCGTCGAGATTGCCGGCGGGTTTGTGCTCCCAGCAGTGTGTCTAGGCAGTGGACAAGCGTGTCAATGTTTGTTCTTTGGGCTCAGCAAAGCCAGTCGGAACCATGATCCGCCGCTGCGAGTAGGATCCCCCGGAGGAGCAGCTCTCGACCTCGATGAGAATGCGGCACGGGGAGGTCTCGTCACCGGAGCGCACCTCTGGAGTCATCTCACCAGAAAGCAGATGTGAAGATTGGCTTCGGTCGGTCAGTTGACAACCCCGGCGGCTGGGGTTCACGGTCCTGGATTTGATGTCTCATGTCATGTTGTTTGCCCTCTGATAGCTGTGCAAGACTATGGGGACGAGTATCCACGGGTTCAGGACGGATTTGGTGAGTCGAGATGGAACGGGTGAGTTCCTTTGCCCGGCACTATATCTCGACATCTCGGCATCTTCCAGCGCGACTAATTGCAGGGTCAATGGTGGGCAGATCAAGACTCACCTTTCTGACGCCCGTTTCCATGCATGTTTGATTGACCACCGTCTCACGTTCTAGACCAGCGTGAGATCCAATCTCGATGCTATCGGCTTTGCCCCCCGCAAACAAGCCTCAGGAATGCATGACATGGCCCAACACTTTTGACCCAGACGGAGAATGCGTCGCTGGTCCCCTGGCGGTTCAAGCCATGGCGCAAGCCACCTGCGACTTGGAGGATTGCAACAAGTATCTTGAGTAAAAAGCAACGACGCCCCACCAGATGGTGGCAGACTTGCGATAGGGTCAGCTAGCGTCACTGACGCCTACCAAGCTTTCTTCCTCCCGGCGCGCGTTAGCCCTCGCACCTAGTGGCCCTCCAAAAAGGTTGGCTGTCATCACGAAAGCAAAGTTCCTTTACGTGATGACTTTTAGCGTCCCCCTCTCCCATCGGCCATAATCGCATGAAATCAGCTCGCCTTCAGCATTCATACTTGCTCCTGACGGTGGGTAAGTGGTTGAGACTGCCGCTGTGGGCCTGCAATTGTACTCGTAGACAGCTTTTAACCCAAAAGAACGTCCTGTGGCGCAAAGTCACCACGGCCGTCGCCCGAGTGCCTGTTCAGACAGCGAGGTCTGTATTACTTTTGGAGTTGAAATTACCGCGTGTCGGCTTCAGATGATACAGAAGCGAGATCAGCTGTCGGCCCTCGACCTTTATCCGTCGGAGAGCATTCTAATGGCCTGACAGTTTGATCAAGACTGCCTTTGCGGACGACTCTTTGAAGAGCACGGAGGAGATATCCAGAGATCTTCGGATCGTCATTGTATATGCCCTTGGCACTTGGTTGTATTGCGTGGACCACGGCGAATTGATCCGTGGGAGAATCTAGGGACACCTTGTCGTAGGACTATCGGACTGTTGCTTCTCCTGCCACTTGCATCTCACCCAGACCTAGGGCGCTGTGGCGAACAGCACAGATGTGGGTTCAAATTTACAGCCGGCAGCGGCGGAATTGCAATCCCCTTCCAGCTCGCGATGGTTTATACCATATGCGTGATGCATCAGTTTCAGCCGCACCCGTGACTGCCATTCTTCAAGTCAACCGCGAATGTAGTATCTTGTAGGCAGCTCACGAGAAGAACTGATTTCTGATCGCCCACATCAAAGGAAACGACATACTGAGGTCTCGGCATGGTTGGAAACATGCCCGTCTCAATCTTCCCGGCCATGACGGCATCTGGAATCGGCCGACAATCAGTGTCAGAATGCTCCCTTCCAGATAGTGTTTGACGTTGTACGGACTAATGACAATATTCTCGAGTGACTAATCGCACGAAGGGACGTGCTATGAATACCTCGTACTCGGTACTCTGTAGATGCGAAGAAAATCCTATCTCAGCGTCGAGGAGGTGCCCCACGAGCCCAGTACTCGTACGGAGCGTTGTGGCTGGCATGCGGATTGGCGATTTCCGAAGCTTTTGGGCTTAAGCACAGATGAAATCAGCTGGCGCTGCAATTTCATGCAGATCACCTTCCTCGCACAGCTTTTTCCGCTCGCGGACGATTCGCTGCCCTTGCTCCGGGTCTAGCTTCCTGGCGGCGATCGCTGCAGATTCAAGGGGGGCCCCCCAACACGCTGAAATGATTGGGGGATCGCGCGCAGAAGAAATGGCAGAACCCAGCTGAACCTCATTCATCAAAGTTCTTGTGATGATAATTCGGCTCTGAACCGAGGCATCAAGGCCCAATTGAACAAATACGTTGGGTACCGATCAGCAACGATCAGCAGAGGTGTGTTCAGGACAGTGCAACGTCGGCGATGTGTGTGGTGGAACCGAGACATAGATGGTCCATGGCGTCGGACCCAAAGAAATCATCATCGTCACCAGACTTGTTTTTGCGGGTTTCGGACGTCTGCAGTGCTGTGTTATTGGGTCGCCGCTTGACTGGTTGAGCAGCAGGGTAATTGCAGCAGATGTTTGACACTATCTACGCGTGGAGCAGAGGCATTTGTGTGAGCAGATATTGCTGATGCTGTTTCTCGCTTGCAGGTAGCGATCCCTCGCTTGTGTTGTCTCGAGTGGCATGCCTCCTCATTATTACAAAGGGGCTGCTGGAGTATTGTTGAAACTCACATCCCTGGATACGACTGGCAAGTTGATTGACAGATAACGTGGTATGCAGGACCCTTCTTGGCTGATAGACCATGGCGCACAACGTGTTCGTGTCGATCAACCACGCTTTTCCACGAGTTCTGCCACGAGAAGGGATTTCAAGGGAGGGAGGCCATGGAGCGCCGGAAAGGCCAGGGTTGGCTCGGCTGAGGGGAATGATCTTCAGGTACTAGCTTGGGCGAGGGTGGTAGCACGGAGCCGGGGAGGCGGAAGAGCGAGGACATCGTTCGGTAGACACCAGGGCTTGGGTGGAGGATCGCTCGAGTACGCCAGCCAATTCTCGAAACGAGGTGTAGAACTGTGCGAATGGCATTCAGCCGATGACCTATCAGGCCAAGAAGGAGGCTTGATGTTGACAGGGGCGCCGGCGAGTTAAGGTTTGTGTCGCACCCCTGGAGAGCTGCTCAAGAGTGAACTCATGTCAGGAGGACAGACGGTGTGGAAGACACGATGGCGATGGCGACGGAGGGAGACGCGGTCGATCCCATGGTAGGGAAACTGCAGCCGGGGGAGTGCGAAATTGGAGCCGTCTGACAGAAAAGAATATCTGGGTCAGGTGTGGCTTGACGCGCCGAGGGCGCCTGACAGATCCGAGACTGTTCACGTGACCGTCGACTAGAGGACTTGGTCAATAAATGCCCCGACACACGTCATCATAACACATGGACACCGGTTCAGAAATTCGACTGATACAGCAGTAGATTCTCGCATCTCACAGCCAGAGAACATCTCCCTCGCTCTGATAGTGTCGATGACCAGAAATCGCAGTGCAGTTCTAGTTGCACATCCCTTCAAAGACCCGCACCCGCTCTCACATTCCTTGCTCAAACTCTGACAATGATTCTCCTACTGCGTCCCAAATAGAATGCATCAAACTCGAATAGCAAAATCAACGCCCAGTCGTCCTCATATATCCCCTCTCATACAAGATAACCATACTTTCATCGCACATTCACTCGTCTCTCGTGCTCATACCTGCCTTCATACATTCGTGGAATAGTTACCGGCAGTGGGCTCAACCCTGATATCTGGCACAGGTATTCCTGGTGGCTGTTGCTGCTGCTGAGTTGGTGGAGGATATGCTCCGGCAAATGGAGGGGGCTGTTGCGCTGGTGCGCCACCAGGCTGTCCTGGGATGGCATTAGCAACGCTAGGGACTTCTACTCTAGGTTGCTGTTGCGGTTGTAGCTGTGGCTGCTGTTGTTGCGCAAAGTATGCTCTGGGATCACCTTGTAGCCCTTGAGCAGGAGGCGGTTGTTCTATAGCACGGAGTGGGCGTCGATCCTCCTCGCTGTACTCGTCGTCGCTTTCATCGCTATACTCACCTCTTTCTGCTCGCCGACGGCGCTTTTCCTCGAGCTCGGCCTGCCATTTGCGCTCTCGAGCTTCTGTTGGATTCTGTGAGCTACAGCCTATCGACTTCGGACGGGAATCATATACATACCTCTGATCTCCTTTGTCTTCTCTGCCAGCTTCGTGATCTCTTCCCTGGAAACCACTCTCAAGACAACCACATAGTCATCTCTCTCTTCGAACCTTTCATGTGCCTTTTCTAGGGCCTCCGGATTCACTAGTGCTCGGCTGATTTTGGTCCACCTCGCGTTCGGTGGGATACCATCTTTGTGGGCATCTTTCAAGGGTGCGACCCCTTCCCGTGTAGGATTGGGGTCTTCTGGAAATGGTATTTCTCGGGGTGGCTTGAGGATACCCTTCGGTTTGAACTCCTCTTTCTTTTCGGCCGGTTCGACCAATTGCACCTTTCGAGGACGGTCATCTTCATCTTCACCTGGAGATATTGTTCGTTGTTCCAAAGCTGTTGGCACATCTTGATCTTCGTCGCGAGACGACGCTCGCTCGCGGGGACGTCGTTGCCGGGTGTCCTTCCCATCATAATCCTCGGTAGTGTCTGACTCATTCACACGATCCCCTCGGTCTCGGTGCTTTCGGTGGCGATGGTGCCTCCGTCTTTCATGGCGGTCGTCATACTCATCCACGTCGTCTGCACCACGGTCCTCGTCTCGTCGGCGCGGATCACGGTCTCCATTGGTCAACTTAAGATCGCGATCGACGCGTCCGGCAAGTTCATCCGGACTTGGTTCGTCGTGGTGTCGTCTTCGGCGGTGCTTTCGCTCTTTGCGGTCATCAGTCTCTGAGTCTTCGCCGTCCTTGTTGCGGCTCTTCAGAGCTACACCAGCTGCGGCGCTTACCGCGCCTAGACCGGCGGCTGCGGCCAGTCCTTTACGTAGTCCCGAATGCTCTGGGCTGCTGTCGCGGCTTCGAGGCTTGCCGGACTTGTCAACGTCTCGATACCTGTCTCTCTCTCTGTCCCTTTCACGGTCTCGATCCCGATCCCGATCCCTCTCTCGATCGCGATCCCGTTCGCGGTCTCTATCCTTATCTCTCTCACGGTCTCTATCCCGGTCCCGCTCACGGACTCGTTCCGGCTCGCGTGGAAGCTCACGCAATACCTCCCTTTCGCGCTCATCACGATGCCTATGCTTGAGAGGCTTGTCCTCCTCCTCTAAATGGTCGTGACGGGATCTGGTCAAGGGTCGAAGGTCGCGTTCCTCACGTGCGGACATGGTGCCGTCCTCGGGATAGTGATGCAAGACCGGCGCTCTGGTAGAGTGACGACGTCGGGGAATGTCACCTCGATCTTCCGTGTCGCTTGTCCGACCGCTTGAATATCGAAGAGGCTCATTCCTCTCGATTCGGTCGAGGACACGGGCAGACGAAGGTGGTGGCACATCCCTCGTGTCTCTCCTCGCCGGCAGTCTGTACTCGGGCAACCCAGCTATGCTTACCGGTCGTTCTCGTCTGCTGTAGCTCTCCCGCCTCTGAGGAGGCCGGGATGACTCCTGCAAAAACTGTTCTTTTGGAGTGGTATAAGAGAATCCTTCATCCTGAAGCGGTCCTCTAGTTGAAGAATACGGATAGCTATTGTACCCACCACGGCGATGGTACTCAGGTTGTCGGCTGGCCCTTGCGGGCAGTAGACGGTCTTGTTCGGCACGGGTTGCGCTCGAATGGCGATGGTGGTTTCGACCACTTGAGGCAGCGGGAACAAGATATCGATCCTCTCTCGAGGCCGTCACGGGGCTTCTTGGATCGTCACGCGAGGAAGCGCTGATGATGGCCGGTCGTACTCGAGGCGGGGAAGACCGACGCTCGGTGAAGGTGTTCACTGGCCGGCGAGCCTCCAGTGTGGAATTATTTCTTGGACGCACGGCATATTCGGTCCTCACTATTGACCCTCCCCCGGAATGAGGATCGTCGAGGAGTGTTTTCCTTGCGATGGGTTGAGTAGTGTAGACGCTCCCGTGTCGCGTGGCAGGGAAAGTATCAATGACGCTGCGAGGCTGCGAGGAAGAGGAATATCGAGGATCGAAGGAGGAGGATATGACCATGCCTGTCGAGGCACGAGGGTCGGCGTAGCGACGCCCAGGAGGTGAGCTGGGACGGTAGCGGTTTTCGGTCATTGTGAGGACGTGGGCTGGCCGCTGCTGTAGGGAATCTTTCTCCCAGGCATCGGAGGTTGACAACTAAAGCCGGCGTGGACGCTGGTGCCAAATAAATGGTGACGAGGTCAGGTTGGAAATGTAATATGAAGGGCTCAACCCTGAAGAGGCTCAAGGTCAGCAAGGTTTCATGTCAGGGGGCGGTTGTAGCAGGGTTCAAGAAAAAGGACCGAAGGGCCTGATGTCAGGGCATGACAGCAAGGCGATGTACTCGCAACAGCCACCAGATGTCGTGGGCGGAAGGTGAGTGGTGAGGAGGAGCAAGGATTGGCAATCCTTGGGGGCCAACAGGAATGATGAATGGATCAATCAGGCTTGGACCGAGGCGAGGGGGGGATCTGGGCTCACCGCAGACAAGAGTGGGAGTTGGTAGCTTCCGGAAGCGCAGTCGTCGGGGTGCAGCGAAGGATTCGAGTTTGAGAATCGACTGGCCAGCTGAATGGGAGGGGGAGGAGGAGGAGGAGGGTTGATTTGAGATAATAGAGAACAACAAACAAGCTGGAGCGGCAAGAAATGATTATGTATGGGGAGTATATGACATTGCCTGCAGGCGCAGCACCAGCCCAAGTGTGCAACCCACGCAGCCCACTGGAACTACTATTAAGTAACTGGGGAATGAACCGAAAGATGAAGGGGGGGGGAAGGAATTCTTGAAGCCCGACGTCATGGCATGGTGGCAGCAGGCAAATTCCGAGTTGCTGGCGGGCTGGCGGGCTGGCGGGCTGGCGGGCTGGCTTCCTGGCTTCCAGGTGTCTGCCCAAAGGTGTACCTAGTATCTACTACTCTTGCTGCTGTGAGCTACTCCGTACTGCTGCCAGCTCCATTGCCATCTCCGAGTTCAGTTGTCGCTACCCAACTCGCCAACTCGCCAACTCGGTGTCCTCTCTATCCACCCACTCAGGTCACTCACTCATTCCTCGCTCTCTCACCCATACATCGTTCACTCACATACAACTAGGGACCTATACACTCCCTCTCTGTTCCTGCATCTGCCTACTCTACTCTACTCTACTCGTCCTCTTTCTCTCTTTCTCTCTTTCTCTCTCCTTCCGCTCTTCCTCTCCTCTGTACTTGACGAATGACTCACCGTCTTCCCGCTACTTGCCCCCTCCCCGCCCACATTTCACCTTCTCCTCTTGGGTCTCTTTTAGTTATATCAGGCATCACTCGCTGCCGTCCCAATGTCGTTGCCTTCTGTCAAACTGGGACACTACTACCGTTCTTACCCAATCAATCTGACCGCAGCGTTACCTGTTGCTACCAACGTTGTACGTCGATCCGCAGAACTGATGCCCAATCTAATTTCCAGTCGACCACCGCGTCAGTCGCTCCATCCTTTAGCTCTGGGACTTCCCATCGTCCCCTCTGTGGACCCCGTGACAGTTCAGTGTCTTTCCGACAAACCACTATGCGGGCTCAGTCCTCACCAAAAGGCGCGTCTGCCTTTCTCCCCCTACCTTTTTCAGGCGTTCTGGTTCCCGGGTGCTGGGTCGCATCTTCCTCGTTTCCGCCTCTCTCAACAGTCGGGCGCTGTCGAATCACCCCACCTTCCCTCAGCAGAATTGAGCCATCTCTTCCGAGATCCGGTTTCCGAGGACTTTCGTGACACTAGAGGTGGTCAAGGAAGGCTGCAAAATTCCCGTGAGCGGATGGAATCCTGTTTAGAGCTTGAGCAGGGTGCACGGGCCCCGCCATCTACGTTCAACCGATTGTCAAAACTACGACTCTTGTCTATGGACGTCGATGCTCTGTTGCTCAGGGGAGTTTTGCCCACTACCTGGCCTGTCGACACATGACCATCAACGCCCTCCGTGCAGACGACTCGTGATCGGAAGCTTTCTGGACTGTATTCGGGCGCAGGGCTCATGTAAGAGCCCGCACTCAGAGTTTCAAACCTTGTCCCACCAACTTTTCTCCCTACCTACCATCCGTCTGCCGCGTCCTCTAATGTCCAGTGATGGTTGATACAGAGCAATTCCGCTAGCTCTTCACAATGACCTCTGGCTGCCTCGAAAAGCCGCAGCCAGCCTTCTCTGCCTCTCACGGTAGCCGCCTTTTCGCTCCCCCGCCAATAACGGCGTTGCAGCTTCCATACTTGAGGCGAGAAGGGATGTCGCTTGTTCCTGAAACTACCGCTGGGCTTATGTGGCCCGGCTAGGTGCGCACTATGAGGTATAGTACTTTTGGCAGACAATGTGGACAAGGCCTCCTCGGCAATCTACACTTGGGCACATCTGGCAAGGCTCTCGAACCTCGGATGTGCGAGCTGACGGCCGTGGTACGGCATGCATCACTTGAAACCGCCAGATAGCTCTTCCCAGAAGAAGTGAGGGCGTCAGGACTTTCCGACGCCTACCACAGCCACTGCAAGGTAGATTTGATCTCGCCCCTGAATGCGTCAGCCTCGTCTGAGGCAAGGCGTGAATCTGGAAGTTGGGTTCGTCAAACCAAGCATCCAAATATCGGGGATCCATCTGGTTGTGGCGCAGACAAACTTCTTCCCTTGATACATCCAAGATACCGAAGAGACGGCCGGATATGTTCCAATCAAGAGGCTGCTTCGTCTTGATTCGATCGACCGGGTTGTTTTGTCATCGGGATACAACCACCTCCGCATCCACATGCGAGCAGGTGTTGGCTGGTGAAAGGGCCTGATACTCGGACTGTCAACAGATGAGATGCGCAATATGACAACTCGGTACAATTGTACTTGCTCAATTCTACCATGCTTTACCAAGGCAAAAATGGCCTACAGATCACAGTCTCCCTGCACTCGTCGAACGCTTCTTTCGAAGTATAAGAATACTATGAACATGCTCACGAAGGTATGTCATGTCAATTATCTCTTCGTCAAGTTAAACTGTCAACTGTTCAGAACAGCCGTTCTCCTTCTTCTATCCATTCATTCCTCTCCACCTTTTTGACATCGCTCCTTTACGATCCGAACCCTTCGAAACAAAAGCTGCCTCTCTCTGGTGTTATCTTCAAAGGAAGCTTGGTCTCTGAAATTTGCTGCTGGCCACTGTTTGCCGTCCGCACAAAGATCACGCGTTCTTGATTGCCAATTCATCCCCTTCCCCCGTCCCGCCGAATTGCCAACATGAGCGAGCCGACGTTGTGGCAATGTTGTCATTGCGGCAACCGACCTATGAAAGTGGTCATTAATCCAACATGCAACCAATGTGATCACAAACGCTGCAGCAATTGCAAAACCGACGATGATATTGATCGTGCGGGAACTACAAAAGGTGTGCGTGCCTACTATCACGTCGGCCATTGTCAGCCAAACACTTTCTATGACTGTCAAGTCCAAGCTACACCTCGGACGTTTCCTGAAGCCATCCACCCTACTCGTGAAACCATTCCAGCTTCGAGCAGACGAAACCTCCGTCTGCGAAGTCAAGCAGCTACAGGAAACTTTTGGTATTGCAGTGAATGCCGTAACCTCAACAATACAAAGCTGTCTTCAGGAAGATGCACTATTTGTGGACACCCGAAGTGTCAGTATTGTTCTGATGCTTAATCGTGTCGCGGCCGACGGAGGGGCGATGGCAAGGCTTTGAGCATCCAGGGGGGTTTCAGCGTGGAAATTGACAAAACAGCCTCGTCACCCCCTCAGCCTTGCTGGGGCATTGCCTTTAGCTTGATACCAATGAATCTCCAAACTCCTTGCAACCTCCCGGGGTCTCCTTGCGCAACTTGGGCCTGGCCGGGTAAGAAAGCTTCGATTGGACGTCAATTCAAGACACATGCGGCCCTCTGGACTACCTGGCTTCCACTCATTCGACAATTTTCCACAAACACCCACCTTCACTAACAACACAACGGCCTCAACAGAACCACCTTTCGCCAGTCTTTACCGACCATTTCATTCTTCTTCCGAACCGTTTTGTCATGGACGGTTATCACCTAGTGGGACACACAGGACCAGCACGAACTCGAGCCACAGCCCTCTAGATCCGGAAACAGCCCGCTTCTCGACCTGTCCGTTTTCCTTTATGCTCAGCACCGCAACCACCACCGCGCGCGGTCGAGGCATGCATCCACTCGTTCGCCAACTCCACGATTCCGCCGAATTCTCTCTTGTCGTTAACCCCTTCAACATTTTCTTCCATACCCGTCCATCTCTGTCAGGCGCACTACAACCAGACAGACCTCGAATTGTTTGGGTACGATTTCATTCGCTCGTGGGCCGATTCTACCTCCGCGCTCTCTCGTTCGAGACTGGCCTGAAAATGAGCCTCTGCGACTGGATACATCCTGGTGGACGCTTTGCGTACCATGGCCTTTCTTTCCTTCGGATAGTGTTGTTAGTACTCGGTATTGGTATATCCACTCGCTTCGACCAAGAGACGGAATAAGTCCTAGCTGGTGTTAGAATGGTCCAAAGACTATCGTTGACAAATAGGATCTTGTTCTCCACCAGCATTCTCTCTCCCTCTCTCCTGTCCCTCTTTTTCCATTACAGATCTTCGATTTCCCTCGTCTTCTCCGCTCTGCCCTTCCCAACGCTGCTTCGTACTCTTGTCCCATGTGCAGGGCTAAGTACTCTGTACAACCCGCCAGGCCGACGCTTCTGGTCCGTCCAGTCTGAGAGTCACGAATCACACAGCGCAGTGCCACTTCAAGCAGCCAGACAGACAGACAGACAGATAGATAGATAGATTCAAAAGCTCCCCGGGGGATTTCAGTTCTCCAGAACAACGGATGTTTCATTCATTTCCGCTTGTACATGTAAGAGAGATCCGTAAACACGTGCATATATATATGTAGAGGCATAGACCCGACACGCCTCGCTTCTCGGTGCGCGTGGCCTCTTTGACAATTCGTGTAGAATCGCATATTTCCCCAGCTTCGCCTCGAAGCATCCTCGATAGATCTTGTTGCAATCCAATCATATAAGAATTTTACAGGTCCAGAATTCCAAGGAGCCGGAAACATTTTCGCCGTATATGCACACAGCCCCATTTGCCACGGGGCGAGGTATGTCTCTTCCCCCTTAAACGCCGCCGCTGATCTGCCAAAAAATCAACCCCCCCCCCCCCCCATGATTGCAATCACCTGAGCACTTGGTTATGCCAAGTGTGTTTTGACGTATCGTCGCTGAGTCATATGTTGTTGCAATGGCTGGCGTTGGAGCACGCCAGACGAATTCCAATAAACGCACCCCAGCTGCGCCTGCATGTCCATGCCTTGCTCTTTGAGGAGTTGACGGGGAAGGCGAGACTCGTTGGAGCAAGCCTCAAAGCCTTCTCATTGACCGTCAAGGCTTCCACATGGTCCGACTCCTGTGGTTGCATCCCAGAACCTCGACCCCAGCATAGCAAGAGGATTCACTTGAGCCTCTGCAGTAGATCAAAATCGGATTGTGCGCAGGGTCTGGACCGACGACTTCAGGCGCCTCGGAGCCATCTTGTTAGTGATTGACCTGCGATCCTCCATCCGAGGCCGAGTGTGAATGCCTGCGTTTCGTAGTCTTCCTGCGCTCTTGCCTACTTCCACTCTCTAATCCTCTGGTCTTTCTTTTTCTCTTTTCGCCAGTCGTATCTGCACCTTCGCCTCCATGTTCCAGGTCAGCCTCTCCATCTTCGATTCCCGCCTTTCGCTTCATCCTCTTTACCACAGAGCCTACCTTGTACATACTCTCTGGATCACTATGATCGGTAAGGGGACTTGACCTCAGTGGGAAAAACCAATCAAACACTGTATACCCCATGACTTCTCTGAAGTTTCCCCATGCACCAATGTCGAAAGGATTACCGCCAGGTGGAGATTCGAGGATGGCGAATACACGTGTCTCCACTTTGGAAGGCATCGCGGGTACCGAAATGGTCGGCTGCGACTCTGATGTGGAGGGAGGGGTGTTTGGTGCCTCTTGTAAAGGCGCGGCAGGAACAGGGGAGGATGTCGTGGTCGACTGCGGATCATAGGTTCTTTGTGGCGGCGTTGGAGCTGACGCATTCGCATTCCCAGCCTGCACCGCAACCTTCTGCTCAGGTTCCCCTGTATTTGCGCCGTGCTGCTTGAGAATTTCGAACTGCTCTTCTGGAGGGCGCGGGTATGTAATCATCCTCAGATCCGTCCTGTTCGATTTCTGACAATTGTCTAGGATTCTGGGCGGTAAATATACCGCCAGATACCAGATTTTGGTCTTGCGGGTGAAATTCTCAATGGTGGTGGAATTGAGGAACGCGAACTGCAGACTAGACCCACACATGCCTCCAGCAAAGATGAAAAACAATCCCGCAAAGATCAGGGTAAGGATCCAATGCACGTTGACGAAGTTTCCGGGCCCCTCACTTCGGCGTCTGGCGAAATAATACGCCATGACAACGAGTGTGTGCAGACAAAGCAAGGCTGCCCAGAATGTGAATTGTATAAAGTACTTGAACGAAGTTTCAGACACGATTCCGCCAACCCAGGGGCAGAAGTGGTCCATCTTCAGCACGCAGCGGCCGAGTTCGCTACAGTGATGTGCCCGGTCGGGCTTGTAGTTGTAGCATGTCGAGCAGAACGGCGGGCGGCCGTCCCAGCCGCAGACGAAGACGTCCCTGTGCCAGAAGTCTTGAGCGCGGAAGCCCTGAGCCTCCTTATCCTGCTGTCGGCGGAGGTGCCGGGGCGTATATCCCTCGGTTGAATCATATTCAAGTGCCTCTTCCTTATGGGGTGCACTCTTCTCTTTCCGCCGTCTTCGTTCTTTTTCAATCCAGTACTGCTCGCCACGCGGAACGAGGCCTGGGTTCGTCAAGATCGTCTGAATCAGGCGGCCGAAGCATGCCAGCGCGACAAGCAAGAGAAGGTAGAATATAACGAGGATGGCGATCGCAGAGCCGGTCTCACGGCGTACAAGCAGCGACTGTTCGGGATGGATGAGGTACTTGACGCACACGAGATCCGTGAGCACCCATGACGTGTACCCAATGATCCCGAGGAGGAAGACTGGGACGATTCGTGCGGTCACCACATTCCCTCGTTTGTTGGTTTCCCCTGGCCGCATGGTTTTCATGGTGACGGACGAAGTTGAGACTCGGAGAGCGGAGGGATGAGGGCCGTTGTCAGTAATGCGCAAGCATGTTGCTGTCACCGTAACTGGACGTTGTAAGCCATTGAGCTGGCTATGGCACTCAGGGGCGCTAAAGTACACAGGCCGCCTTTACTGCATAAATGATATTGGTTGACCTGGTCTCGTCACCTCGACTGCGGACGTTGGAAATGACGAGGCAAGTGAGGCTGAGGGCATATCTAGAAAGTGTGCCGAGCTGGTATGGGGGAGTTTAGCGTGAGGTGGGCATGGGAAATCTGGAGGGCTACGGCATCCAAGAAATCGAACTTGGTCGAACATGTGTCCGTCGGCGATTTTTATCTTTTCTTTGGAAAGTTACCCCCCCATCCGCAAATCTAAATGAGGTCCGATGGATGGAAATTATTCGTGGAAACTGCCCCCTAAAGTTCAATAGCCACTCATTCAGCAACCTTCACGACAATCTGTACAAATTCGCTCAAGCCTTTTCAAGCTTCTCCCGCAGAATGCCCTTCAATGTGACCGCATCCGCCGCAAATTTGCTGATACCTTCTCGCAACTTCTCAACAGCCATTTGTTCCTCGTTGAAGTCGAAACGGAACAAGGGTTCGTCGTTGATGTAACTGCGCCTGGGGATGTCCAGCGTCTTAGCTTCCTCAGCCTTGAGCTTCTGGGGCACCGGATCGGTCGAGTTGAACAGATGCTCAAGCAAGTTGGGCGAAATGGTCAAGTAGTCACAGCCGGCGAGCTCAGTGATCTCGCCAACATTTCGGAATGAGGCACCCATCACAATAGTGTTGTAGCCGTATTTCTTGTAATAGTTGAAGATGGATTGCACGCTCTTAACACCAGGGTCCTCGTTGGCAGGGAAGTCCTTCTTCATAGCAGCCTTGTACCAATCGAGGATACGGCCGACAAAGGGGGAAATGAGGAAGGCACCAGCTTCGGCGGCTGCGACGGCTTGGACCAGGGAGAACATCAAAGTCAGGTTGCAGTTGATGCCCTCCTTTTGGAGGATCTCCGCAGCCTTGATACCCTCCCAGGTGGAAGCAATTTTGATCAAGATGCGAGACTTGTCGATACCAATCGACTTGTAGAGCTGCGCGTTGTGAGCTGATTGCATCCCGAAGAAGAATCTTGAGGACTTACCTCGATGATATGACGGGCCTTCTCCACCGAAGCCTGTGTATCAAAGGAGAATCGAGCATCCACCTCAGTCGAGACTTTGCCCGGAACAATCTTGAGAATCTCATTGCCGAATTCGACCAGGAGTCTGTCAAGAGTAGCATCAACCTGCTCGTCAATGGTTTTGCCCTACAACGCTTTGTTCAGTATTGAGCTTTTACACGGCATGAAGGAAGCCAACATACATGGGCCTTGCCATATTGGACCGCAGGGTCGATCAACTTGGCGTATTCGGGTTTCTTGGATGCGGCGAGGATGAGAGAGGGGTTGGTGGTGGCATCTTGTGGCTTGTACTTCTCAATTGCTGCGAACAGGTTAGCAAAGGTCCCGGGCTCGACAGTCGAAGGAACATACTGTGAAAGTCACCTGAATCGCAGACAACAGTCTGTTGAGCTTGGTCAGTATGTCCACCAGCATTTGGATATTGGCGGGATGGCGGGACAGTGGGGTGGAACGTACGGTGCCAGTGGCTTTGAGTTGGTCAAGAGAGGAAGTCATGATTGTAGTTGGTGTGATATGTGCTGGGTCTTTGAGATAGGTACAGAGGTGCGACTGTGAATCCGGAGGTCAATTGATCAAAGCAAGAAAAAAAAAAACTTCTGGATAAAACGGCTGCGAGGGTGGTTTTAAGCAAATGCGTCTCGTCCTGACAGGCCTGTGACGAAGCAGTGACAGGAGGGACGCCACCAGGTTTGCGATCGAGAGGTGGGGCAGAGGGCAGCTGGCACCCCTCCTTCCCTACAGAAGGTGCCCTAAACCACCCCGAGACCACCGCCTAGTGATAGTGCCGCCCAGGCAGAGTGCCCATGTCAGGGCGGGAAACGTCGGGCGGGATTTCTGGAAAAGGGATTCCAGTCTCTGAGTTTTTGACCCCCAGCACTTCATCGTGTCCCAACGTTCGACGACGCAATTTACACCCCGAGCACTCCAAGGCATGACTGACTCCGGCTCTCCGAGAATTGCCTCTGCCTGCAAAAATCGAGATCTGGCCTTCGCCTGGACGTTGATCTTCATTCTTTTCGTCCCCATTTGAAGACGGGCTTACCTAACCTTTTGACAGCGGCACCAATGGCCCCAGCAGTGGCAGAAGATGCCCTCATGCCAGTCAGTCCCTCCAGAGATGAGTGCACCTTGCCTGCCATGCGGAACCACCCTGCTCAATCCCATCAAATCATCACCTGAGAACGGCTTACCTCAACCTTGTGCCCTTACTCAGCGTTTGTGCTTGACAACCACCCACCGCCGACACACGCCCCGGCTTCCGTTGCCTCAATGGAGAAGCCTTCGAACCCAATCGCCACTCTCTTTTGTAGCGGGAAGCGGGCCGCCTGGAAGAAACATCCGCCGTTCCAGCGCTGGCTGCAGGGGTTGGTTTGGGATTATACGGAATACAATAACAACATTACTCCAGAGTTGCATCAGCAAAACAATTGCTGTACCAGCTGCGTCGGTCATGCTCCTGCTCTTGATAGGAAAACGTCTCGGGCGTGTCGGATACCCTGATCTCGTGTCTCAGGCTGTGGCCGGTAGATGCGCTAAAGGTGCATGTGCTCCTGCAAGCTGATCGTCTCATCTCGTTGCGTTCGGTCTTTGTACCGTCGAAGTTATATTACTGATTATCAGGCTATGAAGGTGGAATGACCTGATTATGTTCTGTAGTTCCATCTTCTCAACAAGCAGAAATCCGGCCGATATATTCGCATTTCTGACCCATCTAGATGCCCTTTTTGAGATCCTGCATATTTGCCATCCCCCCAACTAACCGCGCAGTGTGTGTCTGCCTATTCCAATCACAAAGGGAGTGCGTGAAACAAATCGTGAGACAGAGAATGGTATCATTGTACTCGAGTAAACGTCAAACTGGAAAAGGAAATCAAAAACAACCAATTAATCTTTCAGCCCAAAGGCTTTGCGTAACATGGGGAACTTCTTCTTTTTCCCACTGCGTCCAACAGCTTCGGCAAACTCATTCGGTTTGCGCATGCTGCCTTGGTTCAGCCTCGTCGTGCCATTCCGCATCGGGGGTCCGTCCATCGTGCTCGGTCGGGCAGTTTCATTGGCTAACGGCAATGCAGGAGGCAGCGGCCAAGAGTCACTCATGACTCGCTCAGGGGCGTGTCGACGGTGTAGTTTGGCATGGCCATGTTGTTGTCCGCCCGGGTTCTGTTGTTCTTTCGCTGCCTCCAGCTTGGCTCTTGCCAGCGCAATTGCTCTGTCTTTCTCGGCAGTTGATGCAAATCCGAGCCGCGACGCTTTGTTCGTATCCGTGGTCTTTGCGGGCCTTTGAGGGGATTCGACCACGGGCGAAAGTGACTCCTCCTTGGGCTTCTTGCTGCGAAATAGTCCAAGTAAACCTCGTTTCTTCTCGCTATTTGGAGATAAAGCTTCAGTGCTGCTGAGGGGTGCAGCTGAATCGCCCTGAGGAATTTGAAGTTTTGGTGCGGTTCGTTGGTCATCCGAGCTGTCGTCCAGGTCTGTAGATTCATCGTCATTGTCTCTACGAGGAATTCCACGTACGGGAGCAAATTGTGGTACGTCCGTTTCGTCGTCACTATCATCGGCGAATCGGGAGCGCCATTTGCTGCGTTGAGGCTGTTCGTCCTCGTCGTCCGAGTCTAGAATGCGGGACCGGTTGGTCTGGCTGCCCAAAGTCATAGGGAGGGTTGTGGCTGTATTTGTCTGTGGGCGACCAAACAAGGAGGTTGATCTTCTGACATCAGTCGACCCGCGGAGTGTTGGTACGTTGTCGATTGATCCTCTCATGGTGGTTCTCATGGTGTGGGAACCATCTGGCTGGGAGAACGGTCGTCTGCCCACGGGTGAAACCGACCGGACGCCATTGAGCCTGTCTCCCCGTAGAGTTGGTTCGCCCGGACCTCGCATGCTTCTACGCATTGTATATTTGCCGCCTGTAGTAGACTTGCTTCGACGAGCCTTCCGAAATGAGCTTTCCGAGTCACTGTCATTCGACACAACTGGCCGAACAGGTTGCTTCCGAGACGCGGGCGCAGAGGTGGCGGCAGCCGCGGCCAGAGGAATATGCTTCTTCTGGAGTGCAGATCGGGGTTGCGTTTGAGGACTAGAACTCAAAGGCTGGCTCATTCTTTGTTGTGGCGGGGCAACGGTTGAAGCTGGCATTGAATTGCGGTTCTCGTGACGCATGGTCTTGCGGAGCCCGGGTTCGGTCTCTGGGGGGGAGCTAGCTCTCATTGACTGTCGGAAAGGTGCAGCGGCTGCCGCAGCATATCCAAGATTTGGAGTTTCGATCGTTGGATACGGAGAAGGCTGCGTCTTCCTATGCAGCGGTGAATCCGGGAGTCCTTGCGCAGCGGCCGCCGCAGCCGGTACAGATGCAGCGGCAGCTATTGCTGCAGGTGACTTCTTTTTGCGTCTAGGCTGTGATGTAGGGGCCTGCGATGCGGGGGTTCGTCTAGGCCTAGGCTGGGCAGGTTGTGCTATCTTGTTGTATGCTGTCGTGAGAACCTCCGGCGTCCTCGCTTGCACGGGCTCCTGATCTGGGACTGGCCTTGCCTGCTCCACATCGTGAACTGTGGTCGCAGGTGCTGATCGGCTCTCAATGATGTTTTGGCTGGGCAGATATCTCGTCTGCTCTGCAATGCCACTCCATCGAGCCTGCGTCTCCTCCCATGATCCAGCACCCAGCGCATCATGAGAAACAGAGGATGATACTCGTGCAAGGGGGCTCTCAGGCGAAGTAAGTGGCGCTGGCGGAGTTACAATTGGACTCTCCACAATCGCGTCAATGGAACCAAATCCCATTCCTTCCATCTCCGAGGGGTCTTCTGCCGCATCGCTGTAAATGCTATCATTGTCCGACGCTTCGTCGTCGACGGCATCAGGGACCGTGCGCGAACCCACGTCATGGATTTGGCTGGCCACGGGTGGTGCCTTGCGCGACTCATCATCACCTTTGCCTAGGTTTTCCGTAGACAGAGGGAAACCTCCTGGAACTTCCACCAAATATTGATCATTGGGTTTCGGCTCTTCGGCGGGAGTAGGTGGTGAGACGGACACAACGGGTACCTCTGTCTGGAGAGGCCCAGACCTGACAGATTGGCTGATTGTTTTCACAGGTTCGTTCTTTGCGTCTCGGTGTACTTCTAATTCCGGATCTATACGAGCGGAGGGAGCGGTCATTGTCTCCTCAGCCTCCGAAATGTCGTTTTCTTCGTCCGAAAACGACACCATGCCCTCTACCGACGTTACCTCAGGCGGGAGGGGCTCATTTGGTCGAGCTTCAGGGGCCTGCCCGAAGGTCCTTCGGGCCTCTTGGGCCAAGACAGCCCCTACAGCATGATCGCTTGACACGCCTGTTGTTGGGTACGGAGTGTAGGTACTAGAGGTTTCCGAAGACGTTCCGGAAGACGTAGTAATCTTGCCCTCTGTGGGTGGCGCTCGAGTTTCCGGTGGTGACCTTGACATTTGACTGGTGTTGGAATCATTCATGTCTCTAAACTTTTGGCCCCGAACACTTCCAAATGATGGCAATTGAGGGCGTGGCTTCATCAACTCTTCCATGTCGTCATTGGAGGACATGGTGTTAAGCATTGGTTTGCCCTTCCCCAACCCAAGCCATCCCTTTTTCTCTCTGCCTGGACTCTCCGCCGGACTTTGGAAGCTGGCTGCAGTACCGACAATTTCTGGTTGAACCTCGAAGCTGACTCGAACAGACTTCTTCCGCTTCGGAGGACCATCTGCTGACGCGCTCGATATATCAGACGACTCGCTCGGGGTAACACTAGCGCCGCGAGGTTCGCCGCCGGGAAAAGCTGGAGCGGGGGAATGGTGCTTGAGCGCAGGTTTGGCGGGCGATATTGATCGCGGAGGAGGTTCGTGTTTTCGCCCTGCAGCGAGGTCTGAAGACAATCTGTCCGAGAAGCGAGTGGACCGTGAGGGGCTGAGCGAAGTACCCCGAGTAGGCTGTGGTTCAGTGACTTGAAGGTGGCTCGCTGGAGCTGGCGATTCCTCGCGCCCACCAGGTGCTGGCGTTTCGTGCATCTCTGGTGGTTGATGGGGAGCGGATGGCGACGGAGCGACCTCGATTTTCCTTGATACATCTGTTACATTCATAGGGTTCTTTGCCCGAGCCGGAGTTGCCAATTCTTGGACAGAGTTCATGTGCGCATCTACGGCTTCACGGGCATGAAGCGGACTGGCTTGCTCCTGCTGTTCGCCTTCCCAGTCCTCCCGAACAATAGATGGCTGTTTCTGCAAGATTCCTGAGGCTCTCTGAGTCCTCCTTTCTCGCTTGCGCTCGACATTCGAGTCCGAGTCTGAATCGGTCCGCGAAGCCTCGGTAGCGGGAGAATCAGTGCCCTCTGCAGACAATGATGGCTTTTTCTTCTTCTTCCTCAAGGGAGGCTGCTGATCTGAAGGGGGTTGTAGTTGCGGTTCCGCATTTGGTTCCAGGGGATTGACGACTGGTCTGCTCGCCATTGTCCCAGTCTGCAAGTGACTCCCTTCAGCTGCACTATTGACTACCCTCTTTTTCTTCTTCTTGACAGGCTGATTTGCTGTTTGCACAAGGTCGTATTGAATGTCTGCGGCCTGCGCCGGAGAGATCGCCCGTACGACAGCATTGGAGTGGGATCGATCGCCGTTCACGAGAACTGGAGACTGTGCCATAGGAGATTGCGCCACCGGAGACTGGGGCCGCGGCGACAGTGGCCTCGAAAAATTGATGGAGTTCCTGCTGTCAACTCGTTCAAGATCATTGCTCTGTGGAACAGTGGTGTTTCTTTGATATTTGGGTGGCGGCTGCGGCGGCGTCTGCTGCTGCGGCGATCCGTACCTATCAAGGCTCTGGCCACGGTTCGAGGGTCGCCCAAGGGGCGGTGAGAGTACACGAGGCGGAGGAGCTTCTTGACTGGATGCCCTCTTCTTCTTCTTCTTGGGTGGTGTGGTCGAGGGCGGAACAAAATGTTGCGGAATAGTCGGGAGCGGAGGTGCCTGGGGTTCTGAGTGCGAGACCGGTCGCGAAGGCGAAGGCGACGGAGTTCTAAACGTCCTCTCAGTCATAGACCCAGCACTGTTGTGCCTCTGCAAGCCGCCTCTTCCTCGACCCCGGGCTGAACTTGAAAGAGAACCGGAAGAGGCTTGCCTTTGAATCATGCGCTTTGTCTGAACCTGATCCACCGGGGTCGGAGTCGGAGACATGGTTCTCAGGGCTTGGGCGGCGGCTGAAGCTGACAGATTTGCCTGCGAGGCTCGGCTATTGAGGAATGCCTGAGTGGCTGCCATATGGGCAGAAGCTGAAGCAGGAGTCTGGGGCCGCTGAAGTTGAGCAAACGTCAGCACTGGAGCGCAGGGCAAGACCGAACGGGGCGCCGAAAGCGATTACTTACAGTGGCCGATACAGACCTGCTCCGTCTGTGCAGGAAATTCATGGTTGCGACGACCCCAGAAGTTGCGGTGCTGTAACTGCCGCGCGATCAATGGAGAATGATCCTGTATCGCAGACGGGAGAACCAGAAGCGAGTTATCAAACCAAGCAGTTGAAGTGGTTATCGGAGGGCTGAAGAACGATGCCAGGCCCCATGTCGCTTCGCGTTGAGCTCTCCCGCCTGACGAGGTCAAAAAGGATGATAAGAAGGGAGAGACGGTTAGGAGCTTTTGCGAATTATGGATTGTTTTCTGGGATACCAAGCAAGGTAGGTATGATTTGGGGCGTGGATCGGTGCGGGAGAGCGAGGGAGATGGAAGCTCCGTAACCATGGGAAAGATGGGGCGGAAAATAATAGGGCCAGAGGGCACCAGAGAGGCACAGAGGGAGCCAGCTGTGCCCAGCACCGAGGACCGCGTAGGAGCAGGTAGTGAGCTGCTGGGCAGCGGGCGGCCGTACCTAGCGAGTAGTGGGCAGCACCGGGGCACTGAGTGGGCGGCTGGTGAGGGTCTCGAGTTGTGGCTGTGTCGGACGTCAAGGTCGGGTGTGGGGCCAATGACCACATACCAATCACAGTGTGCGACATTCCTTACGTCATGCGTTTTTCATGCTGATGATGCACTCTCCAAACTCTCTTCTCGAACAAACCAACCTTTTTCTTCGAGCGACAGCACAACACCGACATCCCTCACGCGTCCTCTTCCAAGGCATCAAATGTGCAGAATCCGACAATCGACACTTGAGCCACGTGCTTGAATCATGCCCGGCCTCCTTATCCAGATCTCCTGGCTTCTTTTCCCCCCGAATCGAGCACTGGAACCTGCAGATCCCTCCAGATTCCTTTTCGAGTCTAAGTGATGACTAACGAGAGATCAGATTGCTTTGAAACCGCGACTGCCCACCAGCCACTTGTTGCAGTGGTACGGAGTACGGAGTACTCGTGTGGTATATGCACCGAGGCGGATATCATGCCACACTACGGACTGTCCCTCGGCCCACCAGGCTATCAGGTTCGGGGTAAATTAGTGGTCGCCCGTGTTGGAAAAATGACATAGCCGTGCCCGAAGAGGCAAGAGGTCCTCCAACAACGAACCAAGACACCCACTTGTGGCATATGGCATATGAAGAGCAATGTTCCCGTTACAAGGCTGAAAGAGATGGTCTTCAAAGGAGACGATCCCCGCAAGTAAGAGACGATTGCCTCGGTCGGTTGTTGTAAGGGAAGATGCATTTGTCAGACTAGGTCTCTGTACTTATACGCTCGAAGGGCGCTGTCAGCGTCGCTTTCCCCGCATATGCAGTATTAGATTGCGATAGAGCCCTTTCTTGATATCTGATTGCCTTCCACTTCTTGAGCAAACCATATTGAGATCTGGTTACCTCAAGAGTGTTTGGATCCATCCTAGCGGACCATGGCTTATACTCACCAAGATTCGCCCGCTGATGCCGTTGATCCCACGACACTGGCTCCACTTCCACTGCCTGCCGGAATCAGATCTCGCTATGTCGATACTTCTCCTCACAGCCTCGTCTTCCACATTCTCGAATCCCTCCCAACGAACCTACCACCTTCTGGTCCCAAGCCGAAGCTGATCCTCTTGATCCATGGCTTTCCCGAGCTCGCCTACTCGTGGCGCAAAATTCTCCCCTTGCTCTCCGCGCAAGGCTACCATGCTGTCGCCTTCGACCAGCGGGGATATGGGCGGACTTTCTCTCGCAAGCCACTCGATGCGTCTTCGTTCCGGCCCCTCAACCTAGTCAAAGACACGGTCACGCTGGTGAATGCTCTTGGCTACACCTCCGTCTCTTGTGTTGTAGGGCACGACTTTGGAGCTGTTACCGCAAGCGTCTGCGCCCTCGCGCGACCGGACATGTTCCAGTGCCTGGTGATGATGTCCCATCCCACCAAGGGCCCTCCCCACTCTCCTCTTTCCACCTCTCCGTCCTACGGCGCCGCCTCCCAACCCCCTCCGCCTCCGGTCGACATGGAAAAGGCGCTCTCCCAACTTCCCCGCCCCAGGAAACATTACAAGTGGTACTACTGCACCCCACCCTCGAACAACGAAATGACCATCCCCACGGGCCCGCCCCTGCACACGTTTCTTCGAGGCTACTTCCACCTCAAGTCGGCAGACTGGGACGTTAACGATCCGCACAAGCTGGACGGATGGGTCGCGACGGAGCTGGAAAAGATGCCGCGGTACTATATCATGGACCTGGACGACAACATGCGCCAGGCCGTCGCGCGAGACATGGCCAATGAAGACCCGCAAGTCGTCGCCGAGCGTGCTGCCCGCTGGCTCCCGGACGACGAACTAGCCGTCTACGTCCAAGAATGGGGCCGCACTTCCTTCCAGGGCGGTCTGAACTGGTACCGTGTCCAGACGCAACCTGAAATCGCTGCGGATATGCAGGCGTGGTCCGGCGCAAAGATTTCCGTCCCGACCGTGTTCGTGAGCGGCAGGAAAGATTGGGGCACCTTCCAGGAGCCCGGCGCCGTAGAAGCAATGGAGACTGGTCAAAGCGTAAGTCGACCGATGTACAGGGGAACTGTCCTTGTCGATGGAGCTGGGCACTGGGTGAATCAAGAGCAACCAGAAAGGTGTGTTCAGGAGATTTTGCCTTTGATCATAGGAGGTGCATGACCAGTGACAGTAGTACCAGTGAGAACCCTTGGGTGACGATTACTGCATGCATGTTCAACCATAGCACATATGATCTGTGTTTCGTAGAGAGCTCGAGCTTGAAACTTGTCTATCGCACCAAAAGCAAAACTCTGCTGAGATATCATGCAGCTTCCTTCCCCGTAAGATGCATCACGGATTCTTTGAACGTTCCCCTTATTTCACGAAGAACTCCCATGTACGCCGACGCTAGACGCCTTCGCTGAAATCGAACGACTGGCTTGAAAATGACTATTCCCCTGACAGATCCCTGACTGAGATGCTGGCTTCAGCCTTCTAAACACACCCGTCAGCAGCAGAACCCCGTCGAGGACTCCCGCACGCATGCTAGAAACGCACCAGGTCCAGTCCGGTCCATATACTAGATGACACGCATTCTTTCATTCGTCTGGTTCCGTCATATCAGAGTCGAGTCGGTCTCCCCGAGCTTTGCCCTTAACATGCTCCGCATCGTCGTCATCATCGTCATCGTAGTTCTCCTCATCTTCGGAATCGTTGTTCAACTCCTGATCCGATTCGCTGCCGTTGGCGGCATCATCATCAAAGTCGTCAAAGTCATCGAAATCGACATCTTCTGCATCACTGTCGTTCCAGAAATCATCGTCGATCTTCTCGATGACTGGCTTGGTCGTCTCGTGCGTAGGCATGACGAACCCTTCGGGAATGTCCTTCTTTGACGCTTCAACATCCTGTCTCACTCTTGCTTTGAATGCTTCCTTGTCGTCCCTGAACATGACGCTGGCGTCGACGTTGGCTGGGGAAGATATCTCGGGGTCGTCCAGCAGGGAAAGGATGGAGATGAGCACTGATTCAACGCGTTGAGCTGGGGACCAGCGCTCACCAGCGCTCTCGCCAGACATAATATCCTCGCCAGGTGCATGAAGAATGGAAATGCACAGTCGGCCGTCAGCATAAATGTTCGGATGCCACAGGGGCTTGGAAAAGCGGAAGTCTGAAAGGGGTCAGCGTCAGAAAAATTCAGGCGAGTCGAGATACTAACCCGGCGGTTTGTAAGGGTAATCTCTTGGGAAGCTCATCTGAGCCTTGAAATAGCCACCATAGTAGAGAGAGTCAGGGTTAATGACCATCAAGGCGAGGTTCCAGTGATAGATGTTCTCTTCATCGATCTAGTTGAGTTAGCCCTGCGTACGGGAAGGATTTGTACCACAGCTCACCTCGATCTGAACCCATTTCTCTTTGGCTAGAGCCTTATATTCCTTCATGAGGACCGCTTGAGACATGTTGGGCGAAGTTACTGCGACACAAGTTGGCGGGTGGTGGCGGAGAAGGAAACAGGCGACCGAGGTGGAAAGGGGGAGGAAATTTAGTTGCGGCAGGCGTTGAACGCAGTAGAGTAGACGGGTTTCTCTCGGGTGACTGTCCTGAAGGTGAATGAGGTGTTTGAAAGGGTGATGTTTAGCCGCCGCAGGTGATTGTTACCGACAACTATACATTGTTCACGGTCGTCTTAGAGAATGGATCTCCCGGATCTGGGCGCCAGAACAGGGTGTGGCAAAGCTCAAGGAGCAAACAGTAAACAGCGCAGGCCACAAGAGTCGTGTCGGGGGAGCAGCCAGAGAGGAAAGGAGTGACTTTCCAACGGTCAGAAAAAGCGGTCGAAATCTTGAGTGAGATGAGGCCAGGGATTACTCGTATATGAGGTGATAGAGCGGTTGATGTCCCAGAGTTGAGGTCCGCAGCCGGATTGTCGGCTGCACCTTTGGGCAGGCATTTGGGCTCACTAGGCTTCGGGCTTGCCTATCGCTGTACCCCGAGCGCCCCCGAGTGTGCCCGAGGAAAGTCTCGTGCCTCCCAGCCACTCACCGTTCATCCTTATTTCCCGGTTCGGACATGCCCTAAGTAATATGGGAAACTTTGATCGTAGTCAATAAGTGGCGTCAGAGGCTGGATGGAAGCGTTGACCGCGGAAGGAGGGACCACTTGGTCAACAACAACCGAGCATGTCCTTCCAGGTCCGTCTCTGCCCATTATTATTTGTTTGAGTTATGGATTTGACCTTGTCGCATTTTCATCTCGACGTGCTCTTAATTTCTGTCCCTATCAGTATCTTCCAGCACTGCTTGTCCGGGTCGACATGAATTTTGCCATCCCCGCATCGGTTGAAGAGTGGTGACTGTTGTGGAAAATCGATTGCGGCGATGTTCGCGCATTGCAGTAGCCCGATATGGCGGGTTGACGACTTGTCTGCATGCTTCCAAGCCGAGTATGTGATATCGCATGTTCTGTCTGAGCTCATGTGCTGATCGAGTGCAAATAGCTATCTCCAGACTCTCTTGCCATTGCTGGCATGTGCGGTGTCTCTCTTGCTTCTACTTCACCAATTCCTTTGGCAAACGACGATACGATTTCACAACCGATCTCGAGATCTTCTTGTTGACACCAGCGAGGATGAGCCTGAGTCTGGCGATGAAGACGATGATAGCCTAGCCAGACTGACGCTGCAGAAGACATACTCTCATGGAGGACACTCAACGAAGGATGTAAACAAACCTACAGGCGAAGTCTTCATGGTCACATTTGAATTCCTACTGCTGTCCGCACAACTTGCCGTAAATGTTGCAGCCCTTTTGAACACATCGGACCGAAAAAGAAGGACTTGGACAGCAGAGACCGCCGTGTGGGCTTATCTCCTAGTCATTGCTGGGGCACGTCTGGTCTCTTCCACAACGAAGTGGCAAAGCCCTCTCAAAGGCCTCTGGAATCACAGTTCAGCGCTGTACATCGTCCAATGGCTTTGCCAAGTTTGGGTGTTCCGTTCTGTTCTTGTCCACCGCCCTGGGCAACCTTCTCAGATCCTGACAATAGTGTCGTTTGCGATCACGTGTACGCTTGTCGTACTTGCTCTCACAGCTCGAAAGGGAAACAAAGGTGTTTTGCTGGAGTATGAAGGTGACATCGAACCGTCTCGAGAGCCGCTCGCCAGCGTCCTGTCCCTCGCAACGTTTACTTGGGTCGACCCGATCGTCTGGAAAGGATTCAAGAAGACGTTGGAGCTCGCTGATGTCTGGAATCTGGCTTTGGAAGACAAGGCAGAGACTGTACTAGCCCAGTTCCGGCAGATTCGAAAGACTCACTCGCTAGCTGTCCGACTCCTCCTGCACTTTAAGACTCAGATTTTAATCCAGGGTGCATGGTGTATGCTGGCCAGCGTCTTCATGTTTCTTCCAACCCTTCTCTTGAAGGCCGTTCTGGAATACCTGGAAAACACAGACACAGTTCCCGTTAGTGCTGCGTGGCTGTATGTCATCCTTCTTTTCGCCACAGGAGCTGTTCAAGCAGTTGGCGATGGTCAAGGCCTGTGGATCGGTCGAAAAATCTGCATTCAACTACGTGCTATTATCATTGGCGAGATATACTCCAAGACTTTGAGACGGAAGGCGGCGGCAACCACTGATACAAAGCTTGGAGAAGAAGCTGCTCGAAAGGAAGGAAGTTTCTGGGCAAAGATCGGGTCGCTTTGCAGAGGAAGGGGCCGAAAACAGCAGAATGCTGCGTCTGACGCCAATTCTAAGAAGTCCACGGGATCTCAAGCCAACAACGGCACCATCATTAACTTGATGTCCATTGATTCCTTCAAAGTGGCCGAAGTCTGTGCCTATCTCCATTTTCTCTGGGCGGCGGTACCCGTCCAACTGGTTATGGCTGTGAGCCTGCTATACAACGTCCTTGGCTTCAGCTCTTTCGTTGGAATATTCGTGATGATCCTTATCTTGCCACTCAACCTCTACATCGCACATTCGTTCCAGGCGGCACAGAAACGGATCATGGCAGCCACTGATGGCAGAATTCACGTCACGAATGAAGTTCTCCAAAACATCAGAATCATCAAATACTTCGCCTGGGAGCAGCGTTTCCAAAACAATGTGAACGAGAAAAGACAAGTCGAGCTCTCTGCCTTATGGCGCAAATACGTTTTGTGGGCATCTGCAGCTACCATCTGGAGTGGTGTCCCGATTCTGATCACTTTTGTTTCGTTTCTCATGTACACGCGAGTCGAGAAGCGACCGCTGGTGCCCTCCATCGCCTTTCCAGCCTTATCGATGTTCTCTCTACTTCGGATTCCATTGGACCAGCTTGCCGACATGGTAGCTCACGTTCAAGAGTCCAAGGTATCGGTTGATCGAGTTGAGCAGTTCCTAGAGGAGGCAGAAACAGAGAAATATCTGCAATTGCGCCAGAGCAGACGAAGAAGCCTACCGACCACCCGCATTGCGCTTGAAAATGCTACCTTAACTTGGGGAACAACCGACGAAGACGTGAGCGAGGCATTCAGACTTATCAACATGAGCGCCGAGTTCTCTATTGGTCAGTTGAATGTCATCGCTGGACCGACGGGAGCCGGCAAGACCTCTCTTTTAATGGCATTGTTGGGGGAAATGCAACTGCTCAGCGGTGCTGTTTACATCCCGGGTGGATCTGTACGACAAGATCTGCGCCCTGACCCTGTGACGGGGCTGACTGAGAGTGTGGCATATTGCGCACAGCAGGCGTGGCTGGTCAATGCGACAATCAAAGAGAATATTCTCTTTGCCAGTCCCTATGATGAAGATCGCTACCATGAGGTCATTTCAATTTGTGCTCTGGAACGTGATCTAGAGATCCTGGACGCTGGTGACCAGACTTTGGTTGGTGAGAAGGGAATCACTTTGTCAGGAGGTCAGAAGCAGCGAATATCGCTTGCGCGAGCGATGTATTCGAATTCGAAGCACATACTTCTCGATGACTGTCTTAGTGCTGTCGACGCTCACACCGCCAAGCACATCTTCGAAGAGGCTCTGACTGGAGATCTGATGGCCCACCGAACTTGTATCCTGGTCTCGCACAACGTGGCACTTACGGTCCCACTTGCGAGTTGGGTGGTTGTCCTCGACAACGGTAAGATCGTGGCTCAAGGAACGCCGCAAGAAATTATCGAAAGCGGCACGCTCGGGGATGAACTCTTCAAGTCACGTCCTGTTTCAAGGACCAACTCCAGACCGCCGTCCCGCACACCGTCCAACCTCGAAGAAGAGCGATCACATTTGTCTGGAAGAAATACAAACGGTACCGCCGACCCAAGCGGGAAGGCAACCAATAAAGGCAGGCCGAAGACGAATAAGCCCGAGAAACAATTCATCGATCACCGGATTGAAGCAAAAGCCACAGGAAGTGTGAAATGGTCAACAATCCAGATGTATCTTAAGGCGATGGGCCCTTGGTACTATTGGATTTTCGCTGCGTGGGGATTCATAGCAACACAATTGGGTTCAGTCGCGACAAACTTGTGGATCAGACAGTGGGCCAACGCCTACCACGTCCGCGGTGTGCATACGACACATGCAGCCGTAAATGCCTTTCAGGATGTGAAGGCGATGGGAGCAACATCGAATTTTGGAGGTTCATATGTTCAAATGCCCCAAACAGCGCCATCCTACGGCATACCATGGGTTGTCAAGTCATTTTATGATGTCGACGATGGCTACTATCTTGGGATATATGCCCTGATTGGTGGTCTGTACGTTTTTATCTGCTGTGAGTTCTCCCCCTTTCCGACAGCATTCTGGATCGAAAGCGTCATATTCCTTGCGCTCTCAAGGTCGAAACAAGCTAACGCACGCTTTTAGTTTCCCGAGAAATCATCCTGTTCTGGGGCTCTCGTCGCGCTGTAAGTCCTCGTCCTGTTTCAATCCCCTTGGTCTTCGCAGGAGTTACCGGTCAATGGGCAGCGTCAATACGTGTGCGAGCTAACGGATATCTGCAGTCTTGGTGTCTGCATGAGAGACTCTTGACAAGCATTCTTCGCGCCAAATTTCGCTTTTTCGATTCGACGCCGCTCGGCCAGCTAACTAATCGATTCTCTAAAGACATTCAAGCTCTGGACCAAGAAGTCGCTCCTGTGGCGATTGGCATGCTGCACAGCGCCGCCGCCGTCCTGACGATTGTGGTCCTGATTTCCGTCATCACTCCTGGCTTCTTGATCCCAGGTGTCTTCATCACCATCATGTACATACTAACCGGTCTCCTCTACATCCGCTCGTCACGCGACTTGAAACGGATCGAAGCAGTTCAGCGAAGCCCTCTGTTCCAACATTTTGGGGAGACGTTGAGTGGAGTGGTCACGATTCGGGCCTATGGAGATGAGTCGAGATTCATCGAGGACAGCCAATTGAAGGTCAACACACACAACCGCCCATTCATCTACTTGTGGGCTACTAACAGATGGCTCGCATTTCGGATCGATATTGCGGGGGCACTGGTGTCTTTCTTTTCAGCCATGTTCGTGGTCATTAACGCTGGCCGCATTGACCCTGGCGCTGCAGGGTTGGCACTATCTTATGCTATCACTTTCACCCAAAATGTTCTGTGGCTGGTGCGCCTATATGCTGCCAATGAACAGAACATGAACGCCGTCGAACGAATACAAGAGTACATCGACGTCGAGCAAGAAGCACCTGCAAATATCCCGGAGACAAAACCTGCGGCGAATTGGCCCAGTCACGGAGTTGTCGAGTTCATCGGATACAGCACGAGATACCGACCAGATCTAGAACCTGTACTAAGAAACGTGACTTTCAAGATTGAAGCAGGGCACAAAGTCGGGATTGTCGGGAGGACTGGTGCAGGCAAGAGCTCACTCGCGCTGGCATTGTTCAGAGGCTTGGAGGCGGAGGAGGGCAAGATCTTGATTGATGATGTCGACATTGGACTCATCGGGCTTCAAGACTTGCGGGAAAACATCACGATCGTCCCCCAGGATCCCACCCTCTTTTCCGGCACGCTAAGGAGCAATCTGGACCCGTTTGAACTCTTCACGGATGAAGAGATCTTCACCGCCCTTCGACGAGTCCAGCTCATCTCAGGGGCACATAGTGGCTCAGAGCAGTCGGGTGCAACAACACCGCTTGAGGCCTCCAGCCGATCACCAACAGTCCGGGGGGATTCAAGTCCGCCGCAGAGTCATGTCTCGCTGTCTGCGAAAGGGACCGTGAAATCCGACTCGACCCTTGTCCACGTTGCCAGCAACAGCAAGGAAAACAAAAACATTTTCCGAGACTTGTCTTCTCCAGTGGCTGAATCTGGCTCGAACCTGTCTCAGGGCCAACGACAGCTGCTGTGTCTTGCTAGAGCATTACTGAAGTCACCAAAAGTGCTAGTGATGGATGAAGCCACGGCATCGATCGACTATGCGACTGATTCCAAGATCCAAGACACTCTACGAGAACTCCACAACAACACTATATTGACCATTGCTCATCGATTGCAGACCATTATTGATTACGATCGAGTATTGGTGCTTGACAAAGGAGAGGTAGTGGAGTATGCTGATCCCTGGGAGCTGCTGCAAAAGGAAGATGGTCATTTCAGAGCCATGTGCCAAACGAGCGGCGACTTCGACACATTGTATGACTTGGCAAAGAAATCGTGGCAGGAACGGCGATTGATCGATGACTCTTGATGTGCGTCCAAGGACTTTCTGTTATGCATGGTTGGGGTAATTTGGGTACTATGAGATTCGGCGGGTGGGAGGAGCAATTGCTTTCGCTGACTACTTAAGAGATGAATGGCTTCAGTCTGTACATATATCTCTCGTCCCTGTATAGTTGGGACTAGACAATTGCGTGCCATGAGCGAGTCAGTCTAAGTGGCACCGGTCTGGTCCAGAGACAACACTATTGGCGACAATATAGACGACGCAAGATCAAAAGCACATACCAACCTCGCGCTTTCTGGCCGATGACTTTGTTACTCCATCTTCTCCCCCCTTCTCCAATCTGGCTTCGGCATCGATGTTGATCCTTCCTGATCCACGGTCTCCAAGAGCGGCGATTGAAGTCCGCCACTCGCTCATTCTCTGGAACTCAGGGACTACCTCATCTGCCATCCTTCTCACGCCTCTCCTCACCATTTTCTCCTCTCGAAGTTGTTTGCCCTGCGGGGTCGATGATCCTCCATTGGTTCTGTCGAAGGGAGGTCTCTGATCGACTGCAATTCCGAGATCGGTCGCCCAGGGATCCTGGTGATATCGCCCTTTTCCACCCAATTGCCTGCGATCGTTCTCCACGCGTTTCCACCACCTGAAAGGCGCATGGTCTCTTGGTCTCTCTCGGGGATGTAATGGGTTGCTGACGAGGCGGTAGTCCAAAGCGCTCTGGCCATCGGCAAGCTGTGTCTTCGTCCTCTCGAAGCTGCGAGATGCCCTCCCCCAATTTGGACACGAGGACAAGTATGCGGAGAAAGAGCTGTCTGCCAGAGGTTAAAGAGAGCTGTGGCGGCTCGCGGGGTGCGTTACACCTCACCTTCAGCATAACTTGCTATAACCCAAATTCTATCACTGCTTTACACACCGGGACGACCTGACAACTCACAATCTAATCAAGATGCCTCCTGTGAACGGCGCAAATGGCACCGTACGTCTTCTCACCAAAGCACCACGTCCTCCGTTCCTCCTGTGATGGCGGTTTCGCTGCTACATCCAGACTAATGACGATCTAGACCCATTCTTGGACATCTTTGCCTCAGGCAATGTCCAATGCGGTATCCTCTCTCAACAAGTCCTTGGACAAGGATCCCCAATGGCAAGCATTCGTCGATACCAAAGCCATCTTTGAATCTGTGACAATGGGCGTGCAGAGTCTTGGGGGAGAAGAAGCTATTCTCGTTACAGTGTCACCCGGCGCCAAAACCACGACTTCAACCGGGTCTCCTTCCAAAGCCGACTTTGTTCTTCGAGCACAGCCCGAACAGTGGGAGAAATTCTTTGCCGCCGCTCCCGTCGCTCCCTATACCAGCTTTGTTGGTTTACAGGTAGGGGAACAGATGCCCGAAGACAATTCACGTGTGGAAAGTTGACTCGACCAGGGCATGAACATCGTACAAGAGGGAGTCGGTGTTGAAGGCAACCAGGTCAAGTTTGCCCAGTACTGCCACTTGGCCACCCGCCTCCTCGAACTCCTTCGAGAGGGCCAGAACGGGCCCCTGAAGGAAGACGAACAGCCCGAGACCGACGAAGACCATCTGACAGGCAAATACATCTACATCAACGCACCCGTCTGGGGCCGCACCAAGGTCTTCTATGAGACTTCTGGCAACGGGCCCCAGCAGATCGTGTTTCTGCATACCGCAGGAAGTGACAGCCGGCAATATCACGGCGTGATGAACGACGCCCGCATGCGCGAGAAATGCACCATGATTGCCTTCGACTTGCCCGCTCATGGGAGGAGCTTCCCTGGTAGCAACCATATCCCGGGGAATCATACGAACAACGAGGATGCGTATGTTGGAACCATCAGGGAAGTGGTCAAGGCCTTGAAACTCAACAAGCCCATCGTTTGCGGAGCTAGCAGTGAGTTTTGATCCTGTCTGATATTTGCTACCCGGCCTCGTGGCACCGAAAGCGGAAGATGGCGAAACAGGTTCTCACAATCCATCTCGAGCGGCTTCGCTGACTCTTCTTGTGCTCTAGTGGCCGGTCAAGTATGTGTAGCTGTCGCAATACGGGCAGAGGAAGTCGGTGCTGGAGGCACCATTCCCCTTCAGGGCTGCGACTATTTGACCATGGACCGACAGTTTAATGACAAGAGTCCCGTGTGTAATCAAGCCTTGTTCAACCCAGACTGGAGTAAGTTGCATCCCGCGCGAAGACATTGGATTTTGAATTCCACTGACACGCTTGCAGTCTACGGCATGATGGCGCCTCAGAGCCCCAAGGTCAACAAGTTGCTCATCTGGGTATGGCAATCAGACCCTAACCCTAACCCCAACACTGGCCGACTCTTATTATCCTGCTCTCTCTATCCTCAACCTTTGTGCTGATCCTTTTTTTCGCTACCAGCATATGTACTCCGGTCAAGCGTACGGGATCTTCCACGGTGATCTGGACTTCTACTTTGGCGGCTTCGACGCCCGCGACCGCGTCGCGTCCATCGACGTCAAGAAGTGTCCCATTTACTTCCTCACCGGCGAATACGACTGGTCCACGACGCCCGAGATGTCTCACGCGACGGCGAAGAAGATCCACGGCGCCAACTTCAAGGCCATGAAAGGCCTGGGACATTTCCCGGCCACGGAGGATCCCCAGAAATTCGTAAGTCAACGTGAACGTCTGGTCCCGTCGTCTTTCTTCTTCTTCTTCCTCCCCATCCTTTGGCCACTTCTATTTACCCTCCCCTTTCCTTGAAGGAACTGGGTGATAGTCATATTTTCCTACGAGACACTGCTAAAGATACCAACACGGTATATTAGGTCCCATACTTGCTCGACGCGATCGAATGGATCCAGAAGACCCGTCAATCCTGAAACCCCCGCCTCGCCCGGCATTCGGAAATCAGTTGCGAAATGTAATGCAACTATTATCGGAAATGGGAAGTTGGCAAAAAAGTACTTGGACTGTTGCTCGTTCGTCCTCAGCAACGTCGATCGCACATAATCTGCCAGGGGGCGAGCTGTACAAATCCCAGGATGGAAAAGGATGAGTGCGCGACGAAGTTGTGGTTATTGTTTCTCTCTCTCTCTTTCTCGCGGACAACAAAATTGCCAGACGAGACCGCTTCATGTACTTGCACCACAATCTGAAACCGGGGGGGAGGACTAATGATAATGATGTTCTAGTCCCCTTCATTGACTTCAACTGTACCCTGTTCGCAACGTGAAAGTATCAGTATTTCCTCAAGTCTCGGAGCATCGTGGGATCCAGGCATTTCTCGCAAACGCTGGCAGGATGGAAGCGAGGTCCGTGTTACGTGTAGTTGCGAAGGCGAAGGGTACGGAATATTCCTTGTTCCTTTGTGGATAGTCACTCGGCCTCTCCCATCTACAACGGCAAGTTTCATCTGAGCGGGAGGCCAGTTCGGTCGTTAATCGAGCATTTCTCTTCGTCTATCGTGACTTCTAATGATACATACTCAGTACAGTGCACTCGTACGAGTTTGCCCCAGTCTTCTCGGGTGAGGCGTTTTCAATAACACCGTGATTTGATAGTAGCTCTTTCCTCGATATCTGTTCATCGCTTGCGGGGATGCAATTCCCACGACAAGCGGGGGGACTGCGAGATTGACGAAGATCACGCCCGTACAGATTTCGATGCTCTCTCCAAATAGACTCAATAGTCTCGGTAAGATCGAACCACCCTCATCTTTGCAGGCGGCTCTGCAGGACCACCATCTGGGTTCGTGATGGTTCCGGGGAACCCGAGATTGGTGTTCCAGGTATCGGCGGTCGACTTGTCTCTAGTTCCTAGCGCCTCAATTTGAGCCTGGACACTTCGACACAATGTCTTCGCTGCGTCATTGGCCTCGCAGACGTTGGTGAGTTGGTCGCAGATTCGGTTGGTGATGATATCTGGGTAGTACATGATTAGTCCTATATATTGGACGACTCGCAGATACAAGGGGCGTAACGTACTTGGATTCAAGGCCTCCTGTTGACCTTGGGCACAGAGAGGGTCGATAGGCAAGAAAGTGAATTCGGTGGCAGGCCGGCCACCGAGTCCACCTTCGAACTTCATGGTCGGTACACAGAGACCGAAATCGGCACCGCTCACTGTCGAAGTCTCAGTGGCGTTGCCTGTTGTAGCTGCCGCGGCCGTCGTGGTTTCGACAGTGGCAGTGGTTGTAGAGGTTGCGACCTCAGCAGTCGTGGTCATCGCGATTTCAGCAGCCGACGAGGTTGCAACTGTGAAGTATTAGTATTGTGATTGTTCAAATTTTGAAGAGCGAGACTGACCTGATGTGTCGACAGTGCCACAGCCATTGACTGTCACAGTGGCAGCGGCCCCAGAGGTGCTGGAGGCCTCGGTAGCAGCACTCAAGGATGCAGCTGGAGGGGCACTTGTAGCACCGGCAGCAGATTGCCCAGTAAAATTGGTGAATCCATTCTCAGCGAGCAGGTCCGCGACACTCTTGCCAGTGGCATCTAGTGGAGTGACCTTGGTCTTAGCAGACAAAGCATTTGCGATATCTGAGCCAACCACTGCAGGGTCAATCAGAGGCGTGATACCTCGGAGAACATCTGTAGCCGGCAGAGTCGGGTCATCGCAGATGGTAGGGATCGACTGAACGAATGGATTGAAATTCTTCTCTGCAGCAACGATGCCGATAGCAGCAGCAATGGCATCAGCTCCGGTACCGAGCTCGGCGATGATTTGGTCACCACGCTTGAGCTTGTCGCAGGCATTGGTTGCTGCCAGGAGATCGCTTACAGCAGCACCAGCAATGGTTTGAGCCACTCCTGGAGCGCCGCCCTGGACAGCTGCAATGGCCGGGATGGGAATTTGTTCTTGATTAAACCGGGCCTGGGCCACGGTAAGTAGTGTGGCAAGTGCAGTTGTCTTGAAGAGCATTTTTTGAAAGAAGGTGGGATATTGAGACGCAGGTAAAGATCGTGTTGCGAGTTCGAACCGTGTAAAAGAGAGACTAGCTCGCCGAAGAAACGAATGTACCGACCAGCGGCTGATGATGCAGGAACAGTGAAGGATGAGTTGCTTAACTACAATGGAAAGGAGATATCAAATTCGAGAGGACTCGCGTCAATTTATATTGCCCTTACCTTGAAGCTATCTTGCTAGAAGGTCGTCTCAGGCTGTACCGAGGCCAGATCAACTGCATCTAGGAGGGAAATTCAACTTGAGATCCAGCGAGCATTCTGAAGGCGAGCACGTCGAGGATGACTTGACACAGTTCCGCCAAGTTGGGACGGAGCGTAGGACGGCGAGCTTGGCGTTGCACGAGGTGCGAAAGGCTGGCAGGTGGCGTCATTTGTTTTTCGATTGAGTTGCTTCGTTGCTTCAGAAATAAACCCCAAGGCTGAGGGTATTATTGGTAAATTGGACGCGGATCACCGAGCAAGGTGTTTGTTAGTCGTGCCGTCAAGTTGAAGCAAAGGTTGTGTGGACTTCGGTTTCAACCGGCGAGGCTGACCCTGGCTCAGGGGCTGAGACACATTGGTCCCTCCGCGGCGGTATCGAAACCGAAGCGATATCCACGTGGATGGAGACAAGATCCAGCAATTGCAGGCTCGGTTAAATCCATCGATGTCATGATCAAGGAGTAAATCTCTGAGCCTCTTGGGGTCACTCCTGGTTTCCGAGGCGAAGGTTAGCGCAGTGTTCAGGATCGGAAAGGTGCTGGTAGGAACCCCCTAGACTTGGCGGATAGAGACGACCTCGAGCCCACCATTTCGAAGGAACTCAGATGCTACTGCACAACACTAACACATGGAGAGCTTTGGGGAAAACCGTCCTCGCGGAACATGGGCCGGCAAAGAGCGCCCCGATGGCCTGAGCCTGGAAAATAGTTGGGGATAATGGGCGTCGTCAAAATATAATCGAAAGGTCAGCTGGCACCGGCATCACGAGTCCTTTGAGGGACATTAGCAATATCAGGGCACCATAGAGGGGCGCTAAGTGAAGCTCTGGTGAGGTTGACAAAGTTGAGGTAGAGGTGGGAGTGAGGTAGCAGGAGGAGCAGACGCTGCGGCGCAAGAGATGCGCACGTGATCTTCGCCAAGCGTTACGTCATGCTTGTTCACGGTCTGGACTCTTTGTGCCAGACTTTGTCATGCGAGTTGGCGCGTCGCATTCAAAAGTCAAACGACCCATTGATTTAACGACACATGGGTCAGTCCAATCCAGTAGATGGCGCATTTTGAACATCTCTATTCTCTCGCTGATCGCAAGACTATCTTCCTCTGCCAATCGCATCAAGTCGTTTCGCTGCAACCATGACAGATTGGAGCAAGTTGAAGGTTGCCGACCTCAAGGAGGAGTGCAAGTCGCGTGACATCCCTCTGACAGGCCTCAAATTAAAACAACATTACATCGATAAACTCGAAGAGTACGAAGCGCAGAACGGCGATCATTCCAATGAAAACGAAAATGAAGATGAAGATGGAAATGGAAATGGAAATGACACACAAGAAGCCGAGGAACAACCTGTGCCGCAGGTAAATGGAGACAGTGGAGGGGGTCTTCGTGCTGACTTGGACACGAATGGCACGGAAAAGGATGAGGTGCCCAAGGATGCTAGCAGAGAAGAACGCTCTGCGTCTGGAGAGGACGAAGATGAAGCAGCCATGCCTTCAGCAACCCAGGAAGAGGACAGTCAGGCTGAAGCCTTGACGAAGACCGAGGAACAGCCTATCGCAGAACCAGCCCCCCAACCTGATGAGACAGGGACAAAGGATGAGCCAGAGACTATCGCCAGCAAGCCCAAAGAGAACGACGAAACGATTGAGGCTCCTGGACAAAGTGATGCTACAGTCACCGGCGCAGGAGAACCAACCAAGGATGAAACAACCACCGTTGATCAAAGCATCGAAAGCCAAAAGACTGCTGTGCTCTCCACGCCACCATCGACAGAAAATCTATCCGATTCCAACACACCACTCTCCTCACAAATAATTTCCAGTGATCTTGCTGAAGACCAGAGGAAGCGGAGGAAAAGAAGTGCCACACCGGTTCCCTCGATGGAGGATGTAGCCCGGAAGAGAGCGAGGTTGACAGAAGATGCAGAGGCCGCGAAGGCTGGAGAAGCTCCAGGTCAAACAGAATCAGAAGCAGAGGAGGCGAAAAATACTCCCAGAGAACCTATGAAGGAAGAGCCTGCTGAAGTTTCCGTCACGACGTCTGGGGATGGAGTCATCATCACAAAGTCCCTTTCTAACCTTGACGAGACCGCTCCAGGAGAACCCAAAGCAAATAATCAAAGATTGTCTACGTCTCCGCCCAGATCAACGGCTTCATCCGAAGATCGAGACATTGCACCCGCCATCCACCCAGCTACATCATCCATCTACATCCGCAACTTCAAGCGACCCCTACATATCCCTTCGCTTCGCGCTCACATTACTTCGATAGCCAAATCGCGCTCCTCCGACAACGCTGATCCCATCACCCTTTTCTATCTCGACAGTATTCGAACCCATGCCTTTGTCTCATTCGGCTCGATCGCGGCCGCGTCGCGAGTCCGCTCTGCAATGCATGGGTCACTCTTTCCCGACGAACCTCTCCGAGAACCGCTCTTTGTCGACTACGTTCCCCCCAACAAGGTACAAACATGGATTGATCAAGAGACCGGTAGCGGGTTCGGTCGAGGAGGCAGTGGACGTCGCTTCGAAGTAGCGTACGAAGAAGGTGAAGGCGGCATCGAGGCAATCTTCCAGGAAGTCGACACCAGCAAACCTCGCCAGCCGCCCTTCGAACCCAGTCGTGCACCCCGGGCACCCTTCGACAGGCAGCAATCAGAATCTCTCTCCGCGGGTGTCCATCCAGACCGCGAGGCTTTCACCGCTCGTGACAATCAAAACCGCGACCGCCAACGAAGACCTCCAGCTGGCCCCCAAAATACATCGTCAAGCAACGGCACTGGCTTCAAAGCGCTCGACGAACTCTTCGACTCCACCTCCACCAAGCCGAAATTGTACTACAAACCGGTGCCTTCGTCGGTGGCGAATGAGCGGTTGGACATGTTCCGCGGTCTGCGCGCGGGATGGGAGGAGATGGGACGTAGTGGCGACGAAGGCATGAAGCGGTACTCGTTCGAGCGGGATCAGGACCGAGAGGAGTGGGTCGACAAAGGGCCAGAGTTTGGGTTTGGGCGGAAGGGCCAGGCTCGGTTGGTTGGCGTGGGAGGTGGACGAGGCAGGGGAGGAGGAGCAGGAGGAGGATATCGAGGCAGAGCGATGGATTCGTGGAGGGGCGGCGGAAGGTGACAGGCGTCCGCAGAACGAAGTGTCCCGTTCCGCTCCCACAGCCGCGACACGGAGGTCTACGGTTGATTGAGACCGATGCAAAGTTGATGGAATCTCGCTGTAAGATATCAAGAGGACAGAAAACTGGCAACATGTTGTCAATGTCGGAAATGAAGGAAATGTGTCTTGAGACGAGAAATAGGACACGACAGATAGCCGTCGGAGGCAAAAATGTATACCCCCAGCCATGATGATAGTGCCTCAAGAGACATATCTTGTGTTTGATACCTCCACATTCTACTTTGCGGCTGTCTCCTCCCAGATGCGTCGACACTCGAGTGGGAAAAAGCAGGCTCTCCGGGCCGTGCTGTCTATTTCAGTTGTTAGGACCAATGCGCCAGTCCACTCGCTTCCACGGCGTCAACTCTTGCCGCAGGCCCTTCAGAATGAAGAGCGGCTTTCTTTCCAAATGGGTAGTGCTCCCTTTCTGCTCGGGCTTTCCAGACTTAATATCAGTCCCCCCACTGGGTCTCCAGGCAAAGTGTTGCTGGCTGCTACAGTAATTGTCTTCCAAACCGCTCGCCTGGCTTGCCCGCGCGCATCATGGCATCGTCGTCCTACCAATCATCGCCCCAGCCGTCCTCTTTGCTCTTCCGCGACGGATTCGCCGCCGTGGACGACCCTGAGGTTGTCTTCCTCATTGCACTCGTCCCGATACTGCTGTTCCCTCCGCCCTGGCCGAAACTGTCCCAGAAGTCCTTCCTCTCCGGCTCTGCCCGCTTAGAAGCCGCCGCGGAAGCGGCCTTTTCGTCCTGGCCTTCGACGAATTTGTTGAATGATTCGGCGGCGCCGCGTGCGCCGGACTGGATGCCCTGTCCCGCCGCCGCGGCGGCCTTTTGGGCTTGGGCCGCGAAGTCTGAGGATGCGATCTAGATCATGACCCGTTAGCATGCTGTGTCCTTCTCATCTAGTTGAAGGACCAGTGGAAGTTTTTTGTTTTGGGGGGGGGGGGGGGGTTGGGACTGTAAACCGACATTTCGAGCAGTAGGTTGAATGTATGAATCATTCACCAGCTTGGCCTGCTTGCTGACCATCCCTCCAAACCAGCCAAAGCTCTTCGTTATAGCTGCCACGGGATCCTTGGAGAAATCATCTGCAGAGGGGATCGCCCCTGCACCCTGCTGCTGCGAGGGCTCCGGGGGCGCGCTGCCGAAGCCACCGAACTTCCCGCCCTGGCTTGGTGGTAAATTGTCTGGTCTGGTGGCATTCGCCTCGCCCATTCGCGCAAAGTAGGCTTCATTCTGGGCTTTTTGATCGGCTGTTATGCGTCCCCCCTTCGAGGGTGCCGGGGACGCAGTCCGACTGCCTGGCCGGCTGTTGCTTGACACCGCGGCGTTGTTGTTCCTTGCTCCTCCAGCCGGTGTAACTGAGCGGCTGGCCTGTTTCTGCAGGATTGCCTGCCTTTCTTTTTGGAAGGCAGCTTTGTCAAACTCTCTTTCTTCTACTTGGCATGAGAGCCTTTCCTTCCATTCCTCGCCAACCTCGCAGTCATACCGTTCCTTTATCGTGGCCTCCTCAAACGGTAGTGAGGGGCTATTCTTATTGTAGAAGTCTTGCCAGGCTTTGTTCCCGCCGTATTGCATCCGGAGGATCTCGGCCTGTTTAAATGCGTCCATGGAGATGGACCGCACAAAGGAGACATGGACTCCGAGTCCACGGTGCACGCCGGCGCATTGGAGGCAGATGAAGGTGGAAAACTTGGGGGACGCCTGTGTAAATGGTTAGCACAGAGGAGAACTACCCTGAAAAACGGCCACTTTTGGCCAGGGAGGACTTCAAAATCTCACCCATTGCGGTGAAGGGGCGCCGCAGTCACAACATTTGTCGTTGCCCGCGCCCTCCTTTTTGCCCAACGCAGCAAGCTGTAAGATGGAATCAGGAACTCAAGTCCAAGACGAGATAGATCAAGGAAAGCGAACCTTGCTTCGGGTCTCCGGGTCGACCTCCCACATCGCCTTGGCCGCCATCTTGTTCGGAGTGTCGTGTTTGAATGTCGGGCGCGGGGTGGGAAGTTGTTCGTGTGCTCACTTTCTCAGGTCTCCTCAGGTCAGCTTGGTCGGAAACACATGCTCGAGAATAGTCTCCTCTAGAATTAACACATGGATAAGTATAAGTATACGTTGACGCGTAGGTCCTCAGATGTTTCCGTATGTGAACCGAATGTACGGAGTATTAGTTCGAGTTGAGCGTTGTTGGTACAGTCGCGGAGTGGTTGGCCAGTCAAAACTCCATTTGGCGCTGAACCCTCGAGCGTCCGCACTGGCTGCTGACATCTGACAGTCTAGTAGATACATTACAGTACATTCTATTATATCAATCACAATCCGCCCTGCAGCTCTGCTATAAGTGCTTTTTCGCGAGGACCCGTGATTTTCTCAAATCGATCAACGCTCATCACAAACGTTCCTCTTCCTCCAGTCATGCTCCGGAGATGTTTGAGGTACCCAACCATCTCTTTCAGGGGCACCTTGGCCTTGACAGTCCTCTGGAAATTGACCTTTTGGTGGTCCTCTCCAGCCAACGATGAACCAGATTCGAACGGATCCTTCGGTGCATAGATCTTGCGCACATCAATCCTTCTGGAATCCAAGCCTGTTTGCGATTGTTCTTCTTCATGGTCGCCAAGCGAGACAATATGCCCTCCCCTGCCTGAGGAGATGTCCTGGATGACAGTGCCTAGGCTTGCTTCATCCATATTGATGTCGACGTTCATCACAGGTTCCATCAGAGAGCACGGACTACTCTTGATGGCATCTTTGAATGCTCCGATTGTAGCTAGGCGAGCAGCAGCAGTCAGAGATCCGTAGGTCGTTTCCGTGCCAAAGATGTGCTCATCTGGACGAAGAGTCAAGGTGACTTTTGTGTTGCGCATTGGGTATCCCCACGAGGGACCACGGCTCAAAGCCGCCAGAGCGCCGTTGAGGTATGCATTTCGGATTTCTGGAAGCAGGAGGTGTGGCGGCAAGCCCCCTGTATCACTCTCAAGCGATCTTCCTCGTTGGTCTAGAGTTGGCGTCTCGATGATGACGAGGTTTCCGTCCTCTTCATGAACGAAGCTGTCTTCAAAGTCACTGACAAGATCATCAGGCTCGCCTTCTAGAGGTTCCACGAGGGCAGTACACCCTGCTTTGCCTTTGGAGGCTGCGCGTTCTCCCTCCAATACTTTTGTGATTGTGCTTGAAGCTTGCGGTAGAGTTTCACGATAACCAATTGCAATCTTGCCCATGCGGGCTTTGGCCTTCAAATCGTTGACAAGCCTGTCTTGGGCGATCTCAAGATGTAACTCGCCCATACCACTGATTTGTGTCTGGCCTGTATCTTCATCCTGCGAAACCTGGAGGCTGGGATCTTCTCGCAACAGCAGCGCCAGCTTTTCGTGCATATCCTTCTCTTCCCGCAGGCTATTCGGTTCAATGGCTGCGAAAAAGACAGGCGGCGGCACCTTGATTGGCCGCAGTTGTAGCTTCTGCAATGGATCCGGGGGAGTGGCCTTGTTTCCCGCATAGGAGATGAGTGTGTCACCGGTACGAGCGAACTTCGAGCCTGCAATTACACCTATCTCACCAGCTTGTAGTGACTGGACAGGTACTGATTCCGAAGCATACATCCGCAGCAGTGTTGTTGCCCTCTCCGAATTTTGAAGGTTCGTGTTGAAAAGGAGAGCATTGCGTTCTATCGTTCCGGAATAGACTCGAATGTAGACCAGCATACCTTTGCGGGGATCATTGACCACTTTGAAAGCTAATGCGCAGCCTTGCAAAGCCTTGCCGACCGCCGCCGGTACTAAGTCAGAACCTTTCTTCTTGGACTTTGAAACATGTTTTTCAAGTGACAGATCTCCTCTTATCAGTTGCGAAAGCCCCCCAGAAACCAGCCCAAGACCAACCTCGGGATCCGGACGCTCTTCCGGGGATGGTAGGAGGTTGTTGACGGCGTCCAGGAGAGGCTGTACTCCGATATTGCGGAAGCTGGCGCCAGCAAAAACTGGGATAACCATGGTATTCGGTGCGAGAAGACACCTTCGCAGACTGTACCATATCTGAGCTGGGGTCAATTGAAGATGATCTTCTTCAGCCTCGAAAAAGGCTTCGACCAGTTGATCGTCATGTTCACTTAGTAGTTCAACCAGAGCCGTCCTAGCTCTTCGTAATTCTCGCGAAAACTCCGGATGCTCTTGCTCCAACCGTGAGAGGGGATAGCGTTCTATCGCTTTACCATCTCCTCCACACTCGTACAGCAATCCTTCCAAGTTGATAACATCGCCAACCCCAGTGAAACGGCCTTTTCCGCCCTCGAACCAGGGAATTTGACAGACTGCTGGCCAACCGCCCAAGCGGGAGCCAATTTCGCGGACTGTTCTCCCGAAAGCTGCGCCATCCCGATCCAACTTGTTGATATATGCTATCCGTGGGATGTTCCACTCGCCGGCTTGGGCCCATACTTGTTCAGTCTGGGCTTCGACACCGGCGACGCCGTCCAGAATACAAACGGCGCCATCCAAGATGCGCAGAGACCGGCGGACTTCGAAAGTGAAGTCAGCATGTCCCGGCGTATCGATCAGATTAATGGTATGCGAGAAACGTGCGCGAGGCTGAGCTTCAATATCGTCGGTAGTAGCTGGAGATGGTACAGCATGAGGAGGGGGCCATTCAAAGGTGATGGCCGCAGACTGGATGGTGATCCCGCGAGCCCGCTCAGCAGGAAGGAAGTCAGTGACAGTAGACCCTTCGTCAACATCACCTATCCGACGAGTATGACCGCTATAATAAAGCATGCGTTCTGTCGTAGTCGTTTTGCCCGCATCGATATGGGCGATGATGCCAATATTTCTGGTCCTTGAGGGCTGCGGGCTCTGCAGTGTTGAAGTTGCAGGTGCTGTGCGCGGACATGATGACCGTAGATTTCTTGATTGAATCCGAAGAAATGAAGTAGAGCGAGACCGACATAAATCAGTTAGAGCGGAGTGTCGTATAAACTGCACATGTTGGACTTTCATCCCCTAACAGAAACGGAAGTATCTAAGCTAACTGCACCAACGTGAACGTGCGCCAGGAACTTCAAAGGTCACGAGAGTTGAAAAGAAGATGAAAGCAGAATCGGAATGAATGACTGAGCTGGAAGCTTTCGAACTTCTCGATGATGAGGATCGAAAAAATATAGAAATTCTGTTGCACATAAAGCAGCCGCATCTACTAACCATCTTGGGCTGCGTGGGCAGGCGCCTTTTTCCCGCTGCACCTCTTGCTCCGACTTGCCGGCTGTGGACATTGAAGAACAGTGATAGACCAACAAGCCTGCTGAACCGAGCAGTCTCATCTTGATATCGGTCCATAAACCCTACAGGATCACGCGCGAACACTCAGGCAACTTCAGAAGCTGGTTTTCAGAACCCTCAGTCTTCCTGGCGTATCTGTGCCGAATGCCCGCTTAATTGACCACACCACAACGTGAGCAGTTCTCCGCTGCCACCCCTCGCAGCTATGGACTACTCTGCTGCTGCTAGCGAGGCAGATGCTCTTCACGGTGCCTCTCCTTGGGGTTCCTCTTCTCCACGTGCCTCCAGAGGCTTTGCCCAAGCCACGCCAGGATCTCCAGAGTCGCCGCAGCCAATTCGAGGGCATTCCTACAATCAATCCCAAGACAGCATTCCTGATAGCCCGTACCTACCTCCACCTAATCAATCCAATGTGGCCGCTTCTAGAGAGGCTGGGATCTCGGGAGATCCAGTCGCTGCCGCACAGAATCAACACCCAGAAGAGGCTTCGGCGCAACCACAGGCTGCAGCAGCACATTCTCAGGATGTCCAAGCCTCGTCAGCTGCGCAACAATATGCTGGGCAGCCGCAACAACGACCAGGTGCTGCGAGATACCATAATGCAAGGCAGAACAGGCCGGTGCCACAATATAAGCTGCAAGCCAAGGTAACTGCGCTGGAGCGGACGGGACGCAAAGATCCCGTTATCAGGTTTGATGTTTATGTATGTTGCGGTTGTCCATGACAAGCAATCAAGCTAACAACCTTGAAAGACTAATCTCCCCAAATTCCGGACTACCCAATTCCGAGATGTCCGTCGAACGCATTCTGAATTCGTCAAACTTGCCGACCATCTCATATCTTCGAACCCAGAGGCACTTGTCCCTGCTGTGCCTCCAGCTCAAACTTCTGCCGGGGTAGGCACAGACGAGGACGAAGCCCGGGTCAAGGCGGCAATACAAAGATGGTTGAATTCTGTATGTGGCAACGATGTGCTCATGCGTGATGAGGAGATGGTATTTTTTGTGGAGAGTGATTTCGGGTATTCTCCCGTGGTGAGAATGAAGCAGCCAGCGACTGGTGTAAGGCGGAAAGTCTTGAAACAGTTTGCGCCACCGCCTGATGATACGCCTGAGCTGCACGAGGCACGGCCTATTGTCAAGGCCTTCTATCTGAGCTCCCTGGACACGAGCCAACGACTCGAAAAGGTTGTTAAGGCCAGACGAGGTGAGCCATGACTAGATCTCTCTTGCATCTACTCTCGCTGATGATTTACAGCACTTGGCCTTGCAGAATCCTCCCTTGGAGAAAAGCTGGGTCAAATGAGTGTCCAGGAAACCCACCCTGGTCTAGCAACCGCATACCGCAAACTCGGGCGTATAATCCAAACGTGTGGTGATTACCACGCCGCGCAAGGAACCGCTGAAGCTACGACACTAGGTGATGCGCTCACGTATCACTCCTCCGATGCTTTCATCGTCAAAGAAACTTTGACAAATCGACACATCCTGCTCCGTGAGCTGCTCCAGACAGAGGCATCCCGTCGGAGCAAGGAAAACGCGGTTCAACGCCTTAAGAGCTCGTCCAGCGTGCGCAGAGATAAAGTCGATGAAGCTATCTCTGCACTTGACGAGGCAATCTCCCAAGAAAACTACCTCCGCTCAAAAACCCAACGCGTGACAGCAAACTTACTCCTCGAGAAAAGACGATGGTTCAATCGAACGTCCAGTGAGTTCATGCTCTCTCTTCGTGAGTATGTCTTGCGTCAAATTGAAGCAGAGCGCCGCACGCTCGCAACCCTCGAAAGTGTGAGACCAGATATCCGGGCAATTGATGCCTCTGGCGGTCTGAGCAGATTGGGGCGGGAGAATCATCCCACCGTAAGGCGGATTAGCATGGCCAGCAGCCAGGGCGCCAAGGGTGACGCTTGGTCCGGTGTCCCGCGGAGCAGGGATGCTCTTTCTAGAAGCATGTCTGGAAGCTTTGGACCGGGTGCACTGGGTGTTCCCCTCCCAGAAGAGAGTGAGAACGGGACGAATGGCGCAGGGTTGGCGCAAGGAGGCCGACCAAGAAGCGCGACCGGTGCCAGTCTGGACAGGGTCAAGGAAGACGAAGATGAGGATCGCGTTGATGCTAGAAACGCAGCCAGTCGGTTGGCACAGAGCACGTTCTGATCCAACAATCGCTTAGAAAGGGATCTACGCGCCGTTCACGGCGAATGAACATCGCCCAAATCGTCGTCTCCGGCGATGCAGCTCAAATCAAGACCATGAGGTGCAGCACGGACGGGAGTGGGCGGCAAAGGAGAATTTTTCGAAACGAATTCAGAAATCGGGAAAATGAGAGAGGTGGCACAACAAGAACAGGCGGGAGAGCGAGAAGAGGCTTATCTATCTATCCAAGCTCATTGCTACTGTATAGGACCCCCTATTCAGCAGTGTGCAGCATGTGAATATCGTCCCATTCGGCATAGGACTGGACCTTTAGCGAGTATTTGGACTCCGAGCGAAGAAACGCTCACGTCCAGCTCATTTTGAAGCCCAATTCATCAAGCCATTTCAATTGTGTTGCCCCATCGTCTCTGGACTTTGATCCCAATATCTGTCTCATCCTCCTCCCGCAAGCCCGTCCCCGCGCTCCGTAGCATCTCAACCCGGGGGACATTTTGACACAATCGACCCTTTTGCTGGGTTGAATATCGCTGACGTTTGTGATAAAACTCGGACACATTAAAGATTAAGGCGGGGTGCCTGATAAGGCCGATTTTCGTATTGTACTGCACATGTTGTTGATCCAGGTGTCTCGATGCTTCTCACATACCATGTCGCCTCAGGACATATTGTTATTTCCGACGTATCCAGGTCTTTTGATGTAGAGGTCATGGAGCCTTCAACAGCGCCGTGCCACATGTAGTCGATTTCGGAAGGCATCTATTAGAGGAAATGATCCCTCTGAAGACTGGTGTTCGGGCAACGCAAGTCATTTCGTATCGCAATATCTTGGCTGAAATTGGCGGTTTAGAAGGTCGGTCCTAAGCCGCTCAGCAGGTTCTTGAGTCTCTCTCCCTCAACGTTACTTGAGACAAGAGTATCATCGAGTTGCGTATCTGCCTTTATGTTTGCACCCTCGACACCATTTCCATTGAGGGATCCATGAGTTGGCACACTGGAGTCAAAGGTTGAATCAGAAGAAACTTTAATGCTTGTCCGCGCCGTGCCACAGGCGAGATGAGCGGGTATGCTGCCCACAGCACCGACAGCGCCAAGGGCTGCGAAACTGAAGCTGCGTGGTTGCATGGCAGGACTGTCAACAGGAGTACCGTTTGGACTGGTGCTATTTCCTCGGCTCCCAGTCCCAATTGCACCCCAGGGATTGTTGCTTGGAAAGGTGGTTGCACTTGGAGATCTCATTGATCCAATGTGACCATGCGCCTGAACATAGGGATTGGCCCCTGTAGGGAATTGCAACTTCTTGATCGTAGCATGCAATATGTCCCGCTCTGTGAGTAGTGCATTGCGCTCCTGGCCCATATTTTCGATTTGCGTATTCAACTGGGATTTTTCTGATTGGAGAGTCTCAATTGTGTCGATCAGAGCACGCTTCTCTCGTTGCGTTTGCTGGACGAGGCTGCGGAGGAACTCATTGTCGGTTTGGAGGTGGCTGGCATAACCAAGGTCCGTGCTCATACGAGGAGAAGGGCTGCTGGCGCGGCTGTGATTAACGAGCGGTGTAACAGGCCTGGAGACTGCATTGCTGCCACTGCCGATACTCTCACATTGAGTGTTGTTAACATTGGCACCAGCTAGAGACGACACCGAAGCAGTAGAGCGATTTGTAATAGCCAGCTTATTCAATGCGCGCTCTAGAGATCTCCCTGCTTTGGCCGGTTCCCCTGGAACCACCTGGCGAGGTGCAGCTGTGTAATGGCCCGTGTCGTGGTGTGCGTATACTGATTCAATATTAGCATCAAAACGCTGCGTTGGCAAGCTCCCTAACGCCTTTCAACCTGGTGGGATTAACGTACAACAATCTTCTTCCGAGTATTTGCATTCTCCTTTCTCCCACCACCAGAAGCAAGTGAGATGTTTTACGGAGCGACGGTTGTGGCTGTCTCGGCTGTCTCCTGGTGAGGGCAAGGATGAACTCGCTCGCGAGCTAGGTCGGGTGCGGGATTGCATTGAGCGTCGAGTCGGACCTTCTCCTTCGGTTTCTAAGTCTTGTTGAATTCGTATGACGATAGGGACAGATGATGAACGGGATTCTCCTCGTAGGCGAACACCCTGCTCACTGGGACGAGAGCGACGAGAAGGCGTCTCCTGCATGCTTGCGTTTCCTGGAGAATTAGGCGCTGATTTTGAAGGGTCTGGATAAGCTGGGAACGATTGCTGCAGGGGACTGTGGACGAGGGGGCTGCTGCTATGACGAGGCAACGAAGGGGAAGGCGCGCGACTCCAACAATTGGAGCTGGGATGCAGCCGTGAGCGAGAGGCCACGCTTGTGAAACGAAACGACTTTGGCTCAGTGGGAGCGCCTGGAGGCACTTTTGAAGACGAAGATGGGGGCGGTTGTGATGACATGGTCGCCCGAGATGGGAGCAATGATGAGGATCTGAAGGAAGGGGGAAAGAGACGGATGCAGCGAGAAGGAAGGTGGTGCAGATGGCGCGCATGAGAAGGGGTGCAAGATGGTGAAGACAGGAGAAACATTTCATCTTCAAGCTGGTGAGGCAGAATTCACTGGTCTGCTTGATTCGCTTTGTCGTTGTTGTCTGCTTCGTTTGCTCCCATCTGCCTCTTCCTTCGCTTCATTTCTGGGACGATTTAGCCGCAGTCAAAGAGGGACTTTCTGCAGGTTCGTTCTTACAATCTCGCCCTCTACCTCTCCTGCTGACGGGCTCTCCATTGTTCGATCCTGTTGTGAAACTCTTCCGAAAACTCATCATATCGTTTGGCCCCGTCATCCGCGAGAACGAGATACTGTGCTTTGTCCTTGAGAAAGATGTGCGCCCCCAAGGGTGGCAGCGCGGGCTCGGCCTCTACCACTGTCCCTAGAGTCACCGCAGTGCGGTCTGCCTCGAAGAAGTACCGCATAAAAACTGCAGAGCCACAGGACTTGCAGTGGCCACGCTCAGCAATGTCGCTCGCAATCCAGATATCCGGCTGCTGTTTCCATTCCACCGCTGAAGCGGGAATGCCCACGAAGCCCAGATACGGTCCACCAGATACGCGCTGGCAAGTGACACAGTGACAGGCCGTCAGGGCGAGGGGCTGAGCTTGAGTCTCATATTGGATGCGCCCGCAAGCGCAGCTCCCTTTGATCATGCTGGAGGGGCAACCCAATGGGTGCCAGAAGAACCAAGATACCTAGATATGTTACAAGAGACGGCCAAAGGGTTCACAACATGTGTTACTGGCTCGCTGGCTCGCTGAGTTAGTGATGAGCAGAAAATACGGAGCAATAAAAGAAGGGAAATTGAAATTTCGATGGTTTCGCCTTACATAGCAAACTTGGAGTGGTTCCGCTTTTCGACATGTCAGGACTCAGCGAGTTCAGGACCCTGCATTTTTGGCCTTTACAGAGCACCCACTCCGCAGATTGGTGTCTTCCGCGGGTCTGCCAGACACGGCCATATGAATGGAGTTAAATACATCTTCACAGCCGCACCACGAGGTTATATACCGGGATTGTGAGCTCGTCGCCGAAGCATGGCGCTGGAGCTGGGCTTCGAAGACATTAAATGGCAAGACTCTACTACAAAGACGAGTCTGCGGGAAGCAAGATACTCCCACCAATATACTCCCCAACAACTGTATGAACTTGACTTGGAGGGTTGAGAAGTTCTCAAACAGGAGGTAGATGAGCAAATGGCTGGAAATGGCCTGCCGGTGTCCATTGCTGTGCCTGTGGGTGGATGCATCACGAAGCCTTTGACAGCTTACCGCTGGATGTTCAACGACCAAAGCAGGAGACTGATACAGAGGCTCAATGGCGCATTCACGCGCTATGAATCGATCCTCCAAAAAATCGTTTCCCCGAATGTGTGGAACCAAACAGATGTGCACTGAATATCATGACCAAGTCTTGACTGGTATGTCTATATTTCCTAATCCGTGGAGACTTTTTCAGGATTACACACTTCGGAACCCATATCTCGTCTTGACGGCGACCGTGTCGTGGTTCTCTGAAGGTCTATCTGCCAGGTATCGGTTAGTGTCTCTGACAAGTTATAGCTGGTTGTTGGTTCATACAGACTAATGCCAGAATGCCATCCTTATTGTCGCCCTTCTCTGTTCCCGGAGCCAGGACTTCGGCCGCTGTCTCCATAGCTCGGTTGGGTTTGTCCCTGCTGCCACGTCGCCTGATTGTCGTAAGAGACCACTCTGTCGTTGCGTTCGTCTGAATTCCGGCTTCTTAACAGTCTTCGGATCAGGAAAAACCCTGAAAGGCACATTTTTTTCTCAGGTGTTCCGGGATGATGATGGATGATGCGGTGCTCGACTGCGCTTGAAATGGAAAAAAGGTTCTTCAAGTTGGACTCCTGTACTGCGTGGTATGTAATATATTGGGCTTCAAACTGCGAAATCGCTGCTTGGTGAAACACGAGGAATTGTCCTGTGCCATGACTCTTATACAACATCGCCCTCCATATCATCTCATGACCCCCCTCGTGGATGACGAGGCAGACAGGGCGTCTAGCAAGGGCAGTGCGCGCAATGGAGACCCCAAGGAACGCCCTAGACAGAAATCAGTATGTAGTTAGCGAGTTAGTGACTTGTGATGGTGCCAGCCGAGAGAAGGTACAAGACACAATAAGATTGCTGATTGCCGATTGTGGAAGTCGATTCGACGTTGGGCTGTCGGGGAAGCCTGACCGCCGTATCGAACGAATGAGGCCCTTGATGCGGAGGTTGGCGGCCAGATGCATGCATTCGACGCGATAGTCCTAATCGAGGCAAATTTACGAGCCACCATGGGTGCGGAGGTGTCAAGGGAACAGACATCAGGTAGCATTCGGCCTGTGCTTATGATAACGACTGAGGCTGAGTCTCTTGCAGTATTGCTACTCCAGCTTCGCCTCCAGATGGTTCCTGAGGCTTTGTCAATCTCTTTGTTGGATGACGGCGGAGAATGGAGGCAGAGCAATGCGCGACTATTGAGCTTTCCCAATGCAGATAATTGTTCGACGCCATGGCTGATTTGTCTGGAAATGGGCAGAATGCACCTTGACCGGATCGGTCACATATTTCATTTTCTCGACGACGCTTTGAGGTCGTCGGCCTGCTACACTTTGTCCCTCACAGCGCGCCCGTCTCCTCTAACGACCACGGCAGCATTGGGTGTATAGAACAAAACAACTTGAACCACTCTGATTCTGCCTCGCTGCGCCAGGCTATTCTGCAACTTTCGCGGCATGACGTTTGATCAGTCCGAGGAGTTGGGCTTCGCCTTCCACGCATTCAGGAATCTCGTCCATAATTCCATGCATAGTAGGTCTCCATCCCAGCAGTTTCTTTCCTCGAATGGACATCCCCCTTGAGTTGGTCCCGATCATCAACCTTGCATGTGGGAAAAGTCTTTCAGCTTCCATCGGACTCAGGCTTTCCACAGTTGCATCTGGCAGGAGCCCTTTCTTATGTGCGACGTTTGCGATCTCTTGGAGAACATCCCCCCACACGAAGGGGCCATTCTCGGCCAGATAATAGCCGAGATCATTCCATGTCGCCGGGGAGCCGCCATTGACGGCAGCCTCGCCGATGAGAAGGTACAGGTTAGACAAGTCACAGACGTGGACTTCGTGCCAGATATTTTCTCCCTTTCCCACTTTGAAGGCCTTCTGGTGCTTTAAAAAGCTCGCCGTCGCCATATACAGCTGGGCGGATCGCGTGTTGTCTGGGCCCCGACCCCGACCCCATATCGTTGGAGGACAAACAATTGCCGTCTTCACCTTGTCCGATGAGGCCGCCAAAACAATCTTGTCGACCTGCAATCATTGGCGAAGGTTGCATCAGTAATGAGCAAAAGTATCAAGCGCAGGAGTACAGATGACCGTGGAGAAGTGTTCGCTTTGTAGAACAAGTGAATGTATTCCCCCATGAACATTGGCGACTTTATGGGGAAGTCAAGAAGACCACAAGTGAATGCCACGGCTAGCCTACAGCCATGATTTCCTCCGACATAGGTTATAAAAAGGGTGAGTTCGCAGAGTACTTACATTCCTGTGAGCAGCATGGTCAGGTTGAGATATCAATTCACCCACATTATCCCAGTCGTCATACACCTTGTCTAGTTTATTGCCAAAATCGGCAAGATCAATTGTTTCCCAACCTAGTATTAGTGTCCCAGATGTATGTATCCAGAACCCGGGGCCGTCACGATTTCTCCGTGCGAGTCCTTTCGCAATGCCGCGCGCTGACGGCTCGTGGTCGCAGTTGGCGAAATGATAGACAATGTCCGTGTTGGCAGCTTCCTCCTCTATCAGGTCCACGGCATCGAGGTCTCCGTAGACCAGTCTCACTCTGGGATACACAGTAGCAATTTTGGCGCCTTTGTCGCTGTTCCGTACCAGGCATGTAAGTTCCCATTCCGAGTGTTTTTGTGAAATGAGGTAGAGGCTATCGCCACCAATGTACCCGGTGGTCCCTGTCAGAAAGATCTTCGGCGCCATGGTTTACGGGTGCATAGGGATGGAAGGAGATTCATTGCAAGAGGGGGAGAAGAATTCGAGTCAGGTTTTGTAGTGATTCCTACTGGGCTGCTCTTGGGAGTGCCTCTGTCGTCAGGGCCCGTGACGTTGACAAGTAACCAGCGCGTGTCTAAAAGATTCACCGTAATATCACGCCTTTCCACAAATGGATTTCTTTTGTACTGTCCCTCTTTTGACGCATCAAAGGCAAAACAGCCATCACCTCCTCACTCCTCGATACGACAGTCCCTCTTTGCAAACCCCCTCCAGATTGCTGACTTTGCGCTCATGCACGAAGACTAAGCTGTCCAACCCTGCTCGTCGAATCAAAGCTGATCGCCCTCTTTCAGCCGGATGTCGCAGTCTCCCTCATGAAAACCACGAGGACAGCCTTCTCGAAGACAGCCTTGCTGGGGCCGCAGTTGTTGACGACTGGACGTGATGCCCCTGCCGGTTGGCGCTAAGAGAAAGCGACCGGAGCGTACATACTCGGATGATCACCCGCAGTCTCGTCCTTCACCTCATCGACCGGGAAATCTCAGTCTTGCCCAGTCGACGCCGTATCACACGTCAGGAAATGATCGTGAATATAGCCAACTGCGTGGAAGAGGTGGTCGGCGATCAAGCAGAGGAGGTCGAGGCGGTAATTCTGCGTCCAGCCCAGTCCACCCTCAAGGAGATAGGCCTCCTACCGCGACGAAGGCACTGTTAGCGGATCGCGAGTCCACCACAACAAACGGCACCATGTCTACAGCTCAGCAAAACCCTCCCAACATCTCTGTCTTATCCAGTCCTCCACCGGAACCTCAGCCCTACAATTACACCTACTTGACAAACGCAGTTTGTGAGAAATGGCAGACTGGGGGCAGGGAAGATGTCTTGCGGCAGGCCCTGCAAGGTATGCAGGAAGAGGAGGGGACACAACTGAACGCATTGATGCAAGAACTTGTGCAGGCCGTTGTGTTTGGCAAGCTTGGTCCATCAGAAGCAGGCGACCTGGTTAAACAAATGCTGGAGAGCGAGATTCCAGATGAAGACCATCGGCCGATACCACATCCCACAACCTTACAAGCCGCCCTCCTAGATTCCATATCCATCGTCTTCGAAAGCAATCCCCTAATACCGCTTGATCGCCTCTCCGCATTTGTCCTTTCGACCGGAATACCTCACGATTTACTACGACATGAGCTGGACGCGCCTTTGCTTGAAAAATTGGATCTGATCAGGAATACCTTCAATCGTATGGGTATCAGAAAGCAGACAAATCTTCTCTACAGACAAGCGAATTTCAACCTTATGCGGGAAGAGTCTGAAGGCTTCGCGAAGTTGATGACCGAGCTGTTCACTACCAGCAGTAGCGAGGCACCGACTGCAGAAATTGTCGAGGACACTGTTGAAAAGGTTAAGGCTATGATCGGTGCATTTGACTTGGACGTGGGCCGAAGTTTGGATGTTGTTCTCGACGTCTTTAGTGCGGTTCTGGTCAAACAGTGTCGATTCTTCGTCAAATTCCTTCGCGCGAGTCCATGGTGGCCTCGGTCGTCGACCTCAGTCAAGAAGACCCTAACTCTGACAGGGCTTCCGAAGTGGGCCTTTCCCGGCTCTCCTGATTGGCACCTCACAGAGGAGCAAAAGCAGATTGTCGCAGACGAGACTCGGGCCCGCGACGAGGCCTTTTGGCCCATGGCTCGGGAGCGAGGCCTCGAAGCTTTCTATCTCCTTGGAAGATCACAAGTGCCACAAGAGATCCTCGAACGAGCTTCATCATCAGGGGACGATTTGCTCGCACAGTGGATTCGAGAGACTGGCACCCTGCCGCCTTTGGGAAATCGCGACGCAGCACAGCTTCTGGGATTTAAACTCCGTTTCTATTCATCGTCGCCGGCACGGGATGAAACAGATGTCCTACCAGACAACCTCATCTACCTTTCAGCTCTCCTCATCAAAATCGGATTTGTCTCGCTTAAGGATCTATACCCACATATCTGGAGGACGGACGATGCGATGGACGAACTCAAAGACCAAAAGACACGAGAAAAACAAGAGCGAGAAAGGGCTGCCAGGCCTGGAGCAGGTGCCAGGAACGCGCTCACGGCAGCTGGAGCGCTAATAGACGACACCTTACCTGCGCCACCCCGACTGAAAGAGTCAACCACAAGGGCCAACACCCCATCTAAAGAACCAGAGGCTGAAAAGCTAGTTTCGAAGGAGAATGAGCCTGCGGACCAGAAAGTCTTATTACTCAAGAGCTTACTTGCCATTGGCGCGCTTCCGGAAGCCCTCTTCATTCTCGGCCGCTTCCCTTGGTTGATGGCCCTAATTCCCGATCTTCCAGAATATGTCTATCGTATCCTACATCACTCTTTGAGCAAAGTATACGGGGAAGTACAACCTCTGCAGGACCGTCCAAGTCTTCGGAGCCTGGAACCGAGTTACGAAACCGATGTACCCGGCGTCGCAAAAGGACAGGTCAAAGTCGTCGAAACAACCGAGAGAAAGGTCCTCCGATGGGCCCAGCTAGACAAAAACGATAGTCCCGACGGCACTGATTATCGATTTTACTGGGATGAATGGAACGACAATATTCCAGTCTGTCAAAATGTCGAAGATGTCTTTACACTATGCGATACTCTACTGCCCCTCGTTGGTGTCAAGATCGGACAAGATCCGGGCCTTCTCCTCAAGATTGCCCGAATCGGAAAGCACAACCTACAGGTCGACAAAAGCGAGTCCAACCGATCGCGATGGTTGGATCTGGTCAAACGTACCCTTCTGCCATCGCTAAGCTTGACCAAATCGAACGCCGGCGCGGTCAACGAAGTTTTTGAGCTCCTCAGCGTTTTCCCCGTGAATGTCCGCTATTTGATGTATCTCGAATGGTCCACCGGAAGAACCTCTCGCAATCCCGACGTCAAATCAGCATTCGATCAGGCTAGGGCCGAGACAAAGGATATCCTCAAACGTATATCCAACACCAATGTACGGCCAATGGCGCGAGCGTTGGCCAAAATCGCATTTGCCAACCCACATATCGTGATCACCACTGCGCTCACTCAAATCGAAGTATACGACAGCATCGCAGAGGTCTTCGTCGAAGGCGCACGATATTTCACCGATCTTGGGTATGATGTTCTAACTTGGGCCATTGTAAGCTCAATGGCAAGGACTGGAAGAAACCGTACTCAGGAGGGCGGCATCTTCGCGAGTCGTTGGCTTTCAGCGCTCGCAGTGTTTGCCGGCAAGATTTATAAGCGATACGGCATGATGAAGCCTGGCCCAATTCTCCAATATGTTGCCGGTCAACTTGAGCATGGCAACACAATGGACCTCAAGATGCTAGAACAGATTGTACTTTCCATGGCTGGAATTGCAACCGACACGAGTTACAATGATGCACAGTTACAAGCAATGGGGGGAGGGCCACTCTTACAGTCCCAAACTATCCTTCAGTTACTTGATCGACGGCATGACTCGAAGAAGACCTCTGAGAGACTGATGAAGTCGCTTCAAGACACAGGTCTGGCCGCGAAGTTTTTGATATCCATGGCGCAGCAGCGACAAGCTTGTGTCTTTGAAGAAGGGCAGGTGCCTCTTAAAGCAATTGGCAACACATACGACGAGGTCCATCGAGTGATGGTGCAGTATCTTGACCTGCTGAGAACAAACCTCACACCAGAAGAGTTTCGGGCCACAATTCCTGATGTAGTGAGTCTGCTCATTGACTATGAGATTCGCCCTGAAATCGCATTCTGGATCAGCCGGCCGCTCATCGCCAGGCAAATTCAAGAGTACGACAAAGAAAATGCAAAAGATCAGCGAGCGGAGGAAGTTAAGGAGGTCAATGGAGACGTCGAAATGTCAGACCAAATAAATGCCAGCTCAGAAGAGGATGGCGAGGCTGTCGAGACAGAAAACCTGATGAACGATTCTCCTGCTGCAAGCGACACAATGGGTCCGACGCTTGACCTCGACGCCAGCAAGACCCCTGGCCCATTGGATGCAGCAACAGATGATTGCTGGCATCCCGTGATGAAGGATCTCATGACTTCCATCCAGCCACACCTCCCCGAGGAGATTGTGGACATCATCGGAACTGGATTCTACGCGACATTCTGGCAATTATCATTATACGACATCACCATCCCTGGCAAATCGTACGAAGACGAACTCTCCAGACAGCATAAAAAGATTGCTGCGATTTCTGCAGACCGAACAGATGTCAGTGTCTCTGGGGCAAAGAAGAAAGAGCTCGCGAAGAGGGAGATACAGGAGCTCATCGATAAGCTGCTTGCGGAAAATAAAGAACATCTGAAAGCTTTTGCGGAGAGCAAAGCCCGGCTACAGCGCGAAAAAGAACAGTGGTTCCTCGGAAAGGCCAGGATGGACAAGGCATTGAACACCACCCTTATTGAGCACTGCTTTCTCCCTAGGATGCTGTCCTCCCCACTGGATGCCTACTTCTGCTTCAAATTTGTCAAATTTCTCCATGGGGCCGGAACGCCGAATTTCAGAACGCTTGGCTTTTACGATCTGTTCTTCAAGCCGTCCCGACTTATCTCGCTCATATTCATGTGCACCTCTAAAGAAGCCGATAATCTTGGGAAATTTCTGAATGAGGTGCTGAAGGATCTTGCTCGATGGCATGGGTCTAAAGCAACCTACGAACGTGAAGGCTGGGGAATTAAGAAAAACCTACCCGGGTTTGCCATGAAGGTTGAAGCCGGGAAAGTCGTTGCCCTACTGGATTTCGAAAGTTTCCAAAGAGTGCTTTACAAATGGCATGGCAATCTGCACACGGCGCTTCAGAGGTGTTTGACGTCCCCAGAATACATGCACGTCCGAAACGCGATTTCTGTCCTACGTGCGATCTCAGGGGTCTACCCGGCGGTCAATTGGCACGGTACAGGATTGCAGAAGGCAGTCGATAAACTCCGCGAATCCGATAAAGAAGATCTCAAAGTCTCGTCTCAGGCCCTTCTGGGCGCTTTGCACAGACGGGAGAAGCTGTGGGTGGGGCTAGAAACTTTCCGCAAAGGACCAGAAAAGAGCGGCGAGCCTGAGCGTGATCATTCTCAACCGAAGATTTCTTCATCCCAAGAATCTCCGGCCGCAAGTGTGGTGACAACCAAGAAGGAGGGAGATGCTGAAGTTAAAGACGCGGAAATGACAGATGCACCATCGAAGCCAGAGGGCAAAGATGTCCCCGAGAAGAAGGATGGCGAAGAGGCGTCTAGCAAGTCTGCGAAACCGCCACCCACTAGCGGGACTCCTACACCGGCTCCTAGAACAAGTTCCAGACCAGGGAACGCTAATGGCGCTTCGACACCAACTCGACAAGCCACCGAGCCTCTGGCAAGTGCAAAACGAGAGTCAAGGCTCCCTCGCACGGAAACGTCCAAACCGCATGAACTTCCTCGACGACTTACCCCTCCGTCACGGCCTCCTGCCAACCTACCGAACCGTCCAGAGCCAGTGGATTCTCGAAACGGTCATCGCGACAGCCCGCGTTTGTCCAGTCGACTGGAAGTCGACGCTCCGAGAATGCCACCTGACATTCGAAGCAGTCGAGATGGAAGGCTAGGCTATCGAGGGCCAGACCGGCCAGACCGACCCGACCGACCGGATCCAGGCTACGATGACTATGACCGGCATTCCCGTAGATATGAACGCCCCGATGGCACTGCCCATGGCACGCGTGAGGAGCGTGGGTATGGTCGAGACCACGACAGAAGAGCCCCATATGACCGACCTCCTGCGCATGAGAGAGATCGTCCACCCATTCGCCCTCCTCCGGCGGAACGTGAGCGGGAAGTTCGTGAGCCAGCCCCAAGATCAAGACCCCCTCCAGCTCTAGAACCATCCAGACCAGACTCGCAACCTCAGAAGAAAGAGAATCTCACGGAGCCTCCCCAACCGGTCGTCAATCCAGCGCGTGCTTCGTTCATGGGGGAAAGTGGAAGTGACCGAAGATCACTTCCGGGATCGAGGGCTCAGGCGCAAGACAAACCATCAAGGTCATCACGGCCGAACTCTCCACGAAGAGAAGACGACCGACGGGCATACCCCCGTCGCGATGCGGATGATCGACCTAGGCCAGAAACTCCCTCCGCGCGACACTCACCTTATACACCTTCGTCCTTGGAGTCAGGTGCAATGCCTTCTCGTTCTAGTGCTCCAAGTTCGTACAAGAGAGAGACGCGAGACCTTAGACAAGCCCCGCCCGTTGACATGCAGCACGGCAGGCTCGAGCAGGAGTTGCCGCAACAACCAGCGATCTCGCAGACCCCGGATCGTGGCCAAGAATCTGACGTACCGTCTGGTCCTCGTAGTCAACCGCCGTCAGGGGGAGGATCGAGGATGAGAGCTCCTCCACTCAATACACAAGTGCCGCCACCAGCGAATGCTGATCGACCAACTCCAACCGGACCTTCGAGACGACATGGACGAACTGGTTCCTACGCCGAGCCTTCATCTACACCATCAACGCCTGCGGCTGATGCAGCAGGTGTTCATCCCTCTCGCCTGGGCCAGATCGATTCAGCAGCCTCGGAAACACCGCGCTCAAGCCAGGCCACACAACCTCCGCCGCAGACTCAGCCTCCGGCAGGTCCCAGAGGAAGTGCACCTCCTGGAGCTCCGTCTGGGCCGTCCCCGACAAGTAGAGGTCCGCCATCCGGCCCACTGGCTGGGGACGGGAACATGCGTGGGGGACGGAACAATCGTAACCCACTTGCCGCTGTCAACAATACCCTTGCTCAGGCCGGCACTTCGATTCGTGGACGAGGTAGTATGAGGCAGAGCGGTTCGAGCTTTGGTCCGCATATGCCCCCTCCACCGCCACCCCCGCCGCCGGGTGGTCCTCCTCCAACAAGCCACGGTCAAAGTCCCAACGGATACCCACCGCGTGATTTGTTTGCCTCCTCAAACCCTAACGAAGTGCCGGTAGGCGCCAGACCACCTTCATCACGACACGATGGTAGCAGGGACCGCAGAAGCGAACTCACCGAAGAGCGAGGTTCCGAGAGGAGGCCATCTCGGCATTCAAGTCGGCATGACGAATCACGTGGAGATAGAGAACATCGGAGCGAGCGCAATGGCCGTGACGGAAAAGAAGATCGATACGGGCCGAGTGATGCTTTGAGGCGGGATGATAGAGCGAGCAGGAGAGACAATCACCCGAGCGAAGCCGACGATCGGAGAACAGGGTATTCAAGATCTGCTCCTTCGAGAGACGATACCCCGTCGTCGAGGAAACATGGTCGAGGGGACGAACCGAGCAACTATGGACCCCCTAGTCATGGAAGTGGTGGAAGCAGAGGAGGCTCAAGAGTTGCAAGTGAAAGTAAGCGGGTCCGACGTGGGCCTTGAAGAATATGAAATGGTGTGGGCGACTGACTGAAATTTCTATGGTCATGCCAAACGTCTGGATGGCAAGCTGGGTGAATGTGAAAGTATTGAATATGATGGACGCGAGCAGCCAACAGTCAACTTGTGCCTTTATCAGGAGGCCAGCTTAGTTATTTTCCCCAATTCAAAATGTGTTAGTACCGCTCCGGAAGATTTCTTGTCTGCTCGAAGGATTGACAGTATCAAGACTAAACAGATCAATGCTTAGCATCTGCATGTGAAGACATTATCGTGGCTATATATAGTTTGGTAGAACCGACGACAAGTGTGAGATCAGACGAGGCTTTCTCTTAGGTAAGCCGGCCGACACCTTGTTGTGGGATTGGAGTTGAAACTCTCCAAAAAAGTTGCCAGTGAACACGTCTCGACGTCCCACTTCTGGCGGTATCACGCTTCTCGCCAACTACTGTTTGATGCCACTTGTCCTTCTGTTCTCAATCATTCTCTGGGGGAGCCATCATTTCACTGTTTGACCCTACTGCTCGATCCCGTTCAGACCTTTCCAGATGCTAACTCAGCCCATTTCACCGCCACTATGAAGTGACGGCACTCCACTCCCTAAAGTTACTTGTGTCGAGGCTTCAAAAATGGCAAGCTACGGTTTTCAATATGATAGTCCCCATGATCAGCCGTATCAAATGAAACACGGCCCCGGATTTCCCAACCCTCAACCCAAGCCGCAACCTCCGATGCACCCACACCCACCAGAGTATCTGCAGTATGGTGTAGATCCGAACGCTGAGCATGTCGATGCCAACGCACAACAGGCGCCCTACCTTGGACAGGCTGCGGGACATATACCTCAACAGCAAGATGCCATGAATGGCCTGGCAGCACAAATGGCAGGGATTGACATGGCGGCTGCGCCCGCACGATCTCATCGCAAGAAGGAGAGGCATGCATATCATGACATAGGGTCAGCACCAGCGACGGTCCCTGGGGGCGCTGCGGCACCTGCGGAGTCATTTGGAGGACCACAGTTTCCAGGTGTAGGGTCACAAGGTGGACCAGGGGCGATGGCGGGACAACCGACAGGAAATGCGTTTGTGAACTCGGCGGATAAACTGCGCATGGGTGAGGAGGCTGTGGCCACACAAGGGCGTGTCAATCCGGAGCAAATCCCAAGCGTGGCAAGGTCAAGAGATGTTGCGACACAGTACTACCAGCTTAATGTCTATCCAACTATGGAGAAGCATCTTCCGCCTCCCGCGGCTATTCCCTTCGTGGCCCACGATCAGGGCAATTCGTCACCCAAGTTTGCGCGGTTGACGGTCAACAACATACCTTCCACGGCCGAAGCTCTTGCATCAACAGGACTACCCCTGGGGCTTATCCTGCAGCCGTTCGCCTCACTCCAAGAAGGCGAACAGCCTATTCCTGTGCTAGACTTTGGCGAAATCGGCCCTCCTCGATGCCGGAGATGCAGGACATATATTAACCCCTTTATGACCTTCAGGTCTGGTGGCAATAAGCTGGTGTGCAATATGTGCAGCTTCCCAAATGATGTGGCACCCGAGTACTTTGCACCCACAGACACGGCCGGCGTCAGGGTCGATCGCCTACAGCGCCCAGAACTGATGATGGGTACTGTGGAATTCTTGGTGCCAAAAGAGTACTATACGAAAGAACCAGTTCCTATGCGGTGGTTATTCATGATCGATATCACCCAAGAAGCTATTAATAGGGGGTTTCTCGATGCCGTCTGTCAGGGCATTTTTGACGCGCTTTATGGACGCGAAGGTGAGATGTCTTCGGATGAGAGTGCAGCATTCGTTGGACTGCCAGTAGGGGCTAAGATTGGCATTGTCACATACGACAAGGAGGTGCAATTCTACAATCTTGCACCTGGCCTAGACACTGCTCAAATGATGGTGGTGACGGATCTCGAAGATCCGTTTGTGCCCTTGGCGGACGGATTGTTTGTCGATCCTCAAGAATCCAAGGATGTGATTACGGCACTCCTTAAAGCCATTCCCACCATGTTCTCCACGATCAAACACCCCGAGCCGGCTTTACTGCCTGCGCTCAACGCCGCACTGGCCGCGCTTACTGCTACGGGCGGCAAAATTGTATGTTCCTTATCAACATTGCCCACTTGGGGTCCTGGGCGGTTGCACCTGAGAGACGACGGCAAAGGTCGAGACACAGATGCGGAACGACGTCTGTTCACAACGGAGCACCCGGGGTGGAAGAAAACCGCTGGGGCAATGGTGACGGCAGGTATCGGAGTGGATTTTTTCCTCGCCGCCGCCGGGGGAGGGTATATGGACATCGCAACAATAGGACATATGTCGAGACTGACCGGTGGTGAGATGTTCTTTTACCCAAATTTCGTGGCTCCCCGAGATTCGCTCAAGCTGCGCCTGGAAATCCAGCACTCGCTGCGACGAGAGACAGGCTACCAGGCTTTGATGAAGGTGCGGTGCTCGAACGGCCTGCAGGTTTCTGCTTACTATGGCTCATTTCTCCAACACTCCTTCGGAGCGGATCTTGAGATCGGGACTGTCGACGCCGACAAAGCCATTGGTGTCACCTTCACTTACGATGGCAAACTTGATGCCAAGCTGGATGCCCACTTCCAGGCAGCACTCCTTTACACTTCTTCGACCGGTCAAAGGAGGGTCAGATGCATCAACGTGGTGGCTGCGGTCAACGAAGGCGCCGCCGACACCATGCGGACGGTCGATCAGGATGCCGTTGTCAATATCATCGCCAAAGAAGCTTCGTCCAAAATTTCGGAAAAGTCTCTGAAGGACATTCGCGCCGGTATCACGGAGAAGACGATTGATATTCTCGCGGGATACCGAAAGAACTTCTCTGGCTCGCACCCTCCTGGGCAGCTCGTGCTTCCAGAGCACCTGAAGGAGTTCGCCATCTACACGCTCGGTTTGATCAAGAGTCGAGCCTTCAAAGGTATGCTTTCGGCGGCCCCAGCGTGGCATTCTTACACTAACATTCGATGCAGGAGGCGTTGAGCCTACCGATCGCAGGGTCCATTCTGCTCGATTGATGCGATCTTCGGGCGTGACAGAGACAGCATTATATCTTTACCCACGAATATATGCCCTCCACAATCTGAATCTGGAGGACTGTTTCGCCAACGCCGAGACGATGCAACTAGTGGTCCCGCCAACTCTTCGTGCATCATTTGCCAGAGTCGAGGAAGGCGGCGTGTATCTGGTGGACGATGGACAGATTGTGCTAATCTGGCTTCATGCACAAGTGTCGCCAAACCTGCTGGAGGATTTGTTCGGGGAAGGTAAAGCCACCCTACAAGACCTCGATCCCATGATGAACGAGTTACCTGTACTGGAGACACACCTGAATGCCCAAGTGCGGAACCTGTTGCAGTACATGTCCACGGTCCGTGGCAGCAAAGCAGCCAGCTTCACGCTCGCAAGACAGGGACTGGACGGTTCCGAATTCGAATACGCCCGAATGTTGGTGGAAGACCGGAACAACGAGGCTCAAAGTTACGTTGACTGGCTCGTCCATGTGCACCGGGCGATCCAGATGGAGCTGAGCGGGCAAAGAAAGAAAGAAGACACGGGAGATCATGAGGGCATTTTGAGTAACTTGACGGGACTGAAGGCACCGTACTGGACGTGAGGAATTGTCGTTTGATTCTGATGTGAACCATGTCGAGATGCCCGGGAAGTTGGGACGAGACCATTCAGCGACCAGTAATGTTGTATTTTAGCAAAGAAATCCATTCGCCCCTTGACATAGCAGAAAGGGTGTTCCACGAAGTGGGCAGAGAGCCTATCTCGACTGATTGTTACCAAGCGGGCGACCTAACACTAATGGATGCTTGCGGTGGGTGATTTGTACCTAGGTGTGTATGTTATGGACGCAATTAGCTCTCAGAAGGGAAGATGGCCGCACACCGCTTCATGACTCGCGGTCGAGTTTGATCCTTCCGATGGGACTTTTGCCCATGCAAAACACACTATGCGGAGCTTGAAGGCCCTCCTTGCCATCTCGCCGGGCCCCTTGGTGCTCGGGAGACTCGAGCAATCGCTGGAAAAAGCCTTCATCCCATCAGACAAGCCCCGCATCCTGTGCCGCTACAGCCGGTTCCGAGAGCGAATCCCCCCAGCGAAAACAACCCATCACACACAAACACCACACAACAACTTTGCATGCGATTCCCCCGGACAATCAAGATCGTTCGTCATCTCCACCTGGACGGTCCGCCTCGGTCAAAATCCATTTAGTGGTGCGGGACTTCGCCGCGATGGGAAGGTCGCCCCAAGAAAGAATATATAACCAAAGAGCGCCACTCGCTCATTGGACTTCTGCCTCCCGTCCGCTGGTTTTCGTACCCAGCACGATGGAAGCCATACCTTGAACGAACCAGCCTTGCTAGGCGAAGAAACTGTGAGGAAAAGCCAAGCCAAGAAAGTTGACAGCACCATGGCGCTCGATGAGAAACCCGCGGACATTGAGTGTCTTGCCCCCAGCGTATCTGACCACGTGGGGAGTCGCAACAACTCTCGAGGGGAGCAAGGAGACGTTGAAAAGGCGCTGTCGCCGTTTGAAGAGAAGGATGTCACAACCACCACAGTGGAAACGACGGTCGATCCGGACGTGGTGGGCTGGGATGGGCCGAATGACCCAGAAAACCCATTGAACTGGCCTGCGCGCAAAAAATGGACCAACGTTGCTCTATTGTCCCTAATAACGCTGTTGACGTCAGTGACCAAGAGAATGACTGCATAGAAGCATGCATCTTTGATACTGACAGTTGTTCAGGCCTTTTGGCTCGTCCATGTTTGCACCCGCTGTACCTCAGGTGATGCAAGACTTCCACTCCAACAGTGAAGACCTGGCATCGTTCTCGGTATCCGTCTACGTGCTCGGGTATGCTTTCGGTCCACTGGTTATGTGAGTACTTATTCCAGAGGCGGTCTCGGGGCCTGATGACCTGGCTATGGAACCGTTTTCGCTAATACACCGGCAGTGCTCCGATGAGCGAGTTGTACGGGCGACTGCCGGTTTACCATGTCAACACATTCCTCTTCATGGTGTTCACTTTCGCCTGCGGCAAGTCGACAAACTTGTCTATGCTGATTGTTTTTCGATTCTTTGCGGGTTTGGCGGGCTCTTGTCCCTTGACTGTCGGATCTGGTTCTATCGCAGACACCTTCCGACAAGACCAGCGCGGAAAAGTCATGAGTATTTGGACTTTCCCAATCTTGTTTGGACCAAGGTGTGTATACTCCCGCGCAAGCCATCGAGGGAGGAATGTTGCTGACCATTGAAAGTCTGGGTCCCGTTGTGGGATCATATCTCTCTGAAGCGGCTGGGTGGCAGTGGGACTTCTATCTTCTCGCCATATGTGTATGCGTGCCCCCTCTTAACTATCAATCTCGTTGCAGGGCTGACCCAAATCAGACCGCGGCAGTGTTCGCAGTAGCACTTATCGTCCAAAGAGAAACGTACCCGCCTATTCTTCTGGAGAGAAAAGTCAGGCGACTCCGAAAGGAAACAGGGAACGACAAGCTCCGGACCGCGCTTCAATCCTCCAGGACTCCAGCACAATTGTTTTTCCTGAGCGTGATCCGCCCAACCAAGATGTTATTTCTGTCCCCAATCATATTCTGTCTTTCTCTATACATTGCGGTGGTGTACGGGTATCTTTATTTGTTGTTCACCACCATGACGTTCATCTTCCATGATCAATACGGCATCAGTTCAAGTAGTGTCGGCCTTGTCTATTTGGGCATCGGTGCCGGTCAGTTCGTTGGACTGTTAATATTCGGGGCATATTCCGATAAGCTGTTGAAGAAGCTTGCTAAGAATGGCGAGATGAAGCCCGAGTACCGCTTGCCACTGCTTTGGCCCGGCGCGGTCGCTGTGCCTGTTGGCCTCTTTTTGTACGGCTGGAGTGCGCAGTACAAAGTGCATTGGATGGTTCCGATCCTGGGGACGTTTATGTTGGGGGTTGGGATGACTGGAACATTCATGGCACTGTCCATTTATCTGGTTGAGTATGCATTTCTCCTTCCTATGCGGTTTGAATAAAGCGACTGACTTCGCCCCAGTGCCTACACTCTTTATGCTGCAAGCGCAATGGCGGCTAACACAGTTCTCCGCAGCCTGGGGGGTGCATTTCTCCCTCTGGCTGGGCGAGGCATGTACAATACATTAGGGCTCGGATGGGGAAACAGCTTACTTGCATTCATCTCATTGGGCATGTCGCCGATGATCTGGGTTTTCTTGAAGTACGGCGAGAGAATCAGGACCCATCCAAAGTTCCAGCTAAATCTGTGAGAGCATTTTCGGGGATATATACACGGCTTGCTAGCTTGGACAGCGGGTATACACAGGTAGATTTCAAAATGGTTTGCTAAATATATATGTCTGTTGGCATCCATTTGAGAGTACTGACCACGGTTGGAGACGAACGCTCCAAAATGTTTTGCCGCTGTTTCGTTCCACAGCCTTGCAGCCTTGCAGCCTTGCCTCCTTTTTGCCATTTCAGGGGCCGGTTTCGGAAAAGCTGCCCTTGAACACATTTGCCGAGGCCTAGTGAGCTCTAGCGTCCCTAATGCAATTGGTGCGTGATGATGCCACCGACCCCTCCACCGGCGCCCAGTCACAAGTGGCGGAATGCCTGCGCTGGCTTCCACTCTGCCTCCCCCCAAACCCACTACCGAAATATGAACTTTTCCAGGCATGTTAGAACCTGGTCCCTTCGTGTCCACTTTTCGGTCAAGTCTCCTGCGACTGCTTTCATTTTGACTCACTGCAGCAGCAGCTGGCCCTCAACCAACTATATACGAGAGAGCCCGAAGACAAGAGCTCTGGAGTCAATGGATCTCACATCAGCTCGTTAACACCCTCGACGTTGTGCAATAAAAACCACCCACCCTCCGTATTTGACGCCGCGCATCAGCAAGACTTCGCCCTCTCCAAGTCAATTTCGGCCTGGATGGACACCATGGCCTACAAGGATACAAATACCAACGGGCAGACTCAGACAGCCTCTCCACGACTCCGTCAGTATCCCCCATACTTCCCTCTCCTTCCCTATCTCCCGCCGCTGTGCCCATTTGGCCCTCTCGCACAACCATGATTGAACGGCTACTAAATCCCGTAGAGAGTGCCAAAGGACAACCTGAAAACCCTTTCGCCAAACTCGTCCCCGAGCAAGAAATCGTCATTGTTCCCTCCTTCACCCTCGAATCCGGCGTCGTCCTCAAAAACGTCCCCGTCGCATATACCGTCCGTGGCCAGCTCTCTGAAGCCGGGAATAATGTCCTGGTGATATGCCATGCCCTCAGTGGCAGTGCGGATGTTGCCGACTGGTGGGGACCTTTGCTGGGAGGGCCTGGCCAGGCCTTTGACGTGACGAGATTCTTTGTTGTCTGCCTGAATAGTCTGGGGAGTCCCTATGGCAGTGCCAGTCCAGTGACAAACAAGGATGGCGACCCGACGCAAGGCAGATATGGCCCAGAGTTTCCTTTAACCACGATAAGGGATGACGTGCGGTGAGTGAGAGAGGTGCAGGAGGGCAATTGGTATAGACGGCTGACGATTTTTGACAGGATACATAAAATTGTCCTCGATCATCTCGGTGTCCGACAAATCGCATGCGTGGTCGGCGGGTCTATGGGAGGCATGCTGAGTCTGGAGTATGCGTACTTCGGGAAAGACTACGTGCGGAGCATTGCACCCATAGCCACGTCGGCGACACACAGTGCCTGGGGCATCAGCTGGGGAGAAGCTCAACGGCAGGCGATCTACTCGGACCCGAAATATGAAGATGGGTATTACTCGTTCGAAGAGCCTCCAACCGCCGGCTTGGGCGCAGCCCGCATGTCGGCTCTCCTCACATACCGCAGTCGGGATTCGTTTGAGGCTCGCTTTGGTCGCAATACTCCAGATCTGTCGAAGAAGCCCTCCATCAATCAAGGGCAGAAGACCAACGGTGTTCAAAACGAGCACTGGAGCATCCACAACGATGGGCATAAACTGGCCAAAGGATCCCGCGATTCTCGCCCTGCGTCCCGCAATGGCGCTATGTCCGAGCCGCCATCAGAGCGCCACTCGCCCGAGAGTGAGGAGCGACCGGCGACATTCAAAGACCCACAGTTCAACGGGGCTACCGAGTTCGTCATACCTGTGCCTGTTGTCGAGAAGAAGACGTCCAGACCGACTCATCATTACTTCTCGGCACAGTCCTACCTGCGATACCAAGGCACCAAATTCGTGACCCGGTTCGATGCAAACTGTTACATCGCCATCACGCGCAAGCTGGACACCCACGATGTGTCGCGGAACCGGGCCGCCACCGTCAAAGAAGCCCTCGCGCAAATAGAGCAACCAGCGTTAGTACTGGGGATTGAGTCGGACGGTCTGTTCACCATTGCGGAGCAAGAAGAACTGGCTGACTGTATCCCCAACGGACGACTCGGCAAGATCGACAGCCCCGAGGGCCACGATGCCTTCTTGTTGCAATTTGAGCAGGTGAATAGCTATCTGCTGGACTTCTTTAGAGAGGTGCTACCGGACATCATGAACAAACCAGGCGTTGGCGGACCAGACGGAGAGGTCAAAGATGGAGTGGGTCAGATGACCAAGTCGAGTACGTTCGGCGAGGCAGAGGTCGGCGACTTGACTGCTTGGTAGTCAGTCAGATCATGGTGCGGCTGAGGAGGGATTCCAGACCAGTTCAACTCTGGCTGGATCCTGGAAGCCAGAAGGCACGAAGGATGAGCGTTGCGGTTGTATATATTATGTATCATTGTCGTCAGTCAAAATGACTGCATTCACAATATACCCCCAGGATATGACATGGGCATGATGGGCTTGGAACATAGAAAATGCAATGGACAGCTATTATTCAATTGAGGGATTGTCGTCTTCATCTCGCTTCATTCGGAATACGACTATGTACCGTACCGTTTGGCGGGAGGACAAAGGGCCGTCAGCACCATCATCGTCATAGTCTTCAGTGATTACCGCTACCTCTGGCTACCGCCGGGCAACGTGTTGGGGCTAGATGGTCGCGTGCTCTGGGGGAGATTAAATATAGACACTTCGTACGGGACGATGGATGGGATAGGCGTGAATAGGGCAGGCGAATCGTACAAGGTACTCAGTACAGTGCATAAGAGTACCAAGGCGGGTAGGTGACACTTAGCATAATGGGCTTGTGCGAGCTTACGGCCAAATCTTGGGCTGCTTGAAGGAGTCTTGGTATCTGGGCGCAGGAGGCCTCGCCAGCCTTAGTTGGGTGAGTGGTGTCTTCTTGTCTTCCTGCTCAGGGCCATTTCCTCAAGCCAGCCACTCAGCACGATGCGCTTGCAAGACAGAAACGACAAGATCAACGAAGCCAGCCACAGGGATGGATGCGCCAAAGGCCGGTGCGGCCAAGTGCGGGAATAATGCAAGGCAGATCCGTTTCAGCTGTTGCCTCGTTCCCACCCTGGGCCACTGGCTCTTTGCGGGCGGAGGGGCTTCACGGCTTCAGGGCTGCCAGGCTCCGTCAGGCTGTTACAAAACCCCCCGAATGCCCCCCCTGGTGCCCCCAATTAACTAGTCGCGGTGACCTGCATCTCCCTGTCAGCATTTGCGGCGCAGCAAGCACCAAAAGCCACCGAGCTGCGTCTAAACTCTGTTCAATGTCGACCTTAGATTTCCATCTCTTTGTTACTCTTTGAAACTCTTTGACACCACCCAGACGCACGACAATCCCCTTTCGCTCTCTATTCTCGTATTCCCCGCCCTACCTCGATCTGAAAGACAGCCTCACACTGAGCGCGTTCACTCTGTCACTCGTTTTGCGACGCACGCCACTCTAACCTGTCACTTCTCACCCGTCCGCTCACTCTCACAAACTATACTTTCTCCTTATTCAGCCGCGCCGAACAGCGATGCGAATGCGACTCAGTCTTTGACACGCCACAAAAAGAAATAAACATTCAAGATGGGCTGGCCAAAGTGCAATTCGACGGATGAGGACTTATCGATTACCGAGGAGCCTATATGGGATGGCCATACGTTCCATACCATCGGTCTCTGGGTTGCGGCAATCTTCACCATCATCGCCCTGGCCGTCTCCTTCTTCCTCATTCTCATGCACGCCACGCATTACCTGAAACCCTGGGAACAGAAGCACATCATTCGCATCCTCTTCATGATCCCCATCTACGCCGCCGTCTCGCTCCTCTCCTTCTACTACTACCGACACAGCGTCTACTTTGAAGTCATCCGAGATTGCTACGAAGCTTTCGCCATTGCCTCCTTTTTCTCGTTACTATGCGCATACCTCGCTCCCGACTTACACCAACAAAAGATTTACTTCCGAACAATCACCCCGAAGAAATGGGTTTGGCCCATGAGATACTTTCAAAAGTGTACCGGGGGCCCTGAGAAGGGTTGGTTGAGGACACCCAAAAGTGGGTTGACGTGGTTCAATGTAGGTTCTTTCCCTCGCCTCGCGATCACTTTACAAGACTGACTCTGTTTAAAAGGTGGTCTGGGTCTCCATCTTCCAGTACTGTTTCATCCGCGTTTTCTTCACGATTGTATCAGTCATCACGCAGGCCGTCAACCTCTATTGCCTCGAGTCGCTGAATCCCGCCTTCTCCCACATATGGGTCATGGTCTTCGAAACCATTTCCATCACCGTCGCCATGTACTGCTTAATCCAGTTCTACATTCAGATCAAGGACGACATCCGCCAGCATAAGCCCCTTCTGAAAATCACCGCCATCAAATTGGTCATCTTCCTGAGCTTCTGGCAGACCATTGCCATCTCTATCCTCACCAGCGCGGGATTTATCAAGGCCACCAAGCGCATCCAAACCCCCGATATCAAGGTCGGCATTCCGGCGTTGCTTTTGTGCATCGAGATGGCCTTTTTCTCCATCTTTCACATATGGTCCTTTAGCTGGAAACCCTATGTGATTGGCTCCAAGGAACAGATGTCTGAGACGGTCGCTGGTGAGGGGTCGGCACGGGCTTCATATAAAGGAGGCTTTTTGGGAATCAAGGCCATTTTTGATGCCTTCAATGGCATGGATATGCTCAGAGCTACGGGTCGGTCGGCGAAATGGCTGTTTAAGGGACGCAAGACTCGACACAATGACCCGAGTTATGACTTGTCAAGGAAAGATACCGAAGGAAGTGATTTTGGTGCCCATGGCCAAAAACTGAACCCCTTGAACCACCCAAGCGCTTACACGGGTGCTGCGACCAAACCACCTCACTACAATGCCGCCGGAGACGAAGAAGGCGCCACTCTACTCGCCAACAGCCAGAGCATGCCAACATCACAACAGCCAATTGTGGGGACAGGCAGCGATGGGGGCCATGACTTCTACGATTCGAACAATGTGAGCGATATTGGGCTTGCGATGAGCTACGACGACAAATACAACGGCCGATACGACCCACCCTCATACCCTCCACCCACGCAACGGCCCTATGCGCCTTATCAAGGGTCAACTGGAGGCCAAGAAAGCGGCGTGGTGTCAGTGCCGTATCCTGTATCGCGGGCAGGAGAGGAACCAAGCTCACACTTGGGGGGTGGTCAAGACAGCAGGAGATTATACATGACGCCCCCGCGGAGTCCGGACCCAAACACGAGGAAAGCTGATGGGCCAGACGGGGTGGCAGGGAACGGGGCATTCTTCTAATGACAAAGTTTATGCGGTTTTGTGCTACGGTTTGGAGCTTCGGCATGTGCAATAGGGATCAATGCAATGACACGAACCTGATGAGTTTTCCAGCTCAGGCAATGGATATTCTTCTTTCCTCCTTTTGACCTGTCCCGTTTCGGGGATTCTGGCCGTTGATCGGTTGTTTGCTCCCTTTATTTCCCTGTCCTTTTATTCCTTTGTATACCTAGGTAATCCCCCTTGATAACCCCTGGATTAGTGACCTGGTTTGGGGGAGGGATCACAATCCCCAACACAAGGGGGAAATGGGGGATACAATGTTCCGTTCTTGCGAGTAAAGCAGGTCTTTTTTTTTTTTTTTTAATCGTAATTGTTGCGTGCGTACGTGCATATGTCTACGGTGGTTACTGTAAACTGAGCAGATCGATAGAGAGATGGACATAGACACCCAGGTATGCAGGTGCCTTTTCTGTCCCGCATTCAAAGCCCCCCCCCCTTCGCCATTCGTGGTCTTCCTCCATATCCGACCAGATCAGAATAGACCGGCCTCCCCTGGTTGGAAGAGAGGTACTTGATCTTTATTTTTCGTCGTATAAATCATGTGGGTTGGTTGGTTGGGTCCATGCGTGTCGGTTCCATCGACGACTCCCGAACAACACCAGGTCGAGATCGCCCCCGCCTTTCCTGACAGGATAATTGCGTGGACAATGGTTCCGACAATCTGTTGTTGTTGGTTTTTTTTTTTCCTCCTCAAAGAAGCTTTTCCCCTTTCTTCGCTCGTCGGGCTTGTGGCTCGCCTGTTGCCAAAGCTGCACACCCCCATCGTCTGATCCCGTCCAGGCTGTTCAAACCGCGTTAGGGAAGCCCCCCGGTCCGATTCTTCCCCCTACAATTTACTCTTGCTGCCGTCGGCCGGCTGCTGGCAGCACTCGCCGGCCTTGCCGACGACGACCTCGGTGGCGGGCTGGTGGTGCATCTCGCTGACGAGGGTGGAGCGGTTGAAGGTCTGCTCGCTCGGGGGCACGTCGAGGGCCGGGTTGCGGTCGAAGAAGTTGACGGGCTTGAGGCTGACCTTGAGGATCTCGCAGGGCATGACGGGGAAGTCCTCGATGCGCGGCACGTGGTTGATGCCGAACTGGATCCACACGACGATGTCGGTGTCGACGACGCTGTCCTGGCGCGCCGCCCAGCTGCGCACCCCGGTGCCGCCGCGGCTCTGGTTCGTGTACCAGCCGCCCGAGTACAGCTCGCGGTCCTGGTGCGTCGTCACGTAGATGTTGTGGTCGGCGAACTCGGCGCGCTTCCAGTTGTACGAGCTCGGGAGCGACAGCATCTTCTGGAACGGCGGCGCGTGGATCTTGTACGCCACCGGCTTGCCGTTGACCGGGTTGCGCACGCCCGTGTTCTGGATCTTGAACACCCGGTTCGCCTCCGGGTTCAGGTCCAGGCCCTGCGCCCGCTCCACCAGCGTCTCCGCCACCTCGTACGCCACCCCGTGCGGGTTCCAGTCCTGGGACAGCGGCAGCGCGTGCGCCTCGTCATACACCAGCCGGTTGTTGTGGCCCTCGATCATAGGGTCCACGCGCAGCGAGAAGATGTGCTGGTGGTGCACCGCCAGGACGCCCGGGTGGACCACCGTGCCGAAGGGGACGCCCACCTTGTCCAGTTCGTGGTCGATCGGCTGCGTGGACAGGATTCCCGTGGCGCGCACTTCGTAGATGAGTTCGCCCGCCTGGTTGAACATGAAGGCCAGGATGTACTCGTAGTTGCTGACCGTGATGATGCTCTGCAGGACCAGCTCGCGCTGCCGGACCACGGCGGCGCGCCCCGTGCGGTAGTTGGTGTGTTTCCAGCCGATGCCGGCGTCTTGCTCGTGGACGCACACGCAGTTCTCCAGGGGCGTCGGTACGCCCTTGTCGTCGGTGATGACGGACGAGAGATATTGGATGTGGCCCAGGCAATCACACCCGAGCTGGAGGTTGTTGGCCATGGCGCCGGCGCCGGCGTCGCCCAGGTCGTACGCCGACTTCTTGTGGAAAGGGTGTCGGGGATCCGCATAGGGGATGTTCATGTCGCTCAAGCTGAGACGGTAGAACAGCGGGCGCGAGTCGTAGCGGACGTCGTACAGCACCATGCCTTCGCGCTGGTTGTAGCCGACGCGGAAGGTCCATTTCTGCCACGCCAGCACATGGCCTGTCTCGCCCACGGGCGTGAGGCTGAAGCTCGCACCCTCGGGCTGGATCACTCTCAGAGGTTTGAGATCCGTGCGCAAGGTCTGGTACTCATTGACGTATTCGTTCGCCGGCTTGGCCTGGTAAGGTCTCGGCTCATGGATCGTGTTGTCTGCCCCCGTGGGGAGATAGTCGATGCGGATGACTTTGTATTCGGTGCAGTCCAGCACGGGCGAGATGGGGAGTGGGAAGGCGTAGTGGTTGCTGTCGAGTTCCGAAGGGTTGCTCGGGTCTCGCATGTACAGGAAGACTTGGTACATGCGCTCATCGTCGTTGACGCCGTCAGAGCCTATCCACGGTCCGACATCAGCATGGGATATTCAGAGTGAAACCCAGTCATCTCTCCATGTTTACAACAATTGCAAACAGCCACCTCAGACTCGGAGTAGACAAGGGGATGACTTGGAGCTTACCATAGATCCAAGGGTCTGCACACACGGCCGTCCCCTCGGGCAACTTCAACTTTTTGATGGCCTCCTTGACGCCCTCATCCTCCAAAGCATTCTTCTCCACCTGGAGGATCTCGTCGTAGTCGCCGTTGCCATGCAGATTGGGGCCCAGCCGGACATTGCTCTCTACCGTCCGAGTGGAAAGGTTGACGACTGCTTCGTGAAAGCGGTTCTATGTCGTGGGGAAAAGATGGGTTGTCAGTCAGCTTATTCTCGGAGCATGATGTGTCTCCTCGCTCTGCCCAGCCCGTGTCTAAGGAGTGAGAAAACGAGAGACACCTCTTCCGGAGCCTTGCCTCCATCCTTCCGTACACGTGATTGATGGAGCGATGAACTTGGCTTCTCACTCACCGTGTTTCTGATGTAGTAAGACACGAATGCCTTTCGAGGAATGGCGGGCAGAGGCGACCCAGCATGCTCGGCCTCGAGATACGGGATCATGGACTTCTTGGGGGGTTCGTCCAGAGTGATGACCTTGAAGCGGAGGTCGATTGAGGAGGGCCACACCGACCTCATCAGCTCGGCCGTGGTGGATATCTCCGCCGCGGTGAGAGGGCATAGTGGGTGGGCGACGGGATATGTGGCCACCGACGGCTTGGAAGAGAAGTCCTGGGAGACTGCTGCCATCTTGGAAAGACCTGGAGAGATGAAAGAGAAGGGAACTGTGGATGGAAAAGAGAAGAGCGGAAAGATAGGAATGATATGTATATCCAAAGCCCACCCACAGTGGTTCGTATGCAAATGGGGACCCCAAGGGCCTTATCTGAATGGTCCACCCGCAGCGTGTCTGACCCTGTGAGGATTTGCTTAGCCGAGAGTAATAGCCCGTGCTCTCTCACCAACCAGCTGGGGATCGTCAACGCTCCGTTTCCCTTGCCTGCTCGATCGAGACGGAGGTCCACAGCACAATGCATCAGCTCTGCTTGCCACTCGATGGGGTCGTTGGAAGAGCTGTTGGCCCCAAACAGGAAAGAGAGCTCGGTCACAGCAACCAATCCTCCAGAATTGCGACACGGTCGATGCTCATCCGTTGAAGTCGACAGGGCGCCAGTGTGCAACAGCCAAGTCCCTTAACTGTACAGGGCAAGGCCACCCGAACAGCCAGTGGGTGGCCCGTATCAGTGCCGCAAATGTCCGTCTACGTTGATGTTGCCCAATCCCAGCCAGGTGTGTCCGCGTTGATGATGATTTGGCCCATGACAACATGTATTTCCAGCATGTCGCTATTGAATCTCACGTTCCAGGTCGCTTGCCTGGCAGCCGGATCAGATACTTGGGCCGTGATTCGCCGGCCTCGCCAATATTGTTGCTCCATGCCTCCTTGATGGTTTGCTTCGACTTATCTTCGTCTAGATGGAACTTGCTGCCCACTTGGAACCATCCATTCCCAATATCAAACGCCTCTGCAAGTCCGATCGCATAGCGAGGATACACCGGTGGCGCCACTTGGATGCAATCAAGTTGTTCAATGAGTTCCTCGATGGGCATGGAATACGCTGCCGTCATTACACGGAATGGCTCGCACGAGTGTGGTGGGATGTAGAACTGGTTGTGTGCATTCACTGAATACTTGTCAATGACGTTGTAGGTAAAAAGATGGAACGTCGCAAGGTGTTTGGACGCGACGTGCCCGTGGCCTCCGCTATCTTTGACCACCAGAAGTCGGTCTTTGACTCGGTTTCCACTGACCGGTGGTTCTGGTGCTTGAGACGCGGCATGGGCGACTGCTCCTGCAACATTTGGTGGCGGTGGCGGAGGAGCAGGAAGAGGTCCTGACGCTGGCGGAGGTGGTGGTGGGTGAAACCATGTGGGCGCAGATGGAGGAGGCGGTGGTGGCCCATTAGGCACGCACACTGCTCCAGGGAATCCATTTCCTGGCGGCATGAAGAATGGACCAGGCTGACTCGGGGGAGGGCAAAATGGTCCTTGACACGGGGGCATCACAGAATACGGTGGAGGAGCAGCAGCAGACGACGGCGGTCCGCCTGGAGGTGCGCCCTTGTTCGGTGGCCCTCCATCACGGGTCATGTAATGATAAACAGTCTTGCCAATCAGGCCAGGTCCTTGCGCTGGGAGTGGCATCGCAATCGGATAGTAGGGAGGTGGTACACACGCCATAGTTGAGGCCGCTGACGACGTTGTTACGCTTTTAAGCAGGAGAGGGACTGAAGAGGCTGGGGGGAGTGCCAGATGCCGTTTGGACAGTTGTGATCGAAGAACGAGGGACAAGCAGAACATATTTAAACAAGTTGCCATCCATGGTCCTCTGTCACTGATCCTGCGCCAACAACAGACTCTGACTGTGAGAACCCTGGCTCTTGCAAACGACCGGCTTCATGTCATGGCCGTGCTGTGGCGACAAGGTAATGCAGTCAGATGGTGCTGATACTGCCATGCAGTGACAGAGAAATGGACCATGACTGAGCCAGACATATCTATGGCATGCCTATCTCAAGCGAAACGACCAGATATTGACTCCGAGCTCTGCAATTCCAGCAGCGGCAAGGGCAGCAGCGACCTTGTCGAGACAACACACAAGGGCCGGTACTGGACCGTTGCAAACAACAGTAGTTGGCGGTCCTCGGGATCTGATGCTGTGACAAATAAGCAAGACCATGACTGAAAAGGATGGCAAACCAAGGTTGACCCGTGGCCAGTCTTCACCAGGACTCGACCTCAACTGGCCGCCACAACTGCGAGTCCGTCATAGATCTTCTGCTTCACCCGCGTGAAATCATCCATTCTGTTCGAAGTCATGGCAGTAGCACTGACCGGCACACCTTCTAAGATGATCTTCCCTGTGCCGAGCTTTCGTACCGCTATCATCCCGTCGACTAGCAGGGTGCCCTCGCCCCGGAATTCAGCAACATGGCCATCCAGTGCGATCAATCTCCGCAGATCAGCTAGACGCATGTCGCCGACGTGAATAGCATGGGAGACTGATCTTGTCGATGCAGCCAGGCTCGCAGGCAGAACATCGAGGATCGGTTCGACAGCAGGCGCCCGCATCGGGCCAGCTGCAAGAGACACCTCTGTGTCAAATTTCTGCTTCTTGGTCTGAGGATCTTCCTGCAGATTATCTCCCGAGGGTTCGCCCTTGAGCTGTCCCTGAATAGTCACCACTCCCATATTTTTAACATTCTGCCAATGGAGCGTCTTTGCCAGGTCACGGCTGAGCTTGACAACCCACGCGTTCGTATCGACACTCGCATCAACAGTCTGGCCCTCAGCAGGAGTAAAGATTTCCGTGGATCCTTCGTCTCCTGCTCCCACCGCCTTCATTCCGAGGAGCTCCTTGCAATCAGTCGCCAGAGCAAGGGTGTCTGAAGTATTTCCACCAACGAGGATCAGTTTTTTGGGTCCAATCAAAGGTATCAGCATTTGCAGACTGCGCTGATCGTGTAACCCAGCAAAGTCAACAAAGGCCAATCTGGCATTGACCGTAATTTCCGAGGTCGAATACACCACCTTTGCTGGCCCCTGAAAGCCTTCTCGCTCAACTTGGACATCTTCGTCCGAATTCTCTGCGTCCGAATCCGCGGCGGACTCGCCAGATGTTGCAATTGCTGGCCCTCGATTTTTCTTATGTTGTGTATGCCTGGTGTCATTCGCCTCGTCCCACTTACGCTTCTGTCCAAGCTGACCTCCGGCTTTGGTGTCGTTCGCCGCGTCTTGCTCTTCTTTCTCCTCCTCTCTCAAGAAATCTTCCGGCTTGATGAAATCCCCAAACTCGTCGCCACGCCTCCGTGAGTGTGTATATGGAAAGAGGCCGTTTCGTCCCTTCTTGTTCCGTACATCATAATCATACACGCCTTTCTTGCGGACGAGGATATTGACTCCTAGATCTGCATCGCTCAGTGCCAGTTTATTTCGTGCTCCGTGACCAAGAGCGGCCGAGACGTTCAGAACACGACCCTGTTGTTCGTCGTCGGACTCATCCGAGGAGCTTGAGCTGGATTCATCGTCGATATTATCGTCCGCACCAGCCTGGTCTCGTTCGTTGGCTGAAATCAGAGAATCTTGCAGCTGTCTCTGGGTCGCCATGTACTGCTGATATCTTTGATTTTCTTGTGTGTTCAATGCCGTCTTTTCTGAATTCCGTAGCTTCAGCGTTCTCCCTCCACTTTGTACCTGCTCCAGCCATTCGCCCGTTGGGAGGCCTTTCTCGAGAGCAACGCCATCCTGGCGATCTTCATACCAAGTCCAGAACACCTGGCTCGGGCTTTGCGATCCAGGGCGCATGTACAGTCGTTCGGTTAGAACCACCAGATTCTCGGGTCTTTGGACCACATGCTCCAACAGTGACCTAGAAAAGCCCCAATCCATTGTCAAATCACTCGCAAGGATGACTCGAGCTCCTTCTGCTTTCAACAGCCTTTCCAGTTGGTTTCTGCGCTCCACGATCTTGACGTTTTGAAACTCGAAGGGTCGTGAAGGTTTGGACGTGCCATTTATCTGCTTGCTGCCACTCCTTCGGTGCGTCTGCGCTGGTGCTGGGTTTTCGTCTTCACCCTCAAATTCTCGCACGATGCTGTCGTCCATCCATTCGAGCAGACTTCTGGCGTGCCGAAGAGTGGCATTGCCGGATCTACTGGCCAGGTACACTTTGGCAGGCTTCAGAGAGGTGGCATTTGAGGGATCGGACCACGCTTTTTCCAGGATCCAAGCCAGTTCCAAAACTCTTGCGCTTGAGTCGGTGGGAATGAGCACTGTGCCACCCTTAGCGATACAGACCTTGATGTGCGCCAACAGAGCTTCGTCACGAGCTCTCCGACCACCAGACAGCGCGGCTCTTGTCGCGCCAATACTGCTGCAGACGAGGGCAGTAGGCTTGCGTAGTTGTTCGATGACTTCGGCGCCTCCAACACCTCCGAACCAGGCTGCTCCGGCTATGACATTCTCCCGGGCTTGGTTCCAATCTACAGCGTACACAATCGACTCCATCCCATATTGTATGTGCCATATTGTACCTCCTAGTGTATGACCAGAATTATAAGCCGTCAACGTAAGACCCTCGATCGGTGCGGAGAATGAAGAAGGTGTAGGTTGGTGAGGTTGTGAATACTTGAGGGGCGTGATCAAAGTGAAATATTTGTTGATTTCTTCAAATGTCGGAGCCTGGCGTAGGATATGTGAACGGGCTTTGTCGTCGACGCTCGTTCCGTCTTCCGGGGAGCCTGAGCCTGGAATGAACGTGGCTGCCAGTGGAGAGGAGGAGTAGAGGTCTTGGAGGAGGGTGCGGCCGAAGGCAATGACGGGTGGTGTAGCGTAGACGGGGATCTGAGTGAAGACGGGGATGTGTTTGCAGCAGTGTGCAAAGGCGCCCAAGTGAGAAGTGGTGGGATGAGTGAGGAGGATGAATGATAACGTAGAGGCATGTTTCTCGATCTCGGCGAGCTGGCGAGTGTCGAAACGTTCGTCCCATCCGACGTCCACCAAGATTTTGATGCCACCGTCCAACTCGAGGATTGACTGCGAGGCTCGAGACGTGCTCTGCGCCCCGAGCAAGGGAGTGATGGTGAACATAACGGCGCGTAGTCCGTGGCGGAATCCTTTTCCAATCAAGGATGCGATAGAGGTCTAAGGGCCTCCATCAAGGCCGGCGCGTCCTCGACTCACGGGAGGATGAATATGTCGAGAAGAGGCCGCAGAGGATTCTTTGAGATGTGGACGCAGTTTGCAAGCGGGAGGAAAATCGAGCCAGAAATCAGTTCTGTCTGACATTCATTTATGCTTGTAGTTCGGCGCTGTCTGTGTCGACTGTAGCATCAGACCTGACAAATTAGACATGTCTGACAGACCGAACTCTAGAGACTCACTCGGAGAGGCACAGACAAGGCTATGCTGAAGACAACCCTTTTCGACAGTCCTAGATCACTTTGAAGTCATCCTAACTACAAAGTCTCTGTGCGCACTCCGCCACTACCACTACCATACCAGAGGACGATGAGCTCCCGTGTGCCTCACTCTAACGCAATCGGAGCCTAGGTTAGTGTCCCTGGTTTCCGCCGCGAGGCTGATGCCCCTCGTATTTACCTCGCTATATCTGTGAGAGGAAGGACGAGCAATCCAATTCGTGAGACAGCATCACTCTCTTTTCCAGACTGAAATAGACCCACATCATGCCCTGGGTGAATCAATGGAATGAACTAAATTTATGAGAAATCTGAGCAGACCAAAGTCTTCTGATCCAGTCTCAAGGCGCATTGAGAGGGCGGTTATTGAGTCCGCGACTCCAACTTTTTCCCGTCTCTCGAGGACAGGATTTTAATCGCCGGAGGACAGGGAGGACAGCATGTCTTTGGGCAGTCAAGCGACGGGCAGACAGCGGCTTGATCCAACCCATTGCCGACCTCAAGGCTCTCGGTCACTACAAGTGGAAGTCGAATCCAGCTCCGAACCAGCCACCTCGCAAATACAGTCCGACCAACGCCATAAGCCTACTTCTGACCCAAGGGAGGCCAAGTTTCTGGCCTCTATTGAGAAATTGAAATCCAACATCTCCACCACAGAGGGCCTTCTATCCAGGAAGCTCCAAGAGATCAAAGAATTAAAGTCATTCCCTGGATCAACCGCAAGCGGAGGTCACCAAGAACCACAAGAGCCGGCCCCAGAAGCTGTTCAGAATCAACACGACTCTTCTGTCCCTGCGTCGTTGTCTGCAGAAGACGAGAAAGCGGCGCTCGCTCATGCACATTCCATCATCAACAGGCACATTTCGCTTCTGAAATCATACAACGAGATCAAGAATATCGCTATGGGGATGCTAGGCCTTATTGCGGAGAAGGAGGGCAAGAGGCTTAAGGATGTGATGGACGAACGGGGAGTAAATAAGGATGACTGAATCGGCCGAGGAAGATCCTGGACAGTTAGCAGTGATGGAAAGTGGGAAACCTTGGGGCTCCGGAGTAAATGGCGGGAGAGGTTTGAACTGAGACACATGCATGGTACAGTCTAACCAGGCAGTGCACCCAGTATTCAAGTTGCTGGCAGACTACAGGTTGCCAGCGATTCGCTTGAAGCTGCCCTTCATCTCTTTCGAGCACATCGTTTGACTCTTACCAACAGTGGCGCTCCGACCTTCAATTGTCCTACTAGCTGTGTATGACCCATTGTCCGCTTCGCCGTTATCGAATAGTGTTGACTTTTCAATTTTCTGCCACTCTCTTTACTCGTACCAGTATAGGTTCTAATTCACAAGGCCATCGTGTCTGATTTCATTCCTCTGCAAGAGCAGAACGGGCTCTCCAAGTTTGTCCACGACAAGGTGTCACTTTTGCGTAGCTAGGAGCGAGGTGATCCCTTTTCTAAAGCCAATTCTTTGGTCGCTCGCATTCCATGAATGAGCTCTTTACCTCTAGTAATAACGATATCCATAGGACAGGAGTGAGGTGCCTGTACAAGTAATTTCCCAAGGCGGCAAATTGAACCAATTCTGCCTTCCAAAAGCTATCCCAACAACCCCAAAATTAAAGAATCACCGCTGCTTTTCTAGACTCTGTAGACTGACCAACTCTCTATACCTTCCCTTCAATGCCATCAACTCATGGTGGGTGCCCTTCTCCGCTATTACACCTTTGTCGAACACGTAAATGATGTCCGCTTTCTGAATCGTGCTTAGTCTGTGTGCCACCGCAATAGTTGTTCTGCCCTCAGCAGCGAAATCTAGAGCAGCTTGCACAATCTTTTCAGACTCGCTGTCTAAAGCACTTGTGGCCTTGATTGTATCGTTAGTATAGATAGCTTCTCAACATGAAAACTCATCTTGGGTACTCACCTCATCCAGCAGAAGTATCTTAGGGTCGCGGAGTAGGGCACGGGCAATGGCAATGCGCTGTTTCTGACCGCCCGAGAGCAGTGCAGCTTTGCTGCCAACGTCTGTGGCGAAGCCGTCTGGTAGAGACATGATAAAGTCATAGATATTTGCGTCCTTGCAGGCTCGGATGATCTGCTCATCGCTGATTTCGCCTCTGTCGACACCGAGCAGGACGTTATCCTTGATGGTGCCTTGGTATAGTGTTGGCTCCTGGGACACCAGAGCAAGATGCGAGCGGTAGTCATTGAGGTTGAGGCTTGAGATTTCCTGACCATCAACATAAATGCCACCTGCGAGCGGGTCATAGAAACGCTCCAACAGTGCGATAGTCGTCGACTTCCCACACCCAGACGCGCCAACAAGGGCGATATATTGTCCAGGTTTGACGGTCAAGTTTAAGCCACGCAGGACGGGGACCTCTGGTCGTGTGGGATATCGGAAATGCACATCTCGGAACTCAATGGTGCCTTCGACATCAGTGATTGGTGCGCCGTCGTCTGACCACGGGTCAATGGAAGGCTGGCGGTCATACAGCTTCTTCAATTCAGCAGCTGAATTCCTTGCCTTGGACATGTCTCCAGCAAATGAGAAGACGGTGCCTGCTGATTGTGCACCGAAGATGATTTCTGAAAAGACAATGAAAAATTGGAACAGACTGTATTCCCCTCGGACCAAGAGTTTGCCCCCATACCAAAAGCCGAGAGCAAATGCCAAAAACATGGCGGATTGCGATGCGGCGTATAGGGAGGCATGCTTCAGGTTCGACTTGAGAGAGTCGCGCAATTGAGCTCGAAGCTGGCGCTTGTACTCGTCGTAGATCTCTCGCTCGGTCGTCAAGGATGCAACTGTTCGGATGGCATTTGTGTGCTCGCACGCATATCCGGCCGACTTTTCGTAGTGCTTCCGGTTTGCTGCACTGAATTTGGCAAGAACCCAGAACCTGAGGAAGCCCGTCCCAAGGATGACGGGCAAAGCGCACATGCACACCAGTGCTAACTTCCAGCCGATGGCGAGCGCCACCACAATTGCAACAATCAAAGTGGATGAACAGCTTATGAGGGTCCCCAGTGTCGCCCCAGAAATTGACGCAAGGTGGGTAGTCTCTGTTGACAAGAAAGACGTAAGGGCGCCAGTAGAGTTTTCGTCTTCGTCAAAAAAGGCAATGTCCTGTCTCAAGAATCTTCGGAATGCACCGTCTCGTGCGCGCTGAATCAAGCTCTCACTGCAATAGGCAAAGGCGATACCTTGTATGCACATCGCGAAGAGATCCACGAATGCAAGCATCAAATACATTAGTGACCAGAAGTTGATATCATGCCGAATCTGGTGACGGAAAACCAGTGGTTGGGACAGCGCGACGATGCATTTGGCGAAGAAGATACCTTGGACCGGCTGAGCGGCCCCTCCGATAGCCGTGAAGAAGAATCCGATACACATAATCCACCACTCTCTTCGGTTGAAGCGTGCAATGAACATGATAAGAGTCCAGAGAGAATAGTGAGCTTCCTTCTCTCCTTTTTTGTCGGCGAGGACGTTAGAGGACACAGATTTGCCGCTTCTTGTCCTGCCTAATGCGAGCTTCTCGTCATCGGGATCTACGATCCCGGCACTGCCAGATTTGGTGGACTGGATCTTGGTGAGTTCGGCTTCGCCGGCGACCGTCTCTTGCTCAGACTCCTCGTCCTCCTTACTGCCGATGCGCTGAGCAGAGACCAAATTGAAGTAAGCTTGTTTCCGTTCCAGCAGCTCGTCATGGGTGCCTTGCTCCACAATCCGTCCTTGTTGCATGACCACAATGTTGTCTGCAGTTTTGATAGTTGACAACCGATGAGCAATCACAATAGTAGTTCTGCCTTTCGCTGCAGTGTCTAGCGCATGCTGCACTATTTTTTCCGAGCGGGTATCAAGTGCACTTGTGGCCTATGTTATCGTTAGCATGGACAGTCTCTTAATATGAAAACAGTTTTTCGCTACCGACCTCATCCAACAATAAAATCTTTGGATCACTGACAATAGCTCTAGCGATGGCGACACGTTGCTTTTGACCGCCAGACAAAAGGAAGCCACGTTCGCCAACGTGTGTCTCGTAGCCGTCAGGAAGAGAGGAAATAAAATCGTGGGCGTTTGCTTGCTTTGCGGCATCGATTATACGTTTCTGCTGCTGCTCGTCTGACTCGTCCTCGTACTTGGAACCGACGAGACCATTTCGGATATTTTCTCTGATGGTCTGGCTGAAGAGAACCGGCTCTTGTTGGACAAGGGCAATCTGTTGTCGTAGCCAGTGGAGGTTGAGCGTGCTGATGTCGTGCCCGTCAAGGAGGACCATACCACCCACAGGATCGTAGAACCGCTCTACCAACCCAACTATGGTCGACTTGCCCGAGCCAGAAGCTCCGACAAGCGCGGTTGTCTTGCCTGCGGGTATGACCAGACTGACGTCTTCCATGACCACAACTTCAGCTCGCGACGGGTAGATATGCTTGACGTTCCGCAGTTCGAGAGTTCCTTCAACTTGATCGAGTTTTTCGCCGTTGTCGGAAAGAGGATCGATGGGGGACGCTCGGTCGATCGTCGAGTAGATCTTTGACGCTGCGCCAACACCAGCAGCAAAGTGTTGCATATGAGGCCCAACATTGCCGAAAGAGAAGGCACCAATCATGACGGCAAAAATGATGGTCAAAATTTGGGCAAGAGTGACCTCGCCGTCGACCAGAAATCGCGAGCCCATCCAAAATGCGAGACCGTAATTCAGGAAGAGGAGACACAGCATGCCTCCGATCATGCAGCCCAGCGCGCTCTTGCTTCGTATGCCCCACCGTCGAGCCTCCAAAAGGTGGACATTGTACTGCTTCGCAAGCTTGTCCTGAGTACCGAAGGCAACTGCGTTCCTTATCGAAGCGAGTACTTCTTCCGCCACCGAGCCTCCCAGTGCATATGCTCCCAGGGACTGTTTGTTCCATCCCGCCATCTTTTTACCTCCAGAGCCCATGACCAGGATAATGGCGAAAACGGTGGAGGTGCAGATTAATGTCAGTTTCCAATACTTGACGAAACCGATAACGAATGCTGAGAAGAATGTAGCGACGCCAGTCAGGGTCAACCCGACTTTTTCGCTGATGGCCTCTTGGATCAGATTCGTATCGGCGGTGATGCGGGTCGTAACCTCTCCAGCCCCCAATTTGTCGAAAAATCCGATGTTCTGTCGCAAGATTGCCCTAAGATATTGCTCTCGGACTTTGGAAGTAATGTGCTCGCCAGTGTAAATGAAAAGAACGGTTGATATGTAGACCAGACAGAACTCTCCAATAGCCAGGTAAATAAAGTAGAGACAGTATCGTGTAAGGGTCGAATTGAAACTTGAGGAGAGATTATTAAGGACGAGTCCTTGAAAAGTACCACTGAGATTGCCAAAGACGACGGTCATCAGAGGCATGACGGCGCCGGCGCCGATTGCACTGAGGCATGCTATGACAATGAAGACCTTGTCCCACGTAGTTGCGTAACGGTAGAGTGTCCAGTACGAGACTTTCACGTCCGGGACATCCAGCTGCTTTTTCAGAATCGCCTTTTCATGCTCCGGCAAGTGGGCCAATGCCGCATCGCCCTCTGGTACATCTCGAATCTGAACAATCTTCGAGTCTAACTTGCTGAGGTCCGGACGAGCGTCTGAGTCGGAGGATTGGGATGTAGGCGAAGTGGGCGACGTGGGCGAGACAGCAGCAGTGGGAGATTTGGGATTTCCAGAGACGGGCGTAGAAGGACCGACTGGAGCGGCAGGACTCTTCTCAGAGAGCGGTTCGGTGTCCTTTTGCTGATCTGTGACGATGCCCAGTTGTGATCTCTCCTTCTCCTCAATGTTTTGTTCAATGGCAGCCGCGCCGCCGGGCAATTCGCCCTGGCCACTAGGATTCATGTTGAGGTCGTCTCACAGCACCGTATGAATAAATCTTCGAGGGAAAGCTAGCTGAGCATCGTGGGCGAAGGGAAACTGAACAAGAAAAAGGATAGGCGACAGGGCAGTTCGCGGCCGTGTGAATACGTGAATACGTGTAGGTAGCAAGTGGGGGAGTTTGAGCGCGGAATCTGAAGGGGCCGGACTGCAGAACGCTGCAATTCTTTTTCGTTCTTTATATGCAAAAAAAACTAAGGAGGGGACTTATTAGAGACAGGACGGACAATATGGAAGTGACGACGATATGTACATGGCAAACAGGCAACAAGGGACAGAATCTCGGGCCCGAAAACAATGAAAAGGGATCGAACAAGTATGAGTCGGACTTTTCAAGATGGCGGACTCGGGAAACCAAAATAATTCGAGTTGGCCTGAGGCCCATTGGCCGATGGGGGGGAAGAGGGCCACAAGCATGGGTGATGGTGGTGACGGGTGACAGTAATTGTGGACCTGGGCGCTGCTCGCGTGCGAATTGGCGATAGTCTGGCGACGTCTCATGCCTGTGAGGATTGCGCCACGGGCGGCCTTCTGGTGGGCAGTCGCCCCCTAGAGGGTGCTTGGGTCTAGAGCCCGCGTCCTTTCCGGGCGGTTTGGGCTTGTTTGAGCTTCTCTCGCAACGCCTGCGCAACAAGAGACGTGGGGAGGCTCGCTTGCACCATGGGCTGAGGCTCGTATTCCCGCGTTTTTTACCGCTCACGGTTAATCACTTCCCGCTCGGCTCCTTGCGACTTGCACAACGCTTCATAAAAGCCTATTTGTGCACCTCGATCATTTGGCCATAATACGGAGTGTCCCCAATAGGCAAGATTCCTACAATTACTTCAATTATTCGCGTCTATCAGAGAGTACTAGTGTACGAAATACCCATGAACGTCCAAGATAGACAGTCCTCGCGGTTATACGAGGGTCCCGGTCACTGAATGGTCGAACTATGTTCCAACTTAACTTATGGCAGTCGCTCCTTGTCACTATGTCGACTTTACCCATATAAACGAACCCGATAAATCACAAATACGGATACGAGTGCTTGCGTTAATTAAACCAACCAGCCAACTGTTAGTCAGTGCAGCCTGCAAGGAGAGTGCAATTCCAGTATCGGCGTTTTACTATCTCATATTTCTGTTACATAGGCACCCAGGCCCAAAAACCTTTGTGCTGGAACTTGAAGTCGGAATTTATGTCAGGAAATAACCTCGAGTCCTGACTATGCTTGATGCCTGTCCGTAATCAGAGCTTCGCCCTCTGGACCACCGCCTGATACTCATCGACTCTTCTCCTCGATTCCAGTCCCCGACGATTGCGGTCCAGATCTCTCGCGGCCAGCTTTGCGCGGGTTTCGGCGCTCTCGTCTATGTCTTTGACGATCTCCCGGTAGAGTTCCTCTTTGATCTGACCGTACGACTTTCCTTGGGCCTTCTGAGTCAGCTTCATCTCCGAAATAAAGGCAAGAGTCTCATCAACGCCTCCGACGCCATCAATGATGCCCTCTTTCAAGGCCTCGAGGGCCGGATATCTCCTGCTCTCCAAGACCATATTCCTGAAAGTCGTCATGTCCAACTTTACTCGAAATACTGTCGCCATGGTCGGCTGAAGAGCTGCGCCGAAATCAAGCTCGTTGAGGCACAAGAAACCCTTGTGAGGGTTCATGATGCGATAGTCGTGCATCATGGCGGTCATAAGGCCGCCTGCAAAGGCATGGCCGTTTAACAATGCTACTGTAGGCATTGGATATGTGATCAAGCGGCGCCACAGAGGGTAAAGACTGTTTGGGAAGAAGGTCGGATCTTTGATGGCGTTTTCGAAGTCGAGGCCATTGGAATAGAATTTGGTGATGGACGAAGTGGTAATCACCACTCCGCGGGGCAGACGGTGTTCAATAATGTCAAGTGCCAGCAGGAATGTTTGATTGAAGGCCGGAGTGAGGCGATTGTCGGGCGGACTGGAGAACGACAGGAGGTAGACTTGGGGAGCAGCTTGGGTGCATATGAAGTTCCCTTGCTCGCTTTGAGCGGATGAGCCAGCATTCAATGTCGGCGGGATTTGGAGCACGAAAAGTGGTGGAATCGGTGGCATGGCTAGTTGTCCACCGCAAATAGGGAGCAGATGGTCGATTTCCTGGAAGATTGAGAGGCTCACTGGGGTTTCCCAAGAATAGACGACCGACAGAAGACAGTCTCGAATATATCTTGGTCGGGGAACGTTCACATGTGATTAGTCGGAAATCGGTTTTTCTGATTAGGTATCTTAACGAGCCGAGGTGTTAAAGTCGCCCTTTTCGCCCTCTCTGCTGCTCCGTATATTTCTTCTGGTATGGAGTATAGAATGCTGAAAGCGTCAGGTTTGCCTTGTTCCAGGTATGAGGACCGATGGCGACGGAGAGATGAGGTTAAATCAAGCCAGCTCTGTAGCGATAGGATGTCGCGTCGCCTCAAAGTTTGCTGCGGCAGTGAAATTGTTGCAGTCTGACAAAGCCAATGTACCTCCTAAAGGGTGGTGCTCGCTATTTCCAACGCGCTGTCAAGGCCGTGCCTTTTGTCAGACTGCAAGCTTCCTTCGTCCCTACTCCCCTCCTGCTCTGCGCCCCCAACAGACGAACTCTGGGGGCTTCTAGCTGGTCTTCCAGGCATTTCCCCATTTTACTGTAGGTACAACAACCTGCCCAGCTGCCTCACCACCACCCACCGGGAGTCGTCCTGACTAAGATATGCCTCTGCCGCCACAGCGTGCCTGAGGCCAATGACGTCTAACCACTTAGTGGCCTGCTGCCTCTCTCTCCGAATCGCAAGGTTCAATCGTGAACTCCGGCTGCAACCGGATTACTGGCTGGGTTGATCTGCCCAAATAGTCCTCGAGACTTCAAGGTCGGCTGCGCGCGACTGAACGGTCCCAGATTCCTTCCTCGCAGTCACTGAAACTTGTCCCTAGGTAACCAGCTTACTGTGACCGCATATTGTTTGCCCTACTGTCCTCGACACCAAACAGCTACCTCCCCAATCCAGTCCCATCGCAGAATCTCACCGGGTGCCATGGCGCAACCGACGGAGGGTTCAGCCTTGGATACTACGACCACCAAGACTTCAACCAAGACATCGTCCGGTAATTCGACGTTATGGGAAAAAACCAAAGGCTACTCCAACACAGCCTACGAGAAAGCCCTCAAACCAGGCTTCAACAAAGCCTATGCGGTTGTCGACAAGCTTGGGGCCCCCGTCAATCGCTTGTCAAATAAAATCGGCTCCGAAGCATTTTGGCCCACCACATTGGATAAGGAATCAGAAAAGGCAGCTCGTATTCTGCGTGGCTTCTGCAAAGACGGATTCTACGAGCAGATAGAAGAGAAGGAGGCCAAGAAAGTGGAAGACCGGAATGCAACAGCCGTGGGTGTCCCACAAGGCAAACAAAGGATAATAAAAAAGATCCCTGCCAGTGTCATCAAAAATGCTGTCGGCTTGGCTATATTCACAACCATGCGAACTGGCTGGCTTTTTGGAGGCTCCGGCGGTGCTGGCGTTATTGTCGGAAGGCATCCAGAGACGGGAGAATGGAGCCCTCCCAGTGGCATCCAGACTCAAAATCTGTCCTTTGGTTTTCTCGCAGGGGTCGACATATATGATACAGTACTGGTAATCAATACATACGAAGCCCTGGGAGCTTTCACAAAATGGAGGACTACCTTGGGGACCGAGGTCGGGGTGGCAGCTGGCCCCGTAGGAATTGGCGGCGCTCTCGACACCGAACTGACCAAACGCCAAGCTCCTATTTGGTCATACGTGAAGAGTCGTGGGCTTTATGCTGGAGTTGCGTTGGAGGGAAATCTCGTCATTGAACGGACTGACGAAAATGCGAGATTTTACGGAGAACAGATCAGCGTCACAGACATCCTTGTCGGCAAGGTTCGATATGCGCCCGTCGAGCAGTACCAGGTGCTTCTAGACACATTGAAGGCTGCTCAAGGTGACGAAGTGGATGAAAGTCTGCTCCCCGATGCACCGGCTCCGAGTGATATGGAGATCATTCCACCAGGTGAGAGTGGGCGCTGGCGTTTCGACCAGATTACTGACTGCGTACAGGAGGCGCTACTTTTGGCATTCCGGCCGAGGATGATCCAGATCCGTATGGAGTGAAAGCCCTGGAAGCTGAAGGATTGAATATCCGAGAGGCTGGAACCCACCAAAGGCCGAGTGCAGATGCTTTTGAATTCAAGCCATCACCCACCAGTCCAATCTACTCCCATTTCTCTCGCAGAAGCGTCGACGGCTCGATTCGGAGCCGGACTTGGAGAGAAAGCACTCACAGCCTCGCTAGCGTCGATCGGGGTACCCAGACTGACGAGGATGAAACGAAAAGTGCCGGAAATAGTCCTCGAAGGGACTCTCTGAGGGGACTTGATCACCCGAAGAAACACAGCCAACTCGTGGATGATGCGGGCGAAGAACGACAAGAACGGAGAGAATCATTTTCAGACGTAGATTCTGATGTCGAGGTCTCGACAGCCGTACCAGTCATGGCTCGAGCGAGAATGGTCGAAGTTCCTAAACGCGTTCCCCCAGCGTTACCGCCACGAAATCCTGGCCGGGTAGCATCCCCTACCGCAGAAACACAGACGCCTGTTGATGGCTTTGACAAGATCGACCTGAACGGCAACGCCGAACAAAAGCACGAGGGCGGCCACGTTCTGACGCCAACTTCAACACACGAAGCCACCGATTCTGCCTTTCATTCCGTACCGGTGACGCCCACTGAGGAATCCAAGGGGAACCCTAACGATATACCAGGATCTTTCCAATGAGCAGTCTGGATTAGATGGGTTCAAAAATAAGTTAATGATTACGAGATCTTAGAGCTGTTATGCTGCTGTTTAGCTATTTATGGGTTACGCATTGAAGGGAGACGAAGATACCACATTCGAAGTACATCAACAACTTGGAGTGAAGTCGCAATGTCTGCTCCTGCTGTTGTGCTGCTACCCCGGTGAGTCTGATGGCGGCCACCGCTTCCGATTGCTAGGAATGAATCCCCTGGAGCAGGTGCCTCGCGCCTTCGACTTGGGACTCTGCACTGGACAGTTCAGCTCATCAACTTCTTTCTCTTGTTTCATACCTCCGTCCAACCTCCACCATCATTGCAGTGATTGCCTTTCGTTCTGAAGTTTTGTCGACCTCGCCTGCATCGATAAGGCTGCATTCGTTATTGCATTCAGACTGTTGCTCTCGAGCCCCGACTCTTCTCACTTCGGACCGTTGGCCTCCCTACTAGCTCAACGCGGTTCTACGTCACGATGAACCCCCCTCTCCTTCTGCTTGCTGTTCTCCACGCCCTAGTCTGTTTGACCAAAGCAGTGGCAGCGTCTCCCGTTGATTCTCTTACATCCTCTAGTCTTGACTCTGACGACCACCAATCCGCAATATTCGATGCTGAGGATGAGCAACCGGAGCAAGTCGTTTGTGGAAATGTGACTGGAACGGCCTGCGACCCAGATAATCGTGGCGGTGGATGGTGTTGCTCGTCATATGTGCGTTGATCCAAATCGGCTCACGGGCTTGTACTAACAATGGTAGGGTTTCTGTGGTAACAAATCTTCGTTTCACGTCGTTCAGGACGCCAACTTATCACACCTACAGGCAATGGGGATCTTTATTGCGGTAAAGGCTGTCAAGAAGAATACGGGCAAGTCTGCAGAAGGACAGCTTCCTCACATGAGGTCTGACACCCCTGCAGAAGATGCGACCCAGGCGATGCCACCAATCGTGCTCCAACCGTCAAGTACTGTGGCCCCAATCATGACGGACAGCATTGCAACACCGGAGAGTGTTGTTCTTCAGACGGTTTATGTGTCAGTGTTGTTGGACTACGCCACCATGAGATGTTGACCGAAGCAGGGCATTTCCATCGAGTTCTGCGGTGAGGGGTGTCAGCCGGCTTTTGGAACGTGCGTTCAACAGAGGTGTGGCGTATCGAACGGCAACAAGTCCTGTCCATTTCCTCAGTGTTGCTCTCATGCGGATTACTGTGTCAGTGGCTGTCCCTTGGAAGATTATTGCCTAGTCCTAGCTGACACGGTGCAGGGAATCGGGGCCGATTTCTGTTCTGTTCCTGGGAACTGCCAACAGGAATTTGGCATTTGCGATTCTGACACCACTCCGGCAGGGTACAATATGTCAGTGGATCCAAGAGGAGGAAGTGGCCGCATCGCATACGGACAGTACATCAGCAACTGCTACGTTCCTGGAACTATTGCCCTTACATACGACGACGGCCCATCACAGAACACCGAGGAATTGCTGGATATTCTCGATGAAGCTGGTGCAAAGGCAACCTTCTTCATTACCGGGAACAGCAACGGCAAAGGCCCCATAGACACGACGCACAAGTGGACCGATGTGATCCAGCGTATGGTCAGGGAAGGGCACCAAGTTGGTTCTCATACTTGGTCTCACGAGGACATGGACGAAGTGGGATCGCAAGCTCGCCGACTCGACATGGCTAAAAACGAGAGGGCTCTCGCCAACATCCTCGGCAAATATCCCGCGTACATGCGGCCACCTTACCTCCTATGTAGCAACGAGAGCGGTTGTCTGAGCGACATGAGAGATCTTGGATATCATGTCATTTCCTATGCATTTGACAGTGGGGACTGGATGGATCCCAACAACTTCACTGCAATGACGGAGAGGGTTGATCAGGCATTCCAGAAGACAGACGAGCAAGAGGGCAGGATGTTACTGATCCAACACGATACAATCCGCACATCAGCCATCGAGCTCACAAAATATGTTCTGGACATGATCTCCCAGCGAGGGTGGAAAGGTTCGTGACAGCGCAGTTCTGTTCGCTGGAACCCGTCACTAACTCGTTATTAGCTGTCACGGTCGGAGAGTGTCTTGACGATGAACCCGAACGCTGGTATCGGGATCCGGCTTGGATCAGCGCTGGCTCCAGGTCGAGGGGAGGCTGTGTTGTTTCGGGCAGGAACTCCTGTGGCAAAGTACGGAGATTTACCAACAAGGTTGAATGCTTCAGAAGCAACGCCCAATGTGAGAATGATGCATTGGAATGCATGAACTCCAGGAGGACGGACAAGACGACCTGCGAGAAGCTGGAGATGATCTGCAGCATGCAATTCCTCTTCTGCTCAACCTGTGGAGAGGCAGAGCTCCCCTGCGAAACCGAGAACTTCTACGTCGACAGGGAAGCATGAATGCGTTGGTCTGACAATGTGGTGGTGGGTGTAATGGAGGTCGGGATCAGTGTCTTTCGAAGCGGGATGTATAGCGTTAATACGGATTGGTGGTATCATTAGAGTGCCAGATGCTGGAATGTCTCCCTCTTCATGTTTCGTCGCTGTGAAACCGGGCGTAAACCTCATCTGCTACAGTAGTTGTGCTATCGTATCGAGTGCACGTGTATACAAGAACCAGAGTGGAGACGACCAGTAGCGTGATCGAGCGGCATCACCGGCCAGTTGTGGGGATGCAACATCTTTTCCCGAGAGGAACACGCATTGCGCATGCAGCGTGGGCGACGGATTCAGCATCATATCAGTAGATGATTTCTCAACCGCCGCCATCAATCATCCTTCTGCTAGTCTAGCATCCTCGTACAATGTCCTTCGGCCGATAGCTGGCAATCATTGCCCATCAACCCCATCGAAAGTCTTCCGAGTTCTCGTCTTACAGTACCGTTCGCTCACCATGTTTGTTCCACGCCCCCTGCGACGGAGTCAGCGACCAACTTCTCTTCTTTCCCTCTTCTCTCTCCTCCTCATCACTACATCTGTCTCAGCTCATGGCGGCCACACGGACAAGATCCCCGAAGGAGAAGCCGTCTCTCCCGATCCCCTGGACAGCCGACTATGGGTTCACATACTGCTCATGATCGTTTCCTTCGGCATGATATTTCCCTACGGCATGGTTTTGGGTATCATTAAGAGTCGGTGGCATGTCCCTCTACAAATCGTGGGCACGGTCATCGCTACCGTTGCGTATTTCCTGGGACACATGCATAAAGGGCGACAATTTCGCCACCCGAACATCCACGCGAGTTTTGCCAATAGCTTGGTGTTGATGCTTCTCATTCAGGTCGGGCTAGGTGTAGGCTTGAAACTACATCTCGAGGAGAAGAAGGGATGGATTGGACGGGTGTTTGGCGGGAAAGTCGGAAGAGGTGGTCGGAGAGGTGTGGTCATGATCCACGGCTGGTTGGGCAAGCTTATGCCCATTGTCGCCTGGGCGCAGATGCTTTTTGGGGGCATTGTCGCCATGGGATACTGTCGCGGTGACCATCTGGGACAGTGTTTGGCGCATTTCATCATGGGGTCGGCGTTCATTGCGTACGGGGTCATCATGACGCTCCTCTTGCTCGTGGGCCAGGCGTGGCTGAGAAGGACGGGCAGAAGCCAGGAGTTTTTCGACAGTTGCGTGATCGCGGCATGGGGCTGTGTCAACACGTTCACCGAACACCGCTGGGGTCATCCGTGGGTCAAGAACGATTTGCAACACACGAGCATGGGGATTGTGTGGTGGTGCGCTGGCTTGCTGGGTGTTTGGTTGTCGAGATCGAGGAATGGAAGACCAAAAAGGAATATCCTTCCTGGTCTGGTAATCCTCCTGACAGGTTGGGCCATGAGCGCCCACCCCCAAGATCTGCCTCTGAGCACCATGGTGCATACGGTGTTCGGATACACCTTGATGGCTGCAGGCGCGGCCCGAATCGTTGAAATATCCTTCTTGCTCAAGGACAGCCGTGGCGCAGGCGAGGTCAATAGCTGGCAGCATCTGCCTCCATTCGTGAGTCTCTTCACTTCCCTGTCCTTTATGTTGCGGTCTCCTAACCTACGACGGTGTGCAGCTCCTCTATGCCTCCGGCTTCCTCTTCATGGGGGCGACCGAGGAACAAATGCACCTCCTCTCCGACGCTGAAGTCACGCATGTCTCATACATCCTGATCCTCTACAGCATCGCCTTCTTACTCTATCTATTCGTGAATATCCTGCTGTACGTCTACGCGAGTCACGCGTGGCCGGACGACGAGAGCAACGGCCTCCGCTCTTCCTATGGTCCAGGCAGCTCTGATTCCGGGCGGAGTTTGAGCGTGGCAGGGCCCAGCGGTCCTGGTGGGCACCATGCACGGAAAATGTCCACCCTCGCGAGTGTCGGCATGAATGGAGAGGCCAATGGCCCCGCGAACGGGAGCGCGAGGTTGCCCCGGCACAGAGGCACCGCGAGCCAGCAGGTCCGGGACGCCGAGGAGTTTGAGCTCGAAGGGCTGATCAGTGACGATGGCGAGGATGATGTCGAGAGTCCTCACGCGGGAAAGAAGGAAGGGGCTGTCGCGTTGGCTTAATGGCTACTACCAGAGTCATAATCACCCACCTTCGAGGGGGAGGGCACTATTGTGCCGGAAGGACGATTGTGGTCATAGCGAACACCGGCGCACGGATTGGAATGGATATACAGGTCTCGGGCGCGGAAGCAGGTACATAAAATGCAAGTTAGACAACTATGATGATTTGCACTCTCAGTGGGCACGTAATCGAAGGGGGAACGCTTCGTTCATGATGAGCGTGCAAGGATCGCCCCATGGATGGATGGATTGAACGGTGGATGCAAAGTCGGCCTTCGGTCGACCGTCTCGGGATTAATCTACATGCTTCTCGTCTCCGTCGTCGGACTTGCTATGAACACACCCAGAACTACCCTCGCAGCGGCAGCACCTTCTGGCTCAGCACGCTCTGCCTGCACAGGGGACACTCCGCCTTCTCCTTGACCCAGTCCTGCACGCATGTCCAGCAAAAGACGTGCCCGCAGGTGGTCACGCTGGGGTCGCGGAACGGCTCGAGGCACAGGGTGCACTTCCGCTGGTTGCCCGCGGGGATCCAGGCCATGGTCTCGTCGTGGTCCTCGAGCGCATAGCGCGGCGAGTCGAGGATCGGGGTCGCCGTGTTGGTCGCCAGGCCCGGTGGCAGGGTGGACGGCACGGCGACCGCGGAGAGCAGTTGGCCCGTCGACGAGGCTTCGAGGCCGGACGGGATGGGGATCTCGATGCCGTTGGCGAGCATTGCGGCGGTGCCGGGCGCTGGCACCCCTGCTTCTGTCGCCCGACCACTCGTCGTAGAGGCGGTCGCGTCCATGTATGTTTCGCGGACGTGCAGCGCCGACTGCACGGCCATTTGCAGCACGAGCAGCACGCCCAGGACTTCGTACCCGACCCGCTCTTCGTTCGGTTTGATCTGTTTCGTGAACACGTAGCGCAGCCCAAACAGCCGCTTGGCGATGTGGTAGTACGCGCCGGTGAAGTAGAAGACGGCCAGGCTGATGGCGTAGATCGGTTGAGGAGAGGTCAGGGTGTCGAGGTGCTTAAGGATGTATTCTTGCAGTTTGAGGCTCCTGGGTGGACGGGGGTGTCGGTGGTGTTTCTGCTTTGCATATTCGATGTTCCATTCGAGTTTACTCCTCAGCCTCCTCCTCAGCGCCGGGAGGGATTTCCCCAGGATCCAGGGCGCGAACACCACGCTCGCGATGTACCCGACTCTTCTTCCCAGGCCCGCAAGTCTCAGTGTGTCGTCCTCGACTTGGATCACGTCGCAGTACTCTTCGCCCAGGGTCCTATTCCCCAGGAGTGTGGTTATGCAGAGGTAGACGAGCTCAGAGAGCTGGGTAGTGGCTTCAGAGTATTTGTGCGCGAAACGGGCCCCGAGGAGGGCGCGCACGATCGTGGATGCTTGGGACGAGATGGTCCCTGTGATGTAGGCGTCCTTCTGATGCGTGCGGAGGATGTCGGGTGAGGTTGCGAATGGGTACTCCATGATAGCTGGAGAGGGTGCAGGCGTAGATGCAGGCGGAGGAGGGATGGCGCTGCTGGACGGCGCTGGGTCAGCCATCTCGTTGTCGGTCTTGTAGAATTGAATCTCTGTAATTGATAATGCTTGAGAACGAATCGCCGTCACAAAGCAACAGACCGAGGTTCCCCATATTGCATGGATCGTCCAGCCGCATGCCGTATTGTGCCTGATGGATACGGTGGCGCAGTATTGATATCGATGCAAAGTGTTGTGCATAAAAATCATATCCCCTTTCCCTTCCTCTCTCTTCCCATCAGTTGCCACGACGGATCTCACCAAGCTTGACATCACCATTCACTGTATCGACTGGACGTTGATGCCAAGGTCTGCTGATGGTGAACGGGCCTTCACATGTGGTTCAAAACCCACAGCAGGACGTGCAGACAACCCCAGGTGCACAACAAGAACGGAAATGCGATGGCCAAATAGAGAGTGATAACAATGGTGAATCCCCAGATCAGGTCCCAAGTGTCCTGCTGCATGGCAGACATTGTTGCTGGGGGCGGTGAGAGAAGCTGAGGAAAAGCTGGACGAGGTAGTAATGTTCTGCAGATGAGTGAGAGCCACGGAAGGGATATCTAGTGTGTGGATGTTTGGCAAGGGAGTATCTGCGCTGGGAAGCCATCATCTGCCACAGACATATTATGAATTGGCTAGACCTCCCTTATTGCATTATATTTCTATCTGAGAAGAACTGTTCACCTATTCAGAGAATCCTATGGCATATACAGCGTTTACTATTTGTGTTCCTGCACTGGGATCCTTTATATTGCGCAACAGAGAGCAACACAGACGGAATACATTGCTGCGGATCTACTAGACACTGGCCATTCGTTGCAATATGACTCGATTACAGGATGATAAGTACATATGTGTCTCATGGCGATGCGCAGTCTGAAATGGTTTGTGGCTCGAACCCGGTTTTGGAAGGTCGATGTGAGCACCGCATCCACCACTCAAAGACTTGGTTTCTGTGCGGCTGCAGCCGTTGTCGCCGCTGTCAGTCTTCCACTCTACGTAACTGTCCTGCTCAACGACTCCCACCAACCATGACAACTGAGCCCAGCAAGGACTGGCCTCGAGAAGGCTACCGACCAGAATGGCTGGCAGTGAGCACCTCATCTCCTAGAACTTACATTCACTCCTCGACAAAAATGACATCCCCGCCAAAGAGATACCCCGCCTCTGGCGTCCCCTGCCCAACTGACAATTCACCAGCTCGAAGACGCGTCTGGCGGTCGATATGTGATGACAGGTAATTGGGATGTTGATGTTCCCACGTACGATGCTGTCTTCGCCGGGCTTGCGAAACAATGGCCCCCGCTATCTGAAGACTTGAAAGTCTGTGAGTAAATGGGCTCAACCAATGCTACAGTAGGATCGCTGAGTCTGACGTGCACCTTTCCAGGGGATGAGCAGACAGACAGCCAACATGGTGACCTCCCAGTCCGAATCTACAAGCCCGCCTCAGACAAACCGCTGCCACTCATGATTTACTTCCCTGGTGGAGGATTCATTGCGGGCAATCTTGACACCGAGGACGCTCATTGCCGGATCTTCGCCGCCAAAGTACCATGTCTGGTCATCAGTGTCAACTACCCCAAGGTTCCTAAAGTCAAACTAGACGACATTATCAACCTTGCTAGCCAGGCTGTTCCCTGGGTAAGAAGACGCTTCACATGATCTATCTTGGAGATCTGACTCAAATAGTGTCGCAACAGAGCCAAAGAGCTGGGAGACGATCCTTCCGATACTCTTGTGTGTGGCGGGTCGGCCGGCGCAATGCTCGCAGCTGAAGTGGCGTACCACTTCATGGCCAAAGGTGACCATACCTCCGTCACTGGCTGCGTTCTGCTGTTCGTTGTAACACTTTATTGGGAGTATAATGGGAAATACAAGCATATGTATACCTCGTGGGAAGACAACGGACATGCTGGGACTCCCGTGTTTGGTCTCGAGCTTGCCAAATTCATGTGGTGTAAGTCACATCCAACCGATCAACCTGTTCTGGATCTTCATTGACCTTGTGCTAGCCCACTTCGACATCGATTTGGACAGCCCACGACACCTCGTATGTCTCGCCGACGACCTGTCCAAGTTTCCTCCATGCTATATCGTCAATGCGGAAAAGGACTGCTTTCGAGACGACGCAGTGGTCTTGGACCACAGACTGAAAGAGAGTGGGGTCAAGAGCAAGCTCGATTATTACGATGGCCTTCCCCATTATTTCCATGCCTTCCCTAGCCTCGCTGTTGCCCACGAGATGATGGAGAGGGCTGTGGAGGGAGCTAGATTCGTGTTGGGGTAGCGACCAACAAAGACATGGCGCATTCCTCGGGTTTCATATTCCAGTTGCATTCGCTTCAACGGCAGTCAGCGCCAGCCGGCATTGGATTCCTCAGCCAAGCATCGACTACTCGTAAATCGACCGATCAAACGACCAACCAACCTCACAAGCCTGCGGGTCGTTTTTCTAGCCTCGCAGCATCCCTCTCCGACAACACGTGCCGAGGCAATGCTGTGGCTTTGACCGTCTCCGGACTCCATCCCGCTTCCCGCTTCCACCCTGCTTTAGCGAGGCTGTGGGACACTCTGGAGACAAATCAAAGCGAATGCACCGCCAGACTAGACACGTCTCACGAAGTTTGTGAAAGGTCCTGAGTCAAAAGTCACTGACGGTATCTGCTAGCCACCCCGACGAGTCGAGACCGGCCAGCCACGGGTTGGAGGATGCGGGCAGCTCGAACGTTACGGCAGACAAGGTCCCTTCGGAATCTCAACGTCGTGCCCCGCAACAAGCCCCAAGGTCGAGTTCGACAACTGCCAGCCAGAAAAGTGATTAAATCTTGTTCAGCCCCTTCCGACCTCTCTCTTCTTCACCGTCTCGTGGTTGAAGGGGCCTCTGCTACGCGTTTCCCCAGCATGCTGAGCACCGCTGTCGACAACCAGAACAACATCGGTTCGGCCCGTTCAACAGCCAACGTTCTCGAACTCAATGGAATAAGCAGAGATTGCTCTCTGTCCCAATCCGGCCAAATCTAGACGGGGACGCGGGGTTCCACACCCCCTTGTGCCTGAGGGCCGTTGCCAATCTCACTCTACAATTTGTAACGCACATCACGCGAGCCGGGGCCCTGATCCGTCTTTCCCTTGTTCATACCCTTGTCGCGTAACAATCCACCCCCAACATACCTTATCCATATCTCAGGACTAGAAAAAAGACATCAAGGCAGCTCCCTGTGGGCTACGTCTGGCCATTATGTGCCCAGAAGGAGATGAAAATGCCGACACTGAAAGTCAACGCTCCAGTCGAATAACTGCCGATCCAGTGAGTCAAGTTCCAAAGATTCCCCGGCACCTTTCCCGACGGACTCTTCCCTGACAGTGCAATATCCGTGATAGGACCTTGAGGATGATGATAACGACTCAGCATATGGAGACGAAGCGTGGGTGATATCTTAGCTCCTCCCACCACAACTGGAGTTGACATTCTTTAGCTCAACCGAGACAACCTCAATATCGTCGTGGATAAGGGACTATCGTGTGGAAAATGGCCGGACTTACCATGCCTTCAAGGATGGGAAGTACTGGTATGCTACTGTCGCATTATGACCTCTGTACTTCATCGCTTACGCTGTCGCTGCAGGGGCTCTAACGACGAAGAGGCTAACCAACACCATGACATCGGCCACAATCTGTATCTGAGAACTCTCGACAACCGCCTCTTCCTTGCGCCTATCAATCCCAACCCATCTCAAATCCTGGATCTCGGTACAGGAACCGGAGCATGGGCCATTGATGTCGCTGACCTCTATCCCTCCGCTGTCGTCACTGGAACCGACCTTTCTCCCATTCAACCCACATGGGTCCCGCCCAACGTACGTTTCGAGATTGATGACATGGAATCCGAATGGACATACGACCCCAACACTTTCGATCTCATCCATATTCGCGGCCTCCACGGCACCATCGAGGACTGGTCGGCCCTGTACGCACAATGCATGCGCTGCCTTAAGCCCGGCGGGTGGCTCGAGCAGGCTGAATATTCTGCCCAATTCACCAGTGATGATAACAGTATCCCTCGGGACGGTGGCATTGCCGCATGGAACAATGTGGGTCCCGAGTGCCATGCAAAGCTCCAGCGGGAATTACAGGTTTTTGAGACCATGAGACAACACATGATCAATGCGGGCTTTGAATCCATCACCGAACGCCGGTACAAGTGGCCCATCGGGCCTTGGCCAAAGGATCCTAGTCTCAAACAGCTTGGTCAGTGGTGCAGAGCGCACATCGAGACCGGCTTGGAGAACTGGACGTTGAGGTTGTTGACGAGTGTATTGGGCTGGACCGCGGACGAAGTCAGAGCCCTGTGCGCCACTGTCAGAAACGAACTGAGGAGTCCCAAGGTCCATGCAATCCATCGCATGAACGTGGTTTATGCCAGAAAGCCCAGTCATGCGAGGTGATGTGATTTTTGGCATGTCTGGAATGTCACGGAGGGATTGTTCTGGAGAGGGAGCTTGTTGTTCTTTTATCACGACCAGGGTTGGAATTCTGCAGCGTCATTTTGCTTTTGTGGGTGGAAGTCTGAGCGTCTGTTGTCTATCTATCAACCCGACTCACCGGCCGCTCGGTTGGTGTCTTATACCCTCCAAAGTCGGAAGAAGAAGTGGGAATTGTAGGGAGGAGCGGTTTTTTTGATTTGGTTTTGGTCTGCATTTGAGCTGTTGGCATCGCGGGCGGCGTTTATCTGCCTAGGTGGAAATGAGGCGTTTTTTGTCCGGGCTATTCTCAGAACAAGCACAACAGGGGCCATTCAGATTCCATGTCACCGCACTCGTATCGGTGATTCGCCTGTGCGACGCCAACTCGGGAGTTACGGCCGCGGTCATCAACGGTCTGGCCAGCACAGTTCCATTACCGCGCGGGGATCTCGACAGCGAGTGGAAATTGAAGATGCACCATCCCCCAGCGGTACACAGCAGTACATAACCCGAGATTGCTAACTCTGCCGAGCGAAGCCACGTGGCAACCTATTAGGCCGCGATAAGTATTTACTATTTCTCGAACATCAAGCGATCCAAACCCCGCAGCTGATGAGGCTGAACCTGACCACTGACGCTCCCACGTCGACCGCTCCCCTTATACCGTAGCAGAAGCACCCGTTTTCAGACTGCGTTCCATAGCCGGTGTGCCTGTTTTGGTGCTAGATGACCATCATGTCTTCGCTTGTGCAAGGACCGACGGATCACACGCTGCCCACGTCCGCGGACGGCAGCACTCCAAAGTTTGAGCCTCGAAGAACAAAAGCAGTTGGAGCAAACCGACGATGATCTCTTGGGGATCCTGAAGGCTGTGAGTGCAAGGTTCCTTCTCCTCGAACGGCACCAGGTCAGCGTATCAAACCCCTTTTGTGTTGGACCGCGAAGAACGGCCGCCATGAGGTGGTGAAGCTCCTGCTGGAGACGGGGAAGGTCAATTTGGAGCACCGAACCAGTCTCGACGAGACGCCGCTGATGCTGGCTCGATCGGGAGACCACCATGAGGTGGTTGCGCAGTTGACTAGGTTTCTAGAGCAGTAGATAGGGCCCGGAGGCCAAATTTGGGATCATGAAACATCAGAGTGGTACAGTTCCATCCAACATTCAGAGTTATATATTCCTTTACTGTAGAATTGTTCACCCGGGACCATCATTTCTCTTCCTGGCCAAGGTCTCAGGCCCAAGTCTCCCTTTTGGATTCGTCCAGCCTCTTCTACCTTCCTTCTCGCTCGTCAGGTTTCCGCGTTCAGGGCGGCTTGCCTTTCCATCCTGCGTGTTCAGGTAGGTGTCCTGTCAAGTTCGGGGTTGGAAGTAGGGAGAGTGTCGCGGCGCCAGTCGGCCATCTGATTCGTCCACACGACGACCGCCCGGTCCGCGACGGTTGGGTCGGTCGCCTCTTCGAAATCGGCGTCGAAGCTTGGAGACGGTCGGGTGGGGACGATCCTCACAGAGCCGTCATCCCTCCAAGTTTCGAGCCGCGGCGTGAGCTGCCTCCGAGCCGTGGGCGAGCTGTAGTGGCGTAACACCTGCTTGCACACGCGAGACGCCTGTTCCGAGTCGCCCACCTCCATAAGTAGGAGTTTGGCGTCGACGGCTCTGGCGATGCGCACCAGCGGCCAATAAAACAGGTCGGCCAGGACGATCGAAGAGGATCGATAGCGGTACCAGTCTTCACCTCGAGCAAAGGTGGGAACAAGCGCCTCCTTGGGCTCGTAGTTACGCACGCTCGGCTCTGTCCTTCCGCCAGGCTCGTAGTCCTTGGGGCCAATGTACGGAGGATTGGCGATGATCACGTCCCACGGCGCAGTTGGCGAGGAACTATCCTCCTCCTTCGATTGTTCGCCGACGTCACCGGCCGCGCCGTTGAGAACCTTGCGAATCTGGTGCTGCGTATCCTCGCCGTCGCCGGCTCGCTTCGCCAAACCCAGAACATCTACATTCCGGAAGGAGACATCGTTGACGGCATCCGGATGCAGCAACTTCTGTGAGATGTTGTGTGCCAGATTCTTTTGGGCCAGGGAAACGGCATCCGGGCTGTTGTCAATGCCGAGGATTTCAATACTCATATTTGGAGATATGGCGGCCGAGTCGTTGCCTGAGACATGTCCAGGAGGCTTGAGGATCGAGTGGAGAAGCAGTGCTATGCATCCGGTTCCTGTACAGAGATCCAAGATCCGGAACTTCTTGCGGCTCTGCGGCCCTGAACCCGTCGAGGGATATGTGGAGGAAAGCGCGGACAATAGCAGGTTGCCAACCTTTTCAGTGTACGTCTCTGTCTCTGGCCTGGGTATTAAGACACGGGGCTGGCATAGTATGTCGAGGTTGCCAAAAGGCTGGTTGCCGATGATGTACTGGAGTGGCATACCCTTGGATCTCTTGCCCACATTCTGGGCCAGAATCTTCTTCACCTGCGCATGCTCGGCTGTCTCACTCCTGATCAAATCCTCGCTCGAGGGAGGCCACAAACCTGGCTCACGGACACCCTCATCATGCCATGACCTGATCTTGGCTGGTGTAGGGGCGTGAACAATGCTCTGGTCATTCCGCGTTCGAACCTGGCGAATACTGGGCCCTGCACCTTCTGCTTTCAGGGTAGAGACTTCGCCGACGCTGTAAGTCCGAATTCGTGTGCGGTCAGTTTGGACTTTGACTTTGCGCACCGTGAGCTTTCGCTGTTCTGCGGTTATGTGGGCGGTTCCTCCCACGTCGTGTTTTCGAATTCGAACGGATTGCGCTTGAGCCGTCGACGAAGAAATGATAGATCCTGTAGGAACTGCAGCGACTTTCCTGGATCCTCGTCCATCAATGGCTTTAGTAATGGGAACGCCCTGTTGTGTCTGGTTCAAAGGTCCATGGCAATCCTCGATCTTTGTATCAAGTTTTACAGTCTGCCAGTCGACAGAGCCCGTCTCTTCGCTCGGATCCAACCTGGGTAGTCCATGAGAGTCCACAGCCTTGTGGCTAGCAAATGTCTGTGTATTGACGAGACTACGAGCGTGTTCTTCAAGCCACCGAAGCTCGTTGCGAGCTGAGGGGAGGTCGCGACATACTCGAAGGAGCAGAGGGAGGAGTGGATTTTGGGAGGTCGCCTGGCGGATCAGGGCAGGAGGAAGCCGTGGCATCTGTCAGACATGGCGTCTGGGGGTGGTGTATGCAAGGACTCTGCTGTCACAGTGACTGCAACAAGTCAATTCTCGCAGTTTGGGAAGGTCGTGAACATAAGTGGAAGGTGAAAAGCCCGGGGCTGACAAGCACGCGAAATTGGGGAAAATGGAGTCGATACTTCTCGGTACAAGGATCACATTCTGCATTTGGAGAATCAACCAACAATGATTTCATCGCTTTCCTCCTCACTCTCGTCGACCATCTCCGTTTCTTGTGATATGTCAATGCAAATAGATACCATTAGCTCCCTCATGGGCCGGAGTTTCTCGATTCACCAGGTAAGTCTCCGGGGTTGAAAAGAGTCTGCTTCACCAGTCGTCGCGCCAACACCCTTTGCTGGACATCCATTACTCTCTACACTCAATCCGCTGTCAAGATGGTCAAAAAGGTCCTTGTTGGTTATGGCGTGGACGTCGACGCCGTTAGCGGATGGATCAACACTCAGACCGGTCAGGCGGCTGATGTGACCAACATCTCTCGCGGTGTCTTTGGAGCCACCGTGGGCATTGACAGGTTACTGGCACTGTTCCAAAAGTATAACATCAAGGCGACCTGGTTTGCTCCGGGCCATTCCATCGAGTCATTCCCCAAGCAAATGGCCAAGGTGCGGGATGCTGGACACGAAATGTAGGTCGGTCCTCGTTTAGCTCCTGGTCACCGCTTTCTCTGACTCCCCCCGAATGATTTGATGAGGATGGATTGCTGATGCGGTGCATATGCCGCCCAGTGGACTGCATGGGTACACGCACGAATTTGTCTCGCAGCTCTCAACACAACAGGAGCGGGATGTCCTGCAGAAATCCATCGACGTGGTCACCGCATTTACGGGGAAGAAACCCAGAGGCTTTACGGCGCCTGCATGGACCCCGTCGCCTCAAACCGTGAAGCTCTTGGAGGAGCATGGGCTGGAGTATGACCACTCCTTCATGCATCATGACTCCCAGTTGTACTATCTCCCGTACCCACCGGCCACATGGAAGGAAACCGACTACAAGAATCTCTCGGCTGGGGACTGGATGACCCCCATGTCATCGCTTCGGCCGTCGACGCTGGTCGAAGTCCCGGCGAATTGGCACGTTGACGATTGGCCTGCTTTCCAGACCATGCGGGGCCAGGGCGCTGCCGGCTTTGTCGACCCGCATCAGATTGAGAGATTCTGGCAGGAGCACTTTGACTTCTGTTACCGGGAGTATGAGCATTTTGTGTTCCCCATCAGCATCCACCCTCAAGTCAGCGGCAAGCCTCAAATCACCCTCTTGCATGAGCGGCTCATTGAATGGATCAACAAGCATGACGGGGTGGAATGGTGTACCTTTGAGGAAATGGCCAACAAGTTCCGGAAGGGCGAAATCCAGGGCGTGGAGGTGGAGGGGGGTGTTGACCTGTAGCAGCCCTCTGTCGATCACCAACTGAGAGGGCCGCAGACCTTGCATGTCCAACGGTCAAGCCCATGCACAGGCCGCCCGGGAGATGGCTACCTCCGGATGTGTTGGTAGCAACACGAAAGCGGATGGGATGGAATTATGCAGGAAGATGGAGCGCCAGGCAGACAGCACCCTGGAAGAAGACATTCGAGAAGACGTCCCAGACTATCCGTTGGCGTCGATCTTGTCCACTTCAGTGCCCTGTCGGTTTTCTGTTCCTTGTGGGCACCGAGCACCTGATGCTGTCCTGGATTCCCCTGCCAAAGCTGATGCTCTCTCTCTCGGCCACTTCCCTGAATCTGTATATCGAGAGGAGGTAGAAACGGCAAGGACGGAGTTGATTTGAATACTTCCTGCTTGTTGCCTACCTGCTGGAGGACCCATTACCTCTTGTCTTTGGCGTCACCGCCTCTCCCATCCCACATGTCTCCTCGTATAGGTACACGCCCCCCCAGGCCGGAAGATGGCGCAACTTAACCCAAGCGATGTAGCTAATTCCTGACGCCAATCGCGACTCTAGACGGAACAGTGCCTGCTAGATTAGCCGCAGGACAGCGCGTGGGGAAAGGAATCGTGCATTTGGCCCTTGGGCGTTGATGGACCAGGGGGCTATGCGCCATGTCAGCCTCCCTCACCGCCCTTCTGGACCTCAGATTCCCCTTCCCCTTTCTCCCACACCACCATGCACGAGGGAAACAAGCATACCTGCGGCCTTTGAGTTACACCGATTCCTCACTGGAGGGCCGCCTATTCCTCTTGTGCCGGGCTCAACTCAACAGCACATGCGATGCCCCCAGCAAAACCGGGAGATGGCGGCCCAAGCGCAGTCTGGCTCCCAAGACCAACAACCACACCATCCCCAAAGGCGACACCGAATTTTCGGGTTCCAGGGCCCTGGCCCAGTCGATCCGCTTGCTTTTAGACCTTGCATTGCATCTGCATACGAAAACAAACTAGGGACAGAGGTTTGGGCTCTGGTCGCTGGCTGGTGGACAGCACCAAAGACGCCACACAGTCACCGCATCTTTGACAGCTGACGCAGAATAGCAACACACAGACAGAAACAAGCCTGATCAGCTCGCATCTACTATTGTGCTCGGTACCTGACTGGGTCCTCCGTGCTTGATGCCTCCGCCTCATCCTGAGCTTCCGTATGCCCCGTCTTCCATCATGGTGTCACCGATACCCGTTGGGACCTGCATAAAAGGGTGTTTCCCTTCTTCCTTTGACCAGAGCACCTCACCCTACAGTTCCCTTTCCATATCTTCCATACATTGACACAGCGAGCCCGAAGAGACATACAAGAGGGAGTGCCATCAGTAGACCTCGTTACCTTCCAAGTTACCACCAGTTCAATCAACACAACCCTCAAACATGGGCCGGGGCCACTACGACGTTGCGGGTATTCTCAAACCCATGGGACCTCAGCGACCGTCTCCCAAGCGCATGGGACAAGTCAAGCAGACGACAAGCCATTTGGGGATGCCAACCACCACCACCACCTACGACTTGACTCGGCGCTCTGCTCAGACGACTTCTCAGGTCCATTGATGCCCGTCTCGCCCTTTCGGCTTCCAGTCAGGCAGGTCACCCAGGACAAACCATCAAGGCTACCCGCGCTCGGCTCAGAGGACAACGCATCATGTCAGTCAATATGGTCAGCAAGCTGTGCGCGACTTGTTCGGCCCTCTTGGGGCGTGGCATCAGCACCGACGTGACCCAAACCAGGTCGTGCGACGAAGGCATCAAACCCGATATCGACCTAGCCAACTCTCGCTTCTCTCTCTCTGCATACACTCGCTTTACTACTATTTGGCCCCTGCGCCGGCATCGTTTTCTATTGCCTCAGTCGTCACTCGACGTGCGGACCACGTCTTACATTTGCCTTGTTTCGGCGTCCGATGCACAGATCAACCCCGAATACAAGAACCATGGAAATGGGTCTCGAAAGAGTGTAGTGGAGTCCCCCATGTCTGAACAAGCAATCCTCCATGTCACACCTCGGAAACGCAGTGAGATGAGCTGTGGAGAAATGGGAAGATGCGATCTCATGACCAAGAACCTGCAACACAAGTCCGGCATCGCCGATCCAATGTCTTTTGAATTTCTTCAACGGGTAGGGTGTCGCAAACCAGCAAAAGGGCGCTATATGGATGACTGCATACCGCATCGTCGGCCATCACCAACGGTAGAGCCTGACTTGGCTTGTTACTTCCAACAGACCGACTGAAGCTGACGGGGGACCACTTGCACTCTTTTTTTTTTCATGGCTTGACGTAATGGCTGGATGGGAATATGCAACGCCCGCAACTGCATCTGATCTCGGCATTTTGGCGGAGGTCAAACCTGTGCCGGGAGCAACGAAAGAGCTGAGCTGAAACCGCCCGTTGGAATATGCAAGACATCATTGCGGGGACGCCGTATTGCGTGCCCCCAAGCGGTACAAGAGTGCGAGGGGAGACTCGTAAAAGATTAGCGGAAATCGGGCACGGCTGAGGGTTGAGGCTGAGTAGAAAATTAATAGCAACAAATATGACATAGCAGATGCATTCCACCTGGTTGCCCGACTGACCACTCAAGGGGAGGGGCCCCTTTCAAATGCGTTTCATTTGTCCTTCTTGGGCTTTGCCCTTTTGCCACTTTGACATTCTATCATTTCCCTGGCCTCATTGACCAAGTACAGCTGTCTACATACTTGGACCCCTTACCCCTGTACCTGTGAGAACAGCCCGATGATCCACACCCTTCTCCTTCCCGACCATCTGCCTTGGAACCTGGTCGGGGACAGGGAGAAGGAATGGAAGCGGGGAGAGGTAAGAGGCGAACCGGCTTCTTGGACACTACAGTAGGAGCAGTGAGCGAGGAACAAGGAACAAGGAACAAGGAGCGATGAGTGAGCAGTGAGCAGTGAGGAAACAGGCCATGCCGGGTGGCTGGAGATAAAATGTCCACGACCATGTCCCTTTACGTGCGGCGTTGGTGGGTATTCATACTGACATGCGTACATACATACACCCATACTTACGGGTCGAGTTGGCGTACCGACACATTGACATGGTGGCGTATTGACATACTGGCACTGACGCGATGGCACTGACATACCCGGGTAGGTCCCTACGTGGGTATGGTTACGTACTTGACATATGTGATTACTTACATGTGCCAGGCATACTTAGCGTGCGTACCTTGGGGGACCGAGTACATACCTGGTGGGTATGTAACCCACCTATACTCCATACCGGGTATAACATACTCGGACGTTGGGCGCAGAAATACCCACCCCCGCCAGGCACATTGATCCAGGCATATATACATCAAACACAGACACGTACACAATACACATACATGCATGGAGAGAGACATGCGTACAGGGGGTCTTATTGGAGGGTGTGTGTGTGTGGAAGGAATAGAAGGAATCCGGAGGGTACCAGGTATAATGAAGGTATCCACCCCGCCTACCTATCCAGGCATACTTGCTTGCTTGCGAGGCATGGATGATTATACCGACCTAGGTATACCTACCTATCTATATACTGTCCTTGCCGACGAGGCGCACAAGGGAACAGCCAGGAAGAGAATTTCACAGATGACGCCCCTTCATGTGTAAGCCAAAACAGGGAGATTCAATTCTTCAACATTCGCCTCCCAGTGACGCCCATATCATGCCGAGACCAAGCCGCGTAGATACGTCAAAGTAGCTCGTCTCACACGATGTGCACATGAATACATTCTCCGCGCTCAGCACTAAATTCCACAAAACTGCAGCCCGGAAAACACGCCGGGGCAATGCTATATGGGGTATCATGAAAGCCAAGTCAAATCATTTCAAATCAAGAAAGATCCCCAACGACGCCATTAGGTGGACCGGCCCCTTCCGAGATCTAGTGCAGTCAGATGCCTATATCCGGGAGGAATTTGGGTGCGACGTAGGCCCGGGGTGTCGAGGATAAAGGTCGTCAGCAAGGTAGCAGCCGGCGACAACAGCCGGAGCGGCCAGAACAGCCAGACCTCGTTGCAGCGCGGTAGGTCGTACAAGCAATGCGGTGATCATTTCCATCATCGACCGACAAAATCTCAAGACCGCTCCAACCTCCGAATCTCACTCTGCATTACGGCGACCAAACTGTCTGTCGCCGCCTCAATCTTGCTCTTCTCCACATGTGTCAGTTGTCCAAGCACCCACGCACTCACATCGTCTTTCTCCCTCGACAACGGGCGCCCGATTCCGATTCCGATTTTAATGAATCTGTTGCCCATGGCCGGCAATAGACCCGCCGATTTCAAGGATGACTGCACTGATTTGATTCCGTTATGGCCTTTGGGTGAAGACTCGCCTCGGCGCAGCTTTATCGTGCCAGGTGACGACTCAAGCTCGTCATGCAGGATGACCAGGGCTGTCACGGTGTCGTCAGATGCGGGATACAGATTGTTGAATTGTTTCCACGCTTTTGACGTGCCCTGCCCAGAAACGTTCATCATGCTCCCGCTTTGCCAGAGAGTGTATTCATCGCGGCCGACGTCGGCGCCAGAACTAACAAGGCCGGAGCCCAGCAGTTTTGACTTTGCGAGCGGCGATAGGTGCAAGTGCGAGGCAAGATGTTTCAAGAGGATATGCCCTGCGGAATGCCGTGTCGAATGGTAGGGAGGAGGATTGCCCAGAGAGGCAATGAGGAGGCGCACGGAGCGCATGGGCAACTGTGGAGATGGGGCCTTTGGTTTGCGAATGCGCAGCGGAGATGGTATAATAGGCGAGAGAGTAGATTCGTGACCTGTGGCAATGGTCGGAGGAGGAGAATCGGCAATTATGGGCTTGACCGGCCGTCTCTTGATACCATGTTTTTTCGCAGGGGAATGTTGAGATTGGGGATGCGGGTCGAGTTCTGATGGTAGGGAGGCAGAATGATCGACGGGTTCAGGCCAGAATAGATCTTGGGTTGGATCGTGATGCTGATTGTACGAGGTTTGAGAATTCGGGAGATGGTGTTGCTCGTGCGTTGTCTGCGACAGACTCCAGTCAGCCATGATTTCCCTTTCTCTTCCGTCGACAACCAGATCGTTTCGTAGCGAACAAGAGGAACACACAACACACTTACCTCGTTGCAAATGAGTGACGGGGAGTTAGTCTTTTGTTTGCTGGAAGCTCTTTGTGTGAGTCAATGGACCAAAAAGGCTCAGTGAATGACAAAGACGCCGGTTTGGAAATCAAAAGTGAGTCGAGCCCCGTCTGCGTCATTTTTCAGCGCGCGGCTCAATTGGGTCTAGGCTGCCAAGCAAATGAATGACTCGTGCGGTGACCGTTTCGGGATTCTGGCACGTGCCATAGCAAGCGTCGACGACGAGGCCGTTGTACTCGGTCCTGCGTTCAAAAGCGAGAGCTCAGACGATGAGGCAGGAGACTTTTTGGTGATTCCAGCTGGAACGTCTCGTTCTGCTCGATAAGATTGGTGGGGGGTCAAGCTGAACTTCAGGCTGCCCGGGCTGATAAGCTTCGGAGCATTCGCCTATCGCGGGCCAGGGCGAGGGTGGCGAAATGCTTTGGAGTTGCTTTTGATGATTCCCCCCTGGGGATCGCCCAGACCATCATCACACACCCTCATATCGCCGGTGCGTTACATCTGGGGCCGTAATCCCTTCATCGTCCAAGGGGTACAGCCGATCCAAGGTCCAGTCCGTGTTAGCGGCAGGTGGTGGTCTTCGAACAGAACCGGCACTACTGGTGCTGCTCGATGCCGTCGTCGCTTCCACCTTGACTTCCTTTTCTTTGGCCAGGTCACTATGTGTCCAGGGGCTGGTGGTGTCTTCTTTTGTCCGGTGAAGTTTGAGGCGAGGCCATGAAGGTTTTCTAAGGTCTCCATCTACTTGACTCGGCTGTCGCGACCGCGGTTGGCTGTCCAGGGCGATTGCTCCCGGGCTGTATCCATGAAGTTCCCTCGGTTGTCCTGCCTGCAGACGCCCTGCGGTTGAATCACCAAAGAAGGATCGCAGATTGAAGATTCGTCGGATCAGAGCCCAACTGTACGGCATGTTGGTGACAATCATTGCAGTGCTCGCTTCTCGGCAGTACCAGTACACCCATTCGGAGCTGTAGGGATGAGTGAAACTCAGGCGCTTGCTCAAAATGGCACAGAGCATCGTGAACAGTCCCAGGCTGAACGGGAACACCAGGAGAATCTTCTTCTTGAGCTCCAGATGCGCCTTGACAAAGAGCGGAAGTGGAATCGACAGGATGAGGATGTCGCTGCTGAGGTTGAAGACCAGGTTCATGATGAGGTGGTGCAAGGCGGTGGTGCACTGTACATTGTTCGTCGGAGTCTGCCAATAGTCGTGGAAGGGGCGACACCAGACGGCGAAATAGCATATCTCCATGACGATGTAGGTGACGGCTACATATGCTGCGGCGATCTTGACTACCAAGGCTTGCTTGAGATTCTGAGTGAGGCGCCAGTAGAGAAGGAGGAGACAACATTTGGTTCCCCTGAAGAGTTTTGTTAGGTTGCACTGACATGGAGCTTTCCCAAAGAGATAATTACCATTGCACAGCACACATGCACTGTTCGACGAGGAGAACAGTCTTGGATCCCCACGTACGTTGGGATATTTCTTGGGGTGTCAAGACGACAGGATGGGCGGGGTCGATGAGATTCGTCGAGACATTCAGATCAATGTTGAGAAACACGATCAGAATTGTATATAGGCACTGCCATGGTTCCATTAGGCTTCGCAAGAAAAGTAGTTGCGCCGCTCCGGGAGACTTACGGTCAGGAACATCATCAGGTAGTCCTCGATCTGGAGTCGCAGCAGTGATTTGAATAGTAGCAGGCGCGACACCCTGGACAGAGCATTGCATTGTTAGCCTATACCATGCCATTGTTGGCTGAAACAGCGTCTCACGTACATGCGCGAGAGAACCATACATATGGCCACCGAGTACCATATCCATGATTCCACCACAAAGGCAGTCATGGTTGCTCCAATCTTCTAGTCCGCCCTCGGTTCTCGAGATGGATTTGCGATGACGAAATGGGGCGCCAAATGGGTTTCACCGAAAGGGCAGATCAAGTCGTGCGGTCGAGTCCTCTGGCCAAGTCGGCATGTTTGTAGAAGATGAGATTCGGCGTTGAATCCACGTCTCTTTCAACTCGAGCGAGAACATGCGTTTGCCAGAGGGAAAAAGGAGCGGTTTCACCAGAGCAAAGATATCATGCGGACGAAGGGGATAGCAAGTGATAAGAAAACGCCCTTGGCTGGCTTCACCTGGGAGAAGAAAGGTCACGGGCGTTAGCGAGAGGCGAGGCGGTCAAACTAGCGAGAAGGTCAATGATGGATGGCGAAGTCGTGCCGGGGGGCCAGTGGGTGAACTCGAGACTCGAGCTGTAGCCAGGTTCCAAGGGCGGGTTGTTCGAGAAAGGGTATGATAGAGGGAGGCAAAAGAAACGCCATGCTGGCTGTCCATCATCGGGGTCTTGGTCATTCTCAGTCTCCAACGGGTTTGTTCAGGTTGGACTAACGGGGCGCCGGTCCAACCCAGAAAGCCACTTTCCTTGTCGTATGATGAAGCTGGGCACTGGGATTTGCGTGGGATGGCCGTGATGGAGGAACCCCGGGCGACCAACGATGGGGATCCCCGTCAAACCTTCAGGCTGTTTGTGCAGAAAGAACGAGCCTCGTTACGAGTCTGGGTGTCTGGTGGAGGGCGGCACAACAGGAACCAGCTTCCCCCGCGATGGTCACTGGGGCGGCGTCCACAAACCAGCGGCGTCGAGAGAGGGTGACGAGGCCCCTGGTCGAACTCTGAGCAACGAAGTGTGAGCTGAAGGGTGGAAGAAGAATCTAGTGAGTGGGTGGGAGAACAAGGTAAGCGAGATGGAGAGTTACAGACACAATGAGGCGGGTTCCTGGGGGAAGAGACAGACTCGCGATAAGCATCCAAGCCCCCGGGACATGCCTAGCGGCCCCTAGACTTCCAGTTAAAGCCTCCAATTCAAGCCCCTAACGACTCCCCCAACAGACCCAGTAGCACCCGTTGACACCCGTTGGGCGCCTGGACGATAAGCAACTCGGCCAACTCGGTTTCTGCAAGCCACGCGATAAAGACTTCGACTTCCCCCTATCTACTCACATCTCTCTATCACACTACTAGTCACCCCATGAACTCTTTTCATCTCGCCCGTTTGCTACCGTTGTCTTCTAGAACGACATGAAACAATCAAACGGTTGACGCTACCATCTGTTCGCTTGGGCGACCCCGTTGTCGTCCATGTGGCTGCCACGAACAATGCCACTAATGCCACGCAAAGTCGTCAAATCGATCAGCAGGAAATATATCCCAGCTCCCCTCCCCTATCTCCAGCCCATCGCCACACATTAATCTCGATTATCAATATCAACTTGATTAGGTGTTACTTGGTCGTATATGTCCAGCTTAGGGGTATCATCTCTAATGTTCTCGTCATCTGCCATTTTGAAACCCAAAAGGCAATCCTGCTTTCAAAGGAGCGAATGCACCCGCCCTCCCAATAATGAATGTGGCCCTTTCCCTTCTTGATGATCCGTATTGCTTTTTGAAACCCTCCTGTTAACACCTGAACCCCCGAATGTACTCGATGTTGAACCCGAAATCGTCAAACGAGTGGATGGAGGGCAAAGCCGTCCCTCAGCCTCTTCCAGCTCCCAGGTTTTTATTAGCTCCCGCTTGCATCTTGCGCATCGCTTCACGATGCAGCTCTTGCATATCCGGTCGCCGCATGACTTGATCCATCACCAACTGCTTCCTTTGTTGCACGTTTCGTTGATATTCCTCCATCAGCTTCTGGTTCTCCTTCTCCGTCCTCATTTGAGCATGTCCCGCTTCCGCCATCGCTCCATTGATGCCCTTGCTAGAAGCGCGGTGTTGTTGTGACAGCCGCCATTCAGCAAGCAGAGACTCTCGCTTCTGTGCGTCGCTCCTGTGGTCACGCTGAGCCGGCTGGTGCGAGTTGTATGACTCCAGTCGAGTCCCGATCGACATACCAGCACGGTTGCTGTTTTGGCTCAACGGCCGAGACGTTTGAGCCAGGTCGTACATACTAACTGAAGTTGGGCTGGCAGTACCATAGGCTGTATGCGGCCGCATTCCGCTGTTGCTCCGCTGTGGCATTTGGTATGGGGACGACATGCGTCGACTCGCCCTCTTGGGGTTCGTGAATTCCATGGGGGCGTCTTCGTCGATCGGTGTTGAGACAAGTGAGTTCTGCATCGTGGGGTTGAGAGAGTTCCGACCGCCCCGGCTGTTGGAGTGCCTCAGTGATTGTGTCGACGCTGACCGCGATGGCATTCTGCCGGTGCTGCGACGACGCTCTTGATCCGAGACCGATCGTTGGCTCGATGGCGGCTTGGAAGCAATGCCCACACCAGCTCCACCCGCTTTTACTGTCGGTGGTAACGCGGCTGCTGGCGGCACTTCCACAGGGGGCTCTGCAGCAATCTTCTCGGGTTCTGCCGCGACAGACGCCAACTGCGTTGGCAACTCGTCGTCAACGCCCTCAATCGTCTCCGGCTCGTCATAGATCGGTTCTTCGGCTGTAGTGATATGCTTGGCCCATTCGTTGGTCCGATACGATAACACCACGCTCGACAGCTGGCTCGGAACCTTGGCGAGGGCAGTTTTGGTCAGAGTATCTGCGCTGGAGTTGGTACCATCGGATGTCTGCGAGTGAGACCTCGTCACGTCGCCTGTCTCCGTCTTCGCTTCACTTCCCTCGGGTTTCAGAGCTTCGTCCAAGCTGGAAGCACCTTGAGCAGAGCGTCCATCTTGGTCAACGAAGAGGCGTTCGAGCTCCAAGTTCCCACCAGCAGTTGACCTTTCAGTGCCTTGCATTTCAACTGCGGCATTCTCCGGGTTCTCTGACGTTTTTGGGACCACACTTGATGAACTAGCTACAGGCGAGATGACAATTTCTGGCGGCAATGTCAGATCTTGATCGAGGTCAACGTCCAAAGCTTTCACATCCAGCTCCTCATTGTCCACGTCCATAGTTGCAGCGGCGGAAGAAGCCCTACTTTGGGGCCTTTCACCATCGATCAGATGTTCTTGCGATTCAGAGCCGCCGCTAATGTAGTTCGCGCTCAAGTGTTTCGACCGGCGAGAAAGCGACAGCTGAGAACTCCGTTTAGGTTTGGAAGACGCACCGAGCTTGCCTGGTTGATCGTTGAAGACTTCTTCGTTGGAGCTCATATCATTCGAGGCGCTGCGAGTAGTCTGAGCTGCAGAAGAACTGCCACTGTCCTTGCGTTCCATCCCAAGCGGAGTTCGGGAATTTTCCAGGGCTTGAAGCGCTTTCTGGCGTTCCTGATTGGCGATGGCATCCGTATCCTCTTCCACCTCTTCAATCACGTCAACTGTCAACGTGCTCTGCCGCTTGTTCTTGGATCCGTATGCCGAAGAGGCTCTCTTAGGGCCAAAAGCATTCATTTCTCCGCTTTCGGGACTCGAGTCGGACGCTGGCTCGAGTGCAACGACTGACACGGTCGAGTATCTTTTGTCCGTATGGAGATCCTGCCATAGGACAGTGTTGCGTTTACTAGCAAGTCGATCACCATACTGCTTCTCCCATTCGGACTTGTCGCGCTCGTTCTGCCGTTGGAGATGGCGCCCCAAGGCGGCTTCCACTGCCTCCCTCTGTCGGGAACCTTCTTCGTCGAGCTCGACTTTCTCGCTTTGCTTAGACCTGATCACTTTCCAGAACTTGAGCTGCGAAAGGACTCCGATGATGGTGCAGATCACAATCACGGCTATTTCGACCCGTATGCCCTTTGTAAGTGGAAAGGTGGTGGTGTTCAAAGGGAAAAGGTTGTCGTTGAGATCCCAGATATAAAACCAGAATTCCTTCAAGCCCGCCCTGGTGAAGCAATCGATGCCCAACGTGAAAGCGGTGGCTCCACTAAATGATATCGATCCAATTAGTGCGTAAGGGCGAGTGTAGCTGGTCCAAGACATCGCCCAGAAAAACACGCAGAAAATGCCGATAAACGCCCCCTTTCCTCCTGAGCTGGTAATTAGCCCACCAGGTCGCAATGTCAGTAACCACATGCTGAAACAAAACCCGCCCAAGAGACAGGCAAACCCTTCGGTGACTTCTTTGAACACGAGAGCACCACCCCCGAACACGGCGCCGGTCATGAAAATCGCCACGAAAAAGCCTCCTTGAACAGCATTTGTCACCGGAGGATTCATCACGTAGTCAACCAGTGCCGTTGTCGCTATACTCGCCAGGAATGCGCACGACAAGAAGATCTGTACCCATCTGGTCTTGACACCAATCAACGCATAAGTCGCCCCCAGGACGATGAGAATTACCCCAGCGATCCCAAACGCCGGGGTAAGACGAGGGTGTATCGGCAGCGCATCTGATACTTTCTCGGTCGAGCTTGTCGTTGAGTTGTTGGAAGGGGTACTGGAAGCGGTATGGATGGCCGAGCTTGTGGTACTGGATGGGTGCTTCGTAGTGGATAAGGACGTAGACAACACCGAATTTCTGACCGAACTCGTCGAGTTTGAACCGGACTGCTGGACGCCCTGCGTCGAGGTTGGTGTAGAAGAAGTGACTGTGTCGCTTGCTGAGGCGGAAGCGGCTGTTGAAGCACTTGGCGAACCAGTCGTGAGGGACGGAAAGCTCGTGTCGGTGCTATCCTGTCGCTTCTGTATATCTGAGCCAGGTCGTGCGTAAACTCCTGAGGGTAGGGCCCATCCCAGCACCGTCCAAGCCAGAAGTTGAGAAAGACGCATCTTGTCCTGCGCACTCGATGGGCACAATGTACTCTCGCGGGATGCAGAGGAATGTCAGCTCCTCAAGAACCTCTTTGGCGGTGACCACTTCCACGTCAACGGGTGCGGTTCCCGGGGCGATAATGCTGAGTTACCATTGACGTGGCGTTGAATCGGAGAATATGTGACCTCAACCAACGAGCTCGTTGTAGCAGACACAGCAGCAAGGAGAAAAGACAAAACGCTGTCAACGTTGAACACTCCTCCCCACCGGACAACGGCGACACTCTCGTTAGAAGAATGGAAGAAAAAAAGGAGAGCTTTAGAGGCGGGACCCAAAGGCCTTGAAGCTGGGGACGAGGCGGGCTAAGAGCAAAATTGACGGTGGTCAAGCAAGCCACATGCTCGCATGAGCGTACCTTTTGGGATGTGAGGGACTCTTGATTGACCAAATCGTCATCACAGAAGCAAGCCAGAACGAGCAGAATGGAAACGTGCCAGCTAGCTCCCGTGGAGAATAGCCGAAAAGGGGCCACATTGTCGCCTGGGGTGAGCGGCAACATGGATTTGAAGACCGGGAAATTATGCGTTGGAATCAGGACTGGAGCAACCGACCACAAGATCGGAGGGTTTGACATCCATGGCGGAGTACCGTCCAGAGCCACGTAACGTGTTCGCCGGAGACTTGAGCCTATGTCAAGGCCAACAGTGACTCGTCGACGCCATTATTATCCAAAAAGGAATGAGGTCGACCTGCATGATATCTGCATGATCCTGCGGTGAGGTTCCAGGCCATGTCTAGGATGCATGACCAACGAGGTGACGCTCTGGAGCTTGGGAGGCCAATCCGGCAAGCTGGATCGACGAAACAAGGAACAGCGTGCAGGGATGCGGCTAGCTGGGCGCCGGCTGGACTGGGGTCGACCAGGCCGAGATTGGGTGGAAAATGGTGTTACAGCTCGGACAAAGGCCCCCCATCCAATCCATTGGTAGATGATTTTCCGGGGCATTGGTGGGAAGCTCTTTTAAATTGACGCCCCCTTCACACTCTTTTCAGCCGGGCTTTTGAGCTGCAAGCCACGTCAAGAAACAAAAAAAGAGGCATCCGGCATCATGCGCCCTGGCTTTCTCCGTCCATTCAACAGGTCTCGTCAAGGGGTGTTGGCGTCGGCCAGGGGTCCGGCTCAGAGGTTCCGGACGGACTTGACAAAAAGGCTCTGCTGCATGTTAGCCATGTCTCAGTTGACTTTGCGTAAAAGGTCCAGCTCTGCACGCTGACTTGTTGGTCTTTCTCGAAGTGATCACGTCTGCCATCGCATCTCGCTTCCCACGACGCTATATGCGTTCGGGTGTCAAGCTATCGATAAAAACCACGGCAAGATTGAGTACGACATGATCTCGCGGGGAAGGAAGCGAGTAAAGGAGATTTAAGGCTGGCTGGGTGGTTGCTTGGAGCTGCGACGGTGAGCCGCCGCCCATGTTCCAGGCTGCGGAAAGTATGAACGGAGTTGGCAAAACGTGACAACGGCCCCCAATCCACGCGACAGTCGGAAATCGGACAATTGTGACGCCTTGGCCCCGGCTTGGCAAGCCATTGATACACGTGATCCCCTGCGGAGCTAGAAATAGGGAGGCCGTCTGACATGGAATTATCGCTGGTACACGAGTACTCGTAGCATGTAACTAGACACTAGAGTGCTCAATAGCATCGAGGTGGCCGCCACATCAGGTATACCTGGGGTTCATAACAAGCATAGGATGCCATCGTGTCCAAGGATAGACCAAATTCTCTGTGTAATTGAAATATCATATTTGAGTTGATATGGGATGACTTTCACTTTGCGACTACGGAAACACTGTTCTCGTCAGACGGCGCCACATCCTTGAGTTGGCTCACCGCCAAACGACTACCGATGAGGCTGGGAGAGAGAAAGTGACACAGAGACGAGATGGAAAGGTCCGAAACTGACAAGATTACTTGGTGGATATCACTCCGCACTATATTACACAATCACATCGCAGAAATGAGCCCCATGCTCCCCAGCCCCGTGTTAGGCCTCCTCCGTGCATACTGTTGTACATTGTACTCTGTGGAACCGAACAGGTTCACAGAGAACGCCTCATGGCTTGCATTTGAACCCCTCGAAGTGTCCCCCACGTGAGATACATCTCCTGCTGTCTTCCCACGTTTCATCATTTATCATATCATCATAGAACTGATTCATACTTGCTCTGCAAAACGCTGGAGGATTATTCACGGGATCTGTGGTTTGTATGGGTTTACAAACGTCGGGGTGGTTGGTGACCCCTGCAGTGTGGAGGTCGGCGAGTGGGCACGGCCCTTTTCCATGTTGGCGTCACGCTTGTGCGAATTCTGACGCTGCTGCTCATCGTTGGTCCACCAATGCAGCAGTGACAACCACGGGAGGTAGGTGACTAGATATCGCAGCCGTATGGGCTCGTCTTGGACAAGCTGATCTATGTCCGTGTCCTCAGGCGGCATGTCTTCCGGCACTTGAGGACGCGGATTGATAAAGTTTGTTGGTGGCGCAAAGACCTTGAAGAACCTCTTCGGCCCCGGAAAGTCCTGCTGTGTCGTGGATGGCTTAAGCTCTGCGGGAAGTGACGGGTCGTCGTCCGGATCTCGCCACTTTTCGAGCACCTTATACATCAAGCGGACAAAACTGAAGCAGCCGATGATCATTGGGATCAACTGGGAAGGGAAGAAAATCCGGTTGCCAGGACCCAGCACTTCCTTGACATGGTTGAAGTTGAGTGTACACTCAACCAAAATCATCGACCACAGAACCCAGAGGAAATTGCCGATTCGGAGAAAGTAGAAGATTCTGCGTAGTCTAGAGATCAAAGAGTCAGCAAGGTATTCCCGAGCCTCGAGTCTGCTCTTAGAGAGACTTACTCTTTTTGGTAGAGCCCCGTAGCATAATGCAGGCGAGTGCTCGTTCGCCATTTCCCTTTCTTGGCCAGATCGACCGCCTTTGCAAGCCTTGCGTAGAGCCCCAGGGAGGAGATGAGCAACATGATGCCGAAGTAGATGACGCAGCCGATGCAGATGACAATGTAGAATATTCTCACACCGCCATCAGCACGGACCTTGGCGAACATGAAGGTATAGACGGTCTTGCATGGGCCTGTATCCACGTTGATGTCGGTAGTATCTGGCAGGATACCGAACAACCAGAACCACAGCCCATATACCGCTACGGCCATAGAGAGCAGCAGTCTGAGGTGCGTGCCAAAGCCTCCAAAGTGTCGGATACCCTTTGGGCCTTCTCCGATATAATGACAAGTTCGGTATCCCCAAAGACTCAGGACCGAAAATACGGTCCCGCCCGACAGGTGCATAAGGATCACACAGTCGAGCTGGGTCAAAACTTTTGTGATGGTGCATCGTACCATAGCTACGAGATTGGCAAATAAGAAGATTGCGTTTGTATCGAGGGCTCCACCAATGTCACCAGGCACGAATGAATTTGCCTAGATACAAGAGTGAGCTTGCGTAACAACATGGGAACACAGAAGGGTGACAAGAACTTACGACCCATCCGGTGAACCACGAAAAGTAGATTCCCTGTCAATGTAGTATTAGACTTAGTTGAGGCTCAACAGCTCAGACAATGGTGGGAGGAAGTGGATGCCCCGGCAAAGGGCATATACATTTTGTTGAGAGCAGAACATACCAGACGAACCCCAATTCCATAGTAATCAGGCGCACGAGCACTCTGGCATTCGTAGTCGTCAGGATTTGGTCCCGTGATATTGGTTCGAGGTATCAGCCATCTCGGACTGCTGTCCGTCTCTGTGGCTGTGGCAGAGCATGAGCAGAGAATCAACAGCAGCAGGAGGCCGAAGCAGGTCAATCTGCTGTTTCTTCCGGGCATGTTAGATACTAGAATATGTTATTGTAGAGATTTCCAGCACATACCTGGCAAAGGAGAGAAGTTTAAACTTTTTAAAAGAATGACATCGGCATCGGGCTGTCCAAGCAGCACATGGTCAATGTGTTGATGAGGTGCCCCAGGGCCAAGCAAAGAGGAGGCCAGAACGAGTTGTGCTAGTAAACGATGTGTTGCCCAACCAGCCTCTCTTTTGGTATGCTCAGAGTCAAACCTGACAAAGAAGAACGGTGCAGCCCTAGGGCGACAGGCAGATGGCATGTGTGGATTTGCTCTAGCCCACCGGCTCGTCGACAAATCCATTTGGCTTTGGCTTGTAGCCTCGAACTATGACGGAATGGAGGTTGCACAAAGACGTCATGGCTTCAACATCGAGTTGCAACGAGGCTGATGATCTGCATCAGGCTGGTTTTTTCGCGGCAAGGCGATCGGAGGGCGATGCAACCCGAACAGACAATATCCAACGTTCAGTCTTTGGTTGTCTGTTGTATTTGGCAATCGTTCTTAACATGACCATAAGAGTACGCTGAACTTCGCACACGGTCCTGTAGGCGGTGGCCATTCTTCCTATGCAGACCTTCGTCATTATAGGAGTGAAATTGGGGCGTCGTATCCATTCCAGCTCCGGCACGCAGCGGCCAAACTCTCTTGATTATTGTACCTGTTAGGCATCTTGCACAGAGTTCATCTCCCTGCAAGCCATCGACCTGATCATCATCCAGCAGCAGCAGTATAGTTTTCGTGCCAAGCACAAGCCCGGCTGCCAGCGAGGCCTGAATGCGGAGACCGGCCCAGCAGTGGGAGGCCTGATGCTTGAATCTCGATCGACGGGATGCCACAAGGCAGAGCCCGATCGCGGCCCCAGGAGACGCATCAATCGCTGGGCATCGATCTCTAGTAGCTGCTAGCTGCAGACAGGTAATTCAATCCCATAAGCTAATGAGGCCCAAGACACTGCGAAATCCCGAGTCCAATCCAGCAATCGACGAGCTAAGGCCAAGAAGATATGATAATGTGGGGAATGCCTACGGGCAGCAAGTTCGACAGCAAGTTCCGCTGACAGCAAGTTCGCTTAGTGGTTGGCAGAAGCCAACTACACCTAATTTAGCTAGTGGTAATTTCCGCTCGCCATCCTCCGTATCCCTCCTCTAGACCTCGCCGCCGCCTGACCTCGCCGTAGTATATACACTAGAAATTGCAGGTAGGGAACGACGTTGTTCCACCACCGTTTTTGACAGTATCGAAACCCTAGGCCAGCGAGTAGCTAACTAGGCGTTTGTAGCAATCGTCAATTGTCTCGACTCTCAAATGGCTCGTTAGTGACAGGATCGGCAAGGAATTCAGGTGGTAGTTTATTCACAGCCTTCTTAAGTGGCCTACGGAGGTGGCCAGAACAGCCTAACCTAGCGCGCTAGGCTAAGGGTTGACGATTGGCCATTGGACAGAACAGGACGAGCTTGATCAACACCAAGGTTGGCTATATAAGACAGGCGGCGGCGAGGTTAGGCGGCGGCGAGGTCTAGAGGAGGGATACGGAGGATGGCGAGCGGAAATTACCACTAGCTAAATTAGGTGTAGTTGGCTTCTGCCAACCACTAAGCGAACTTGCTGTCAGCGGAACTTGCTGTCGAACTTGCTGCCCGTGGGCATTCCCATAATGTGGTTCTGGACCCGTAAAAAGGCGAAGAGAAAGATACAAAGTGACCAAGTAGTCGCGGTGCCGAATGGACATGTCTACATTAATTCGGAGATAAGAAGTGGTGCCTGCAATGGGAGCATAACTCTCCACGGGGA